AGAGAACAATCAACACAACGGTAAATACGATAAAAATAAAAATGAGCCCAGTAGGGGAAACCAACGTCCTAAGAATACTATGCCAGTACAGTTATATAAAAATACCAAATGAAAGGAAAGACAGAAAGATGTAATATCCAGATCGGGGGGATTGGTTTTCGGATTTTTCGTTTTTGATTTGGGAGTAGAAACTAGGAGGATTGCAGCGCGGGGTTAAGATGGTAAGGATGAGGATTAGGGAATCTGGGAATTTGGAAATCAGAATCTGGAGTGTGTTTGTGGAGTTACTTGTGGTATGGACTGTACATGTGGAGGGTATACAGACAGATAGAGTGGAGTGAAAAGGGGAGAGTTTTCGGCGATTTATTTTACTGAATTTTTGAGCATGGGGGTGGGATCATGGGATGGGATGGGATTTCTCCGTCCTCTGGAGATACAGAGTATAAAGATCCGGAGTAGTAGTTTGGTATAATGTAGGGTAAGTGGGATGGATCAAGAAAGTGATGGGATGATATGGAGTACGGAGTATGATAATGTAAGGGTAAGTGGGATGTAATATAATGTAATGCAACGTGATGTGATGGATCATCAACGGCACTCCAATGCTCCATAGTACGGAGTAGGACTATTCATGCGTCCGAATAAGCGAAACGAGTGAACTAGATTGGATTTCAAATTCTTGCAGTTAAGTATGTACCTAGCTAATGTGGACGGAAAATTATCGGCTTAAATATTAGATGCGCAGTATGATTGCTTTAGTGCTAGCTATAGCGAAGCGGCACTTTGATATTTTTTGGTTGTTGCCGTACTCCGTATATTGGCGGGGCGGGGCCGCGCCGGCTGGTTCTGTGGTGGGGGGTTTCATGGGTGCGTTTGATGTGTGTGATGGATTTTGTGTGATGTGATGTGATGTGATGAACGTGATATCTCGGGCATATTATTCATGTCTTAGTTGGATTGGGGTTGAGGGTTATCGATATTGTCTCGTAGTTGTAGTCTAATTTAGCTTGAAGTTTTATGTGTATGTGAAGCGGGAGATATAAATTGGAGAGCTGATGAAGTCACATGTATTATGGGTTGGAAGTTGATTTTTCACGAATTTCAAGATAGCAATCGTTGTTCTTAGTTATTTTTACTCAAGAAAACTCACCTTCATCGTGTAGCAAAAATCTCTATACAGGGAATAGAATCCCAAGTAGATGATATTGATTGGTATCTGCTACCACACCTGTTAAGGTTACTTGTATACATTCCGTGTGCGTGAACAGGAAAGAAAATCAGATATGAATACGGTTATACCCGAGTAGGAGATCATGGCGGAAACTAAAAGAGGGTTCCCCGTCGGGTAGAATCGAGATCTAGATCTGCACGGGATGCAGTGGGGTGGAGTGGGGTAGGGCTGCGATTGAGATATTGCGGTAGTTTATTATTTGATCACTTTATTTGTTTGTATAATTTATTTGTATCTGTATGAACGGATAGGTCGGGTTCTATGATACTGGGGATGTTAGATGGTATAGTAGATAATAGGTAATATATTAGATGGGTAGGTAGTGGACAAGAGTGAACTGGATCTAGAAGTGGGAGTGGGAGTAGGAGCGAGAGGGGATTATTAGAATGCGATTGTGGGGTTATAATGCTTGTGAGTGAGTGGGGCGTTATAGTAGGTTAGATTGATATGAGAATATCATGATGTAATGTAATGAACTTAATGTAACGTATGTAATGATATAAAGTAATTTATCTACGCAGTACTTTAAGATTATGATTCTACGATGAGAAGATTAGGAGTGGATAGAGAGAAGATAGGGGCTAGAAATTAGAAATTAGAATAAATGATAGGCACTACTCTGTAGATAATAGTGATAAAGTATCCCCGAATATCTTCGCGGTGGTGGGTCTCAAGAGCTAATTCTTACGCAGCTTGTTTTATTACTATGGTAGTATTCGATCTTGGACCCACCAATCTACCGGTACTAGAACCCCTCTCTATCGCCCCACTCCATTCACACTTCAATCTTCAAGGGCTTACTAGTAGAGTAGAAGTCCCATGAATAGTCATTATAATTTTATACTTTACATAGCATAAATATCACGTGCTTTCGATCTAATTCATGGAATTGAAATTTGTAATTATGTATAATACTGTATGGATAATTTGTATAAAGCTATGAGTATTAATGAAGGAGCAGGACTATTTAAGAGACCTAGTGATAGTACTACATATCTACCCTTCTGAGGGTGTAAGCGAGATGGGAAGTTCGGAGTAGAGAGGGTAGCTTGAGGGGCGGAAAGTCTATGATAAACTGTTGGTACCCCGAGTTAACGTTATGATTCAATAAATGGATGGTATCCAATTCCCCTTTTAGGTTGTATCGGCGAGGGAACTGATATCTTGAATTTTGGAGATATAGTGTTAGAATTGTGTTTACCATGTTATAGTATCGCGCTATTACTTTTTGAGGAAATGCAGTAAGTAGATGATGAGTTAATAACCTTCCAAAACACTTGAAATGTAAGGAGACCCGGAGATGGATGATAAATATAATGGTGAGGAAGTGTTATATTGAATGAGAAGAGATGATAGAATAGATCTTTATACTTTCAAAGTTATCTATCAAGTTTATATTAAGAGCTTAGAATTTGATATCTTTCTATCTATTCATCTATATAGATTTAAAACTCTCATAGACATCATTTTGTTTATTCCTCAATCTTTTCATATAGAATAAAACAGAGATGAAGAAGAACTTGAGTATTGATCTCTTCAATTTAGTAATTGGTTAAGTCTAGTATCTCATTTTCGGGCCACCTCTAATTTGAGCCACTCTTTTACATAAAAAATCATAATTCTCACCTATTAATAACTTTATAATTGTTGACCTCCTGGGATCTTGGCAGCATATGCATATATATTGCATGATGCATATAAGGAGCAAACAAAACTCAACTTTTAATTCATTCTTTCCTTTTTGGTATACTGTTTGTTTGCTTTCAATATTTTGATTTCAAAGCACTTTAATTCCGAAGGCTGAATACCTAACCTTATTCCTTCATTTTTTGAATATATACTCGCAGCTTAACTGCTTAGCTAGAGAATCAATCAATTCAATCTGATGCTCTTTCTGGTCTCAATAAACCCAATAATAATTAATTAATAGAATATCATTTCATCGAATAGATTCTCGGAGCTTCTATCTAGCAAAATTTAACTTGATTATCATCTTCCCACGAGCTCATCGACCATGATCCCGGTGCTCTGTGCTGCACGAGTTTTATACTAATGAAGATATTGATCAATCAAAGAAGTAGTATTCGAAAAGAACAATATATATAAAGTATTACCTAGAAAAAAGTGACGTGATGGCTTGTTGATATACGGAGATGATATTTTAATTACACAATAAAAATAATAGAAAGTTATAACTGTGGTAATAAAGTTTATACAGTATGATCTTAAATAGACGGATATCTTATTTACTTTTCTATCTGTCTAGAGTTATATTCGGAAAGTGACGGTAGTTATTCTTCTTCTACTGTTTTATTGTTGTTAATATAACAATTATTCTAGATCATACTGGTAAGTAATATTCAACTCCCTTGCATTAATCAACTGAGAAGTGTTACTGAAATGTTACGAGGTTTGCCGTCTAGATCACGTGGAAGTGCTCTAGGCTCTCGAAGTAGGTTTATAACTAGGCGTCAAGCAGGGACTTGAAGTAATGACAATAATGATATGCAATTCGTAACTAATAGTAGAGTATACTAAATGATTGATCTTGAGCACGAAGCTCTATACAAAGGAAATCCATCTTGATTATATAGACCTTCATGCCTATGGCTAGTCAGGACCGCTGCGCGGTCCTGGACAGCCAGCGTTCCTCAGCGGTCCATAACGTGACTTTAATCACGTTACCTTGGTTTAGTCATGTGACGCGGCATAGAAGATAGCCGTTGTAACATGAAAACGAGTGTTTATTAACTTTCTAATGTAGATAAAATCAAATTAAAAATAAATAACGTAACGTATGGGGAACTCGGACATATGGGGAACTCGGACATATGGGGAACTCGGACACTTTTTGCCCATCGCCAACTTGAAACCTGTTGACCTGAAGAATGATTATATGAACCCAATTAACCACTCCTCAAGTGTGGCGTCACTTTTGGGCAACAGTTATGAGCCCGGTTTGCGGTCCCATGGTCCAGTGGTATCATTTATAATTTCCACTACCAGCGCAACTTGCAATCATCATATTCTTCAGTAAAAAGTTACATTATCGATTATATCGCATCCAATGAGAGTTACTCCTAAAAACTCCAAGCGAGCGATCCCCATGCACCTCGACGGAACAAGCCTCTGAAGAGGGGTAGAGCCAATCAGATGCTCTCAGAACCCTACTCTTGCATACATGCCCCAGAGTCTAGAAAAAATGTTAGACAGTAAAAGGCAGAGGACTATGTTATCCGGCCAATCAACTCAGATCGGATCAGCCAATCATATCCAGGAATAGCCTCAAAAAATAATGGCATATCCTGATTCGGCAATCCCTGAGGGGGAGTGTTGACCTGAAGAATGATTATATGAACCCAATTAACCACTCCTCAAGTGTGGCGTCACTTTTGGGCAACAAAACCCTAATAACTTTTATTATGTATACCCAATCACCTTTTACACCTGCTCAAATTGAAGAGAAGCTTTAATAGGTTATAGTTGCACTTCAATTAAAAGAATTTAAATCAATTAGAAAGGCTGCAGAGCATTTTGAAGTCCCTAAGTCCACTCTAGCCGATAGGCTGGCTGGGAAGAAAACACGTTCCCAAACCTACGAAATGGCTCAAATTCTTTCAAACGCAGAAGAAAATACTCTTATACGATGGATTTCACGACTTACGATCACTGGATTCCTTGCTACACCTATGTTGGTGAAGGAAATGATCGACGAAATTCGTCTTCGATGTGTTCAGGTCGTGTCATCTCGAATTCCTACCTTGACAGAAATTCCATCTATAGGCCACAAATGGATTTATAGATTCCAAAAACGATATCCAGAACTTAAAATATATTATTTATATTAATTAAAGTCTAATCGGATTAAAGAGACAACTTCAAAGAATATTTAGACTTGGTTTGATGTGTTTCGTATATGTCTTATTGAACGAAAATATGAATTAGATGATATATATAATATGGACGAAACTGGATTTGGAGTTGGAAGTACTCAAAGTATGTGCATTATAATCGATTCTATTCAGAAATCGAATTGGAAAGTTACAGCTAGTAAGCAAGAATGGATAACTGTATTTGAATATGTTAATATAATTGGAAAGGCTCTATCATCTATAATCATTTTCAAGGCTCAGAATACGAATTCTGTATGGATTCCAAAGGATACACTTCAAAGCTGATAGTTCTCTACTAGTACAAATGGATAGATCTCAAATAGTTATGGATTAGAATGGCTAAAAAGGGTTTTCGAACCAGAATCCAAGAAAGTGTCAGGTGACCGACCTTGACTTTTGATCATGGATGGCCATTCAAGTCATATTACAGGTAGCTTTATTGCTTTCTGTATAGAGAAGGATATCGATTTACTTATATTACCTCCTCATTGCTCCCATTTGCTTCAGCCATTTGATATTGCGGTGTATAGGCCAATGAAACGATATTATGCTTTGGAGGTCGATCGATATTCTCGAGCTGGTGTAAAGCGAATTCAAAGAGCTGAATGGGTAGAACTCTTTCAAAATATTAGAAAAAAAGCACTGAATTCTTCTAATATTAAAGTTGGCTGAAGAGGAGCTGGTTTAATACCTTTTGCTCTACGAAAAGTACTCGATACATTATGTTCGGTTTCTTGAGACTAGAAAGAGCATCAGATTGAATTAACTTATTCTCTAGCTAAGCAGTTAAGCTGCGAGTATATATTCAAAAAATGAAGGAATAGGTTGGGTATTCGGCCTTCGGAATTAAAGTGCTTTGAAATCAAAATATTGAAAGCAAACAAACAGTATACCAAAAAGGAAAGAATGAATTAAAAGTTGAGTTTTGTTTGCTCCTTATATGCATATGTACTATATATGCATATGCTGCCAAGATCCCAGGAGGTCAACACATTACCATTTAACTCCTCCCAGCAACCTTCTACTCCACAAATGAGAACCCCCAATCAAGACCTAACAGAGTATATGGAAATGACAAGAGTATACCCCCAAATACTAAGTTGCTGTATCTTATAATAATGAATTGGGATTGGGATTGGGATTGAGATTGGAGGAGATATAAATTTAACTGGTGAACCTGTAGGTGGGAGATGGGATTTCCCACTCTGAACGGATCGTTAATGGTGATCTTTATGTGATTAATATTATATAATTTGCAAGATCGGATCGGATGGTAGGGAAAGTAAGTAGATGTTTCAGGGCTCCTTAGGAATATATTAGAGTGAGACTATTATGATGAATGTTGTCTCGAATAACATATAACTCAGAAAGGTAGCACATATTTCAGAGTTCTTCATTTTTGGTTTGTCCATTTTGGCGGATATTCATGCTATAACAGTATATGTTTTGTGCATCTTTTCTGGGTGGTTGATTATAGTAGGGTGAGATCTAGGAGCATGAATATCGATCGTATATAGTATTGTCTCAATCTAAGCTTGACCCTCTTCACGTGCCTTGTTGCATATCTTAAACTCATGGTTATCGCATGCTTATAACTAAATTATTAGTATGAGAGATGAATGCTGACTAATCACTTTAAACTCCCCAACTCGAAGCACAACCTAATCGGAGTACACTTGTTGGCAATGGTGCCAGGGGTAAAGAACTACTGTAGTCTAGAAAGTAGCGATATCGAAGAAAGCCATCACTAGGAACGTGCAACTTCGTTCACGGTCCGCTACTCGTGATATTCAGGCTTAGCCTCCGATGCCACGATTGAGTTTAAATCTTCCATCGGTGGTAGAAGTAGGGAAAGAGCTAAGATGAGGGGTAAGGGTCTTTTATCATCTCTAATCAATCAGAAAATCAAGTTATGGGATGAACTATTGGCTACTCACTAGTCATGTAGTATGGTTCCCCAATGTTGTAACTACAGAATGTAATAAATCAAATCTTCATATACCGAGATAATCGAGAGAAGAACAAAAAGAGGCTTCAATATAAGGTTTCCACCACATCATTTACTTTCGCTATTATTGTAACTAAAAACCTGGTTGCAAAAACCCTTGATCCATCAATAAGGTAAAGATGGTCGAAGCTTCTATTTGATGTTGCCGGACGCAGATCAGTGCAGCTGTGGCTCCATTATGACGTATTACTTTTATTTTCTTCATTAGTCTCGATGATTACGGAGCACATTTCAGCCACATCATCAAAATATCAACAGCTTCATCGGGATAACAATCATCAAAGCACTTTCTTTCACTTTCGTTTTCAGTCTTTTTGAAAGTTCTAGACAAATAAGTAAGGTACGAAGCACGTGAGTTGAAAGTTTAAACAAAGAAAGATCAAGGGGAAACGTGATTCATTCATTCATTCTTTCTTCGACTTTCTCTTGTCCAAAGCGACTTCTCGAAATTTCGAAAGGAACATGCTAGGTAGTAGTAGGTAAAGCATGGTGGAAAACAGCTTGAGCTAAATAGCTTAGCTTAGCTAATAGATAGATGCACTTACATCATACTATGATCATAGGAATTTATCAAGCAACTACTAGATAGGTAGTTCTTTCTTTGAACCATTCAAATGTGAAGTTTCCCCATTTTACCAAAACCAAAATCAAACACCACTAGTTAAAAGGTGCCTACCGAAACAAACCATATTACCGCTATCGTCATCATCGCACCCGCCAAACTTGGTACAACCTTGAGTAACCTTCCTTAGTACAGCACACTAATACAAGTCTCTTACCCGTGCTGGCTTTTCGCTTTGTTTAATAAAACCTTTCTTCTCTCCATCAAAATATCTCTTAAAACATACAAACATACATATCATACCACTTTCAATTCTTTTATACCCTTCATCTGAAAAGTAAGTTGGAATCGGATTCTTCCATTCAACAGTTTTCCCTGCGATATGTGCCACCTGCAAGGTGTATTACTTGTGCAACGACGGATATTTTCCCTTACCTTGCATTTGTACCATAGCCTGGCACAGAAAATGCAAAGAAGCTAACATGGCACTTAAATAGTTTTCCATCATTCTTCGCAATCACATTACATTCTTACTCCTCTTGATCCCCTAGAGTTAATTTGACTTTCTCGTCATGACTTCCGCCCGTAAGTCTTTGTCCACTGCAAATCCTTAACCCCGCCAAACCAAGTTTCTTTTTTCCCTGGGAGCGCTTGCTAATTGTCAATCATGGCAGGTCCCTTTACGGGAATCATTTCTTTGGTCTTAATCGGTGCCTCGATTATGTTCATGTTCTTCGTGATACTAGGTGGCATTACACAAACGACTCCTCTAGACAAGACACACTTCCTCAGAGCCGACACTTCAAGTATTGCTGGAGCCAGACCAGTTTCACAATGGAATTATTTTAGAGTCTGCGGAGAGGGAAATACCGATTGTGGAAGCTCTGTACCAGATCTTCCTTTCGGTTACGCATGGGTTGGAGGTGGTGATGGTGCTCCTTCTAGTCTTCTCGGGTGAGTTATGCCTAGATTGTGGATATGTCGCAACAATTACTAATATTGTGAAGTTCGCACGCAAAAAATACGACTAGCTCCTCTTACTACTATATGTGGAGATTTGGATGGGTGTTTTATCTTATGGGACTTTTTTTCACCGTCTTTGCATTCTTCACTTCAATATTGGCTCTGTGCAGTACACTTGGATCGTTTATAGGAGCTTGGTTGACAATGGTTGGTCTATTCTTCTTTAGCATTGCCGCTTCATTAATGACGTAAGTTCCTTCACAATCTTGTCTCAATCTATCACATAACTAATCAAAATTCAGTGCCGAATTCGTAAAAGCCCGTAACAGATTCCGCGAGGCCGGTATAAATGCCAGCTTAGGACGATATGCATTCGGCTTTACCTGGGCAGCATGGGCTTGCTTAGCTCTCGCCACAATTTTACTCTGCATCGGAGGAGCTACAGATTCAAGTCGTAGAGCGAGTCGTAGAGCAAGCAGAGGATCTTTTGTTCCTGCTGCTCCTGTTACAAGTGCAGGTACAGATACGGCTACGGAAGATGGTGGTAGATTTACATTCTATCGCAAGCAACGCGAAAGACGCGCTGCTCGTGAGGCACCTGGTAGCTCTTTCGAAAGAAATGAGAGTCAGCGTCGTGTCAAGGATGAATATGCTTAATTGCATACCCTCATCATGATTGCTATGATGGAGATGATACTAATGAGGATGATGGTGATGATGATGATGAGGTTGACAATGTTTGATAACCCATATAGTTATGGGGTCCAAGCGTGGATGAGATATGCACAAGCAATAGGAATTAATGAATACCTTCAAGCGGATTACTTAGGGTTTAATACATACATAAGCGGATGGGGAATGGGAATGGGAATAGGGGGACAGTTAATTGTACATTCATACTCTATTTAATCGGGAAAGCGGTTGTCCTTGTAGTATTATTCTAAGAATAAAATCATCAATTTTTGAATTATTGATTTGAGTTTGGTAATATGAATTTATTAATGAAATCTTTATTATAATAATTTAGAAATTTATAGTTGTATATTAGAAATAATGATTTCTAATAATGATTATACTTGTTATCTTGTTAAGTTAGTGAAGGGTTTGTGATATATTCAGACAGGGCATCAGAGGGGATGATGAGAAACTGAAAGATGGATAGAGGTTTGTGACGCCTCACACCTCCGGGTCACGTGGCATGCCCCGTTTGTATTTAATCATAGGAAAACTCTCTACTCTTGTTTTCCTTCTTCTTTTCTCCTTAGCTTAGTATTTTCTAATACAAGATACTTTACCCAGTATTCTTGAGTGTGACAAGGTTTGAAAGAGAGGTCATGAAATGTGATAGAATAAGATGAGATTAGATGAGATAGAAGGGGATAGATAAAGTATTAAAGATATATAACCTGGTAAATTACATGGCTAGTTAATAATCTTCCCTACCTATCTAGGTAAATACTTCATTTTCGACTCGCTTAATTTGACTCGATTCTTGTCTATATTTTATTTTAATTATCGTGCTCTATACTCTGTACTGCGTACTGTGTACTCTGTATGATTAGGATTACGATTCTTTTTACAAGTTCGTTTGCTATTATTTATCTAGTGCTGTGTTTTTACTTTTTTGTATGTGTATATATATAAGTCTAGTACTGTGACCAAAAGGGTGTTTATAGATCAGCAATTGTATTTAACTTAGAATCTACAGGTGAAGAGCACCTGTAGATAGGGATAGCTACTCTATATATACACAAATGAATAGCCTAGCCGCAATGGCTAGGCAAAAAGAAGTCATATTTAGCCCTTCAATGATCTTACTTTACCGATAACCATTGATACCTAGTACTTGTTCGGATCTGATCCTCAGACCACCTAAATTGTATACTAATCCCGAGTAATCGTATCATGTGTGGACATGGTTAATGTACCTGAGGTTTCTTATATAATAAGGGTGGGAGGAAAGCAGGGGTTTCCGTCACAAGTACCCCCTTTTGTTACGAGGTTTGCCGTCTAGATCACGTGGAAGTGCTCTAGGCTCTCGAGGTGGTTTATAACTAGGCGTCAAGCAGGGACTTAAAGTAATGACAATAATGCAATTCGTAACTAATAGTAGGATATACTAAATGATTGATCTTGAGTACGAAGCTCTATACAAAGGAAATTCGTCCTGACTATATAGACCTTTATTTTTCGTGCATTTTATGTAGGGTTCATCACGTGATTGAATCACGTGGTAATGGGCCTGTGGAGTCCGACGTAACATAGACTTAGGTAGTAACTTGATTAATTATATAACGATCTAGATAGATAGGTAGTTAATAATCTTACCTAGATGTATTGATGCTTCATTTTCCACTCGCTTAATTTGACATGATTCTTGTCTTTATTTTGTTTTAGTTATCGTGCTCTGTACTCTGTAGTCTGTACTGCGTACTATGTATGATTACGATTCTACAAGATTTTTTACTATTCATCTAGCGCTCTTTTCTCACTTTTCTTATACATGAGTATATATTGATTTGTAGGAGTATTACTTTAAATTTCTGATTTTTATTTTTTAAATTTTTTAAATTTTTTTAATAAAAGATACCTATCATAGTAGGTAAATAAATATCTCATCCCCACTGATGATATTGAATAAATCCACCACCGGTACTTATATTTAATTCCTTTCCTCCTCGTATATCGAGTTGTATTAATTGTTTTACTTCTTCGGGGGTATCTCTCCAGGTAGACCATTCTCTTAGTTTTCCGATATTTTCGTCCTTACTCTGTTCTTCTTTTTCGACTTTTTGAGATTCGCTTTCCACTGGGCTTTCACTTCCGTCGTCGCATTTTTCGCCTCGTTGGAGACGGCCTAGTCCGGCTGTGAATTCTTTTAGCCACCAGTGGGCTATGTAACTACCATCTTTTAGTTGGAGTTTTATATCACTGCCCCGTTTTTCTTGCAGTTCTTCGTATTTTCCGGGTGTTTGGAAGAATATTTCATCGAGTGCTATGATTCTCTTCCCGTCTAATCCGCACGCTTTGATTCTATCCCACCATCCTCTCTCCATTATCATGTTCAGTCCAATCCCGTAGCTACTGACGTTTCTTCTTAACTGGACACCTAAACTTGCTATCTTCTCCTTCTCATTCAGCCATACCCCGGGATTTTCCGTCCGGCCTAGAATATCCAAACACATGGCGCGCAATAATTTGATGGTAGCTTCTTCCAACAGATTTACATAACATCTTACGCCCAAGTTGGGAAAAGTTAACAAGTCAATGATGGGATAAATGACGAGTTGGCCTGGACCGTGAAAAGTTATTAGGCCGCCTCGAGGTGTTTGGACAACTTCGGCTCTTTGCTCCTTGCTGTTGATGGTGGTGAATGGTTCGCGAATGGTGGGGAGGTGGGTGGTTGAAATGGGGATTAGAGGCTCGTGAAGAGTTTTGAGGAGGGATTCCGAGAGTGGAGTTTGGAGCTCTCGTCGGCCGGTGGTGTAGACTGGAGTTGATTGGAAGGTGAGGACTGTAGGAGTTGGAGGTGTCAGGTGGGCGTGTTCGGGATTTGATGGCTCTGTTTTTTAGATTAGTTTTGTGGTGAGAGGAGGGAAGGGAGATAGGAAGCAGATATGATAGGATACATACTCTTTTTATGTTCAAGTAGTCTGGATACGAGGGTGGATTGAATAGTCTGGGCAATATGAAATGGTGTCACGCCTCTGAGATGAATGTGGCGGATGAGATTTCTCGGGATGGATGAAGGGGGTAAAGGAATCATGATTAAGTTATCATGAGGAAGGTGATAAAATCAGTGCGAAGAGAAATACCAAAAGAGAGAATGAAAGCAACAAAAGTTGTTGCTCAAATAAGTTTCAAAGGAAAGGAAGAGATTGGACTTGGAATCTTGACAAGGCTGAAAGAAAATGTTATTCCGAGATTAGATAAGAGCTCTAAGTTCGGAGTTGCTCAAATCTCTTTTCTTCTGTTTATACCTTTACCAAAGTGATACAGAGCTTGATACTGGTAGAGGAAACTTCCTTTATCTACTAGATAATTAAATTTCGGAGTTCGACAATGTAGCTGTAGAATAATGCATCGATTGTTTTGTGGTACTAAGTAGGTTTGAGATAAAGTCTAACTTAGAGCTTTTTAAATATTACGTAATCTCATGCGATCATTGCCCCGCCAATCCCGATCTCTCTTTCATTCTGACTACTTCCGCCCCTCTCTCCCATCGGCTCTCATAGAATATCAACCTCAACTTTTCTCAAAGCAACTACAACAAATCTACTTCCAACAACACATTCACATACCACAACCATGACGGAAGCGCCTTTGAATTATGAAGCCTCAGCCGGCGTCACCAATCTCCAAGTCTCAAGAACCTTACCCTCAGAAGTCGTCCAATGCTTAGAAAATGCTAGATTTGTACGTCCTCCCTCACAACCGCGTCTTACTCACAGACAAACACTAATTTAACATGATACATAGTTACATCTCGCAACATGCACCTCTCTTCGTCCTCACGTCTCCCTCATGAACTACACCTATCTTCCCAGTACACCCTGGTCTCCTCATCCTACCATAATAATGACGACGAACCCTTCCTCTAAGAAAACCCAAAACCTTCTCGAAAATCCAAATGTTTCATTATTGGTTCACGATTGGGTATCTCATCGTCCTCCTACTGGGAATAGAGCTTCGAGTCCTCCGAGGAATACTGGGGGTAGAAGTAGTTTGGCGGAGATGTTGATAGGGTTGAATACGAGTGCGATAAGTAGTATTAGTGCGACGATTAATGGGGAAGCGAGGGTGGTGGAAAGGGGAGGAGAAGAGGAAAAATGGTTGAAGGAAAGACATTTGGAGAATTGTGTTTTTCTTGGGGAGGAGGGGGTGAGGGCTGGAGAGGGAGATGGTGGGAGAGTTTTTGTAGAGGGTGAGGAGGTGAGGGTTGTTAGTGTAAAGGTGGGTGATGGTAGGGTTAGTGATTGGAAGGGTGCAGTTAGGGATTGGGTTTTGAGTGGTGAGGGAGAGGGAGAGGGTCATAATGGTGTTGGGAGTGAGACTTTGTTGAATGGAGTTCATTAAGGTGGGTATTGTGGAGTGGGTAAAGAAGATCTAAATTGGGAGTATATGGTAGTTTATGACCATACTTAAAAATTGGTGTCATAGATATGGCAAGGGTAAATATCTATAAAGGCATTTTGGGAGCATTCAAAATATCGGTTCAATTAGTTCTCTAGCCTTTGTAAAATTTCAAAATGGCGTTCTCCTAGTATGAAAAGGAAATTGAATGATCAATCTTGGATCAATACCTTATTGTTTGTGGTTTGAAATCGATCTTCTCGATGTATGTGAGGCTTGATTATTAGCAATTGTGTACATGCTACGGAGTACTTGCTGTTTAGTTTGGGAGTGGGCTAGGACCTAACACTTCTTTTTACACGCACCTTTAATTGTCTTCCTCTCCTCAGAATATATACAATAAAATTTGATACTTTCTACACCCCATCAGCTCGGATTTTATCCAAAGCTGTTTGTCTCTTTGTTTGTTTGTTTTCAATATGTTTACTGTTCAGCTCTTCCAAATCTCCATTTATATAAACAAAAAAGTGAAGAGTGCAGTTACAGCGCTAACATCAAGAATCTGAATTAGGTAGTTTCCGATAAATAATTCCTACAACATCTACTTGTTTAGCCACGTAAGTCTCACATATCCACGATCAATCAAGCATGAAGGAGCCGGGTGTTTATTTATGAAGAGTCATCTGTTTGAGCGGTGGTTTATTGGTAGCAGAACTAGAACTAGAACCATATGATATGATGTTTTGGTAATCTTATAAGGAGTTGCAAACTGCTCGCGATTGATTACTCGGGTATGATGGTACTCAGGGCTACTAGTTTTTTTTGGAAGTCGTGCTATTTTATGGGTATTATGGATTATTGAATTGTAAGGGGTTGTTGGTATGAATGCGGTGGTTATTGGAGAGCTATGAGAATTTCACTCCTGCGCCTTTAATCTCATTCATGGATATAGTGATGAGGCACTTTCTTTTTATCAAAGGCCTCTCTCTCGGCCGTTGAAATTGAATGTTTTGGTCAGTGTGTTTGAGTATGTATAAGTGTATATTCGAGATGTTAGTCTGATATGAGATCTTTTTTTCATCCATCGTTATAATGTCGTGACTGAAAGTTGTGCAGAAATTCGGTCGGAAGATTATGGATCATAGACCAGTATTCTCTGTGAAATCGAATTTCTAGGTCACAAATCTCTGGTCAATTCGTATCTTTGTGTACTTGCGTTTATAAGTTGTGGAATCGTAAGATTACAATATTAAGATTTAGGAGAAGGAGCGGAAAATAGTTAGCTTGGGCACTGTTGCCTTCTCTACACCAAGTTTATAATGTCGATGGTTTGACGGGTGTATTACGTTCTCGATGTATGGAAGTGGTACTTGTCCAGTTGATAATGATTATTTCACTTGAAGGGGGTTGATCTTTTGACACTACTTTGATATAGATCATTTTCATGACCCTAGAATGGGATATTGTCATTTGATCGATTTTAACACATGAAGAAGGAAAATCTCGAAGAAGAATAACTAAGTCATCTGCTGGTGGAGCTGTACCTCGTGTTTTGCTGTGTCCTTCAAGGTTATCTATAAAGTTCCTTTTCATCAGAAATCAAATTCGGATATGATTGGAGTCATCCCACTTTTATGGAACCATTTTGCTATTCACTTTGGACTTTCTTACTTTTCAGTTCATGAGAGAAATCCTGGATTGCAGATTACAAGAACTAGGGAAATAATCTAAAGTTAGTTGCCGGCGATAGCTAGTACTCACATGCCTTTATTGTGTAACTTTCCATCAGGGCATCTAACCAACAAGTAAGAAATATCTTATTCTCAACATTTAGTTTCTTCTTCTTAACCTCCCCTTCCTCTTTCCTTCGAGAGGATATTCTAATCTAGTCTTTGCGTTCCTTTTACTGACTATTCTTCTGGGCGGTATCCTCTGATATCATTCTTTGAGCGCTTTTCAGAGCAGAAAGTCAATTATTCCCTGTGTAGGCGTATCTTGATGGCTTGGTATTGCTCGAGCGGGATGTCTCGCCGGCTAATTTCGAAAAAGACAATCTGATTTTTTTCGAAATATTTCCACTGTCTAGCACATGTTCGTCGCTTCCGTTAGCCAGAATAAAAGTCAGCAAAGTATCCAGCAATATAAACACAAAGTACATAAAAATCTACTTGTCGCCTTCCTTGAAGAGTTCATCTGGCAGGCTGCTCGGGTAAATCGCATATACTAGATCACAATACACACTAGGCATGCAAACCCCACCGGTCATATCGTTCAAACTACGAGGTCCTAGTTCACCAAACATAAGAAACTCGGGTCCGAACGATACCTGATTCGAAAAAGGAGTTGATGGTATTGATCTGCTTTATTTACAAGCCAGAGTGTATCACAATAACTTCCAAATCTTCACACTCTACTTAAGGTTCACCATATTCCCAATTCGTCCTGGCGAGTGATAGGCCGTCTAAAAATGGAATTTACATGGGAAATTCCCTTATGACTCTGGCGAAGACTATTCAGATATCGCCTTTTTAAGTCAGAGATAGGAAGATGGATAAATACATGGTCCTTTCCCCTCTATTCGGGTATCAATCAACTCTTTAGCGCATTTTATAATCTATACATATTCACAAGAGTCATTATTTAAACGACAAAGAATTCAATGAATTTCATGAGTGTAGAGTTTCAACCTCACTATCTCGAATTTGGATGTCTCTTCTCCGTAATTTCTACCATCTTCCAGAGGTTTTCATCTTCATCCCGCAGTCTTTGCATTTCAGATCGAGATGCGCGATCAATTTAACAGGCAATTTAATCATTACAACCTGTGCCCTGTACTTTATTTCCGGACATCTTTCCATTGAGAAAATTCCAAGTTAATCTCGAGTGAATTACGCAACTTTGATATTTTGGAATCGAGAGGATGGCGAGAACGGATACGATTAATCTCATAGTGTTTGTTCTAAGTTACATTTACTTCTTGTAGAGTCCCCAAGAGCGTTTAAACAATTATTTGATATAATTATAAGTCCTTCTCAAGTGAAACGAGGAATAAAGTTTTATCGTATCAGCTTAAAGCTACAGTTCTACACATCCTAATAGGATAGATAGGATTTCTCAAGATATCGGAATATCATTGATCATAATTATTTTCTTCACAGTTCTCTCGTCTATGTTCACTACTATAGAACATCGTTCCACAATGCATATAAGCACACATTTAAAGAACACCACGAAGGGAAGAAAATACTCATAAAGGCATGTTGAATGCCAAATCCCTACATGGACTACATCCCTACTAAGAAAATAAAAAAATAGATACAAAGAAGAGAAATATATATCCAGAAAGAACAACCACCCCAAAATCCAGCCTAATCTCTGAACAGCACTCAAATTCTCATCCCCTGACTCCTCATCCCACCTCATCCCACATCGCGCATCCCCTCTCTTTCAAAAGTCCCCCACAAACCCCCTACTCAATCTTCCCCAAAACAAAACTCACAGCAAACGCATTATACTTCACCGTATAAGTCAAATGCTCCAGCGTATCCACACCGGAACAACAAAACGGATCCCCAAAATCACAATACGACTTCAGAATCGTCGAATAACCCTTCAAAGAAGCCGATTGATCGCTCGAGCGAGGAAAGAGTCCGTTTTGGAAACAGGTGCCTACGTGGAAGGATTGTTGATTGGTCATGTAGCGGGGATCACCCATCTGTTTGTGTGGTGGTGGTGGTTAGAAGGGGTGATTTGGGGAGGTTGGGGGTTGGAGGGAAGGGATGTGGGAGCAATGAGATGGGGAGTATTTACCATAACAGCAGCTTTAACATGGGATCCGTATTTCGCGTAATCGACAGCTGGGGTTCTGGTCCCTAGGAGTCCACCTCCTCCTCCGCCGAGCGTATCACTAATACATTCCGCTATACGAATCACATTAGTACTATATTCTATCTCAACCCAAACCCATCCATCCACACACAACCCATCATATTATCCTACACCTCCACCACAACAAAAGCTCAAAGCTAAAAGACAAAGACAAAAAAAACCCACAACTCACCACCCTGCGAATACCCCAACAAAACGATTTTCTGCTGCGGACACGCCTCCACGGCTGCAATCAAATCCGCCTTCATAGCCGCAACACCACTCGCCACACTAGGTGGATAAGGCGCCAGTAACGCAGGATAAGAAACGGAAGTACGAGTGACGGATTGGGAGGTGCCGAGTTCGATGGCGGAGGCAAGAGTCCCGATTATGCCTTCGCCGGGGGCTTCGGTGGATGCGCGCGCGGTGATGATGCGGATGGCGGTGCAGGTTGTGGTAGTGTTGATGGTGGAGATGGTGGAGGTTTCGGGTGAGGGGTTGGGGAGAGCAGCTGGGATGGCGAGGGTGAGGGGGAGGAGTGGGAGGATTGGGAGGAGAGTTAGGAGGAAGATGGGTGAATACATTGTTTGTGGGGGTATGAATGGGTTGGATTAGATATATTTGGAAAGAAGTCACAATGCGAAGAATCAGAAAGAATGAGAATGAAAAGAATAGAAGAGAAGAGATGAATTTCGATGAGAGTGATATTCCAAACCCAGAGAGATCCATTACTCAAATATATATACTTCAAGCTACCTACTAATTCCACCAACATCGTCATAACCAACCCGCTACCATCGCAACAAATCCCATCCACAAAAACCACAAAAATAAACTCATCATTCTAACATGAAGTTCCGAGGTTTTTTCTTTGGTAGAAAGGATATATGAAAGGGTGAAAAGCGGGACTATTCCTAGCAATCAACATCCTTTTTGCACAGAGCTACTATCCTGCCGTATCGAAGTGGGTACTTAGTATCGAATACTCCACTATATTGCTTTTTCTCACTAGAGAATTTGTTTATATGATTTCTAGATGCACAAAGGGATGAAATCACTAGGAATATGACGCCGAGGTGTTTTTGTTTCGTTGGGCTTTGCAGTGTTGAATGGTATGGCTTGGTTTCCTCTGCACTTTGCATTAGATGTAGGCTGCATTGTGCTAATAACGCGGGGTATTATCCATCCAATGTATATTCTCTATTTCTCTTTCGAGTAAATGCAAGAATCGTATCCCTCCCTATCATTATCATCATCATCATCATCTGGACTATCTATTGAGATTTTTTTGCCATCCCACCTGAATAATAAAAATACCTCGGCGACTTGTTGTCCTGGGAAGAATGTAGGTGTGTCGTTAGGTGACGGAGCAACGAATAGAAGGGAGATGAGATAGTTAGGTTAAGGGGCCATGTGCCATTAAAGGCACGGCATGTACGGATTAAGGAATAATCCCAAAGTCCTAGTCGAAGGAATGACTTTTTTTTTTTGGCACATACAAGAGCCTGAAACAAAACAAGATGCTTCTCCCACATTAGCCAGTGTCAGTCACCATGACAAGGTTACCCCATATTTCGCATGATGATCACCATCTCAATACGACACTTGCATCTAGACCTTAATCCGATGTTATGGAGCAAAAAGAAATCGGGATCATAGATCATCGTTTCTTAAAATAAAAATTCCTCTCTTCATCTCATATAAATGGGATTTTGTCTATTCTAAGCTATGACCCAATGTTTACTTCTCGAAGATGTTTTAGTCTGAAGGGTAAAGTGGAGCCCATTGTTTTTTGAAACTGGATCCCGGAGCCAATCGCATCTAAATGAATGTCTATAAGCTTTTGCAGGACAAAAAAGAAAGAATCATCTGAACTTGGGATGAAATGACTAGCGCCTTTTGCCATGTAATACCGAGGTTTTTTCAGCCATATCAGAAATTCAAAGTGAAAGACATGAAAATATCAGATGATACAATAGAATCAGAGCAATCATATTTGTGATTGGTTCACGGAATTGCTGCATCTTGCATAAGGGTTTTACCCCACAATACGGGCTTCCCCGTAACACGGAATCTGATATATCAAACTGGTAGGGCTGGCGTAGATTGGCGATAAACAAAGTTCTTCGAACATCAATTTGCTTTACATGGTAGCTCAATGACCGAGGTATTCTATTAGTGCTGCTAAGCTGTATGATATATGAACCTGTGATCCCGGATAATGGACTCTTAAAGATTTTACCCGCAGGCGGCGTGCTTCTCCCCACCAAACGACAGTTTATACTCCATCATTCATGAGCCGTAATTCTCGGCATTTTAGCCAGCCCTCCTGTCTTCCTCTATCTCTTACTAGTCAGGGGTCGTCAAAATGAGTGACCTGTCATTGATTCATCGCACCACAGAGTGAACGGCTCTCGACTCATTCAAGTGTCCCATACTAACACCATTAATCAAGCCACTGTCAAGCACTGCCAAATCCCTCAGTATAGTTGCATAACTTTTAGCTGGTAGTGATAAGATCTATAATAGATCTAGAAAAGTTCTACAGCGAGACAAGTTGCCTCCACTGCGGTGGGGCCAAATTGCTGAGGACGATTTGGTTGTGGCTAGGGTTGGTACCAAAGCCGGCATGATAGGTTATTGCAAATAAAAGAGATTCAATCGATTGCTTCCGTAGATAATATCTAGTAAGCTAATCGGTTTGATATTGTAGTTGACAGGTCGAAAGTGCTTCAATAAGAATAAGTGATGATTCAGGATGTTCAGCATGACTTTTTAAATGCGGTTTTATCCAACCAGTCGCAACATTTTGTTGTCTCGCTTATCCCAGAATGTCCATGTGTAGACTTTTAGCCGCATGCCTGCGCGCTAATTCGAAATTGTGTTCCCGTAATATTTCGATCAAAAACGACCTTCAAGGTGATATTTCTAGTCGATTGATCTAGATGATATTCTTTGAAAGTAATGTAGGCACAGCGCGTGGTTTAGAACTATATATCAATAGACAGGATCTAGATAATCACTAAACGTGGCACTGGAAGGTGCCACAAAATCTCAACCTTCAATAATTGAGCAACAAATTCGTACATAAAATAAGCATTTTATTATCGCATGCCAAAATATTCGAACCTATTCATACATCAGTTTTTACGTCTCACCTACCGGAGAACTTAGACTTACCAGTCTGCGACGTCAAGAGTATTAGGAATCATTTGTTGGAAATCCGGTTGTATCCACGTGGTCATCGGCTCATTTAGTATGTAATTCATGTCCCCTGAAAAGGTAGGATCCTGGTATTGAACAGTTTGATGTACTGAATTCGGTATTGTACCAGTAGGGCATATAGCATCAGGGATGTAAAATTCGTTTTCATGGTGCATTGATGGAGCGGGCTGATGTTTGGCTTGTGGCGCGGGTGGCACATTAGTACAGGAGATACCGTCGTTATTACTACCTGACTTTTGACCTTTTTTAGGACTACCTATGCCCGTACCTGATATAAAACCCAGAGTTGCTTTTTGGTGTGCAAGCAAGGAATGCGTAAGTGGAAGACTGTTTTCTTTGGATTCTCCAATTGATTTCGATCCATGTAAAGGATTTCCAACGAAGCCAACGGGCACTTTATAATTTTCGAATCCTGCCGCCTTCAGAATGCTTTCGAAAAGACCTTGAACCATTTTAGCGACTAGCCATATATCAGAAAGTTTCTCCAGAGCAGACATGCAGATGGAAACTCTTTTACGCGCTTCGGTTATTTCGAATGACGAATGAATCTGTAGCTCATAGATGTGCATGATCAAGGCCGACAGTAAAGAATATATTCTAAAATGCGTTAGCAATCACCCTAATTCTGCTTGGCACGGATTTTACTATACAAGAATGGAGGAGCATGCCTCAGTTCGTTCCGTGAAATCATATGTTCTACGATTGAAGTCATTGCTCTTGCAGATTGAAAAGCAGCGTGTTGTGAAACATCGAGCTTCTCCCGGAGTTCCGATGAAGATTTAACGGATGGCAAATATGCTCGATACAAAAGACACCTTGTAGTATGGTAGACCAAACACAGATAAGAGGACCAGAAATTATTATTGCTGGAGGGATTCCATCGGATCTGCCTTGGGCAATTTTGAAGCCACTCATTCAGAGCTTGATCACAATTTTGGAGTATGACCGAGTCGTTGCCCTGCTTCTTGGATCGTAAAGAGTAATGTTGAAAGAGTATCTCGTCCATGATCTGGCATATTTTCACATATTGAAGAAAGAATTGCACTCGTATTTCAACTCCAGGTTCAGTGTGATCATCGGCAAAATCTTCTTCTCGAATCATTTCTATATCGGAATCTTCCATATTGATGTGTGCCGGGCGTCCAAGTGCGGTTGCTACTGATTGATCTCTGATGTACAAGGTCCACCATATCCTTTTCCAAAGCCTTTTATCAGCTGGACTGAGACGAGAACCACTTGGACTACGATGCATTCCAAAACCTTGAGCAATAGTGGTCGCGAGTCCATTCCAGTAGAAAACGTTTTTTGTAACAACGCCTGGCTCCTCCCAATACTATTATTGAATTAGCATTTCCTTTTCTTGTATGAATACTAGGTACCATAAACGCACCCATCCTAAATGAATAAGTGCCTGGACTACGATAACTCTATCTTCCTCATAATCAGCATCATATAGGGCTTTTGCTCTTTTATAAAATAGTGTCGCAGCGGGAATGGGAGAACCACTGGCATCTAGTAGCATGGATGTGGTACAAACTCTAGATCCAGCCAACAAGACTGCCTGCATTAATAATAAGGGGGGTGGATTGTCAAGGTCATGCCATCTTTGCATGAACCACGATTTATTAATGATTGGAATAACCGGAGCTACCCATTTAAAGTATGCGTCAATCAATTCCTCACATAAATCTCTAGGTGGGAGTTGTAGTGCACCTCGCTTTTCAAGGATATCCATCTCTTCCGCATTCATTTTCGTAGCCATGTATTGATTAGCGGCGTCCTGCGGCAAGGGATAGTGTACAGCGTTGGTCGTGCCATAATAATCTTGCATGAGAATTGCCAAAGATGATTTTTCGTGCAAGTACGCCACTTTCCCAGGGTTTTCAATTGCAGATGACGAGACTGGTGGGCTTATTAATTTGGCGTATTGTTTGGTACTATCTGGTTGTTGCTTAATATGCTCGTCAGCCTGAAGAATCAGAGAAGCAAAATCGTTGTGATTTGATGCCACTGGTTGAGGAAGCCCCATATCTCCATTTCCTTTGCTGTCACGCTTGTCGTCGCCATTGTCACTTGGATGATTGTGCTGTTTGGCTCTGCATTTATGTAAGAATACAGCCGTGTAGAGCAGACTAGCTTCGAACATATCTGGACTGAACAAATACTGACATTAATAGAGCGGACCTCTTTCGTCCATTATCGGACGTTCCCCCCCTGCTCGAGTTCTTCTTTCGCGGAGGTATACTGCAGTCGAGAAAGAATGCCTCACAGTTCGTACATGGAATTCCGCGGGATCCAGCGTCGCATCGCACCTTGATAGTGTTAATGATATAGTTTGAAGTATCTTTGAATGCGCGGATTCATACTCTTCGCGAATGGCACATCTATTGATACGAGTCACGTCAGTATCGGTTATCATCTGGAGGATATATTTCTGATGGCACTTACCCCGCATGCTCGACCAGCCCGAGGTCTTGATTGATCTGTCAGCAACCTAATGTGAAGCAAGCTTTAACAATTGAGCCCTACCTTCGAAAGGTCCGCCGACATGGCAGTGGGGTTGGCTTTGTCTTGATATTCTTTGCTTGATCTTCCGCTTCACTATGATTCCCCATGTACGCATTTTTCGAATCGAAGCTTTGGGGTTTAGGAGCAAGCTGGAGATCTGTCGGGTGATTCATCGTCGAAAAGATCGTTCTCGAAGACACAACCTAGAGGAATTCTCTTGATATGTTGTCATTATGGATAAGATCCTCAATTGACAATGGCAATATACGGCCAACATGGGGATCCTAGTATAACTTTTAGTGCTTTGTTAGGGGACGATTTTAGTGTGAGGCGTGGGAGTAAGAAGGGCCAAGCCTTAAAACCCCCGGGCATCATGCATATCCCGGAAATTCATGGAGTACAGTAGTCTTGGTAAGAGAACAAAATATCGCGTGGGCACCGAGGCTCTATAAATGAATGTGAAGATCATTTTCTGGAGTTTGTTGTGTGCATCGAATGAAGGATATCGCAAGATCAAGGGTGCGGAAACTTTCCGGTGCGATTGTTGCAAAAGAGTGGTGGATCTAAAAACGGATTGTTCCGCGGCGACTCAATATTGTTGCATAGTTCTACGAGTACTGTAAGACTTATATCACTGCACGAAATATCATTATCATTAGACATTTTACTCGTGTAGGTTATTTTGACTAATCCCAGTTCTCATCCGCAATTCTCTCCTTTACCATCAACCGCACATGTTATATTTTGCATCATCATCGTACTCCATTAGTCTACTGGCTTCTCCATCCCAGCTGTTCCACATATAACTCAGCCTCGAAAGAGAGACTCATTTGATACAATTGCTTCCACTATCTCCCAACATGTTGCTTGGGTGTCAATAGCAGGGTGACCCGTCTCAAGTAGAAATGCAACAAGGTCTTAATAATCAAATCTCAACATGAATGAAGTCTCGACCTGAGGTTTGGATTAATTGATATTAACTGGGTATCTAAGTAGACTGTCTATAGAGGTATCGAAAGCCATAGGTAAAAGAAGCTAAAGGCAGGGAGGAAAGAAAAGTAGTACGCCATCAATAAATCTGCAAAGATTTCCCATTCCCCCCAACCGAAATCTTACTCTGTCTCCCTCCAATAGCCGTTCTCGCATCTGTCGTCGAAGGATGCACTGCGCATTGTTCCTGGACTCCCCCTCCATTTCCATACTCATCCCCATCACTCTGATGCGCGTAAGTCGTCGGCCTATTCATTTCCGTAGTATCCCTAGCAACAGCATATTGATCAAACACTTCCTTGATCAAAGCGTCCACCTCTGCCTCACTCATCGTTTCTCCCCATCCAACTGCTAGCCTAGTATCACATTCTTCGATAAAGTCTTGAACTTTCCGCATCTCGAATTCGTCTTTGCGTAATCGGTCGGGTAATCCTTGACTCTTCAGTATTCCAAGAACTCCAGCTAAACAACTGTTGGCAACACCCAGTACAGTAACGGTCTGCGGATGTGTCTTTGATAGCTCGCCAAAGGAAGCGAGAACGCCACCGATGACGAGCTGAGAGAGAATAGAACAATAGTACACGCCCTCGATTAAGTGGTATTGTAAAGAGAACGTGCGTTGCTGAGAAAGAACGGACTTGTAAACCCCATAGGCATTTTTACGTAGACCTTCCAAATCGGAGGGTGGAGAATCGGTCGATGAGGCTATAGGAACATTGATGCCGATTGCAAGACGAAATCTGAGAAGTGCGGGCGAAATGGATAGGGTTGAGGATGAGGAGGGTGATTGAAAGCGCATGGGAGTATGTTCAGATAAGAGAGGAACGTTTTCTGAAGCCATTTTGGACACTCTTTTACGACACATACTGCGTTTATCCAAGGATTTATTTATACTTGATGATTTACTGAGGCAAAAATAGATATATGGAGCTTTCATTTATCCTGCCTTACTCTCATTGATAACGATGGAGAAATAAGGTTCACGCGACTACATCATGATTGAGTCTCAGAACGTGGTCGCGATCAAGGTGGTCCACCTTCTTTAGTATTGTGGAGGAATTCATGGCCCTCACTTCTCTATCAAAAGATAGCCTCCTGATGTCCTGGTCTGATATCAATAGAACCAAGACATTCAAAAAGTGGATGTTGATATGAAGTATTTCTATGGTTGTATTGGAGGGGTCGTGACGAATCAAGGCCTAGACAAGCCTATATTACAGCTCCGGCAAATGCCGACCAAGGTCACGGTTAATCCTAACCACTCAAATACTTTCTTTCTCCTTCAGGGTATGCAGAGTACGGAGTATATGCAACGATGTACCACGAGACGCTGAGCTTTCCACATGAAATTATCATATCTACCTTATGATTAGATAGTACCACTATATCACAACGATCACAAGTTAAGACATCTTATCATATACTTCGAAATGACCATTCTATAGACCTTTAGACTCAGTCTTGTTCCAAAACTTACACCACTCATATGACCTTGTTTACTGCCTTTGTAAAAGTGGCCATTTTTTAGACTCCACCATGGAAACACATCATTCGCAATCGTAATATCTTATTTCATGGAGCTTAACGGTATATCGAAAGCCTGGTAGTTAATGGAGATTAATCCATGAATGGATTCAGGACGGAAAGGGGTAAGGTAGGATATGATGATAATGATGTTGGACTTGAACGTGGGGTTTACGCTGTGGATGGTTTTGTTAGGGTTGGGATTATGGAATGGATTGGGGATTTGGGATTGATGATTGAATGGATAGATATTGTGTTGTAGTGGTTAATGTATTATGTATGATCTTGTCTATGCTAAGGATTAGACAAATTCCACGGGTTGGATTCGAAGGTTAATAGGAAGGCATAGTATTGCTGGAAAACATTTGATGGTGAGCTCGAAGTGTGAGATATAAACGTGACATAAATCTTCACGGCTAGATGAGAATAGGCTATGTTACGGTAGTGTGGTCAATAGATATCATATCATTTAGTAACTACAGGCCGCCAGTATCTTTGACATCCATTTAGTTCATCACTCTGCGCATGCGTAATACCGTTCTTAAGCCAGCCTTGTCTTCATATCGTGAGTCCTTGCCCGATCCGAGAAACCAAGATGTCTAAAGCTACTGCCAGTATGGAACGCGATGGAACAACCCTGTCAATCCATGAGGGGTTCGAAACTTTGAAATTCTCCGCCAATTAGCACCTGCAAGCAAAGAAAAACTGCCAAAATGCTTCATGTTTCTTGTCAAAACCTCCTCATCGTCATGGCAGCCACCGAAAAGGTCCAGTGGGAAGTCAAAATCTCCATTTATACTTTCCTCAAGAGCGTAGTTGCGTAACAGAGGTAGAGTATGAGCATGGTAATCAGTAAAGATACAAACACGAAAAAGCGATTCTGATCGGTTACAAACGACTGTGGTTGAAGAACTGGATAATAAGTCAGTGATCTGGTCTCGAGTGGATGATTTACAGAGACGAACTGGATGGCCAAGTTTACCTCCTAGAGACGGACACTGCATCACCCCATCAGGCTCATCAACCAGGTGTACAATAACTGATTCCCAAGTGGGACTGGGCTTCTTGTAGTTTTTCCAAGGAAACAACTGCGCAAGCAGACATTTTGACCCCACTTCCTTCGTCCATACATTACGAGACCTCATGATGTACATTTGCCAGAGATAGATGCACATTTTGCTTCTTAACTGCCGTGACTATTCGTGTTTGTTCTGCTTTGAAGTGGTCAGCATCCTGAAGTTATCAGAGCCACTCGATGATTATAAAAAGACTTCTTACAATTTTTATGAGATTGCTTCTGAGATTGGTGTTATCGAAGGTGTTCAGGTCCAGAGTTAAGGTATTGAAGTTTCCTAGATAGTATCTATCATTCATGGGTACCAACACTGGAACTTCTCGATCGAACTTGGGTGTACGGTGCTGAAAGAAATGGTGTGGTAATTCAGATTCATCGGCAGTTAAGACACATTCACTCACTGATGAATGAATGATTTGAGGTGACGAAAGCTTTTAATGACTCAGTTGGTGTTTGTGATACTCTCGTCTGTAACATTTTGCCGTTTTATTTGCCTCGATATATCTTCAGGCCTTGTGAATGGCTCTTCCTATTTACAGGAAATAACGCCAAACTGCGGGCCATATTATGAGTCAACATAAGAGCCAAGGCAGCTGCGTTATACTTCGAAGCGTGGCTGTTATCTAGACAAGTAGCATTGCGGGAATCTATACGAGTCGACTATTGAACCAACAACCTCCGCTAAAGCCCCCTTGATTATCGCATTTTCCTTGAATGCGCTCATAATCCCAAGATGATTTTTCCGGCTACAGATCCACCCTATCATTTGCTTGTTTCGTGCCTTCTTTCATGACGAGTGCATCGCGGCTGTTGCCCTTGACACCAACCTTCATATCCCTGGATTTGTTATCTTCTTTCCAATCATAACCAACTCTCTCGACCTGTTCCCAGTCATCTTTTGCTAGATCACCGTCTGGTGGTTCTACCGTCTCCCATTCACCGTTGGATCGAACCCAGACAATCTTATCGAAACATGCTGGACAGATAAGACCTCCTTCAGTATGCACTTCGACTTTACCAGTACAGGTTCGATGATCTTGTGTATATAGGGCACACCTCGTTCGTCGGAGAGGACGATGATGGCAGTTGATATAGGTGGAGAAGTACGTAGTGCACATATCGTCGCTATTTGGGTGTCGCAGGATGTTTGAATGATTGTAAATCTCTTCCTTAGGGTGATACTTCAGCAAGATGATGACGATGACGGTCACGAACGGGCGTCAAAGTCAATCTGAGCGCGAAGTCGCAAAACGAAGGTAATGCATCCAATATATGTATGTCGCATCCAAAAACCAATCCTTCGTAGATTTATTAGTTTTGTTTGGTATCTGTCCAAAAGTAGCAAGATGCTGAATAACGAAAATGGTTTAATTGGGTTATTGCAATAGCAACTGAAGGTACGGGTTTCTGGTTCAGCACACTTAAGTAATGTGATTACATTATGCATGTGACCATTTAGCACTCATGACATGATGTATAGTATGGTTGGTAATTATGACCAAAGTTTACCAAGTAGAGGGAGGCGTCGATGGTGATAATAATGACGATATTTTGACTATTCTCAGGTAAAAACAATGATGAAAAAATGAGGTTGGAGTTCTGAAGGAAGTGAAATGACAAGTGAAGAATGGAGTGAAATGACGAGTGAAGGATGAAGAAGTTGAAGTCCGTGCTATATGATGCATATCTTATCTTGTTTCTTATCTGATTACGGTTACCCTTACATTAGGTAGGTACCTTACGCTAAGGATAATTATGGGGATGCAGAAACAGAAAACGCGCCAACGCGCCAACGCGTGAATGAGCGGGCGGCCGCTAGTTCATCTTGACAACCTCGGTCAATGTTTCGGGGAAACTGAGTACTTGTCGAACATTCGGGATTTGCCCATTTCAATCGATTTCATTTATAGTTAGATATCTCATTCATCAGTTTCAATAAGGAAGGTGCGCCTCGGGTAGCCATTTGTACTTATTGACAATGGCAGACGAACCTTCTTTGCCACGATTGATAAGAGACAATACATCTTCTACCTTTGCCAAAACAAACTTGTCGCGAAAACGCGTCCGCGGTTCACCTCCCCCTGATTCAAGCGACCCTCCAATATTTTCTAGCGACGACGACCCTTCGGTAGAGAAATACACACAGAAGCGACGGAAGCAAAGATTCAGAGGTCCATGGTTCGATCAACAACTAGCTTCCGATTCTGCCCTTGAGGATGAACCTTTAGATCGCAAAGTTCCAATCAGAAACAAAAGAACGTTTAGTAAAAAGGTGGATAGCGGAGTATTTATGGGAAGTGATGGTACGGACTTTGAAGACATAGAGATGGATAAGGGGAAGAAGTTATCGCCAGCGGACCATGTTCCTGTGCCATCACCACTAAAGTCAAGAATCGCTATCAACACTCCACGAGATGTTCATGCCCAGAGGAAGATTGAGAAGTGCCTTGAAGATGGAGAAGAGTATATTGATTTATCGTAGGTGAAGACTATCTTGCATTGGCAGTTCAAGCTAACCATAATCAGCCGCATGGCCCTTGATCATCTTGAAAACTCTACGATACGTCCTTTGAAAAGTTTCGTCAAAACCGCGCGTACTCACTCCGCTTTGAATGACACAACCACTCATGTTTATGACGGTTTCGAGCCTTCTTTAAGAATCATCCTCTCAGGAAACACTCTCACTAAACTTCCTGCAGAGTTGTTCAACCTAAATCGATTAGTTTTCCTGAGTTTACGAAGTAATGAATTACAGGAGATACCACCTGCCATTGGAAAACTGAAACTTTTAGAGGACTTGAATATTGCTTATAACAAGTTGGGATATCTGCCTTATGAGATTCTTGATCTTCTTGTCCGGGGGGGAACATTATATGACTTTCAATTACATCCGAATCCATTCTACTTGCCGATGGCAAGACTTAAGGGCGGTGAGAATGGTGCAACTCATTTTGAGATCGATCTCCAACGCAAGCGGCCATGGCCATTGATGAATCAACCATTTCCCCCTCCAGAATACGTTGTAACTTTACATGGGGATCCTAATATGCCCGGTCCTATAAACCACCAGTGGCATCAACGTACTCCTATTTCAGGAAGACCAATCTCAGGCGAGAAATGTTCCTTAGCATATCAATGCAGAACAGAAGTCAGATTTCTTAATACTTTTGGACAGTGTATAAAAGGCCCTATGTTTCCTTCAGATCCTCAATGGAAAGACGCTGAAGGGCACGTCCAATTGCCCGTCGCAGATATAAATGATATCCCAGAGCCTCCTGAAGTCCAATCACGCGTTCCGAGCTTGATCGAAAAAGCTTTGCAGTCTTGCATTCGAAGTCCTGAATTTCTACGTCTCGAATCTTATCTGGAATGTATACCTCCTAGCATGCCTTCTCTACTTCGAAGAGCGGAGAATGTTCATTATTCTGGTCCTACACTATGTACTATCTGTGACCGCAGCTTCGTTGTTCCGCGAACTGAATGGATAGAATGGTGGGAGATTGAAAAGGTATCGAAAAAGGATCGGTTGGATGCGGTGACCAATGCTGCAAACCCACGCGTGGAGAATGAGAGGGATACTGTTGAGAAGTTGGTGCCCTTGATTCGTAGGGGTTGCAGTTGGTTATGTCTGCCACCAGTATTTTCCGATGATTCGCCTCAACCGTCCCACGGAGAAGACGAAAATGTCGAAAATGAGATAAGTGTGGCCACTAATGTTTGATTTTTATGCTCTCCATCATTACGGCGATAGTAGTCGCTGATTTGTATAAATTGTACAAAAATTGCATACTGGCAGCAGGCGTCGGGTACGGTGGGGCATTTGCTTTGTATTTATATTAGATGGTCTAGCTCGAAGGCTTGAGCTTAACAGCATGTTCAGGTTGACCCCTTGGTAAATGGATCAATTCAGCGTACATATATTTCAAATGCGATGTTTTTTTTTCGCGGATTCACTTTTTTACGACTGCATTCAGTGAGGCTTAATGTTTATTTTCACATGACCTGCTGTCTCTAGTGATTTAGAAACGATGGGTTGTGTATCGGATGCAATGCATTGACTTTATGGTTCCATGAAGCTCTTGGAGCCCGGTGGATCATAATGGATATTCCTAGTGATAACCACCTCTTTCTCCTAGTGCCTCACTTCCTTTCTAGATGCCTCATTGGCAACTTTGAGTTATCCCTACCAGGTTCTTAGTGCTTTTAGAGCACCATTTCTTCCATTTATTCCTTTGGTGGATTTTGGTTGTTTTAAATGAATGGAAGTCCAGCTGCTCGTTCTGGGACTTTCCTTCATGGTGTTTGGGTATTGAAGCTGTCTTGCGTCTACTTATTCTACGACTTAGATGTTTAGCGTGCCAAGTGCCGGACGGATCATAACGAGTCTTCCGGATTTCGCACAACAATTCCCATAGTCATTTGTGAAGTCAGAGGTATACTATTTCTTTGCCGTAATTGGTAGCCATCGAGCTGAAGTGTTTGAACAATTTTAAGTACTGGCCGCAGCTAAGCTATTTCTGGTATGTGCTGAATCATCTAAATGATCTAGAACAGGCAGAAAGATTACGGCTCATGTGGTCATGTTGCGATAGATGGTACTTATTAAGTGTAGCATAGCTCGCGCTGCTGAAGTATAGTGAGTATGAGGGATTCCTATAGCCTTGTTTTCTTTTTTTGGTGAAGAAATTGTCCCATCCATCACTGTATTTCCGGTCGCGGAGGTTGCTGAAAAGTTACTGAAAAGAAATTTTCTGCGTAATGCAACGCGTAAATATAGATTGTTTGCAAGTGCAGTGTCTCAAACCACCAGATATCCTGATGTAAGCCATGCCAGCATCGAAATTATCCCAATTCATTTCCCATCAAAAGTCAAGGAGCAATAGTGACTAAAGTCGCAACCCAATCCTTCATACGATCATATCCATTCATATAACCCTCCACATAATACTGCTTAAACAGCATATCCTCATCAGCAAACTCCAAACGAATCCTCACATAGACCCACGCAAAATTTCCCACATCATCATCATTTCTCTCCCATCCCAAAGTAACCCATTTATCCTCAACCTCAAGCACCAAACCCGCAAGACGAAACTGCGGACATCGATCTTCCATTCTAGCAGCACTGCATAATTCTACCGCATCATCCACTTCAAAAGCAGTTCGCGTCCAATTTTTGCCTTCGTTGATGGAGAGGTGTCCGTGTAACATGTATCCCATGCCGATTTCGAGTTCGGCTTCGCCACGTCCGAGTAGAATGTTTTCGTCTTTCGGCCAGTGGGGAACTTCGAATTTGTAGGCCCATGGTTGCCCTTGGTGGATGCTTATGTCTTCGCCGTTGTAGATATCGATTAGTGTGGCGTTTACGACCATGGCGATGTTTGTGTCGTCGTTTTTGTTGTATATGACATCGTCCATAGTGGATGTGGGAAGGTGAACTGTAAGTTGTTTTTGGAAGGTTTGTTGCTTGGGATGGTTACTATAGTTGACGTATTGCAAGGTAAAGATTTTTGTGACACTCTTTTCATCTCTTGGTGAAGTTCGGTTTTTTTTTGTTTGTGTTGAATTAGGCAAGGATAAGGATTCACTGTTTTTCTACTCTAAGCTAGAGCTGTCGTTTATAATAGAGAAGTTTCTATGGTAAATAATCCCTATCCGAAAAAACTTTAGATCTTCAGTTATTCACAGAATACCAAAATAATTTAAAGCGAGGAATTTTTCAAAATTAACATATTCACATCATAAGCAATGCCAAATTATATCTCTAAAAGTTAATCATAATGAAACTAAGCACTGCCAAAGACCCCTACGTCTCTATAAAAGCGCACTTCCTGTCGTCGTATACCGCCCAACTTTCATACTTCTACCCATCTCCAAATATACCCTCAATCTTCCCAAAATCCACAAATCCAACCTAAATCTTCCATTTCCCACATCTATCATTCAACTATAAACATCTCGATCCAACATGTCTTCACAACCACCACCGAATGGTCCCGGTCGCGGTGTAAGCCAACTGTATCCCACACCTCCAGTCCTTGGCATGGTATCACAAGCACCTCCTGCCGATACACCTGCACATGATGTGAGCCAGCTTTATGCATCCACTAGTACTTCTCATGCCCAGACTCTCAAAACTCCTTCTAAAGCACCATCGGCTACTGCTTCAAGTCAGTCTCGTCAGTTAGCAGTTAGAGCTTCTCAGGTTCAGCCTCAGCAGGCATCTGTACGAGTCTCACAGGCTCCGTATAATCAGGCAACAGCCAGAGCGTCTCATGCTGCGACGCTAAGAGGTGCGTCGAAAGCGCCGTCTCATCAACCGTCTGTTAAACCTTCTCATGCAGCGACTCTTAGAGGTCCGTCTCAAGCCCCACCCCATCAACCATCTATCAAACCTTCACATGCCGCTGCTCTCAGAGGTCCCTCTCAAGCCCCACTCCCTCAAACATCAACTCGTGTCGCAAGCCAGTATCATACCACATCTTCTCGAATGCCAAATGGCCAAGCCTCCATCAGTGCAAATAACGGTGCCACAGAGCTTAGACATGATGTTTCCCAGCTGCCAACAATTATGTTACAAGCTCCATTTGATCACAAGACATTAATCCAACGCGACACCACCCTAATCGCTCAACCCACGCTTCTCCAACGCGACGCATCTAAAATGCCATTCTCCACGCCAACCATAAAAGAAGCCAGCAAAGCCCCCACCATCACCCCCTCTCAAAAATTCCAAAACCTCTCCAGCGTCCGAAGTATCCTACACTTACCCGTCGATATACAAATGGGCCAGTCGACAAAGCACGATCAACGAAATGAAAGGACCCGAGCGCAAAGCTCAAGAACGAGTGGTCCTTGGGCAAACTCGGACAATTGGATACTGGATGTCCGCAGAATTATGGATGGTCTCGTCAGAGCGATGGTTATATTTGTGATGGGGGAAGTCACTATATTACGGATTTGTTATTGGCGGAAGGTATGGGTGGTATGTTTGTGGTGAAGGATAAACATCATTGGCAGGATCGGAGTCAGGGGCCGTATTATTGGGCTGGGAAGAATGATCAGGGTAAGAATCTTTTTATGAAGGTTACGGATCCGAAAATGGGATAGGATGGGATAGGCATTTTGTGGTTGGGTATAGCTTAAGCTGAGGTCTTAGAATGGTTGGGCTTGCATTGGGTAATCGATGTGTTTACTATTTTTCTGCTGCTGAATTGATGTGTGATTAAATATGAAAGTTCACAACTTTGCGATAGTATAAGTGATTCATTCTTCTTCAAGCTAGCTGCAAAATTACAAATGCCATTCTATTGCTTTTTTTTCTACCTGAATCTTCGAAGATATGTAACATTCTTACTGGGGATCTAATTTCGGGTCTGAAGTGAAGAATTTTATCGGAACACTCTGAAAACCATACGTTTTGAAATCCACGCTTTCTTCCTCCAACTTCTGCACCTTCTCTCCAAGTCTAATATTTTCACTCTTCAATCTCTTAATTTCTTCTTCCAGCAGCTCTGCACTAGAGTTATCCGTCTTCTCTAAAAGCACAAGCGTTGGCATACTTTCCCCGCATGTGTTTGAGGAATCATTTTCCGCTTCCGATATATCTACTCCAATCATGACCATAGTCTCGAAAGTGCGCTTCAACTCCATTTCTAGCTCATTCAACTGATCTTTGGACGTCTTCACTCCCCCCTGTAATCTCAACATCTCTTCCTCTAGCGTATGTATACTTTCTACCTTCACCTTCGCCATCCTCCTCCTCAGGTCTTGAATCTCGACTGAAAATATCCTACTTAAAATTTCTCTAAATACTCGAAAATGACATGCGAGATCGTGTCGGACTCCTGGTGAGAGTGGTAGGTGATTTGAGATTTCCACTGCGGTATATTAGCCATAGGATATTGATAATGAGAATTCTGGTGTGTGTAGATCACCTGCATATTGTCCTCGAACAGTGCTCTCAACAATCGTACATTCAGCGCATTTCTTGCCAGAGTCTCGATGGCCATCGTGCGGTACAAATAAAACGTGTCCGTACTGGGTGTAGAGACAACATTTACACTGGCATTTTGCTGGCTGGGCAATATCGCATTTGGTCGAGGCGAGACATTTTTGCAAGAGTTTGACTGAGGCGCCATTTTAGTTTGCGTTTCTTTTCTTCCACATTGAAGACTTGATAGCTTACATTCGAGGTCTCTCGACTCTTGACCAAGCTCCAGAGCAATGGGAACAGTTAATTTCTGAGGCGTGATTTTAGCATCATAAGTTCAATATTAGACCGAAGTGACTTGGTACTCACATTCTCAAAATCATCATTCTTAATTTCTGTAAACTTCTGCTTTTTTGATGGATGCTCTTCATGTACCTCTGGAATATCACTCCTCAAATCCATTTTGGACATCGTAGAATTCTAATTCAAGTAGCGAGCGACATGCAGATGAACTCCCTCAAAAATGACAAACAACCGATCCCTAAGATGAAATTCTAAAATCACAATCAACAACGCGTTCGTTTACTTCAGAAGAGGAAAATACTTAGTTTTCGTGTTTTGAAACAATTCCATGGATCTCTGCATGGGAGGATTTGCGGCGCCAATCAATAACGGCCAAGGAGAGCCGAGTTGAGCCTGCTGCAAGCCTTTGTGCAACTGTGGATCTTCAGGGTCCATCTGGACCGTGAAATTAAATACAAAATTATGAGTCAGCTTATTTCTGATGTCAACAGATATTCAGCCTAGGTAATAGATCGCCTTTTTTGTTGAGAAATAGTATTCCAGCCCTATGATATTGTAAAGAGGTGGATTTTAGATCACACTACTTGGATGGCCGCGCACTGCAACTTTTCAGTATGTTTCTACAAGCCTCAAGCCAAGTATCTTTGTCCCTGGCATCCAATTCGCCATTCTCAACTTCTTCTAAAAGCACCTGCACATCATTCATTGTCCCTCTAAGTCTTCGGACCTCACAGTTCAACTCTTCGCTCTCGATGATCAAGCTCTCAATTTCTCTCAAAGTACTTCTCTTCACGGCGTCTCGAAATCTGAACTTTAACTCATCCTGTGCTGCACCATAGTTAGTGTGATCAAGTCGTGTGTATTGAGAGGAGATTTAACTCACAAATTTGCCCACCCCAATCACTAAAGCCCTGCTCTATTTCGTCGTCCATCTCCTTAGAGATGTATTTGAGTTTCTTCGGTTCGACTTTTTCTGCATCATTTGTCTCTTTGTCAACCATTGAATCATAATCGCGATTACGCTTTTCTTCCTCAAGCTTATGAGAAGATTCCGGAATCAATGGATCGGAGTACTCTGGAATCTCTCGTTGACTCTTATTATTCGCCTATTCTCCTTTAGTATTTGCTATAAAATTCCATGGATCATTTACCTTACTCGTTTCTTTGCATTGATGCGACTACCTTTCACCTCAGCCATCGAAATATTGCCTTCAGTAAGTAGTCTTCCGAATGGTATGATATGTCTCGCACAATACCCACAACCAAGTTTAATTTCTGTGCAAGTACAAGCTTGTTGAAGGTTCCATGGCATTCGGATTGACAATCGATTTTCCTACCCAGAATTGTGAAGTTAAAGATTAAAGGATCACATTAACATTAAAATCTGACTAGGAAATTAAACAATGGATTCGCAGATGATTACTTTTTAGATCTACAGTGTCATTATGCTTTACAAAACAAAAGCAAAGTTTGAGTACTGAGTCATTATGAGTTATATGTAGGATTCCGAGCGAATTGCAACCAAAAGAAATTGCTTTTTCCTAGGCACCATCCATGAGGCACAGTTCATGCTCGTCTACCCCGCTGAAATCTTTTGTATTAATTTCACCAAGTCGCCAAGGTCCAGTTTTCTGTTCAATCCAGCGGTTTGAAAATGGCTACCTGCGGCGGGATAGATCACGAAAATGAGCGTGAGGAGAAGGGTGTCAAAAGTGAGAAGAAAAGAAAGTACAGGTCTCCCAAAGAAATTAAACCTAAGACCGAAAGTAGAGATGATGATTTCTACTCGGATGAGGTGAGAATCCTTTTCGATGAAGTAATAAGAGTGCTAACCCTTTTGTTCATAGGAAGAATATCCTCAAGTCCCGAGTCTTCTTTCGACGGGCACAGGCAGATCTAATTATGGAAGCAACACCTTCATGAAGAGTGACAGTGAAGACAACGCACAATTCAAGAAAGCCAAATTCACAGTTACAAGTATGTATTCTATTCTTAACATGGGAAACTTCCCTCGCTGACCATGTAGAATTCCCACAAAGAGAAGTTTGTGCCGTCGTTAAACCATCTTCCAACCTCCGTCAACACGAACATGAAAGAGGTCTCCCAAAGAGACTTGACGAGTTGAAGACAGCGATCGAGAATCTCTCCGAATATTGGGATGTAATTATGAGATGCGATGAGATCTCCAGGGTAGATGCCTTGCACGAGCAAATCGAAAAGAGAGATGAAGAAATTTCGACATTAAAGGATAAGGTTATGACTGTTGATGCCTTGCATAAGGCAGTGCAAGAGAAAGATGCTATTATTTCGGAATTGAGGGATGCCAATGGAAGGTTGCAAAGAGATTTTGGACAGCACGCTGGTAAGGTTAAAGCGTTTGAGGAGTGGAAGAGTTTTATGAAGTCAACTTTGCATCTTGAAGCTTCTGTGAAGAAGTGATCTTAGAAGCAGGTTACTGGGAAGTGGTGGACATGGAGGAAAGTTAAGGAAGTTAAAAAAAAATCCAATCTATGTCTTTTCCCTAATTTCAATTCTGTATGACTCAGTATGGCTGTGAATATTGCGAAGAAAGAAAGATATGATGATGAAATCTCATAAATGAGTATCTACTTGTCTTACTTGTCATTCGTGATCATCAATGACCCTTCGGCATAACTTTTCACTCAGACTTTTGGAAACAAGAGACTTTGACTGTGTACAAGGTGCTGTAGACAAGCCAACCACAAAACGAAAGGATGCCATTTTGTTTAGTTTCAACAATAGCGGCTTCTATTGATGCAGAAGTCAAAATGACTCGATTTTGACATCACATTCAAGCAAGGTAGATAATTTGGATGCAGATATTCTTGGGATTGCCAAAGGGAATGAGACCAGAAACACTTGTCCTATGGATAAAATAGAAGATAACGTGAACTCATAATACTTTAGTATCAGCAGTTGAAATTTCCAAGAGATACTCGGAAGTATGGGTTGAAGTAACAACACTTGTTAGATTTTGATATGAGAAGCAGCCGATCATAACGTGGCTCCGCTATTGCTAGCAATCTTGTCTATTTGTTCGAACAACCAAATGCGAAAAATTATTGAGGTGAATTCAATATTATTATGAAGCCCGAGTACATGGACGGCAAGAGATGCGAATGAGGGTGGCGTGGTGATTTAACCAAAACATTTGAAGAAGATTTTGAGGTTGACCCATGATTACTAATACTGAGCTACTGATGGTAAGTCTTAGGTCATCTACAGGCTCTTTCTTCCCCATTTTTCTCAAATTACAGGTATTGGAGCCCGAATTATAGGCGCTGCAAACTGATTGATATCCTACCATTCAAACCATCTCCGAACATTGAGACACAGAAATGAAAAATGCCCAGAAATCATGTCCCACAAATGACGGCCCCTACGTCCTGGACCGTCCTTCACATTCCAATTGACAGGAACCTCTCAGACAGTAAAACGGTCGAAGGCAAAATATGGGTTGAAATCATCAAACCACTCACCAAAGAATCTCAGCCTGGATTTGAGCACGGAGTCTGGGGACGACTGATCGAGCGACCCGGATAAGTATAGCTTGTCACTGCTTGGGAAACTTTTGAAGCTATACAGCACTTTGAGCAATCGGATGTTGATAAAGAACAATTGAACGCGATGAGAGAGCTTTCGGAAGGAAGAGAACCAATCATCATGCATGCCGGACTGTCGGACGACTTTTGGAATATGTTGACGGATTACACTGGGATTATGGATTTTTATTTTCCAGGAGAGATAGATGATGAAGCGAAGCAATGGGTAGAAAGTCTGAGGGGGTTGGTTTATTTCTTTGCTCCTGGGAAGAAGTCCGGGAAAAGTGCATACAGTGGAAGAGCGACAAAGGGATGGGTGGATGAATTAGCTGAGTTTGAAGGAAAGCAAGCAAGAGTTATGAGATATATGCATTACTGGAATAGTAAAGCAGGGGAAGAGGAGTTCAAAGCCGGATCAGGATTCATAACAGAAGCAGGAGAGTCGAAGAACATATTCACTGATTGGGTGGAAGGTTTGAACGCCGAAGGAATGCTGGGAATGAAAGAAGTTCATTGCAGATTCGAGACTATTCCTTGGAAATTCTGGGAGTACACATCCCATGAGGAGAGAGAAATGGCGGAAGTGGATGTGGAGAAGTAAATGATGTCACGTAAGGGCTCGTCTTGTGAGAGTGTGCGATAATTTAGTACATATTGTATTCTTATGACGCTAAATATCATTGCAGCGGCCTCTCATACAGTGACTATCTATAAAATCTCAACATTCCATGACAAGAACTGAAATTCTGATCTTACAACATTTATCCCGAACAGAACAGCATTGTAAATTCTCGCCGGCAGCGTTGAAGGCTATCTTAGACTTTATCTAGTGGTATTTTAGTCCATGTGAGAATGTTACGTGATTGTCAATGTCGATAGCGATGGCTAATTTGACATTCGCGATTCTTCCCTTTTCCTTTGTTGCAGGTGCTGTTAAATTTACGGCCATTGTCGTTGAAGCCGCGTCATATCACCGTTCAATATCAAAAGCTTGATATAACATCACAATTCTCACACACATAACAATGCCACTTTCCTAATCACTGCCGCTTCCTGACCCCAATCAGAGTTTGATCGGTTCGCTTTCAAGTAGTCCGCATTCCTCAGCGTTCTTCTCTTCTAGCTACGGAGGCGGTCTCATAGTGTAAGCTACATTTAAGTTTGAAGTTCATTTATCATGCTAGTACAAATTCTTCTCTTTGAGGCCTACCTTCATCAGCCAAAATCATCGCTTCCCCATCCATTAATCCATGGACATATGCTGGGCCAAGCAAAAATATACTCGGACTTGTCTTTCGACTTCTCAGTGATCTTACGTAATACAACTGGAATTTTAGCGCCTTTTAAAACCACGACAAAGTCGCTTTTACGAACATGTGATGGCGCCAAGCAATAAAGGCCATTCTCTGTGATAAGAAAGTCTCTTTGCTCTAATTCTCCCTTAAGGTCAAAATATGGCAGTTCATCTGCCGTAATGTCTCCCCGTTTCCACGAGTCAAAAGCGGAGCCGTAGCTTGCATATTCATCTTCATTAAGACGACGCGTTGGGTAACGAACACAGTCGCTCAAAAGAGTTCTCCAAAATGCTTGGAAACCATTTTCGGCTCTCGATAAAATGCTGGGGGTGTACATTAATGTTTCGGACACCTTGAGCTCGTCCGGGATCCAGTCTGCAGTTAATTCCCAACCATGCATTGTGTACGATCGATTGACTTCGCCTAGGTTAACACCTTCCACGATCAGTCGATCTTTATCTGTCACATTACAAGGAACATTGCATTCTAGCCCCCCAGCTTTGAATATTCCTCTTTGGGAAAAGATTAAGGGGACGGGCCAGCGTTGTTCAAGGTCAGGAACCCACGATGGTACGGCATATGTAATGTCTTCTTCGAGGAAGTAATGTCTCCAACGGCTCTGGCACAGAATATCAAGATTCTGGACATGGTTAATATGAGCTGCAGCAAACTTTGTGAACACAGTCATCTTGGCTGCCAAATAATCTGGTTTCAATTCCAAGGGGTTTGAAGTGAGCGCCAGGAGAGCGAATAATTTATCTTTTGGATCAGTCGAATAAGTTTTCTGGAACCTCGCAAGAACATCCAATAAATCCGAGTCTTTTCCTGTTTTGATGCTCCTCGTAATAAGTCTTTGATGTTGTATAGCTTGAACTACTGAAAATACTACCTCGCAACTTGGGATCGAGACATCGTAGCTGTTAGTGAGTGTCTCATCGAAGGCGCCCGGAAATTTATCCGCGGTAAAGAAAAGTTTTTCCAAAGAATTCCAAGGAAGTGTGTAATGTCCCACAATCAGGACAGGGTTTGGTGCATATGCTATTTCCTGCATGATCCATACTCTCTCCCATAAATCCGCGAAAAGAAACACCGCCTTTAGACAATAAAAGTGGTGGTCATCCGCCATACGTGCCGGTTCCATAAGTTCCTCAGCTACCTTTTTTATATCTTCGTTCAGTCTTTGCACCATAGTGTGATTATCCTCAGGTTCGTATTGCTCTTCAGCTGCCCTATGTTTGGATAATAAGCGGTCGACCATCCTCATCCCAAGATCCATTACTACGTTTCCCTGTCCTAGCCATAACAGATATGTCCAACATCTACTGTAAGTATCCTTCATAAAAGTCACTTGATGACCTCTTTCTATGGGATCCCGCTGATTAATACAAATAGCATCAACCCAAAGCACCCGAACTTCTAAAAGATCCCTGAGATATCGCAGGGTCTTTTTCAAGTTTAACGTAACCTGGAAGGTTTCTCCATTTACAATTATTGCATTTGTGACTTTTGGGTCACCCCAAACATAAGATAACGCCTCATATCGTGGAGGATTTCTGATAGTAGAAGTGAAGATCGAACATTCGGGCATGAAAGCAAAGTCCTGTGAGGGTTTGAGATTTAGAAGCCGAAATTCTTCTTTCTCGCGACTAAGTGCATCGTATGAGAGTGTGTTCTGGCTGGATTCCATTTCTTGTTCCTCGCTTGTATGATATTTCAAAAGAAGGGAGAAGTAAACAACACAATGTTTTGAAGTGATGGATGTTAAGTTCTTTCCGCTGAATCCTGGCCAGCGAGAAGAAGTGGGGTGCGGGGCATGGCTGTGGCCATGGGTTCGCCCAAATATTCAAAATATACCCAATCATCTTGCATGTAACGACAAGGATTGTTAGGTACAGTCTTAGAGTACTTAGACCCAATGGTCGGGGCTGGAGATCGTGATGGAAGTGGGGATTTTCAGTCAGAAAAAAACACGTACGACCCTGATAACCTTAAAGTTGTTTGATCTCGATTTTGAAGCACAGCAACATTAGATAGTAAAACTACTGCCGTTTCTTTCTAATTTACTGGGATGCTATTGGAGACCCAAAAGATTACTTAAAGTAGAAGTTGATGCAGTATATTCTCAAAAGCCCTAAAAACTCGGCTTATCTAACAGCCGTAGCGATTTTCATTGATCCGAAAGATAGCATGGGATCATCCATGAGCCACAATGTTATTAACTGAGTAATGCGAGGGAGCTCATGGATAATCATCAGCCGATTTTCCACAAGTCAAATGGATCAATTCATGGAACAGAGTCAATGATGTTGGCAAATCATTATCTAGATCTGCAAGCACAGTTTTCGCCGACGTAGAAGCCATCGCAATAGCTATACTTTCATACGGTCCGAAATCCGTGCTAAACGCTAAATGCATCCGGACGGACAAAAAAGTAACGACATCTTGATAGAGGTTTGTATTCGTAAGACCAAATCAGAGTTCTTTAGGCGAAAGCGATTTTCCTCTACACCACGAAGGCGGCCTTTATCTTGATGACGTAGTCGTGGAGAGCAGAGGACTAGTATGCGTATTGAGCTCGGTCGGGAGATTTTTCCTGTTGCATATGCATGTCTTTGACCGGGCTGTCTGTGATGGTATCGACTGGGCCGACGAAAGTGCGGAGGTTGGCTTACTTTGTAGAGTCTTTGGGGTCGGGAATTGGCTTTCCAGTAGGGCAAATGAGGGCATGAGTGAGCGAAGATGGTGCAAATTGCGGTACACCGACTGCTTACGTGCTGACGAAAGTGACTTCCCAAACTCAGCCACTTCCTACTCAGAGCCGAATTACAGAACATTACCCCTCCATAATCTCATCCATTATAATTTCCTTTGCCTCTTCAGCATACTCTTTCACAGATTTCATTACTTGGAGACAGTGAAATTTTGTCGGATTAGATATCATCTACCCTATCGGGATCATTATCAAAGTCGACATGTATTGCATCTACTGACGTTTCCGCTGGATCCACGTATACTGCCAAATGTACCAGTGGTCCAATATCCTCGAGCTCAACTTGCACACCACCACAAGTGGAACCACAATGACTGTATCTTGCAAGCCTACTAGCTCAATTTGTACTCCATCGACAAAGATCGTGAGCGGTAAAGTGACAGTCGCTTCTTGTACTCAAGCCTCCGTAAAACTCGCTTCGTAGAATACGCATAACGTGGAGCAAAATTGAGTCACAGCTACAGCATTTAATCCTGCGAATGCTAGTATTGTGGCTTCAGGAATTGAGGCTCTTCCTTACCAGGGGATCAGTATCGGTGATCATTCAACAGAGACCAGCGGAATAGCATCATCATTTGGAAGTAATTTCCAAAACAACCCCGACTTCCCAGACGACATTTTCTACTTCGAAGGTTCCATTATCGACCAGAACGGCCATCGAAAGATCAGAGCTTTATCTCTGAAGTGTACGAGTCTTCTCGTTTTATTCTCAAGTAAATAATTTTGCGTTTTATGTCTAGGTCCGTCAGTAACCGAATCAAGAATGTGGGAGTTTTTTGTCGATGTATAGGATTTCTGCGTACAAAAATCTAGAATTGCTTCATGAAAACTTAATATGTGTATTAGTTCTGCTGGACTCCGGCAGAACCTAACGAGCCACTTGTGTTTTATTGAAAATGGCAAGTGTGGCCTGAAACTTTAATATGCCTTTGAACAAAACCAGCATGCCTTCCCGCCAATATTGAATTTTTGTAAATCGCCGTCGATTATATGACCCTTGTAAGCGCAAGCTTTACGTAATGTCTTGAAAACCATCGTCGGAATAGACATTCCAATCTTGTGAAGAGCCTCAATTTGATTTTCATGTTCAAGAGTCAGAGAAGAAGCTGGTGCAGAAACAATCATAAAAGGAGTTCTTTTGCTGACATCTTGTATTCCAAAATCAAGAGCATGAAGCGAATCAAGCGGTTGGTTATCGTCACTCACTACGATGATGTCCGTTGACTTCAATTCATTCTTAATACAAGCAAGATAAGCTATTCCTTCATTCATCGGAACCGTCTGACTCATCATGAGTCTCATAAAGTCAGCCCAGACTGTTCTTTGATAATTGCTCTGCTTTCGCAGAATCATCTTGTGCTCTTTTCGAGAATCAACGGCTCTTGTAGCGTGATAGTAGTTTGCTTTCAAAATCTGTGCAATGGCAAGACGCTGCTTCCAAGTGTATCTCCCCCCACCAAATGCTGCCACAAGCCGTGAAGCTAATTGCCAATTACCGTTTGCGAACAGAATTATTGTTATATCTCGAAGAAGACCACCATTTTCATCTCGACAAACCTTACCTAAGCGCCTTACTATGTGACAGGAACCAGCCCAGCGACCGGATATATTTATGCTTCCGTTCTGAATGGTGACTTGGCCACTTTTGATATTTATTGTATCTAGCCCCGAATACTGTGAAGCCTTGTGGCGTGTCTTGAAAGTCGGCATTAAACAATTCTTACTTCTAGATTCAGACAGAACAGGGGGAAGAAACACCCAGCGATGATGTTCTTGACGTATTGCCTCTTCCCACCAAAGAGCCCAGACATTATCCTGGCCAAAGACGATTCCTGGTTGTATGACTACTCCGGAGGCTGCCATTGCACCATAAACCTCATCGTCGGGAAAGGAAGCGGTACGATTTCCCAACAGTTCCATAACACGAGTTCGATCGATTTTGCCGGCTCCAGCATTCACCATCCCTGTGTAAAATTCATAAATTTTAGCATATTTCCCACCTGTTGCTTCCCTGATGTCGAAGACATCACATAGGTCCGGCAATGCATTGAAAAGTACATCGTCTATTCGGAGACATACACTTTCTTTGCCGAGCCACACAATCTGCTGAGCAAGAATATACTCCTGTAGTGTCCAAATTCGATCTGCCCACCGAGTTCTCGTGAATAATTCGAGACAATCCATTCCATCGATGATCTTCTGTCGCCCATCACCATAGGCCCAGTACTCCGACATGGATTCTGTGTACTCTTCCTCCATAGATATTGCGATGGCTTCATCTAGATCCTTGGTGAGTTGATCCAAGTAATCTTGTGTCATCCAATTTGGAAAATCACAAGTTGTGACAATCACCACCACTTCCGCATTCCCATATATGTCACCCATTAGAGGTATTTGGCGTTTCTTATCTTCTTCATCATTTTGATCAATGCAAATGGTGTCGATCCAGCAATACTTGATGTCAGGAAAGAGTTTGCGGACGGAAGTCTCGATCATGATTCCACCTAATGTGTTTTTATACTCGGTGTGTATTGCAAACATGTTGTCGGACCACGCATGGGAAGCTGCAAGATAAGACGGCATCGAACTAATTGCATATGGCTCAAGTGCCCCAGAGTCCATGTTAATCAACTTAGTTCGCGTCATGTTTGGAGTTTACCGTTGTTCTAGATGCGTCCTGCCAACACGCATCGTCGTTAGAGTAGCGCTTCCAGTGACGATTACCTCAATCTCGATCCGATCATCTTTGAAATTGAATTTAAATTAGAGATTAATTATAGACTTGAAGATCAAAAGTATGCACGCGCACTAAATCCTGTCATGATATATCAGTGCAAAATGCGTGATACTCATATAAATAGCAGAGCCGAACACCGAGGTGCGTGCATGGATTTCGGGGTTCGTAAATATTCCGTGCACGAAGCTTAGACTTAGAACTAAACATCCCCGGATTGTCCTTGACAACCTCATTGATCTGATCAAAATTTATCATCATCACATACATTACGGTAATGATTTATTCGACACTTATGAAACTTTAGGATTGAACTCAATATTCGGCTGGAGCTATTAGGTATTATGTTACAATTTATGGAGCGACCGAATAAACCGGACTGTCGTTCATCCCGCGCAGGTATTGCCCTGGAACGTCGCTGAACAATCTTGACAACTGTACTCGCATCATGAGCTTTCACTGCTGGGACCAGGTAATCCATGTGCGAATGGTCAATTTTCATACAGAGAATGTTACGGATAGCATGTTATAGAATCTCAACTTTCTATCACTTACTGCCGCTCACATACTAAAAGATAGTCCACCATTAGCACTCAAAAGACTCCCCGTCATCCACGATGAATCTGGATCGCAGATCATTGCAATCATGCCTGCAATCTCATGATCATAAGCCGCTCTGCCGCCCAGCCGCTCACCTAACTCTTTGACTTCCGGGCTATCTGTTTCTCTAACAGGGGCCAATGGCGTCAATGGATTCCATAACGCCAATCCTTGTTTGACTTCCTCCGGAGCAGACAAATACATGTCAGTCATCACAGGTCCGGGATTGATAGCATTAACTGTGGCATTCTCTGCCAATTCTCTGGCCCAGACACGAGTCATCGCTTCCATCGCCGCTTTCGTCCCCGAGTACAAGGTCGTGTTTGGCGTTCCGATCTTGGGATTGATGCTAGACATCATCACAATGCGGCCGGACCGATCAGTTGGTAAAAATGGCTTGCAAGCTGCTGTCAATAGTGTTGGACCTAGCACATTTACAGCGTAGATATGGTGGAATTCTTTCTCTATGACACTTTCAAGGGGCCCGACATATAATACTGCGGCATTGTGCACCAGGATGTCGATCTGCAGTGCTCCGGTAATAGGATTTGTGAAATTTTCTTTGGCGGCAGCGATAATCTGCTCGCAACCAGACGAGGTACTGATGTCTGCCCGAACAGTGGTTGCTCTTATGGAATGTGTCGACTCGAGTTCGGCTTTGAGAGTAGCTGCTGCCGTGTCGGAGGCGGTAGTGGCATAGTTGATAATGATATTGCAGCCTTTGCTGGCTAACTTTCTAGCTATTCCAGCACCAATACCTAAATTCTGGTAAACATTGTGTAAGGATTAAAGCTATAAGATGGGAGCTTACTTCTGGCGGATCCGGTTATAATCGCCAATTTACCTTCGTAGACCCGCGGCTCTATGACAGGCCGTGAAGGTAATTGTGTATCTGACATATTTACTGTCTGGTTCGCTGCGATGGGCGGACTGATATCGAGCTGGGCTTCACAACAATGTCATTCGAATGCTGTTTGGCTTTAATCAACTATTAGCTAATATTGCGATAGCAGACTTCCGGCCTGGCCCAATTTCCACTGTTGCTGAAAGGAGGACCAGGTCTCCTCCACCATAGCACCGTCATATGCTCTTTCAAAGTGGTCGGTGGAGAAATTTCTTGGAGGAACCGCTGATTGAGCGCAATATCTCTATCGACTTCGTGCCTGCGAGAAATCGGCATAAGTTCCATGTTCTGGATATCAGAACACATTACACTACAAACGATTCGGCCAAGACTGACCTATTAGATAATTTTTGCACTTGGGTTTCCCAACTGCTGTGGGGCGTAATTTTTCAGAAGCTTAATCCTTGTTGTAAATGCTAATATAGTGGTTTTGAACTTTCGATGGGGGTCTCAGGGGTTTTGTTACCATCACTTCCATTGTTATTTTCCATTTTCCATTCTCCACTTTCATGATTGATCTGAAGATGGCCTCAAGTTCAGGCTAAAAAGGGGAATAGTTTCAAGATTTAGTATGTGAGGGCTGCGTGAAAGTGTTGTGAGTTATTCTCTTACAGGGCCCAGGAAAGAGCTTATTTAGCAGCAAAGCTCGAAATAATTCTCTCGTTTTTATTTTGTCAAAAGTACAAATCTAACCTTATCGAGGAACCGGAGGATTATCACACATAGTTACACCCACAGGTGATGCAAAAATTCTCTATGCATACTTACCATACATTCAAAAGCACGTTTCATCTAAGGGTGGTCACGGAGATGGCTGTTAAAGATCGACCTCAAGTGAGCCAGCTTCATCCTGGCTTAAATGAGCGGGGCGAAAAGTCCGGTAAATACCCACCCACGTTGAACCCCACGAGCCTGTGCGCGGCAGACGGCGCCTCTGCCAGCCCATTTGTGGATTGCAATAAGTTGCGTTGCAGATCATGGCGGGATTGAGTCTAGTTTCTTTTTATATTTCAGCCTCGCACATGTTGTCTACACCTATTTGACGTGATGCTAGGTGAACACTATGCTACATCTAATTCAACTCCTTCCAGAGGCGAGATGGCACAGCTCCAAGCTATTTGTTTAGTGATAGGTTCTCCTTTATAGCCCCCACTCGGCAGTCAACGTTGTATAAATTCTAGGGAACGCACTTAAGGTGAAAAGGCTGCCCCACGGAAAAGTTTTCCAATAGTGGGCTTCCTTTAAAGCAGCTAGTCTTTACAAGAAGCTTGTTACAGGAGTGCTGAATGAGAAAATTCAAAGGTTTCCTGGATTCATCATGAACTAAATGGGGGCCGCTGCTCTGCCAATATGGGAGATACTCGGGCCAATGATTGAGGATTCGTCATCTCTACTTCGCAGACCGCGCTTCGCGCAAAATAAATAGCCATCGGCTCAAGATAACTAGTTTGGTCTCATAGGAAAATGGTTGGGCTCACCCCTGATAGAAGTTGACTTGCGATTTGAAAGACCTAAAGGGCTAGTGTATGAATCTCAGGATTTTATTGGCACCATGAGAGAGACGAAACCTATACTCATGTGCCCTGGCATTTTTCCATCACTGAGCTATCAGAAAGAGGATCTCTTTTCACAGTTTATGGCCGGGTGAATTGGCCAGCCATAGTTGAGTTGAAATGCTCCCTAAGTCATGCTTTTTTAAAACTGGCAAAACATCAAATTGGAATGACACACAGTTATGCTGATTAATTTAACACTAGTGAAAAAAACTATGTGGCGTTAAGCAGCGTCATGATCGAAATGAAGTCAAAACTTATTGGGAATCGAAACTGGCCGTAAAGTAGTTCTCTATTTTTGAATTGGTTGTACTCGAGGAGCTGGTAGCATACTCGACTACATCGCCAAAAAGCCTCCGTCCACGGGCAAACAAATACCAGTGACATATGATGAGTTGTCTGATGAGAGCCACAGGGAGGCCTGTGCAACCTCGTGGGCCATTCCGAATCGATTTAAGATGCTGACCGTTGGAGCAAGCTCTTCCATGGTAGTCCCCATAATTTCTAAAGCCGTGGCCGACATATCACTCTGCGTTGAATTAGTTTTTAAGGTATTTTATAGACGGGGCATAGTGGTGAACTCACAAAGATAGCACCTGGCGCAACAGCGTTCACTCTGATACCCTTCGGCCCCCCCTCCATAGAGGCATGCTTCGTCAAACCAATAAGAGCATGCTTTGTTGCCGTATATGCAGGCATGTTTACTTGTGGTCTAAAGGCATTGATGGATGCAATGTTGACAATGGAGCCTTTTGTACCCTGCTTCAACATTTGTTGCATTTCCCACTTGCAACATAATGCAGTACCGGTCAGGTTAACGCCTACGAGAGTATTCCAGTAGGTTTCGTCGAAGTCGATAAGTTGTGTTCTGTCCGGGGTGAGAGCGGCGTTGTTGACAGCTACATCAAGCTTACCGAACTTCTCTATTGTTACCGCGATAAGATTCTGAACATCCTCTGATTTGGAAATGTCGCATCGAACAAAAACGATTTCTCCAAACTGGGATAGTTCCTTCTCTGTCGCTTGACCTTCAACTTCTCTCACATCGGCAATAACCACTTGAGCACCAGCTCGTAGGAATACTGAGGCGGTAGCTTTTCCCATGCCCCGTGCGCCACCGGTCACGATCGCCACCTTCCCCTTCAAAACAGGGTAAACGGTAGCCTCTGGGACATCCATATTGTGCGATGGTAAAAGGTAAAAGACACAAAGTATGTGCTTGACTTTAGTTATAATAGGAAAGGAGTTTTTTGTAGAGGGGATGTCAAACCAAGCGGGCAGCTCAATTGTCTTAGCACATAAAAACTGAAAATAAGAGTGAGATGATATGCTACGTTCAAATCGTTGAAATAAAATACAAGTTTTCGAGCTCAGAAGCCTTTGTAGTGCCAATTTTTGAAAATGGCACTTTAATCCACTGTGGTTACACTCGTGCGGCCAGAAATTATATCACACATTCCTATTCTAGTTCGGATTTTGAGCGCTAAACCCTAAAAAAAGGGTCGTTTAGCCAGTAGAATCATTCGTTTTTCATGATCCCACTTTAAAATCCACATAAAAGTAGTCAAAAATCTTTAATTTGCCCGCTTCCAAGTTTGACCTTGCTATATTTAGTATCGGCAAACAAAAACTAAGCCCTTTCAAGGTCTCAGGAAATTCTCCCACTAACCATAATAGGAATGTGTCATACTTTCTGACCGCACGAGGTACCATTTTAGGGGCACATGAGATCAAGCTAGAACCCTATCTCAGCCGTTAAAACAAATGTCACATTACAACCCAGAGTATTTCGTTGCTCCACTTCCATGGCATACCAAAACCAACATTTACGCGAAAGTATTCTACAGTCATAGAAGCTTTAGTCATCCCCATTCGCTTCCAATCTATCCGTTCTCAAATTTTCAGCCATGGGGCCAGGAACCGCGCTAGTCTTGTACGTTCTGGGGAGAACCAACTGTCTGGATTTCTAATGTTTAAGCTTATGGCATGGCATGGCAGTTTGAGAAATTGATGTGCGGTTTATTGAGGGGAGTCGATAGTCGCGCCGCAGGATCCAATGTAGTTCTGCTGGATGACATCCATACCGTGTAAACTCAACGAACTTAGCTCAAGTCCATTCCTTTTTGAGCATTAGCTTTTTCGTTTCAAATAAGATGGAGTGGAATATATAATAAGGAGAAAATAAGTTTAGTGAGCGAGGGAGATGGCACTTAAACGGGTTTAGGCTCATGATGAACTAAGTGAGTTTATACGGTATAGCGCCTGATATTCTTCATCAGTCAGTCTAATTAAGAGATGCTCGGAACACAGGTCACTCTAACATTTATTCCTTTTTTCTCTTATCGACCTCAAAAGTCGGTGGCAACGAAGACCCCGCATATGCGGTGTAAGTATTTCGATCCGAACATCAAATTTACCTGATATCTTTGCCATGGTACTTAGTGCAGAACCTTTTAGTCTTGATTCGGCAACATGGATGCTCGAAATCTAGAAACTTTCAAATAGCGTTGGCGACTGCTGCATTTGAAATTTATAGGAACAATGATCCTTGGATGATGCGAAGTTGAAAGCTAGGGATTTTATCTGATCTGGGCGAGTGTTTAGTTTATTACAAGCTCTTCCCATCAGCTTCGAACCTGTATTCTTTCCAGACAAGCCTTTGATAACATTTGCAATCAACCATTTCTCGTCAGATTGCCGCATCAAGCAAGTTTTCCTACGGCATTCGATATGGCAGATCTAGAGGCTAAGGAACCCGTGCCACACGCTGATGAAAAGCCATCTTTTGAGAAGGGCATTTCCAGCCAGGAAGATGGAATTGAAATCCCAAGACATACAAGCTTCGTCAATGTCATGGTATGAACGTTGTTTATTCTGGAAATTAGCCATCATTAACGACTCTTAGGTCTTAGTGACAGCTTGTCTTGGTGGTTTCCTTTATGGATTTGCCGCCAACGCGATTTCCGGCACAGTTGCCCAGCCGACATTTATCGCCAAATTTTTGACCAATTCGCAGGCTCTACAACTCGTAGATGCAATGCTTGGAGGGTAAGGAAAATAGCTTATTTACTTTTGGACTCTGCAACTGACTCCAATCAGATTTTTAGGTGGTGCTATGGTGGGATCTATTTTGCAAGCGCCAATCTCCAACAAATTCGGTCGACGTATCGCGAATGCTGTGGCAGCATGCATCGTAATCTTTGCGGCTGCCATATCAGCCGGAGCTGTCAATGTTGCCATGTTTATTGCTGGACGCGTTCTAACTGGTGTTGGCGCTGGTATGGTTCTTGCCAACTCTCCAGTGTATATGAGTGAAGTCGCGCCTCCTCACAACCGTGGTATGCTTGTTGGACTCCAAGGTATTGGTATTGTTGCCGCATATATTATGGCTGCAGTTTGCGCACTGGCATTCAATTTTGTCAAAGATGATATCCAATGGAGATTGGTTTTCATCGTACTCTGCGGAGTCGCTTGTCTTCTCCTATTATCTCTTTGGTTTTTGCCTGAATCTCCAAGATGGTTGATGGAGAAGGGAAGAGATGCAGAGGCCAAGCAGGTCTTGGAATACTTGCACAAGACTAAGGCAGATCCTTACAACACCCTCGCCCGTGCTGAAGCGGTTCAGATTAGAGCTCAAGTCGACACTGAGAAATCCCTACCAAAAGGCTTCATTTATATCTTTTCTACACCACATCTTAGGAAGCGCGCTTTCATTTCCATCATTCTTTGGACCATGGGACAGGGCACTGGCATCACAGCAATTGCAAACTTAATCCCTACATTTATGGCTGGTCTCGGATTTGGTACTGTCGTTCAATTGGGTCTCGGTATCGTCTGGTCAGTTTGTGCAGTTATTGGATGCGGAATCAACGTTGTTCTCCTGGATCGTATAGGGAGAAGGAAGCTTCTGAGTAAGTTAAGTCAAATCTATGCAATGAACCCTGCTGATATCGCTTAGTTATTGGTGGCTTTGGAATGGCCGCCATTCTCAGTACAATGGCTGCACTAGTCAAGTACTATCTTGGTACACCTGCAGGCCCTGGTGTTAGAGCACTCGTTGCTCTTTACTTCATCATGGGAGCATTCTTCACTTCGACGATCGAGTGTACTTCCTACGTTTATGGTTCTGAAATTTGGCCAACCCATTTACGTAGTGAGGGTTCCACCATTGCATATCTCAGTTTCTTTGGAAATGCTATCGCGTATAGTGCTCCCGTCTCTGTTGGTTTGAACAATATTGGCTGGAAGTTTTACATGATTCTTATCTGTGTTACTGTCGTCACCACCATCATGATTGTTATTTGGTTCCCAGAGGTAACGCTTCCATCATAACACCCCATTTATAATTGTGACTAACAAATAGATAGACAATGGGTTTGACATTGGAGGAAATTAATGTTACATTTGGTGAGAAGGTCGAATTGCAGCTTAAGGATGCTCTTTACAACGAGAATGAGTCGACAACATCCGATCCTTCCAAGCCAGGATCTGCTGTAGCCGCTTAGAACCATCACCGCCCACTAAATACTGGCATACAACTATCTATGCCGACTCTGCCAATTCTGAATGGCCCCAAGTATATAAAACTCCGACGGAACGAAGACAATGAAGACGACCTAGAATATCATGATGACGGCCTTAATGATTAATCAGTAATAATATATATTTAACGCGCGTCAAGTCCCAGATTCTTGCAGTTCCTCTGCTATTCTGTGCTTGAATCTAGATTGTTGCGCCTTTGGGCTTTTGCTTCCATGGTTCCTGACTGTAAGCTTATCGGGCAACAACAAGGTTCTCCACTCTGAAAAGGAGCTTGAATACTTTTATCAAAGTTCAGGGACCAAATAGTACATCCTAAAATCCTAAAATCCTAACATTCTTCTGCTGTTGCAACACTATGGAAACTGGAAACTCAAAATTAGTCGCTATAATTAAGCAACCGAACCTTAAACGTATCGTTTCTTAGAGTAAAGTGAGCATATCAGTGAGCACTGTTTTGACTTGCGACATGCCCAACTTTGAATATAGGTATCGTACACGAGCTACGCATTGAAGCAAGATAACAAGTGCTGTTTGTATATCCGTTCCCCCTGACATTCCTAGTCATGACATCCCAGCTACGCGAAGTCAAGAAAGCGAGCCGGGATATTCCATGAAAAAATTCTGTCAAAGTCAAAGTACCGTCTTATCTCATATAACTTGGAGTCTAGGTAATTCGAGGAATCTAAAGCTGGGGAAGCTAAGCGGTGTGTATGATTGGAAGAATCAGTTAAGGGGAAAATTTTGTCGGGTTTTATTATCCACTTCCCATTTATGTCTAAGTATGAACATTTTCGAAATTGAATGGAAGCGAGAAAGGCTAGAGCTGAATGCGGCTAGTTAGAAACTAAGTCACTTCTGTCAACTAATTTTGTATGTCTATCATTCCCGTTCCGGTTGGAGCCAAGAGAGGAAACCCTTCAGAGAGCGGAGCAGTTTTGTTAGTAATATCTTATCAATGACAGATTTCCATAAAAACGTAATAATGATTCATCAGCAACGTTCATTTAAAGTCTTTAATAATATCTTACAATCTAACTTGCAAGCTTGGTATGTTTTAAGTGTAGACTTATAAGATCTATGCTCTTTTAGTAATGGGAAGAGTCCCTGCTTCCTTGTCAAAAACAGAATGGGTGATTTCCGTTATATTCCCACGGTATTATCCATATAGTTTGTAGAAGGCTAACTGGGGCGGGAGGTCGCTACGTGGGGCCGCTGAAACTACCGTCTGACAGTCGCCGCTGTGCTAGTCAATTACCCGAGGATTAGTTTACTGGGAAGGCCCGGTTCATGAGATTGACAGCTGGTGCCATCCACAATGTCTACTTCATCTCAGATATTTTTTCAGCACGATCCATTATGAAACTCCATGGCTCTAAGTACTTTGAAATATGCAAGAACGTTACAAGGTCTCCAGAATGAGCCGTGGTTCTTCTCAAATTCATTCACCATTCAAAAGGGGTGCTGTTCACTAAAGATCGATACTACCGATCACAATTCTGGAAGAATAAAATTTTGAACACGCCTTAATCAAGGACTTGAAGAGGTATGATACAGTAAAAAGTGCTACAAACAAGCAACCAAGAAGCCGATAATGTAGCATTATCTGATACTAGTAAACTGAGACCGCCAGAGAACAAGGAAAGAATTAAAAGGTTTCCTGACACTCTTTATCCTCTAAAGAGTTGCAAAACGTGTCTCTTCCTGCATATTCACAAGGCCACTTATTTATTAGTTCTTGGCTCCTGACAGTTATGGTTGATCGAACCCTACAGCAAACATTTCTAACAGTCAAATTTCCCACCGTGCCCATGTGGGAAGTGGATAGCGTCTGCTCCTTTAGTTTGGACTACCTCGCTTCGGTATTGCGAGGGCAGGTTGTGACGAGATCCACCAAGGAGCTGATGATCTTAATCATAGCCCTCGATTATTCCTCAATATAAGCCATTCGTGGAAATGCGTGCATCGGATTGACGAGTGTTTGTCCATGACAATGGAAGATCTTCGTTATTATTTTATTTTCATCTCGTCGTGAGTGAGGGCCCGCACTGATCAAGTGCTGCCGGTAGCTACCGTACTAGATTCAAGTGATGTAGATGATACAAGTGCCTTGAGGTTTGAATTTACCCTTCCTGGCCACGATGGTTAGAGTTGATTTTGAACGATGGCAATCTCCCAGGGCTTGTAACGCATAGAAGTTTCTCTAATGCTGGCTTGAGCCATCCCAGCTCTTCCTTTCGAGACTGAAATGATATATACGTAGGACCAAGAAATCGTCACAAGAGAGCCAAAATACCATATGTCGTTTTTCCTTTACTAAGAGTGGTGGGGATCGAATGCGGAAACAACGTCTTTTTGGACAGCAACACTCGTTAAGCACAACTACTACTCACGATCTTTAAAATGACAATTCCACTCACACCAAAGGGTCTGCAATTATTAGGCGTCCTATGGTTGGAAGTCGTCCTTTCTTTACTGTGTATTTCTCTTCGATTATATACCCGCAATTTTGTTGGTGGTACGCCGGGTTTTGATGATTTTCTTTTAATAATCAGCTGGGTAAGCCTTTTAAGATTCTAAAATATTGCTTCATTTTTGCTCGCCTTTTGCTCGCTGTATTAATGTGCTTTCTCTAGGTTTTGATGACAGCTTTTGCAGCATGCACTTCGCGCTCAGTGTCATATGGCATGGGAACCCATGCCGCTGAATTAGATTTTGACGATAACTCTCGTGGCATCCTATGGCTTCTGATAGGCCAGTTCATCATTGCAATTGCCATGGGAATAAGCAAGTGTGCTGTAGCGGTTTTCTTACTTCGAATTGTGACCAAAACTTTGTAAGTTGCACCATGTATGTCATACCTAGCGGCAAAGACTAATTGAAGCGCCGCAGACATAAGATTTTGCTGTACTTTTGGATTGTGACCATTCTGTTGCTGAGTTTCTTGCTGGCTATTGTTGTATTTTTGCAATGCACTCCAGTTGAGTCTATCTGGGACTCTCGTATTGAGGGTACATGCACGCTGAGTTTGACTGTCATAGCAAAGGTTATGTGCTGTTAGTTCCCTGACTAAATTTGATCGCAAGAGTGGTAATGCTAACTGTCATCACTAGCTTGGTCTGCAGCTATGGACTTTTTTCTGGCGGCATTTCCTTGGGCAGTTGTTTGGGGCCTAAACATGAAACGGAAAGAAAAGATTACAATCTGCGTTTCTTTGAGTCTGGGAATTATGTAAGCTCTGATTGATGTTTTTCAATAATACTATATTGACATGTAATCTAGTGCTGGTATATGCGGTGTGGTCCGTACCACGACGTTAGACTCTCTGGGTGAAACTGACGACTATCTATGTGAGTATCCACTTCCCGGTTCCCGACTCATTATTATATCTGTTTGGTTTTAATACATTGTCTTTCCAGATGCTGTCAGTGACTCCGTCATGTGGACCATGTCCGAGCTTTGCGCGACTATCATCTGCGTCACCATTCCCGCTCTTCGACCCCTCTACAACCGATTAACAGGACGAAGCTCCTCCGATGGACCCTACCAAAACTATGGCTGCGAAAACCGTAAGTCTTACGGTGGAAATGGAGCTGGTGGCGACTACAACATGAAATCAGTGAAGCGAGGAAAGAAGGATCCAACTATTTACGATATGGAAATTACACGAGGTCGACCGGATATCGATTCCGACAGCGATACTCACATTCTCTCACTATCAATGCGTGATCAAAAAGATGCGGGCATTGGCCGTCTACGCGAGGTTTCGGTTACTTATGAAGATGGGCAAAGCGCGGTTAGCAGCAAGCAACACGTCTAGATAAATGATCGATGGTTGCTTTCTGACTAGAATATATGTACGGGGTAAAAATACCAATTCGTACATAAGGTGGATAAGATCAGTGTTGTAGTTAGAATTTTCAAGCAGAATCAGAAAGGGACTTGAGTATTTCGCAAAATTGCGCGTTAAAAGCCAGGCAGATTTGTCAGAACTGCCTTTCCAATTATTACCTGGTATCATGCGACAAGGAGCCTTTCGATTTTGGCTAGGCAATTGCTTTTTCTGTTTATGTTTTTCTAAACAATGTGCCAACTCGATTCAAAGCTTACTCGACGTGCTTCGATATCTCCTTAGGTCTTTTGTCTCCTCTTTGATTGCAAGCTCGCTCAAGATTTCCTCGCTCCCACCACCTGAAGATTATTAGTATGGATTTCCCCAAAGAAGGAATCGAAGTCTGTATGACACTTAATTTATAGAAATTGCACTTACCAACAGCCATAACCCGTACATCTCTCGAAATTGCTTCGATCCTGGGAGGGTCATTAGCATGAATTCTAATTTCACAGAAACGCAACGAACCTACCTTCCACCTTTCCCACCTCGAGCATAACCCAAGCCACCCATAACTTGCTGGGCTTCTCTCACACACTTCTCAAGACAGCGAGTGCTAACAACTTTTAGCATTGCCGTCATACCTCCGATCCTCACATCATTATCTTCTCCGCCCTTCCTACTCAGTTCAATCAACCATGTTAATTGCTCCAGAAATGCTTGTGCAGGTTCGATCATTCTTCCCATCTTCACGAATTTTGCTCGAATCACTGGGTTCTCAATCAACTTTTTTCCAAATGTTTCACGCGTACAAGCGTGTTTCCACGCGTCCTCTGCACATACTCTACTCAATCGAATGGCCGAAGTAGCAAGAGTCTTGCGCTCAGCGTTGAAATTTGACATGATGACTTCAAATCCGCGATTTTCTTTATGTAAGAGATTTTCCACAGGAACTTTGACATCATCGAATGTAATGAATGTGCTCCCGGATGCACCAACACCTGAATTGTGCATCATTCTCCGAGAGACCCCTTCGGCTTTCAAAGGAATGATGAGGAGTGAGATTCCCGCTGCACCAGCGCCTCCGGTACGAACTGCTGCTGTGACATAATCAGCCCAAATAGCATTAGTGATCCATTTTTTCGAGCCATTTACAATATAATGGTCGTCTTTCTTGATTGCAGTCGTTTTAATATTGGCTACATCGGAGCCAGCATCAGGCTCCGTAATGCCAAGACAAAAACGTATACTGCCATTTGCAACACCAGGCAGAAATTTAGCTTTCTGTTCTTCTGTTCCGAAGTTGACTAATGGAGGAACCCCGATTTCATTGCCTCCTCCGAGACCCCATAGTACTCCGGTATAAGCCTGAGTCGTGTCAGTATGGAAGGCGGTCTATGACCCAAAGATCTTACCACACGCGAAATTTCATCCGTAACAATCAGACTATGCCAGGAGTCCCATTCCTCGAATTTAATATCTCCGGGTAAATTTACATCTGGAAGTCCCGTGATCAATGCTAGATAGCCTAGCTGGGCATGACGTCTCCATGCCTGTTTCATTCATCAGTAGAATTCTAAGATCACGAGCTATACACGTGCCGTGTCTGGTACTTTGCCTGCGGATTCCCAATCAAAGGCATATGGCAATATCTCTTCATCTACATATTTCCGCACTGCCGCGCGGAGTTTACGATGAGAAGTTGTGTAATGTGGAGAAACGTCGCGGGAGTACCACAATGGCTCGGCATATGGGGTTGGACAGCCAAAGGGTTCATGCGCGCTGTCATTTGATGGTGATACTGGACTTTCCTTTGAAGTTATGGCCGGGATAGACATTTTGTAGATATTTCTGTGACACTATAATGAAGTTGATGAGATTATTGATAAATAAAGGAGACGGTATCGTTTTTGACTTATGATACCAGCCACCTGGACCTCGGCATTTTTGCAGTGATCTGCATGATGACTCGTGAAAAGTTCTCACATATTTGAATGTGAACAGCAAAATTTTAAAACTAACGACTTGCATTCTCAGTCAGTAGCAAAATTGATGAGGATGGGAGTAGATTCGTCGTGATAAGCATTATGAAATCCATTTAGAGCCGTGCAAAATGACTCGGATGACATCTTAGGGTGCCCGGCTATGTTCAGTTTCCTGTTAACGTACGTACCCGGGCGATTTCTCGCTGACGACATGTTGATGCCTTTACATTTCATGATTTGGAGTACAATACTGTATATTACCCGGCACAAAAATAAGTTGATAGGCAATTCTTAGTCTGGAAAGAGGTTTTTGATTAGCAGTCTGACTTTATCCGCTCTGAATAAGTGATGCTAACAGTAATCTTACGTACTAAATCATCTCAGGTCAACTAGTCTCACGTCACTTAAAATCTTCGCTATATGCCATATATCCCAAATACCTGTACATTCGTAACGTGACAATCTCCTGTCCTTTCGTGCCAATCATTCTATTGTACAAAACGCTCTGCAGAATGCTCAAAAACCCCCATAAAGTAATAACCGAATGGAATTTCTTACAATACTCCACAAGAACCTTTTCTTCCCCCCGTTCCAGAAATCGCATGGTTTACTCTGTCAACACGTCTCTCAATCTACCCACTTGATCTTTCAAGAACCCGCCGTTCCAAGTCCAAGCTTTGAGATAGCCTCTTCTTTTGAACGCTATTAAATCTCTCCTCAGTTTCTTGGATAATTGTATCAATTCCTCGTTTCCTCCCAGTAAATATCTGTTGCGCCCATCCTCGAAGTCCATGAGGAGTGGAAAGGACGATCGAAATAGGGCGATAAAAACGCTTATGAGATTGAGAGAGTGCTTTTGATGGGATGCAGATGATGCTGTTGTTTGAGGTGATGCTATGGATTGTTAGAACCTTAAATATGTGGAAAATTTTGAGAAATAATAAGTGAAATAACACGTACAAGATTCTTTCATTTTCTTCAAATTGATAAGATGGCTTGCTTTCAAGCTTTGCAATCTTGTAAGCAACCACAGCACTAGTGCCACGGGTACAAGGGCATCTTTCGGTAGTTGCCCGGAAGTTTTGAAAACTAGACGTTGGAGCTCTTGGTACACAAGACTTTCCGCGTTATAGAGGAAATTGAAGAGTTTTGTTTCAAGTTGTGCTCGTAGTACAAAGTAGTGGGGAGCCATATCCTGCTCTCCAATTATTGATGTGATTTTCAATCTTTTACATAGCATGTCACTGAATGCTATAAGCTTGGTTGTGTTTCTTACCAAATCTGCCTTCTTAGCGTTAGTGTCATAGCTAATAGTGTAACGGATCGAAATAGATGATGCCAACTTACATGGGGCAGCTTTTCCTTAGCGTATGCGACCCCGAATAGAAAAGAGGTAGAATTCGCATCATCTATTTTGTTGCGGTACGTGTATCGCACGACCCAATCTTCAAGTTCCATGGATGAGAAGAATTTCGAGTCCAAAATAGTGATGGCGCTTGGCCAATTCGGGCGGGCATCTTGCTGAAATGAGAACCTGGGGTTGAATATATTTATTCGGCGAAGTTCTTCTAATACATCCTCACTCAGAGATGACAATTGTACTTCGATAACTTTAAGGCACAAAGGAGAAGAGGCGTGCCCTTTTCCATCAATTTTGATGGTTCTGCTGTAACCATTTACATCTGAAAAGCCGACATTGAAGTCGGTTATACATTCAACGAAGCCGCTGGAGTAGACTGTGGCTTCAGTATCGTAGGCTTCCCACAAAGGTGGACTTCTTACATTCACTTATCGAGAGTTCAACGAAAGGTGATTCTCTTGTACACAAAGATGCTGCGGACTCCACACTTCCAGCCCTTCGAACACATAACATACAAGGCTCGCTTGTTCCGCACTTCGTTATTAGCTAAATGATTCAATGCAAGATCAAGGTCAACCTACAGTTCGTTTTCTAAACTTGCATTGAATGCAAGCACCGACATTCCTTACCGCCTCCACCTTCTTTTTCCCCTGTGGTGTAAAAGCGCTACGAGCTTTGCGCTTTGGTGGTTGATTTGCATTCACCTGAAAAACTGAGCTCAAAGACTCTTGGGATGCTACCAGCTGCGACTTGGGCTGAGAACTCAAAGGGATACTCAAATCCAGCTTGAAGACATTTGCCTGTGGTATGTTTGATACTCGCCTCTTCTTGTCTTCGGAAGGTCTTCGTTTCTTACGGGAATGCTCTAGGTTCTCATTACTACCATGCTCATAATATTCTCCTTCCATCACCTGATGGCTTTTTGAATATCCCAGGCTTTTCTGCGACTCTGGGGCAATTTTTCTAGAGTTCCCATCCAGCACCCTCGAGGGCTGTGCTTTATTGCTAGATTTGGCTTCAGTACTACTAGTAACAATTGATCGAGGCTGTAATTGTTCGTATATAGGCGCCACTCCGGTAAATAGAGGCTGGGAAAGGTAAGGCTGTTCACCAAGCATCTGAGGAATGAAAAACATTTCGTGGCTGAGGTAAAATTCCGAAGATGGAGCGTGATCGAAATCAAGAGACGCATTGATATCACTCGGATAGTCATTAAAGCTCGAAGGATAGAACTCGTTCATATTCCCATAGTATGAAGATTTACTAGGGCCTGCCATGTCGTGAACTATCACATCAATTATTAGCAGAATAATCTACCGAACAAGGACCTGAACACAAACCACTAGTCATGGAATATCATCGCCGTCTTGAACGATAATAAATTGAGGGAGATTGTATTTTTAAAAGAAGTGTGGACATCTAGACACTTGTACAATGATTGATATCTTGAAATCAGGTTAGAAAGGCTTCTATGCATGGAAGGGAATACACATTGGAACATTAGTGGAACTCAAAGTGCAAACAGCCATTGTAGGCCCCTAAAGCTTGGTTATCTCTTGGTTACATAGGCCCAGATATAAGCCATGTGGAAATAATTCTGGTTCCTGCATGGAATATCACGATGACGAGAAAGAACGAGCTACCATCTGGTTGCCATGACGGCAATGAGGTAATGTGACTGGATATATCTTTAGGAACCGGGGATATAGAAGGTTTCCAGAATATGGCTTGCCTAATGTAACCGTAACTACCCTGTCTGACACATGGTGAATTGCCTATCAGAGAATACCGCACCCCTCAGAATATTCCTCATCCCTAAGAACTCATGGTTTTATGAATGTGCGTCAGCCTTGCGTGTAAAATTTTGATCTTGGGGCTGGAATATTTAGCATGTCATGTTGCACGGAGTAAGCTGCATAAAAACCTGCGTACACGTTGTTACGCGAAACTTTTCGGTTGTAGAACAGTCTCAATTCAGTAAGTGATCGCGATATTTCCAAAAATATAAGACCTCTCCTTTGTCCATTTAAATTATTCAGCTGTTGAAGTCCGTCAATCGTTATCGCGACGTGCAGATGAAACACACCGTTAATTTGTGCCGAATTGTTTCAGGTAATTTATCTTCCCCGTCCAGTCTCATTCTTGGCTATTCCCATCGTTACGTCAATCTTATCCAATCTAAAAAGTACACTTACCAAGTGTTTTTATACCTGCAGCGTAACCCATTTTTAGATTTCCCTTTTCGATCATAAGATTTACCATTCTCATCATTCTTACCAGCATTTCTCCGCCATACATGAATCTCCCCTGGATCTGCAAGCTTTTCATGATGATTGAGGATGTAATCGATTTCAATATTGCCAAATATATCATCCATAAATGCTGCTCATCAAAACTTTTCGGTGCTGCTATTGCCGCTGCAATGTCTGCGGGCGATAAAAGAGAAATCGCTGGTTGAACCCCTATTGTTTGGAGCATCGTTAAACCTGACCAAATGGATATTTGCACAGAGATCATCATTGGTGTATCTAAGTTTCTCACATATTCGTTGAGCGCAAAGATACTTTTCATCAGAAATTTAGCATATTCCAAAATGGGCGCGTTTTGCCATCCACCTTGTATTAATTTTCGCTGCTTCTCCCATCACAATAGTCAGATCCGGATTGCCCATGGCTCGTGAAGTGATGTAGCAAATATTAACTATCCATGCGTGAATTAAAGGGCGTCAGGCCCTAAAGATTCAACGAGGCTGATTGAGCTTCCACTTGGTATAATGGGCCGAAAGAATAAGGATGTGAGAGATTGCCAATGCAAGGAAGATATGATAGAGCGAAGGTGCCAAGGACTCCAACCACCGCAGAACTAAGACTAGATCGGACAGGAAAGCTCACATAGAGACCAGTGTGTTACCAGCAAGACTCGGGTTGATCTGACCCGATTCCTGCGGGGTGCTTAAGTATAGGAGAAGTTTGCTGCATGTTTCTTTTTTGGTTTCTATACAGCAGCGTCTTTGTGTTTAGATTACCTTCAATTTGTCGACAGCTAGCTTTGGCAATCATGATAGTCTTAAAACCTGACAGATTATTGCTGCCTGGAGGCAATTACAACTTTGAAATGCCTCATCACAGAATTGCGGGATCATAGGTTAAGGTACAATGGAATGCTTCTTCCACCAATGAATTTGTTGGATGGCACACACTTATGTGTCGTATTATTGATGAGACTATCAGTTATTTGCGATAGATGCAAGAGAATAATACAATGTAACAATAAGCAATATTTATATCTCCTGGAAATAAAGGTTGTTCTCCCAAAAGAAGATGTGGAGGAGAAATTTAGAAGGAAAGGAGGAAGCTGGTTTGGGGAAGAAATGGGATTGAGCGCCAATCCGCTTACATAATCAATTCCTTATCCCATGCGTTACCTGTAGCTTAAACTCAGCCTTCACCTGATAGTTCTCCAACCTTGAAGACTCCAATTTGTTGAGGTTGTTTCTGCGAAAATCATCATAATTGCGTCGCCATGACGTCTCCGGACTCAAAGCCATACATTATACAATGGCTGCTCGACACGAGGTTATTGTGGCCCGTCCACCGCAAAGATAAGCCGAGAGAGGAGGTCGCAGAACTGAGGACAGCTGTGTGTATATAGTTTGCTGGGTGCTCTACTTGTCTCAATTGACAGATATGTTAGGCATCTCGGGCTCTGGCAATCCTCTCTGAATCGGAGCAAGAATCGGTCCTGAAATATTATCATGTCAAAGATGCGAAAATGAGCTTGGCCTCCCACCTTCTAAAGCACCTTGTTATTGCGAAATATTGTAATGTACCTTGGTCGAAGAGTACAATTTCTCGAGAGTCAAACGGAAAGCCTTGTTATCACTCAACCGCAGATCAACCTCGACTTGAATTCAATGTAAGTCATCAGGCTGGACTTGTTACATTAATTGCTGTGATCGGAGGTGATGGAACAGTAAATGTGGGAACGGACATCGTGTGTGCCAACGAACGATTGCCGAATGATTATAAATATATAGAAAAGAGCGGGTTTTTTGATTGGGTCGACATGCACGGAGAAGTGTTCGCAGATTCAGAGATCAACTTTATGAAGCTTTCTCCGCTTGGACTCGACAAAGTTGTGCCCGGCAAGAAGCTTCATGGATATGGTAACGATGCGCTTTCGAGATGCCAGTGGAGAAATAGGCAACTGGATCTTGTCGTCGAGGACACTGAAGGAAATGCCGCACAATCAAGAATTGATAGTAATAAGGTCATTGATGCGAAGCTTAGGCGGTTCTATGCCATGTGGTGTTTACGAGAAAGCTATGTCAAGATGACAGGAGAGGCTTTGCTTGCACCGTGGCTTAAGGACTTAGAGATTCGCGACGTTCAAACTCCAATCGCGCCCGAGGTTGATGATCTAAATTCCTTGGAGAGAGGACAGATAACTAAGAATTATCGTATCATATTCAAGGGCCGCGAAGTTACTAACGTACACATGGAATTAGCTGCGCTAGGTCAGCATTATATGGTGGGTGGTGCTGTAAGGGTGAGGGAGAACGATACAAAGCTGGAATTGGGCCCGTGGAAAGAGCTCAATCTTGACACTGATATTTTGGAGGTTGCGGAGGCCAAATCCTAGAAAGCGGAACTATTTCTGTTCAAGCCGGATCTCTATGTGCCATATACAGCATTTTCGTGGGCTTTCTAAAAGAATTTCGTGCTTGCAAACCGACCACCAGAAGACGATTTGGGCGAGTTGTCGAAATGTGGTGGTGTAACACGGTTCGTGTATTGAGGCTAGCAATTCAGGTGCGCCGTCATTCAAAGTAGGATTTCAAACACTGTTTTGCCTCAACTTACTCGTTGAGTGTCCGTTCCAGACGGTATGTGGTGGGAACAAATTTACATTGTCGCCGGTCTCTCCAGACTCAGTTTTCTATAGCTTTCCAAGCCAGTGGCTAAGAACACCATTTGCGCTCAACAACTATTTCATCTTTACTCTGGATCAATACGCACGATAATTCATGTAATCTCAAGCATGTCTCTTCAAAAAATGGTATGGGCACCATAATTTACATTAATTTCGAATACATTTATTCCATTTCCTATTCTCTTCCTACACAAATGGGTGCTCTATTTAGATCCTCGTATATAGATGGGACAGTCATATCCCTCTTACATGGCACTCTCCATGAAGGTAGCAATATTCTCTGGTTATCAAAGCATTTACGAAAGGTGAGTGGATCAGATTACGTTTGGTAATACTCCATCATTTGTTAAGGGGCGGAGGGTGCCTAATACTGCTGCTTTGCTATCCTTTATTGTGATGATAACACTCACAATGACGACGATCAAAGCAGTACTGTGTTTCCCCTTTTTGTTTCAAGTCATGGACGAATGCCCACTTATGCTACTTTTGTATTCATTAAAATTCCATTTACGCACCCTCAGCTTACTTGAGTAGAATACATTGAATTCTTGAGGTACCGTCGAAACTCGAGTTTATATGCCCTTGGCAAGGTATGTCTAGATGTGATTTCTACTTCGACTACCTACAGTTCAAGAACCACATCTCTTATCAGAGCAGCGAAGTTCTTTAATGTAGAAATATCTGTTCTCTCGCGAACATATGCTGATCTCGAGGCGGGTTAAAAATCATTGAGCGCCATACCATTAACGAATGTTATGCCAAAATCACAACCTCTCACTAATAATAAACCCACCCACAAATCACAATCTATTCCGTGAATACCAGTAAATATATCCACTCCATCCCAGTAACATCAACAACAACTCATGTAAGATTACTTTTCTTTTATACCACTTGTGTGATAATCGTCATGGCTTGAAGTATCTTTAATAATTTTTGGTATTTCTTCTGTATTGAGAATTTTTAGTTTCAATCACTTATTCCTCCAGCATTTCTTGGTTTCGTTATAGGTGTGGGTATAAATTTTAGAGAAATTTCTTCATTTTATTGGAAAGCGAGATTGCTGATTTCTCAGTGTGGTAGACTTTCATGGTAGATATTTTGTCGACAGGAAGTCATAGTATATTCCCCGTCCTGTCTAGCTGAATTTCCGGAGACATATCAGAAGGAACTCGCAAAGCCTACTTTTGAAATTCGCGCCACATAGACCCGGACTTCGAGTGTCCAGTAAGCTTTATTGTTTTCCCGCAGTTGCCCTGCTTGATATGATTGTCTAGACTTAATCTTCGTGTTCTTTTGTATGAGCATCTTGGGTGTTGGCTTCAAAGTGCTATACTGAGTTATTCTCTATCACTACATAGTATCCCGGCTTCAAACTTCCAAGTTCTTTGTAACTCTGTTTTGAATCTTAATTGAGTGATGTTACTGAAAAGTGCCTGGGATAATATGACTTAACGGATGCTTCTCCATTGAGCAGGACATCGCATTGTGACTCCTACACCTTTTAGGTCGTCGCATATTGGTGGGCCGTCGTGCAATCATTGATGTCTTAATCGAGGTAGCTTCACCGGTTGCATATTCGAAAGGGAAATGAAGATGGAACAAAGCAGTGGTGGTTAGGCTATCTCCTTAGTTATTCCGGAAAGCGTCCAGCAATTAGGTTATCTCCACGAGCAGCTCTTTTTGTCGAAGGTGTTCCATGGAACGTGTTGGAGGGACAGAAGCACAGCAAGAATGATCCCAGCGCTTGGGAAAGACGAAGTTCTCGATCATTCTAGTCTGCAGCGAGTTGATTTTTTTCAGTAGCAGCTACAGCTTTGAACTAGCTCAAGTCAGCTCCATCAATTGCCCATGTGTCCAATCTTCATAATTTGGTGCAGCTCCATTCTTAACATCCTCAAGCTCCCAAGCCAACAAATCCTTTCTTTTTGTCAAGATATGTGACAATGGAGCAGCTTGCTTAATTCCCATAATATCTGAGATAACTCTCAATCTACCAGCTACCCAATGGCACATCATATCCGACACCGCAGCCGTGCAAGCCGCCGTATATAAAGGCCATAGCAACAGATTACCACTAACTGCTTTGGCACTGTCTAAAGCCACTTCTCCACCCTCCTTGTATCCAAGCATAAACGGAACGCTAGCACATATATCATGTGACAATTGGATGATAGTTGTGGTTGATGTTTCCAATTGAGAATCAGAGAAAGTAGGGTTTCTCGGCTCCGAGACGAATAACTCGGGTTTGGTATATTTGAGATGTGTAAGCTGAACATAAACAACCTCATTGATGAGGATCCGAGCGCATCGATAATGGTTCCAGAGTGCGGCTGCCCAGATACTATCGTAAATATGATAATAATCTGAAAAGATACCTTCAGACCTTTGCCTCACGGTAAGAGTTTTGTAAAACATACTCTCGGGAGGACAGATAAAAGCCCACTCTACAAGCTTGGAGTCAATTGTAAGAGCTGCTTTGATAATATTTTCGGCATTGCTATGATCATGAAAAGAAGACATCGTTGCACGTAAATCGCAAAACTCCATCACTTGTTCCGAGAGAATTGTAGCATGGGCATCATCCGGTGATTGAAACTGGAGCGCATAATTTGACCAATCACGAATAAAAGATGGAGTAGAAACATGGCGTTGTAGACAATTTGTGATCTAGAAAAATCAATATCCATAAGTCGAAATTGAACCAGAAGATTACATACAACCTGAGTCCGGAGATGAAGAAATAGATGCCGACCTATAGGGTTTTCAAGGCACTGCTTTCCTCTTAATTGCATCAATGATGAAGCTCCGATTATATGCTTAGTCCAGGATTGCATCGACTGAGGACCAGTACATGTATTTGTCTGATGAGTTCTTAGCGTTAGAAGGTTTCACGTCTGTCCGTAAGACTTACTTCATAAAGGCCTAAAAGCATTACCGCCACAAGGGTTTGGTCTGCTCGTGCTTCAGCTTCGTTTCTCAGACGAGAACTGACAAGCCTTAGAGCAGAGTTATACTTTCTGTTTGCATGAAGTTGGAGATCAGGGGCTTTCCAAAAGTTCGCTAAGCCAACCATGCCCAAGGATTCAATACTATCGGCCAAAGCGGACCCAATGAGCTCATTACCATAGATGTCGTGGAGATACTGGAAGCTACCACTTGTCGACTTATCTTCTAAGACGTAGTTTCGAAAAAAGTAGCATGTAGCCTGCTCAGATGAAGAAGTAGAAAGCTCTATTGTAAGTGGTGTGGTCTGCGTCACAAGCTGAAGCTTAGGTTCGCTGGTAAATTGAGGATCTATAGAGAAATCTAATGCGTCATTCGACGCTTTATTTTTCTGCCCAGATACCGACGTTCGAGATTCTTTCCAAATTCGACGTTTATTTGCATAGTGTTTCGTTTGGTCACGAAACATCATCTCTGCTTCAGTTCTGTACCCTGTGCAAAAACGTCCAGCACGAATACATTGTGAACATGAGGGCGTCAGAGTGTCACACTAGTGTAGATGAGTGACTGATTCTATTCTTCTACGAAGTGCTTGCTCACCTTGGTTCTGCGAAGCCTGCATTCTGCGCAAGCTTTACTTGGCTTACCACAATAAACCATGTCGCGAAAGTGATGGAGATAACTGCGGTTGGTAAACTATGAGTCCAGCGCAATTTTATAGAGAAAAGAGGAAGGTGCTGAGCAGTCTATAAACGCATATTTTGTAGTTGTATCAAGAAGGAATACTGATCACATGAAAGAATGAGAAAGAAGTAAATTGAACTTGTTACTTGTTGCTTTGTACACTGATACCTCTGGTGATATGGCTGTGGAGTGAAGGTTTTTTTTCACTTATCATTCAGCTGCTAAGTCACTGTGTAAGACCTGGTCGGTATGGTGGGAGATCGGCAATGCAATGCAGATGAAGCTTGATTCCTCGAATTCCTTTGGATGGTTCAAACGCCCTATGGGGAAGATCCGGAACATTTTGATTGCTTGTTCGTCAAACGTCCGTGGTTACGTCATCATCAGCCTTTTCCCTTTCGGGTATCCTCAGCGTAGCGTATTGATTACTCAGCCATATCATTGCGCTAGCACACACCGCCCACTTCCGAATCATCGGATCGTTTACTCTTTATTTCTTCCAATTCCGAATGGATCTTGCGACGATCAAACCATTACTAGTATGACTGCGACGGTGGGAAGCCTTGATATGGCAGCTGGCTATGTCTGTAGCACTATTCCGTCAAGGGACCGAGCATCCACTAGTTAACCTAACAGATGGATCTTGCCAGCGTTGACCAGGTATCTCTATCGCGACGTTTCCGCTCTACCTTGCTACGAGAGTGAAATCAAGGAGTCGATTGCCTGGTTTCCTTCATTGATACTAACACTACTCATCCGTTCCTAATTCTGATCTCTTCCTTATTTTTGAAGGATTCCATGCTAGTGTGTGCCTTGTTATTGGAGAGATATTGGGTTTCTTGAGACCAGAAAGAGCATCAGATTGAATTGATTGATTCTCTAGCTAAGCAGTTAAGCTGCGAGTATATATTCAAAAAATGAAGGAATAAGGTTAGGTATTCAGCCTTCGGAATTAAAGTGCTTTGAAATCAAAATATTGAAAGCAAACAAACAGTATACCAAAAAGGAAAGAATGAATTAAAAGTTGAGTTTTGTTTGCTCCTTATATGCATCATGCAATATATATGCATATGCTGCCAAGATCCGAGGAGGTCAACAAGAGATGATTACTCGACTGCCCTCTACTTTTCTTTTGAACACTGATGAAGTACCTGTCAAAATAACTACACTGCTCTTTCTCTCTGCACACCTTAAAAGCTCCAGCAGTCATTATATGATTTCAAGAAAGCATTGCACATGCAGAAATCGATACAGATGTCGTTCCCTTACCACACGCTATTTTCGTAATATTCTCTTATAAGATTCGGGACACCGGACCCTTGTAAGAATAGCTTTGGCTATATAATTGAAACTTACTTCAATCAGCATGTTTGACTGGTCATACGTCACTTGTGTAATTTCTAAGATAAGTTTATGATCTAAGTATTACCTGAGTAAAGAACTGAAACAAAAACATGAAATCGATTGACCTTTCTTATTTGCCTTGGAAAAGGACGAAAGGAAGTAAGTTACAGAGGAAATTTGGCTCTTTTTTAAAAATTCAAGGGAATGAGAGCGCGAGGATGATGGATAGGGATACGAACAAGATTGAGAATGAGATGGCGATAAATACGGGTGTTAACTGTGAAGGAGTAATTAGCCATCGAAGTAAGCGAACATTACCAAAACGGGTATCCTCGAAGTAGCGTGGTCCAACATCACCAAACTACCATACAAACATTACGCTCTTCATTCCCAATCGAGACATTGTTTCGCAACCATCGCATTGCTAGACCTCAACATGAAACGATGAAAACTGCTCAGAAGTATCTGATTTTGGACATTTGCACTTATTGCGGAAAGGGTTTCGCACCCTTCAACACCTTACCCTCTTTGCTTACCTTGCTTGTCATTAATCTCACTTATCGATGCATTGTTTAAAGATGAACTTAAATGATCGAGAATATAACATTCCTTCGTATAAAGCAGCTACTTCTGTCCAAATTATTGTGAATATATACACTTCCTGAACACACATACAGATTGATTTCCAGCCCCTTGTCATCAAAGTACCTATATCATCTCCCAAGTATTTTCTTATTCCACCGAAAGTATGGGGAAACTCGTTGGACTCATTAGTTCAGGCATCGGCCTTGCCATGGAAGCCAAAACGTCCTATGGATCTTCAAATAACAAGACCTATGTCAAAGATGGAAGTCGTGAGTTATCTTTCACGAATTAATCCCATAGATTTTCTAACGCTGGAAATCTTGTGTATGAATGCTAACGCACAACAGTCCCACTTCGAACATCCTCGAAGACATATCAAAATATTAATAACGAAGAAGCATATCGAGATATTCAAGCCTATTCCGATTATCAAAATATCCTGTCCGATCGCATAAATGCAGACATGCAGAAAGATGAGAGTTATCGAAGATATTTAACGGAGAGTCCTCGAGCTTCACCAAAAGGAAGCACATACGAACGTGATATTCCCTTCTATGCTCACGAGCTACCAGAGCAACGAACTCAACCAGTAAGAGGACTTTCTTGTCCTGTAATACTACCACAACGAAGACCTGAAGATCAGAGTCGTGGTATCATCCGAGCGTATTCCCCAGAGCTAGCAGACTGCGGAATAGATCAAATGACTTTTATAAAGTTCATTGATGATTTCAATGAAGCCCATAAAGTAAGTTTAAAGGTATGAATATCATTTCCACAGTACTTAACTCAAATATAGTCATCTCCCTATCTCGATGCCGTTAATGTGGCAGCTCAAGGTGTTGGATTTGCACCCGGTATTGCTCCAATGGTTGTATCCATGGTCGTCCCAATTGCAGTCAAAGCTGCCAAAGGTTACCAAACACAAAGACAGTGAGTTGAAAAGATTACAAGGACAGTAAAAGCAGTCAAATAATATCTTGCTTAGATCGACCTCTTTTCTAGACCAAGCCAATACAGAACTTTTCATCCCACACGGTCTCTTTGCCATGGTTCTAACATTCAAACCAAATCAAACACAGGATCCATATGGAGTACCAAAACAAATGCAACTTCCACCTTCAGCACCCCTCATCTATCCCGAAGACGAAAGACGTTCCCAGCAAACAGGCTTGAAGAAAATGGGCCACTTCATCGCCGATTATGGAGATCGAAGAGCCCAAGCTCGATATGTATGTAGAATTCTTTTTTGTGCTAGGAAAATCTATCTCATAAATCATAGGCCTATAACAATCCCAATTCATCATTTGCTAGTCCACTAGCGACATTTGAAAGCCGTTGGGCGGATCCAAATCATCCCGCCAATAGCAGCGGACTTAAAAGCCTCCTCACTGGTATCCCAGACGATAAGAGCTCCCGCAAGCAAGAAAAGGAAGATCGTAAACGAGATAGAAAAGATCGCCATCGCAGAGGAAGTTCAAGTAGTGATTTATCAAAAAGAAGTGGACTATTAAGCACCACACTTAGCGCAGCAGGGGAAGCGAGTGGAAGAGAAAATCTCTCCGGAAGCAGACGACCAAGCTCAGTAGGAACAGCAAGAGGGATGATCAACGGGCCAAAAGAACAAAATCAGAGTATAATCAAGGGGATTAAAAGTCTAGGGATGAAAACTGATATCTTACACTTGATGATAACGAATAACACCGACGACGAACAAGTCTCAACTTCATCGACGAGATCTCAAATCCCATTCATCTATACATCAGCAATTCCACCATTTCATTCCCAATCCACATACCGGGACCCAGATATTCGACTTCATTCATACGAGCTAAACCAAAATCTCACTTATACCCATTGCACCACACGTCAAGGTCATGATGTTCCACCATCAGCATACAGAGAAGAAGCTATAATACCGACGAGATATTATAATCATGATCAGATAAGACGAGAGGAAGAGGAATTTTGTATTCCTACTTTATGAGGATGTAAGATCTTACGATCTTTATTGTGCTATAGCACGAGATGATGCTTTGTTTTATTTTTGGTGTAGTAGGTTAGGTTTATTTGAGAGTTGGGTTGGGATTTGTTGATATATTTAATTTTTTATTTTTTTTCTTTGGATATCTGAGTTTTTACCTGTTCTTTGAAATTGCCACTGTTTGATTTATATGGGTATTCTGTAAGATCTTACAAGAGAGCATTCGGTTTATTATTCAGTAGAAATGCTAGTCTCATTACTTTCGTATCGAAATATTGTGAAAATACATCACCCTGCGTCTGGGTGCTTTGGTGTAGGATATCTCTTTTTCAAACTGGGGACTTATGTAGATGCATCAGTTAGGATAACCACTTGGCAGAATTCAGAAGACGAAATAACATTTGAAACCTTCATGGACTCAAATATCAATCAATCAAAGTAGTGAAAGGACATGTACCAATAGTGATAACCTGAATTGTAAACTACTGAAACTAGAATCTTTCTACATAAATGAGTAAACCATGTTCCCCACTACCAATCCTCATCTTCTGCAAAACGAAAAAAGTTCAATTCTTCGCTACTTTCCCCAGTAAACTAAAAGTTTCCCATCTCATACCTTCACCATTTTCCGGTCCCTCAGCATCCCACCCCGCCCAACCATCATCTTCATAATCAGGTTCAGCAACTTTGCTCCATCCTCGTATCAGAGCTCTCCAATAACAAGCTTCGGAAGCAGGAGACAAGTACTTGGTGAATAGATCTCTTTGTCTTTTGGCAATACCAGTAGCTATCTCAGGATTCTTTCGTAGATACATGATTGTTTCCTCGAGATCTGACCAGTCGGGTTCAACGAATATGATGTTCGCTTCACTTTGTCCGTATGTTTTAGGCCAACGAGTTGCCCAATCATAGCCGGTTTCCGGGGATTCTTCACGCGCCGAAAAAAATGAGCTTGAAAATATTGGACGCATGAAATGTGTATTGTGAAGTAGATATGTTGGTGGTGGAGTGAGGATAATGGAAGCACACGCTTGATGGAAGAGCAGGCGCCCGGAGTAGGTTATACCCTCTGTATAAACGATATATTTGTACCTACAAAAGTCTTCGATTCCAATAGCATTTTCAGCACTTTCGCTGTTTGTGTTCCATTTGAGAGCTTCTATATCTGCCCATTCCTTCTCTTTTCCCTTTTGAATTAGACCTGGTCGCAAGTCTTTATTACCGACTGTATTGAACCAACCTGTTCCTCTCCATACTGCTTTATCGATTTTCTCGGTCCATTGTGTGTTCTTCTCTATGTCCTCAATTTTAGATAATGCTTGATCAACGGTACCAATGAATGATAACGGCCAGGACCAAAAACTAAAGTGCGGCATAACCCAATAGTTGCCATTCTCAATATGAGGGTCATTCGATCTAGAGAATGCCCAAGAGTTATTCATAGGAGTATCGAGTATGTTGAATGCGAAAATAGTGTTTGGAAGAGGGGACGGGGAGGTAATGACGGCACGGTGAAGTTGATGTAGAACAGAATCTCGCTCCTGTAATATGATTATCAGACCATGTACGAAGGATATGGAGAAAGAGACAAACCTGGAGCATATTCCGGGGGAGGCTAGGGTCCGTGGAAATTATATATACCTAATCTGCCAGTCAATATAGCTAGCAACATGTATGTTTCGGTGCTCAAATATGACCTTTCCATCCTTTATTCTTCCTTGCACAAGCCCTGTACGATGATCCGGCTGTTTCCTGAGTGGAAATGGTCCTCGTGCCACTGCATCATCAATCTCCTTCGTCAAGCCAGGAAAATTTGCCGCGCATTGGTCCTCCGTCAAAGAAAGTGACTGAAGAATGTCCACAGAAGGTTTCTGCTCGTCGACTGAGAACTGAATGATTGATGATCGTAGATTTGTAGGCTGCTTATTGTACAGGTAAACGCAAACAAGGACAGTCAAGAGAATTATGCCAATGTGAGTAGGGCTTCTGGAACGGTACGCCATGCCTCATGATTGGCATGTGAAGACTTAATACAGTGGAAAAGTAATCATCGCCATCTTTGATATTCAAAGACGTTTCATGATGAACAAGGTTGGCACGGGAAACAGGAACTCGCGCCGATAAGCCTATTGAGTGGTAAATGTGTGCTTTAATTCGACGTTGTGAAAAACAGTGCCAGATGAGTTACAGAATACATACTCAGAACTCACCGTTCCGCACGCATACCTTGAGTGTATCGATAACCTTTTTAGCAGAAGGAGTCATGATGACGTCGCCGAAGTGGTTGAGAGAAGGGGAAAACAAAAATGTGGGTACTAGATCAGAATCATTGATCACGTGGCATGCCACAACATCACGATAGTAACATCACATAAAAATCTCCTTCACACCAATCACCAATTCTCAACATCGATACAAGAAATTTGAAGGCAGAGCAGGAACGATGCTAGTTACATCTCAGACACCGCAGACCTCATTCTGGATCCCTATTCACTTTGATCCCCCACAAGACAGACTAATCTTCCCAGCAGAAGCCGAACGCATCATCCGTAGACAATATCCCAAAATATCCCAAGATACCCCTATCATCCCAGATATCTTTTCAAACAGTACCTAATTTCATCCAAATTCATCATTCCATTTCCGAATCTCCATAATTAAGAAATCTGCTGCATCAAACTTCTAGCATATTATTTACAAGATCATCATAAACAGAATACATAACACAGCAAGGCCGACCCCATTGCCCCACAAGTTTCGCTAGAAAAGGAGGGGGAGGGAATTATTATATTTGGTTTTGCTGGACTTGCTTTTGAAGGACTTTTGTGATAGATTTGTAACTGAGATTTGATGAAGTAGATTAATGACAGTCTTTGTTTTTTGTCGATTATTTGAATATTTTATATTGTATATATAAATATTTCTCAAAATCAAATGTTTCGTGGTATATCTGTAATTTTATCATCTTATATTCCTTATTTACTATTTTCTTTTATTTCACATTTGTCAAGAATCTTAATCTTACAATAAACAACTACTGCATAGATATCTCAACTACTCCGCAGGCACCTTTTTTTAATCTCCCCAAACACAAATAACCACACCAAAAACCTAAACCCACCATCCAAATCAGCAGTCATAAACTCCATAGACCCAAACTCCATAAAGCCAAAGCCAAAAATATCCATAAACAAACAAACAATCAATCAAATCACTTCAACAATCTCCCTACATCCATCAACTCAATACTCTCCCTCCCCCTTCAAATTTTCCCATGTTCTCCCGCCTGAACCTGAAATATGCCACCACTCACCACGATTACTCAAATCTCGTGTATTCAATTCGTATCCAGGCGCACTAGCTCTGTCATTTCTTTCTTCGCTGAATGTATTCGTGGAACCCTGCACTTTCGTTTCTCCCGTCTTTCTCGTATCCCTCGTATCATCCCTCTCACACGCAAGACCACTCCCCAAAACCCCTGAATTATCACAAGTCCCCGACATATGCGTAACATCAGGGTTACAAGCACGACCCTCACCCTCACCCGAAGGACCATCACCACCACCCTGAATCCTCGTTAAACCCTCCGCCCGCGTCATAATACCCACTCTTCCCCCTTTCCGCCTAATACCACCCAGAGATCTCCCACTCAGCACACAATCAACATCCCTCCCTCTCACCCGTCGTAAATTTTCCGAAAACCCCGCAGCTTCCCCCCCACGAAAAGGATTCCAACGAGTCCAGAAAGAAGCATCAGCTGATACACCATCACTCTTCCTCTTCCTCTCACTCTTACCCACACCACCAACCCCCACCTCATCAAGCAAACTCCCCCCCTTCCCCTCCCCAGCCAACTCCTCCAAAGATCTCCCCATAGTCTCCGGAACCAGAAACGAAACACCAACACCACAAACCATACACAGCGCAAAAATGCGCATAAGATATTTAAGCCGCGGAGAACACTGCGATGCACTTATCCGACAATGTAGCGAATCCGTCTCCTCGTTCATAAGTAACGGTAACGAAATCACCTGCGCGATAATCGCACCTAGTTTTCCACTCGCGGCACTAATACCATGACCCGTAGCTCTGTATCTCGTAGGGAAACATTCCCCGGGGATAATAAACGTAGTAGTATTCGGACCGAAATTGAAGAAGATGTGGGCGAGGATGTATAGAGTGAGTAAGGGACCTTTAGATAAAGAATCATATAAGAAACCGATTATGCAGAAGAGAAGGGTGAGGATTGCAAAGCTGAATATTTGCAGGCGTTTGCGTCCCAGTGTGTCGATTGTGAGGATGCTGATCCAGTAGCCGGGTATACTGCCTGCGCATACTAGTGCTAGGTTTCCTGTTGCCGTGTGTAGTAATATGTGGTAGAGAGTCGGTCCTGTACCATATCCGATGGCGTTTAATATAGTACTGGCATTTAAACCGAGACCATAGTATGCCAGATCGAGGAAGAACCAAGAGAGTGAGGTACCTAGCAGTATTTTGGCATGATCCCATTGAGAAAAGTAATGGAAAATATCAGACCAAGAAGCACTAGACTCAGACAAATGATACCTGTGATACCTTTTCATCTTATTCTGTAAAACCAGATCAACATCCCCTTCAGCATCGTTCTTCACAAAAGCATTAATATCCGCATTAGTCTTTTCCATATCATGCGCCACATCGAAAGTATACCGTGGAGTTTCCGGGATCGTGATTCGATAATACAGAGCGAAACAAGCTGGGATAGCTCCGAAGCCAACAATTATACGCCATGCTTTATCCGCTGCAAGTTGGCATGCTGGATCACAGGTATCGAATGTGTTGGATGTATTTATTAGGGAGTTTTTGAATGCATATGTGGTTATAAGAGCGATGAGGGCAGCGGCAAATTGACCGCCGCCTTGCATGGAAAATACTGCGGCCATCATTCCTCCTCTCCATTTTGTTGGGGCAAATCTATGAATTTATCAGTACTGTATCTAATGGAAGATAGAATGCGTAAAATGGAAGGAAGTAGTATCCTGAATATTTGCAAGACTTGAAGAGATACAAAAGCAAAGTCTGAGTATCAAACTCCCAAAAACCTACTGAAGCAAGTATTAAAGGCAATAATCCATCTCAAAAAGAAAACATCTTATCTTACTCCGAAGTAATAACCGCAGACAAAGGATAATCACCGCCAATCCCAATGCCCAACAGCACTCTCCAAAAAATAAACACCCCCGCCATACCCAGCGCCGGACTACGAGAACTCAAGCACTGAGCCAGCGTAGCCAGTATAACAACAGCAAGTTCAACACCATACATTTTTCTCCTTCCTAAAAAATCCGCCAACCATCCGAATCCAATTTGACCGATGATTGCACCACCTGAAGTGGCGGCTTTGATGGCTGTATTGATACCCGTGGGGAGAATACCATGATTTCCTCCTGTGCTGGGAGGACCTTGCCAGTACACCATACCGAGCATTGATGTGATAAGATTGACTTGGGGAAAATGTTAGTTTTGAGGTGGTTTCGGTTAATCTTATGGATTGGATGCATATGGAAGACGTACTGGCGAATATATCGTAGGAATCTGTGAAGAATCCAATACCTGCCACCACGACAGCGCGAACGTGATACCAACCAAAAGGAACCTAATAGTAGATTAGATACAGCTTCACGAAACGCGTCAAGACGAATTGGAAACTGAGTGATGGAAACAGGATAGGATTTCAAGTAATTGCAGCTACCGATGACTTTCATATTATATCAGAACAGAAAGACTAGACGATAAAATCATACACACCTTATCAATTTCAGCCAAAGCTAATCTCCTCCTATAATTCGGATTGACGATATGAGAATAATCATTATTAAAATTATGAAACGCAGCATTGCCACCGCAAGTTTTAGTATTATGTTTAGAGAAAGGAAGAGCTGTTTCTGGAGGGACATTCATGATGATTCCACGATTATCTGGGTTGAAGAATAAGTGGAATGGTTTTGAAGAGGAACTTGTACTAGAAGTTCAAAGTTCAAGTGACTTAAGGATCTTGAGTAGCTAGGTAGCGAATGGTAGGTAGATAGACAGAACCAATATGATGTTGATGTTAGATATAGTGAAGAACTGATCGTGAATTATGAGTCGTGTATCCAGACGACTTTGCAGTGTATTGATTGGTTTCGTTGTATTCATATACTTATATATAATGAATAGCATACAATGATTCCCTGACAAAAGAAGACTATAATTCTGCTTCTGAGACATTTTAAGAAGTCAGAAGTGAATCCAATTCAAGAAGCAGACATCGTGATGAGAGTAGCTCGATCGAAGTAACAGGTATTGAATATAAGGCGACGCAATATCATTATCATTGGTAAAAGAAAGTCCCAGGAAATCGGTCAAGCCGCGCGATAACATCAAGTCCTCAAGATATATTTATGAGAAGTAAAGGATATAAGCCTTAGATTCATAATAGGATATCCGGTACATATTACCCGCGCTGATTCTAGTTAGATACATATAAAGCCTTTATTATATCCCCGGTTCCGGGCGTGGGGCATCATGGTCTAGATGTATGCAAAGTGCTCTATGCGGGAAGAAAATGTTGGATCTTCATTTAGATTAGATGCGATGGTGTGAAGTACGGCATTGAAAACGCACATTAAAATCCCGAGTACTTGGTAAGTCTTACGAGGACCTTGTCCATCTTAGAAGTATCTTGAGCACCGAAACTAGATGGGTACACTCAGCACTGACAAGTTACTAATCCATGTCAGATCATCATAGACCCATGAGATGATTGAGCTAATCAGTGAATAAATAAACTCGTAAGAATTCTGGAATTTACTCACCGCACATTAAACGAAATCACACCAAAAATTAATGATTTTTAACTTTTTTGGATCTTTGTTATCTTTATCAAAAGTTAGAATGATTTATTGAAATTTATATCAATATAAAGATAACTATGATCAAAAGAATGTTTATAGACTAGTGTTACGAGGTTTACCGTCTAGATCACGTGGAAGTGCTCTAGGCTCTCGAGATGGTTTATAACTAGGCGTCAAGCAGGGACTTAAAGTAATGACAATAATGCAATTCGTAACTAATAGTAGAGTATACTAAATGATTGATCTTGAACACGAATCTCTATACAAAGGAAATCCATCTTGATTATATAGTCCTTCATGCTTCTATGATTACTGGTGATCCTTCATGATCATTAGTGATCATCTATATCGTGATCCTTAGTGATCCTTAATGATCACTACTGATCATTTGTGATCACGTGTCTTGGTAGTTGTGTAGCCCGTCGTAACAATTATTCATTTATTTATATATAAAGTAACTATCCCTATCTATAGATGCTCTTCACCTGTAGATTTTAAGTTAAATACAATTGCTGGTCTATAAACACCCTTTTGGTCACACAAAACGTTGTAGTGTACAATAAGTAAAGTCCAGAAGTCATACAAGTCATACAAACCCCAAGCATCAACCACACCACATATAACAATCTCAATCTCAATCTCAAAGTCGACCTTCGAACTCCGAATTTCAAAAGAAATAAAAATAAAAATCATCTCACCAACACCCAAGATCAACAAATCCATAAATCCTCCGTACTCTGTAAATTACCTCCAATCCACAGAGTATATATTGAACATGTAATCTGACTACCTAATAAGAGGATATTTCCGCTTGAGGAATCCTAGTCCCACTTATAACATCCAGGGATGCTAAATAAGACCTTACTAAATATGTAAACATCTTATGATAACCCAACAACTTATCAGCTATCATCACTTTCACTTTGCTACCCAAAAGTATCAGCCAAGAGATTTCTTAAACGGGATGATGAAAAATGATTGATTCTAGGAATTTGATGCTATCTAATTTTATTACTTTTTGTGTCTAAGGTCTATTGGCTCCATTCATAATGCACTACCTCTCATCCCATTCATCCATCAATTTTCGATTTTTCGTCCCCCGTTCCCTTCCTTTGCTTTCTGTCATCCATTCTATTTGTGATGCTACCCTCAATATACATACCTCAGCTCCATCTATTGATGAATTTTGTCTCATGGAGTATTTCGTCTTACTCTCCATCCCTTAACATCCATGTACTGCCAGGCCCAAAATGATCCATCATCTAATCATATACCCCATTTAATTTCCATTTCTCTGGAATTGAATCGATCCTCATCCACTCGCACATCTGCATGTATCAATAGATACCAGGCACAATAACCCACTTAACTTTCTGACAATAAGTTTCCCAACCTTTGCCATATTTCTTCGAACACCTTTCCTCATCTCGCCAGCAACGATGAATCAACAATATCGTCATGAAAATTGCATAAGTCCATGGTAGTAAATTATTGATACCACAAGCCGCACACATGGAATATGAAAGGATAAGATCACCCAGATAGTTGACATGTCTAGCCAAACCCCACCAACCGGAGCAAAGAAGAATACTTTCGTGTTCCTTTCCATCTTTGGTTCGATATGTAACGCGTAAAACATCAGCTGGAGCACCCCAGAGTTGACACTTTCCTTTAGTGCGACGAGCGAGATCTTTTTGGTGGTTGACGCTGCGGAAGAGAACGTAGCCACTAACGCCTAAGGCAAATATCGTCATGGCGGCAAAAGGTGATAGGGAGTTAGGATTTATTGAGAGATATTGAGTTTGAAGGGTATACATAGAAGGTAGCCACACCATAGATCCCCAGGCAAGGTAGAAACCAAAGTGATCATGACAAATATCAATGGTACGAAGGTACCAATCTTCATTGATGAAGAAATCCACAACGTACAAAGTATGGAGAAAAGTGCTCAGAAGGATTGAATTGGTGATATATCCATGGATTTGGTATTGGTATGCAATGAAGGACATGTCACTATATAGAAATTAGGTTAGTGAGAGAATCATGAAGGGAAATGAAGGGCTGATTCAACGTCTGATCAATGTGATGAGATAATAACATACATGAGAGTCCAAGCAATTATCCCAGGTCGACCATTGTGAAACAATTTGAAGTCAAAGTGCTTTCCGAATCTAGGATTCAATTCAATTCCCATATATAAATCGTACAAAATAGATCCTGTCACGTGTTAATATCACATTCCAAAGGATGCCATCATGAATGAAACTCACCACTGAATTTTCGATCGCCTTCATGAGTTGGACTCAAATGAGCTTTCAAGTAAGCAAATCCAGATAGCAAAAATCCATAAACATTGACCGAAATCAATAATGCTTGCCAATGCTTTGCCAAGATTGCCGGATCTAAAAGTCCACAGCATGACGAAATGAGAAACAAAGCATGAGTGACAATCCAAGCTGAAAGACCATTCGTACGATATTTGAGAAGATATCCGGCTGGAGTAAGTTGACCTGAACTCAATTTTGTAGGTAAAAATTGATAAAGAATGGCTTGGAATAACAACCAAGCACCATAACCAACATTCGTTCTCATATTTCCTCGTGGCGCATGTTGCCATAAGAAATTGACAGGACCCATCATTGCCATTGTTTTGTATGTTGAAGTTAGAGAACCACCGAATCGCGAAAGTGCGATCCAATAAAATATAACAATTAGAGGACAGAGAGTCATGATACTAGCACACCCTAAGGAATGTAACCAAGAACCATGGTGATGCCGTCGACCCCATGAAATACTCGAATCTCGAGTTGTTGAGAATGAAGCCAATCTTGATCGATTCAAGGTTCCATTTGATTTATCGGGAGCATCTTGTAAGTTTTTCCCAATTACATGGTGAAGATCTGGTGAAGGGAGAATAATTGATTCCATCGTGGATTGGCCCAACGATAATTTGGTATGTGAGGATGGGGGAGGGGGTGAAATGTTGTGGTTGAAGGTTTGTGATGCAGTTCGAGGTTGTACAAATGATGTAAGAAAAAGTCAATGATGATTTGATTGAGGTACCTACTAAATTAGGTAGTGAGTAGCCTTTGTGAGTAGAAAAGCTGAATGAACTAAAGAAGGAGGAACAAAAAGGTCGGACGAATTAAAAAAATCCAAATAAATGAAAGATGGAATTGAAGGTGGTTAAGAAGATTCAAGTGGTGAGAAGAGGAAATGAGAAGAGAAAAGAGGTAAGAAATTAAAGACCAGAGTCCTCAAGGTTGAATAGTAGGTACCAATATTAGGTATGTAGACGACAGTAGTTCGCAAGTACCTAGTGATAGGAGTCGTTGTTGTTGCGGTTGCTGTAGTTGTAGTTGTATTTATACCTAGTAATAATGGAGACGGTATGAATCATTAATTTTCATATGTTGTGGATGTGGATGTTCCTATATAAGTAGTCTTAATCGTACGTCGTCGTCGAGAATGAGGTAGATAAGGTATGGATTGAATTGTATGTAGTAACTAGAACTTATATATACTAGGTATCTAGCCCTCAAAGAAGGAAAGAAGAAATGCCAATCCAAATTTCGAAAGGGAATGAACGGAATGCAAGGTACCCGTAGAGTACTCCGTAAAGTAGTAATGCCGGTCATAGAAAGCAAGTCCAAGGCAGGACTCACTTCAAAATAACGGTATTGGGAAAGTCTAAAGAGAGGAATTTCCCGCTTGCAAGTTCCTTTACTACTTTCTTTTCCGCCTCAAAGCTACTTGTACTTGGTAGGTACTTGCTGGGAAGTCTCTACTTTCTACTTTCTAGTCTTTAACCTACCAGTTGATAACCTACCTAATGCCCCTTCCAACACCGATAATTAAAGTATGCTATGTGAGTAGGAAGTAAGTGCACTTCTGTTATACCGTACCTCGATTAAAAAAATCTTATATGTACCTAGCAGATAGGAATGGAAGCAAGATTGAGCATCGACTTAGAGCTTAAAACCTGGTACAAATCAGTGAAATATACATGGTTATCATTTAAACTGTCCCGCTGTTATCTTATTCTTCATAAATCCTAGCAGTAGTAAATCCTTGGAGTAATAAACCCTTAGAGTCGGGAAGCAAAGGTAGATAGATAGGTAGGTAAAATAATCAAGGGCAATCCCCCAAGAATCCACAAGACAATCGAAGTACAGAAAATAAATTCAAAACCTTATATTCTTACTACCTACCCGTTTAAAATCCTACCTTCCTTCTCCTTTTCCACAATTAAACACATAAGTAATCCTCCTCCTCTTATTGTTTTGTTTTGCTTCAGTTTGGTGACTTGAGACAAAAAGAAAAAAGAAGGAAAAAGTAAATTCAAACTTACGATGAGGTCAAGACCTTTAACATCCCTGACTAAGACACTAGGTATCTAGCTATGCATAGGTACTAGGTAGTTGCGACCGCACGAGTAACCAACCACAGGAGTTAACCCAATCCACAATAACCTTACTAAATTATGACTTGGAGAGATAAAGAAGAGAAAGAAGAAAACTCTAAAATGGATGAACTCACACAATCACGAACCGTTCGTATCAACTATCAACTCTATCCAACCAGGCATACACATATCCCATACGGAGACACACATAGGTATCTAGAAGCTCATCCCAGAGCTTACCGATAAGCTTGAATTTTTAGTTTCATCTGAGCCTGGTGGACTGGTGAACTGGTGGATCTAGTATACTAAATATACAATAGGTTTGATTACTTATCCTCGTATCCTCTTATTTTTCAGGGATGAATTGCGTAATATCTAGTGCAGAGTGCCGCATCGTGAAAGTACTGTACAAATACCTCCAACCAAAATAGATTTAAACTTCCCACAACAGTTCCTGAAAATGCTGTGTGACGCGAATACGAGCACGATTCTGACTGATTGCGGGGACTGCACACTGAGATGGACTAATAGCATGTACACATTCTATTGTCAGAATTCTATACATACAACCTACGTAACCGTCCTCCCGTATCGCATTATTGCATTACCTTGCCTTGTATTTTGATGCCTCTCCGCAACCTCTGCAATTACTTCTGTATGCCATCTCAACGCTGAAAGCTTGTTAAATCTTTTCATTATATTTGCTATTTCATGAAAGCAATTCTTTATGTTGAAGTAATCATATGATAATGCTCGGTCGGCATCAAGGTAGGTCTCCTTTTGATTTCTTTGGCTTTCAAGTTCAAGCACTGTTATATAGTCAGCCAGATTGTACCACGCCATTTGAGATTTGAATCAACACAGAGTAGGAACAGACAATCAGAAGGAAGGCAACGGAAAATCTCCACACGGTTTTGCGCTCTCGGGGATATAATGTTTTAACATCCGAAATATTTCATCACATAATCTCAAAGAAAGGTTCAATGGTGTGTGAACAAAAGAGACAAGACTGACCATCAAGTATCCATCTTTGCATGGAGATCTACCACATCAGCAGCAGCCTGTGAATATTGTATACTTTTTCAGTGATACTCCATTTACCATGCTGTAATATCATCCACTTCTGCCTCTCCAAAGGTGCTGCTTTTGGTGATAGCACCTACTCCATTTTCAGCTTCCACGTTTTCAATTCCAGGAGCTTCCATAATATCAGGTAGCACTTCATTCAAGAATTCCAAGATGTGTTGGTTGACCTGTTCAAACTGTAGCAAGAACGCATCATGACCTTCAGGGGATTCAATCTTCTTGAGACGTGCATTTGGTACCGAGGCGGCAATCTCCTTCTGTTCATCAAATGTGAAGAGTCCATCACTCTCAATACCAAGCACCAAGGTTGGTTGTTCGATTTGTGAAAGAGCTTCAGCAATAGGATTTTCCGAATCTGCCGGCACTCGATATCTAGAGACATCATGAGTGTCGAGTTTGCGGGTTATGGCAATGTAACAATTTCCATCAAAACGCTTAACAAACTTTTCACCCTGGTAGCGAAGATAAGATTGTGCAGAGAAGTAATGAGAAGTTGATTTGCGCTTGGGAACGGCGCGCTCCAGTGGCGGGGATGAGGAAGGAGTTGCGCCATGGAATTGAGGATCCGTAAAGTTTGCAGGATTGCCGCCATTTGCTGTTATATTTTCACTAGCCATGGTTGAAATTGCAGCAGAGCTTCCAGGCCTCGAAGAAATTGGTGATCTGGTCTGTCTGTGTCCATCATTGTGAATTGCTCGGTGTATATCCGATGCTGTGGTGGGTTGTTGATTTTCGCTTATCGTCTGTCTCTTCGAAGCATCGGGTATGTTTCGTCCAAACCTTGCCTCAAATGAGTTCCGACTTCTATAAGTAAGTAACGCAGACATACGTGCCGCGCCAAGACCGGCTGTTGGAGGATCTGAGAACGGGTAATAGCCGTCATCGTATTTCGGGTCCGCATAAATGCTTTGCCTTTGTGCTTCTCCCCAACTGATCCCCCAAGCACTATGCCTGCTGGATGTTGCAATTGGAACGATAGCTCGAACATATTCTTTGCCAAAGTATGCCCACTCTAGTACCAACATGCCTCCCATAGATCCCCCTATGACCGCGGCTACTTGCCGGACTCCTAAGTCATCTAAAAGAAGTTTGTGAATGCTGAAACAAGTCAGTCTTGTGCCAGGCTGCTTGATGGTTAACCACTTACTTGACATCATCTCGGATAGTTGTCAGAGGGAACTCAGGGCCATATCTCTCATTTTTTGGATCTCCATTCTTGCAAGTGACCGGACTTGCACTTCCGTAAGGGCTTCCCAGACTATTCATGCATATCACAAAAAATCTAGATATATCAAAAGCTCTACCAGGTCCGCCGAGAAGAGGTCCCCACCAATCGCTGACGTCTGCACTTCCGGTCAAGGCATGACAAATTACCATAGCATTATCGCGGTTGGGTGATAGTTTTCCTCGGGTGCTGTATGCCAGGGGAACATTTTGTAAAGTTTCACCGGACTCTAATGTGAAAGATGGGATGATCGCAATTATTTGGTCGGGTATGAGAGATGCAAATGGGTTCTCAGGTTGTTGCTGCGTTCTTTCTTGTAGTATTCAGTCACTGCTTCTCATCGGGATTGAGGGGTAGCTTTTGCAAGTCATCGGAGATCTAATTACTGACCGTATCTTGGTGAACGAAACTGGGTATCACTGACTTCTACTGAAGTTGCCATTTTATTATTAAGTAATTGATCGTTGATGGGACGCCGTCATCAATCCCAGTAATGATGGATTTTGCGAGTAAGGAGATTTTGAAGATTGTGAAGATTTTCTTTCAATGTCGGAGAACGGAACAAAAAAAACAATTCATGTTGTGTGACCTTAGGTAGGGTAGCCAGCCACAAGGGTACAGTAAAAGAGTGGAGGGAAACATTTGAACCCGTTTTGTGGATTTTTTTTGGTGATGAGGCTGAGGCTGAGGTGGAGGCAGAAGCTGAAGCGGAAGTGAGGCTCAACACTGTGGCTCAAAGCTAGGTACGCCAGTATTAATACAGTTTAGTGTTTAAATCTATCTCACGCGAACGCGGGAAACCTTTCATTGTTTAGGATTTGGAAGAATTTATGAATTTATATTGCCAATTGAGAATCTTCAATTGAAGTTAAAATAAAATTTATTAGACACTTGTTTTTGTTGTCGCACATAAGTTGTGTTTCATTTCAAAGTCATTTATCTATCCAACAACCACAGAATCTGACCAAAACTCAACTACGTCAACGCTGACAACATTCCAAATTCCAAATTAAAAAATCGCAAGTCGCAGATCGCACATCACACACGATTCTTGCTGTTATCTACCTTTCAACACACATGTGCGCAGATCGTTGAGATTTATCCATAATTTTGGAGATGGCTCCAGCAGGGAAGCGAAAGAGGAATGATAGAAATTCCGTTGACCAGGGTGAGCCTCGACCTTCACCTCATCGACCGGGAAATACTTCTTTAGGTCAGCACGAAAGAGATTCTGGTATGCGCGAGGGCGGTAACAGAAGGAGTAGCAGGGGAGGCCAAGGTAATCAGGGTGGAGGTGGAGGCGGAGGTAGAGGGCGCAGAATTGACAGTCGCAATTTGAATAATTCGAGCAGTGCGAGCAATCCTAGTAACCTCTCGATAGCTACCAGAGCCACCCCAACACCAGGACCTATGTCACCACCTCCCAGACCTTCGAGCGCTACCCAAACTCCAGCGCAAACTCCAACTCCAATGTCCACGAACGATATGGTCAGTCCCAGCTGGAACTCAGACCCTGCTCCCTTCGATTACGTTTTCCTAACCGACGATCAAATGTATTCATGGAACACAACTGGCCGACAAGAGGTGATAGAAAAGGGCATTCAAGCTCGCCAGGATGAAGACACCATGGATTTAGCCACGGTATTTCAAGAATTTATTCGAGCTACTCTCGATGGCCGCATCGATGCCGCGGATGCGGGCAGTTGCATCAAAGAAATATTGGGGCAAGATACTTCCCCGGCGGATAATGTCCCAGGCACCCTGGAACCGCAAGCTCTGTTTCTTGATTGTCTATCCATGATGTTCGAGTTAGAAGATCTGAAATCACCGAATGCGGCACTTCGCACATTTGTTTTCTCCACAGGTATATCGCCAATGGTTATGCGACAGAAGTTGGACGCTACTCTTCTTTTGAACCTCGGGCTTACAAGAGATACCTTTACACGCATGGGAATTCGACAAGCTACTCATCTCCTTTATCGACAGGCAAACTACAATCTTTTGAGGGAGGAAACTGAAGGATACTCGAAACTGGTTACTGAGCTTTTTACTACCAGTGGAAGTGAACCACCTTCTAGTGAGGTTGTCGAGGAGGCCTTTGAAAAGGTGAAAGGTCTCATTGGAACATTTGATCTGGATGTGGGAAGAGTGCTGGATATTACGTTGGATGTGTTCGCGGCGGTACTAATTAAGCAATTCCGTTTCTTTATTAAGCTTCTTCGGGCCAGTTCTTGGTGGCCGAGAAGCGGCGAATTTGATAAGATACCTCGATGCGGGGGTCTTCCACCATGGGCTTTACCGAGCGCCCCCGGTTGGACCTCCACCGATGAAGAGGAAGAATTATGCAAGAGGCAGCAACTAGAGCGCGACAAATTGTTCTGGAAAAGGGCTCGTGAAGTCGGGGTTGAAGCCTTCTTTGAGCTTGGAGGTAGGCAGCCTGTGGATGAAGACACGAAACAACGACTTATCAAAGAGGATGATGCAAAACTCGATGCAGATTATCAATGGATTAAAGCCACAGGAACGTATCCACCTTGCGGAAATCGAACGGCAGCTCAGTTGCTTGGGTTCAAATTACGTTTTTACACTTCCGCGGCTCGAGATAACGAGGATGTACTACCTGCAAATCTGATATACCTGACAGCATTATTGATCAAGATTGGATTTATCTCACTCAAAGATCTCTACCCTCATTTGTGGCCTCTGGATGAGGATATGGAAGCTGTTCGTGATGCTAAGATGAAAGAGATAGAGGAGAAGGAAAAGGCCAGTCGTGGAGGCACAATGAATGCATTGATGATGGCCGGCGCTCTGGTAGATGACACTCTACCAAATGGGGGACGGACTCGCGAAACAACAACTACCAAGACTGATGCTTCTGGGAAACAAACAGCAGAGCTTGACGACAAAGACAAACTGAATGAACCTTCAGACCAGAAAGTACAACTTCTCACTTGCCTTCTGACAATAGGAGCAATTCCTGAAGCTCTGTTTATACTCGGCCGCTTTCCTTGGCTACCGGAGGCTTATCCTGAGCTTCTTGATTTGATACATCGTATCTTAAATCACTCCATCCAGCATGTTTTTGATATGAGTCGACCATCCACTTCAGCGGCACCCGACTGCCCGGCGAAGAAAGTCCTAGATCCCGACCAAACTGGTATGCCGAAAGGCTCAATACGTTTGCTCGCTCTACCTCCTCGAAAACAACTGCGATGGCCTTTTCCAGATAAGTTTGACACGAACGAGAACAACGCGTACAGGTTCTACTGGGATGAGTGGGCAGATAATGTACCTGTGTGTCAGACCGTAGATGACGTATTCACTCTCTGTGGATCTTTGCTTAACTATTCTGGTGTTAATATTGGTAGAGATGCCACTTTACTGTCAAAGTTGGCTAGGATTGGCACTCAAAGTCTTGCAGAAGATCGCTCAACACAAAATTTTGACCGATGGCAAGACCTTCTCAAGCGCCTCCTTGTTCCAGCATTGAGTTTGACCAAAGCAAACACAAGCGTGGTCAATGAGGTGTACGGTATGCTTCGCTTTTATCCTCTATCCATCCGATATTCCATCTATGCAGAATGGTTTGAGGGACAAATTTCTCGCTTGCCACCAATGAGAGCCGCATTTGCCAAGACCAAATCCGAGACTATCAGCACTATGAAGAGGATCAGTATGACTAATCTCACTGTTATGGCACGTAATCTAGCGAAGATTGCGTATGCATCGCCAGGCATAGTTTTTAGTGTGGCCTTGGGGCAGATTGAAGCATACACCAATTTGACTGAAGTCGTTGTCGAATGCGGCAAGTACTTCACCGATTTAGGATACGATGTTCTGGTATGGTCATTATTGAGTTCATTGGGAGGAAAAGACAGGAATCGAAACGATGCAGAATTTGCGCTTCTTCCAAGTAGATGGCTTCTAGCATTGTCAAGATTCGCTGGCAAGGTCTTTAAGCGATATTCTATTATGAATTTGATCCCTCTAATTCAGTACGTTAATGATCAACTACATCGAGGCAACTCTACCGACTTGGTCATTCTTAAGGAGCTCATCGCTCAAATGTCTGGAATTGTACCCGATACCGATTTCACCGACGCTCAGCTGGCTGCCATGACCGGAGGCGAGCTCCTAAGGCGCCAGACGTTAATCAACCTTCAAGACAAACGTTACGAATCAATAAAGACAGCAAAGCGACTGATGAGAGCTTTGACTGATACCAAGTTAGGTGGTCAACTTTTGCTATCCATCGCACAGCACAGACAATCGGCGATCTATACTGTTTCGGATGAGGAAGCTCCTATCAAATTATTAGCTACGATGGTTGATGATACTCAGATGATTCTATTTCAGTTTCTCGATCTTCTTCGTAGCAACCTCTCAATTGAAGAATTCGATGATCTCGTTCCAGGAATTTCTGAACTCATGAAAGATTTCGGCTTAGACCCAACACTTGCTTTCATGATCGGACGTCCAAGTATTTCGCATCGTATTTCCAAGTTACTATCAAGACCCTCATCATCATCGTCGGCGGAGGCTACAGCTGTAGTGATTGATGCAGAAGGTGATGTTGGTATGAATAGCGATAGACAAAATTCGGCGGCCAAGGAGTCGATTGCAGTGGACGGCACATCCGCCCCGAAGGAAGATGTTCAGATGTCAGATGTCGACGGAGGAGATTCACCCCCGGTAGCAGCACCACTTGAGACGACGGATCCACTTCATGATCTCCTGCTACCATACATTAATACCGTTGAACAAGTCCTACCAGAAGGGTCTTGGGCGTTTCTTACTTCGGAATTTTATGTTGTGTTTTGGAGTTCTACTCTAAGCGATCTGGCTATTCCCAGCCACAGCTATGAAGCTGAAATTTCTCACCTTCTCAAGGAACAAGGAGATGTAATGAAGGATCGCTCAGACATGAGTAGAGCTGGAATGGCAAGAAAGGAAGAGACTAAGAAAGCATTAGCCACAACGAGAGAAAATTTACTAGCAGAATTTGGCAAGCAAGTAGGTGCCTTTTCTGGAAAGAAAAGTCGTCTTCTAAGACGCAAGAATTTATGGTTCAGTAATGTCAAGGGCGACCTCGTTAGTGACTCATTTCTTGAGCGATGCCTACTTCCACGATTACTACTTTCTCCTAGCGATGCAGATTTCTCCTTCCGGATGATCAAGTTCTTACATGACAATGGCACACCTAACTTCCGGACTCTTTCACTTTACGGCAGACTTTTTCGGACAAATCGTTTACGTTCAATGATATTTACATGTACGGTTCGCGAGGCAGAGAATCTAGGTCGTTTCCTGAGATTGGTCTTGACAGATTTGGCCCGCTGGCACGCCGATCAAGCAGTATATGAAAAAGAAGCTTGGGGGCCAAGCAAAAATCTCCCAGGCTTTGCGAAGGCTATTGATGCAGACGGATCTGTAAAGGGGTTATTGCAGCATGATGGTAATCCTGGCTTCAAAAATATCTTGTATTCGTGGCACCAAAAGTTGAATGGGGCACTTCGTGATTGTCTTGAAGGAACAGAATGGATGCACATTCGCAACGCTACGACCATTCTTAAGTCCGTTGTCGATGTATTCCCAGCGATTAACTTCATGGGCAACAACTTCGTTAAGCAGCTCGAGACAATTGCTGCTCGAGAAAAGGGGGTGCGTGAGGATCTTTCTCTCGCTGGTAACGCCATATTGGTACAATTGAAGAAAAAGTCCAAGTCATGGGTGATGGTTCAAGCATTTGGTCATAGCCTAGTAAGTGAAAACAAAACCTGCCATCTAACAAGACTGACACTATTATAGGAGGCCCCTGTGCAAGCTAACAACAGTCCCTCTTCGCATGCTTCTAGTCAAGGTACTGCTACAAAAACAACCCTGAAGGCCACAGCTCCGGAATTCAAACCACAATCTCGAGCTAAGTCAGTACCCTTACATCAATGTATATATTTCAGTCTAACATTTTAAAGCTCTATGGGAGTCTCTACACCCAAAAATCCCACAACTGAAGTCGAAGACGGCGAAGTTGACGATGCAAAACTGGCTTCCGCAGCCGAGAAAGGTAACATTTTGAAGGATGCACCCCTTGATAGTACTGGTACCAAAGATAGGACTTCTTCGGCACCTAATGAAGGGAAGAAATCCGAGATTTTATTAAGACGCGAGAGAATCTTGCGCGAAAATGCAGCCAGGGCATCAACGCCAAATTCCACGCCAGCAAGCATTCCACCACGACCTGATTTGCAAAGAAATATGCCAGCAAATCATAGTCTACCTAATAGACCCGATGCTCCAATACCTGGTCGCCAAATGATGGATCGCCATCCTGCTAGGAATGAGGATAGGCGAGATATACGAGATCCTAGAGTTACAGAGTTGGTTCGCGATAGAACTAGGGATCGTGGACGTGAATTTTCCCCGGCTGACAGAAGGGCTATGGACACTCAGCCAAGAGATTTCAGAAATAATGATCGCGTACCAAACAATGAACGTGACCGTCCTCGAACAGATTCGAATCCGAGATGGAATGCTGAATCAGGTAGAGATGGCACAGATCGGGCTCCGTCCAATGGATACCGTACCCCTGATAGTGGTGGTCGTTTATCTCGTGAAACAGCCATGCCTTCACCCAAGGCATCTATCACATCGGATCGCGGGCTAGGTCCTGCAATCAATCCTGAACGATTGGCACTGGTTAACTCGGAGAGACAGGAATTGATTAATCCTGAACGAGCCGCTCTGATATCTGGTGGAAATGAGCCATCTCGCTCCGATTCACCTCGTCGTCCTAGAGATGATGCTAGAGAACGCTCATCAAGACACAACACACCACCTCCAAGACGCCATGATTCCGAGAAAGACCATCAACATCCAAGACGTGATGATAGGTCGAATCGGAGCGCACCCATTGATTCCCAAAATGCCCCAAGAGGTCGTGCTGATGAAGTTGCACCACCACCAGCCGGCCCAAGAGGAGAAAGGCCGGGAGTACCTCCACCAGAAAGATCAAGAGATACCTCCTCGTTTCAACAATCACAACCTCCACCGCGTCCCATGGATCCCGACCATGGCAGACTTAATAGGACACAAGTGGATCCCAACTTTGGTCGCTTGAATCAGCAACCGGACATTCCATCTGGGCCTCGTGACAGGAACCGCGGCAATAACCGAATGGCGAATGCCCCGCAAGGACGACGTGATGGCAGGTCGGCGAATGCTCCTGTAGTAGACATCCCCCGACCACCCAGTCCAGACAAGCAACCTCCGACAGGTCCTTCTGGTGGTCGGCATCCGCGACGGTTAGACCGAGGGCAGATTGAACCAACGGTATCTTCACACACTGTGCTATCAACTGCGCCGGTTGTACCAACCCCAACATCTGGAGTGCATCCGGATCGATTGAAACATTTGGGTCCACAAGCTTCTCAGCCACCTGTACAAGCACCAGCAGTGGCTAGTGTAACCCCCAGTGGGATGCACCCAGATAGAATAAGGAGTTTTGGCGGACAAGCAGCAGCAGCAAATATCCCACCGTCTCACCAAGATAACGCACGTTCAAGACCTACCGCACCACCTCTCCAAACACAAGTTGCTCCTCTTGGCCCCAAGTCTCAGGCTCAAAATAGCCCTGTTTCTCGAATGAGTGGAGCACCAACTGGACCTGCATCATCGAACGAGCGTGCTCCACGTGGTGGTAGACAGCCAAATTTGATTAACAATATCAATCGAATGCTTGAAGAAACCAAGCATCCACAGGGGCAGGAACGCCGTGGAAGACGTCAAGGAGGTCAACCACAAACTCCAATTTCTGGTCCTCCTACACCAATTCTACCACCACCGCCACCACCGCCGCCCGGTCCACCCCCTGTGCAAGCCAGAGATTCTGGAAGAGACCTCATAAATCCTGCTCGTGCTGATTTGATTGGTAACACGGCTCCGAGCAATGATGACCGCGGTCGCAGTGATCGAGAACGTGGTTCGAGAAATGATCGATCTATCCGAAGTCGCCGCAGTTCACCCAGCGATCGCAATAGAGACCAAAAACGTGTTGGTCCTCCAGAAGATGAACGCCCATCCAGGGGTGAACATAGGAGCCGCGGAGGTGATAGAGAGTCGAGAGATTCTGATAGACATTCAAGAGGAGAACCTCCTGCAAGCAGAGACTTACTAGCTGCCGGTGGAAGGGGAGATAGAGAGCATCGCGATAGAGATGCTAGTCGTCGGGATACGCATGGAGGAGATCGCGAATCTCAACGTGATCAGCATGTTGGTAGTACCGGTAGTGGTGGTAACTGGCCCAATGGCCCTGATAATAGAGGAGGCGATAGGGGAGGAGATAGACGGAATCAACGATCGGAAAGATCTGATAGAGGTGACCGCGATGGACGGGGTATGCGAGATGATGGCAGTGGCAGTGCCAGGAAGAGACGAAGCGATGCAGATGGTTTGAGAGAAGGTGGTCATGATAAAAGACCCAGGAGATAGAGGAGAGATATTTCAAAATCTCTAATGGCATTCAAAAGAGATCTCAGATAATTGTAAAGTGTAAAAATATTCAAGGGATGTTTCACGAGGTTAAATATGCATGTTATTGGGCGTTCTAAGATCTCTTCCCTTACGTTAGCTTCATCTTTTGTCTTTTGTTAGCAGGCACTTGTCTATGATACATATGGATTTAACTCCATGACTCTTCTCGTTTGCGTATTTATGACGGTCAAGATAGCGAACCAAGAATAAATTTCCATTACACAATTGACCGGGTGAATAATAAATATAAAATTTCTTCCTCATTAGATCAATTATATTTATTTCATTATACGACCGGACATAATATCATATCTATTTAGATCCCCAGTCCCACAGAAGATAATCAAATCTCTCCCAGCAACTAACTATTAGAATTACAACAAGCCCAGTCTCGAAATCATGTCTCTATATACTCGCCCGGACTCATTGTTCTCTGCCATACCCTATCTATTTCATTTCTCGTTTTTCAAAGACTCTCCTTCATTGATAATTGTACGGTTTTGAGGATTCGCTTTCTGCTACTTATTTTCTTTTCCTCTTACTTTCTATCCTTCCCCAATATTTGATTCCCCCTCCCCACCCTCACATTCAAACCAGTTGACACTTTGGCTAGAAGAAAATTCAGGAAAGTAGGGTGCGCACTCTTTCATGTAGATACCTATCAGATTGCTATCGCCGGAGATGGTGAGGTGTGAAAATAGAAGGCTTATTTCGACTACTGTTTGTTTCGGTGGCTCGGTTGGTTGGGGAAGTATGTGGATGCTGGATTGCTTTGGGGTAATCGGGATGAATTGTGTTGATAGGGAGGGCTTTGCGAGCGAGGTCTTAGGGCGACAGTGTGGTTTGGTTTGGTTTAGGGGTGGTTTAGGGTGTTGAGGGGTAGGGGATGGGATTTGATTGTGCTGTCGGGGTTTTTGGGGTGTCGGACTGATTGTTTGACGAATTGCGGTTTATTCATCGTTAGGCTTCTGGGTGGTGTTGTTGATTATTTCGGAAGGGGTATTTCTGGTACTAGAGCAGAGTATGCTGGCTAGAGGTATTAGTATAGTGGGAGAGTGAAGTATGCGGGGACACTTTTGTGAATGTTGGAAAGTTTGTATTGAATGATCAACCATAAGTGTCTGCCAGTTTATCTGGGGAATACTTTGCGAGTTTCTTTCGTTTGGGTAAGTTCAGTGGGTTTCTACTCATAAGATCTATGGGAAATCTTGAGCTTGTGACTTTTATAGAACAGAGGTTTGCTGATTCTCACGCCGTAGTGTCGGAGATACTACTATACACAGAGCAAGGGGACGGTTGGAGAGGAAAGAAGATGTATACTTGATGAAATCACAAGCAGGTGGTGGCGTAAGTTTGAGTGAACGCATCGTAAGTCCTACTCTCTTGCTCATATTTCATTCGGCAGATTATTGTATTCCGAGTAACCTTTTTTTCGGCAGTTCTAGATCTGTGGCAAGAAATTAATAAATCGAAAAGAAATACTTAAGGAAACAATAGGGGAGAGATTGGAATGGAGTGGTAGGGCCCAAAGAAATGGGCAACAATAAGATCTCACAAAGGCCCACTCGGAAATGTAAGATCTTACTTTCCGCCTGCATCTTGCCTAAACAATCAAAAGTACGACGATATATCAAAAACAATAACAAAGTAATAACAATGATTGTCGATTATTTCGAAATTTTATCATGCAGATCAATTTCGCTTATTCCGGTCGACATATATATGTATGTATTTATGTATGTATATGCATGTAGCCCATCGATCAGATAGTCTTACCTGCACTTGCAAGTTCCCCGTGAGAAAATCTAGATTGTGTCGGGGGTAGAGACGAGAACCAAGTTCATGGTACTCTTAAGATTGTTATTGATTTCAATGCAAGTTCTTTCCTTTCTTATCTTTTTATTTTCCATTTTGTTGTGCGGCTGTAAATTCGAATCGAAAAGAAAAGCTTGCCGCATCAATCTCCTCGAAGCATGACTAAGCACCCAGCCAACGATAAGCAAAACAAAATCTGCTCGTACTCGAAGATTCCTTTTTCTTTTTCTCTGGTCAGATTCTAATCAAACCACAAAGATTTTCATCATCACAAATCTCGTATTGTTCTTGCCTGGATTCCTTGAATTTCCAAGTATTTCTGCGCGGACTTGGCAAGTTCAAGTTGGCGTAAGGGATACTGTCACAACTCCTTGATCGAACATTTATCATTCTCCATTGTCTTGATTTGAGCATTAGTATTGCCCTTTTTACCATAACACGACCCCTTCAATGCTCAAGAAGCGCGTCTCTCGCCAATCGAGGGCTGGACTGTCTTACTTTTCACGGGAACTTTTTCCGTCGACTCCCTGTTGACAAAAATCTACTTTGTGCGGATATGATGAATCTACTGCGCTCAATATGTACTCCTTACGCAGGTCCGATGTTTTTCTGCTTCCGAGTGGATTTTCAAATAGGAGAATTGTCGAGGGCTTTGTGAGGATGCTTGAAGTTGATTATCCTATGAATAATAGCCATTGTTGTATGTGCCTGCCCGTCTGGAAAATTACATGTTTTTCAACCTGCCTAGTCAATACTCATAAAAACAATCAAAGTCAAACAACCTGTTGTTTGAAGCTTCTCTTGTTTGTTTTTATTATGTGATTCTTGTTTATATTTTGAACAACTTGGCCAATCAATGGCTCGGAATCTCACAACCCGAATTGTTGGTCGATTCGGCACAAGGGATGGACGTGGCTGGCATAGTTCGAGACCTTTCCTGCAGGCGCAATGTGAGAAAATCCTTGATCCAATGAACTTTCACTTTTTTGAAACTGATAGATCCGATCTACTTTTTGCCTTCATACCTTTTGCATATGATAACATCATGTTGACTGCAAAGAATGAGCCTCCAGCCAGCTTTTTTCAGGCGAGCATAAAACCCTGAAATGATTTGACTTCAGGGCTATAAACACCACGTTGTCTCGTCAATATCCCTCGCAAGAAAATCATCTATTGAAGTTTCAATCTTTCAATCTATTGCAGTTTAATGTTCGCCGGTTTCTACATTTGACTCTCCCGGGTAACCGATAGGAATTTACCTTGCCTACATTCCTCACCAACAATGCGTGCTTCTAGCAACGGATATTTCGGCCAGTGCCTTCCTATTGATAATGATATGATTGCTCTGTCTCCACACAGTGATTCATACAACAGTTGGTTACTATCATCATCCACAATGGTCATCTCAAAGTCAGATATCAGTAAACCTTACCAAAACTCTTCAACTCCTTTCAATGGCTGGGCGAAAGTGCACGACGAATCGCTTCAAGATGAAAGATGCCAACTTTCGGCGAAGAACTGGCAACGACTTTCACTAGTCGAAACGGACCCGGGTATGATGGAAGATCTCTTTGAGGCGTCTGACTCCGAGTCCTTTTCTGACGACGATCCGCCATCTTATTATTCATCATCAACCTCAAGCTATCCTCCACAGAAAGAAGAAGAGGAAGTTTGGAATCGATACTTTCACGCGGAGCCAGATTACCTACCGCCTCCTCCTCCACCACCTCCAGTCTCTCATCCCGTCTATTCACTATTCCCGACGACAACACCACGACCAGCTCAAGAGTACAAACAACATGTAACTCACAAATCTTGGCCTGGCCAGCCTTGGCCTGAACGGCTCGATTCGCGTCCTAATCCTTCTAATGGCCGCGCTCGCGCGCAAACTACTCCTTCTCAACCAAATACACCATCCAATCTCAGTTCCTGCACAAACGTCAATCATCCACTCCCTGGATCATATGTTCCCGCCAGCTATCGTCACACACATCCTCCTTCACCCCACTGCAACTCCTTTACGCCTCTCGTCTTGAAATCAGAATTCGAAACTGATTCCGATGACGAAGATGAGAACTCCCCAAGCAAGATGACGAAAGCTATCGAAGAGATGTTTGAAAAGTTTCGCTCTAACGGAGGAAGCTCGAATAAGAATGGGGGCGAAGAAAAGCGAAGAAGATCAGGTGGATTTAGAAGAAGTGCAAGTGAGGCTTGTGAGGCCGTGAAGGGTATCTTCAGCAAGAAGTCCCACATACCTTCCGAACGACGTCTTTCATGAATATCAACCGAATAAAAATTTCCTTTGTGCGAATGTCTTCATGGAAATGATTGACGATCATGATTGTGTGTTGGAATGAGATATGAAAACTAAACTGGGCGGCTTGACATTGGAATTTTGTACTTTTTCTTTGACTTGGCTACACACAAAAGGTCGGTTAGAAAAAAAAATATGGTCACGAAAACATTTCTATCGTATTAAAATGTCTGTCTGTTGAAGTATCACGAAACTATACTAATCTCTGCTCCGAAGCGTGTGCTATCATTGCAGAGCACTGTTTATGTATAAGACGGTGTTTAGGGTCGGGATTGAGATTGGGATTAATGAATGGAGAAAATGGGGATATGGGAAAAATGATGGTCATGACTTCACGATGAAAGTAAACTCTAAGAGATAATGAAATACATTTTGTTATAATCGTATCATTCATTCTGCGCAAATCTTCTTGAGTTTTATAATCTTGAAATTTATCTTTTCACTTGAGATTCGATACAATATATCAATTTAGTAAGTATGTATCCCTTTCTCTCTCATTCTCTTCAAGATGTCAATACTCCAATAACTTAACCTATCTCGGCTCATGCACAAAGTAACGTTAAACACATCTCCATTTTAACCTAAACATGTCTTGCAAAATTATCACCTCAGATACGAAATGTGATAGTTTATATGATCAACACGTGACGTGACTTTCACATGGAAGACTTTAGCTTATAATTCCTGGTGATCTTGGGATTGAATGATAAGGATCTGTACTTGTATTATATTATATTATATTATATTATATTATATTATATTATATTATATTATATTATATTATATTATATTATATTATATTATATTATATTATATTATATTATATTATATTATATTATATTATATTATATTATATTATATTATATTATATTATATTATATTATATTATATTATATTATATTATATTATATTATATTATATTATATTATATTATATTATATTATGTTAAAAGGAATGACCTCACACAGGGAATAGTGGGAAGCTGATAGGGCAGAACTGAGGTAATATTGGTCTAGTAGGTTAATCTCTCTTCTAAGTTCTACGGAAGTGCGAAGCTCTCTTACAGTGTTACGTGACGGTTGTTACCCACTAGTGGCTCACGCGCACTAGCCCTGTATATAAAGACCTTCTTACTTAGAATCTTCTTAGTTCTTTAGTTTTAGATTCTAAGTGATTGAATTGACTCCGTTTACGACTTTTCCGTCACATACAGAGAGCTTCTCAATCTAGTCCTAATAGGACTAGTGCCCTGTGCACGTGCTACGCAGGAACCATTCACTTTAACAGTCTAGAATATTTTTTGAGTAGATAGTAAGAATACCTCCTAGATACAAGATTATAATGTTATTATAAATATAACGTGGTTTATCAGCGAGCGGGCCATATCACCGAGCGGGCCACTTTTACCTCAATTTATATCTTTCAACTCCAATACGCGATTTATCAACAATATATTATAGAATCGAATACTTTTAGCTATCGAAGCTATCAATAAAGACCAAAAATTAAGCATTCGGAAGGCTGCTAAGCTATATAATATCCCGCGTACAAAGATTCAGCACAGAATGGATGGTACTACCCCTCGTATCGAATCTCGAGCAAATAGTTATAATTTGACCAAATTAGAAGAGGAAGTGCTTATCCAGTATATAATCGATATGGATAAGAGAGGGTTTGTACCTAAATTAAATGGTGTAGAAGATATAGCGAATTATATCCTCGAATCGTGGGGTGCGAAGAAGGTTGGAAAGCTCTAGGCTCATCGCTTTGTTAAACGATGTCCAGAATTAAAGATGTGTTTTAATTGTGTTTATGATTTTCAAAGAGCTCTTTATGAAGATCCCAAGCTTATTGAAGAGTGGTTTAGATTGATATCGAATATATAGGCGAAATATGGTATTGTCGATTCCGATTTCTACAATTTCGACGAAATCGGCTTCATGATGGGTATAATATGCTCTGGAATAATTATAACTAATGCTGAACGAAATAGCAGAAGCAAGGCAATACAACCAGGCAATCGAGAGTGGGCTACAGCAATTATATATGGCAATGGAGAGGGTGAAACTATACCTCCATTTCTGATAGTTCAAGGACAAGTTCATCTTTTCAATTGGTATACCGAAACCGATTTTCCTGCGGATTGGGCTATTAAACCTACTTCCAATGAATGAACGAATAATGAGATAGGGTTAGAATGGTTAAAGCATTTCGATAAACATATTATTCGTCAAAGAAAGAGCAAATATCGAATGCTAGTATTGGATGGGTACGAAAGCTATGAATCAATACCTTTTCAATCATATTACAAATCAAATGATATTATATACCTCAAATTACTATCATATTCAAGTTATTTAACTCAACCACTTGATGTTGGGTGTTTTGGCATATTCAAACGTTCATATAATTATCAAATTGAAGGATTTATCAAAGCTTATATCAATTATATTACTAAGGTTGAATTCTTTATAATCTTCAAAGCTGTATATTTACAATCATTTACTATTCAGAATATGAAAGCTGGTTTTCGAGGAGCAGGTCTAATACCATTCGATCCTCAATCTATACTTTCAAAACTAGATATTAGAATTCGTACTTCTACCCCTCCATCTACCTTTTTGGAACTTACCAATTTCTAGATCTCTCAAACCCCTTATAATCCAATTGAGGCTTTCTTACAATCAACTCTAGTAAAAGCTCAAATAACTCGTCATCAATCAAGCTCTTTTACATCTATATTTGAGATTGTATAAGCTTTAATTAAAGGTACAGAAAGATTAATATATGAAGTTACATTTTTGAGTGCTGAGAATTGTATGTTTCGAAGAGCAAATGAGGTATTAAGTAAATGTCGACGCGCTAAAAAAATTCAATTATATAATGGAGGAGTATTTACTAGACAAGAAGCTGAAGATATATTATCACAATAAGAGGTTGATAATCAGATTCAATATGATGAGCATCAAAATGGGGGAAATTTTAATAGGGAATCATCTACTAGTCGATGTTGTAGTAAGTGTGGAAAGACTGGTCATAATTCAAGAACTTGTCAGAATAGTATAATAGATCCTAGATTATTAGATTCTTGATAGTTTCAATCAATTGATTTAATTGTTGTTAAATAATATGGGTTTGAAATGATAAATTGAGGTAAAAGTGGCCCGCTCGGTGATATGGCCCGCTCGCTGATAAACCACGTTAAAGAAAATATTAAATAGACTTTTCTTTTGATTTTCGGCAGAATAAGATAGATAGATTTAATAGTGATGCATCGAGCTATGAGAAGTTCCTGGCTGGTTTGGTAGTGTCACGATTCATTAATTCACGTGACCTCGAGGACCTTTTGGACCTTAGGGTCCCAAAGGTCCTCAAAAGATGATATAGGGTATATAAACATTCATTTAGTCTCGTAGTTAAGGAGCTTTGTGCTCAACTTAGTTATCAATTAGTTTACCTACATTCTACTTGATCTAGTAACGACTTCACTTCCAAGTGAAGACCAGTGATAAAGCCTTAACCCACAACTACCAACCAGACGAAACCTTAGGCAGCCGCTGCCTCCAGTATAGTATCGTTACAGGTAGGTCTTATCCCCTCGTTTCGGGAAAGTCTATGTTATATTATTAGTATATACAAAAGTCTCGATTATAGAATATCCTACCTAATCCAGTAGTTTTTTTTTGGAATAATTTATAGAATATATAATATTGGATGGATTCTTTTATATTGGTTTAATAGATATTCAGCCATCTTTGAAAATATTATATCTTCAATTAATTAATATTGATGAATTTGATTGCAGCTGTGAAAGATAGAAATATTTTGAAATTTATTAATTATGTGATTTACTTGAATGATTTAAAACTCTAAATAATTAAGAGTTTGGATTTTTTTAATGTCAGATTGCTTAGTCGGACTTTTTTAATCAAAACTTTTACAGTAGTTTATATATAATCCAATCATTTTTTGTAAATTAACTAAACAGATAATCATCCGGACGGAATGTGAAAATATTATTGGAGACACTGTTCCATATTCAGTGATTTTGTCTTCATAGTTGTCCGCGAAAGTAATATAAATGGGAAATAGTGAAGACTGACGCCTCGTTGCCATAGTCATCAACAACAAGCTCATGTATGAGAAAATGTACTAGTACTCCACAGACAGTTCTAGAGTGGGGTGGAGAACCTCTTGTATGTATGTTTGCCTTTCTGTTCATGTTGCAAGATATTTCATTCAAAAATCTCCTCATCTAGTTCATGTTAACTAGTTTCGTGTGAAGATCGAAAGTCAAGGATTCAAACTATGACTAGTAAGTTTTTTGGAATTCGTCATCCTAAACGAGATCTTATCCATCCGTCAAATCGCATGACAGTTGGATCTCTGAAGGAATACAGTTTATCATTTGAGGTGATTGGATCCCGAGATGTGGGCATTCCAGGCTAGGATCATATTCCTAAAAATTGTGGTGAGTTGAATCAGCTTTTTTGAATTCTTCCTAGGACGCTCATTTCCACCTTTGCGGATTTTCTATAGACCAAGGCCTCTGCACCTAACATCAAGGGAAGAAAAGATATATGTTGATTAAGCCATTCACTAAGTCTGATGCAACTGGGTAGGTTGCTCTCTGAATTCAAGATAGTTTTAAGATGACTTTCGTCAGCAAGAAAGAGATACAGGAATGTCAATAGTTCGACCGCTATGCTTGGCTCATCCGGAAAAGATTAAAAGAGTCTTCATAGACGTCTTCTCGTTCGGTTCTGACCTTCGATTAGGTTCTGTTATGCACCATCTATGAACTCATCCTAAGTTGTAAGAAATCCAGCTAGAAAATATCTGGTGGTTTATCATCATTAATGATATTTCATTCTCGGACACTAATGCTAGCTTCACCCACACTGTGTAGGAAGCAGTGTTAAGGAGGTATAATGATGGTGAATATACTGTTATTCTAATCTTACAAAATAGAGTTTTTCCATTGCCTGTATCATAAGCTTTAATATCATAGAGACATCGTCAGCCGTAACTGGCATGTTAGAATCATCCAACACACGTATGCCTGAAAAATTTGTGTAGTCTGACAATGCTTCTAGCCTCGAATAGAAACTTGAAGTAAATAAAAGTTTCAAGGCTGTTTTTTTAAGACATTTAAATCATTGGAATGAAAATTGAGGTACAGTACTTGAGGTTCTTTGTTTCCTTCCAGTGGAAGTCTTCCATTAGTAGTCGTAACGAATCTTGGGAAACCATTTAGAGAGTTTTTTTCACGAATATATGTCCTGAGATGGCTAGATATATTGCTACTACGTTATCCCACTAAATTCACCATATCTTGACAGAATATATTTCTTTGCGGACCCAAACGTTAACATATATAGAATCTTTCCCACGTTTGTACTTGCTAGATATCTCGCTAGGGCTAGGAATATGTATCTAGTATCTATATAGCTTCAGCGAGCCACTACAAACTTTGAAAACATTCATCGGTTTGTATTCGGAATACTGGGAAGTCAAAATCTTAGATTTTCGTAAATCGTGTTCAGTCAAGCATTAGAAGTCGATAGATGGTAGAACGGAATCAGACAGATTCTACTATTACATCAATGACCGGTTTTTAACACTGCTTATTTGGTTCTTGTCGACTCGTTGGCATCCCGTTATCACGTAGGAGCTGTGGAAAATGGAAATGCTGAATCATGAACCCCCCTTCGTGTGCACTCATGGTGCCACTTTCCGTCAAATTCCTAGGTTAGCTAGAAATTTTCACGTTTTCTATTTCCTATATAGAAATTCGAAAAATAGAACTCGAATCTCAATCCCATACCTCTCTCCTCCGCCCCCAGGTAAAATTTTATCTCCCGTTTCCGCCACTGCTGCACTGCACGCAAGGACACAGTTCCATCTCCTTTCTCCTTGACATAATTATCCAAACTATTTTTGCAAAAAAAATTCTGAAGGTCCGATAATCTATTCACGCACTCGCGTCGGAATCGGAAAAATCCCAAATCACCTACGGATCCGGTGATGATGAGGAACTGGCAACGTAACGAGACAAGGAAAGGTCACTGTGTGGTAGAAGCGTTGTCATTTCCATCCTCGCTTACACCTTTCTGGGCCAGAATATCCCAAAATGATTAAATATTTTGAAATTAAATTAATATATGTACGTGTGTACAGCTATCCCATTGACAAGATCGCTTCGGAAAATGGAAGCTGAGGAGGAACGTTTATTTGCGAGGTTTCCATGGGCTGGATGTTTTCAAAGTTCATTTACCAACACCGATTAGAGAGGAAGTTGATATGTTCTGGGAGTACCGGGAGTGTGGAGCCGGCCGGCCGTTGGTGATAGACCGTAGAACGCCTAACCGATCATGACTTGGGTATCGTGCGAAATAAGGACTTTCAGTGACCCACACATCGAATTGCTTGATTTTATTTTGGGTGGGTTTGTGGATTGCTAGCGACCCCTACAAGGACGGAAATCTGGCAGATGAATTCGTCTTCTATATCCGCTAATTAGCACCGTTTTCTAGAATTCCCTTTACCGTAGCCCCTTCTAAATTAAAGACACTTACGTCGAAGTGGAGAGAATGCGCATGTCATCATTCTACTTAATGATGTCAATTTTACTTGAGTCTGACTGTAATATGTGCAGCAAATAGCAGTCTTATGCTACCATAAAGAAAATCTGGACGAATGATCCAACAATTTATATTCTACCAGAAACTTGGAATTCTTGTTAGATTTATAATAAGTGTTTCAGATTTACCAGATGTATGAAAATAGTACTCGGGTAGGATTTCCCAAAAAATACTACCTAATAAGCGCCAATAAGGCTTTCCACTTAATCGGCGCTAATCTATATACTTTTGTTCATACGCGCCCCGCAAAGTCTAAATTGAAGAAACAGGAACTAAAAATTCCTTCAACTAAACTGATTTTGATGTTTAAACGCATTGGCAGCTACGAGATTGAAAGCATCGTCCAATCGATTCACCATGCTTCTTTTCCCCTCAATTCTCCACTTCACGACAAGATGATTGCAAGCCGGAAGATTGGTGATAAGACTCCAGTTTCTCTTAACGCTGCACATTGATGCTTGGATTGAGGCATTGCTGTGTGATATATGAGGTAAAATATGTTGTGTACAGCAAGGCGCAAACAATCATACCAATGAAAGAATCGGGAATGGACAATAGGATTACGTCTCTGTTTTTGATTGGGTGGATGAGACATTCCCCATTCACAAACATTCTTTGGATTCATATCATTCATTCCATTGTGAGTAGCAACGGGATATTCGGAATGAAATGAATTAAAAAAACAATTCCAGATTTTTCGTTTTTGTTTCATCCATACACTTCCTCTGATATTCCAACAACCAATCCATCCTTCATTTTGCCATTTTCTTTTCGTTTTTATTGGTGTGAGACTGGTGCCAACCGAACATCGAGAACGCGCTTCAGTCAGCCTCATACATACGTACCCATTCCTGGTCTGTGTAGCGCTTTATGGGGCAGGACATAAGAGCTTGATACATTGGTTCAAATTCCTTTGATATATTGGCAAGCGCGATCGTCTGGATCCACTATACAATGTCGTTGGGCTAGAATTTTATATTATATGTATTTTACTTAATTGCGGGAAGGAATATCTTTCTAATCTACCCTTCTTATGGTAGTACCGAGATCGATATTCTGGACTAAATATATATTTTTAAATTAATTCATAAGGCTTAGAGTAGACAAAATACGCACGGTCGAATATCTAGCTTTAGATGGTCAGGGTATGTAGAATAGATTAAAGTTTTCTATTCCCTTATATTATTCTCAGCATAACCTCATTATTGAAGTCGATAAGGTTTCACTTTACTGTTTTTCCTCTTGTTCCATTCTTGACACAATAGATGATTGTAGAGTTTTGTTATAAAAAAGAAATCATATTATTCAATTTAAAATATTTTCTTTAATTTAAAATGCCTATGTAGATAAGTTCAACATTCCTACGCTCAAGGATTCCTTCTTCATTTTTTGAAAATACCTCTCATATATACTCGACTAAACTACATCGTTGACAATTATCTACCTACGACTTCTTTCATCGGAAAATTATTTTCCTAAATATCATAAGGACAACTACAACTACAATAGTACAAAGAAACAACACACACGCCAAGCTCCACCATCTTCTTTCTACCCCTCATTTTCAACCCAACTCGAGAGACAGCCTTACCACCAGCCAACATCAAACATCAACAACCAAAAATGGATAACATTGATATAATCCCCGGCATCTTCGTCGTCAACTCAGGAGTTTTAATGCTCATTGCATTTTTAATCATAATATCAGTTCTACTGAAGATCTGGACGACTGTTAGAGCCTTACCCACGCGGAGAGATTTGGAAATGCAGTGGGCGAATGAATGGGTTTGAGCTTGGGACATATCTATCTCCCTGGTTCTTGGCTGGGGAGTAGTACTCATGTTTGATCGGGTTGAGATCGGAATTTACGATGCCGAAATGTGGTTAGAGGTCTTTCTATGAGTGATCTCTTGGATGAGAGTGCTATTCGTTTTCGAGCATCTTATGTTTGATATATAGGCTTTACACTTTGTGTAAGATTTTTGGTGCTGGGTTTTGACAATTTGCTTGCTTATGGCGTCTACCTCTTCTCCAGTTGAAGATATGTCTTCAGACGTGGAGTTGCAGAGCTGCAATGTACAAGATCGACAAAGGATGATTTACGATCCGGTCACAGCCTCGGAGAACATGGCCTCAAATCAAAACTTACGATTATCTGAATATATAGTCAAGCTACTATCACTTCAAAGGCTTAGCGAACTATATAAACATGTGTTTCGGAGCTGGTTTACTCTTAATTCCCTTGCTTCTAGAAGGATCTCGGCAGTATTAGCGCGATGCGAATTATTGACGGCAACGAACATCTCAGGATCATGGCATTTAGTGTATACATGCTTCGGATCTTCACTGTGTGCACGAAGCAATGCGGAACTCAAAGATTCGAGGAAGGAAAAGTCGCTTGGATCGTCACGCCACAATTGTACAGCACCCACGCGGCATCATCCTATCCTTTATGGTGTCATATTTTATCACCTCCTATCATCTTCGAAGATTCTCTGCGTGGCTTCAACGTCGCAGTATCCAAAATCTTCAGTGAGGCTGTACAGAGGCAGACAGCATAAGAAGGAAAACACGAGTTAGAGAGATAGAGACAGGCAGTTTCTATGCTATCCATAGAACAATATTTTTCTTTTTAGAAAGATTGCTAGTGTCAGAGAGAATTAGTGGAATCTTTAAACAGATCAATATAATACAGATGCGGATGAATAGATCTAGATGAGATACCATTACAGTATACATGAGGAGGCCTAGGTGACAGGCTCACCACTTTGTAGTCTTAGTAGACCTTACCTTAGCTAAACTTCCTTTCGTCAAACTTAGAAATAGAGCAATTACGCATACTTTTCTCGGTTCTCTTTCCCTAATATCCTACAATGTTAAATATATTTTGCGTCCACATGGGTATAAAATAATCTGTAGATATCGATGCTAGAAGAGAGACGCAAGGAATTCGAAGAAGATGCTAGGTTGAGGAGTAGCGGGTGTATATGTATAGCTAGCGATACCAATATCTGATTTCTTCTATCCTAAAAAGTTAACCTGGGATGTTGTGTTGATGTAAACAGGGAGATTTAAGTGGAATTTCTGATTAGTGGAAAATCTGTGGGCTTCAGGGTGAATTTCTTTTTGCTGAAGACGAAGATAGGAAGGGTGTTGATATGCGGAAAGGTCTTCATTGATTCGAGTTTTGGAAGAATGGGCTTTAGTTTCTGGGTAAAGTGCTCTGGGGCTTGAGAGAACTCTGTTTCTTTCTTGCTGTTATGTATGTATATTTCTTTTATTGTTATATCACATATAAAGATATGAATTCATCATTACCGTTATATATCAATATCTATTTCCCCGGCTTGAGTATAGATTCAGGAGTTGAGAAAATTCACTTTTTTCCTACCAGAACAACGAGCAGGAGACTCCACCATGATATTTCCTTGCTCCCTATTAATGCTTGTCCATCTTTTACACAAGACACTATGAAGAACTCTCCTTTATAAAAGAGCTTCCTTATATACTCACTCCTCAAATTACATAATAGGACTAATTTTTTAATACCACCAGAAGCGAAATATATGAAGTAAGTATAGAAAGTACGATACGGTGGATATTGAAGCCAGAAAATCCGGGGATCATTCCGATAGGTCGGAATAGTTTGGGGATCATTGCTAGTTGCTTCATCTAGCGTTCACTTATCCTACCAGGTTGCGATAATTTAGCTGCTGATGAATTCGAAGGAAAGAAAGTCAAAGATAAGCCGATGTGCCTTGCGAAAAGCTGGAAATCTTGGCTCAGATAATAGCTCTTATTAGTACAAGAGACCTATTTTTTTCATCACCGTCGCAAATTGTTCGTGCTCTTGACCTCAACCGTCATGTCCCATAGTCTTCTCAAATAGTGAAATTGACAGACTGTTAACGGCATCTCAAGTAACCCAATTCTCTTCCCCCGATCAACCCAGAAATCTTCACTACGCATTATTTTTAACTCTATTTTCAACACAATTGCAGGACACGAACAGATCAGAGTATATTTGCTTAATATAGAATATCTTTTTCCTATTCCTATTCTATCTACTTTTACTAGATGTTATGAACTGTCGATAATACTTTTTATATACATAGGATCTAAGAATGAAGATTGGAGATTTAAGATGGAGGCTCAAAGATATATCACAATCACCTTCTTCACATAATAAACTCTCTTTCTTTGTATACTATCGAGAATAAAGGGGTAAATAACTCCCTATCTTTTCATCTCCCAGTCGAAGTATTTTTATTTTATACCATGTATCTCACACTGTGATCGTTTAAGGACCTTCAGCTCATTACTATCTCCTCATACTCCTGATGGCACTGCAAATATAGAAGTAGAAAGCTGCTACTCGTCCCAGGGTAAATTAAATTATTTTGTAGAAAATAGAGTAAGGAATTAGAAGAACAATCCTCTTTTTTCCAGTTCAGATTTTTAGAAATTATGAAGACTATTACCCCAATGTAATCGCTATTTAGTCATATATATCTTTCCTTATTCCCAGGTATTCAAAGTATTCAATCTCCCCATCTCCCAATCTCACTCTTTTTTCTCCTTTTGAAATTACCATTTTAAATAAACCATCTACCCGAGCATCACCATCCAACTATCCTAGAATCCCACAGTACTGCCATCAGAAACCGCAACAATGCAGCTAAATTCTAGAATAACTAACCTCATTTCTCTTTACCTGATTTAGTCAAGTAACTACCTACCTACTAATATCAAGCTTTTCCCCAGGATGGCGCAACTCTCAATAGGGAAATGTGTATTAGCTTAGCTGGTAGTGTTTGAAAGAAGTAATGATAACTCACATAGATGATAAAGCTTTTGTTAAACCATATTAAACATCAGGTATGGCATCTCTCTCTCTCTCTCTCTCTCTCTCTCACTTGCCCACCATAATACGCAAAATTTCAGTAAGATTTACACAGATCCCTCCAAGAATCCGAGCTTCCAAAATAGCACCGGAAGGTATACCACACAACAACAGTGTTCTAAAAAAGAATCCTGAATCCGCGTCTCTGCACCTAGAGTAAGTTCGCAGACCAATACCAGAAAATTTGCCGAGCAGGGAAAACCTCTCACATTTGCAACAACGACTCAGTGAGGTGACTATTTTCTTCCCAAACTGATGATCTCGATCCTGAATATATCTCATCACTAAATGTTCCTCTCTATAAAAGCAAGATATTACTATTACATGAGATCAAGAAGCGAATGATAAAAAAAGCAACTTTGTTTTTGAATTCTCATCATATCGTCCTTCCCATGTGACGAAATTATTGTTAAAGCCGCTGGCTATCATATGCGTAGATATCCATAATCGTACAACCAATAATACATTTTCCTGATGCCATAGCGCCGAAACTCCTTTATCACACATATCAAAGACGCCTCAGCATCAGACGATCAGTTTTCCTCCGCCCACTCCTCAATCCTCTCCATCAAATCCGCTTTCTTTCCCGCCGAATTCAATCCCTTTCCTAATAAACACTCCTTTAAATCAGTTACCTTAAATTTCTCTAATCCTCCGTTTGCGACCAGATTTTTTAGCTCTTCCTTATCCATTTCCCCTAATTTCTTCGCTGAACTCTTAACCAACACTTTCTTTTTTTTCGGTACCTCAACTTCATCCTCATCAAGATCTCTTTTCAAAACATTTTCGTTTCCATTGCGCCATTTGCCGTATTCGGACTCTAAAGTGGTTCCCCAGTTGGCGATATATTCACCACATCTTTTATGGATTTGTCTGTACTTTGGTATTGTTTTATCTTCCGGGACGTCAGGGATATCTTCCTCGAGCGCCAGGGCTTGAAGAATTTTGTAATGCCATTGTAGACTCGGATTTGGGTAGTTCCTTGGATCATATTGAGCTTTGGGTAATTGAAGCTGTTGGATAATAATTCGCATGTTGTCGATTAATTTATCTGGTGCAATGATAGGTCCCGGTGCTGACACACTACGGAGATCATCTGCAAATGGGAGAGGATAGAGCCAGAGACCTGCAGGGAAGATTTGCTGGTTTGTTGCGGGATCGAATTTCTCCACCGAGGGTAAGATAGCAACGATAGCAGGATTAGCATCTTTGCGAGCAATATACCATCCTAAACCCATTTTGTTGTCTTTAAGAAGTTTCTCCCAGAGAGCAGAGAAAACTCGAGTTGATCCAACATAACCATTCTCGCTTGGATAAATGAAAGTTGATTTATGGACAGATGCCCAATAGGGTAGCATAGACTGAGGTTTGAAACCTATGATGCGAAGACCTGAAGGGCCGAAATTTTTGAGTTCCTTTTGCTCATCGGGAGTGAAGAGGACTTGGGCACCGCCAAATTTGTAGGCTTTTTTGATTTCTGTCTTCTGAATGACACGGGCTGAATCTTCAGCCATTTGTGTTGTCTCGCCGACTGGGATTTGAAGAACTTCACCTTCCGTCCAAACATATGTACTTCTAGCCGGAGCTTGTCTGTGAAGAATATTGTACCCATTGACAGATATGTTGAGATTAGGCCCAATCTCAAAGGGTAAATTAGAGAAAAGAGCTCTTTTGGGGATTTGTTTCGAGTTGACGTCCAAGATAAGACTATTTAGTAAAGACAGCCCATCGCCTTTAGATTGAAGACTATTTGGACCAAAATTTGGCGCATCTTCCGCAAGCGGATCACGATAGATGATATCCTAGTACTATTAGAAACAATAATTCGGCAGGAACAAAGTAAGGAACATACATCATAGAACTTAGAGCGGTCAAACTCATGTTCAGGGGTCGATATCGGAAACAGCTCAATAACAACACCAATGTCATAAAGATCCTTAGCTCGAACAGCTGCTACGGATCTCAGGGGCTTGTCTCCAGAGTGAGGGTCATCCTTGTCGGTAACAATAAACAGTCTTCTCGACACGAAATTTGGGGCTCTTGTGGTGAATATTTGATTGGCACAGAATAAGAGATTGTTCATATCCAAAGGTTCCTCTGTTGGTACCAATATTTTTTTCGCTTCTTCTTCATCCTCGACAATCTCCTTCAATGCTTTGACGTCTTGCGCAGAAGGTACATCAAGGTCCGTGAAAAGATAGCAATGAGGATACACTGAGGTGTCCAACCCACTTTGATCCTTGAACTTTGTTTCCTCGGTACCATATAACATGATACCCATCATATCCTTTGGACTGGAGATAATACGCTGTTGCATAATCATATATGCGCATTTAAGAGCGGCCAGAGTGGGACTATCCGTATCGGCTTTCTTAGAATCGGAAGGGGGAGGAGGGGTAAGCATCGACCGACTGACATCAATAACGAAAAGAACCGCATCTTTTTGTGTGCGATAGTCCTATTAATATGTAAGTATTTGGAACAGGTTAATAACAGAACGAATTCTAATATTCTTACGGTCTCATCAGGCTCCTCTTCCTCTTCCTCTTCTTCGTGTTTCCGATCTTCTGAATCTGCCATATTTGTTGGTCTTGTTTAACAGCCTTGGGAATAGAGTACGACTGTAAAGATAATTGAATTCCTGTAGATTGAGGTGTATGTGTGAATGAATATTAAATACAGATACAGAAAAGGATGAGGAGATGAGAATGAGAATGGGAATGAGGATATCCAAATGATCAGGCAGACGCGTCAACCCGCGAAGGTGGAGCAATCACCACGAACACTAGATACGTAGGCACGTGATATTATCATTCCAAATCTCTCTAGATTGATTGGCTCAAGACATCGGCATTTTCGGAGCTCCGTCGATCCAAGCATCACATTACATTGAGTTATCCTTGTAGCAATCGGATGTGAGGGAAAGTTGTCTTTGCAGTGGTATGTACTGCTAAGTGGTATCTCCACCGAGAAAATATTATAAAAGGTAATTCTACGAATCATTGCGTATTGGCTAATAATTGTCTTTTTTTTCTGTCCGTGATTTCAATTTCAATAGCATTATGTCTTTCAGAAATCCTAAAGCTGTAGGACAGCTTACAAAAAGAACTTCACAAGCTACTATCTCACGCCTCACAAGCAATGTCTCTCCCACCACAACCTCATTATTGCAAAGGAACAACGCAGACCAGTCCAGACCTTTTGCGACTCCAGTGCCGCCGGTGACACAAGATGCGACGGGAAGGAGGGGACCCACGGCAATGGTGCTCATGAATATGGGTGGTCCACAAACCACAGATGAAGTTGGGGATTTCTTAAGTAGATTATTTGTATATTATGCCCTGCCGCGCCACTCCTTCAGTCTAACCATTTACTACACAGGCAGATGCCGATTTAATTCCTCTTGGACGTTTTCAAAACTACCTTGGACCTCTCATTTCGAAACGTCGTACGCCGAAGATTCAAAAGCAATATGCTGCAATTGGTGGCGGCTCCCCAATTCGAAAATGGTCAGAACATCAGGCCGAAGAGATGTGCAAGTTATTAGACAAAATGTCACCCGAAACCGCACCACACAAACCATACGTTGCATTCAGATATGCGAATCCTTTGACTGAAGAGATGTATAATAAGTTGTTGGCGGATGGTTTTGGAGGCGGGAAAGGTGGAAGAGCAGTAGCATTCACACAATATCCTCAATACAGTTGTTCCACAACAGGAAGCAGTTTGAATGAATTATGGAAGTGGAGACAGAGACTCGAAGGAAAAGCTGCTGGAAGTCCAAATGGTAGTGATGGAACAATCAATTGGAGTATTATTGATAGGTGGCCAGCACACCCAGGTCTTGTTGAAGCTATCGCACAAAACATCGAGGCTACTTTAGCGACATATCCTGAAAAGGATAGAAAGGATGTTGTATTACTTTTCTCCGCCCATAGTTTACCAATGTCTGTGGTCAATAGAGGTAAGTCCGTCCAGAATTGTCATGTTGAAGAAGTCGCTAACTCTTGCTAGGTGATCCCTATCCCGCCGAAGTTGCCGCTACAGTCTATGCTGTGATGCAAAGATTAGGTCACTCCCATGCATATAGACTCTGTTGGCAATCGCAAGTTGGGCCTAGTGCATGGCTAGGAGCTCAAACGAGCGATACTGTCGAGGAATATGTCAAGAAGGGCCAAACGAAGCTCATACTTATTCCCGTCGCATTCACATCAGATCATATCGAAACACTTTATGAATTAGACGATGAAGTCATTGGAGAATCAGGCCACAAAGATACTATCAAGAGATCTGAAAGTTTGAATGGCTCACCAGTATTCATTCAAGCATTGGCCGACATTGCTAAAGCACATTTAGACAGCGGAATTGCCTGTAGTGTTCAAATGGGATTAAGATGTCCTGGATGCACGAGTGAGAAATGCGCAGAGACTAAGAAATTCTTCGCTGGAAGTGAGAGAACATTTGCCGCGTAAGAAAAGGGGCACAAAGTTTATTAAAATGTATATAATTAGTCAATTATTGTAGACAATTACGAAGCGAATGTGAGCGGAATTGACATGTCCAAAGTCCGCGTCGGTTCCAGACGTATAAATTACCCCGAATTTGATCACGACTGACATGATCTGCGGGTCACTGCAGCTAAGAGGGATTAAGTTTAGGAAGAACTATTTCGCTATAAAAAGGAACTGAAGTCATGTACGCCTCCGTCTAAATTCAATGAACTTTGCAAATAAATGCATCTACCGGCAGAACTTCTAGCATAACAACCTTGGTATATTATTGAATGTAATGAAGTCATAGACAAAGAATTCTCGTACGCATACATTGCCACACCATGAATTTCCCATGCCGCCAGCACCAATTAGCATTCAGAGCGGTAAGTCTTTTATCCCTTGGTGGAAAACGGCGGAGAAAATGCTATTTCATTAGCTACCAAGCCTTTTGGGTAGTCGCCATCCCTGTTGATCGATTATCAAGCATTTTTCTACGAATTACTGCATTCCTTTTCCATTCTTGAAACAATACAGGATTTGATTAACAAATGGATTATGATACGCTCAAGGTGCGGAGTTTATCTCGCTCCGTTTTCTGTCGTCATGCTTGCTCTACCTAGGTACCTAGGTATGTTTATGGTGTGACAGTTGGGATTGGCTTCTCCCATTATTATTCTTATCAAGCAGAAGAGTTCGAGCCCAACTACCGTAATTGGGTCATATCCGTGCGAGCATCCTAGAAGGAAGCTATCGCGGATTACTCCATATCAGCTTCTGGCAAACAGAAACTGGGCTGCCCACTTTCACGGTATCTATCTTCCTATCTTGGGCAAGCTGGATTGTATTTTGAGGATAAGCTCGGACTTGCTTTACTCGTCTTTCTAGTTGACTGTTTTCTTCATTCCTATATCATCATCTCTTATAACTTATTCCAAATTCTGCTAGTGTTTACAGCGTCGGCGCGGACAGTTACTTCCAATAAACATCATCTTTTGTTGGACCGAGGTCATTTTACTCAATGCGCCAATCGAACTTATACTTAGTCGCGACATAACGATAAGATGGAGACAATGGAGAATGAACATGAGGAACAACGGGAAGAGGAACCGCAGAGGATTTGGGGCGCAAAGGATTCTTTAAGGAGGCACACAAAAGGTCGTAAATCCATTATACCATCCGCGTCTGAGGAAGCCCCATTACTGGGTAATGATGGAGCACACGAGGGAGAGAGTCATGAAGGGAATGGGGAGGCTTTATGGGAAGGGCATGGAGATTTTGCGGGGTTAACATGGTGGCATAAACCATCTGTATGTTCTCTGCTGACAATTGTTCAATGTATGCTAATATATGTCTTTCCCAGGTATCCTGGCTTATATTGCCATTCTTCTTTTTAGCTCTCGCAGTCGGTGGAATCATCGTACCAAAACTCAATCTTATCCTTGCCCTCGTATGTCGATCGTATCTCGCAGAAAGATCTTCTCAAGATCCAAATTTTCTATTCACGCCTGTTTTACTTGGTTCCGATAATCCTCAATGTCGAATTCCTGAAGTACAATCATTAGTTACTAAGTTTACATTGGCAATCACTATTATCACTGGAATATTTAGCGCTGTTATGTCCCCGTTACTTGGGGCTTGGTCTGATCGAAATGGGAGAAAGAAGATTCTGGCGATTTCTAGTCTTGGTGGTTTCTTAACAGAAATCATCACCATTCTTGCAGGCAAATATCCGGATACCGTTTCATATCAATGGCTGCTTGCCGGTGCTGTCTTCGACGGACTTTGTGGTTCATTTACTGCCGGTATGGCACTCACCCATGCATACGCAGCAGATTGTACTGCGCCTTCCAAGAGAGCGGTAGCTTTTGCCTACTTTCACGCATGTTTATTTGCTGGTGTTGCAATTGGTCCTCTACTTGCTGCAGCACTGTTCCACTTAACTCAAAGCTTACTCACGGTGTTTTATGTCGCACTTGGCATACATACTTTCTTTATCCTTTTCATAGTACTGGTAGTACCAGAGTCACTCACCCAAAAGCGACAAGAGGTTGCCCGTGAAAAGCATGCTGCTGGAGGTTTACTTGTGGCCAATCAAACTTGGCTCAGGATATTAAAGAACAAAAATCCACTTGCACCTCTAAAAGTTTTGTGGCCAACCGGTGGCGGAAATACTAAACATGTTCGCGCGAATCTTGTTCTACTTGCAACTGTGGACACTATCATTTTTGGCGTTGCTATGGGAGTTATGACTGTTATGGTTTACTATTCAGGCTACCAATTTGGATGGCGAACTTCAGAGACAAGTCTTTACATGTCTGTTGTTAATAGTACGCGAGTCTTTACGCTTGTTGCTATCCTCCCTCTTTTTAATTACCTCGTCCGAACTAGACCTCGCAACAGACTACGCAGAGAATCAGGGTTCCCTGTACCAGAAAGCCACTCTGGCGCTGATTCGACAGATTTGTTCGTTGTTCGGCTTTCTATTATCTTCGAGATTGTAGGATATCTAGGATTCACACTAGCCCGCAGCGGTCCGCTTTTTGTGGCATCTGGAATCATGGCTTCGATGGGTGGTGTGGGTTCTCCAACATTACAATCAGCATTAACCAAACATGTACCCCACGACCAAATAGGACAGCTCTTAGGAGCCACAGGCTTGTTACATGCGTTAGCAAGAGTCGTTTGCCCTACGATATTCAACCTAATTTATGCTCAAACTGTTGGTACCTACCCCCAAACAGTCTTCTTGGTTTTAACAGCATGCTTCGTCTTTGCATTCACTTTTAGTTGGTTTATTCGACCTAACGGTATGATCTCCCCCTCGATTGTTATAGGGTGACTAGCTGACATGTAATAGTATCTTTGGAAACCTCATTCCAGAAAGTACCAAGCTCCCAAGAAGCCAACAATAGTCAAGATGTCATTATTGACGAACAAATTGCTGGTGTCTAATCTGATGATCTTTTAATATCTCAAGTACATATTGTGTAATTAATATCTGTTGTACACATTTTGTGTTGCGCAGGAAGACCTCGTGGTTGGATGCGCGGTTTTCTTTTGTGGAGGGTCGAATTTACAAGCTGGCGTTTTTGGCATGTGACATGGTTGACAGCACATATATGGATTCGCGTATTGGCAGATTTAAATAGGGGAATAAGCATCAAATGCTTGGGCGGATATCTCCATGGTTTCTTATTTATGTTTTACTACGAGGCAATATTAGTTATGGTACAGTGTAGCGAAATGACAATTGACAGTTGGATCAAGGCCCATCAATGACTTAACTCTTTCTATGTTCTCATTGATACGCAGGATCATCCGTTGATAATCATGATTTATTTGACGAGCCAAGCCTGTTTTGCCGAGACAGTGCTCTGTTACCAGTATCAAAGTCCAAACCGAAAGACAACAAGTGGCAAGAAAAGAATTGTGTAATTAAGGGGTTACATCCAGGTATATAAGATTTGCTCACGGCGTATTCTTCAATCCTATGTTCCTAAATACAAATTTTCCAAAAATCAACGTAAGCTTCCGCAATATCCTCGGCGTAAGCAGACGATCATCTCGATCCTTCGTTCAGGGGCAAGGCTCTCCCTCCCAAACCTTTGCTTGACAGTAATTGCGCTCATCTCATGCTCCAGTGTATATAGTCAGCTATTGAAACTTTCTTAGACCCTTGAATCGTCTAGTTATCTTCTTACATTTTCATGTATTTTCAAAAATATATGGATTGGAAATCGCAATTGATATTGATACTGGGATATCAAAGGTCCAGTCTGGAATTGTAGGTTCCATTATGCGGATGAGTTGAGTGCTAGGTTAATAATGCACCGCCACAAAATGTAAGATCTTATATATATATCCTTGATCGTTTCAGGAGTATAAGATCCCTCGCCTCTCAAAATAGTAACGAGTACTACGCTGTAGAGATTCATTTCGTTTCTGGCTTCTTGCTTTGATTCTTCTATGGGGGGTTATGATTGTTTGTGTACTTTACGGGTTTGATTTTGATTTTGATTATAGGATTATCTATGTCGTGTTTTGTTGTGCTGTGCTTGTGCCTTGATCTTTTAATTTATTGGCTTAGTTTCTGCACTGCAATCCTGTGGTTTGCTGAACACGGATAGGGGAGATTTTTGTAGATGTTGGTGGAGGGATTGTTCTTGTGGGTGCTTTGCCCTCCAGGGGATTCTCATATATATATGTACTTCACGTTGTCGTTGTCGTGTGAGGTTATGTAAAAAATGCGGTTGGTAAATATAGATGGTAGCCAAGCTGAGGATCAAACAGTTTCTTCGCGGAGGAAATACTACTTTGACATGGGGCGTTTTGGGGGCAAGGGATGGAGAGTTTTTATACTTGATATTTATTTGATGTTTAATGCATATTTTTTTTACTACGCATATGTCATGTTATCAAAAGGAGGCAGGCTCGGGGTCCTGGCAAGAGATAATTATTTTTAATCCTTTGGATGAGGTTACACTGTTGCTGACGCATGAGTTAAGGTAGGTATTATATGTATATCATGTGTTTCGTTCCAATCCACTTTCTTCTTTCTGATCTTGTAAAGTTCTTCTTTTACTATTGATTTGTGGTTTGGTTTTTTTATCGTGGTGATTTGAGGTTTTTGTCGTTCTTTACTGGAGTCGTGATATACATTCATTTTTTTTTTCAATACACTCATTTTCTCGCGACTTTTGCATTTTTTATATAGGGAGAGAAAGTGGCAGAGCTAGTCTCACTTGTTCAAACGCTCAATTTTTATCCATCACCTCATATCAACCGGTTTAAACAAGCTCAAAGAAATCCAAGATGCGTCTCACTTTGAGAGAAGCGACAGCTTTATTGCTAATTGCTCTGCCCAACTTGGTATATTCCCCCCTTCCTCCCAATATAACTACTTTTCCCTAATCTTCCCCATTATATCTCACACTCCGAGAGATATACTAACGTTAAAACCAACAGATATTAGCACTCCCTGTCAACACCGGCGCGGACCTCGGACAACTAATCCCTCTACCATCAACCTCGGGAGTTGATAAACGAGCTACAGGAGAATTAGAAACACTAGTTCCAATCTCACAGGAGAAGAGAGATCTCGAGAAATTAATTCCTTTCCCGCCGTCAAATTCGAAGAGAGATTTGGAGCGGTTGGTTCCTTTTACTTCGGGGTCTTTGGATCGGGGTAGGAGATCGATGGGGGATTTGGAGGTATTGGTTCCGGTTACGCCTAGAGATTTGGAGAGATCGGTTCCGGTTACGTCGTTGAGTGGTGATGCGGCGCATTTGGAGGAGAGGAAAATTATTGCTCCTGGGGATCAATTAGATCCTGGATCTGTGGCTCCGGATGCTATATCGATTGTTGAGAAAAGACACACTATTCCTCCTAGGGATCAATTGGATCTTGGATCCGTATTCCCAGATAACGTAAGTTTCTCCCTCATATTTACCCCAAATCCCAATCTTCTCATTAACAACCCAAGCTTCAAAACAACAACAACAACAACAACAACAACAACAACAACAACAACACAACAACACACAACACACAACACGACACACACACAACACACACACACACAGAGACAGATATGTCCATACCAAAACCGTCATCGAAACCGTCATTGAAACTGTCACTGGAGGCATAGCTATTCCCGGTTATCCAGCAACAGCACATAGTCAAACAAATAGTGTACACTCCTCCACCCTCACACACCTTTCATCTACCGTTTCCGCCGTCGCCACAGCACGTGTTTCCTCGCTTGTCGATACTACTTGTACCGATAGTACCATTTCTACTGGAATCAGGAGTACAAGTACTAGTATTTCATCATCCGTTGCACATCTATCTTCGAGTGCCAAAACTGGAGTTTCGACTTCGAATGATGGATCTCGTACAACGAAAGAAAGTAGTAAAACAAGCCCTACCATTACGTCTTCGAAATCTTCCGCTTCAGTGTCAGGTACTGGTGATGTTACAACAATTATCCATTCAAGCACTGCTAAGATATACACCACGGTCGATGCTAGTAGCGAAAGTGAAAGCAAAAGCGGGAGCGGAAGTGGAAGTGGGACGGTAAAAACCTCAAGTTCCTCAAGTACGACGAGTATCAAGACTGCGAAATCTACAGCTACAGATACTAAAAGTAGTGGTGGTGTGAAGAATATATCTACTCCCACTTCTACCGCTACTCCTACTACTGCTACTCCTTCTTCTAAGATTAGTACACATAGTTCCGCCACAAGCAGCAAGGTAGAAAGTAAAAGTACTCTTACGAGTTCGGTTAAGAAAACAAGTACGCTTGCTACTTCTACTACTTCTAGGAAAGTGGCGAGTACGACGACGGCTGCGAAACCGGCTATGACGAGTAAGATTGTTTATTCGGGCGTGCAAAAGGTTTTTCCTTTTTCTGTTTAGGTGGAGTTTTGTTTTGATGGGTGATTGGTGGGATGGTGTGATGGGGGCTTTAGTGTGGTGAAGGACAGACAGGACGGGAGGATGTTATGAGAGAAAGGGTTATATTAAGGTTAGCGAGTGGGAGTTTTTGTTCATTTAGAGTTTTGGTGTTCTTTTGTGTGTATATATTGATATCCAAGCCTTTTTTTTTTTTTTTTTTTTTTTTTTTTCAAAATACTCTGTTATAAACTAAATGATTAAATCATTATGATTGAGAAGCAACAGCTTGAGCGAATACCTGTTTACGGTTCCTATGTTGGAGAGTCTGGCGTTAGAGAAACTGATTTTGGGGAGAGTTCTTACAGTGCAATTTATTAACGGTTGGATCGTCCTCAGAAATTTTTTGAACTGGAGGTTGTATTGTGGATAAATACAGTAGTGAGAGTGCAGTGGGCGAAAGAAAGGGAGATGCGTTGATTATAGGCACGGAAAGTTGTGTAGGGTATGGATAAGGAGAAGTATGAAACCCTTCGGGCATGAGGAAGAGTCTAGTATGACAGTATAAATAGCGTTTAATCTGGTCTTAAGAGCCTCGGGGTTCGATCATAATGAGGCGGATGGAGGAATTTCCAGACTTCAAAGGCTTGTTTAATGAATGATAGTTTGACATATTTCCACTTGGTCAAGATTAAGTTTGTAGTTTAGAAACGGGAAAGATGGACAAGTCAACAGCGATCTATTTAGAAGGGTGCTGTGGAGAGCAGTTGGAAATAACTACTTTCCAACTGGACTGTAAAAAGAAGTCATGATAGACAGGTGATGGATGCAGTTATGGTAAATTTGTAGAACTTTTTGATTCGAACCTTAAGCTATAGTTTCTGTAGAAAGTCAAAGAAAAGAACAAATACAGAGGCTTTCTGGAGAATAATTGAGAAGATATTAAGAACAAAGTCCGATATTGAACTCGGAGTATGGTGATCTTATATAATTATACTCTCCGTAAATATCGATGTATTTTAGACTTTACCCACAGATTTATTTATCGGGGAAATATTGTCCGGGCGGTGAAAGATAATTATAGCGTCAATTTACTGCCATCAATTCTGGGACTAGCCCATTGTAACGATAGGGTTATCTTTTATCTTTCTTTTTCGCAAAGTTCGATTCGACTCTCACCATCTTCACTTACAAAATCCATCCTTCATCATGCCTATTTCCAAGAAAGACAGAGTGCGTACAATCTCTGTAATAGACTACTAAATCATGATCCGTTAGTTAATTTTGCCTACAGATCGCTCGTGAGCACAAGAAGGCTGATAAGGAAGGTACTCGCGCCCCGGTCAAGGCAAATGGTCTCCCAGTCAAACCCGCCGCACCAAAATCAAAAGTACGTCCAGGGATTTCTTCATATTCTCCCGCATATTGTTCGTATCTTTTTATCCATACCCGAGGCTAACTTATGCTGCAGTGCGAGTTCTGCAAGATGGAATTGGTCAACACAAATAAGGCACAACTGATAAGCCATGCCGGAAAGCACGAAGACAAGGGATGGACGAAGGAAAAGTGCTGGCCAAATGATTTCCCCGCATAGAGGCGAGACCAATAAAAATACAGGATGGTGGGAAATGATATCATGAATTGTCAGGGGAGTAAGGCGAAATCAATCATCCTGAGGGCACTGCGAATTCTGATGAAGGGTCTATGAGGGATCGGGGAACAGATTTTACGGAGCCAATTATTGGATTTCCCAAAGCAATTATGAATAATGGTTCCTCGCAATATACTTCACTCCTGGTGAGTATGAATTAGTGCAGATAGGTCGTTTCAGAACCTTGTTGCTCATGATCCTTTCATTCGTTGCTTCGATTCCGTATATCTTCGATTATCATAGGATTCTGGGATGACTGGCCAGAGAGGGTCATTGTGGGCCTGGCGTCTCGAACCAAAACATGTTCGCCATTCTTCACCCAGGAGGAAGAAGTTCGGAGCAGCATGCTTCACTGTCTTCAGTCTATACCATCCAACAATCTACTTGCTCGCCTATCTCATGAAGGTCGCTTGGCCCGTTGTTATTCATAGTAATTGGATGACTCAACCGGGCGTGGAGAAATTCATACATGAACAGCTCATCCAAAACGTAGCGTACGTACGTGGAATGACCTGATTTATCCATACACACTGGATTTTTGAAAATAGTAAATGACGACACATACACCCAATCTAGCTTCCAAGATAAATGAACTGCAGGAATCCAGCGAACTCTTTTACCCTGACATTCATTCAATGTGACCGGCGATCAGTAAACGACAGTTGTATTACCCACCATTTTGGCTACTCTGGGCTTTTACTACATGTTTCATGTTCAGAACAGACTAAGATGACAGGCCAGTAACATTCTATGCCCCAGAAATTCAAGGTAGAGAGTATTTTAACTTGATATTGCGTTTATAGTCAAATGTCTAATGTCCATGGTTGTTGGGCAGGATCAGGATTCCAAAGTATCTGCATATTATTGGCTAATGACATGGTATCTAAGAGATTCTCATTTCATACATGAAATCCAGAAAGAATATCAAAAATTTAATTCTCTCTTCAATGACCGCATCTTTGAAGAATATATCATTCTCCAAAGAATTATTTAAGAAAATAAGTAGATCATGATCAAGTAAATTTGTATATTAGGTACATAATGGCAGGCCCATTGCCTGTCCTGTATCTGTGTATTTCTCCTGCACGGGCCTCCGGATGATTGTAGGCCCGATGGCTTAATAACAACTACTCTTGACAGCTGCTCTTCCTAAACCTCGAAGAAATCTACACACTCCGGCTTTCATTGTGACACTGCATCCATCCACCCATCCATTTATCCTCAACATCTATTATAGGAGGGTAGCCTCAATTATAGCATTGATGGCCACAATCAACATGTCTTGCCCGGCATGATGGAACTTGATTTCAATTCCACTTCTTCCCCGGGAAGAAAGGTGAGGAAATGCACAATGACCTGATCATATATTAAACCACCACCCATTGCCATGAGTTATCGGACAAATTTTGTCGCCAAAAAGAGTGAAATGAGAGAAATTCTCATGTAGAAAGAAAAAAGAACGACTATCAGAATGAAGCACCTGTGCTTTCACTTCTGGACGCTGCAGTGTTAATGATCGGATTTGAGCTGGCGATCTTTGAAGTGGTCTTCATGTGAGAGGCTAGCAATCACCGGCTGAATGATCCATTCCATGTTACTCTATTCTGGGCCTTGATCATTCTGGGCGGTGCACTCGGCTGGAAATGATCTAATGATCCCACAGATTCAGCGTCCTCGTCTCTCTCAGGATCATATTCTCGTTCAAGAATGTTAGAATCGTCATGGTATACTGTCTCATGGTGACTCGCCCACAAAGTTGCATCCATTTTTCTGCCTCTTTTTTCCTCGGCAATTCGAGGAAAGCACTCTCTCCGAGGGACACGATCAGACGGGCACGTAACTTGGGGTCGGTAGTATGGGTTTGACTCGAGTTCTGGAGGGACACTCAGACCGTATGTTTGCGGAGGGTCAGGTACTTCGTACAAACGCTGAGGAGGGGCTGGTCGACTACGACGTCGATCTTGGCCACCACGAGCAACGATAGCGGTATGAGCTGAAGCACGAGCATAAGGTGGTTGACTATGATTCCGACTGTTGGATCCATGGTGAACATGATTACTTGTAGGTACTGGCTGTGGAGTCATTGACCGAGTGGACTGGATAGTTCTTGGCCGAGAGGGTTGCGGGGTCATTGAGCGAGCTGGCTGCGTGGAGCTTGAGCGCTTAATTTCCTGCGGAACGTCGTTTTCTGAATAGTGTCTACCTAGCGGTAGACGCTCTGCAGCGCTTCTTCCATATGATCGAGGGTCGGACTGCCCGTTATGCATTCCACACAGGTTTGTCGATCGCTCAGTACGACGGAGAGTATCTCTAGACGCAGATCTCTGTTGAGACGGCGTCGGCAGTCTGGGTGGGTCATCGTGTAAACTATTTACTTTCTCGCCCCTGGCTTTTAAATCTGCTAGTCGCGGGAGAGTCTGATCTGTGAGTACATTAGTATTTAGTCTCCATATGCTGTGTGTAAGAGTTTGGTTACCTTCTACATCTTCTGTTCTCGGTCTTCCACTCATTAACCGCTGGAACTCCAAGTTTTCGTCTAAGGCGTCCGCTGTGATTGTGCTTAGCAATGCATTACCGCAAGAGAACATTGAACCAAGACTCACCAAGTGTACGCAGCTCAGCTGCCATCTCACTGCTATCGGGCCTGAACCTCTTTGCCATCATAATACGCAATTGTTCTTTTTCCTTTTCTACCTGGGAAGAAAAGAAAGGAGACATTTGGTCGAATCTGGTTTGACAAGCCATATTGTTAGAAGACGAAAATTGCAGCACAGCAAAACAACTTTTCTTTCTAGAAATTGTGGCCCAAATTTATATTAAATGCGTTCTTCAGAAGTGCAAGAGACACTCCGGATGCAACCCCGCCTTTAGCTTAGTTCGCACGTACACGTCCGCTGCTGCACGTATTTGTTTCATGTTGGTCGAGTTGTTGATTTCCAGGATATTGCCACGCTCTTCATAGGGATTGGCTCAACTGCACCAATTAAAAAATATCCACAATTAGCATATTATCATGCAGGAACATGATCGACTTACGCTTAAGCATAAAAAATTTTGGTTGGAGTAATGAAAACTTGTCCTATTGAGGTAGTACAAAGTCACTGGGAGTATTACAAATTTCAACGTCGTTTGTTTAAGGAGGCTATCTTATGAAAAACATACCGATATCAGTGTTAGTTGGCACGACGCTTTAAAGGCTTTGGCCTTGAAATGTTTTCTGAGATTATGGGTACCAAGTCACTAGTTTCTCGGATATCTCGGTACCATCCAAGCGGTATATGTCATTGGCTGAGGATGGTAGTTGACGTCACGTGACATTCTATTCACTCCTCCGATGAAGATTATGGCATAGTTTGGTGGAGGAAGAAGTGATTTTGAATTTATCAATTCAGATCGACGCAACCTTGTAGGTTATCTTTTTCTCTCTACATTTGCAACCAGCAGCGAGAAGCATCTGCGACTTCTTTTCTTCTCATTCCAAGTTCTTTGTGTCAATCAGATCTTCGAAAATGAACTTAGTAGTCAATTGTGCAAGACAATGTATCGGGTTCCGATCTTGAAGAATTTAAATGGAACTCTCTCAGCTCATGTTTCTCCCAAAGGAAGGCGCTCCTAGTAAGTAGCCATCAATTTTCTTAAATGCATACCTATGGCATGTGAGCTTAATTACCAACTCTTTAAAGTTCCCCAAAGAAAGGTTTCACCTGCTATTCAACCTCAATTGCCTATAGTCGAAGAAAATTCCCCTGCAAACGCTAATTTCCCAACTGATACCTTAAATGTAATCGGCGCGACCAATGAAGCTCTCCTAGTGCCTCAACCTATATTGGAGCGATCCCACCATTTACTTCTATGAGTTCATCAGGAATGGCTCTACTTATTGTCTCTAACAGTTGTTCTTGTCGTTCAATTCCGGTTAGTGTAAATCCGCAGCATACCCACGTATAATGAACGTAGTTTGCTAATATTTTCTCGTCGTAGTTTCTGTTACCAACTCTGCTTAGCGTAAATGCTGATAGCATAAAAAAAGATTATCTAACGCATGATCTCACGAGAGCCATTCAAGTCCTACCAATTGAAATAGATAGCCTAGCTAAATTCATCCCCGACGATGCTGTTAAAGCCGAAATCTCCCTACCAAACCTTGTCCAAATCTGGACGATGAAGTTCTCTTGCTACGAATAGGGAACCCGCGACTCTGAAGTCGTCAAGACGGTTTGGCACTTGATCGAGAATTCAGAGCCACACTACGAAACCCGTCTCAAAAGGAGATAAATGGCTAATAAGATGAACGAATTGGTCGATGATTATTTCATCCACAAGGTTGCGTCTAATACCAAAAAACGAACCAGTCTATCAGTGCCTAGTGACACTTCTCGCTCGCAGCCCGCCCAATGGCAACTATAAAAAAAGCCGAGAATCAGCTATACTTACGAGCCTAGTGCTCAACTTGTCGCTTGCTTTACTGCTTGCTACTGGGCAGAGCTACACAAACCCATCTTTTCACCACAAGATTGGCCAGTCGTAGGCCTTCTGCCAGCATGGTGGCAAAGTTCCTGCCAATCGGGCTAGGGCTCAGCCTGATTCGCAGCCTAGCGAAACTCCTCTCTTCGATGGCGCAAATTTCTTCGTTTGGGGTATAGTTGGCTATATAAATCGTTTATTTCCTAGGGTCTTAGAGATATTTGGGATATTGTGGGAGTAACCAATAGGAGGGACATACGTGGAGATATCCTAGGTTTCATTGGGTGCTCGTGGTTATTTAAATTCTTCAAGGTGCTGGTTGGTTGGTTGGGATGTTTTATTGGGTATTGGGGATAGATTTCTCAAAACTTTGAATAGATATTTAAACAATCTGAATAAATATTTATGGATTATTCCGCACACCGACATTTTTACCTGAACGGGGTGTATTACATGATGAGCCAGCTTCCATTCCAAAATTAAGCTCATTGGCTAGTGAGCTAGTCTATTTAGGAATTAATGTAGGTAGGGAATTTGGGGAATGAGAATATTGTTTAATGGCCCGATGCAGATTTTAATGTATATCTGATGTGGTTTGTGAAAAGGATATAATTAGATGAATATTATGTTTATATATAACAGAAGACAAGGTGGACGTCGATACCATTCGTATGGTTTAGATCCTAACAGGACTCGAGAGCCCGAACATATAGATATTTAATTGGTACTTCTCCATGTATTCTCATATAGAGTGTCAATCAGCTCATGAGAGAATACAGATTAAGAGTGAGTCGCTAGTGCTTCAGCTACTTTGCTCATAAAATTAATAACTATAGATAGATATATTTGGCAGGTTATTAGACCAGGTTTATTCACCCGAAGGTATAGAGTGGGACGATTTCTAAATATGCTCACGTATCAATAGAGTTTGAATTTGAGAAAACTATTAATGAAAATTTTTTTATTATAAATCTATTAAAAGAAGTAAGTGGATAGCTTTTCTGAATGAAGAGATTAATGATCTTTCTTGATTTGCGGCCATGACTGGCTGTTCCACGGGAGAGCCGGGGACAGTCTGTATGCTTGCAATTGTGGTCTAGAAACACTTGATATATTATACTATCCATAGTTATAGAAGATTTTGGGTTATATTTTGGTGAAGCGATTAAAGATAGTTTAGTCTTCGATTACTCCTATAATTATATATTCAAATATTCTAGAAAAAAAACAAAAAAAACTTTGCCAGTGAAGGCGAAATCAATCATCAGGAATGAGATCAACTTAGTGATATCTAGGAAAACTTCAACGGTAAAGTAGTATACAGCATTTTGACTTGATGAAATCGCATATTCTACATCAAAATATTGGGCGGATAGATATAAAGTACGAAGTATACACCCTGCTATGAGAGCATTTCTTTGGACGAAACATGACCCGTCATCTTTTGCTTAGGAAACTTATGGTGTCACCCGCATTGTATTGCTATGTTTTCTGTGCTCAAAAGTCACGGAAGTGAATTCAAGCTGTTATTTATTTTTAGAAAATCTATGGAAAACAAATGCCCAGGAAATCCCCTCAAAACATTAGAAACGTCAGGGCATAATAAGTCGAGCAAGGTTGAACGTTTCTTATATTAGAGCTACTAATTGTATTAAATGCTTTACTCTGATTCCGAATGGTAGGGAGAAGAATTTAAAATCGGGATACTTGAACGCATTTCACTGATTGACACTTACTCTATCATAGCGTGATATTCATAAATTCAAAAGGGATGTCACCAATCTATCTTCCTTTTATCGTAAAGCGCTTAGGGTTTATCTAGGGATAGCAAACTGCTACTGGAAATAAGCACTATCTACCCAGAACTAAACGACTGATGAGGTGTGACAGACATATTGGTGCTCCAGCCAAAAGACAAGTTCCTCAAAAAGTCTTTTGAGCAACAGCCGCGGGGTGAGGACCAAACTCCTCTCTGCAACTTGAAACTCAAGTGCCATTGGAAATACGCCCCACAGTCGGGTTTCATATAAAATGTTGAGTTGGCTGATCGGCAACCAACCACTTGGTTAGCTAATGGTGTCCACAACGAAATCACTTGATGGGACAGAACACACTTTGTTTGACAGAAATGAAGATCTCTTCGTCTGAAATTTCTGACCATATTGCATGTACCACGTGTTAAGCTCGAAGTCTGAGCCGGATTCTCCGTCGTGGTATATGGCGGGGTAATATTATATGGAGTATGTACTCCACAATCGTTACCCTAAGACATATATGGAATTTGGACGTATTAAGCCTTTGTACTTACTCGTAATCTAGCCATTTTATTTCGCAAGTTTCGCTATCATCACTCTTTCGACTTTAAAGCAACCTCCAGAACCTCAGGTACGAGCAGTACAGACATGAAGTGAAACCTGTCGATGGTCCTATCAAGTAAACCACTGCTGGTTCTTATATTGTAGAATTGAACCTCCTAGATAGTAATGCCAGGCACAGAATGATAAAAGAATGTTGTTAGGTATTGATCATTCAAATTTGTCGAAGAATGTGAGACTCGATCGATTCAAAATTGAATATGCGCGACCAGAGTTTATTTGACTATCTGACACGTGATTATGCATGTGACACTAACTCTCAAGTGTTCGCTGTTTCATTACCCGTTCAGCCTTCGAACCATCCATATATGAACGTATAGATCCGAGTCGAAATATGATGTTTATGAAGGGGACTGTCGGTTGAGGAATGTGATGAAGATCAAATATGAAGTGGAGACGAAAAAGCGGGCAGGAGGAAGGATTGGGGGGAGCAAACCGACGCGTCGTCGCGGATGGATTGATCAAAACCATATCAACAGATACAACACCCTCATGATGCTTCACCCATTGCCTGCCATTGATCAGGATATTTCCAGAATCATCAAATGCCCATCGCATATGGTTTCGGAAAGAGATATTCACTGCAGCAATGCTTATGCTCCGATATCAAATATTCAATCTTGGAACTCAAGCATGATTTTCAAAACCACCAGAACTATCTTGAGATGCGATGCAACCTCAGAGAAGCATTTAAAATTATCCACTCAATGTACTTCATTTGTACCTCATCCTCAAAAACCACTTTTTGTCTCTTTCAAACAACCTGTGAGATTTTTATTTACTTGAAACAATCCCTTGATTGGCCAGTGTCACTTGAGTTTATGGCTCCCCTGCAAAGCAGCCAGTCATTCAATTAATAAGGAGTAATAAATTCCCCCAATCAAAATCCTTTCGAATTATTCCATTTAGGCATTTCATTTATATTCATTTACTTCTCGCGCGCATGGCTATTTTGATGAATTAAAACGGTTGTGGGGTATTAGCATGGAGATGCATGCAGATGCTTAAATATGAACCATTCTCAACTTGTGTACCTAGAATGAGGGACAAGATTTTCATTTTCTTCCTTTAGTACTTTTACATCTTATCTCTACTTTGTTTAACATCATGATGAATAACTTCGCCTTGTTAGCCCTGGTTGGCTGCACTCTTGCTTCTCCTACCGAATCTATCAAGTCCCGTGCTACTACTGATACCAAATATCTCTTCTCATTGTATTTATACCTCTTTTTCAGATGATAATTCAAATACTAATAACTACAGCGGCGATTCATATTCTCAAACCGGTTTTGAAATCACCGGCACTAAGCCATCAGCTGCCAATCCCATTGGTAACCCAGCATTTCCAGGTTGGACTACCGACAACGGCATCAATTGGATTGGACATCTTGTAGAAACCTACAACTCCTCCCTTATTCTCTCATACAATTTAGCTTATGGAGGCGCTGTTGTGGATGCTAGTATCGTAACACCATATGAGCCCACAGTCTTGACATTTGTCAACCAAACTGCCGAATTCATCGACAACCTCTCGCCAGCACCTACCGATGTCACTTGGACTGCAGATAACTCCCTTTTCGCCCTATGGTTCGGTGTTAATGATATTGGTAATTCATATTGGTTATCCAATGAAACGGATGTCATCAGTGCTATTTTCGATAGTTACTTTGCTCACGCAAAAATTTTGTACGATGCAGGAGCAAGAAACTTTTTGTTCTTAAATTGCCCTCGTAAGTCATACTTCCAGGTGTGCCTACATAAAAATGCTGGCGAAAAAGGAACTCCAAGCGCTTTGATACTAACAACCTCATCAAGCCATCGACAGATCCCCCATGATGCTCGCATATGGTAATTCCGTCACCTCCTTAGAAGCCAACGTCATAAGCGCCTACAACACTGAGCTCAAAGCACGAGTAGCTGCGTTTGAAAGTGCTAATACCGGCCTTACCACATACGTATTTGACACTCAAGCTCCATTCAACACTGCTCTGGATGCTCCAACAGCATATGGAGCTACAAATGCAACTTGTTTTGACGCTGACGGAACTACTTGTCTTTGGTTCAACAATCTCCATCCTGGTCAAGCGATTCAAAAATTGGTTGCAGAGGGTATTGCGAAACAATTGTCGGGCAATTTTTTCCAGGCTAGTTCTTCAAATTGAAAGGTCGCTAGTTCTGTGTTGATGACTTCCACTACATCTGGTTTTCGCAAGCTCTTCTTCGGTCGCAGCTGTTTAATCGAGTCTCCGACAACTTTTACACTGAATTATCGATTATAGCTTCTTTGGCGCATCCATTGTTTCCGTCACAATCGCCTCGAGTACTGCTATCTCATCATTAGCTTCCTCTATCCTTACTAGCACTACTAGCTTGACTACAGCATCTTCGGGCAGGGATGATGAAGATGAAGAATGAACACAGACGCTTAGCCCGGATGATAAATCGTCAATGAAAATAGTTACATCCGACTCAGCTAAGACGTATCGTTAAAAGAGTCAGGCATAAGGCGGAGAAGTTGGAATCTCTTATTTATAATTTTGAAAATTCTCAAATATATTTTGTAAACACTTTGTACCAATAAATTTATTTTTCTTCTCAAACTTGGATCCCTCATTGGTTTTCAAAAAATCACCATGTTTACGCAACGAATTTTGTCTCATTAATGATGGATTAGAGCTTCCAACTGGCATAAAAAGAAGATAGCGAGCTGGTGAGAAGACATAAGGTATAAGTCTGGTAGAAACCCTTGCTCATAATGCAACCTAGGTAGAGAGAACAATCAACATCACGCCACTCATGGAATTCCCATAAAAAACAAATCCCAGCCTCCCATCTCCGGTAAATGCCCCAAATAACGCCAAGCCATCAAGCACCACCCAAATTCTTAAAACACGCATCCCATCCTGTCTTCCTACCCCATCACCCCCTACCCCTTATCACCGCTTCCCACCCCTCCCCGCCTCATCTCCCACTTCCTCCCCCACATCCACCGATTACACCTCTGTCTCTCCCTCTCCCTCCTCTCTTCCTCCTCCCTCCACTCTTCTTCTTCTTCCCTCTTTTCCCTCTCTTCCCTTCTTTCTTTCCTCATTAAAATTATTTTCCTCTCTCTTTTCCTGCGTTTTTCTTCCTCGAGATAGATTTGCGATTCTTGGTGTTTTTTGCTGGGGATGCAGAGGCGGGTACTTTTGCATGGGTGGGGCTTTTGTGGAGGAGGAGGAGGTTGGGATTTGGGTAGAGGTGGAGGTGGTGGAGAAGGAGGTAGAGGTAGAGGTGGAGATGGAGATGCTGTTATTGCGCTTGGTGAAGATGGTATATATTCTTGAGGTTGTAAAGTGCTATCAGGCGCGCCATGCGTAGATGAGCTCCCAGCATCAGCATCAGCATCAGCATCAGCAGTACTAGCACCGCTAACAACATCATCATCAGAAACAACACCATCAGAAATAGAAGTAGAAGTAGAAGTTCTTCTACTCTCCCTAGCAGGAAATTGTAAAGGAGGCGAAGATACTGATCCCAATGAATTCGAATCCTGATCACGAATCACAGTGAAAATATATTCATACGGTAGTTATAAATAAATTAAGATTAATACTAATAATATTAATTAACCAATTGAAATGTTCATGGAATAATCAAGGAATCTCTGATGAGTGTTTGAAGATATAAATAATAAAAAATTACAGTAAAGGAGAAAATTTATAAAGTAGAAGTTTACTTTACTTTCAGTGAGTGTATCTTTCGAATCATCTTTTTTCTTTCTTTTATTTCGAGTCATTGATCCATTCATCCATTCATTATGAACCAAAAATACCCAACTATGAGTCCTTGGTAGGTTATTTATAACTCTATCCATCATCCATCATCCGGCATCTATCATCTACCATCCTAGAGTCACAATCACAATAATAAAAACAAGAAGCGAGTGAGTGCTATTATTAACAACAAAATCTAAAGTAAAAAGTGAATAGTCAATCAATAAATACCTCTTCAAAATCCCAGTCTCATTTCTAAAAGTCCATAAGAAGGAAGGATATGATCACAACCACCACTCTCTCTCATCATGAAAAAACTTGATGTTGAGATTTTTGTTTTTTTCTATCATATACTACACTATACTATTCTATCCTAAAGTGTCTACTAAAGTAATCTCATCTACTAAATCATCAAATATTAGAGAGGAAATCATATAACTCGATTCTGCCCCTTTTGTTCTTAGGAGAAATTTTCTATTTCATTTCATTCATTCATTTACTGTGAACTTTAAAATCTTATCATTACCAGAACTTTCTTATAATTAATTGTAACTTGACTTACAAATTCACATTCACACTTGATCAAAAGTTTTCATAAGTACAGCACAAGATTCTTTTTAGTTAAATAAAAAAATGAAAAATTTATATTCTCAATTTCCTCATTTCGATTTATTTATTTATTTATTTAAATCTCACTCTTTTCTTTCATCTATAGATTACGGTGAGTATGTATGTAAGGAAGTAAGTAAGTAAATAAGTATATTTAGGAATGAAAGACTCGACGACCTACCATGCCAATCCTAGAATCTGCAAAGAGAAGCAGAACAGAACAGAGTAGAGCAAAATATCGCAGCGCAGCGAAAGAAAGCAGTGTAGCGCAAAGTATAAGAAAGTAGCGCAGTATAGCAAAGACTTCCACTACATAACCACACAACACCCCACCTCCTTCGCACGCCCATGCCTCCTCCTCTCCATCCCACTCCTCCCACTCCCTCCCCTCCTCTCCCTCCCCATCTCCCTCACCCTCCCCTCCCTATCCACACCCCTCATCCTCCTCCTCACCCCATCCTGCAACCTCATATCCGCAGCCGACGAACCTCTTTTCGCCAAACACCTATCGCACATCCGCGGCATGTCCAGTACTTGAGATTCCTGATCTAGACAATTGAGGGGTGAGGAGGTGGGACTGCAGGGTTCGATTGGGTGGTAGTCTGCGTGTCCGCAGGTGTAGATGTATTTGATTGTGAGACACATTTTCTAGGGGAGTTTTGGGAGTTAGTTGTTGTGGTGGGTGTGGTTTTTAGTGTGAATGATTGTGACTGTGACTGTGACTGTGGTTTGGGTGAGTTTTGTGTAGGTATGGGGTAATAGATCAATCGTGAAGAATGGAAGAAAAAGGAAAGGAAACAGAGGGAATATTTATACTCGCTCCAAAAAAAAACATACATATAATTTCTATGCTTGTTTCCATGTTGTTTAACTGATTCTCTGAGACTGTGAAGATCATATCGTTACCGTGTCTATACTACGCAGAGTAACTACGAAAACCTAAAATCTAAACAACCACGAAACAACAGCGACTAAACAGTTATTGAATCTTCCACCATGTATATTCGAGTTTTGCGGAGATGGTTGGAGTGAGTTGAATTACGTGATTCTCGAGATGACATTGCTTTGAGCCTGAAACTTTGGAACTGGATGGATGGTTCCACGTGTCCCTATTCCAAATCATCTTGGAGACAAGAAGATAAGAGAAATAAAAACAGATATATAAACATTTCTAGAAAATAGATTTCGATACTGCAAATACATATGCAGACTTCTGGTGCCTTCTACTCGATATGCCCGTCCCGTATATGCGTGATATCCTACAACTTACAGCACTAGCTGACACACTAATTTGACATTGAATCTTTACCTACCCTCCAAGGATCACACATGACAGAAAAATATCACAACAATCAGGGGATAAGATTTAATATGACATGGCATTCGTGATTGTGTATATATACCATCATGAGATCCAAAACCCCATTTCTCTTTTCCAGCTCTTTCCAATTCCTGGCAATCCACCAAGCTACATCCCTCCATCCTCTTCACCACACGACTAAATCTAATTATTATAGATTATATATTACCATCTTCCACCTTAGCTTTCCATTCAGATCTCATCCATGCAACCATTCAAATCAACGATATGTGACCCCAACCTCTAATCTTCATAAATGATATAAGAGATTCATTAACCGTCCGCCAAAATGACCAACCAGATATTCATCCTGAATATCGCGCCAACCATGCACACAAACGATCCCTGACCTTTCAAACACCAGTAAAAATAATTTGAACCCATATATAACAAACCCCCAAACCCCGATATGATGGGAATCTCCGCATACCCAAAAATTCAAATCCATATACCGATTTCCAAATATCCAACTCATTCATACAAAACCAGTCCTCCTTGTACATATATGTCTTTATTCCCATGAGCATCCTCTAATTCCAACCACCGGGAATGTTCACAGCAATCGACTGGAAAGACTCGGTATTTTCTTTAGTAAGAGCAGGTCTCTGTATCGAATGTTCTTCGTCGAGTATTTCGATCTTTTCGTTGAAGCTAGAATCTTCTTTGGGGGATTCGATCTTTTCGTGTTGCTCCTCGACAACCGGCTCATGAGATTCTGGCTCCTCTGTTTCCACATCTTCCATAACGATAGGAGTTTGCTCGAAACTCTTTCTGTTGGGGCTGAAAGGAAGTGGCACCATACTTGCTTCAAATTGTTCGAAGCTCTTCCTATTTGGGCTGAAAGGAAGTGGTGTGATGCTAGCTTGTTCCAAGCTGGTTCTCTTGATATTGCTACTCTCAACACCATGTACATCGACTGCTTCAAAACCTTCTCTTGATGGACTTCTGTCACTGCTTGGGGAAGCAATGGAAAGTTTGCTGTTTCTCAATGAATTTCTCGGGGGTAGTGGTGGTGGTGGGCCTCTCTTTGGAATATTTACAACGCCACCTCTCGCTTTTATCGCTTGTGGCATGATGACTGTAGCTTGTGCGGAACCAGCTTCGAAAACTACTGCTTCCTCTTCTTCAAAATCTTCATCATCCGAGAGGTCATCCATCGAATTGAACGAGTTTTGTCGTCTCTCATCGGTGTTAGGAGGACTGCCGTTAATTGTTGTGCCGTCAAAATCTTGACTGTGGTTTAAGCTTTGATATGGCCCTAGATCGACCTTTGTGTAGTCAACTTCTTCCGGTTCTAGTACAACCGCCTTTTCATCTTCTTCTATGATCTTGTTGTCGTCTTCGCTGTAACTTGGACTCGTACTCGGCGAAATTGTGCGGGGTGGTGATCTGATGGATAACGAATCATCCGTTTGTGTGCCCATTTCAGTAGTCTGTGTTCCTCGATCTGTACTTGCTCTTGTTTTCCATGACATGTAACTTTCTCTATTACTCCTCCCGCCCTGAGTATCAAAACTACGTCTGTTATATCTAGTGTAGATCGGACTCGATGGAGCTGGATTGTATTCAAACTGTGAGCTGACTGGTCGAGCCTTTGTTCCTGCCTCGCGAATCTCAAGTCCGGCATTTTCTAATGCCAATACTCCGAAAGGATCCGGATCATCAGGTTCAGGTATACCAAATATTGGTATCATCGAGGTAGGTGCTTGCAAATCCACATCGCCAGGTGCAGGCTCATCTTTTAGTTGTTCCAACATCGTTGCATCTACATCATCTCTACCTTCTGCAGCCTTGACGGTTTCCATGAGTAATTTCGTTTCGGATGGTGTATGTCGAACTTTTCCAGCCAAGATATCTGCAACTCCAATTCTTTGTCCATAAAATCGCTCATTTTCGTCGGTTCTTTCAATAATGACTGTTCCATCCACTTGCACACCTGCGTAAAAGCCACGGGACTTCAAGTAAGTGAATACAGGCTTATTAGCTTGTTTCCAGTTTCCATCGTTCTCTAATACTCCTCCTATTCCAAGAGGACCCGCCACGGCACTAATTTCTCCTCCCAAAGTCGCTCTTATTTTCGTGAAAGATTCGAGAGTTTTGCGATTATTGATAACGACGACACAATCATAGATGTCAACACCGACCAAAAATCCGAGACCTGCAGTATGTAATAATATTCCAGAAGGGGGTGACCATGTACCATCCTCTTTCCTTGCGATCAAAATTCCAGACCCTCCGGCTCCCGATATCCATAAGCCAGTTCGCATAGTTGTGAATATAGCCAACCCTACCGCATTTTCAATAACCTTTTGCGGTATCTTCTTCACAACCCTCTGCTTGGACTTCGCATTCGGACCATCTTGGGTAGATGGTCGATCTTCTTCGGTATAGAATCCATCCTCTGGGGGCATAGTCATGTCAGCGAGCGACTTCCAAAGGATAGAATTGAAGAAGGCCGAAAGAACTCACTGCAGAATGTTTTTAGAATACGAGCAGCTTTATCGCATTCCTTGTCTAAAGATGTCTATTCCTCGCCATAAGCATCTAAAAGCAAGGAGTTGAAGAACGCGGGAGGGCTTACCGGCCAAAAAGCTTCCGAGCCAATTTTGTTTGTCAATCGATTGACGGGAGCACCTAATTTATCTGCCCATGCCCAAGTCTTGTCGAAACCTTTCTTACTAGTGGTTTTAGTCCTATCCCACGATGGGAGCCATGAAACTGCTCTTTGCATTTTGCCTTTTGTCTGGTTGATTCCGCAATTATGCTGTGCGAAGGTTCTTTTTTAGGCTATTCGGAGTGGGATGATGAACGTGGTTATTGATGACGACAGTCTATGCGGAGGTGATATGTAAAGTAATTTCTGTACTCATGTATGCTAGCGATAAACAAAGAGGTAAATAAATAAACCAATTTTTCAAATTATTTTCAAATTGATTATAAATTAATTCGTCGCATTCTCAAGAAAATTATTACGCTCCAAAGTTAAAGTCAAAGGAGAAGAAAGCTCTCATCGTCGTCCCCAAAACAAAACAAGAAGATTCCAGGAGGAACTGAGGGGTTTTGAATCTTTGACTTTGCCCTCCTCATGCAGAAAAATCAAATGTTATTAGGCCAGGATCAATGGACGGGGTAGGATAGGTAGGATGGGTCGGATGGCTCGTAATCGGTCGTTGTTCACAGTAGAGTGAGTAACTAGAACGGTATATACGGAATGGAGATAAAGCTTGATAGGTACAATTGCTTCTGGCGTGCAAGACTTGATGCGGGCTGAGTAACGTCCTACTAGAAATTTACTTTTCGATGCTTCTTTCTGGGATTGTCACCAATCAATTCCACGGATTTTGATGATTTGCGGAAGGGGCGGGCGGAATCCAAGACCAAGTAAAGAGAAGATGTCCGAGCGGTAGGAGTGCAGTACCGGATTTTTAGAAGTTTGTAAGGTTTTGATGATGCTCAAGAAAGACGTAACAGGTAACTGATGTCATCTATTTAGATGTGGTTTGTTATTTTCGGAGAATCAAGAAGTCAAGGAGTTCAGGTGAAAGGAAAAGGAAAAGAAGAGAAGATACGATTATCAAGAGATGGAGAAGGGTGTTGAAAATATGAAGAGGAGATTAATGTAAAGAAGAGTCTAGGAAAAGACTGACTGATGAAAACCTACTTAGCTAAGTTTACGAGGTAGCTCAACACTATTTTCTCTATTAGCTTTTTTGCCCCCAATTTCCATAGCGTATGTAAATCTATCAATATTTATGGAACATTCCAATTTTATTTTCATTTAATTTTCGTTACAGAAAGAAAACAAATTTATAAAAATAACCTTGGAAGCATCAAGGTATCTTCCGTACCGAGGAGTCATAGTTCGTTCTAGAAAATTCATGGGACAAGGGCTTTCCTTGGTATAAAGGAGGTGACTTCATCACAAGGTTTATAAGAACTCAAGACCCCATAAATTTCAGGATGCATCTCCCAATCTTGGGCCTTACGATTGATTACCACGAGGGAAGTGGGACAGAGGAGCAGCCAATAGCCAACGCCTGTGAAAGGTGGTGCCATGGGAAATACAAGAGCCATAAGGTTGAATCAAGGAGCCGAAATGAGACTGACTGACTCCCTTTGGCGAGAATACTCCGCGGGTGGAACATTTCACTGATGTACTGCTGCTTTCAAGTGGATTTGCATTTCTGGAAAACTGCACGTTAAAAGGGAGAACCACACCACAGTCACAGTGAGTCTTTTGATTATGGGATGCATCCATGGGGGCCATGCACTTGGTGACGGGTTGGGGTCTAAAGCGTTCAAGAATGTAGAAACTCCTGCATTTTGTGATTCCAACTGTAACGCCAGACAGCCTCGCCTTAATATTATACACCTGATTAATACGGCTCATCCCATCGTTACATCCTGAAACTAAATAGTTTATGAGGCGAGAGTAATCAAGCCGAACCCCGCATTCATAAGCCATAAGCCATTTTGGTGATATTCGTAATCATGGCTCGTTAGGTCGTCAAACTTTGAAAGTCAGTGGAAAGATTTATCCTTAGAGAAGCTTTCCAGTCAATCCCTCTCCACCGGATTTCAATCCACCGACCAATCCCTCTCCCTTAGAATCAGCTCCTCCCAGAATTCCATTTGCGAGTCCCTCTCCATCTTTCTTCAGTCCGCCAATAGGTCCTTTACCCTCTTTAACATTTTGTGCCTGTTGGTTACCTTTCAAGTCACCTATAGAGATATATTGTTAGCGTTGGTCATTCGATAGTGCCAATGAATGTGCAAACGCAATGGCAAAACCTATTGCAACTTTCTGGCAGATAGAGGACACATTGGTAACTTACTTGCGACAAAGTCGGTGCCTTCTTGAAGACCTTCAAGGCCCATCTTCTTTGCTTCTGCCTTGGCCTTAACTTTGAATGCGAAAACGCCCATTTTCTCAATATATTCGTCGAGAAGTCCCATAGCATATGCGCCGCCAATGAGGACAGCGATCGTGGTGAAGGTCGCAAGGACGACAAGAACCGTGTTGGCCATATTGAATGTGTGAAATGAGCTGACGTATTTATGGGTGAGAGTTGTTGTTCAGGAAGAGCAATTTGATTGAATTATTCAATTACAGTGTACAAAAGAACTGTGTCATTGAATGGAGAGAATATAAGACGAAGAACACATCTCGAGATCTCTTATGTGTTCAAGAACCTACGCCTCTGACCTACCTGTCCTATTATCTTTTGTTCTTGCATATGACGTTTACATGCCAAATCTTGGAAGTGAATATATTACGCAGAATCAAGTTTATGACCGTATTCTACTTGAAGAAAGGATGCTCGTCGGGGATAGTGATCCATAATTCCAGTAAATTGAACTCATTATTTGTAGTGGTTCCATCATCATAAGGTCGGTAGACGTAACAAAAAAGAATTGATGCTGTTGATGATTCCATTGATGGAGGGATGGGATTTACAGAGTAATTAAAGCTCGCTTGAGCATTGTGAGGCCTAAGCTTCAAGTGGTTAGCTCGGACATTGTCGCGGGAGCTAGTCACGTGTAATCACTAGCGTCGTTGCAAAGTGTGGTGGTGCTGCCGGCAACGAGGTGAACTTTCCCATACGTTCCCATTGAAGGACATGATCAACACTCCGGTATGAACGGGATTCCGATATATCAGAGTTTAACAAGGCATCAATGATATTTTTATAATCAGCCTTAAGCTTTTAGCTTCAAATTTTGCCCGATTCTTTCAAAATTTTATAAGTTTACCATCTGATGCATTTGTGACGAGAATATGAGCACTTTGTTTACAACATTGTACCGGATGTAACTGTTTGGAGGACTATGTAAGCCGATCATCTTAATTGGACCTCGAGAGGCTAGTGCTTAAGGTTGAATCACATAGCTATAGTTAGTCTATATACCCTTCGGGATCATCGATCGAACTTTGATCGCTAGTTATAGATCCTAGGGAGTGGTTGAACCCGTTTTATCAGCTCTTTGGTGCATCCGTGTTACGGCGGAATTCCGTACTTTTGGTCGGAATCCCGGGAGTCATCGGAATTCCGTACTCACATACAAGACTGTGACTCTACAGAGAAGTGACTAGAATAAGTGGGATTCTGGTATAGAAGTAGCTGGCATGGTGAGGTTCTATTGTAACGTGTCGATGTGTGGTTACGTAGAAAAACCAGGGATCACATTCAAAAAAATCGTTTCATACATCCGTACAACCCAATGGTAAACCGTCGAAAATGGCAAAATATCCGTTTAAGTCCGATCAGCATTGTGTACCCATCTTATCCATTAAATAGTCCTCATGGCACTTTTTCTAATTACATACCTTGAATCTGATACATCCTTTTTTTCACGAACAGCGAAGTCCAAATACAGATTGTATAACAGTGAATCACAAAAATAAGTGGATGAGTCTTCTCAGTTGATAATATCATCTACACCCCATCCTTCCAGAGATGGGTTCCAAGACTATAATTTTGGGAGCTCTAACTGTCGTTCTCGGTGTTTCTTATCAAACAATCCTGAAAGACTGGCTTTATCTCAACTTCGGAATAGGGCGAATTCATACGCATCTCGAAGACTATCCTTACACGTGTCGACGACTTGAGCATCCTCTTTTATCCGCTTGCGAAGATCTCTTTCTTGATTATGAGGGTCGCGCAGTATATGCTGCCTGTTCAACAGTCGAAAGCCGAAGGGGCTGGATTCCTGGGTGAGTCAATATGTGTTTTTTGCATGTTACGTGAATCCTCACAAAACGTTTAGGGGAAATCATTTCAATGTATCCCAGAGAACCCTGGAAGATCACGTGTCGGTACTCAAGATTGATGAGCCGGGAGCGGATGGACTTTATGGTCTTCATCAGCTAGAGATTACCGGAGGATACAAGGGTGTAGATAATCATAACTCTATTGATGTTCACGGGTTCGACGTCGAAATCTTGCCCGATTCCCGGCGCAGATTTTGGATGATCAATCACAGACCCCCTGTGGATGAGTCGGGAAATTTCCTTGATGCAACAAAGCTAGGAGCAAACTCAACTGTGGAAGTTTTTGACTTGGTTCCCGGATCTAAAAACCTCGAGTTTGTTAAGACTTTTGCCAATCCAATTATCAATACACCAAACAACATTGCTGCAACTCGAGATGGTGGATTCGTATTCACGAACGATCATTCAGCTAAAACGGGACTTGTAAGTAGACTTTGAAGACCAACATTCTCATTATAATTTTGCTCATCTGTGCATAGATTCGCTCATTGACTGAAATTATTGGGGGAGGGAATACTGCCATGTGTGAGTCTGACAATCAATGTCATTCTGGCCCCTCCAATCGATTCCCCAATGGTATAGTTCAAGGAAAAGATGGGCTCTACTACGTAGCCTCAAGTATTACAGGCAAGATTTCTGTCTACTTCCTCGAAGCCAATCATACATTTACCCGCATTGACGAAATCGATCTCCGCATCCATATTGACAATTTATCTGTGGATGCCAATGGCGACATTTTAGCGGTCGGATTCCCAGACGTTCGAAAAGTGCGCAAGTCGCTGGAAGATCCTACTGTCTACGCTCCTACTACGGCTTTTAGGATACGTAAGCTTGATACTGAGGATGGAGGGTGGAAATATGTGGTTACGAAGATATTAGAGGATATCGATGCTAAGGTTTTGTCGGCTGCTACTTCAGTGGTACATGATCCTAAAACGGGACAGTTATTCTTTGCTTGTCTTACAGCACCTTTTGTTGTCGTGTGCGAGGAAGCTTAGGTCATCTACCCGCGGGTATGGCAATACACAGTTATGCAATCTACCTGTTGGGATTTCAAGAAACCAACTTCCCAGGGGGAGCCGTAGCATTAGCGAGCTCTACTAGCTTCTCCTCTAACAAAAATAGCCCCCTCTTCTCATAGTGTAGCAACAACAGAATGAATAATGCACAATATGATAATAGTAATCTTACTACGAGAATAGGATCACCGACGTAATACCAACACTGTCAAACAGTAACGGTATTAATGGTTCGATTAATGCTTGTACATTTTGATGATTCTCATTAGTCTCTCTCGACCCCGCACATTCTGGGCCCTAGAATCGCGCACGGAGTCTTGCAAAATAACCCTCCTCAGCTGACAAATAATCTATATATACGAAATCCAAACAGACACTCCATGTCAACAACCCCTCCTTCCCACATACCACCAACTTTCAAGCGAATTCCCTCAAAGAAAATACGCAAAATGGTTCGCCAACTCCCGGTTCCAAGGGATCAGCCTAAGCGTTGCATTTTGATTTGATATTTGGATTTAATCGTAGTAGTACTCGCTATTTTCTGAGCTTTTTCTGCGAATATAAATGGGTTTATAGTGGGCTTTGTGTGATGGTGAAGTTGGAGATGAAATGTGCTTTGTCTAGGAATTACTATTAGGAATGGTTCTGGATGAAGAAGGATTGTTTTGGGTGGGGATACGTACAAACTTGGTGGCAGCAAGAAAGATGTGTATATGATTTGAAGCGTTTTTCGAGCAACGGATTCTCATTCACGTTATTTAGTATCTGGCGCTATTCCTATAGATTAAAATCAGCTGCGTTCAATCTCAACACCAAAAAGCTGGATTCTCCACATCCCGGTATAAATTCTCATTAATAGTGAACTCACGTATCGAGATATCATCATCAGCTAAATAGCCGTTATTTGCATTCTAATCTTTCAAAACCATCTTCCTAGTAGTTTCCTCATGCACCTCTATCTCTCCATTATCGACATTTCTCCACAATAATATCGACGACGAGAAATATAACTTTCCAGTAACAGTCGGAAAGGAATAAGCGGACGGGATGAGAACGGGATGAGTGGATAGACATGAGTGTAGATAGATAGTATGAATACCTAGTCTGTGAAGATTTGATGAGGAAATACGGGATAATATAGGAGTACTTTGTTATTGTGATCGGGTAATTAGAGGAAATATTGAGGCCTTGGACTGGTCACGAATAGAAGGCGTTAATTACGCAACCGCTAGGTTTGGTATGTGGGTATGATGTTGATTTAATGCGCCGTGGGATCGGAATTCAAAACTTAAAATGTGGAATAGAGAAGAGGGAAGAGGCGTTGGTAAAGGAATTCTCGCTCACGAGACTTGTATAGAGTGATGATTTATGGACTTTTTTTTTGCATAATTTTTCAATCTCCCGGTCTGAATCAGGATGCAATTTCGCGCGCAATAAATTCTTCCCCTGATCTCTATTTCCAAATTGTGAAGGATTCACGCTTGGAAGAAAAATGTGAAGGAAGGTATCCGATGGAAAGTTTGATTGTGGAGAAAAGACTCTCCGCAGCTAACAAAAATGGAATTGGAGTAGCGCTTCTGGAAGTAAAAACAGATTAAAGTGATGCAAAGGATCGATTTCTGATAAGTAAGGAATTTTCTCATTGCAAAATTGCTGCCAGTAGTGAAGGTGAAAAAATGGGCCGGTTGACTGCTCGCTGTCATTCTGACCACTTTCTCACGATGACCCATTAAACCTAGACTTCCACCGCGAATGAAGCAAATTTTGTTCGAGCATATAATTTAGATGAGGAGATTGAGTATATTTACTTCATCAGTGAAATCTGGTACAAGTATTTCGAATATTGTGGCTAGCCGCGAGACAAACTCGCCCGTTGTATATTAGCCGCCGGGATAGCGTTTGCAGGAATCTAGCAAGGACAAGGAATGTTTGAAGAGTGGGCGCTGACATATATGAGTTGAGAGTGTATCTCAGATACTTCTGAGATACATTATATGATATCCATGCTAGACCTTCACATGTTGAAAGTGAGGAGCCTGTGTCCGGGCCAGCCATTCTTATGTCTTCGGCTTTGCAGCTACTTGGAAGAAGTCTCTCTCGCCCTTGTTTAAGTCTTCCAGCATCGGTTAATATTGAGGTCTTGAATTAATGGCAGGTCCCAACCAGTAAAGCTGACTTTCTAAGCATTGATTGTCCACTTCTTTCTCATGGCATCCTTCCTTCATATCACTTGGATGAACACATAATATTTACCCGGGGACATTATGGTACCCGTGGATATTTCCGGGTGACAATCGTATAACCCCTTTATAGGGCAGGTAGCCAGGTCAAAGCCACCGGGAAGGGTCCAGGCGTGAATCTCGGGATAACATCTGTTATAATATAACTAGTTAACTAAAAAGCATAGGATAGGCAAGACGTCTGAGACAGAAGCATAGTAGAGATGTAATTTTGGCGAAGTATTGAAGCATGAAATTCAATATTAGTGAAAAAAGATACCTTGCAAGTGGAATTATTTAGCTAAAATACCAGAAATAAAAGCCTGGAGTACCTCGAATATAATATAGCGTGCATCTTTAATCAACTGACTTGAAACTTTTCAAGTAAGATCTTATAAAATCTGTTACTATTGCCCTAGAATTGCATTATGTCACTTCTATCTAAATCACTTCTACAGTTTTTGTAAAGGTATCATGGGTGCATAGCAGATAAATTATGGCTATTTCAATAGCCTCCCTTTCTGAGTACACCTAATGCAACCAATACCTTTACCCTTTCTCTATATTATTCATATCATTTTACGAATAGTTTTATGAATAAATGCAGTTTTGTAATCAAAAATCACAATGACCTAACTCCCAAAACCAAAAATTAGTAGGCTGTGTTCCGGATGATGTAAGACATCAATTCGTTTCGATCTAAACCGTAAATACTATTTCAATATTGAATAAGAACTGAATTTGTATTGTATTGCTTTTGGCAAATCAAAAGATATGTATTAACAAGCTTTAATGAATAGTGAATATGTTTTCCTATAGTACAGCAGATAATCATAGTGAAATGTCAGGTTTTCTCTAATTTGAATTCAGACAATGGAAAATGATATTCAATTATTTGTTGTACTATTGTCTGGATATAATCTCTGCTTCGGGTATAGTCCTCTAGTTATCACCGTATCATCCTTCCGTGGTACGCTTGTCAAGATGTAGAAACTACGCTGTAGGAAAATAAATCAAACATATCTTCTTAATTTATCTTTTGATATGAAACTTTCTACAAAGTCTTAACTATAACTATAGCTATCTAGCAACTTGTCTAGGATAGATAAACTCTTTGACACAAAGACAGGATTTCCACTACTTTCGCACATAACCTTGTAACGGATATACAATACATCAACCAAACTCATCAATAATATTCTTCACCGAAGAATCTATTTCCACAGCTGATCAATAACACTTATCCAAATATTAAGCTACTAGCTTCCCCACCGGTGCCGCCCAAACCATGGAGATACCTAAGATGTTGACTCAGCGTTCAGTCATTGTTCACAGAATCCTCAATCCGCCTAGTAACAATGGAAGAGCCCTTCGACAATTTTACTCCAGAAACTACTCCAGCCCCAGCTCCATACCCACCGAGCCAAAGGCAATGACTCAAACACCTACCGAATCTACTACAGCGACTTCCGAGACTCAAAAATTGCAAGATAATTCTCAAATGACCGCACATAGCTATGTTTACTACGAAACATACAGAACCTCTAATTTTCACCCCGATGTCTACAATGCTCCAGCGCAACCAAAATCCGTCAAGAAACTTCCAAATGCGGATCTCGCGACGAAGAAAATCGTAGCTGAGCACACTTGCCCCATTACAACATATAACCATGCGTACTACAAAGAGTTCAGCATTGCGGGTTTTAATTCCATCCGAACTTCCCCTCCGGCACAACCCGAGCCCGCTAATCAAATGGCTAATAAACCAGCCGAGGGGCTAGGCAAGGGACCTACGAACAAACCTGCGGGTGAACACACAAGCATTGGTCATGAAATTAGCAGAGCAGAAGCCCTTGCTATTGCCACGGCATACATCCCAATCATCCAAATCCAGGAGACAAAGAAAAACCAAGATTGTTCGCTCTTGGATCATGATATAGAGACATGTGCTCAAACAATCGAAGAGCTAGAGTTTGAGACACTTGGGATTACTGGATTTCAGAGAACTCATGATGAAACGGGAGATGATGAGCTCAAGACAGAGGTTGATGGTGGAAAGGTTGATGAGCAGTCTGTTGAGTCTGGGGATGGAGATGCAGGATCTGTCTAGGGATAGAGATGCAGGATTTGTTCATGCTGTTCTGTTCTTAGATTTTCTTTTCATGGAGATTTTTAGTGGGATGTTTTCTGAGGTGGTAGAAGTATGGTTTGCTGGTCATAGGTGGAAGTGGACTGGTTTAGGAGTTGTTTTTATTCAGTCAACTAAAAAAGCTTCGGAGAGTCTCTTCGCTCTCTGATATACTAATATCCTGATTGATACTGGATGGGAGAAAAGCTCACAGGTAGCAGAAAAGGAGTTAATATTTTCAAAATTCCTAATTTTATTTTATTAGCCAAGAGTATAATTAGCAAATTCTTTCCATACGGTCCAAAACATACGGGTGACTATGAAAAAGGTGATTTAGTAACCTAACAACCCCATTTTTACCGTTTGCGGATATTGCGGGAAGCGAATCCGCAAACATCCGCCGAATGAAGTTTAATCTTTTTTTGTCATCATGACTATTAGATGACCTCACCGTGAGCGTCGAGCGATTGCTAGGTTCTTATCAATCGAGTTGCAGGAATTTGGAGCTTCCATAAAGGACATCGAAAGGCTTGCTCTTTCCGTATTTCCAATTCAGCATCAATTCGATATTAAATCACATCACACAAAAATTAAAATCATGAGCACCACAATGAAAGCACTTCGTCTTATCCTCGAATATCCTGGAGGAACACCTAGATTAGTCTTAGAAGATGTCCCAAAACCTATCTTGAGACAAAACCACCTCATCGTTAAAGTCTATGCTTCAGCGATTCATCCAAGCGATATCCTCAATTCTAAAGGTGGCTTCCCATATACCACATTTCCGCGAATTCCAGGTCGAGATTTTTCAGGAATCGTAGTGGAAGGCCCCTCTGATAGAATTGGAGAAGAAGTTTACGGTACTAGTGGTACCACTATTGCCTTCACCGAGGATGGTTTCCCGGCTGAATATTGTCTCGTTCCCGAAAATGCTGTCGCACCAAAGCCGAAAAGCCTCTCTTTCATTCAGGCAGCTTGTGTAGGTGTTCCATTCACGACTGCAAATCTCATGCTTTCGCGCGCGCATGTGAAGAAAGGGGAGATTGTATTGGTCACAGGCGCGAATGGTGCCGTTGGGTCGGCAATTGTGCAGTTGGCTAAGAGTATGGGATGTCGAGTTTTATCTGCGACGAGAAGTGATAATGATGATGTCAATACTGCTACCGACCCAGAACTCAAAGCTGTTGACAGTTTGACGGATGGCAAGGGTATTGATATTGTGGCGGATACTGTAGGTCAACCATCTTTGGTAAAGGCTGCCATCAATAAACTTGCGAGAGGCGGTAGGTTGTCATTTATTGCAGCGCCGAGAGGCGGAGCAGATACAGGGTTGACTATAGATATGTTGAGTTTTTATAGAGGAGAAAAGTCGCTGGTTGGGTGCAACACATTGGTATGTGGTGCGGAGGAGCTCGCGGTTCAATTAAAAGAAATGGCGGAGAAATTCGAAAAGGGGTTATTAAAGGGTGCAGAAGAGGGGTCATGGACGGAAATCAAGTTGGAAAATGGCGTTGAAGCATATGAGAAAGCATCGGAGAGAAAGGCGGGAAAGTTTGTCATAGTAATGAATTGAAATTCAAGTCATGGTTACAGACAGGCCTGCAAGCTCCGAGTAGACAAGCACCATTTAGCGTGTTTTAGCACACCCAATTTCATAATGTGTGTCCAAAACTAACCTTCATATTTTTTGATCAAATCATTTCAATCAAGAAAACTCAAAATTCAATTTATGATAATTTCATTGAATTATATTCAACTTGAATAAAATTTATATCAAATAATAGCATATGAAATAATTTGTATTTTGAATAAATTATTAAATTGATTCTGAGTTATTATAATAAAGATATAATTTTGAAAGATATAAATTTGAGTGTTTTTATTGACCAAGTACAAAAAATCTTTTTTTTTCAGATACATGTTATGAAATCGGGTATATGTACCCCACTCTAGGTGATGTCACTCTGTAATACCACGCACATCGTTGATGAACAATGAACATCAAAGATTTATTAAATGCAAATCACACCATGCATGCAACTATTCAAATTGAAGAGAAATTTGAGAAAAAGACCTTCCATTTATACCTAAAATTTCTGCATACATCACATTTACCAAATACGAAGCATCGCCATATTATTGAGATTGATATGCAAAGGAACGGCAACATGATGTACTGCTACTCAATGCCACATCCTCAACTGCCACTAGAGCTGCCATTTCGATGTTACTCATAATGCTATCTTTATGGATTTCTTTTTTCTTCATTTTTCTGCCATAAAACCGGGGACCAGTCAAGATCCGAAATCTGCAGATGGATAGATGCCGATGACGGTCAAAATACGGACTTATCAGCCCCTCACACAACCCAGCGACGCTCAAGTACCATTCACATCTAGAATGATTAGAATACTAATCCACCAAGAACTACAAGAGAGAAGTAACAATTTACCTCTCCCTAAAGAGGCCGCGTAAATGATGTATTCATTCTTTGACTAAAGCATGAGCAGTCAGAGTTGGCTTTCGGCTTCAAAAATGCCCGGCTCTAATTTCATTCTCAAGGCAAGAAGGACCAAAATCCAACAGAATCCTGAAACTACAGGCCCTAGTCCACTCCACAGCCAATTCAAAAATCCACGTCTAAGTAGCCGCAACACAGACTTTGAGCTGATTATCACAATCACTAATTTCTGCATCCGACAATGCTCCATTATTGATAGCATCCGCACAAGCATTATGTTGAATCGAACAGGCCCTATCAACAGCATCTTCAATATCGGTGAATTTGTCTCCGTTCACGGAATAAGGCCTATCTGGATCGCTGGTTCTTTCAATATTTGGAGGTTGAATACCTCCTATAGCTGCTGCTGTTCCAGTTGGTATGGGACCAGTTGAAGTTGAGGAGACAAAGATCATGGTTGTGTTGGCTGGGATGGCGCTTAGAGTCAGTTGTGCTTTGGGTTTAGGCGCGCTAGAGGCGTTATTATTGGTATTGTTTTGACTAGATAAAAGTGCCGGCGGGGTGGGTGCTAGAACGTTGCTTGGATTGACTACCTCCCTTATTCATGGTAAGCTCATGTATGTCTTATTAAACTAGAGGTTTAGCAGTGCCGACCTACATAGATCGAGAAGTATTGCTAGCACGTGGTCCTAGTGCTCGACGATGTAAATGAGGTGATGCGTAGCCCAAAGCTTCGTCCGAAAATGTAAAAGACGCGAGAAGACAAGTTGAAATTACCGTGAATTTCATGGTGTAGACTTGGCAATAACAATTAGTTAAAGAAAAGTTATTATTCGTAATTTGCTCTAAGCTTAAATGAAAGGAAGCGGGCACGATCCACGTGGAAAGAATGTATTAAGGTGTAAAATGAATGTACTTTTGACTTTGAGAAGGCGACCAAGGTTTCGATTACAGAAAATTACTCATCAAGAGAAGAAAGATGTTCCCCCGCAGTATATATACATATATAAATGTGCAGCATCGGTACTAGAGCTTGACAGAACATATGTAACGCTCTCCGGTCATATCTCTGGAGGTTTGTCTTCAGCTGTCAAGTTTTATTGTACACATCTGTGGCACGATATCCGATTGGGTGCCCTCGCAGGATAAAGCTTGACATTCGCTTCATGTAAGCTTTGTGACGGGGAGGGTTCTCCTTACCTTAGCTTGAATATTCAATTAACCTGATTGAGGGTCGAATCTTGACCTTAAGGTGCACTATTGTTACGACTGAACCTGTGCTTCCCTTATGCAATTAGAGGCTGCACCCAATCGAAACGGAAGAAGATCTATCATCTATCCGCTTTTTCTGAAAGCCAACCTCCAAAACCACGTATGTCAGGGATTCTAATCAGACGTGCCGTTAAAGCTTTGCATGATGACGAAACATGCAAGAGCGGGCAAAGATGCGAGGCCGAGGAGGTCTGAGCACCTTAACCACCAAAGGACCTGAAACTGGAATATGAAGATTCTGAAGCATGAGAATGACACAGCATCTTATAAGATTGAATGAAAATAATATGGCGAATTACGACGTCTAGTTCAATGAAATGGCAAAAGTCTGGATCGCTTCAAATACGATTTGGCCACGGGAATCATCCTTTTGTATAAGACGACATTTATCAATGTTTGACTTCTTAATATAAGGGTCCACTGGCCAACCGAGTAGTCTAACCTAATTAGTCTATATATCAGCAGAATTAAGGAAAAGAAGGAGATAAAGTGAAGGAATGAGATGAAATAGGGGACCGAGAAGGAGAAGCCACAACCTCGTCTCTAATAAATGAAATTTTTTTGGCTGGAAATCGGTGGTGACGGGGGAATTGAGATGAATGGAATAACCCTCTTCAAAGTTGAGGAAAATCCCATCTATGATCGGAGATATGCGTAGTACTCTCAAAAAGAAATAGCTCCCATGGTCACTTGGCCAATCACTTTGCACCAATATTTTCATCGCTGTGTTTACATATGGTTATTTGATCATACCACAGATATTGGTCCCGTTACATTCAAATTACGAGAGACACTTACGTCTCCGCAAAGATCTTCATTCCAGATCATATATATCAGGACGGCATTCTCGAGGCTGGAAACTTGTCGGCCATGAAAAATTTGTGGATGTCAACCACGAGACTAGATTATTCCACAAAAATTTGTAATCACTGCTTGCCATTCCATAGCTGCCATTCACTGTTTATGCTAGTGCATGAAAAAAGAGTGACACCGTCGCCTTTACGCGCTGTTTTAGGTTAATTAGGGATGTGCATTCTGTAATTGCTTAAAGCATAATAATATAGCTTGCTTTATGTTATTAATAACCCCATTCTTTTTATTATATAAACATATTTTAAAAAGGGTTTTTGGGAGGTGATGAGTTAAATAAAATATATGATTGAATAAACCAAGAAGAAAGCTTTTTATTTAATCTAATTTATTTATTTTCAAATTCAACCAAAATTATAATAAATAAATGATTGGATAGGAGATTTAATAAAGAAGGATATAGAAATAGTTTTGGAGAGATCTGAATATATTGATTGGCTTTAAGATATAACTAAACTTCTTCAGAAAATAAAGCAGATAATAATGATGCTATACCCTTATTTTGCTTTATTATAATCTAGCTCTGCTTTACATAAAGCCCCATCACTAGCTGTTTGGCAAAGGAAGTTCCTGATTTCTTTTTGTTGCGTGGATTTCTAAATACATGTTTCCTTAAACCATCATGCATCGCCTCGATATATATGTAATACGGTATGGTAAAGTTTGATTACCACAGGAATCGAGGATAGAAGTACGCTGTTTAATGCTGCCGTCTGATTATTTTTGTACGGTCTAAGTATCTTTCTATGGTTCAATTGCTTCTCTACGGTTTAACCATCTCTCTATAATTTGACTGTTTCTTTACGTTCTAACTATCTCCCTACTATTTGTTGATTTAGCGTACCTCCTTCGGTTCAACCACCTCTCTACAGCCACTATGTCTCGAGTGTATATAACACTTGATCATAACCCAAATCTCAACCTTATCCTCTTTACAACAAACAAGAAGTTCTGTCGATAGCATCTGAGAGAATAATCCAAGAATAAGCAGTACCGCACTGAAGCACTACCAACTGAAGAATTTTAAACAATTTGTCGTCACTGTGGTTTACCCCGCTACTCTAGCAAATCAATAATCTCCCAGCCATCACAGTCTGACTTTGGGCTTTGAAAGACAATCTTTCGCCATGTCTTGTCAACGTCACCCTCGCAGAAGAATTGCCAATGGTGCAAGCCCTTATGCAATGCCAAAACAATCCCCACATTTTTCAAAGTATATCTTGATATTTCCACCTTTTATTGTTTTCAGATTTACATGAATCGTAGCTAATATAGTTCCAGATTTCTCGGGGATGAGATTATCACTTTTCGAGTAGGCGACGAACTGCTACCTATTAAGGTCCACAAAAACGTTATTTGCGAAAAGCTGGAGGTTTTCGATGCCATGCTGCGCGGAAACTTTAGTGAGGCAAGCTTCAAAGTTATAGACTTGCCGGAAGATGATTTCCACGCCTTTGAGTTGTTGGTAGAGTGGTGTTACACGAATCGAATATCCATGCCAGGTTCAACAACTTCATATGATGCTGTAGGAAGAAGAGTGGAATTGTACTGTTTGGCTCACAAGTACTGTGCTTCGGTTCTGCAAGACTTTGTGACGAACTACATAATTACATGGCTCAGAATGAATGAGCACCGTACCAAGATTTTCAACCCAGCATGGATTTCACGCATTGGAGAAACATTCGCAGCAACCTATGATGAATTAGCGGGGATAGATGGACTCCCGGGCCCCCTTCGTTTTCTCATCGGGTTTGTGAACAAGATGATCGTACTCGCGTCAAAATCAGGCGCCTCAAAATTGGCAGTGATGCGTCTTGCTAACTTCTGGTCACAAGAACTGGAACATTGGGGTTGTGTGTACTCCGAAGTTCCTAACACAAGGCGATTATCAGGGCAATCTGACGCAAAAATCGCCGAGGAACTGAACCCATCATCAACAGCCTGCTGCGAATATCACACGCATTCCCGAAAAAATATGCTTGAGTGTCCATTATTCAAGGATTTGAAGGGGTCGGCAAAATATTCTCCAGACGCTTTCGTGGTCGTGACGCATCTCAAGCGCCTAGGCAAAATGGCTAAAGAGATTGAGAAATATGGTTTCCATGGTAGTTCATTGCCACATAATGGTCCTATTAGCGCTAATCACCTAATTCTTCACACCAAATTCGATACGAATGGTAACTTATTCACAAAGGCGCAAGAAGTGGCCGGATTCAAGGAATTGACCGATATGGGAATAATATCGGAACCAGTAGGAATACGCCGCAACTTCATGTTTCTTAATGGTCATAGTGTTGAAAAGCTATGAAGTCTGGTAAATATATATGGTTTTGTGTGAGCTTGTCCTCGTGGCCGCCAGAAGCGAAGAATATTAGGCAATACAAGATTAGATAGATTTGGGCTCAGCGCATGGAAACTTGCTGGAACAAATAGCTAATTTCACGGAGCATGGGAGAGGATTTCATATACATTTGATGGAAACGAATAATCTATTTCTTTCATAGGGGAAGGCTTGTAACTAGACAGTGTTATTTCAAAGCCGAGTATGGAGTTAGCGTGGTAAATAGAAATTACATGAATCAATACAACTTTACAACATTTTCTGAAAATACCCCGTAAAAAAGTGAAGTGCAGGAAAGACTCATGATCTAGTTAAATACGAATATCTCGGTGCGGATATTGAATGTGAATTAAGCGATTTACTAAAAATGTATAGAATTAAAGGAGACATAACCGGAGTTCGATTACATCTTTTTTACTATTTAGGAACTCCCGCATTTAAGTTTGTTAGAGAGTCATATAATTTCAAATATGACCGTTGTCTGGTTATCTCTAGTTTTGAACATCTGGATTTCGATTTCAGTTCTGAATTATAAGATTACCATGTAACTCTAGACGAATCTTATCATAGTAGAACCCATTTAAGTTCTTCGCTCTAAGATGTGCGAGAATCCTAAAGCCAGTAGCGTAAAATTCCATTTAGTATATTTAATCCATTGTCTCCAGTCTATTATTCCACAAAGCCACCGCCGAGACACTCAACTCACGAAGCGGGAGTCGCCGCAGCCAATACTAGCGTCCCAAATTCATCCAACTGTGATAACCACTCATCAAGCGAGTGATCCTCAGGCCTAGATTGATAGTTTATTAAATGCCCATATGTGAGCGGATTGCTTCTGATTGTACTTAAATACTCGTTTTCCCACGCTTCGTTTGTAGTCGCTCTCCATAGTTTGCGTGAACAGGGGAGCGCTAAACGCAATAGATTGTTTCCATCGCATTGGTGATCTGGAATTCCGGAAGCGAGGTCGAAGAACAAATCGATGAAGAAGATTATTATTATTGTCCTGGGTCATGATAGGGTAAGGTTAATGGGTTGTTTTTCTAGAATGGTAGATTCATACGGTGATAGGGCTGAGTGACCTGCTTACCGGCGTAGAGACTCGGCTAAAACCCATTTTTTCCACGAAGGTATGCTGTCATTGGAAATGTTATTCGCTAAGTTAATAGCATGCGTCGCAACTTTCTATTGTCTCATCATGAGCTCAACGACACAAAACCATAACAACATATAAAGTGAAACTGAAATCACTTACAATCATTGTATAAATTAAGGGAGCATCAAAACTCGTTGCTTCTTCATTATCTTCTGAAAGGCGAAGAAGAAAATACACGGTCATAGCTTGTAGAGCAGCTACAGCATCTTCTTCATTATATATTGAATACTGTCACTGTTATCATAAAAATCCCGTCAAGTATGGATAAGACAGGTAACAAACCTCGGCGCAGAGCCTATTAATCTCCATCCTAATACATCGCCAGATATGCACAGCATTGTCCTCCGTCTTGTGACTTGTCCAACGGACCAGGCTAGCGCATACACCCAAAGCCCCGGAAAGCGAATTGCGATCGTTGAAATGAGGATGAATGAATGGTGGAGGGATATCGCTGTTGCTAGGAAGCATCATTGACGGATAAGTTGGTAGAGTACATAGTATGTGTTTCCTGTTTAGTGAGAATTGACTCCTGGGTGATTTGCGCGGTGCGAATGCTATTGGGGCTTTTGGAACTGGTTGGTTGTACATTCTATAGTATGGCAAGCCACCTCTGAGGTGAAAGTTGGTGGAAATTGGGCTCGGTTCTGGTTGAAGAAGTTGCGGGGAAGATTGTATATAATAAGGGGCGCTTCCGAGAGAAGGAAATCCTGTATGCTCTGGGAGGAAGTCCGAAAAATTCACATCCCAATTTTCACCTGGTAAATCTAGTGATAATATATCCTGAATGTTGATATCTGAGCTTTGCAATGCGTACGGACTGATGGCAGTTTCATGTACATCCATCAATGCCGACGTAGCAACGTCTGACGAAGATGAGACGAAAGGTATTCCTGCAACCTGATTTGTGCCATTTTCCAAGAGCTTTCCAGCAACTGGCTTTGGTACATTAGTCTCTAAAATTCGAGGTCCCTCATAAACACAGCTGAGGTTCTTCGTTGTGCATCGCGAGCAACGTTGACGTAAATCGCACTGAGTTTTAGCCTTGGTACAGGGCACACACGAGCGCTTTCTCGACTTTACACCCCCTTGGGCCTTCACTCTTCGGCAATAAAATATGTGACGAAGTTGAGATTTCCCTATATTATATATTAGTATTTTTTGTAAACTTGACGAGAAATGTCTAACTATTCCCGCAATCCTTTCCACAAATATTGCACGTGAATTTTTCGCTAACGGTTTGTTTTGGTTCCATGCCCGGCAAAGATTGTTCAAATGCTTGATAATATGATAAAAATTTAAAGATCCGGAGAACTTTGGTATTTCTACACAATCAATTATGGTTTCTGTTATTTAATGTGTTGGCAGCGACGGAGTTCCGTGGACTATTAATAATCAAAATTAAAAGTGGAGCTCAGAATTAACCTTCCACTTAGTTTCTTAATGTGTTTCCAAAATATGATTTTTTAAGCTATGAACTTTCTTGGTGAAATTATTTAGTTTGAATAATCCTTTTTGATATAATTCAATAATAGAAAAATATATGAATAAGTTTAATTATTTATTGCACTGAAAAGTTTTTGAAATATAAGATTATCCTGATTGACATGAGAATAGATTGCCACGATTCAAGAGATTATATAAGCCGATCGCCCGGACCTCGAGCGACTAGTGTTCGAAACCGATTTATATTTATAACCCCTTTATAAATTGAGTTTCAAGATTTGAACAACAGATGTTTTTCACGTAAGCTCTGAAATGTAAGGTTTTGAAAACATGCTACGTAGTATGTAGGTAGGTGAGGTGTAACAAAGTGAGCTAACCGAAAACATTTTGTCAATTTGTAATATACTACCAATGTACTCCTTGATTAGTGTTTGTCTTGACAAACAACGATAATTCTGCCACGGATTTCCATAGATGCTTTACAAAGAGGAAACCACATCAATTCTTCCCAATGTCACAAATTTACATATATACATGATGACAGTTAGTTACTTTCTATCAATCATAATAACACAGAAAATCATCTCTCGAATACATAGGAAATATCTCTAACTATTTCAAAAATGTCTCCAATCACCAACAACCAAGCCGCCTGGGCGCCTACCGAAAATGCGAAACTTGAAGTGGGACCTGGTCCAGTACCCGACCCAGAAGGAGAACGAAGTAGTCATTGAAGTAGCCTACGCGGCCGTTAATCCAATGGATTGGAAAGGTTTCTACCCATCCAACCCCATGATCAGGGTTTACCGTCTCACTGAAATCATATCTAATAGATACATGACCACGACCCGCTTAGTCTCCCTTATCCCTGGATCTTTGGTGGAGACGTCTCGGGCACAATCGTCCAACTCGGATCCGTCGTAACCCGTTTCCAGATTGGCCAACGAGTCTTAGGACAATGCGACAGCCTTTTCACACGAACCGTTCAACATTCCGGATTCCAACGCTATGCTACTTGTCGCGAGGTTCTCGTTTCTGTGGTTCCGGACAGTGTTCCGCTGGCAAGTGCTGCAGTGTTACCACTTGCTACCTCAACAGCTGCGGCGGGACTCTTTAAAGTTTTGCAATTGCCGCTTCCAGTGCTTGAGCCTGTTCCAACGGGGAAAAGTATTTTGATTTGGGGTGGTAGTTCGTCTTGCGGGGCTTCGGCTATTCAGTGAGTGCATCCGCGATATATCAAAGCCCAGACTCATATTGATAATATTATGAAGATTAGCAGTAGCAGCCGGCTACACTGTAGTCACCACTGCTGGAGCCCAAAACCACGATTTTGTCAAAAGCATTGGCGCCACCCATGCTTTCGATCATAAATCACCAACCGTGGTCCAAGACATCCTGAAAGTACTAAAAAAAGGCGACTCCGTATTCGATTGCATTGGAGAAGCTTTTACTCAAAAGTCCTGTGGCGAAATTAGTCACCATATTGATGCCGGGAAGTTTGCTTGTCTAGGGTATCCTTTACCAAATGAGTATGGTGTTGAGTCTGTGATGAGTATGTTTTTTCTTACGCACATTGTTACAGTTGATTTGACTGACTTTGCTGTAGCAAACGGTATAGAGCTAGGGGCTATGCATTTCGATTTAGGTGACGCGGTTTGGCGGAAATACCTACCAGCGGCATTGGCTGCGGGAAAGTATTTAGCTAAGCCCGATCCGGAAGTTCTTCAAGGCGGATTGGAAAGAGTGCAGGATGGCATGGATATCGTTCGAAAAGGTGTATCAGCGAAGAAAATTGTCATTGAGGTTGCAAAGAAAGCATGATGGTTTGACAAGTCACTCTTAAGCTCGCCAGCCAGATTTTTGCTCATTCCGAGTGCTTAATCTCTTCAACAGAATCTTGCTTGGAACATGAACCCTAAATAGCTGCTGCATCTAATCTTTTATTATTATCGAGTTTTTGAATTTCTATATAACAAGGACTACATTAAAGATATCATTCTTGACATCACACATTTATCCTTCAAGTGTAAAAAATAATAAACATAATCACATTTCCTCATCATGAACTTTGACTCCAGCCTTCTTCTCTACATCCTTCTGTTCGTCCACAACTTCTTCTTTCTTCTCTTCATAATCTAAGAAGAGTCTATCCGGAAAGGGAAACAACGTCTTCCTTCTAGGAGCCGGCTCGTCATGCGCCATTCTCCAAATATTACCCGTAACATTCTTTCCTAAGGTTTCCACCACGGGCGTAAGTATTGGTAACGATGCAAATAAAGTTCCGTAGCAAATAATAGCTGTGATCAAAACAACCGACCAATAAGGAAGCGAAGTATAGGCAGCCAGATGCACACACACCACACTACCAAGAGACCACCATACCAGACCATGGACCAAATAAATAGTGAATATATGCGGGAAGAGCATTAGCCAAAGCTTCATAGATAGGAAATATTGAACTGGGTAGCAATTTTCAATCACGAATTGAAGGCCAACAGCGAATACTATTCCGTTGAAACGAGGGTTGAAATATTCTGGATATCCCGCGTTCGCTGTTTGTGCGATTGGAAGACCGGTCTCGGGATCTGGATGAATACCGCGCTCTACGATAGGTAGAGAGAAGCCGGTCCATGCAGCGATCAAATCGTTTGATAGACCAGCAATAGCAAGCAAGAAACCAATAGTTATGCCGGTCCAGAGGACAATAGCATGTTCTTGAGCCACTTTTTGTATTTGAAGGTGACGTCCAAATCAGTGTAAAGAACTCCAAACCAGAAGAAAGTGCCCCACGATTGAGCGTACCAGTGATTCACAATACAGAATGCATAGTAACACATGCGCTTCCAAGGAGTCTTAATCTGCCTAACCACGATACATCCCAAAAGTGTGATCCACGAACCTTCAATCTGTACCGGGATAGTCCAGAGCACACCCGTACAATAATTGTAGGTGATTTGTGGAGCTGCGTTAGGAAGCAGGTACACCAGTTCGAGGACTTCGGAGATGTAATGAGAAAAGTCTGTGTATTCCACAGCATAGGGCCATGTAGTCCAGCTGATACTAGGAAGATACTCTAGCCAAGTCAAGGCGCCGACATCCATCAGAAAGTACTCGAGCAAAGCGCAAGCCGCAATCGGGATCATGACACGGAATGTTCTTCCGGTGGTCTTCTCAGCTATACTTCCAAGATCTCCAGTGCGTAGGTAACGACTGATAAGGAAACGAGTAGATGTGATGAAAAAAAGTCCAAGGAGAATCTGGTTGAGGAGATATGATCCAATAGTCTTCCGAATTGTGATTTCATAACTGTAGTGCTCAAGAGCTCCAATCATACCCATCGCTGGTGAAAATGTAAAGATAAAATGAATAAGAGTCACCATTAATGTGGCAATGGATATAAGACCTGCCAAATATTCGATTCGCTTGGTGGGCGGTGTACGAGCATTGATGGGTGTTGCTGGGAAAGCAATGGGGGCTGGAACTTCTGACACAGCGTGATTGGGAGGTGCGGGCCGAGAAGTTTCATTATCAGTAGTTTGGGTGGCACCGGGCATTGGCCAGTCTTTGTTCTCCGATGTTTCTGCTGGCTCTTGGTTGAAGATGAATGAATTCTTCATAGTCACATCGTCTAGGTTTGCACGACTGTCTTTGCCAAGATAAGCTGAATGTTTGGGTGTTACGCCTCTCGAATCGTTCAAAGTGAACCCGCTCATGTTTGAAGTTGAAGGTTGTCGAGATGCTGCGAAAGAACTATCTGTCATATATTTGCCTTCTTGATTGATCATGTCTTTGAGTGTGAGGGATGAAGCTGTGGGCGTAAATCCAACTGGTGTGATTTCGAGATCATCTTTTTGATTTTTAAGTTCTAAAGATGAAGATCTCGTCGATGTTGTTGGCGTGGTTTCTGAAGACAGAAGAAACTTGGAATTGGAAATTTGTGGTGGCAAGCGGTGACAGCCAAATACTTTTGGTTCCTTTGGAGCTTTGGAATCCTTTGTAGGCCATCTTTGGAATGTAACGTTGCAAAGTAAAAGTACAGTAAGGGCGACAGAGCAAGAGAGACAAATGTAAGCAAAAGTTCGAATTCCGGGTTCATGGTGTGTTGGCTTCCATTTCTTGATAGAATCGACACCAAAATCAGTATAGCCCCGCAATGATATGTCATCCATCAAGCATGCATCTGTAACAGCGCATCTATTGTCAAATTCTGTGTGCTGATCTTTGGTCATGGTCGATGAGTTGAAGAATGACCGAGTCCACCCGAGATTGGCTTGAGTTTTCTTTGTCGGTGGCCCCTGGGAAAAATATGAATCTCCGTTCGACCAAAGCTTAAAGATTAGTGGTGATGGAGTGACTGGAAATCTTTTAATGCTTTCATTCTTGGCCGAGACTGATCGAGCTAGTACATTCCCGATATAAAATTGGACACCGTCCTTCGTCCAGTCCAGGCGAATTTCCGTGAAATCCCAGGGATTTATCTCGGGACTGTAAGAGCCATTGTTGGCCAAAGTACTGAAATTAAGCCCATTTACACGATTAGGAAACTCGTCTCCCATCAAAGTATTGATCCAGGCATCTGTAGGCTTTTGGGTGTTTAGACTATTGATTTGAATATTTTGTGTCTCGTTGTACTTTAGAAGCATTGACATTCCCGCGCCTCCAGTCCAAGCTTGAGCGGGACGAATCATTGATCTGAAAGAACCATATTGGATATCAGATCTCAGAGTCCGAATAGAACCCCCTTTGACAAGATGCTGTTCCGTTGGTGGATTTATTGTGAACTCCAGTGATGAGGAGTTCCCATTGCCACTAGATGTTGAATTTGTAATCTGGACATTTGTTGGATCGGCACCTTGCCTATATCTCGCATTCCAGCTTTTTTCGTAGAGATTTGCGTATTCTTGGTTCTGGAGAACCTCAGAAGGGAATGTAGTCGTTTCGTTAAAGTAAACAATCAAAAAATCAGTAAATAGGTTTTCCGTCGCTGGATCATAATAACCACAAGAGCAATTAGAAGTCGAATCTGCCGCGACTTCATTTATGAAGCCTAGCGCAAAAACAATGAAGTAAAGAGAATGAAAATACATATTGATAGAAGCATGCAAATGCAAAAGCAAAAAGATAGAAGCGGATGCCAAACTCCAGTGGCTTTCTGAAGTATATGCAAGAACTTTATCACACTTTTCATCTTAACGCCAGGGCTGCACATGGAGCTAATCAACTCCTTTAGATGGAGATTCTGAACAATGAGCTATCACATGGAACTACCAGTATGTTTGCTAAGCATTCGGGCTGATGTATGGATCAAGCTTAGTCTTAAATTTAGTATAAAATGATAAAAGGCTTTAAGCTGCTGTTTTATTTACATTTGAAGCTAAAACAAGCGTGCAAATTCTCAGCACGTTCGCCTCAGGGTTTCCAGATGCTTGCTCGTCGGAAGTTAGATAGATATCAGCTCAAATCCCCACAAAGGCAATGCCATGACGCTTGTTCTCATTTTCCAGTTGGGCTAGCGCTCTGGGTTTACACCGCTTTGGTCCCACTGTGATGGCATTGATTTCCTGTCTCACAAGATCCACAGCAACGACTTCCAGTTGTAACTTGTTGCAGAGTATCCAATAGTGCGGAATGCAATCCAATAATGAGGAACTTTTGAAGTTCCTGAATTTATTTGAGATATTTAAATCAATAAATAATGAATTGTATTGACATATTTATAACATTTGAATATTCAATACTCCAAAGAATTTCTAATCACTAAAAACTAATCTTATCTGCCAGTCCGGACTATTGGTTACCCTAACTTAATCTTGTTGCAAGTAGGGAGTGTATGTCATTTGTCGATTGATTTCCCCTCGGCTTTCAGATCGCACTGAAATGAGCTGATCAACTTGAAATTTGAAGCTTTTAGTTTGTAGATCTTGAGTACAAGAGAGTGTCGATCCGGTGCTTCTTTTCTGGTTTGCAAGCGGACGTCCCATATGTTCCGGGCATAAGTTTATCCAGAGCCAGATATCCCAGGACTACCTCGAAGATCTAGATGACGGCTTGAGTACCATGAAAAATAATGATCATCAAAGCCCGTGGGCCTCGAGGTCAAAAATCAGACGCAGGGGTCGACAAATGATGTTGGCAGTGCAAAAATACGGGGTTTTGGGTCTGAAGATGGAACCCAGTCTACTCCGTGTTATGTCTATTATTATATTTGGCAGAATTAGGGCGGTGGGAAGGGCGGTGAGAATGAAAAAGATCGGACCACCAAGTGGACATGCATGCTTTCTTGGCGCGTCGCGGCTCCTTGCTAGCCCCTGAACCTCTTCTTTGTCTTACCCCTTACCCATCTTCCGCTTCTAATCCCACCTTTAGCCCCAGGTCAAACGAAGCTTCATGCTATAGTCGAGGCCTTTTGACGAAGATACAATTTCGTCAGAAAGGGAAATCAATGGTTTGTGCGAAAACGGATGAGTTGCTCTTCGGCAATTCACATATGGGACACTCGGTGATTTTCCTCATGGGAGCAGCTCAGTAAGCTTGTGGCACTTGGAATCCCAGATCTACATCTACCCATGCCTCCGATCTTGTGTGTGATTTTTCTTAATGTTGAGGCCCGCTCCTAAGCATATTCAACCGTGGGTCATTGTTTCTTGGCATTAATCTTTTTGAAAAAATAAATGACATGTGTATCAAACGCTCCGAGGGGATGCCGCCGCTCGCGAATAGACAGTACTAGTAGTGGATGCTGATCTTGCTTGTTTTATGCTGTCTTTCCCACAGAGAATCCAATGAGTTGCTACAGCACTAAGCTGTTCGTCTCATTCCCAAGTCAACTCTCAACACCGGTAAAGCTAGTCTGAAGCCGGAGCTTTGGCTCCAACTGGAATATCAATCTCATATTCTGCTGACATTATATAATTGATCTCTGGGCGTTATTTCATAGAAGCCTCGATTGCTATTCGCACAACAACCTTTTGGTTTTTTGACCTTCCATTTGTCCCTGGTGGTGCTTCTTCTGTCTTTTCCTTAACGGCACACATTAGCAGTCGCTGAATCACCTTTATCCCATAACACTTTGAAGAAATGGCAAATTATGGTGATGAAACCTTCACAATCGAAGAGCTTCCCAGATACAACACCCGTCAGTCTTTCACTCCTGGACGTGATGGCTCTCCGGATTCTTCTGTAAGCAGAACAAGTAAAGATGCACATGTCACCATCCACGATTCTCCGAGCTCAGCATCACAAAACAGCATTCGCGAGAAACAAGATGCTTTCCAAGTTTCTGCCCAAGAAGAACTTGTGCCTCCTCCAAATCGCGGCGAAAGGTCCAAAACCTCGACCTCTGTTGCCATTCGCAACACTTTTGGAAGATGCTCCAATTTTATACATGAATGGACCCCCTTCATGCTTGTCAGCTCTTATTTCACCACATCTATATTTGCATATATGCTATTTCCAACAAAACTTCTAGAAGTTTTCTGGTTCATATATAATTTTACCAATTTCATCATTGCTGCTTCCACGGCTCTAGAGGCATTTATGGGCTTAGAACCAAATCGACAGGCTCGTGTCGCAGTTACGAAGGCTGCTGAAAAGGGCTGGAAGTTCCCTACACCAGACGATGATCTACTAATCTTGGACATGGTCATTGTTGCATATCTTCCTAATGAACAAGACATCATAATGGATAGAATTAGGTATGCGTGTGAGAATTTGCAGTATCCGGTTGACAAAATTCGCATCAACATTGTTTACAACACACCTGTTCCAATCCTACCCCTCGAGGATGAGATGTGGGAAGCAGCCACCAAATATCCCCAGCTCCGAATCATTAAAGTTGAAGGCTCCACATCGAAAGCCGACAATCTCAACTACTACCTCAGCCTAGACACCGGCTCTGACATCACTGCTATTTATGATTGTGATCATTTTATGCACCCACACAGCCCAAGATGGGCAATTGAACGTTTCATAAAGGAGAAGGAGAAGGTTGATATTGTTCAGGGTCGTTGCATTGTTTTCAATAGCGCCGCTTCCTTCCTCACTAGTCTCATCAGCATAGAATTTGACAAAATTTATGCCGTTTCACATCCGGGAAGAGCCACCATCTGGGGTTTTGGTCTATTCACGGGGTCCAATGGATATTGGAGAACATCATTACTACGAGAGATGAAAATGGATGGAAGTATGCTTACTGAAGATATTGATTCTGCGCTTCGAGTCGTGGCTAGAGGAGGCAACACTATTCACGATTTGAATGTTGTGTCATATGAGCTAGCACCCACAACATTCCCAGCCTTCTGGAAACAACGTCTGAGGTGGGCTCAAGGATGGTCTGAGTGCACGCTTCGGCATTCGATTTTGACGTTCAATCGCGCAAGAGAAGGGAAAAGAATCTTTACTACAAGATTTGGACTTCTCAATTTATTGCTTATCCGCGAGACAAGTTACTATTTGGTCACACAATTCTTCTGCCTGGTTGCTGGTTTTATTTTCCTCAATTTCCCTTTGACCCCAGCAGCGTTCTGGAAAACAGTTTTCTTTCAATATCCAGTTTCCGAGTGGTTTTTCTTCGTCAGGTAAGATTATTATATCCGCTCATCCAACTCCATTGCTAACTGATCAACAGTATCTTTTGTTTGCTAGGCACACTTTGGGTCACTAACCAAGTTAAATCCGAGTTTGCGTCAAGAATGATGATCATCAAGTTCTCAATTGCTTATCCATTTTATTTATTATTCTTGGCAACAATTGGTATATATGGACATGCTCGTCACGTGGTCAAATATTCATCTTGGAATCCTACTGCAAGAACATAGATGGTACGATAATTTTACGAATAGATACAATTTAATGGGAGGAATATATTTAGACTTGGTCATTATTATCAAGTCGGCGTTTCGAGCAAATTTTTGAATTACATGATACTGTTGCCAGCTTGTTAGGAAGGTGGCAACATGAGGCAAAATCATCAACAAAACTACTTCGATTCAACCTAGTTTAGAATAAAATGCGCATTCCCAAAATCTTTCACCATGACGCATCACCAACAAAGTGACCGATCTGAAAATTTAATGCCGTTTTGCAATTCACACTTCAGCAACTCAATGTGCTATGATTCTGTTGACTAGAAAGTAGATACCTATCTTTGGTTGATTTTTGCGGGCCGGGCCTCTCGAGGCTTTCGAAATGCTTTTTTGCCAAGATACCCCCTACCTTACCGAGGCCGGTAACGACCCTCGTGTCAAAACCCTCAAAAATAGATTCCTGTTTGATATAAATGTGTAGTAAAGTTAAATTGTATACACATATATGGTATAACCTTATATATGGTAATGAAATATTATTTATTTACGGACATCTATATGTTATTACTTCTTTGATACTCGTAATATTTGTAATCCTAATATTCCAATATATATACTTGTTGCCTGGAGAAATATATTTTTTAAAGGTTTTGGCATGAGAGTTGTTGCCGGCCTCGGTATGTCACATACCCCTGATGGTCTGGCTAGAATTGGTGGAACTTTGAAAACAATGGCATGGATATCAACCGTGCACTTTCCCACGCTCAACATCATTCCGTTTCGAAGATAAACTCGTCGATCCAAACCCCCACTCTCAGACCCAGATGTCTCAGATGAAAAAGAGGCTCTTTTTGATATTGAAAGATCGACAATCACATTCGAGAAACCGCGCTACCTATCATTTCACCGCGTCTAGAATCCGAAAAAGGTATTGGTAATTTCCTTTATCACGAATCACTATTCTAGAAATGAACACAACTTCTGAAGATCAGATAACAAGCCGCCGAAGAAAAAAACTTCATCCCACCTTTGACTTAGGTTTATTTTCGATATCATGCAGAGCTACTCAATGTGGTCCGATATCTTGCCGTCTTTTGATTCCTCCCCATGGGCGACGCCTCACCGGCTGGGCGTTACTCGTGCGCAACCCCTTTAGCCACAAATGCCACGAGCAAATATGAAATGCTCATGGGACTTTTACCGTGCGAGCCCCTTTAGCCACATATGCCATGAGCAAACATGGAAGTCTCACGGTACTACCTACCGTGCGATATACCGAGAGTCCCTGAATCTAGGGTGGATCCAATGCCGGGACTAACAACACTAAGCTTTGATCTACCGGACCTTTGAAATTGACTAGGCCGAGCTAGGCCATAGTCAAGTGGCAGAATTCATAAGCGTCATGACATTTTGATGATCATGATAATCATGATAATGCAATCAAACTGAGAATTGTCATTACGCTAGGTCAGTGGGACCTTACCAACATGACACTCCTCTAGAGCAAACGTGGAAGAATGTCTTATGATGATACGGCACGGCATTTACAGAGTTCACGGGCGGCTGAAAAAGTGATGACAATGCCAATGCAGAATATTGATGGGGCAGAGGGTAGGAAAAGGCAAAAAAAAGTTTGAGGGACCGGGTGGATCTTCAACAGAATTCCAAGCTTCGGTATCGAGGTCTGAAGGAAGCAATGAAAGTTCTGGAGACGTGGTTCCCCATATCCACATCCACGTCCGAAAGCAAAGCTCTTTAACTTCCCTCTCCATCCAAGAGTTGGGATATTTCGACGGAAAACTGATTTCGCTATGGCTTCTACCAAATTTTCACCTGTGAAAGACTTCTACCAAGAGCCTACTTCTCATCAAATTCCTTCGCAATCGCACTTCGTTGGTGTCAGGGGATTTATTGTACTCCAATCTTTCCTCTGGAGTTTTTTGAATGTCATCGCTCCCACAACTGTTACCGGTACGCCCAATTCTGATAGCCCTGTATATCAAGAGATTCTCCGGAAAGTATTTTCCGTACTCTTCTGGAATGAGTCTCTAATCTACAGCGCATTCATTCTGCTAAGTGCCCGCACAATTTGCACACCCTTTCTAAACAACCCCTCGCACGATTTCGTCGCATCATCATCTTTCCGTCGAGGTCTCCGACTATGGTTTCCCTCCGCAGTTTCCCTCGCAATCGTATACATCATTTTCACCTGCATCGGAACATCCTACATCGATGATTTCAAAACCACTACAAACAATACCACCATTAAGACACCTTACATGCTTCCAAATGCCCTTGCATACTTCAATGCTGTCTTCACTCTCTTCTGGACGAACAAGAAATTCGACGCCCAAGCCGCAAGCTATGCGTTTCCTTCGCAAACACTCTGGGTTGTATCTGTTCTTTTCCAACAAAGCTATACCGTTTACATGACAATGGTTATCATCCCATATGTGCGCAAATCATGGAGAGTGAAAGCTTTTATCGGGTTTATCATCACGGCGTGGTGGGTTGATAGCTGGGCTTGGTATTCTATTACTGGTCTTCTATTAGCTGATATTAGCATCAATATGGATTTCCAAACGCGTGCGCGTGCTGGGATATCTTTGGGAACTTGGAGAGGCAGAAAGTTGAGGCTGCCTGTTTGGCCATTGTACAGTATTGTTACCTTGGCTGGTGTGATCATGATGTATTTGTGGGCGGCATGGAGACCCCAGGACGTGTACAAGGAGGTTAGGATTCATACCGGAGAATATTCAACTGGTGGGTTGAATGACGTGGTGCTGGAAGCTGGGTCTCCAATGGCGAGAGATGATAATTATTTATTCCTGCTTGGAACTTTCCTGTTCTTGGAGACCTGGAGTTGGCTACAAGCATTGTTCCGCAATCCGCTTCTGATGTACTTGGGAAAAAGATCATTCAGTAAGTCCTCACACTCCCTCATCCCGTCCATCGCGTGTATACTAACAATTTTTGTAGGTTGGTTCCTCGTTCAAAACATCATTGTCTATACGGTTGGCATTAAGCTCTTTACGCATCTCACAGAAACAAGAAATGCATCCTTCGAGGCAGCAGCCACAGGTTGCTTCTTCGTATGTTTAGTAACTGTTATCCCAAGTGCGGAAATATTTTATCGATTGATTGATTTTCCTTCTCAGGCATTTGCTAGAATTACATTTGACTGGATTAGAAAATAGATGGAAGAAAGATTCAATGTTTTATGTTATCGCGAATATAGATGATTAGATTTACTATGTCTCATGTAGTCTTACCCTCAATAGGAAAAATTAATAATACTCTATACTACTATGACCTCTCTCAATTTTATCCATTAATTACCCCTTTATTCATCATAGACAATATAAACATCTTAGATCACTCATTGGAAAAACAAGAAACGAAGTATAATCGAACGGAACTCGATTTTTTTCTCTAGATACTATATGCAAGATTTATAAAATTACATGTTCGACTCTATTAAACATTAACTGAATTACGACACCTTTTTCCATCACCATCGTCAGGATCAAGATAACACAATACTAATTGTGAAATCTAATTCCCTCCGGTCTTTTCATTTATTTTTCTGATTTTTTCCCCCGGCTCGTTCCTTACCCTCCTTTCTTCCTAGCTCTTTTTTTTAACCCTCTTTTTTTCTTTTTTCTCTCTTTTTCCCCCTATTTTTTTTGGGTTTTCTTCCTGCTTTTCTTCTCCTTTTTACACACTTTTTTTTGCCAAAAAAAAAATTTCTTTTCTCCTTTTCTTTCTTCCCTCCTATCCCCTCCTCCTTTCCCTTTCCATAAACAAACTCTTTTCCCTTTCCATAGAATAAAATCTCTCTCGTCTCAACCTCTATTATTTTTTTCATACTCAGCGAGCTTGCGTCTCAACTCCTTTGTCGCCGCTGGATCCATACTGAGGTTGTCCTCAGGCATAGTCTCCAAATCCTTGACGTCATCATCATCCAGCGCCAATACCGTGCCATTAACATGAGCGCCATCATCTACCACCTTTGTAGGATCCGCATGCCAATCCATATTAGCCCATTGCTCACCTACATTGAAATTCCTGTTTTGTAGCATATAGATCATACACCTATACTTATGGCTCAACATGAATTTCAAACCGGAACCACGATGCCAGCGAGAATTCCAGTCAGTGTAAACCCAACCTTTCTCGTTGGAGAAAATCTTTGACGATTCAGGCCATCTGCCGGAGCAGAAGAGATAGTTTGCTATGTTTTCATCCATGTTTTCGGTCTTTTCGCGGAGGGTTTGGCAGACTTCACGGTTTTTTCCTTCAATATCCGGTTTCATAACACGACGATGTACGAGTCCGTCTCGCGCTGTCTTTTCCGGGAAGAGGAGATGTTGTCCGCAAATTATGTTCAAGTAGCGAGTCAAAGGGGCCATTTTACGTGTTTGCTACGGATAAGGTTAGTTGTCGGTTCATCTACGGAAATGAATGTATAGGAAGGACTTACTTCAGGGCAGTGATGCTGAAACATCTCCCAGGCACGGGGGTTTGCTTTTGTTTCTTCTCCCCAATCAGTAGAGCCGAATCCCATACCCAAGTTCGTCAAATGGGTTTCAGTATCCATGCCTCTATAATCCTGTCCGCTAAAACAAGGGAAATTTCGAGATTTTCTGGGTTTATCGGCGATTCTGTTGGTCTTGCTGGTTGATACAGAAAGCGTAATAGCCGACCTGTCCCCGCTGAATGTGAATTCCTTACCATTTACATAATCCAATTGAGGCTTGTGGAGCTTTTTGAGTTCCCGAGAGTATTCCCAAGAATTTTTCTTGATATCCTCAATGTCAAAACCATGTTTTGCAAGTTTATCCAAACCGATGAGTTGCTTCTCGTGATTTCCTGAGTCCATCATTGTGTAGCAATTGACTTGGCACAATGTATCAGGATGATCCTCAGGACAGAATCTTTCACTGGCGAACTTTTTAGCGTGGCATCTCTTATTAACGGTTCCGCGATTGAGTTCAGTTTGGCATTTCATGTAACATTTGTTACTCGCCCAAGCAGCAGAAATAAAATAACCTGAGAGCTTTTGACTGAAATTCTGAGCTTCTTTGGAGATATCAATGCTGTCGAGTCTCCGGATGATAGCTTCGTAGTCGGCGTTGAACATCCAATCACTCATTGTTTTGCCCATTCCTTCAACATCTTTAAATCCGTTGAGTGACCTGAATACTTCACTGAGATTTTGCATATACTGCTTCATAATTTCGCTTATGTGGAAGCCAGCGTCGGCAATACGGGCCATATTGTCGTTTCCAGTGCCAGCAATTCCATCCATGTGGCCGCAGTATAGATCGCTTGTGTATGATTCACTGGTGAGGCGCAAGAAATCAATGGAAGATTCTCCTTCGTTACCTTGTGGGTGCTTTTTACCCTTCCCTACAGTGTGCTCCATTGGCAATGTAAAATCCAAGAGTTGTTTCAAAAATTCAGTGAACATAAATGGGTTTGCCTTATCAAGGCTTGTCCAAGAGGGCGGTTCGAGTTTGGCGTCTTTTGGGTCGAGACCTGCCTCAGCCTGGACAAACTTTGACATGCCTATTCTTAACGCCTTGCCAGTGTATTGATATACCAAATTAATGAACCATTTCTTAATCTCGCATTTGAGAATCGTCTCCACGTTGTCTTGTTTCGTGAAGTCGTAGATGATGCTGTCTATTCTTGCCAGTACAAAGTCCTGGGCGCGAGCAAGTGCGTTCTGCTGCTTGTTAGTATGAAGGGACTCTAACAGTAAATCGGTACGTAGAAATACTTACGATAGTGTGAGTTCCGGAGCGGAAGACCAAATAGTAGCTCATACCGGCCCAGTATCTAGCCTGAGCTTCTTCGATTTTCTCATCCCTTGTCATACCAGGTTCGGATACATCCACGAATTCCAAAACTTCAAGAGGAGTTGGCATTGCAGTACAGCCATTGTCGAGATCGCAGAACCAATGAGGCTTGCCAAGCTTTTCTTCGCCGTAACGAGCCGAGAGACTCTTTCCGCTGTTAGAATCTTGCAACGCCAAAGTCTCCCAATCCTTGTATCTCCGAGCCCAATCGAACTTTCCCATATTGGGTGTGTCCATCTTGAATTTACCGCTATTAGAGATGCCCACAAGCTCTGGGCGTGACCAAGTCTCTTGTCTCTTTGCAATTTTGAGGTCATCAGGCGAGCTCAAATCTTTGAAATTGGATGGAGAAGTGGATGAGGAAGTAAGGATATTTTTGACTGCTGTGGGGGAGAAGTCGAACCAAACATGACCAGCTGCTGGGACTTTGGATTGGGATACCAAAGGATCATTTGGAGGTATGGTATCCAAAGACTGTGGCGAAGGGTCATGCTTAATCTCGGCCGTCAGGGCGCCCGCAATGCAGGCGCCCAACGCCAATACAGGCGTAGGTCTTACAATCATAGGTAATCCTTTTGATCAAAGTTGATACTTAATTCCGAATCCTAGAAGCTGAGAAGATTTAAATGTTCTTAATACGAGAACAAGTGTGGAGTAGAATTATAAGGCTGTTGTCAGATTACTTCTATGTAATACAAGAGAAACTTGAAAGGGGTAGATGATACGTACAGTTTGCTTGTTCTGAGGTTAACTGTGGGCGTAAAGTTGTAAAATTTGTGAATACTGTGGAACTTTAGAGGTTGGAAGGCTGTTCTACTTTTGATCTACTATGTTGTTGAAGGGTGAAGTCTCAAGTTAGAGGGAGAAAAGGATATCCGTTACAGATTTAATAAGGAGGAGTTGACTAATCTAGCATCTTCAAGATCTATGATGCATCCTTAGCGCCGAAATGATATAAGAGGACAAAAGCAGGAAATGATTTAGATTTGCAGATCATTCCCTAGTCATTCATAGTGAGGTGGCACCATCTTGCCAGTTCGTCGAGCCAAAAAATGAATGGATGGGAAATAGCTTGGAAGATTTAGAATGCGATGAAAGTGATGACAAGCCGAAAATAGCAGTGATGGGTTTATGATGGTCTAGTCTGGATTTCCGACAGAACTTAACAAAGAAACAAGTCTTATTGGAAGAGAAAGGCAAAGCGGGCGTGAAAGCCGTTGATTGTAGACATTGAAGCTAAGGATATGGGTATCATCATCAATCCTGCTAATTTGATAACCTTGAATAGCTTGTTAGAAAGTCTCGCACTGAAATATATGAATATCACTAATGTTGAAATGATGATCGTTAATTGTGCTCAGATAACTAAGATGAACTTAAAGCTTGTTGATACAACGAGGGGAATTGTTGGCCCAGTTATTTGTAGGCCTTAAGAGTCAGTTATTGGTGTAAATATGCATGCCGTTTTTGTTAGAGGACATCATCCTATGAGTGGCATAAAGATATACGGAGTCTTGCGTAAGGAACAACCGCTTCCCAATCAATCCCTTCCCGAAAGGCCTTACTAAATGACTCCTAATGAGAGTTCGAAGGATGTTTCAACAACAATATTTTGCATTGAGTTACTGAGATTCCCATAATCTCAGTTGAAACACATCGAAACCGGTATTAACTTGAGATGTCACCACATTAAGGTTATGCTTAGCAAAGTCTCTGCAGATCTAATTTGTTGACATTTGATGTGGCTGGAGTCTGGGATTTAGTGTTCATGCTAGATGTTAGTTTTCGTAGCTGTGAAGAATACACTCCTCACGAGAAAAGATCATCCCACTGGTTGCAGATTAATGGGTTCGGACTGATCCCACCAGCACCAATAAAGCTGACAACTGACCGCTAAACGATCAAAAGCATCAATAACTAGGAAAAGAGCAAGTCTAAAAGGGAAAGGATCTGCATTGATTGGTTCAATGGGTAGGCTAAGCACTGTATCCAATAGTCCAGCTCGTCTGAGGCTTTTAAGGATCTAGTCCGGACTGGATAAATATTCAGACTGGTTATGCTATATATGTCACTATTTATTATCCAAAAATTAACTTTTCAAAGGCAAAATTGATATTTTTGATTAGAAAACGTGATATATTGAATATATCTAGCCCGAAATGGACGGACTGGATAATTTCATTTTTTTTGGACGGACTACTTGAAATTTCTTCGGACTACTGGATACACTGAGGCTAAGTGAACTACTTTCCGAGCTAAATTTACTCGGAGCAAAATCTTGTTATAAGACTTACAATCCAGTCAAATCAGTGTCTGAGAACCAAGCCAAGTTGACAAGACCTGATTTGCTCTTATCATCCTAACATCGTGATCTTAAAGAGACCTAGCTTCGAGCGTTGAATAATGGTTGATGTGCTACCTACGGTACACCAAATAAACGAATACCGTTAAGCTGTCACCAACTTCAATAATTGCGCCACAACCGTCTACTTCCCAATCCCCACTTCAAGCTAGAACAAGCAAGTACCTGGATATCCTCGAGTTAGGTACGACTCTTGGGTCCCGAAATGCGGGGTATGGGGAACATATAAACAAGTTGCTAAATGTACTAGCATGAAGAGGCTCCGAAGATCGGAAATTCCAGATTCAATTGCTCAAGTTCTTGGTTCTTACGACTTCAGAAAAGTGGATTATCATAATGGTTAAGCTATCCACTGTACTAAACCATACCCCTCAAGGGCATGAAAATCCATTTATATATAAACTATATACCATTTCCGTACTAGCCTCTGTCTCTACTTCAGATTGAGTTCACTCGTCATAGAAAGTGTGATTGAAGAGTTCAATCTAGAATTAATTACTACCTACATGCTTGCAAACGATATCCTTTCTCCTGAGATGTCGATCATCACACCTTCCATATACGTCACGTATAGTATTGATGGCGATCCAGGCAATGAATTGCGTTCCTCCCAAATGATATGCCAAGGATACTTAACAAGTCTTCTAGCCTCCCTCTTTGACAATGACCTTCAACATCCAATTCCGATAATGTACATACTCCTCCCCTTTTCTCGGCAATGTTTGTAATTACAATACCAAAAATTGAGCCCAGGATATCGTCCTGGTTACGGTGGGCATAGTGACTTTGTTACCAAATAGTTGCGCTCAGATCTCGGACCGCCATTTTTGTCACTGGAAAGTTGTCAGTCGTATCTCCGCGCAAATCGAAGATTCAAAAACCATACACTTGAACGTGATCAAGACTGAGAATATTCAAAGCAAGAAAATTATCTTACTCGGAGACATCATTATGCCATGCATCCCGCCCACATATCCGTGGGATGAAGGTTATCATAATTTTCAATGAGATATGCAAGGTATATCATTAAATCATGGCCTTTACTCGGCGTGTGCAATGCGGTATCTGGAGTAGTTTGATAACTGATATTTGCAATTTCAAAAGAATCTGTAGTTTTAGGTTTTTGGGAATCGAGCTTCTGGATACAAATAAGTAGATACAAGTGATTCAGGTAAATACCTTAACAAATGATACTTCTACAGTCTGCAAGTTGAAATTAAAGAAGCACTGTCTTATCCTTCCTTTACCATTGTAGGAATGCATCCCTCGATTGAGACAGCCTCTATATTGAGGAAAGTGATGAAATTGCACAAATGGAAAATGCTAAAGAAGATTGGAGAAGATAGCTACTGTAATAATAGTCAGTCTAGTGGCTTGTGTCATAAACTGGGATCTGTGTGCGGTGTTTGTATTGAGCCAAATGAATGGGGTACCGCCTACCATTAATTACGTTTGTATATCTCAATGATACTTGTATCTACAGTGCTACGGTGGACGCTCTCTGGAACTTGAGCGAGTCACGTACGGTAGTGAAACGGTTCAGTGTTCCCTTCCCTTCTATTGGGTTTCTTGAGACCAGAAAGAGCATCAGATTGAATTGATTGATTCTCTAGCTAAGCAGTTAAGCTGCGAGTATATATTCAAAAAATGAAGGAATAAGGTTAGGTCTTCAGCCTTCAGAATTAAAGTGCTTTGAAATCAAAATATTGAAAGCAAACAAACAGTATACCGAAAAGGAAAGAATGAATTAAAAGTTGAGTTTTGTTTGCTCCTTATATGCATCATGCAATATATATGCATATGCTGCCAAGATCCCAGGAGGTCAACACCTTCAGATCTCGAGTAACTCTCGTACGGTACATTTATGTGGCATACCTAGCAACAAAAAACGATAGTGAAGAATGTTTACAGTCAGAATTTGAAAACTAAATCTGTTCGGTTTGATAATTAAGCAGGACTCCCCAGAAGGCCTCTTCCTTAAAACCTCAACAGCATCTCCCTCTGACTTTCACATCCGGCTACGACATTCTACATCACACCCCCGATCATTAGCAAGACCTCAACCACATACGTAAAATTTACCTCTGCCAGGCTCATCGACTCCCCCAAAGACTTAAATAAATCATGGCACATTTAGAACCTAACGCAGAAGCACAAGCACCTATACGTCGACGCATGTTTGGTTGCGAGTTCACTTACGACAACATTAACCATTTCCAATACAAAGGATATTCCTTTGATCCTCTACAAGAACCAGAAGTTTTCCATGAAAAAAACAATGATATCAATTACTGGAAAGCACAGCTAGCTTTTCGGGGAGCGTCGTCGGCGGGTAATGATATGGTGGGACTTGTTCAACGATGTATTGAGATCGATCCTCTAGATTTAATGCATCCGCGGATTAGCGATGCGTGTATTGACATGTCGAGGGAATAGGATCAGATATGGGGAGGAGATGAGTGGGAGGAGGATGGGGAGGATGAGGAGGCGGGTGAATGGGAGGATGATTGGGAAGAGGAAGTAGAGGAGTATGAATTGTATGATGAGGTAATGGAGGATGAAGAAGATGATGAATACGAACAGTATTATGAAATTGGCGAACATAGGGATGAGGATGAGGATGATAATGGCCATGCCGGTGGAAATTTCGAAGGAATAGTCAATCTTATTGGAGGCGGTGGCGGGAACTTGGATTACACTTATCGTTCATGGCGTTTGTAATGAGGTTGTCTTTCGAGGCAATACAGCGCGGGAGAGGGTATTTTAGGGTAGGAAGAAATATGTGTATTTGAGGCACAGATCTACGATGGAATGGGTAGCAATATAGGAAGAAATAACTAGTAATGCCGTGCCATGGAAAATATATCACATCAAAATTCAATTTCGTAACATACTCTCAATTCATATCGATCCTAATGTGATAGTCGAATAAAAAAAGGAAATAACGAGTACCATATATATATCATATCATAAGCTAAAAAAAAAAAAACTTCGAAATCTCCTATCTAAGCTCCTCACTAAAACACAGTTGGATCATGTCACAGCACGTGAAATCACATGCCTTTCACATGACTTATATTTTTGTTGCATATCTAACCTATGTAATATTACATGGGTACATGGCATTTGGCGGTAATATTACCCAGCCCTTGTGTTAGTCACCGTGCTCAGTAATAATAACAATTTCTTCAACCATCAAATAATAATAAATTTCCAACCCTGTTGTTCAAAAGACAATACAAACAAGAAAGGATCGGGTCGATAACTATGCGATTCTGCTATTGTTTTTGGCAGTAGGTATGCTTGGGATGGTCACGCAATTTGGTTGGATCCTGTGAGAAAACAATTGTGAGGATGTAACTTCTTACTGTCTGACCACGAGTGTCAGTGCATGATGGGAAGTCACGCTATGCATCATCTAAATACAAGTGGTCTACGCGGCAGTCATTGGTCCCTAAATCAGTTCATTTTTGCTCGAAATACCTTGGATTTCTAATTCCAGTCCCGATTAGAAGCTCCAAGTTCAAAATTCCAATCCACTCTCACCATCTTCCAGCAACTTTATCATACATTATCCCAGATCCTCACGATTCCCACTTCTCAAACACTAAAATCTATCAAATACAAAATCCCATACACCAATTCTAAGCCTTCTTCTCCTTTCGTGCCAGACTGCCCAACAAGGAGCTCAATTCATCCGCACCCGACGATGCTCCCCCGCCACCGATAAGCGATGAAATCTCGCTCTGCAAAGAAGCAAGTCCTGAAGATGTGCTCGTTCCGCCGGCTAAGGAGCCCAGCGATGATAATCCACTCTCCAAGGAACCGATTCCGGAAGATGTACTTGTGCCACTGCCATCGAGGAGAGATCCGAGATCTGGTAGATTAGATGTAGATGTGCCTGAGCCGAGAAGACCGTCGAGTTGGCGCTTTGGCACACTGGTTGGCGCGCCTGAGATGAGGGGGAGGATTGCAATGATGAGGGAGGTGTGGAAATGCATTTTGATTTGTTGGCTGTTGGAAGGCAGAGTACTCGGGGGAGAATGGTAAGAAAATGGGTTGACAGGTCGAAATTGGAACGTCGTATTAGAAGTTGCAAGGTGAGAGTCAAAAGTTTGATGTTTTCTTGAACTGGAGAGTCTTCAGAAAGGAATGTAATGATCGGATGAAGAGAAAGTGATGGCTGCAACGTCGAATCATGGCGAACATATATACATCAGATATAATTACAGGAGGCAGAAAAAGTAAGTATATCCCCACGTTTCCGCGTCATCCAAACATCTGCTAGGGGCGGACAGTGTCTGCAATTGATTACTTTTATTCTCACTAAATTTTACGTTCCATAATTATATCGGACACTTTTCCATATTTCAAAAGCAACATTTTGTCGATTGCTGAGTCTAATTCCAGGGTATTTGGATGCGTGCTGTCTGTGTTCGTGCGAGCGGGAAAATGGGGTTTTGCACCCATTCATTTCAAACTATTTACTGGTTTAAGGAACCAGAATAATTTATAGAAGCAGGTTTGTATCTAGAATGATCGTTTAATATCTTATGGAGGAAATCGTTAATTGGCTTCACTTGACCAAGAGGCTCAAATCTATCATGGATATTCACCTATCCACTCACGAATACAAACTCAGTCAACGCAATCAAAGCAATTATTCATACTCATTGTACTAATTCCAGGAAATATCAGTAAAGTAATTTATACGTTCTCGGAACACAGTCGAATCTTTCTAGCAGGGTATAGGTGAAAGTTCTCGTCCTCTCATCGCCTCATCTCAGTCACATCGCATAAATTCCATTTCTCCACGCCGTCCCATTACATCCCCAAAATTTCCACCTCAAAACTCAAGCACCACCAGTTAACCCAGAAAGAAGATCTGCGCCGCCCCCAGCACCCGCAGCACCCCCAGCACCCCCAGCACCCGCACCACCCGTCAACCCAGCAAAAAGCGCATCCTACAAAATCATCAGCACTCATCCTCAATCCAAGCAAGTAACGAAAAACGCAAAAAGCAAGTAAAAACTTACCAAACCCCCAGCTCCCGTAGCTCCTCCAGCTGCCTTACCGCCAGCTGCTGGCGCGGCCCCTCCTCCAGTAAGTCCAGATAAGAGATCTGCGCCTCCTGTCGAGGTACCTGTTCCTGTTCCTGTTGCGCCACCGAGAAGATTATTGAGTTGACGTTTTGTCTAAGGTTTGTTAGGATATTTATGATGTTTATGTGGAATTGTGAAGTGCGAGGGAGATACGTACTGGTAAGGCGAGAGTTAGTGGTAGGAGGGCGATGAGGATGGAGACACGCATTTTTGGGTATTAGGGTTGGGGTTGTTGTGATTATCGGTTGAGGATGTGGATGTGGATGTCGAAACCGGTTCGATGGGTAATGATGATGATGATGATGATATGCGATATTGAGTGAAGATGGAAAAAGAAATATTAATCAACGAAACAAATAACAAATAAAAAAAACGACAAAATCACCCACCTTTCCCTTCCCCCTCTACTTATACAAATAATCATCCGAACTTCCCCATTATATTTCATCTTTCATTCACGAGGAGTTTGAGAATCTTCCCAAAAATGTATCTCGGACCTCTACCTATACCTACCTCAAACCAGATAATTGACGTAAGTCTTACTACTTAGATAGTGTACCCATGACTAAGAATATCGGAAAAAGAAACACATGTGCATATATAATCTTATAAGTTTGTTTCCAAAATTGAAGATCTGATCTGAGGGTCTGGGGTAAAATAAAGATGGAATTTGGTGATATGGCGGGGAGTGGAGTGGAGTATGCTCTGTATGAATGAGGTCTTTTTGTTTGAGAGATGTGCTCGGATATCGATTTCGCGGGCTATGAAACTGGATGTGGTGGATTTGGGGTTTGATGAGTCTATTTCTTTTTGGGGGGAGAGAAGGGGTTGTTTGGATGTGCTGCTGAAAGATGTTGATGAATTGAAATATATAGAGATTATAAAGGTTTCTTTTTTTTGGATTCTTGATTGTCGTGGTTGGTCTTGATGTGTATAGTAGTATATTAATCTTATAATATCATAACCCCGAATCAGCAGTGTGAAATCATTTATCAACCACAACGAAAATCGGAACATTAATAATAAGATTATAAAATAAACTGTAATAAGAGAATATTAGAAATACTTTCATACTCGTCCAAACACTAACCTGACATCTCATGTTTTGGTGTTGGCTCTCTTGGTGTAATAAATGTCAAGGCTGTCTGTCTATCATCTATTGATTTCGTGCTATAACCTTATACATGCTGTGACATTGGATGTTGGAATATATGGTGCAGGCGTTTGTGCTCGGATGTTTGGATGGATTTTCTACGCCTGCGTAGAGGGTAGATATTTTGAGAATGTATGAAGATAATATTAATGAGGACTCTGTTACCCAAATATAGAGAAGATTATGGTGTGGTGGTTTTGGTATGGTGGTTTAACCTTAGAGTCTGGATGGAAAGGAATAATCTTCAGATATAAGGTTACTCCGTAGGACGCATTCTTCTCAACTCCCTATGATCACTCGCACATCGGGTTTTGGGGATAATTCCACTATTATCTCTTATCTCATCCTCATCCTCATCGTCCATCACCCATCAATCAATTTCTTCTTTCGAGGCGTGATATGGGATGAATAGGTGCTTCAACTAATTATATGATATGAAATGATTGAATACTTTGAATGTTTCAAAGAAATTGGATAACGTGGTTTATCATCGAGTGGCCCATATCATCGAGTGGCCCACTTTCACCTCAATTTACACTTTCAAACCCATATTATTCAACAACAATTGAATCAATTGATTGAAACTATTAAGAATCTAATAATCTAGGATCTATTACATTATTTTGACAGGTTCTTGCATTATGTCCTGTCTTTCTGTATTTACTACAATATCGATTAGAAGATGCTTCCCTATTAGAATTCCCTTCTTTTTGATGCTCATCGCGTTGAATCTGAATATCAATCTCTTGCTGAGATAATATATCAAGAGCCTCTTGTCCAGTGAGCACTCCTCCTTGACGTAATTGGGTTTTTTTCGCGCGTCGACGCTTGTTTAATGCTTCATTTGCTGTCCGAAGTGTACGAATCTCTGTATTTAAAAGTGTGTTTTCATGAGCTAATCTCTCTGTACCCTTAGCTAGAGCTAGTACAGTCTCGAATATAGGTGTAGGAGAGCTTGCTTGATGACGAGTTATTCGAGATTTAACTAATGTTGATTGAGAAAGAGCTTCAGTTGGGTTGCGAGGGGTTTGAGAGATCCATTGATCTAGGTCGAAAGAGGGGGGGGTAGGTGTGCGAATTCGAATATCTAATTTCGAGAGTACAACTTCAGGATTAAATGGGATTAAACCTGTTCCTCGGAATCCTGATTTCATATTCTGAGAAGTGATTGATTCCTCGTATACAGCTTTAAAAGCTATAAAGAATTCAACCTTCGAAATATGATTGATATATGCCTTGATAAATCCATCAATTTGACCACCATATGAACGTTTTAGATTGCTAAAACAGCCAACATCAAGTGGTTGAGTTAAATGACTTGAATGCAGTGGTAAACGTAAACATATAATATCGTTCTCTTTGCAGTATGCTTGAAAAGCTACTGATTCGTGGCTTTCATGCCTATCCAGTACCAACATTCGATATTTGCCCTTTCTTCGATTCTTAGTATGCTTGTCGAAGTGTTTCAACCATTCTAAACCCGTCTCATTATTCGTCCACCCATTAGATGTAGGTTTAATAGCCCATTCCACAGGAAGATTCGTTTCGGTGTACCAATTGAAGAGATGAACTTGTCCTTGAACTACTAGAAATGGGGGAATAGTTTCATCCTCTCCATTTCCGCATATTATTGCTGTAGCTCATTCTCGATTGCCTGGCTGTACTGTCTTGCTTCTGCCATTTCGTTCAGCACTAGTTACTACCATTGCTGCACATATAATCCCCATTATAAAGCCTGTTTCGTCGAAATTGTAGAAATCTCTGTCCAAAATACCGTATTTCGCTCGCATATTCGCAACTAGTCGAAACCACTCTTCAAGAAGCTTAGGATCCTCACAAAGAGCTCTTTGAAAGTCATAAACACGACTAAAACGCGTCTTTAATTCGATTCGACGCTTTACGAATCGATGCGCCCAGAGCTTCCCAATGCGTTTCGCACCCCTCGATTCGAGAATATCATTCGCCATATCTTCCACATTCTTTAGTTTAGGTGGAAATCCTCTTAAATCCATATCGAGTATATATTGAACAATCACCTCTTCTTCTAATTCTGTAATCTTATGACGATTCGCTCGAGTTTCTGTACGAAGAGGTAAACCTTCCATTCTATGTCGAAGAGTCGTACGAGGAATATTATAGAGCATAGCAGCCTTTCGAATGCTTAATTTTTTATCTTTATGAATAACTTCGATAGCAAGGAGTATACGAGCTTCTTGATTATTCGAATTCATTATAGGTTGTTGATAAAACGCGTGTTGAAAGAGACAGGTGTAAATTGAGGTGAAAGTGGGCCACTCGATGATAAACCACGTTACGCTTCCAGTGCTTTCAATGTTTTGGTAAGATCTTACGAGAGTCCTGAGAGCATGAATATCATTTGTGGTGTAACACATTTGATTGGTTGTCTGATGTGTAAAAGTGGTCCGGACAAACCGAGAATCCGCGGAAAACGATTTCCCCTCTTCGTCTGTTCTCCCCATGGACAACCTCCCAAACTACTGGTAATTTGATATCATCGTGAGCGAAAGCTATCCCAAGTTCGTTACGGATTGAAAGTTCTCAACTAAACATTGGTTGGATATCGTTAATTGTCAAAATTTATATGTTTTTTATTGGCTGTAACCTTATATCACCATGAAGCGATCATTATCGAACAATCCTTCTCAGGACGGTCACAGGGAAAAAGTAATTCGGCGGCAGGATCCTGTATCATGTCAATTTTGTCGGACGAAGAAACTCAAGGTGATGAAGATGAACCTGATATGGACAATTAATCATATTCTAACCTTGACAGTGTGATCGCAAATTTGTAAATTCATCATCTCTTAAGCTCACATTCTTCTCAAGCTCATTGTGGTCTACTAATACTGATCCACTTCATCCTTGAAGCCATGCTCAAATTGTCACTCCCGTAAACTGTCCTGTGTATCGGCTGCACCTCATGCAGACCCTCCATCTATTCGTTCAGACGCTTTTGAGCCCAAAGAACCATCCATGTAAGTGTTTACTACCTGCCTCTGGTTTGGCGTTCTGTCTAATCATTGCCACGATAGTCAAGGAATTGAGGAGTTGAATATCCGTTTAAAAAGAGTGGAAGAACTTCTTACAAAAAACTTCACTCCACCAAGCGGTTCAATAGAAACCTCATCTGGTACTTCTCACTAATGCAAGCACCCCGGTACAAAGTAAGAGCTGACAAAGGTCTAGTGATTTCAAGGCAAGAGACCCCCGCAGAAGATGTTCAAATCACAAATACAGTCTCGTGGTTAGAGTCTGATGCCTTCGAACACCGAAACCTTCATGCTTCAACCAATTATGTAATTCACCTTTTCTGTAATTTACCTCCGGAAAGCTAATCGAACAGGACCTTCTCTCATACGATGATGAAATTGCTCAAACCTTCACTGCTTCATTCTTATCTGCTCCGGCTGTTTCTCCGGGAGCAAGTGTCGATGCGCAAGCTTTGTCTTTACTCCCGTCTAGGAAGTATGCAAGGGTTCTCGTGAAATATTTCGTTGAAAATGTTGTATGGATTTATCACATCATTCACATACCAACCCTTGAATCTCATCTAGACAAATTATACAATGATCTTGAGCAGAACCAACAACCTCAATACGGCCAACTCGCCCTTCTTTCCGCGGTCTTCGCGTTGAGTGTCTACTTCCAAGGAGCTGAACCGCTGTCGATAACTCGTCGTTGGACAATATTGGCTCAAAAGGCCATGTGTGCTGCCAATTACATTGGAAAGCCCACAATAGAGTCGATCCAGGCGGTGTTATTGATAGCGCAACATCTATTGCCTAATATAGGAGGTATTGCAACATTTCGAGTTTTATTTACCATTGCGATGCATTCGGCACGTTCACTTGGATTCGATCAACTCGACGCTGCTCAAAGCAAGAAAAGAAGAGATGGAACACAATCAAATTATATCGAGCTCGAAATTAAACGGAGAATTTGGTGGCACATCGCTTCTACTGATTGGCAAGTTTACTTGGACATTTCTGCATGAAGTATCTGACATATTGTAGGATAATGTCCTTCATGGGTGGTCCGCAAAGCGGTACATACATGATTCATCCGCAACATATGAGATGTGATTATCCAAGTAATGTTAACGATGTCGACATTCATCCTTCAGGAGATTATAACCAGCCTCTGAATGTGGAAACCAATATGACTTATTACCATTTTCGATTGCAACTCTCGATCATCTGTCGGGAAATTATTGACGCTATGCAAAACCTTGGCTGTGAGATGCATGAGTTGCCTTACGAAACAGTGTTGAGTTTTGACAAAAAGTTATTTTCAATCAAATCCAATTTTCCTCCCTCGTTTCGCTTGGATGCCAACAGCCGAGCACAACACAAAGACCTCGACACGAAATACCCCTCCTTGGCAGTACAAAGAACGGCGTGGCATTTCGGACTTCAGACTAGATTAACAAGACTTCATCGACCATATCTTGCACGAGGTGCCCATGACCCACGGTACTCTTACAGCCGGATGGTTTGTCTTCGATCGGCTCGTTCAGTCATTGAATTGGGAAGAGAACTTACAGACCGGGGCGAAAAGCAAAATTTCCGACCAGTCAGAATGTGGACAGTAACCCATCATATCTTTGTAGCTACTGTCATACTGGTAATGGACTTCTGTCTGAATAAGGACGATCCACGATCAGAAGAGAGAAAAGCAGAAATAATGGATGCATTTACGATACTTGAGAGTTGTCAAGAAACCAGTACAATGGCGAAACGAGGCCTGCAACAACTACGAGATATCCTACGAAGAGGAACATCATTTCCCCAAGAATCTTTGACTCAAGTTCAGATCCGCAGCGATGAGTTATGCGATGTTTCAAACTCTGTAAATTCCTCTATGCAACAAAATCAGGATTTCCAAATGCCAGAAACGTCGGCCATGTTTCCTGGTCTTTATGTCAGTGATCCCTATTCACGAGTGGATTGGGAAAACGTTGATTTCGATACTATCGAAAACATCAATTTTGATGTTGATCTGTCTGCTAATGACTTTTCAACACTTTTCTATAATGGAATGACTTCACAAGGGGGTTAACTTCTATTCGCCAAGGGTATTTTACCAATGCCTTTGGCCGGCCGAATTTGCACTTTGAATCCATCTATGGGATGAATTGACTTTTTAGGTGATGTCCAGTCTCCTTATTCTAAAAACGTTTCTGCGGTTCTCAGGATTATCATAAATAGAACTGGAAGGATGCTTCGGATTCCCTCGAATTCATATTCGTCACGTGTCACGAACCCAATTGGCGCCCCAGCCACGGTCAGATCTGATTGTCCAACAATGGTTAATGGAAGAAGAGTGGCATAGCGATTTAAATCATTGGATCATTACCCAATCCTGTATAATTTAAGGAGTATATTGTGTGGTCTATTTGATTGAAATATGGCATCCGTTAGTGTTGCTTGACAAGTGGTCGCTTCCGAAGGTCGGAACGTTTAATTCAAGGAGCGACAGTAGGTTAGTTGGATAAGCGCCAACCTATATGGCCAACTTTGAGCCTCATAGTAACTACAGGCGTTTCGATGTTGGAATTCGGTCGTGATTTACTGTCGACAATCCAACAATTTCCAACACATCAGTTATGGAATAAATACATGGTCAACCGCAGTTCATCACATCAAGGCAGGTTACTTTCACAAGTGTATTTCTTTGACAACGTTCTTTGCACACAATTCTCTCAGTCTATCATTGAATCTTTCATCTCTATCCCATCCAACATAAACGTCATAATGCCTTCCTTTGCTGAAACTCCAACAGCCGCAAACATCCAAACCGCATTTCAGTTGCAGCATCTAGTAGAGGCTGGTCACAAGAATGCAAGTTGTATTGATCAAGAGACACTTAAAGTTATCAAATCCATTACCGATGCCCAACCAGGAAAAGATGCAACATCCCTACGCACACCAGAATGGGCAAATACAAAAGAAGGCTTTCAGAAAAAAGTTTCCTCATTCTTAGAAGGACTTGCAGAAAATCTTAAAGTTAAAGAACTCAACCTTTCAGATGAATCAGACGATAGTGAAGAAGATTCTGATTTGCAAGAAGAAAGTGAAGAGGAGAGTGAAGGAGAAGGAGAAGAAGAATATGATTCTGAATATGATAGTGATGAATACACGGAATCGGAGGATGAACGTAATACTTTGGATCGAATTAGTGAGGATGAAGATGAAGATGAAGGGGCTGAGCCGAAGAAATGTTTGGATGCTAAGCTTGGTGAAGGTATGGTCTTTTTTCCCCCCGCTTCTTAATATCCTACTTGTGAATAGACCATCAACTAACGAAATTAGGAATTATCCTTCATGAAATAATCGGTCGAAAAGTAGCCCGCTATGGAAACAAAGTCCTAAAGTCAGGACGAAATCTCCGTCTCTCCGAAGCAGACGCTATGCGCTACATCGCAACCCACACCAGTATTCCCGTACCCCGCGTCTTGGACGCCGTCACCGATGGAAAACTAACCAGTATAACCATGGAATACATCGAAGGGGATCGACTCGACAAAATCTGGAACTCCCTCGCGGAAGAACAAAAAACTACCATAGTCTCTCAAATCCACAATTACCTCACCCAACTCCGCAACCTAACTGGAAAATACATCGGCGGTATAAATCGCACCCCCGCTATCGATTCCCGCCGCTACGATCTCGAAGGAGGCCCTTTTACATGCGAAGCCCAATTCAACGATTTCCTCCTCTCGGATGCTTATCCCCAAGTTCCCAAATGTTTCCTCACGATGGCGGAGAATTCTCTGCGGACTAATCATTCTATTGTTTTCGCGCATGGGGAGTTAGCACCGAGGAATATTTTGGTGAGAGAGGGATATGTGGTTGCGGTTCTCGATTGGGAATATGCGGGTTGGTATCCGGAGTATTGGGATTTTGTGAAGAGTTTTAATGCGTTGGATGCTAGGTGTGGGAGTTGGTATGATTGGGTTGGGAAGGTTTTTCCGGTGGCCTGGGAGCAGGAGTTTATGAATGATCGGTTTGTAGGGACTTTGGTTCGTCATGGGCATTCTTAGGTGGGGGTTTTGGGGAGGGGGAGGAGGAGGAGGAGGAGGAGGAGGGGGGATTGATGGGTTTTTGTGGGATGGTTGGGTTATTGTGGGATTAATTTGGACTTGGTGCTAATCTTATAATTATGTTGGAGTTGATAGATAGATAGAATGACGACGGATAGTTGGCGTTCCAGGTAAATTACATGTATTGTATTTATATATCCAGGCTTTGAAATAGATCACTGCGCGGTAATCATTGTCCGATTCTATAAATTATCCTTGTGATTCGGAAATTCATGCTTGAGATATGGAGTACCATATATTGTGCTGCTAGATATCTAGATCTTGGGTTGTTGATTGTTGATTGTAAGATAATTATTGTTGAAAAGAGGTTTTAATTTTTTATGGATAGAATGGATATGGGAGCACCTGGCAGTAACTTCTGTATGTTGAATTGAGCTTCAGGATTGATAACTACTTTTATCTGTAGGATGAGGATGAGAACAGGAGCTGGAAGTTGGCAATTAAAGTAAGGAATTAGGATTAGGGAAATGAAGGAGGTTTTAACGATGATGAAGAAAAGAATGGATGGATGGATGGATGGATGGATGGATAGATAGATAGATAGATAAATAAATAAATAGATAAATAGATAATGTAAGTTTTAATAATAAAATGAAGAGTGGAAATGTGGGTAGGAGATGAAACTTCAATATCTGTAAACTATAAACCAACTATATAATTTTCATTTCTAATCTAGTAAACAAAATAAAAATTAACGTAAGATTCACCTCCCACTCTTATATATATCCATCTTTTTCCTAAGCTTAGAAATGGTATATGTATATCCGCTTACATCTTCATATAAATAGATTCAACAAGAGAGAAAATATGAGTAATTGTATCTGGCAAGAATGGTAGATTGTGCTCCTTGCTGCTTAAGATAAGTCAAGATGCAAAATAAATAGTAAGATTAAAATTTCGAGAGATTAATTACATTTCCTACTCTCTGATATCAACGACATGATCCAATCTTTATCCCGCAGTAGCAGCTGTACAAACAAAACTCCTATCCATTAGTATACCAAGAAATATTAAAGAAGCCCATCTCCATCAAATATGACCAGAGAAGACAGAGGAATTGAATACATCTGTTTTCTCCATAAATCTCCATTTTGCTGCATTCCCTATACCCTATCCAAGAACTAGCTCTCAATTAAACAATCCCACAACCTTAAAATCCCCAATCCTTCACCCATCCTCCAACCATTTCCTTGCTAATTGGACTCAATTCCCTAAACGAAGCACTCGCAGCTTTCGCATTATCAGTAGTTATAACCAATTGCTCCTCACTAGCTACCCATTCAAAAAAGTTCAAAAGTTTAAGTGCCGGAAATTTCTCGAGTTCCTCTCTTGATTTATCATCATGTTTCTTGAGTTCTTTGAGCCAATCCTTCAATGAAACTTCTTTGGTAACCTCGAGTACATCTTTGACCGTAGGAAGAAGATCCGTCCAATAAGCAGATGCGGGATTAATGAGATTGAAAGTTGTCGAGCCTTCTCTCGTACCACTTCCCTGCATCAACTCAATGATAATTTGTGATACACTATCAATTGGAATCCACTGCACGAGATTCTGTGCTCCAAGATTACTTGGTATCAATCCTAGAGCTTTGGAAGTTTGCATCAAGATTGGAAACCAGTCCCGAGTGTTCCACTTCTTCTTTCCGTCACCAACTGGACCACTAAGTTGTCCACATCTCAATATATCAATTGAGATACCGCGTTGCTTTGCAGCGTTGTTCAGTATATTCTCTGCTACGAACTTGGACTGACCATAGCCTAGCGTTGGCAAATCGCCATCGGTGAATACCTCCTCGGACACAGGTGTTTTGGGCCGAAAAGATGACCAGTTCCCAAATGACCCTACAGAGCTCACAAATTGGATTGTGACTTTGCGCGGGGATAATATGGACCAATCTATGAAATTTCGAATACCCGCAATGTGAATCTTTTCGAAAGACTTGATCGATAAATTGAAATCGACCGGCCAAGCATTGTGTATGATAACATCAACGGTATCAAGAAAGCTTTGATGAACGGCAGGAGTCAAGCCAAATCTTGGTTCACCAAAAGATACTTTGACAAACTGGACCTTGGCCGCTCCGTCTAAGCCACCGGATTCTTCTATGGAATTGTTTCTCGGTTCCGTCCAACCACGGTTAAAGCATAGAATCTTTGCGACATTGGAGTCGGCAATTAGAGTTTTAAGAAGGTAATATCCTAGGTAGCCCGTCGATCCGGTGAGAAGTACGTGAAGACCTTCACCATGAGGCTTGTGGACTGTTTTTGCTTCTTTGGCTGGGAAATTACTGGAATAATTCTGAATAAGGTCTTCCAGATATTTATTAGCTGGGGCGAGCGCAAGAGATTTCTTTTCTAGGCGACCGAGCTCTTCCGAAACGCATTTGAGTGGGTACGCCATTTTGAAAATAGCTATCGAAAGCCTTTTTATTGTAGAATTTTCATAGATGAATCTTGTTGTGAGATTCGAGAGTTGCCCGGTAGGCATAAGAGGTTGGAAACTTGATTGGATCATATTGGATAGTTGAGTAATCTTAAGGGAATCTAGGCCGAGGAGTGAAAAGTCGTCATCTGCAGGTAGAAATTTGTTGTTGGCTTCAACCGTTGTTGCTTTTGTTAAATTTTGAAGATATACCACACAATCATTAATAAATTGTTGAAAGGTTTCAGAGGGGATCTGCATCACCGGATCACTGGGTAAACTGTCCCAAGAGCCCACATCGATTGATTTGATCGGAGTGGTGTAGAGAAGATCAATCTCCCGTTCATATAACGCGACTGTCAGAGATCTTATAATTGACCCCTTTCCTGTTCGTGGAAATCGCTTCTCAGACGTAGCGACTAGAATCATATTTCTAAGAATTTTTCCATGACCTGGAGCCGCCTCGTTTGCTTGTTCGACCAAAGGCCATACGGCATCAATAAGAACTGAGTCAGAAAGTGTTTTCTTTGGTTCAATAAGTAGTGAAACTTGTGTTCTTCCGAGACCAATGACTAGAGCCCCAGTCAAAAGTTCGTGCGCGGATATGATGATTTTCCATCCTAGCCGGATTCAACTTCTCTCCGTTTGAAAGAACTATAACGTCATCAATACGACCAGAGAACCTGTAAAGTGGCTTGCTCGGATGTTTCTCAAAAATGTCCCTTGTTCTCCACTCTTCAAGACTAGGGAAAATTGCAAATACTCCTTGGATCCAAGCATCTTGTGGTATTTTGCGTATAACGAGCTCATATCTTCCAGGATCATCCTCAAGTGGTTCCATTTTCAAACCCCCAACATCAAAGTTAAATCTCATCCACCCCCAATCTTCGTCGCTTGTTTCTTGCTGAGCAAGTGATCCTGCTTCGGTTGAACCATAAACTTGTCCCAATCTGACTTTAGAAGCAAGGAGATCACCTGTGGTAGCTGAAAGAGGTCCACCAGAACTGATAATGATTTCTAAATCGGGAAGCAAATCCAAAAATTCTTGGTAAAAGTATTTCGCAATATCATCGGTGATTGACGGGACCTGGACAATTACTCGACATCTAGCCTTTTTCACAATATTGCAGACCAACTTGGCGTTAATGAGGCTGTCGGTAGGCCCAAGGACGGCAACAGCCTCATTAAACAACGCAGAAAATACAGATGCGCAACCACCGAAATGAAAGAAAGGCATGCCAAAATAGACACGAGTATTTGGAACCTCACCAATGAGAAATATACCAAATGGTTCAGCGTCTGATTTGATGTGGCGTAATTTCCTCAAAGCGTCGAGAACAGAGTAGAACCTATGGGTATGGTAAATTGGCTTTGGTGACCCAGTGGTCCCAGATGTGTGGTGACAGATGATTACATCGTCTTTAGCTTCGTCCCAAGTCTTGCTGTAAAGATAAGGGGGACCTTCCTCCTGGGTCATCTCATCAAACTCTGGTATCTCGAAGGCTTTCATGGCCGGTCTCGGATGTACTAGTCCTGTTATGTTTATGGGCAGTTTTCCGGAGAAGAAAAGACCATTGACATTAGTTCCAGTGAATAAATCGGTAAAATTTTCTTGCGAGTTACGAATCGATGGAATTAGAATCTGCGATTCTCACGTTCAGTTTATACAAACAATTTATAGAGCGATTCCACTTACGATATAGCCGATTTTTATGGCAGCAAGCTCCATAACGAGGTATCTGAAGTCAGTGATTCCCTATACATTTATCATTAGTGCCTCTAATATACGGTTCAAAGAACATACTATATAGGCTATTGTGTTCTTGTCCTCGCTTGGTGGTCCCAGCTTCTCCAACAGCCACCAAGACATGAAGTTAACAGCATTTGCAATATCTTTGTAGGTGAATTCGAAGAATCCATGTGATAGATCTGATGATTTTGCAATCATACCCATCAGTTGAGTTGGATGGCTTTCAGCCTTTTCATCAACTAGTTGTGGGAGAAGTCTACATCCATAAGGGACGTCATTGTTGGTAGGTTCTGACATTTCCATGACTTTTCTATAGTCAGGCTTTCGTGGTAGCAGAATAATGCTCTTGAGAGGAATAGAAAAATGAGGGAAAAGAAAGAAAAAGGAGAGAACTCCATAAGGCTATGTACTGAAAAGCCAATGCTTAAGTCACTTTGGCCTATAGCATTCACAATCATGGAAATGATTTGCGTTATTGAATGGATGACAGGCGGCACAAATATCAATGCCCAAACCTAGAATGATGTGTACCTCGTGTGGCACGAACGGAAAAGATACAGGAGAATAAACGCAGATAGCTATAATCCCAACCACTACGGTAATCTCTCGTCCGATAAATCATATTTTCTCCTTGTGACTGAAGGGTGCTACCAAGCTGTTGATACATGGAAAACAGGAACCCACCACTTGAAAGACCCGAATTGAAATGCAAAGCACCCTTGTATGTATCCGTAGCTAAAACAATGTGCCTGGAAAGATACAAAATCCCAAGACAATCATCGACATACTCGTTGCCAACCATCAATTAGGAGCATTTGGGATAAGCTCATCAGATCGAATCACCGCGATGGTTTGTGGTAGGACTGCCGACCATCTAACACGAAGGCAATTCTCAATCATGATTGAACGAGTGAAAGTGTCAATGGGCTAGGATTTTACCAATCGCATGTTGTCCTTGAAAAGGTCAAGTTCATTCCGAGATTGGTGGATGTAATAAGCCTCAAAAATTTTTACGTTAAGGTTAAGGTTAAGGTTCAGCACTGGGTCAGAGATGTTGATGACTAAGCACATGATTGATAGTCCGATAAGACAACTGAGACTAACTCCATGTCAACAAACAAATAACATAACTTTACAGGAGATACCTCATCTTCCTATTCTGCACAAGAGCACGCATATCTGAGCCGATTCTCTCAGTGAAACGAGGCACCCTTGCCTTTCTCTGCTAAACTGCACCTGCACGAACACGAACACGATGTATTGCTTACCATCTCTAAATCTACAGCACTACTAACAATTCGTACATAGCATGGCATATCTATCTATACGCAAATCATTTTCGGGCGGCACACGCTAACATTCAACCCATTGAGTTCCTACAATCATCCTCTGCGCGGAACTTTTACTTCCATCCATTGCCATCCATCTGCTTGCGCTCCGCTGCGAAACCCGCATTTCCCACGGGACGATCTTGCATAGCTCTGCCACAGCTATATGGACCATGAAATTGCTATAATTGGGGCCGGGATTTGCGGGCTTAGAACTGAATATCCCTCAGGAGATTGTGCATTATCAGATAGAATGAACTAATGCAAGAAGGTGGTGCTTTGGATATTGTCATGCTTCAAGAAGATCAACTTAGCTGCGCGGGATCTCAATTAAACCTGGCAGGCAGATGTTCCTCGATGCATTGGTTGATGTGCCAGTCCTTCAGAGGTCAAAACAACTGTACAATCGAATTACCCACGTTTCCAATTCTTGCCATGTACAACAAATATCGCTTTCGACATGAAACGTCCACAACAGCAAATATTTGATGGTTCAAACAGTTCGGTACATGTGTATCATTTGTCAAATGAGTGCTGTATCGGTGGGTTACTGGCTTCCATGCCTCTTTTTTGGTAGCACATTATTATCTCGGAGTTTCCCGTCAATCTCTAGCCTGCCGTTTTTCGACTTCTCGTTACCCTTCTTCTTTTTCTCGACTTCATTCATTGGCAGTCGGTGTTGTTCTCTAGGTTCAGGTCCGTCAACTTCTACCTTGCCATTTCTTGAATTCCCAAGGGCACTCTTCTTTTTCCTTTCGACCCCATCATCTATTGCTACTCGGCGTGAGTCTTTGAATTTCTCATCACCCTCTACTTTAGCATTTCTTGACCTCTCAGGAGCCTTCTTTTTCTTCTCAGCATCATCTATTTGCGCCAGGTGCTCATCTTTTGATCTCCCATCAATTTCGACTTTTCTAGTCTTTGGCTTATCCAAAACGGGCTTCATGTCCCTTTCAGTCTCATCTATTTGCACCCGGCGCTCATCTTTGAGTTTCCCGTCAATTTCGACTTTGTTATTTTGTGGCTTATCCACAGAAAGTTTCCTTCTCTTTTCGATCCCATCAACTGGCGCTCGGCGTTCTGATTTCCAACCAACTTCTAACTTACTATTATTCGACTTGTCCAGGGTTTTCTTTTTCTTTTCAGCCTCCCTTAACAACACCTCTTGTTCATCTTTCGAACATAAAATGGCATTGTCGATCTTGAACCATTCATCCGGAAAATCTCTAATTGACCAGTATTGGGCATATTTGTTTTTTGATGCCAACAATCCAACCAATCTTTTCAAGTGCTGTGCTTTCTTATCTGGTGTCAGCAAAGAATGTGGGCTAAAAGCAGGTGCGCTTTTCTTTCTCATATCTGCTCGTGGGTCAGCTCGAATAGCTTTCTTGTAATCTCTCGCAAATTTATTGCATTCAATGAAAGTGCTCATGTCTTTATCCTGGATTTTCAAGCACATCTTTCCAGCAGTGTCGCTTGTGAACTTCCATCCATTTTCTTCGAGTTGTTTGATCTTCGCCTTCTCCAGCGATTCTAACTCTTGTTCCTCGAGAATGCGCTGAGTGACCAAATCTTTCTGTCGACCTTCAAGTAAGATTACCGCAGGCTTACCTTCATTGGAATCATGACCATCGGAACGATAGTCATACTCTGCCTTTAAGTGGGCTTGTTTGTCCGGCTGGGTAGATTGACTCGGAGGAGCGTCATTTTGTCGAAACATGTTGGTGCATGGATGGAATAAATTGAATTGAACTCGGTAATCGACAATACGGACTGGGGGTAGCAATGGATCCTGATAGGAAGGAAAACGATGAACTACTAAGGGGCGTTGTTTACAAACAATGTCAAGGCTGATTCAACGTGAACCAGCGAATGTCCGTATTTTCAATAAGTTGAGCTTAAAGATTAAATTATATTCGGCCTAGTTTTAGAAGCGAAGGTCACCAGTTGTATGTATGCCAGGACTTCCTGAATATATACATGTTTTTCCCTTGGTGTCAACCAGTAACGCAAAGATTTCATGATTGATGGATGGCATCGCTATCGGAATCGCAAAGGGCCACCAATAGGTTAGAAGGAACAAATTGCACAAATAAGCGCGCGCTCTTTTGTAAAGGTATCATGAAGTACGCAAATAGTAAATCACAACGGCCATATACAAGCAACCAAAATGGTCCTTTGCCTGCCCACCTTACACTCGCAAAGACGGAGACGGAGACCCCGCAAAAAGTTAATGTTCAGCCTTGTAGGGCGGCTTGTATCTTTCAGATCAGATCGGTAGGCGATGTAATGATGTAACTTAGCATCAAACGTTTTCGGTTGCAATATGGTAAGATCTGGGATATTAGATGGAATGGCGAAGATGATGAAATGGTGAAAATGGTGTTCTTAAGTTTCTTAAGTAAAACATGGTGGTGGGATGTGCACCGTTTCAGAGTTTCGATCGTTTTTTTTTTTTGCTGAGAACAGATGAATCATGTATGATACCTCCCTGGTCCGTTGGAACGTATCTGATGTATGATAGGGACCAGATAGTGGGTGTAATTCGATGGTTTTGATAGAGGCGTTGGTTAGTTTTTTGGTTTGTTGGTTTGATATACTAAAAATACCTATCATAAGAATATACGGAGCTATAGATGTCCTAGCTATTAGGTATAAATAGGAGTAGGAGTATTGATCAATTTCTAAAAGGAACTCTTTGAAATTGAGTCGGGAACTTATTAGGTGTGACTCTAGCGGGTTGTATACAGTTTCAGTCGTACGATAGTGATAAATCAATGCTAAGATTACCTTTTAGCCAGACCAGAGTAGATTGGACGACACGTGATATTTAGTCCATCGGGTCGCTTAAATTACAGGGCCCAACAACTTTTCCAATCTTAATCAATCTGTGTGCTCCGTACTCCACCCTTCTATCGATTCCAAACCCCTTCGTCCCAAAAATAAACTCCAGTCGGAACATCTCTAATCCAGTTTTTTATTTTATGGTTATTCCAACCTGGTGGACAATTTACGAAAGTTGTCAACATCAAGTCAAACATACTTATCAGCATACGCATCCCTACAGCTGAACTGCTATACACATTCTCTTACAGCCTACAACTCATTACAAGATCGACAATCAGCATCACTCTGCGTTTCGGTAATGTTTCAATGCATAATTCCGTGCACTTGGCGATCCACCAAATTTGTAAAGCACCTTTCCTCCCAAGATCTCGGCATCCCCTGATAACTTGGCAGCGGTATATTCAGAATGAAAAACGTCTTCCGTGTGATCGGGATAGGGAATTGAATTACATGATGCTAGTGCAAATCAACATGAATGAGGCTATGCTCAGTATGGGTGTCCTTGAGCTTGCTTGGCATTGGCCTATACCTAAAAGCCGTCGTGGCGGACGATCGGAATAGATCTCGTAACTATTTTTGATATTCATCTGATCTTGTAGGTTTTTTTTCACTCATTCTAGGAGCATTTTCAAATTCACTCTTTTGCTTTCTCAACTCAGCCTCAAATCTTTCTCAGGAATCAGTCCCTCTTTTATTCTAGATTTCATACATACGTCAAACTGTCAAACTTTATCATACCTATTCGTACTTCTGTGTGCATGTGCATGTTCTATTCTCCTTCTATTTCTACATTATGAAGCTCGACTCTCCTTTAATCTATGCGGCAAGTCTCTATGTCCTTGCCGGTCAAGGCGTGGAGGGTGCCATCACACTTGATATCACTTCTACAGATTCAATCAAGACAGCGGCAAGTAACATAGCATATGATCTCATGTCATATTACACCGGAAACAACACAGGAGATGTGCCAGGAAACTTACCAGCACCATATTATTGGTGGGAGGCGGGAGCGATGTATGGCTTTCCCTGCTCCCCCGAGGATCAATACTAACCATTTTTTAGGTTTGGAACCATGGTAAACTATTGGTATTACACAAACGATACAACCTACAACGACAGTGTTCAACAAGCACTACTACATCAAGCTGGAGACGATGAGGATTTTATGCCCTTGAATCAAACAAAAACAGAAGGGAATGATGATCAAGGCTTCTGGGGAATGGCAGCGATGACAGCAGCGGAAACCAAATTTCAAGATCCTCCAAGTCCACGTCCTGGATGGTTAGCACTTGCACAAGGAGTCTTCAATACTCAAGTCGCGCGATGGGATAATTCAACATGTAATGGTGGATTTCGATGGCAAATATTTACTTTCAACAATGGTTACAATTATAAGAACAGCATTTCGAATGGTTGTGTCTTCAATTTAGCGGCAAGACTTGCATTATACACCGGGGAATCGAGCTATGCGGATTGGGCGGAGAAAATATTTGATTGGGTATACGGGGTAGGACTTATCTCCCCAGACTACAAGGTATATGACGGGACCCAGAATTCCGACAATTGTACGGATAAAGATCACAACCGTTGGACCTATAATAGTGGGATATATCTCCTTGGAAGTGCTGCTATGTACAATCATGTAAGCTTTACAAGTTTCCATTAGATTCTTTTGTATATACTAACCAATTTAGACAAACGGCAGCGCTATATGGAAAGAACGGGTCACTGGCCTTTTAAACTCATCAACCGATTTTTTCCAGAATGGAATTATGGTCGAAGCCTGCGAAACCGGTACATGCAATAACGATCAACAATCTTTTAAGTGTTATTTTGGGCGATGGTTAGCTGCGACAGCAAAACTTGCACCTTTTACTGCCGAAATCATCATGCCTTTATTAACTACCACGGCAACAGCAGCAGTAAAAACCTGTACGGCTGGAAAACGGGGAAATTCATGTGGTTTGAAATGGACCACAGGAGAACATGATGGAATTACAGGTGTAGGAGAACAGATGTCAGCATTAGAAGCCGTTCAGGGTCTTTTACTACCCCAGACCAGGGATTGGGTTAGTCAGGTTCAAGGCACGGGTACCAGTGAGGGTAATGAAAATGCAGGGACTGATTCAAGGATGAATACCGATGGAAGTGAAATTACACCTGTCACTACGGCCGATAGAGTCGGGGCTTCGATTTTCACCATGGTGATTGTTGCGGGTGTTATTGGTGGAAGTGGATTTTTATGCATCGAGTGGTTTTGAAATCCTGTGGAGGAAATTTACTATGTTTATTCCTCCATGTGAACATATTTTGAAAAAACTATTGGATTGTGTGTCGTCGCACTACCTTGGTTAAAAGCATATCATCGGCGTTTTGTATCGGGATAATTGGATAAGAGGGAATCGGATCCTCGGCAAAGAATGGCGTTGTTATATCCATTTGCTGCAGAAAGTAGCTTTTGATATTTAGTTGGCGTTTCTTTGGTTTTTTTCTCATTTGTTTAACTTTTTCAAAAGACTTTTTTTTACATTTTTCTTTTTTTTTTTTGCATCATCAGCAAACCGTGCCTCGGTATTATTTTCGGGCGTCAATCAAGAGTAGAAGTTACTACTCATTGGTATTTGGATAGGATGAATAGGATGTGTAGGATATAGATGTGTAGGATATAGGGGGTGTAGGATATAGATTTAAGAACCTCGCGTGTCTGTCACATACATACAATACATTAAGAGATAGGTATTGGAAATAGAAAATAGAATATACTTGATCTAAATCTGAATCTAAATCTGAATCTGCCTTCATTTTAACATGTTCCATTTTGCGCTTCTTTTAATGTATGATTGAATGAATGAGTGAATCAATGGCATCGGCATATTTTATTTTATATTAGATTTTAAGGACTTTTGTGAGTACTTGAAAGATTTTTATCAGCGGGTAATTATATATAAGTAAGATGTAATATAGATAGATAGATTTTCTATGTACCGGTCCCCTTTTGGATATTTGAGATTTGGGATTCCTATGAATTTTTTAAGATATCTTCTTAAATATCTAAAGATAAAAATAACTTACAAATTATAATAAATGATATATAAAATCCTTAGTTGAAACAAAGTATATATTCCTCATGATATTACATCAGTCAACCACCAAAACCAACTCAAAACCCCCCTCCTTCCCCAAACAACCGATATCTCTTCAACTCCACCTCAGGAAACAAATCCAATTATCTAATTAGTACCTAGAATACACAAACTAATGTATAAAGCAAAAAAGTAACAAAATCAAAAATTATAAGATTAGGATAAATATCCCTAATTTATTAGAAAATGCGAGTAAAAAACACCAGTCCAGCTATATATGATATGATATGATATTCCCATAAATGATAAAAAGACTAGATTGGGGATCAGAAGACTGTATAGGAAGGAGATACCAGAGACGGAGGGAGTCGAAGAAACCTTATTTTCTTGATCTTGGTTCTTGATGCGGAGGAGATGGAGATGGTATATATATTATGACCAGATGATCTATTGCTAATTATAAATGAGAATCAAGTTAAAATTACCTGGTAATCTTCCCTTAATGAGTAGGTAGGTAGTTAGTTAGGTAGATATGAAGATTAAAAGATTAAAAAATAAAAGAGTGAGTTTCTTACACCTGTATCATGAGCAGAAGTGAGTTTTAAGTCCCTCGGAAAAGGAAGGAAGATACACGGTACCCGCACCGGTAAAAATTCTTCTTGTAAGATTATTTAATATAGTAATTACTCTCCCAGTTTTAAGACATTTCGAATTAGATATCACAAACTACAAACTGCGAGTCTGCTTCAGATAACACGATGAATGTCAAAATATTCCCTCCGCCAGCCAAAAAAATCTCTTGATGATAAACACTTTATACAGTTTTCCAAATACTAATTTTAATAGTTAATTTGAGTAAGTAAGTACGCCATGGCGTGTATAAGTTTTACCAGTCGATATTGTTTGTGGAGTGAAATTTGTTGGGTGACTGGGGATGAGGATCCAGATAACTAAGTAGTTTGAAGGAGTGGTCGGGGAATGAATGAAGTTGGATTTGAGGGTAAAGCAGGAAGAAGCAAGAAGCTTGGGGTTGAGTTTGGAGGGGAGAGAAGGGAAAGAGGAAAAAGGAAGGAAAATACTAATGATAGTATGAATATACCGGTGTCTATCGATTGACGTTGAGTCTAGGAGAATAAATGATTCGAGTTAATTTCTGAACGTTCCCCTGAATTCATCGGATATGGGATCTCGACATCTTTTCTTCCGTAGAGGCTGATTGATGCATGTCTTGTCAATTATACAGCATCTCATTGCCTCCGAACTAGCCTTGATACTTTGCTAGTATATTTGGTGTAGCTTGCGTCGTGATTACTTGTAGATTTGAGAAGAATAGAATAGATTCAAGTCCATCATTTGAAGGTTAGGATGTGTATTTGATTAAAGACTGATATAGAGTGATCTTACTATCAGGTTCGTTCATAAACAGAAAGATTATTGATTAAGCAGAAAACAAACCAAATATAAGTAAGATTACAGAATCCATACTCATTCTTTCTTGAAATTTATACCATCAGTCTCTACCACTTCTTCCTTTCTCATTCATGATCCCTCAACATCCAATAGCAAAATCAAATAAATCATTTCAAATCGAACCGAATCTCAACACCAAACATCCACTTGTTTTTCTGGTTGTACTTTGGGAGTCGGTATCGGTTTTTAGTGTTGTTTCCAGCCCAATTGTTTTATTGATCGGATTAGAATTCAAAGGGGAGAGGCGTCTACGTTCAAGAAACGAAAGGCTCAGATTGAGGACGCTATATTTTGATGATCCATTGGAGTTGAGAAATTTGACTTCTTTCTTGAGATATATATCAGGATATATAGAGGTAAAGATGAATGATCTCGATCAATAAACACTCCTATCTATTTTATGAAACAAAATACAAAAAATAGGATTATCTAGAGATATTTATCTGGAGCATTCTAACACGCCTGTATTATTTGTGGTCATCAGACAAAGAAATACAAAGCTAATGTTCTGATTGATATATACACACATAAGATGTCTGGGAAACGGGCATGATAGCTGTAGTGTGTGTAAATAGTAAGAAGATTACCCAGTATTATTCTTCGCAAAATGATGAGCAGGCGAGGACACTTGTTCTACCCACATAACTTTATAGTTTATGACCCAGAGATTCTGAAGCAGGCTCATGTTCTCTAGGAAGACAATCAAACATTCGCTTCAGGATATGGCAAACGGAGTATAAATATTTCTTTGCCTTTCCATCCCCATTTTTACCTACCTCTCCACATTCCATTTATATACCATAAGCTCGGGTCTCTCCAACTTGGTCCAATCGAGGACTTCAGTTGCGGAGATGCGAGACCTGGCATGGCTCCTCATGTCTTAAAGTTTGTGTACATGGCAAGATTGTTGGCTGCCACACTACCTCATCGGTACATGTATCCCTTTATCGATGCTTGTATGCCTCTGTATGATTTGTGTCTCGTTGTGTTGTTAGACAAGCAGCCCCCACAAACTCGTTACTATCTGCTCATGTATGCTGCATTGCTGGCAGATCAATGTACTGTAGAATCAACGTATTGTGGATTCGAGGAATCGAAAAGGGCAAGATCTTATGGGGATTTTGGCATTCGAATAAACTCTCTCGGATCGGTGCAGCAGCGGGAAAGAGGTCTTTTTATGGTATTGTCGACCGTATGTGCTGTGTATCTAGTATATGCAAATAAATATATTCTGAAACCAGCTAATGAATGGACATACATATAAGTCGTATTGATGTATATTTTCTCGTCTAATTGGCATTACAAATGAGGGGTAACGAGATTGACTGTTGAGTCGAACTTGAAGAAGGCTGAGAATCTTTGAAAACCTCCCTAGGTAATAAAAATGGCCGTTGAAAGTCGATGAGGGGGAATTTTCTATCCGATCTAATCCCTGTGAACGGACTCCATGGCCCAGTAGCACTGTCCGTATGGTGCGCTATTATGGTGCTATCGTGGCACTATTTTCCACTATTTTCCACTAATGTAACTCTGTGCACATGTTCCTGCAAAAAATGCATTATCAAGTGCCATAATGAGTTAGAATCATCTCCGAGACTGCATCAACAATACACTACTCCCTCCGTATAGAAAAAATAAGACAGTCACAGGCATCCTACCTTAAATGGTCGGTGAATAGCACGAAGCATCATGAAGGTATCCCCATTTATGAAAAAGATTTGAAAAAGTCAAAGTCAAGAAGTCGAGAAAGGATTAGTTCTGTCACCACGTCAGAATTTTGTTAACATACATATCCTGTCCACCAGTCCAATGAACTGAGGGGTTATCATCAAATTGCTTACCGGGGATTTTTATCAGTGTCTAAGAGTCTAAGACAAATGCTGCCATTGATGCATCCCCATCCTGCATGATCAACTCCAGTTTTATTGAATAGAAGTTATTCTAAACTTCCTAATCTTATCCTCGTATATTCATATTCATATTATTGTACAGACTTCGGATTCATCATATTGTACATAGCGTCAATTTGAATCTGTACATATTAAACAACGAAAACGATCACGACAACATCCATCGACTTGACTGTTTGTTGGATTCTTTCTGCGGCGAAATATGATCGAATTAAATAATTTGTTGGATGAGAGAGCCTTTGGTCACGATTTGGAATCCCTACAAGCAGCAAATGAATACCTCGAACGATTACTCTTCGCGACGGCCAGAAAACACAATCAAGTATGGGAAGAATTAGAATCAATGAAGGAGTCTTCCGGTCTTTACGACACACCATTACCATTCCTCTCGTTCCCTCGGGAAGTCCGCGATCAAATATATACATATGCTCTTCAAGCACCCCGCGAAGCATTCGTTGGAGTTCGACACATTAGGATGCTCTCCTGCGATACATTTCCCGATTCAACACATTATCCCTTCAAACCTCCTACGCCCGGTTTACTTTTGGCCAATAAACAAATATACGAAGAAGCAGTGCAAGTGTTATACTCATGCAACAATTTCTCCTTTCACAAACCAAGGGAACTTTTCGATTTTCAGAGTCAGGTCGGCGTGTACAATTGTGCTCTGGTACGACAAATGAAGATATCGGTTGTGTTCGAAGACGAATCTACGCAGATCCCATCAGAATATGTAGCACCTTGTGATTACGAGAATATACCATCACATTGGGCGAAAGCATTGATGGAGTCCAGGCTTATGAATAATATTGTTGGAATGCAGATTGATGCAAATTCAGGATCACATGAAATGCGTTTAATGACTATGCCTCCAGCATTGTATCGCGCGATTCTCGCCACTTTTTCTCGAAATCGAAATGCAAAAACGGCCCCGGAGTTAGTTTTGAAAGGATTCCAAACACAAGAAGTTGAAAAATTTCCCAGGACTTGGAAAAAGTCTACGGAGCAATGGTTGGAAGTGGAATGGGCAGCCGATGATCAAGAAATGGATGAATCCGAACCATTTTGGAATTCATCTGATGTCGATCCTGCTGATACACATAGTTCATGGGAAGATAGGGAAGTATCTGCTGATGAAGACGGTGAATCTTTAGATGAGAATTCGTCGTCTTTAGAAAATTCTAGTACAGGCAAAGGAAATGTACCGACATTATTTAATGAATTGGGGGAATTGATGGGATCGGATTATACGGATTCAGACGCCGAATCTGATGTGGGTTCCGAAGATTCATTTTATACCGCGGCACCGTGGAATGATGTCAAAGAAGTATTATTGCAATTTAGGAGTTTTCAAGAAGCTGGTCAACGACAACAAGGGGGTCTGTTAGGTATTTGATAGGAATTTGCTAGCGGAGAGGGGGAGGAAGCATTTAAGATGCCATTTCTAACAGATAGGAGTATTTTGGAATTGGATTCCCCTTTCTACTTTTCATCCTCATCCTTCTTGATTATGCGGCGCAATGGAAAGAAAGGTCTTCACATTTGTATAGGGGAAGAAGGAGTTTAGGTTTTGGGGTTCGGGAAGATACGCTTAAGTTCAGCACGGAAGTTTTCCACTTATAATCAGCATTAGGTTATCCAAGCTTGGTTCAACATTATTCTTCAAAAGGAGTTTGGTATCGATATCCATTTTATTCGGAAATTATCCTTATATACAAAATTTATTTACATACAGATCAGATAGCATTTTTGAATTATCAAAATTTATTTAGACGGGATTGTCCAATGTTTTTCTATTTTGACGCATTCTGATGTTCTTCTGAGCGGATGTCAATAGATATACAGAGTAATAAAATTATATATCACCCGCCCAGACTCACTCATCAATGATCAGATATAGAAATCTTCCTCGTTCTCTCCTCTCTTAAATTATTAATCTATGTAAGAACATCAAAAATTGTAAACTGTACCCTCAATATTCAATGATCCATCTTTTCAGCCATTTTAACTATTGCTATTCCCGTTTCCGAGTAAAAGAAATATTTAGAAGTAATATAAAGTATCTACAAGTAATTACAAGGAAGGATATATATCACCTTCCTTCCTATTACAATATACTCATTACATCTACCTATCTTAGATACCCTAAGTCTTACATACAAATGTATACACGTATATACGTTGATTTACTGATTGGGATTACATTTGCATCTTAAATTTGTGTAGTTCTAGATGCTATTCTTATATATATATATATAGGTAAAGCAAATGCAATTCCTGTATACACTTATTGTTCTACGCCAGATACTTGTGAGGTAAGATTACGAGTTAACACCTTCTTTCGTTTCTTGCTGCTTTCGTTTCTGTTCTTGGTCGTGAATATGAGAAGGAAGTTCCTTTCTTTTTGCTTGTTTTGGCTTGTTTCCTTGCCTAGAGATGAGATATTCAAATCTTGGATTAAATAACTTCCCTAAGTTGATCTGATGTGATATATAAAATTGGCTGTTTTTGGCAAAAGAGGTTTAGTACATATTACCCCTAAGTTTAATGGATTGTGGGGAAGCGAGGAATGGGGATTTGTAAGGCCATAAAAGTAGGTGACTTATATGTATCGAGACTCGGGAGGATATCCTTGCTCTTTTAGTTTGCGCTGAGTACGACTGGTAAATTAAGGAAATTTTAATGATCAGATCGGGTATTTTGGAGGATCGGTTGGAGGAAACTACGTGTATGCCTACTATCAGATTGGAAGGATTCCGTAGGTCGTGAGATTGGGTTGGCTTCTCTGGGTGGAATTTAAATCTTTTGATTTTTAAACATGGTAGAAAGGAGATTATGCGGAGGCGCTCTTGTTGAAAGTGGACTTTGAGGCTGCTGATCGAGATCCTATATAACAATGGTGGGTTGGTCTCTATGCAGCTGTCAATAGTGAGCTTTTTTGTCATGTCATACTACCTAACCCATAAAAACTGACTGAGAAGGAGGTAGCACTGACGCTAACTAACCGGTGGCAACAACATCGGGCTCCATGACTTTCCGAAGAGCGTAAAATCACAGGTTCTTGATGGACACCTCTTGGTGAAAGATTGCGAAACTAGACGTGCTTTAGTTATTCTAAAGTTCGCTTGGTTGTCGCTTCGGTCGATGAAGGGGCTTGCAGAAGCCGAAAATCAGTGGAAGATTCAGTTTAGACTCTCCTTCTCAGTAGATTCTGGAAGTTTGAAGATTTCCATTTTAGATACTCGACTGCGAAGAATCCTAGATGGGTTTTCATCGATATAAAAATGTGTGAACTTGTGTCAAGTTGAAAACGAAACTCGCCACCGTAATCAATAGCTTTGCTGGACACTCGATAGCCCGTGAAGGCCTTAGGCGCGCATGGCACGTTGCAACTCTTGATTGATAAAGCTGCGTTCTTCACAATCCTCTCCTTGCGATAATGAGGTCTTCTCATTGATGACCTTTGCTACTCTGTCGCGCATCCTGGAGCAGCTGCATCGGGCGTGATATGGTAAAACCGGTGCACGTAAAGATAGTCGCAACAGATCCCAGATGCCTTCAATATGCTGCTATCGTTTGGTGTCGCCATGGCTGAGCGCCCCTTCAGCCATGTTCCTGACGCGGACTTCGCGAGTGGGTGGCCACTGGCCATCAAACAGAACGTAGAAAGCATATTGATATTCAATGGTTCGTGGATTTATCACAAATATTCTTAAATAAAACGCTTTGGGACTCGCCAGATCCGAAGCTTCAAAACATCGTAAAGACTCTCTAGTTGGGATTTGTCGTGGCCAACACGTGATCATTATCAACGACAGATCTATGTTCCTGTCAAAAATTGTTTTTCGTCCGTGACCGTCTCCAAGACATCTTTTTGACGCCCCAAAAAATCTGCAACATTGCCCCGAACAAACATCCTTACTCCGCTATCCGATAACTCCCGATCTGGCATCTCTTCCGAATGTACCTATCACGGGATTAAAATTATCACGTGTAGATAAGGATGGCATCAGATCATGGATTGACCAATAATGACCTTGAATTCAATTCTCCTGATCGGTTCACTCAGGCGGGAACAGAGAGGAAGAGAACGAGAAAGGCTTGCCGGATTTGTCATTCACACAAGGCAAGATGTAGTGGAACAATTCCACATTGTAAGAGGTGCGAACAGAGAGGATACGTATGCGAGTATGAATCTACAAGTAGAGGGATGAGGCGGAGCGTGCCGAGGCAACAACCGGCAGGGACAAGTCAAAATGGTGATAGCCCTGGACCTGGGGCAGACGCTATATCTGCTGGTGGGAGTCCGATGGATATTGGACACGGGACGGATGGTTCATTGTGAGATTGTCCGGGAAGGGAGAAATTATGTTGAAAATTACTAAGTCTTCTACTTTAGGGACCTCGGAATCTCCAAAGCTACCATCAAGCTGTACATAGATGCATATTTCGAATTTGTCTCTTCAACGCCTGGGAAAGGCTTTATCCATCGAGCCACATTTCTAAGAAATTGGAACAATGGTGCTGTGAATCCAGCTTTACTGGAAGCCATGTGTGCTTCATCCATAGCCTTCGTCTCAAAAGACAACGAAAGTCGTGCTACGGCCCAGAGATGGATGGATGAAGCAGAGAGATACGTTTGGCAAAGTTTAAGTAGACCCACTACTGTGTTAGTGGAAGTCCTTCTCGTCATTATCTTTTATCGATTTGAGCATCGTGAATACTTCAAATCCCAAGCACTTACAGCTGTGGCTGCCAAAATGGCATTTGTGTTAGGTCTGAATTATGAGAATAATGCTTTGTCGACCTTGGTGAGGGAATGTAGGAGAAGATTGATGTGGTCGATTTTTCATGTTGATAGACTTTCTGCTGGTGGCTTTCCAGAATTACTGGTTTGTCCTTCGCATTCGATGCATATTCAATTACCTTGTAGTGAAAAGGATTTTGATCTTGGTATACCAGGAGAGACTGCTCCTTTGATATCAACGCGGACGAACGAGGCTGAATCTATGCATTTGGGTTTGAGGACATTTTATTTTCGTATATCTGATATACGGCATCGTATTTTGGAGTAAGTTTTGATTCATCGACATGCTTGTTTGATATTTGAAGCTGATGACTCGCTTTAGGTATACGCGGAATGTCATAAGGGAAAAGTCCAATCCATACGATTCGCAAGATACGTTACAAAAACTGGAAGAAGAGTTACAACAACTACGTTCCTCACTGCCAGCAAATCTTCAATACAACGAAGATAATCTTTTCCTTCGAGCATATTCACCACAGCTAACAAGATTCGTTATGTTCCATGTTTTATGGCAACAATGTCATGCAGACCTTTACCGATTCATGTTTCCAGGAACCAAGGACTCGATATCCGATACGGTTCTAGAAGATACCCCTCAGGAATATGTGCAATACTGCCAAAGAAAAGCATTTGAACATGCAGTTATGATATTGGATATTTGTAATACAGTACAAAGTATCGGACATACATTGATTAGTGATATTGGTATCGCGACGTGTGTCTACCAGTGCAGTAATATAATTGTACGGGCAGCAGATATTGTAGGATTTTCAAGTGAAGATGAGAGGGTTAGAATAATGGGGAGGTTGGAGAAGGTTACAGATATTTTGGAGGGGTTGAGGGAGGTTAATACCCACGTAGATGATATTGTGAGTTTGGATTTACCTCGGATCACTTTGCAGGATCACAAGCATATGCTAATCAAAAATCGTCTCAGTACCGCAATGTCAAGGAAATGCTCCACCTCTTCAACACCAACCAGACCCGCCGTCTCTTAGCAAACCCCGTCCTCGGAGCCGCAACCCCGTCTCTCTTAACCTCCGGCGTAACACCTGGGCCCGTGTCCCTCGACCACATCAACTACACGAACGGTCACAACACAATGCAGAATCATAATCCCCTCCACTTAAGTAGCACAGGGGTTCTCGCGCCAACAACCGAAAGCGCTGCGACGTTGAGTCTATTGGAAATAGGAAATGGAAATGATCAGTATGCAGATTGGAATTCAGGAAATGTTGATGATGGTGGTCAATGGATTAACGGAATTGATTTTGGACAGGCGGGAATGGGGAGTGGGATTGGGATAGGAACGGATATGGTGGGAAATGTTGGCGCCATGTTTGATCCGTTCTGGGGAATTCATAACACAAATGAGGGTGGCAGTGGAACGGATCATGGAGGTGGAAATATGTAGTTTGGATGGTGTGTATTGTGGTTATAATGGCGGCGGGGGTCTGCAGAGCCTGCGCATAGGCTGGTATCGGAATATTGTTTAGCACGCGCATCTAGTACCTTATGTTTCAGTTTCACAAGTTTTTGAGGTTGAAGCTATGGATTGCGAGTTACCTACGTAGATTTAGTCGTTGCAGACTCTCAATGAATAATATACCCTAATAGTTGTGTAAAAATGTACTGTTATGGAAATGCACGCTGTATTTTATTTGCGAATGGTTATAGACGATAAATAGTTTTGTTTAATATGTTTAATTCAAAGGTTAATTACTTTTGATACCGTAAGAAACTAGTAGTCCTGATAAAAAGCTATGAGCGCTCCATCACAAACCACATCAAAATCCCACCAGATATTTCATGAACAATACCTTCGGCGAGACTGCAATGGTAGAAAAATTGCCGTATCAAGCCCTTGAACTTAGCACCAATCTATTCTCTAGCCCAAGCAGCCGCTCGATCGTGAGACCACAGTAAAGTTTCTTTAGCAATATGCATATTCACCTGCTTACGTCCCCCTGTCGCAGCAACTAACGTCAAAACCCGAACGGTCTTGAGTTCTCTAATCTCATTCTCAAGAAACTCTTTAAAAATCCGGTCAAATTCTTTTTGAGACTTATCGCTTCTGATACCATCATGACCTTCATACCTATCAAACTGCAGTTCCAGGATCAGCTCTTGCAACTCGCTGCAGAATTCGTTGATGAAAGGTATATAACACTTCATACTCTAAATCATATCATGATTGCATTCGTGACGACACAAATCTCTCGTGCATTGATGCATTTTAATGGTTCCTTTAAATCGTAGTTTCTTCACCGAAGCGCTGTTTCGAGGTCGGATATGATAGAGGAAACGAATAAAGGGGTCATAATAACACCAGCCCGGAATTGCAGTGATAATTGCTTTGTCCCGGAGCTGCTGAATCGCTTTGGGAGTTGATTCTTTAGTTATACCAATTTTGCTTGGATCGGGTCTGTATGAATTTCCTCCAATCCATGAAGGAGGATTATTAAAAGTGGTATCAGATGCCATATAAAACGTAAGGATGTTCATACCGTACAGCAATCTAGAGCCAATCTCATAGAAAGTTTGACAAGTGTGAAGAAGCGTTGCGTCGACTTGGGGACGGAGAATCCTACGAAGCTCAATGTATGGTCCCTGCTTATCATGGAGTGTTCTTCGCATAAACGATACGAGTGAATTATCGAAGTATGCGAGATACCATGGCATTTCACATCGGGAACTATCTCCGTCATAGACTAGTCCCTGTCCAGGAATAGTGGCACAGCTAGTGTGATGTGTCTCCGAGTAATTATTCTTCCAATTTGAAGTCACAAGTTTTGGGCAAATCAAGCAGCTGGCAAAAGGGAGTAGGGCGTGTCTGAAAATATTGACATGAATCTCTATGAAACGTTAGCTAGTGAGAAAATCATACATCTATCTAGGAGCGGCAAAAAAACCGACTTACCTCGCGGGAACTTTGAGAAGTATGTTTTATGATCTCGTGGTACATTCCATTGATCTTCGCTCTGGTTTTTGTGTACTCTGCGAGCAGATTTCATGGCTGCAGTAGTTCTGTCAATCTCTTGTAGACAAAGTGAACTTTGGGGTTTATTCAAGAACAATTGACGCTGGGCGTCCATGATCACCTCAAATTTGGACATGCAACCATCTTTGGGTCGGAAATTGTGATAATCTGAAATTCATTAGCACGTCAGACCTACTTCCAAGCTTTTAGAGCGGATTTTCTAAAAGGTGTAATATACCATGGGTGATAAAATAACGAGCGCTATGTGTGAACTTTACTCTATATATCCAATTCTCAACGACATACTTCCGGAGTGCAGTTTCGGGATCGTCCTGAGGATATGTTTCCTGGGCTAATTTCGCGTAACCATCTATAGGAGGATTCCAGCTCGGTTTTGACTTAACGTTACCCATGATGTGTGGAGAGGATAATACTTGTGCAATGTTAGATTATTTTGGTGGATATTTCTGGAACGTTTTGGGGGTTTATCTGTGCCGTAGGAGTCATTATGATGTTGTGGAAATGGAGAAGGAGAATCTGTAGATGACGGCGCGAGCTTATACAAATAGTAAGCTACAGCAGCCAAGATCAAACCGTAAATAATTAGCTTCAATGTCTGCCATATTATCGAAATATACCCAGCCGTACCAGAAAGATATGACAAACATGATGGTTGTTATATCGAGAAGCTGCTACAATGGGCTCATATACGGAGTACGGTCCTACGGTTACCAAAACTCTCTCCACGGCTCGGTGGCCAGTAGTGACAGTATTATAACTCTGCCATAGCTTGAGCAATCATTCAATTCTTAATAGCCCAAGAGCGAACGCAGTAGGGAAGAGTAAGATTATTCCCTCCACAAGAAGAAAGTGAACAGATCATAAGCACATCAAGGCAATAGACCGCATTGAATATTGGCGCTTTGAAGAACAATGGAGATGGTGGCAGTTGATGTAAAGTTTGTCTAGTCAGATACTATCTAGTCTGACGAGATGAGTTCGTTGAAATGATATCTCTTGACGATATATCTCATATGCTTATACCAGGCTCCAAGCACGAAATATGCTCAACCATAAGTGAGATCAATCTAAAACATCGGAGAATGGCGTCGTTGTGCAAGTTCCCAAAGCTCACATGTAATCAAGTAAAGCAGATATTAGTCTGAGATGATTCAAAAAGGGTATATTGACATTACTCATTAACATCTAATTTTAACTATTGCCACAGTTCTAAATACCGGACCATCATTCATTTCATCCAAACTGTCATTTCCATTCCTTCCTTTTTTTTTTTTTGGCCCACCCAAATAAAACCACATGATTATCCATTAGCCTCATTATACATACATTTGTCCACATTACCGCTTGCGGGATTTCCAGCCCAAGTTGGAAATGGTCTGCTAACTCCACTTCCTCCTGCAACAGCGAAAGTGAGTAAAAATACCATGACTTGGGTTCCACCGTCAAGACCGGCAGAGACCAAGTAATTCCACTTGACGAAAAACTTTGGTCTCCATTTGCGGAGGTAGAATTGGCCGAATGCTCCGATGTAATAGTACATGAAGACACTGGCGTTGATACCGACGCAAAGGTATCCGAAATACCAAAGGATGATTGAGAGGTTGAGGTAAGACCAGATACGTTGATGAGGGAAATATCGGTGCATAATCCAGAAGGGTACGGGGACGAGGAATCCGAGGAGATATGCGATGGTTACCCATTGGTAGCGAGCACCGATAGAGAACATCTTTGGAGCAATAGCCCAGGCTATTGCGAGTGAGTTGAATGACTGGACGTTGGCTCCTGACCAAATTGGTGTTCCTTCAATGGTGAGAAGTTTTGGAGTTTGATTCTTGACGATGCTAAAATTTGTTAGCGTGTAAAAGAATCAGGGATGAAAAGAGAGAACTTACGTGATCATCATAACATAATTGAGACAAGCACCAAAGATACACCCGATAATCTGGGTTGTGTAAGTGACTTTTGGAGAAAGCTTGTTTTGTTGAGCAAGTTTCAAATCTCGGAGAAGATACTGCCCTTGTTGAAGAGCATTGTAGGTGAAGGTTGTGAAATACATATTTGCTAGTTTGGTTATTAGCAGTGTGATAAAATACTTGATGATGTAACTTACCAAGGGGAGCTCCAGGGAATAAATATCCAGCAAGGGTTTGAGCAACAGGTTCGATATTGAATTGAAAACCAGTAATGGCATACTGAGCGCCAAAGAACAACATGAAAAGCACCAAAAAAAGCATAGCCACAATCAAACCCCACCATGGAAGAGTTGACTTCATAGCATAAAGACAAGCCATTGAAGTGATGAAGCTTGCCAAGAATGCTAAGAAGTACCACAGATCGGGGACTTCATCGTAATCCAACATAACTTTGTAATGTGGATCAATGTTGGGGTCGTTTCTCATAGCTTGCTTTTCTTCTTCGCTACGTGTGCCACTATTGCCTTTCCAGAATATATAATGAGATGGGGTAAGCATCTTCTTGAGCGTAGCTTTGTTGGCCCAAGCCCATCCAGCTTTAATGTCATCATAATTCCAAAGGAACATGTGGACAAAATTAGCAGTAAACCCCATATTGGATGTGATGAGGTAGACAATGTAAGTGGAAGCCATGTAAGGAATACCTCCAGCTTCAAGAGCCTCCTCATTCACGGTGAAATCGTCGTTGAGGATTGTCGTCTCATTGAAGGTATCATAGTATGTGGAGTTAGAATCGCCATTGAACAACTGTTGAGACAAGAATGGGAAATCTTGCGCTCTCCAAATGTTACCATAGTACACGGCCATGAAGAGAATAATGCAGCCGAGAGTACCGACGAAGCTGTTTACCAGGGTTTGAAGGGGCAGCCATAGCGGGGATCCAAAACTAGCGACATAATTCCAGTCGAAGGAAAGAGACAGGAAACCAACACCCTCGTTTCCGTTTGCACCTCCGAAAAGATTGGTGAAGACAAGGTTGTGTTGGTCTGCAAGACAGAAAATTGAAACACCAATAAGAAGAGGGAAAATGTACTGTGTAGTGTCAGTAATGCTTTGAAGAAGCTCATACAATTAACGGGATTTTCATACCTCGGGAAGCAACTCCCAAACCAATAGAGCGAAGAAAATAAGCCAGAAAATCTTCATTCTCTTCTGGTTGGTTGCTTTCTCCTTATGTAAAGTTTCCAAAACAGTAGTAACAGGAAGGTTTGCTGGATAAAGCATCTTCGTAGGCCACAGAAGACTACTCCTCATCATACCTGCAATGCCATATCCAATCAATTGTGAGGCTAAAGTCAAGAATACACCAGCAGCTTGACTGGGGTATCCTCCGTACCAAAGCTTTTGTGCTGCAAGTGCTTCTGTTGATAGAGCCGAAACTGCAGCGGCCGATGCCATTATGACAGCGGCAGCATGTTCCTTTTGATTGAATGGACCAGGATTAAGGAATCGACCGACTGCACCCCGTCTTGGAATGGCAAAAGCCATGAATATTCCAATGGCATATGCGATGACAGTTAAGAACACTAAAAAAAAATTAGACGTATGCACAAAAAAAAAGCAATGGATTAGATATCATGAACTTACTGACTGATACATAAATGACTTGAGGCTTGAAGTAGAAAATTTCTTGGAGTACAGCTCCGAAAGCCGACAGACCCATACCTGAAGACTCATTAGCATAAACATAATAAAATGCTAAGGACTGTACACACCAATGAAAAACATGCGGAACGTCCAAGGGTTCAAAGTTGGGTCATCTTCGACATTAATGACAGCAGTAACAATATCTTCCGCAGTCTCGAGCGCATTCACTATCCCCCCGCGTGCTTCTTCATCCGTTTGAGAGAAAATCTCGCTTTCGTAAGGCGCCTTTCCGAACTTGTCATTCTGGACATCTTTGGAATCAAGGGATTCGGAAGCCTTGTTGATAGATGGGGCTCCATGTGTCTTTTCCTCGTAAACAACGTCGGTCTCTCGTGGCGAGTCCATATTGAAAGCCAGTGCTCGCAGCAGATCAAAAGGGCTGAAGAGAGAGAAAACGGCGGACCAGCGACTTATGTAGAGATTATTCCCGTGCTACTCTCCGTGGGACTACTTCGGATGTTGTAAATCTATCTTGTAAACAGATAAGAAATGAAGCGTGCCATTGTGCTGTGGAGCAAGCCGAATATGGTACAACGACTCGCGACTCGTTGTACTTCTCCAGGGTCCTCGTATAGGTTTGAACACACAACCCTTGAAATTCAGTTATACCGTCTTTCAAGGAAGCTAGAAACCGGTGATATGACATTTACATATTCACCTGCCTTTTCTGGGAATTCCGATAAGCTAGAGCCCCGCATTCAATCTGGACAAGCAAAGCTTAACTCTCTTCAAAGATGCAGGCCGCAAAGCTTGATGGAGCTTATCAGGTAAGCCCGGCCGTGCGCCAAACAGAATCCTTCACACGATTCCCGCCACTGTGGTTTAGGCCCAACCTTCCATAATTGGAATATCTAGGCGTAGAGCAAAAGCCCCGTGTAAGAAGTTACTAGACAGTATCCAATCAACTCCGCCATAGAAAGTTGAGGATAAATGACAGCAGCTGGAGCATTTTCCGCCACTAAAAATGACATTGCTGGAATCCTTGTGAATCCCACTTTCGATAGACTTAGCGATAACGGGGTTGAAATGCTTGTATTGTTCATGACAGCCAGTAATAGAGGGGATCGTCCGTCCTAGACTTGACGAGAAGCGTACAATACAAGAACTTGTTATGTGCCGTTCCTGAGTTTGCTGCATACTGTCAATATCCTGGGTGCATGAAACAACCGTTGGTAAAAGCACATGTTCAGGTCAAGGTCAATGAGAATTGAGCCGAACGAGTAAAGGAAATATGATGATGTTAACGGCCTTACCTGACTCTATCTTGCAAGCCACTCATACTCTTGTGTACAGGCTGTTAATGATCGATGCTTTGTTGGCCGAAGAATATCCTGCGGGGGCACATTTTTTCAACGTGGACCGTCAGAGTAGTATTTAATTAGCAATTGAATCTAGAGGCCGCATTGCCAATAAACTCTATCAGGAGGGTTTGAGAAAAGCTTTCGGATGTGCCATACTATATGTACGAATGATATAATGCAAATATGCAATATCGAGAGCATCTCTTCGTGTCTGAATACTGCAGAATTTTGATACACCGTGGTGTTTATTTTCACGTCTATCGACCATGGTCTGGATAGAAACGGGCCGCGACGGTTTAGTCTCGGAAGATAAGCATTAATGATCGGTGTGGTCGTCCAAGGCGATAGGTCGGTCTGTCAGCAACCCCCAACGCATCGCATTCTTATCTGTTTATCAAACACACTATGTCTGCATATAGTGGCAAATCCACGATACTGGAATCCAGCTTCCAGGATTTAGACAAGGGATGACCGGCTGGATATCCGTCGAGAATCGAGATAGATATCTAATCCTATCTATCGCAAGATGTTTTGACTTTGAGGCTTGGGCTCCCAAAGGCTCGTTCATGCAGGTGATTATCCATCTATGGACTACCTATAAGAACAATCAATCGAATACACGAAGAACTTTCCTTATCTTCGCATGAAGCTTTACGGATATCCATCAAGGAGGTGATATCGGAAAGGCATGTGTTCAGGGTAATTAGGTCGGATTGCATGCAGGCTGGCTGGTGCTGAATCAGGGTCATCATCCGCAAAACCTTCCTGGCGCACACGATGCTCGGAAACAAAATTTGGTGTCGAGGAAGAAAGAGGTCAGATGGTTTTATGTTCTCATTGAAAATGGGCAGCCTATTAAAGACGCGTCGGACGCTAAATTCTTACCGGTCTTGATTGGGCAATCTACCAAAAATTAAGTCGGAGTCCACGGAGGTTTCCAACTGTTGCAAGGAACGACGGTCAAAATCTGCGAGTCGACTTGATCTGCATGATCTCATGGGAGTTGCATCAGAATTCGGATTTTGGAATTGCACTGCGTAGTGGCTATAATGTGTTGTTTCTTCTTGCAAAACAAGGGTGCAGATTCAGTAGATCGATCGATTCCACAAAGGTAGGTATGGGATACTTGCTAGGTATGCTTCCAAATAGGCTACAATAATACAATGCCTTTGATGATCTCTAACAATGGAATAGGATGATGCCTGATAGATCTGTGATTCCGCAAGCAGATATATTCTCCAATGCACTGCTACCCAAGGCACACAATATCCATGCATTCACGGTGCTTAAATTTCTTTGAGACGTCACACCCGAAATATCGCATAGCGAAATCTCATCGACCCAAGATTATCACTACCCTCATTTCTGTATTCCTTAAACCGTTCAAAGTGAGTGTCAAATTTCTCCTTCCAGCCAAACTTCGCCTCAATGTCTTAGCGTGCTTCATTCTGTTTCCCTTCGTCGTATTCAAACATGAAGTCAAGAAGAACATTGTTTGGATTGTCGTCATTGGCCACAACAGAAGCTTCCACGCGGTGTGGTGTCAACGGCTTTTTATCTCGTCGGGCAACTAACACAAAATCAAGGATCTTATGCCAACTATTTCCGGGCCCGCCGATGCTGAAATGCAATCTCTTGACATCAGCGATCAGAGGGCGGCGTTGTTATTCGAATCTGCCGTAAACTTCTCGCGACGCTTCTTTCGATCTGTTTGTTTGGAAGACCCTCGTAAATACATTGCCGTAAATCACGTATGCAGGTGAACGATCATAGAATGAAAATTTTGTCACGCCCTCGACATGCTGTGCGGAAATTTCCTTCTTCTCCTGTCTTGTAACAAAACCGTTCCAATAATGAGGTTTCATTTCTTTATATCAACGAGGCTCCATGTAATGTCATGCTTATATCAACTCACAGGTTTGGGTAGAGTGCTTTTCTAATTGATATAGGATTTTTGCACGATTCATATTGATATTCTTTCTCTCATTGGCCCAGCATTGTCGACATACCCAGTTTTGCGGATGAGGATTCGAAGTCTCATGTGATCAGAAATATGCGTACGCATTGCGGATCCTCTGGTGGAAGTGATATTGCTGTTGAGATTGTAACTTCGGTGTATTGGATACACCAAGGACTTTATGGTCACCAGTACAGTGGGTGTCTATATTTTTGACACCACGATTAGAACTCTCTTTACCTGGAGGAAGAGAAACAGGAGCAAATGCTGAGATAGTTGGACACTCGGTATGGTGCCGTTTTCCAGAATGGATTAGACGGGCGACAAGCTTAAGGTCTTCTACTCTAGGACGAACCGGTTGTTTAAGAACGGCAAAGAGCAACTTTGTCGAAAGTTTGAGGTTGAGGCGGGACTTGAGGCCTTTGAAAGTTATCGTAAGATTACATATGCAAGCGAGGGTAGTAAGGGGAGGAGCGTTGATGTTGGTCATGTGCGGGAGCCACCCCATCTCCTGAATTCACCAAAGTGAAAAAGTTTCCTATACCATTCCGCAAGAGGATGCATGGCAATTCTCTTTAATCGACACATCTACATGAGAGATTGACGATATGATATATTATGTGGATTCATGCCTACTATTACTAGGCTAATAGTGAGAAGGAATGAAGAAAAGCTCCCCCCATCTCTGAATTCAGAACAGCTCCTACTCAAGAATCACCCTGATAACTCACGAGTGCGAACATGAATACACAGTGTAAAAAGCGTAGCAATAATGGTTTGAGAGAAATTCAAATGCAGCACAGCAAGTACAATTTACCAAACTCAAACATACCATTCTAAAGCTCCACCATACTCCATTGACAGAGCATCTAGGAACCATCTAAAATTCAAAGAAATACCCAAAATGCCATAAAAACCAACCACGACCTCCAGGCACCATTGAAGAGGCTACCAAAAGTATCAAAATTAAAGTATCAGAAAACCCACCTTCCCCATAACCATTCCCACCATTCGCAGCATTTTTTCCCAAATTTTAACACCCTCACGCCTACCGCAATAAAACTTTCCAACCCAAAACCAATATTAAATCCTTTTCTCCCCGTCTGTCTGTCTCTATCCATCTCTATTTGAATGAAAGCTACATCTAAGCCCAAATTTCTAGCAGATAAAAATTTCCAAAAACATATAATATGTGTCAAAAGCACTGTAAATCCCATTCTTACATCCTTACACTGTCCATGGTGACATAATGGAACCAGCAATACTTCGCCGAGACAACACTCGATCACGGTTTGTTTCCATGCTATGAGATTTTGGACGACTGAAGAAAGAATTTCTCGCATTGAGTGTCAAGGGTTCTTTGTCCTTCCGAATCGGCTTAGGTTGAAAAAATGATGTGGTGGCTGAGACAGATGGGATTTGTCTGGCTAAATCAATCGATAACGATGCACTGTGGTTATTTCCAGCTCTATTTGGATTGTAACAATTAATGATATCAAGAGAATTCCTGATAGAAATGTTGTCGTCGTGTGGTATTTCATTGCTAGGCTTCGCGACTGGGAAGGTTTGGGTAATTGGCGAAGCTGAGGTAATTTCTATGCTTTCCATACTGGCAGGCTTTTTCATCGTCGTTTTCGTACCGACTACCGAAAGGGATGGAGCTGTGTTTGAACGTATAATAGGTCCTGTGGCAATTGCATCAGACTCCCTAATCCAGTCAGGTAGGAAATCTGGCAGAACGAAGGATTCAGGCTTGTCAATCGGAGAACCATCGTCCTCAAGACTACCAAGGTCAACGCCAGGCTCCGAGTGCTGAGACTCATGTCTCGGAAGGAGAGACTCAGATTCTAGAATCCTATCTGGGCCGAAAAAGGATCCATCAAGTTTCCCGTAGGTTCTTTCTTCCTCAGCATCGAAGGGAGCATTTGTAGTCGAATTTCCCTTTCCATCTTGAGCTTTTCCGGTGAGAAAATTCAAAAAACGACTCATCCTCTTACCCACAATACCCTTAGAATGATCACCACAAGCGTGCCCAATCTCAAGTTTTGGCCTTCCATCATAGTTATAGAGGAAGTCAATAAGAATTCTGAAATCGCGTGGCTGAAAATGTTGTACGTTTCCAGAATCACCATCACCACGCTCGCTAACAACAGCAACGGGACCCTTCAAAGGATATTTCAAATCGCTAGCCATGATATGGCTGATGCATGCATTTGGCGGAGAGTTATCGGTTAAAAAGTCCCCCCGAACGGCTAGAATAATGCGATGATCAAAGTCCTTGCTTGCCATGTTACAATCAACAAGAGTCTTGCGAGTGTCTATCCGATCCTGGTCGTAATATTGAAGGAACGTTGCCACAGACTTGCCCCTAGAACCATTGGCGATCCAAGCTAACTCAAAATCTTCCGAGTCCACCGGCAGAAGGAGACCGAGTCTGTATTTCTTATCGAAGGTGTCTTCGGGGCATGGATTTGCAGTAATGAAATCTATGTATTTCTGGCAAATAATCTCATGAACTGTGCGATCCCCGTCCTGGCACTTTGTTGAACAGTACCAGGTAGCATCGCAGGTTGTACATGGGATCAAAGCATTTTCTGTACAGTATCCGCATTTTGGGTGCTCGATTCTGGGACCAAAGGAGGAGATTGAGACCCGCGGGCCAAAAATTGGGTTGCGTCGTGAGGTCATTGAAGTAGGTAGCTTAGTAGCTCGTGAAGACTTTTTATCTAATCGTAGAATTTTATCTCGTCATAAAATAAAAGGCACCCAGGTACGCAATGGATCAGAAATAAGAACGAAATGGATAGCTTTGTGTGCAGTGTAGTCGGAATTGATCACTTCTCATCAAACATAGTGAATAGAAATCCGTGTAAACTCATCAGGTAAAAGAATGAAATTAAAGTTTGTCTGTGAATGGAGTCAGATTGCTAATTTAAGAAAGAGATGATGCGATCATCAAAAAGCTTGAGAAAGTAGGAGAAAGATATTGAAGGTAAAGAAGTTCCAAACGGGCTGTGCAAAAACTTATTACTATAAGTTTTGTATCTGAAAATGGGGCAACTTTTGAATAGTTAATAATTATAATTAATACGGTTCATCCATTTATTATACTGCTAGCTGTGAGGAAGGCTGATGGGTTCCGCCACAAAGGCGCAGTCTCATTCCAAAATTTAAAATGATGAATAGCTTGTTGTAACAAGAAAGACAAATTAAAGCAAAGAGATTTTGATAGAAAAATTTGGCCAGGATGGGAATAGTTTTAAAGGGAAATCCAAGATAAATAAGAAATGAAAGATTTGATTAAGTGATATCTATCCATACTACTCGCTACAGAGGGAGATACTCCTGTACAAAGATATCATCCTTTGTTAAGAGCTTAAAGTATAGTCAAAATACACTAACGGGAACGTTGGTGAATTTTGCTAGCACTACTCTGACAATAGAAGTGAATGTCTTGAATTCGGCAAACCAAAAAGCGGAATTCTAGATCCAAACTGCGCTGACACCTCCATACAAACTTCAAAAGAAGCAAACAAACTCAAAAAACACTTCACGGACTTTAACTGCAAATCCCAGTCTATTGTATAACAACATAATCATCATTGTATTTCTTGAAAAGGCAACCCATACAGCATTTCTAAAAGGAACCGGAATCTTTTTACCCAATTTACTTCTTCTGATGACCATGAAATTCTTTCTCCCACAGAGCAAGCTAGGTCATCCGAGTTGCTATAAGGAGAGGTCGTGCCCTTAATCTAGCTCGATCGAATTTCACCATCGAGTCTTTTTATCGAAATCTAATGCTCCTTATTGAGAAATCATAGAGAAGTTGCTCCCTCGCCGGGCGAGTCAATAAATTAGGCATTGGGTAAGATAGGCAGTCGATTAAATTAACAATATCAATTAATTGATCGAAGGTAATGTCTCGTTTGTCTTGCCTTGCAACCAGAAAGTGCCCGATTTTTCTTCGCCATCCTGGAAGTGTTTTTCCCCACGTCTTGCTATCAGGGTCAATGTCAATATGAAGTGCATTACAAATTCGAGTTCTCAAACTATCGTCGTCGAACTGGTCGTCTGAATCAACTCCTCGAGTGGTCTCTTCCACGATTAGTGGAATCCCTAATTGCTTCGTGACACTAGTAGGTTCCTTATCGTAAATTGGATGATAGTCAGGAATGCTGGCGGCGTCGTAGCTTTTCTTTCGCGAGGGAGCAAACAGAACGCCTTGCGTTAACTTAGTATTCATTTTTACTGCCTCATTGCCTCTACTATTGTTCGGGAGCGATGATAACTGTTTCAAGAGTTTTATAACGACACGGAAATCTGCCAAAGCGATATCCAAGATAATTGAGGGAGAACCAGGACGATCTTTTCGAAATACGATTACAGGTCCATGCAAATCAGGGCCATCTGGAACAGAAATGATGCTTTGGTTGAGTTTTGAGCCACCATCTAGATGGCCTGCACAAGAAATTATAAATGATGAATTTATGGTGTCTCCCTGTTTGAAAAAATTAGCAAGCATATCAATACACGCTGTGGTGAAATTTTAAACCTCGAAATTAATTTGCTTGCGAAATAGAAGTTCTGTTTCTTCATCACTGCCTTGTGCCTGCGGAATTTCCGGACACGGAAACCACCCCAATTTCGCGTAGGTAGAGTCAACCGGAAAATAGAGGATGAGTTTATGGCGCTCAGAAGGGCGTGGGCGTAATGAAGCAAATGCTTTACATAAGACTTTGTGAAGAGGCCAGTCCAATTTCTGACATTTTGCAGAGCAATAGGTAATGGATTTGCATGAACCACAAAGCAATTTTGTAGATGCGAGACCGTAACAAAAAGAGCAAGTAGGATGGCTGGTGACGCGGATGATCATTTTAATGAAAATAGCACAGTGGAAAAGTATGCAGCATAAATTTGTTCGTGATAACCTGTGCTCGAGTAGGTATATTGTGGGAAATTGGATTTTTAAAATCCAGAAAACAAAATAGAGGAAATGCAATACTAGATACTGACGCAAAGGAAAGAGAACTAGGTTTGGGAAAGAGAGAGGGAGGGGAAGAGAGAGGGAGGGGAAGAGAGGGGGAGGGGAAGAGAGAGGGAGGGGAAGAGGAGGTCGGTGAAAGATGCTAGAAACTAATCTGATAGGGAAGCAGGTAGAAAAACGGAAAGATCGACGGAAAGCTAATTACTCGAGAAACAGAGGAGCTTTACACGTTAATGTGTGATTATAACTTTAACTAGTGTTGAGTTGACTTGATCACTGCTAAAAGCTCGAAAACCCTTGTCATGCATCAGTGTTTACAAAAGTATTGATCAATGACTCTGAGATTTCACAGCTCCATCAAAACCACTCCTATGAAATATTATTTCAGCAAAAAAAAAAAGGTCGAATTGAAGCATAACGTAAATAGGAACTTGGTGTAGGTCTTGGTTCTGTAAATTTTCGTTGCAAGGTAATATTGTCATCATAAATAAATCATAATAATCAGCTTTGAGAAATGAGAAACTTAGCTGATTTCTGCATGCAATGATGTGGCACATGATCTAAAGTACATCACCAAAGACGCAAGGAGCAAGTGGCCTGATGCCCGAGAAAAGAAAAGCACACATAGGGGAGGAAAGTAGGACTGCGAGACTTATCTAAATTATTTCCTAACCTTACCCGTTGTTTACCTTGCCAAGATAAGCTTTTTAGCATTTTCGGAACCCTAGCCCACACCCCCCTTTCCATTTTAGCCCGTTGAATCGACACTGAAAGAGGAGCAATGAAGATCTCAGAGAGTTGAGCAGTACTTCCAAGCGTGAAGATGCTAGTGACATATTCTCCACATGGAAATAGAGCTACAAGGTACAAGAGTTAGGCAATAATACAAAGAAGTACACATCTATTCATGAATTAACGAAGGGTGACCATTTCCAGGAAGAGATAGGTGAACGGCTTTACCCAAAAAAATACAAACACATCAACGCTACTCTTTTCTCTTCTTCAGCAAAAAGCTATCAATATATGCCCTACTCAAAAATTCAAAAGACAATAGAAAAAAAGAGACAAGACAATGAAGAGGAGGGACAACTGAGAGTAATACGGAGGAAGTGGAAAACGCATCAAAACAAGAAGAAGGAGAATAAAGCTTGAGAAAGGAAATGTGGAATATACGGATATGAAGCTTAAAGTTTCCAAGAGTAACCTTATATATAGCTGCACCTGTGTCAAACTTGGTCAAATCAAAAGTTCTAGTGATGAGATTATTGGTACTGGGAAGAGTAGGTGAGAGTAAGTGAGAGAAGGAAAAATGAATTGGACTGATAGATAAGCTGAGCGATCCTCTTTTTGTTTGCATTTATCTTGCTGGGTAGGTGGGATCATTTGACTGGAATAAAAAAGATGAGGCAACCCAATGAAGGAAGGGAGCTGGTACGCGAAATCTTGCAACTATGCCAATTCAGCGACATTACCAATCCTCACATAAAATCTATAGGTGTAATAAGTCTTTATGATTAATAAGTCTACATACTTCGAATCCCCTCCTCTAATAATCATCCCAGGCTCTTCTAATAACCGGTCTCGCTGGATCCCATGGCCCATGGATCTCATTTTTATATTTCTGCAGCCCAATTAACCACCAACTACACCCACCCATGGCCAATCCCGTTATTAAAGTCCCTAATACAACGCCAATTAATCCACTTTTCCAATCCCAAGCCGAACGTCCCGATTGTGGCAGTACTAATCCTACACCGCCGCCCGCGCCGAAAACAAGCAGTAGGGTGAGGATTAGATGACCACGTAGAGAGTGTAACCGAGTATAACGACGGAAAACAGGAAAGAGTCCAAAAACTTCTATGGAGAAAAGCGTCAGGCTAAAGACTTGTCCTGTACTAGGAAGGCGGGAAGCGAGAACTGTAGAGGCCATTAGAGCAGCATTTGTACTAAGACTGGCAGGGATGTTTTTGTTTTTCGTATTCGAGGGTGAGTAGCTCGATGAGTAAGAGGGGGATGGGGTAGCGTAGTCGAAGAAGAATATGTTTATCGTAAATAGCAGAAATGACATTGCCCAGATTGAATCCGATGAAGTAGATCTCGTGAGAGACTTAAGAATAGGAGAAAGACCTAGGAGGACAAAATATATTAAGACCGCCGATTTGGCAGTTGACAGGCGAAGTGAAGTACGATGTGAAAACGGTGGATTATGTGGTGTATAAATTGGCCGCGTTGGAGGTGATTGGGTTTGATTCGAGGCCGTGGATTGAAGAGATGATGTTGAGACTGAAAAGGCATGTTTTGGCCCATTTGCAGCAGTTGCAGCAGTTGCCAATAGATTTGGTGTTGAACTTGTTGCAGATATATTGTGCGGAAAAGCCTGCGGAGGTGGAAATGCTGGACGAGTATATTCTTCTCGTCCCACCCATAGGTCCCATAATAACCAACCTAGAAAGGTAGCTATAGATCCCCATCCAACCACAGAGACGGGGGAAACATGTTCTTGATATATCCCAACGAAAGAAACGACGAATATTATGACAGAGCAAACATGTTGAACTATAACCGTCGAGTCTGCTACCAATGGCCAGAAATCATAAGGCTGAAGACGGGGATTTCTCTGAAGATGTTCGAGAAAGGTGTCTTGATCCGTGTAGTTGTCAGGATCTATTTCAATTGATGAGTACAATTATACACATATAGAACGACACTATACCATACAAGATTGCTTCACCCATAACAGTTTCTTCCAAGTGGCCTTTTGTCTTCTATGGCTACTTTTCGTTCTTTCATTATGTCTTCCTCTACTTCTCAATCTCCCAGCATCTCCATTTGTCATACGCAATTGGTTGGCAGTCGCCGGTGGTTTACGAGGTGGTGAGGGTTGAAATATGGCATCTTCTGGCGCAAGATATGATCTTTCATGTGGTGTGATTCGGGCAGAAGAGGTATTAGGTAGTGTTGAACTTCGATTTAAGGGGGGAGCAGATTGAGGTGCCATTGGAGGCACCATAATTGAGAAGGCTGTAACATTCCAAGGTTGACATTTGCATTTGGTTTGAAAATTGTCAGCCTTATGTTTATGGTTGCTATTGAGGTCAATTCTGGCTACCGTTGCAAGTCTTAGATCTTGCGAATTGTGCTTAGCTAAAAACACATGATGAGATATATGGCTAGGTAATTGTTGTTGCACATCTACTTTTGCCCTTCAGTCATCGTTGACTTTCTTTGCTTTCTCTGTACGAGTACAGCGCCGAACCTTGGTTATCTAAAAACACATGACCAATAGTGAGTCGACATTTTGTTGCATGTCTATGAGAAGTCAACTGTGGGTGCACAGACTAACTAGTCTGTCTGGTCGCTAAGTATATCTTCGTCAAAATCACTGTACGACGGTCGGAGCATCGTTTACCCCTCCTACCATTCTTATCACACCCTATAACTCCTTTACTTCACCTTCCTCTCCCTTACCTAGGTACTAGGGGTATAGTACAATATCATCTAATCTATCAAACATCTAATTTTCTACTCCGCCTCAAAATCATGATTAATTCTATCATTAGAATCATCAGATCATCACAAAGGATCCACCTTATAACCATCTCATCCCATTTGTATCAGCATTGATACTCCCACATAAGCATAATTTCAATTCTCATCCCACAGAAACATTGCAGGGCCAAGCTAATTAGCCGAAGCTTATATTATACAAGCAACGGTGTGATAGTTCGTAAGATTACCATTGAGCTGTTTCACCCGCATGATGTCTAGTTGCTTTTGTCACATGGCCCGTTATTTTCAGGCTTTCGTTAATCCTTTGCACCTATCTATGACTTTCTTGGAAGCTCACTATATGTAGGTAATCTGAGCGAATGGTCAGCGCTTATCTATTGCACAAAGGCTTTATACAGGTTCAAGAAGCAGTGGAGTAGACCCTTGGATGAATTTCAAGGCATCGTGTTCTGAGCATTAAATAATCTTAAAAAATAGTGGCAGTGAAAATGGTAGCATAGGCAGTTTCCCTGGAACCGGGACGGAATAAGGACCGGAATAGCTTCTATTATTCTAGAAGGATTCATGGTGACAGTTTCAAGATTGAGGTCTGGATCCTGCTGACTGCAGCCTGATAAACGCAAAAGGAGGTCAAAGAAACTTTACGAGGATTTAATAGTACATGGAATATACATGCGGTCGAGAAGTTAATTGCATCTCTCGTATCCAAATACAAAATTTTCCAGTTCACGATGAGGAGTCCAGGGTTGGCATGGAAGATACGAATAGCGGGGTTATATAACCTGACCTATTGGATTATTAATAACTCAGCCTTCTCCACATATAGCCAAAATTCCATGAGCAGCCGATGGACGGGACTTTTATAACTACCGACGGGTTCATGGTCTTCGGAGATGGACCTTTACGGATGAGACGGGAAAAGCTACTAGGACTTGTGGATATGTACCTGTCGATCATTTGCTTTCGAGGAGCAAAATTGTTATTGAGACTACCTATGTGATCTCCTTCATTGAAGATTTTAGGATAGATTCATGCTACTTCCTCTTCATCGATTATTTTATTGTCACGACTCGTGGTATACTGTAGAAGGATGATTTATCTTGTCCTGCAGGCTTTACTGCGCACAAATGCCAAGATACCAAGAGAACTTTGAGAAGATAAACGGGAAACCCTTCGCGAACTTGGGATTGTGGGTATGAAATCGATAAGGACAGGCGTTAGAGTTGGAGGGGACGGAATAAATGATGTTTAGATATTAAAGTTGAAATAAATAATGGAATATTTTAATAATGAAAAGAGTAGGAATAAGTATAAAATTTAAATCCTTTTTGAATTAACAACTTTTCACAACAATGTTAATTTTGGTGGAAATTTGAAAGAGGTTGCACTGGATTCAGTTTTATTTGTGTATCTTTAGAAGAATCTCTCGTAGTAATACTTCGACAGATAACCCGATTATAGAACATCTAACGGGAAACGAGATAATGCATACAAGCATCAGTCTCTCTTATATTTATCTCTTCCCTCTCTCTTGTCTCCGACCCTTTTGTCTAGTTCTCTCACTTCTTCTCTGTATTTCAAATAGTTAGATAACCGTAGTGATCCATAGTAAGGAATGGGTAAAGCGTAAAGAGAGAAATAAAAATTCGAAAATTCAATGGAAGTATGCTTGGATACAAAGAGAGTAAGACTGATCTCTAGGAAGAATAGGAGATATGCATGTCCGTTTGTACCAAGATCGACGAGAAATGATGGAGGGAATCTAACCGTCTTCTGCCTGTTGAAGCTGCTTTCCATGAACTCGATTATCTCTTTATGATAATAAAAGGGTAGCAATTGGCGCTTATTCAATGTTAATTTTGCTTTTATATATAAATACACGATTATTACTTACCGGAAAACCTGTCTCTTTCAATTCTTCATCATTTCCCAAAATCCACGCCATAACCCCGTACACTTTCCTCTCAAACACCTCTAGCCAATCCTCCTTTGTGTAGGAAAACAGTAGTCTCCCTGTTCCATCATATTGTTGTGCAACCGTGATGGCATAAGATCTTTCTCGCTTCATTCTGGTAACAAAGTGTCCAGCCATCCATTCTCTTACTTCATTGGTCGTCCATTCGTATTGTGGGGGTGTGGGTGGCATTTTGATTCTCGGTTCGGCGAATTCTTCTCTGTCGGTATCTGGAATCCGTTGGTATCGATTTCTGAATCTTCGAAAGGGGTGTACTATTGCTTTCAAAAGCTTCATATTTACATCTGAAATATACGTTTACTTGATATTTTGGTCGTGATTGGCAAAGAAGATTTAACAAAATTTTGTTACCATCATAGAGCAAAACTAATTGTATTCCTAAACTAATCCAAAGTGTTCTTACCATAACAAGCGAAAGAAAGGCTGATCATCAAAATCCATAGTCACTGTTTCCCGATTCAGAAACTCAAATCTTTTTAAAGATTATTAGATATATCTAGATCTATCTCTGAATTATAGAAAAACACAAAAAACAAAAACAACAATTAAATCTATAATTCGTGATTAACTTTCATGCTTTAAATCTGTTTAGTAAGTTTTGGATCCTGCTCCCCCTTCATCAACAGCTCGTCTAAATGCCGTGTTGGGATCAAAAAAGCCTCGGTATACAAATAACAAAACACGAGACTTTTATTGGTAGCCAATGATCTACTTATGGAGCACCACATGATAGAATTCCAAGCCGGTATATCATTTAGTATGCCAAGTAGAATAGATGTGTCTAGACAAAATAATTAATGCTTACAACACATGAAGCTTTTTATCCTTTCTTCCTTTGAACCGGAGATATCAAGATTCAACTCTATATCATGTTTTCATCTTATAACATACCTCAATTCTTATCCAAACTGAACGCGGTGACCATCTGTCAATGCCTGGGATCACTGACAACTTGACAGGCAACGACCCTGGACACGGATTTATATGAGCGCATTGATATAAATACGAAAAAAAGTGGAAGTGGACGAAGTGGATTCACAGAGGGAGAGTTAGAGCTTTCTTTAAGTTCTCCCCACAATAGAATACGATCAAGTCTTTCCACGGAGTAAATCTCCATTATTCAGTGATCATTCTCTTGGCAGCTTGTTGGTTGCGATTAGCGCGGAGCATCAATCTATTAAGGTTATTAAAACTACGGATCATGCGAAGTCCAGAGTCGAGAGAGTGGGTTGAATGATTAGCTAACCTTAAACACGAAGAAGTTGAGCGCATAAATACAAAAGAAAATATATCTTCAATTGTTTTGAAGGATGGGAATCCCTAAAGCTTCGTCGCTTCTAGTCAGTCGTATTCAAAGATTTATTTCTTTTCGAAAAAACCTCTACCTATACATAGCTACAAGCCGGACAAAACCCAGTCAAAAAACTCATGTCTTGTCTCAAATAATGCATCCAAAAAGACAATTCATCCAACGCCCCATCAGCCATGTAACCTCAACCAATAATTACCCTTTGGTTACCCTGGTATTCACCATAAAAATCGCGCAAAGGACCCTCCCTGAAGGGCTGAAGCTTCTGCTGCCACAATACCAAATACGGGTTTTGTTTTTGGCCTTGTAGGATTTTCCACCAGATGAGGATGCAGGAAGATGGGTGAAGTGGGATAACACTAGGCATCCCATGTCGTTATTAGCTACCTAGATAGTAGAGCTTCCTTAAATTGGAGCCAAAAACCCTAATGCAACTTAATGCTTTTTTTTAGTGTGAATGCTATGCATGCGTTACACCACATCTGTGTTGGTATGCTTTGGATTTAAGTACCAGAGGTTTCCTACTTCACCTCCCCCACCACTTCTTTGTATACTACTCTTGCTTTCAATCATTATTTCTTGCTCAACCCTCTACTTTATTTATATCTCAAGTGTCAATTCATTCTGTTGACCTGCGTTCGGAAGATTGACCATTGATCTACAATACGTTTGCGGCATTCCTAACATTCTGAGTGTAACGAAGTGTCAAGACCCCGAAAACATCGAAATATCAATTGCGGTCTACAACTAGGAACGGAACATTTGATACAATTTTTAAAAATATATATTTCCTCTCCCCAATCTCACTCCATTCGAAGAACAACCTAGAATAAAATACTCATCCTGACAGTCGCAAAAATGCGACCATCATCACCCCTCTCGCTCCTTCTATTCCTCCAATTCTCAACCGCATTCCCAGTGGACCCACGAACAACATCTCAATCCCAAAAATGTTTGAACTCCCCATCTTGCAGCTCACTCCGCTCCGCAATGAGCACACTCTCTTTCTCCCTCTCCCACCCTAAACCCAGCGATCCCCGTAATCCGCATTTCCCAGAACATCAAAAACAACCCCTGGTAACCTTCGTCAAACCAACCACTACTTCCTCTTCTTCCTCGGACGAAGGAAATTTCGCCCATGAAGGTGCTTTCGATAATGCGCCAATGACACCTTCAAAAGATATCTCCGCGAATGAAGCACTTTCTGCCGAGGCTCCGCTCAGTACAGCATATCTCCAAAGTTTGACGAAAACGGTTGATGAAGACGAGGCGAGACCCAGTATGCCTACTTCTGCACTACCTAGTTTGCGCAAAGAAGACGCGCGGAGATATTGGGAGGAGGAAAGTGGGAAGAAAAGCATCAGTGGAGAAAAGCCAGATTGTGGAAATTCGAAAATGTGGCATGGAACTGCTGTGGGCTATAGAAGTCGAATGACCCATTTCGAGATGGGAAGTAGAAATGATTTCATGGTTGTGGGGATTGTGGTAATTTTCTTATTTGTGGTTTTTGCCTTGGAGGTTATGGACAGGGTTGGGTGAGTTTTCTTCTGCTCCATTGATTGCTGGGCTGGAAATTTGGCTAATATTTGCGTAGAAATCGAAATTCGAAAAGAGGGGAGATCTTTCTTGAAGATGATGAGACGTATGCTTTTATCGTTAAGAAACCAAGACACTTTCTTGAGCGAGAATCTAGATGCAAATGCGCGCAAGTAACGGAATTCAAGGAATATAAAGATGATGAGACGGTTGTGGCGGAGGATTTCAATGGGGATGCTGAGAGAAAGATATAAATTCAGCCCATTAGGGAATTTCTTTTGTATTACAGCGGGGCTAATTGGATAATGGTGTTATAATATCAGGACGGGTCAATCAATTATGGTGCGGAAAAGAAGCACGTTCGGCGTTCGTAGCATGGTTATGGCAGACGGGTTCTGTTTGAGGAAATCAAGGACGGATCGGTGGATGGGGAGCTCCTTAAACGTGGAACTTAGCATGAGCAAGCAGGAAGAATGAAGACAGAATAAACAGATTTCATATTAGTCGTGAGTTCATGACATGCGGTTGGTTTTTTTATGAGCTCCTGAAGCCTTGCGATTCAGTAGCCTCTCTATCTTGTAGATTCACAGAACGTTCATATTCATGGTATCTTGTATTTACAGGTGTCTCTATCCCAATCTCGCAATCGATACAGCACCTCGAAATGACGAGTTCCAAGTTCCTCTACGTAAACAAGTGCATATTTCGCTGCATAGCTGTTTCGAGCGAGCTTATTAGTAAAAGACGATACATAAGCACCAAGTGCCCAGCAATCCATTCCCATCCACGCAAAAGTTATTGTTGTCTTTTGTCTTAATCCCATCCCACTATCTCTCCGTTTACATCATCAGCAAAACTAAAAAACTAAGAATCATTATCATCTCATAGAATAGCTCTTCCCTAATACCCTACAATTATGCATACATAACAAGCAGCACTTCACTCCAGGGCTTTAGCCTTGATCTAGTATCTCGACCCTCCCTATGATTTACTTCAGTGATAGTATACTCTGTATTACAGAAATCCTGAACTTTTGAACTTTTAAGTCGAACAACGGCGGTTAATACCGGATAATAGCGGATAAGAATACCCGAATTCAACTGCCTGATAGAGTTCGTATTATATTGTGTCTTATAATGATTAATACCTACTAAGATTTACATCTCCGGCCCGGGACCGCCGTCAAGTGGATGGATGGATGAATATTCACTGGTTTGGTTCTTTGTGAACGAATACTTACTGCGAGGAGAGGGGTAACTTTTGGAATGTGCATGGTGCTTATTCCTGTGCTCTGTACTCCGTATGATAAATTTGTGAATTGATTGATGCAGGAAGTGCTTTACCTTATAAGCAGATGCTGGTTTTTGTATCTTTTGGAAGAGAGGATGTGTAGAGTGGATGTCTCTTCGATTGATTTTGTGTTTTCTTCATCTTCTTGTTGTCACATGTCGATTTTTCGGATTTTTATTTTGTGTGATTTGGGAATTTTATATCTTATGAATGAGTGGTATTGCTCTGAATAATATAGTTGGCCTTGAGGTAATCTTATCCGTTTTTCTAGATTTTAAGAGCAACATTTCCAGTTCAGGCAATCCTACATCTTCACCATGGAAGATTTTGGTGCTTCTGAGATTATCTCTTTTTGAATATGAATTTTATGCCATCGGGCAAAAAGATATCTTATATAAATGAGAATGTATAGAAGATGCTAGTTTTCTTACAGTGAAACGTTATGAACAAGTTGTAGCCATAATGAGAAATGTTACGTTAGGCGATTTATTTGGCTTTTCCGCTCCAATCACTTGTGGTCCCTATTCAGGGAAGTCGTAGCTTGGGAGTTATCTTACCTTTCGGGCTTTCACTGAAATGTAGAAATGGCAAACCATTTGATTAAACGAATGTTACATCTGAGAATTTTTAGCTACGGTTCGCTGCGGTATGCGCATTCAGCAAGCAATGCAGACGTTATATCTTGTAAGGCAAATCTGTAGGTGAGGTGACTCGCGGATACTTAAGCTTTGATATAAGCTCTAGTCTAATTCTTACAGTCTCAAGACTTTTCGTTGTCTCTTTGCTGCTTCGATGTAGGTAAGATGCCATATCGTACTTCATATTATAGCTATACAGGTATCGATGCTCTCTTGTAAGTACCCGTTGATAATTGCCTATTTGATATTTTTCCGTCACATCTCTAGTGTGCTCTAGAGGTGTTATGGCAGTTATAAGTGTGCTGGCCTCATTGAAACTTTCAGATCCTCACATCCTGATATAATCTGAACATGGAAAGGAAGTCTGAGTATTTACTTTAATTCACCCATGTTTATGAGGGAAGGTTAGGCTACTGTTAGAGTCACATATTCGTCCGTCTAGGAATTCTGGCAGTCGTGTTGATAGCCGATGGTGGTGGGGCATAGTTTGGAGCAAGATAAACATCTAATTTGGCACGAAAATGTGAGAGACGTTCTCAATGGTTAAGAGAGACTTTTGCCTTCAAGTCTCAAGGATAGACATTACTTAAACTCTTCCTTTAGTCTCTTTCTGTGATGAAATACCTAGGTTGCTTTACGATGGAGTCATCTAGATGATCCTAAAAGATCAGGCTAATGAGTATTCCACATTTGGTCTCGCGATAACCGGTTTGACATCTCGTTTATAAGGAATAACTTGTTCCTTTTAATAGATTATTGTCTAGCACAGGTCATCACAGAAACAGTGTAGGGGTGCAGTTTTATAATGCGAATGTAGAAGCGAGATATGTCGAAAGGTGATATTTCCATAGATGGTTTGTTGGCAACTAGCAAGGGCCTGAAAGAAGTCAAAAGCAGTTCATGAAACTTTGGGATGAAGGAAACACAGAATGTTGGATTGGAAGTAGATAAACAACCAAAATTTGGAAGGGGACACCATGGAATAAACGAAGTAGAATCAGCGCCTCAGTGGTATGGGTGAGCAATTCCTGTTTTGGGCTGGTCCACTAGTTTCATAAAATACGCAATATGACTAAGCATATACTAGAGGCTTCAGGACCATGAATTGGAGATATCAAGAGCTCTGCTTGTATATTACTCTTTAGCCTTTCTGTGTTCGTACAAGGTCTGGAGATGAAGCCAGAGTCTGAGATCAGATTTAGCTGCTCCATCCCCTCTAGGTCTTCGCCAAGGTGTAGGCTCCCTTTGACTTCGTCAACATCTCTTCACCACCGCGAAGCACTAACGCAGAGTTGTACGCCATGCCTAATTGACAGATTCCTATCACAGCATGTCTTTTGCACGCTGAGCTTGTTTGGAACAGCAGATTTACCGAGGACAGTGGTCCATATTCCAGACTCAACTTTCTCAAGATAGTAAATCTCTGTAGATTTGTGGCAAGTATTTTTAACGCGATACCAAAGCAGTGAGTATTGCGCTTGACGCTTGGAAATTGTGAGAGTCTTGCTTTGAAAAAAAAAAGTAAATATTGTGCACGCACAGCACATGACATTGTTCAATTAGGAGAATTCGGACCCTGATATCATACTTACCTGCATTCAAGAAATTGAGGTTAATCGTCAAAAAAGTTGCTACTCTACTAAGTTTGACGTCAGTTTAGAGATGGGCAGCGAGAAAATCAACTAACATGTGATGATTACCAATCAGAGAATTTTTAGCGATAATCTTATGGTCATAAACGACTTCTATTCATTAACATCCACCTTTTAATATGGTGGGTTTGTATTATACTCCCTATCATATTGATCCTGACGAGAGTTTCGCTCTGTTCTTCCTTTATCTTCATGTACCCGTTCCCCTATTGATTTACCTGCAAAAGCACCCACAGCGGCTCCTAGCATCGCCAGCGCAACTTTATCATTACTGCCACCTCTTGGTTTCTTAGCTGCTAGCTCTTGAGCTGCTAATCCACCAAGCATTGCACCAACGGCACCATATCTCAAGCCTGCTTCGTTGTCCGGAGCTTTGTTTGTTGATTTGGATATTCGTCTGTGAGGCAAACTGTTGCGCTCGCTCACAGTAGACCTTCTTCCGTTGTTCCGAGTCTCTTTTTTATCTTCATACTCTCGATCATCGGCCAAATCTCTTGATCTTATTTCGTCTGGAGGTAATGAGCTCCTCCGACGCAAATCCTGCTGACGTTGATTTCGACGAGAAGGTGATAGTGAGTTATTATCAAAGTCTTCATCACCTCTTCTCTTATTTCGTGATGGTGGTGGAGAGTTGTTATATAGATATGGCCCATCTTGTTCATATGTAGCATCTTCGCCTCGGTAGCCATAATTTGGCTCAAATCGCTTTTTCTGACCTTCATTGAGACTTTGACGGCCCCTATAGTCATCTCCACGATAGCGTCTCTCGTCTAATGTGTCCTCGTCGCTTTCACTTTCATCTCCGCCAAGACCATCCTTGACAGGTTTCTTTGTATGACCATCATCTCGCAGTTTGCCAGCAATAACATTTTTGATATTCCGCGGACGGTATGTTTTAGAGTGTAATGCTTTATCAGGGATCTTGTCAAAGTGTTTATCGATGCATCTATTAGTGGCTTCTATACCGAGTTCAATAAAATCGTCCATTTCCTTCTCGGAGTTAAGGTTAATGTTCGGAATGAAAGAAACAAGACGAAGAATGCGAAATTAGAGGAGTGTAGTGCGAGAAATACGACAAGAAATACTACAAGATAGAGTAACACGACGTTGAAAGCAGGATAATTCCCTTGGCTTTGCTCATCGTGCATCGTGTGTGGGGTAGAGTTCGCCTTTTGCAACTGATTGGCATCGCCCGATGGAATGGAAAAATTCTGAACCAAGCACATGTCCAGAATGTATCATCTTCATCTCAATCCCAGTACCAAGTATCTAGTACCATACAAACTCCTCCAGCGCCGCGTATTCCATGATGATATGGACCGCAGTCGATGGATACACTTTGCTCAATGATACACAAATCAAGCATCGGCCTGGACATTCCATGGGTATCTCAAGGAAATTCGTTTCCTCGGACTCGCTTTCACCATATCTGGGAGACCGAGATTAGTGATCATTTATAGTTGTCTGGTAATATGGGGACAAACTTTCTCCACTCATGATTCGGCGGCTATTTTTGCATTCGTGTCGGAAGTCTACAGCCACCATGTCGCGCCCTTAACTCGACAACGAGCACAAAATGATTTAGAGCGATTGAGTTGGTGAGTGAATTTCCTTAGCGTATCCAGTGCCTCCTCAGGGATCCGAAGCTGGCGAGCTGAGCGCCATTTCCGCCTTTTAGCTCTTCCGCCAGTTCAGTCTCCACAAGTTTTCAATATGATAGAAATTGGAACAATCTGTCTGTCAGCCGTTATTGCTGGAATCTCATGTCATATTTATTGGCTTGACCATAGCGTCATATTCGGGCATTACGGACTGGCTTAGAATGTGCGGACGGCCACGAATATTTTGTGGGGCCTGATGCGGAAGTGAAACAGTACATGCAGAGCACGACTAATAGCGGGCGGTGGGGTTTCCTACATTCGACAATTACCTGGACGGCGGAATACGGGGCGGACTTTGACGCGGAAAATGAATGTCCGTCACCAGGTGTATATATTTTGCTGACTGTAGTGTTTCTGGAAGATTGAGCAAAATCGTTAGACGACACATCACACAGCGAACAATATCAAAATCTTAAATTTAACAGCCGAGTGCTTGATTCTCAAACCGTAGGATCCCCGGAACAAAAATGGCTACCACCGACAACGTTGAAGACCAGTACAAGCCATTGAAAGTGTTGATAGCTGGTGGCGGTATTGGAGGGCTCTCAGCAGCCATTTTTCTCCGACATGCAGGACACAATGTAGAGGTTTGTAGACATGCGTAAAGCTCATGAAGGAAGTAAATTAACAGCAATCTAGATCTTCGAGCAATCACGTTTAGCATCTGAAGTGGGTGCAGCAATACACATTCCTCAGCAACGTCAACCGGTTATTACGAAGACTTGCCATGGTGCCTGAAGATCATGGAGCAAACCTCATTGAATGGATCTCTGAATATAAATCGAACGGCGAGGTTTTGTTTGCCAGAGACGTGAGGGGAGTCTCCAAGGCTTATCCATACCCGTGGCAACTTATTCATCGAGTGGATCTTCATAGTGCGTTGAAAGATATTGCTACCTCAGAAAAAGGAAAAGGAAGCCCTGCAATTCTGCATACTCGAAGTAGAGTTTCTTCTGTGGATGTTGAAGCTCCATCTTTGACTTTGGAAGACGGATCTACGCATGCGGGTGATTTCATAATCGCTGCCGATGGTATTCATTCAAAAATTAGAAGCACACTCTTAAGAGATCACCCACCCCCAGAGTCATCTGGAGCCAACGCCTTCAGGTTCATGATACCAATCGACGACATTCGAAACGATCCTAAGACTGCACATTTCGTCGAAAAAACGGGAGATATGCTTGTAATATCTGGGGAAGATCGAAGGATAGTTGCATACCCATGCAGGAGCAATACCTTAATGAACCTTATAGCAATGCATCCAGAGGAAGAAACAGAAGCTAGTTCCGAAGAGTGGAGCAAAAGTGCATCCAAAGATCTGCTTTTGAAATGTTTCTCTTCCTATACAGATGATGCACAAGCCCTGCTAGCGAAAGTCTCTCCTGACGATATCAAATTATGGAACTTGCTAGACCACGAAGAGCTAGGAAGAGAAAATTGGGTTCATGGCAAAGTGGCACTTCTTGGGGATGCCGCTCATGCATTTCTCCCACACCAAGGACAAGGAGGTGCTCAGGCCATAGAAGACAGTGCAGCAATAGGTGCTTTATTTCCACTGGGTACTACTCCGTCTGACATTGAGCAACGTCTGAGACTTTATGTTCAAGCTAGATACGATCGTGCTACGCTTGTGCAAGACTTCACTCGTCAAGCGGCATTTAAAACGCCTCGTGGAAAGCATGGAGGCAAGCTTAAGGACAATATGCAATTCATGGATATAAATCTTAGCCACGACGCGTATGATCACGCGCATGGGATATTGCTTCGAGATTTGAATAGAAATGCTCTGTCTCGCAAAATTCCAATGTCCTTTGGGCCTAGCCCAGGTCCTAGACAAGACTTAAACGGAAAGCCTCGCGGCCCTCCAAAAGGAACATATAAGACAAGTTATATTACCTTTAAAACATACAAGAGCTATCTATCCACGCTTCTGCCATCTGAAAATTTCCAGATAAATACCAATGATATGTGGGCGACTGCCACATTCTCAACCACACGCGTAGGTAATCTGGAATGGCTAGGAGGCCGAGGATATTCAATGTTTGGACTCTATGTACATGATGTCGTACATAAGGATCCATCAACCGGCGCTGAATTGAAAGGTGACTTGCTACCAGTTTCTTTTCACAACATGGCCGATCCAATTATTACTGGCCGAGAAGAACTAGGAATTTCCAAAGTCTATGCAACCTTGGATGAGAAATCCAACTCGGATTCCTCGTTCGTGTTGAGCTCTGGTTGGGAGGGTACAGAATTTTGTCGTTTGACTTTGAGTGACTTGAAGGAGACTTCAGAAGCCGACTCTGTTCTTCAGAACCCAACTCTGCATTACAGGGTCATTCCTTCAAGCGTGAAACAAGAACAAGATATGGAGTATGCGGCTGCTTATCCTCCAGTACCAGCGGCAAAAGAAGAAAAGAGATGGAAGGCTGAGAGCGCGGAAGTCGTGTTCACAGATTTGGAAAATAGGGAGCTGGAGATGGCGTTCCCAACACTGGTGAATATAATTAAGGGTCTCCGAGGCGTCAAAATTGTGGAGGTGATTCGATCTGGAATTCAAAGTTCAGAGCCATAGATAGTTCAATATGAGTTGAAGGGTAGACTGGAGGAAGTGATTCTGGGTCATGGATTTTTATATAGTTTAGGCTTGTAAGTGTGTATGATAGATTTTTGTAGATTTTCATTATATAGGGCGGTTAGGTGATATATATATATATATGATCAAAACTCAAAATTAAGGTTTCCTAATCTTTCTTATCATTTTCTAGCTTGTTTCGATCTAATTAGTTCGTCTTTTTAGCTTTTTTACTATGATCATCCTTGTTACTTACTTTCATCATTCTTATTATTTCATGATCGCTTCTTGTAGTAGTAAATTCATAATCGATTTGATCTAACTATAGCTAACGCTACGAGATCGCTTATATTCTAAGATTTACATCAAAAGTATCTTTAAAAAAACTCTGGAAATACTACATAATTTATGATTTAATTATAAAATCATATAATTGAATGGATTAATAAAAGAATTAAATAAAGATTACCTTAATACTTTCCTGATAATAGTTATAAATTTATTTATTCATTTTTATTATAAACCATAATTTCCCATAAAATTTTGAAAGTCTAATTTAGTAACACTTCCTATTATTTGAGTAGTCAAATCCGTTACATTTGCAGGCTACCAGAACTGTACATGATGGCCTAACTCTAATAATGATATATGGTTCATGAACTACCTTGGGGTTATGAAATACAGCAGAGTAAATCCTTTTTCAGTGCAGAGATCATACGAACTTAATCAAAGTCGGCAAATATATAACTTACTACGCGGTTTCTTTTTGCATCTACTTGATCTACTTGACCTAAGGGTCAAACCTCCAGATAATTGACTTGAGGGAAGGCTTGCTTTCTCAGTTTCTGAAATCTTGAAGCACTTTTAAGTCTCGCGTAGCTGCAAGCTATGTTTATGCGAAGAAGATATATGTATATCTTCACATGCAACAAGTTCAATACGTGTGTGAAAATGTTTACACAGCAACGAGTTGGGAAGTCCTCATTCGGTAAGGAAACCACAGAAAAATTGCTGCCTCATAATATGTTTCGATCATTTATGTGATCGGAACAAGGTCCAAACGATATCTGAAGTAATGATCGTAAACCCTTCGCACGTTCAAGGGTTTGCAGACTGTCTTGGGCCCCAATCCCGTATAACCAACACAGAATAAAGAGTTGCGAGGTCAGAGAGTTGCGATTAAGAGAATCGAGAAGAGCAAATGTTGTAAGTATCACAAATTAGTTCGCTATTTTAGCGAAAGTCATAGAAAGCTTGATAAAGTCATATCGACATATATCAACCTCTAAACACGCGGCGCGATGTTTTGGTGAGGAGATGGTGCTCACGGCTTACGGTAATTCTAATTCTCTGATTATACGTCGTAGTAGACGAAGGTACTGAGTATGACACCAGTACGGTTTTTGGTTACGCTATAACGAAGGGTTTACGAGGACAAGATGCTTAGAGTTTACGGTAACTGAATTGTAGTAGGTAACAGTCCCGGAACATAGAGCTGGTACGGTTATTGGATACGCAACAGCGTGTTTTGATGAGGAGAGGATGGTTAGAGTTTACGGTAATTCCAGTTCGCTCCTTGTAGATTGTAGTAGACGGCAATCCTGATTATATCAGCCACCACGGTCTTTTGCGTAAACATATTTCACCTCACTTTGGCTGTATATAATAGTTACGCTGAGATTTGCAAGCTACGCTAAAGATGATATAGTCGTGCTGCTATCTATTCCTCCAGGTATATATATCCAGCTTTACCCACGTCTACTCCCAGAATCCTCATAGTTCAACAAGACATCTCCTACGAAACATTCTGATCAACCAAGGATTTCACATCAAAGCAATACCAAAACTTGATCTCCTATCCCCATCTACCAAAAGATCCCTCGGGAAAGTCTTCTCTCAATTCTCTCGAACTCATCAATCAAAATGGGTTCTTATACCAAGCAAACCCCAGCTCAATTGGCTGCATCAGTTGGCAAATTTTTTGGCTGGCAGAGAACCTCCAGGCTCGAACTTAGCAAGGAAATGGTCTCAATCACTGTCGGCAAAGACAAAGATGCACAAAAATTTCTAGTCCACTCGGATTTGATCACTTATCATCACCCTCGTCTGTTCTGCGATGTTCGTATGTCGAAAGTGGGAAATGAAATTCTGAGGGGTTACTTTGATGTATACCAACAACTGCACCCTGAGGTTTTCATTGGCTTATTGCAATTCGCCTATCATGGAAAATTTCTGCCTGAGACTCCTCTAGAAATCCTGTGGCAGTTGTACATTTATGCCGAGAATCGTCGTTTGATCGATGTCGAAGATATCCTCATGAACCGCATTGTCAGTACCTACAAGAACAACAAGCCTTCAATTTTCCCCGATGCTCGACATATGCAACTGGGATATAGTAACACGAGAAAGGATTCTGCCGCTAGGAGGTTCTTGACTATGTGCTATGCACATCTTTTGAATCGCAATACACAGTTCCCCGCACATCCTATTTGCTACAATGAGGCGCTGGCGGATGCGGCTAAGAATGTCGATGGTCTTCTGCTTGAAACTCTAAATCTTATGAAGTGGAGAGGAACATCCTATGATGCCGACAAAGACGCTAGAGATGCTTCACCGTGTCTCTATCACCACCACGCCTGGGGAACAAAATGTCCCAATTTCCAAGAAAAGGCATGAGGGCGATAGTATTAGTGGGAATACCTTGATAAATTGGTGCATTGGTTAGCTGCGAAGGAATATGGCAGGATAGATCACATATAAGCGCTCTTGACGTTATATGTAGACTCTTTGAGGTTTCATTGACAGGACATTGATTTGATGCTGAAGTGATAGCTAGAATTGGGTTTATTATAATATTATTAAGATGAGGCAAAGCATTGCGGGAAATATTGACGAGTTATGGAATTCTACATGAGAATCGTAACGTGGTAATTCATTAGTCCACAGATAGAGTAGTCTAGAAATAAAAAACCATATTACACTTACAAGATTTTTCAAAGTGAAAGCTAACATGAGACCGATCTTCTTGCTTGCGCAAAGTGATTTAGTTGAACTCATTTATGATATCTAGAGATAACCACTCCCTAAAGTAAAGACTCATATTTTATAATTATTACAATCGATCATGACGGGCAGAATGTCCAATAATTCGGACTGCAGAATGGGCTCGATATTTTGGATTAAACGATCTAAATTTAGTCCGTTAATAAACTCAAACAATCTATCTTTAATATTGAAATCTTCTAACAAATCAGATTGTGATTTAAGAAACCCAAGTTTTTGAACTAGGTAATGATATTATATAATCATAATACTATAACGTGGTTTATCAGTAACCGGAACACTTTTACCTCAATTACTCACATTCCATTAAAATAAAATTACAATAACACTATAAATTAGGATTGAATTATATACAATCTAAAGATCAACTAATGCTGGATCGAACTAACAAGTTCGTACATTATATAAAGTACTACTGCATTTGCTATATCATTATATAATAGCTTGCCTCCTTATTGAAGAACTATCATATGTATATTCGTTGTATTGTATTTAATCTTTTATATTCTTTTGTTCTAATATATTATACTTATCTTTTATTGAAAGTATTTTTTATTTTTGTATTAAAGCTTTTTTAGTTCTTTAATATTCACTAAATACTTCATTTGCTTTATAAAGATTATAAATCTCAATAATTAAAAACATATTTATATAAGTTAAAAGTTCTATATTTTTAATTAAATTTGTAGTTGTTTCAAATATTGAAGTAGATAAGCTCTTTTGATATTGAACAATACGATTTTTTACTAAAATGAATTGGGAAAGAACTTCAATTAGCTTATAAGGTGTTTGAGATTATTATATATCAGAATCGGTTGATATTAATCTATTTAATAGAGTTCTTATTCGAATATCTAGCTTTGAAAGTACAATTTCCGGATTAAATAGGATTAGCTCAGCTTCGCGGAACCCAGCTTTACCATTTGATATAGATATTGCTTCGATATATATAGCTTTAAAGATTTAAAAAAACTCGGTTTTGGTAATATGTTAAAGTTGAGAGGTGGTAATTGAGGTAAAAGTGTTCCGGTTACTGATATGTTCCGGTCACTGATAAACCACGTTATGATAATAATATCATATATTATACTATAACATTACTAGCTTTGACCCCAACCCATGCGGGGCTAAGAATAACAATGAATTCGCTGCGCGCCCCCCTTAGGGCCTATAGCCAGATCGTATAAAAAATATTCATATATAATATTTACTTATATAACACTGTAACACAATCCAGAAGTCCAGATTGTAATTCCAATCTTTTAATATTAATTAGACTATTTAATTTAGATTTTTGCATTAGAATTCTTTCTTTAAATAGTTTATTTGATCCAATAGAATCCATAGATTAATCATCCAGATGGCTTCCAGATGGGATATAGGAAGATTATTAGAGACATTGATGATGGGGTACCTGTATCCTGAAAGAATCTAGATTTTTCTACCTTTACCTCACTGTATTATTCAAGTGTCTACAAACAAACAATACACGTATCTGCGAACTAAAACACTAAATATTGAAAAAAAAATCATGTTCAATAACTAATGGTGATGTCTAAAGTGCACGCTTTCGAAACTAATAGTATCAATTTTTTTCTTAGCCAACTACCCTGTTGTGCTACCAATCCCCCGTAGACCCCAGCTCCATCTCTTCCTACTCCTCATACCCTCTGCAAAGCCCGTACAAATATCAGAGCCGTAATCAAATGTACTGATATAGATAACTTCAATAATAGCCACAGGCTTTACACAGAAAGTCTTCTAATCATTTGTTCTACCACACGCCATAAAGCAATCTAGATGGATGTATACAAATAAACTTACCTCGCTTAATTATCTCTTTAGTGACTAGCATCCTGAACGATTCAGAGGTGGATATATTGGCTTGCGAACTACATGGAATACTATTTATCTCTTTATCTAGGTTTCTAATTGCTTTAATTGTACTTGAGCGATATCGTATAACTATCCAGCTCGATTTGTGCAGTACGGGAATATTACAAATTTCCACTTAGCGAAGACGGTAGGGCTGTATTATGAAGTTTCTATGTGCTTCATTGCATTATTAACTTCACGGTACTAAATGATCTACAGGTGCAGCCATACATTCTATCTAGTATATAGGCTCGCCATCATCTCCATAACATGTTTCGACATAAATTTTGAACAACTCCTCAACTCTACCATCATTACTTCTCTGCACATACCAAAAATTCAAAATACCAAATTTTCCATCTAGAACTTTTCCATTCTCCACAAAAGCGACCTCACAAATACTTCTTCAGCACTTAGGCAAGTCCCACAAAGACTTTCCCTAAAAATGTCTCTAGATACTCAAACCATCGCTTCCTACCCGTGGCAAGAAGCAGACCCTCGCTTTGCCCCATTACCCGGAAGAAATCGGCAAGTACAATCAAACATGATGCAATTATGTTACTGAAACTAACAATCCCACAGGGCAAATCACACCATGGTAGAAATCACGATTATAAAAAGCGGATACGAGAACGAATTCATTGTACACGAAGAGCTAGTCACACGGTACCAAGCCAAGCTATTCAGCAAAATATTCGGGCCAGTTGAAAACCTCGAATCATTTAGAGTAGTAGCGGATCCCAAAGTATTTATAGGAATATTGCAATTTGCATATCGGGAAAGATTTTGGCTGTCCGAAACAATTGGGGATATTGATACTTTGTGGGATATTTATCTTCTCGCGGAGAAGAAGGATATCCCGTGCTTGCAAGATGTGATCATGAATCGTATCACGTGTTTTTACTCTCAGACTCAGACGTTTCCTACGATGGAAATCATTCGACATGTATACAAGCATACTAGGAAAGAATTTGAGATGCAGAAACTATCTGTGGCACGACGTTTTCTTGCCCGCTGCTATGTATGTATTTCCTTCAGCTGTTTCTATGGTGGCACGTGTGCAGATCCTTATAAACGCATTGAAGATGCACGCATAAATATTGAAGGGCTTCATATGGATACTCTTCAGGCTATTCACAGCCCTGCTGGAACACAATGGAAGGTGGACTTGGATCCTAGGGATTCAAGGAGGGTCAGCAAATGCGATTACCATCAACATGCTTGGAATGAAAACTGTCCTTCGCATAGAGAGACCCCTTTTAATAATAAAACGGACAGATGAAGGGTTGCTGCTGGAGGTGGATAGGTGGAGGGAGGAAGATATTTGAGGAAGAGGATTGCTGGATGGATTTAATACAAGTGCGATCAGGGAGATCCATTTGAATGACTATATGCTTTCACTGGAAGAAAACGGCAAAAATAGCTGGATGGATTTCTTCCTGAGGCTTCTTAAATACATTTTATCACCAAAGATACGCTAGTGCTTTTTGATTACGAACAAGTCATACACGTGCCCTTCTAGATTTCAGCGATACCGAAAAGTTGATAATGGGCGGTATTCCTTTAATTTCGTGACTGTGCACTTTCCAACTGCCCCAACTCTGCATGTGAAAATGCTTGAAGCCCACAATACAGAAAAATTCCTCACTACCCTTATTCGTAGACTCCAAATACTATCCCAAGGATTGATGATAAGCTTCCGTCACATTGAATGAGTCGTGTCTTAATATCTTCGGAGTTGAAACTTCCAGGTTTTTCTACTACAATCTCTCTTTGTAAATCCGATTCTGCTTCACTTCCCAAGACCAGAGAAGACACACTAGACCAAACCGCATGCCTATTCTTGCGATGCGTCTTACATCATCGTCCCATTTCCTCTGATTTGACCTGTATTTTTCAAAATTCTTGACATATCCTAACATGTGCGCCATCTTTTGTTCCTGTCCATTCTGTCGCGAGGGATTCCGCTCCGCTGTCAGTTGCCTGTATTGCTGTCTTGGCATCTTTGTCGTTGCTGGTTGGTTGTGTGTGGATCTATGGATAACTGATAATAAACAAGTAACACTAGTTCATAGTGTGGGCAGCGCATGACCATATATTACCACTAAGTAAAGAAAACCAAATAGTTCCACCGCTAGTTTAGAAACCAAATTGAAAGTACATAGTATAGATCGTAACTTGGGAACGAGTTGTCGCAACAGTAAATTGACTTTAAATCCTCACATGAATAAGTCTATAAAGTACAGGGCTTGGCAAATGCCCATAGGGATAGAGGGTATATTAGTTATAAATGATATTCAATATTTAGGATTTATTCTCTTCAGTCTTTTTTTTCAGCCTCCGGGTGCTCCTTTTCATAAATCCAATCGTTCAATCCCTTGCGGTTTCTATGAAAATGTTAATGGATAATTCCAAAAGTGGTAATGGTAAACAAACCTTGCAATTTCGTAAGCATAGAATTGCATTCTAGGTACTAACATGGCCATCGTTAGCTCTATTCCTTCCGCATCACGTCCGTCGAGAACATACCGAAGATAGTCTCGTCCTGTCCATACTCAAATTTTGGGTTCGTTCTCAACATTGTTCCAAAATTATAATCATCAACCTTCTTCTCATATGTCATCATAAAGCTTCTCCATTTCTCCTTTCCTGCCTTGCTCTTCATTTCATCCTCATTAATCGTAGCAGCTGGGTCGAAATCGGGGAAATCTTTCATCAAATGCTCATATATTTCGTTATCGATCTTTGTGAGCCGAAGGGAGGATCCGCGGACTTTCTCGAGGATTGCCCAATATGTAGACATATGTTGAACAGCTAACAGCGGGGTCAATGGCGGGATAATGTATGGAAGACTTTGAAGCTGTGCGAACCTTTGACAGCAAATTGCTTCTCAATCTAACAACTTGTCAGTATCGTAAATATAGGGCATATGCAGCTAAACTGTGCCCGTACGCGACTAAGGATAACCTACATCTTCGAAATTGTCTGCCTTTTCGGCATCGAACTTTGCTGGTGGCGCACTCATTTTGGCAATTTTAGTTAGGACAACCTGCGGAATATGGCTTCAAAATCCGAATATGTGGTAAATATGGTCGCAAGATTTAAAGATATGCGCAAAAATGGAAATAAGAATGGTCGTTTGTTGTGCGGGAAGAAGAAATGGTTTTCAAAAAATCAATCATGACGAAGGCGGGGTCCGGCAGATCTTTCTTCCGGGTAAGGCTAGTGAGAGTAAGTGGGTCATCAAGTGACATCACACTTCACAAATTACATGCTTCACGTAACATCTCATAAATATAAAACATTCACTTGCATCTAATATTCAATATTGCACGCATTCCTAGGTACTTCCTATTGACATGAATGCTTTCTACGGAACTTTCGTCTCGATATCCTGTCAGGATGGTAAGATCTTGCCTTCCGCTCAACTTATTGACGCAAAGCCACAGGCTTAATGCCTTTTATGTTGAACAGATTCCGACAGGAGATCCAAGGAAAATGTCACTATTCATTGAATGCTTCTCATTTCACGCCAACATTTACTCTCGTCGGTCATGAGCAGGGAAACATGACTACGATGGAACTGTGCTAATTAATGACTATATCTCAAAGTTAGTCATTAGCACACCATCTTGACAATCTCGGTGCAGTAATCTCATGAGTTGATGTTGCGAACAAGACGAGATAATGAGGTCTGTCACCAGTGAACCATTTTGGAAATATCATGAATCCTTGAATGTCCTTGATTCATACCTTGAGTCCATAGAGACTCCTAAAATGAAGTTTCTTTCTTCAAGTGTTTATGGTGTTCCTTTGGTAATGCGGATACTAAACAACAATCTCGTTTTCTCCTCAGAAGTCAAAGATACTTTATGATCATTCCTTATTTAATGCGGTGATCTCTGTCCGAAGTCGTCAATAGACTGGCAGCCTTTGAAAGCATATCCTGGGTTCATGAGGAGTATTCTGGTGCCGGAGGAGGTCACTTTAAGCAGGATCACAGTTGAGTTTTGCATTCGAGTATTGATTTTAAACTTCACTCAACATAAGTGGAATCAAACTTCATATTTACAATTCACTACTCTTTCTATTCTCACAGCCTTGCTAATATAACTCGCTAATAATAAAAATTCCATTGCAATTAACCAAAATAGCCTATTGCATCCTAACCGATCTTTCGGGCGCGTCCCACCAGTTCTTGCATACTTCGAATTCCGAAAAATTGAAAATCATGGACTCCACAGGTAATACGAGTTCCAACAACAAGAGATGTAAGATCTCATCCCCTTCTGTTCTCAGAAACCCTGCTGATAATAATAGTATCCTTGCGAAGGTCTATTGTAGGGTCAATAAAACGATCATTGTCTCCTCTCTCGAGAAAATCTGACTCAACAACTACATCTCAGACCAGTGGTTGTTCTGTTGAGTCGGCGCAAGATAGTCTCTTTTTGTACAGTGGTCGGTCTCTGCCAGGTAGTATCTCGTCCAAATCCGGTAGATTCAAAAAGTCCAACTCTGTATCGCCCAATGATCATGTTGTCACTGAATATGCGGAGAGCTCATCTTCTCAGAAATTTCAATTGACTCCTAGCCATGTACCACCAGCAACAAGCAGAATACCAAATTCCTTTTCTCCTCAGAACAGAGTATCTGTACAATCTATGCAAGACATTCCATCACCAAAGAAAAAGCTTCCAACTCGTGCAGCCTCCACAGCTAGCAAACTTAGGAAATCTCTTTCAGCTTCTTTTCGTACCGATGATAAAAATTCTATTCAAGCACTCAAGGATGCGCCAACAAAAGAAAATAGCTGGTCCACTTCAACTAAAACGGCATATGTAGCTGGGGGGCGCCTTCCTAAAAAGTTTCCGACTTCCTCGACGACTTCCAACAATAGATCATCTATTCATTCGACAAAGAATCTTCCATCGTTAGAGAAGGATCTATCACTTCCGGCGCGAGCATCATCTACAACCAGTAGACGTTCTATAGGAATAAAGGCACCACCAATGATGAATCAAACAACACCAAAGTCCGAACACTCAAGTCCACCAACAACTGCAAAGCGATCATCAATAGTTTCATTTCGGATTCCCGAAGGTGCTCAAATCAATTCACCACAAAATGATATGTTATTAGCTATTCATCTGCCGCCGAGTGCGAGCAAATCGAGCCGCTCGAGTTGGCTTTCTACTGCATCGCGTACCTCATCTACGAAAAGCAGGAATCAACCTCAATCTGCAAGACTCCAGCGTTTGGCACTAGGCGGCGGCAGAGAAACCCTACGGTCTCAACGGCAATATGTTTCGACTAGTGCCAAAGAGACTACCCTTCCTTGGGATCCTCCTTTCGACAGGAATTGGGACCTTATGGCTGATGATGGTGTGCCTGTTGATTTCAACGATACTTTTAAGCATTGTCTTCCACGACAAAACAAAAATTTCTCTATATTTTTTGATCTGCCCATCAACGTCCGCCGAAAGGTATATTCTTACTGTTTGCCTGACAGAAAAAGTATTACAGTACTACTATCACCTCATTTTGTTATAAAGAACTGCTACCATGGATATTACTTCAGTTCACCTTGGAAAGTTCTTGAAAGCGTTGCAGGAGGATTGGCCTCTTTCAGCCTAATGAGAAATGATTTGATGACCTATTTCTGGACCGAATACCAATTTCATGTAACTTTGTCACCATTTTGCAATCCAACTTTCACTCCACTCTCAAGTGTTTGGTTACCCAACTTTCTGGATAGGATTCAACACCTTACAATCGAAATTGATCTTACTAGATTCGGTGGTAACGCACTCAAGTTTGCTAGACGCTTCGGGTACAACATGGAAAAAATGGAAAATCTTTTCCTTGCTGTTGTCAATGGATTAACAAAACGAGAGGGCAAAATGGCCGAGCTTACATTGTTGTGTCGACGCTTTAATGGCTATCGGCCAATCGATGAAAATGATCCTGACTGGAAAGCAGACGACTTTTTTGGTACGTCAACCGTTCGTTCCTCTGTTCCAAGGCCCGTTTGCTCATCTAAATGATAAACTAGAATACTTTCCGAAAGAGGCTATGCAATTTTGTGATGCAGTTATAAACCTTCGTGGCATTGTCAAGTCGGTCAGAATAGCGGGATTTCCTCTAGATTATACTAAGACTTTACTCAATTCTATGTTCGGTCAAGAAGAATCTATGTGCCAATTCATTATCCCAGGTCGATCTGCATGGCCACCGCTCCCTCAATTATATGCGGGTCTAAAACACACATCAAATCTATACGCCTCGTCTATGGCTCCAACGTCATCAGAATTCCCTGATCATCAGGACAGCATCAATATTCCATGGTTGAACGAAGCATCAGTTTGTTCTATTGAATACCCTGAAGATTATGATGAAGGTCTAATAAGACCAGATACTTCGTTGTCTGTTACGACGGTCGGTGACCACCTCAAATTATATCAAGATCTTTCACCATCGACTATTTCGACTAATCTATCTCCTGACTCGGTGAACCCGTTATCAGACACAACTAGAACATCTGCTAGGAATACTACAGTTGCTTACCAAGCAATGTCAGCAGAGGATCGTAACAACTCGAAACGACATACGAATAAGCTCAATCCACGAAATTCCAAGGATTTTACTCCCAGTCACTTATGTTGTCAACCAAGAGATGGAACCCAGGTTGATTTGATGAGTCAACGAGAACAAAAAGTTTCTGACCCTGACATGATTAATCTGATACAACAAGCGTCAAAGGATACCTGGACTAATCAAAGAGTAAATCAAACGGAAACTCATCCATCTGGAGAAAATAGTGATGATCGTCGGACAGTTGGCACTGTAAATGACGGGATTTTACGGAGAACCTCAAATTCTCAAATTAAAAGGAAATCACAATTCGGAGAATGGCAAATGCCGGATATTCCAGAGAGCCCCTTGAGTAAAACTAATGCCCGTGACCATATTCCCATTTCAGAAATTAGACCTGGCACGCTTAAAGCTTCCAATGATCTTCACATACGTCGCACACATGCTCATATAGAAAAGTCAACATCAGAGAGCGATGAAGGCGCCAACAAGCCTCCATCACTATATACATCTCAAACCTCTAAACAGGAAGATTATGAAAATGCTAACGATGGGAGTCGGATCTTCACCCCTCCACGGAATTCCATATCAGAAGTTCCCGAGGACTGCAATGATTATAGTTCACCCCGACCTTTCTCACAGGTCACCCATCCTGATATCCAACAATCGGACCCTGAAAATCCTATCGACCGTCGCCTACTCCGCACTCCTTCACCGCCAGCAACACTAGTACTAGCAACCTCCCCCAATACACTAAACAGCATCAATGAAAGAGACCCCAAATATATCCTCAGTATCCTAGCTCTCCGATCCGCTTCTACATCCACCGAAAGTGTCCTTAAAGCACCAACAAAAGTTCTCCGGCCTACCTCATTAGCACATCCTACGACTTGGCCAGGTGTAAGTATGAATTCTACAACAACCTCACAGACAAGTCTCACGAGTACGGGATCGCAGACTAATCAGAGCGTCGAATCTGGAGAGTTGGATTGGAAGAAATCGAGATTTATGAGTTTGTTTCGACGAAGTGGTTAATTTGGAGGAAAGGATTACTTTTGATTCTGATTATTTTCGCTTCTTGGATGAATGAATGATGATTGGTAGTTTTTGACTCCTTTTGTAAGATTACTTTTTTTGTTTACTGCAACGGTGCGTTCTGTAGCTTGTCATGGTTGGTTGATAGATAGATATTGAGAGTGCGTAAGTTCTAGTATCCTCGTTTCCAAACATAAAATGCTTCTTCACATTCTAGAATTTAAATCATTCAATGAATAGATGGAAAGGAAAGAGCACATAGCAGTATGAATTCTATGTGGGCTTTTATGTATGAATCATTGTAATCTTAACATGCACCTTGTTACGGTCTTATCATTGAACTAGAACCTCTAAATCAAGCTACAGTAGGAAGGTTGAAATACTACTTCCTCGTTGCGGACCACTGTTCGCATGTTTCACACACCCTTTCGGTAATTTTTAAATATATGTTGTAAAGACCAGCGAAGCGAAGCAGCATATTCTGATCTTATATCTGATTCCCAACCTCCTCATCAATATGTCATCACTACACTACTGTATATAATCAATACAAAATACCCCTCGGAAACTGCCCTCTTAATGTGATTTGTTACCTGACATCGATAGATATCTCCTCATATATATCATTCATTCACTCATGGCTATCCAAATCCTACCTACTTGCAGAAATTCCCTGCCATCACAGCATCCCACCATCCCACCATCCCGAAACCGAGACAATATCCTCTTTCCTATATCACATACAAATCATATGATGAGCTACTATCTATATATCTATATATCTATATATCTATATATCTATATATCTATATATCTATATATCTATATATCTATATATATAACAAGCTCTTTTTACCCCCTTTATCTTCCATTCCCACAGAAGAATACATGATATCATGTCCATTGATCTCCACAATAGCTCGTTATGGATAGATATTAGAGTATAGATATCGTAGTCTTGTAGTAATGGGATCCAATCTCCTTGATGCAGAGGCTTGTGATTCGTATGTTTTGATGGTAATGAGCTATTTCTTGGTCTTACTGAGTTATTGAAAAAATGTTCTAGGATTCTGTAGGGCTTTTTGCGTTTCCTTTGCGTCATTGAGTAGGTAGATACCTAGCAAGGAAGGCGGAGAGTCGAGGTTTGCTTGTCGCAGGTCATGGGGGTCAAAGTCCTCCCTGAGGCGATTCATACGCATGAACAGGTTTTGAATGGAAGCCGCTATATCTTCATATCTATTTTCAACCGAAAAGACCGAAAGCTATGTGCCACAAATAGAACGTCTCGTGGCTACCCTCCATCCTATAGGGAATATACTTTACAGTTGATTGTCAAAAAAGCTAGGAAGTAACTTCAAACTCGAGGATACAACAGCGAAGAGGTAGCTAGGAGGATTTGATTGGACTAGCGTGCTGATCATGTTCGTTCGGCGACGGCGCCTCGGTGAATCTTGTAAGTGTTTTTGCGGGGATTAACCTCCTAGCTAGTAATTTCTCGCCTAGTATTAGCTGCGAGTAACTCGCATATCAGCGTTTCGATTCATCGCGTTACAAATCGGCCTGGATGATATGGCAAGAAGAGGTCTAGTCAGAAACTAAGTATCAAAAGCAGGAGGCTGAATGAATTGGTTTTGGTAGGACGTGACTATGTAACACTTGTTTCCAAACATGGGGTTTCCCTGGTGAAGCTACGGTGAGATTCCGGTGAGCTTCAAAGATGTTTCGAATATCTCGTTCCCTGATGAACTTCTTTCTTCTTGGTGAGTATCTTCAAACATCTCGATATTCGATGAATGAAGTTGTAAACGAGAGTGTGCTTACGTAACGTATACTTCTTATCGTTATCTACATGTGACCAGGCGTTTTGTGTGGTAGAGATTCTGCGCGTCGAGCTTTCCCTTCCATTTCCTAGGACACTGCCTACGAAAATTGATCCGTCAATAATTCTCAGAAATGACACAACTCGATGAACTAATCTAGTGTTACCCTAGGACCAAAGATCGTTATTTCATCGTCTTATCCTTCTTAAATCGTTCTCAAATGATCCGACTAAACAAGTAAACCTTTTGAATCTTAGTGTCACTGCCTTTACAATGTGGACCATAGAAAATGATGGAGAGCTTTTCAACGGTAGACAACCATGTTGTTCAGAACTTCTTCCAGCAGAATACTAAAATCATGCAGGTAAAAAGCTATGGCTAGTTCCGGGAAAGAAATATCTTTTTGGCAGAACGGTTTCGGAACGTTTGTTTGCCCATCCTCTTTTGCTTGTAACTCAGCTGACGATGTGCAAGCTGGACAAATCGAAATCGCAGATAAATCAGTTTCAAGACGGCATCTTACAATAGACATTGGAACCGTTGGTCCTGATGATTGCGTAAGTCCCGACTAAGTTCGGATTACAGACTATGCTGATGTTCCTATCAAGGGAAATTCCAAAAGCCGATCAAAAATCACTCTGAACGACCTCGACACCAAAGTTGGTACTATTGTGAACGGAGTGCAAATTAAGGGAAAAGGTGACTTTGAGCTGAGCAGTGACATGAATGAAGTATGCATAGGTAGATACAAGACTTTGTTCCGGTAAGAACTATTCACAATTACTTTGGCATGAGTGACACTGATTATGTAGCATCGCTTGGTATCCCGTTGTATTATCATTTTCGTTCTCTTCAAAAGAGTTGAAAGCCAAACCTCTCGAAACGCTTTATGCAACATTTGGCCCACTCGACATTAAAGTTCTGACTGAATATGAACGCGATGCAACAACTCATGTTGTTGTCAAGAAGCGCAATACGGCTAAAGGACTTCGAGCTTTGATCAATGGAAAGTATATTGTAGATAACGATACATTTATCAAAGCAATTGTTGATGCTACTATTCCAGGGCTGGATGGTACTTCTTTGCAGGAAGATTTCGAAGGAAACTTTCCGGATGCTGCTCAATACCTTCCTGAACGCGGCTCAGAACCTACAGATGAGCCAGCAAGTGCTTATGCTCCCGACCCATCAAGGGAAAGTATGTTCGATGGTTATACTTTTGTGTTTTACGATAAAGCCCAGTTCGAGACTCTCCTAGCACCTATTACAGATGGACGGGGTAAAGCTCTTTTTCGTGAAGTCACACCTTTACAGACGCCGGTCGATGAGTTTGTAAGATACGTAAAAAATGTGGCAGGAGAGAAAGGGGTGGGTGAATTCGAAGATGGAAGCGAGGGAAAAGGCGTTGTGGTTGTGGGATTCTATCCAATGAAAGGAGATGGTGTTGAATGGTTCCAAGATTTCGCTAGGCAACTTGCTCTAAATCTAGATCAACGACTTATTGTGCAGAGTGAATTCTTGGATGCAATACTTAAGAAGGATGCAAGTCTATTAAGGAGACCTCTAGAGGTCGAGATATCTGGGGTTGTTGCTTCTACACCTGGTAAGTTTTTGTCGAGTTATATTTAATGATGAATTTACTGACAGCAACAAGCAACAAACACAAATGCAGGCAGAGCAGAAGAGGTGCCTTCCAAGTCTAATTCAATTGCAGCTCCTAATTCTAGCCCGTTTGCACCATCTAACACTACTCCGCCTGGTGCATCAATCACAGCTTCGATTCCCAAGGATGCTGTCTCACAGGATACTCAATTTCGAAGAGGCAGATCAAGAAGAGCTGTAACTAGTCGTTTCAGTGGATTTGACGATGACGACGATGATGAACCTCTATCTGCTCCTGCCTCTCTTGCTCCCATACCTGAAACTATGGTAATGACACAAGAAATCCCTGAGGAATCCCAAGGTCTTTTCGTCTCTCAAGATCCCAACCGCGAACCTGATAGCTATCGCGCCTTTTCCCAGTCCGTTGAACCCGAAAAGCCATCTCAATCAACACGAGCAACACGAGCAACACGATCAAGTAAAAAAAGACCTGCACCTCCTATCGCCCAAGAGAAATCATACATGGATAGTTTCGCGCCCACCACCGCATCTTTCAAACGACAACGTCGAGAAAGAGGCGAACCAACACCACCACCTCAATCAATTAAAAAAGAAGTTGTAGCCCCTGAGCCAGTACAGAAGAAAGAAAGGAAAGAAGTCGACATCCTAGCCCTGGCAGGGCAACAACGCGAACGCGCTGAAGCTGCTGCAAGAGCTGAAGAAGAATCATTAAAACAAGCTGTCTCCACAATTGATGTTGAGGAAATGCGCAGGTTGACAATAGTTGAGGATATGAAAGTGAAACGTTCTAAGCCAGCACCGAAAACAACGCTACATGTAGATGAAAGTGAGAGATGGGATGATAAATGGAACGGACGAAAGAATTTCAAGAAGTTTCGCAGAAGAGGTGCGGAAGATGGGCTAGTCAGAGCTCGCGCTAGGGTTATTGTCCCGCTTGAGGAGGTTAAGAAGAAGGATCATGGATTTGGAGATGATTACTGGGGATTAGGCGGAGATGATAACGACACACAGCGAAGAAGAAAGAAAGGTAAAGCAAAAGAAACACAAGAAGAAACCCAGGAGATCGAAGAACCCATCTCATCGTCTCGCTCCAAAGCCAAAGCTAAACCCAAAACAAAAGCACAAGCACAACAACGAGAAATCACATCCGAAAACGAAGATGAAGAACTCCCTGAAAATCTAATGCATGCTCGCTCTCGCTCTCGCATCTCAAGCGAACATCCAGAATTTATCCCCGAATCAGACGATGAAAATGAGAATGCGGATAATGTTAATGTTAATGTTAATTCAAATATCTTCCGTCCTACTCCAACAGCTACAATTACAGCTACAGCTACACCTGTATCCACAACACGCAGCTCGAGAGCATCAACGACAACGCAGGGTTCTGGTTTGAGAAGTGGTTTGCGGGGGACTGGGACTGGGAATGTGAGGGGAAAGGATGGGGATAGGGATACAAGTGTTGCGGCGAGTGGTGGGGAGAAGAGGGCAGCGTCGAATACGCTTGTCAAGGGTGTTTCTGCTAAGAGGAGAATGCCGCCGGTTAGGAAGGTGCAGAGTGAGAGTGAGGAGGAGGATGAGGATCGGTTTAGGTTTAGGTAGAGAGGGAGAAGAGGTGGGGTTTTGAGGGATGGAGTAAATGTTAAATGGGAGAGTGATTTAGAATAGTTTTTGGGGGAGTGGTTGATGATCTGGTGTGATTTGATTTGATTTGTCGTACAATGGTTTTATTTTTTATGTTCTAGTTCATCTTGGAGATCTGATCTTCCTCTTTGTATGTGTCTGTATGTCTATCCGTCTATCTATGTAATAATCTTACATCCTGAACCACACACATGGAATACAGAATTCAGAGCTTACCGTCTAATCTCTCATACGCCCAACATCATTAAACAATAATATATCTACACAAACAGTACCCGACATTATTCCTCCACCTCCAGCGCTCCTCTAATCCATATCCTCCAATCCACCATGCCCCTCCACCTCCTCCTCAGCCACACTAATCCCCACCAAACACGCCTCCAACATCCCCTCCCAATTAACCCACGGATGCACCTCCCCAAAAAGCCTGGTCCCATCTCTCCCCGCACATTTCATCAATTCCGGTTCACCCCCGGGATGATACGGTAAATAAGGCGTGAGATTATAGACCTTACCCCCTAGAACCGTCCACGCATCTTTACTTTTTCGACCAGTGTATTGTTTGAGTAGGGAAGGAGGAACGCGGAGATAAGGTGTAGAAGGGGGGAGACCGCGGAGGTTGGAGTTTGGGGAGGTGGTTAGGCGTGCCCAGTCTAGTGGGGAGTGGTTGGGTGTTAGGAGGACTTTTTTGCGTGGTTTGGTGGGGATTGAATTGTGGGTTGGGGGTGGCGCGAGGGAGGGGGCCGTGAGTGAGGAGGTGGGTGTGCGGTTTGGGAGGGGAGAGCGGTTGGGAATGGGGCCCCGCGAGGGAGCGATGAGAGAAGGTGTAGTTGGGAGGGCGTTTAGTCGTGGGATTGCTCGTGTGCCTCCTGATGCGCGCTGTGCGGAGTTTGCGGCGGGGAAAGAGGGGATGTCGGGTTCTGGGGATGAAGGGTTTGAGCCGTCGAGGGAGAAGATCGGGATGTTGGTGTTGGGAGAAGGTTGGGAGGCGTTTGCGCGGGGTGTGGTTGGAGAGGAGGGTATTTTGTTTGGGGGTGCGGGTTTTTTGAATAGAGGTGGTGGTGGTGGTGGCATGGCAGCGCGATCAAGTGCTGCTTTGCTGGGTGGCGGCATAGTCTTATTTCCTATAATTGGCGCATCTTGGAGCGACTCTGTCATTTTCAAACTCGGCCCATCCGTCGACTTTTTCACCTTTGTATTTCCTCCGCTTCCACCTCCATCTTTCTTTATCTCCTCATCACCACCTATGTTCCCCGATCCAACATCCTCTCTTTTCCCAGCATCTCTAATACCAGTAACTGGTTGCAGTCTCCCCAGAAAACCCCACCATGTCGCAGGAGAATGTTTATAACATAAAAACGAAACCGATGCGATCAGGAGACCGAGTCCTAGGAGGACCATGATAAAGAATGTGTTGAGTGAGTGAGTGGGTGAGTGAATGAATGACTGATGTTTGATGTGGTGTATGTAATTATATTATATTATGTCATGAAAGGGGATTTGTGTGCCTCACCTGATAACCTCGGTCGCAAAAATTCATGGGAAAGAAGGAAGAAGGACCATCAGGATTCAGGACCCTTTCTTTCGGCTAGCTAGATTGTGAGATTTCCGATCGGGATGGATTTTTAGAGACCCGCTTTGCTTGATACTTTTTTTGGGATGATAAATTCGTAATATGGAGAGATTTGTTTATTTATATCTTGATTGTTTTTGGTGGTTGTTAATCGATGTTTCTCCTTAATATCATCTCGTATTTTTTGCATAGTCCGTTACATACCTACTAGGTAACTTAGGTATATAATATCTGGAAGTTCTAGTATGGAGCGGGTAGAGTAACGGTCCGGTATTTCTTCATAATACTTGGATCGGGTATTTTATTTCCCACGTTTCTTGTTAAGTTCTTGTGATGGTTGAGGAGCTACGAGCTATAGGTAAGAGTAAGTCAGTAACAGTCATAATCACCTAGCTGTTACTGTATAACTAACCCTAAGCCTTAAAGGTATGACAACAGCACTTTGCATGGGATAACGAGGGACAATCCTTGTGGATGGGGTGTTGGCAAACAGGGAGAGGTATCCTGGATAAGTAAGTCAGCTTGTCATTCCCCATGATCGTTTTGATCTTTCATTCTTTGATCTTTCTAGAAGGGTTGAGATTCTGCTAAGATACTTATAGAATAATACTTGTAAGATGATGACCCAGTACGGTGGTCATCAGTTGAGTGAGTAACGGGATGAGGGGTGCTTTTGTTGGAATTTTCCAAGATGCGTTGCCATATGATACCCGCTTCGTCGCATGAATGTGCAATTAGAGGTTGTATGATGGTATTGAGGGGGTGATCAGGAGTAATCTTGAGGGTTGGATGTTGTTTATATCAGGGTTATGCGAAGATGTATTTCTGGTAGGAGATACGAGGAGAGGAATGGAATAATAGAGAGATCTTGATGTAGGTAGGTAGGTACCTAGTTAGGGAAGTCATTCTTGGTAGTTGAGAGTAGAGAAAACCAGCACCAAATCTTCAGGTAAAAAGATGTTGGGTATTTTTGTAACCTCATAATACAAAGTAAACATATATTATTATTTACACAAACCTCAAACTACAATAAAATTTATCCATCGTCGTACAACTCACACTTCAAATTTATGTTGATATACTCCGTAAATACCGTTTCAATTATTGAAGAATTGTGGATATTCAAGCTCCTGCAATTCATCATTTCATTCATCTGATGTTAACCACCTTTATCATATCATAGACTCACTCCTATTTTAGTTACTTTTTTTAACCTTTTTATCTCTTTATCTTTTGCCCAATAAATAATATCACATCACTCACTTCCAAGGTTTAAAAGTCCATTCGCTTGGTACTTGATACGATACCTTGATACTAATGAAGCCCGCCTTGTTCTCAGTGGCTCTTCAATCTACCACCATCACTAGCACGACCACTACCACTCCCACTTCCACTCCCACTCCCACTACATCTACCCCAACTTTACATTCAAAATCACAATCGGCTACTTTACACTTACCACCACGAAAGTCTTCTCCTGCTTCTTCGACTTCTTCCACTTCTCCGGCTTCTTATCGAAGATCTCTATCAACCATCGATCACAATAATGTCATAATGCGAGTTGTTTCGCAGAAAGATTCTGCGCAGTTGACCCCCAAAACTGCTAATCCCAATATGCCTTCATACGATAAGCCAAATAACCATCGACCATTGGCACCAACGTTAAGTGCTTCTGCGAACAGAGGAATCAAACCCAAACCTCCATTAACGCCAAAAGTTTCCACGAGACCTACTTCAAGACAATCACGTACCGAAAATCTTACCCCAAATAATGCAAAAGAAGATTTATCGACTCCCGTTTCTACATTCCTCAATAGTAACAATATAACTGCAAGATCTAGTACAAGAAAGACTCGATTTGATACTTCAAACAATTCATCATCAGGAACCCCCACACCTTCCGAACCTCCCCGATTATACGATCCTACACATAATGGCTCGGCATTGGGTATCTCTGGTTTGGAGAAGGATACATCTAAACGAGCATCAGTAACATTTAGTCCCTCTAATTCGGATTTGAATTATTCACAATCATCACAATCTTCTGTCGACTCCAAATTCTTTTTTGCCAGTGATGTAAAACCGCAAAGTCACAATTCACAGCAAACGAAATCTTCACCCACTAAAAGGGCGTCGACATTGTTTCACACCAATGGAGATAAAGTTCCCAAGAAACCTTCACCTCGTTCTGGGGCATCGACGGTAGGGTCATCTGTTGGGGAAGAAAGAGGACACGCGAAATTCTTCCATGCCAATGGCACTCCTGAAATAGGATTATCACCTTCACCACACTTTGCGCCTCCTCGCCCAAGTTCGGTACTCTCGACTCATTCTCGAGTGGCATCACCACGACTAGCAAATGTTACCACATCTCCTTCCCAGCGACCTACGTCACCACATAAATCAAATCCCCAACATGCCTCAATTTCATCAGTCAGGTCTCCAACCCCATTGGCTTCTCCTGTTTTACCTCGGCCAAAAGCTGGCCCGCGTGGCCAATCTGCGAATAATATTCACATCACACATTCAAGGAGAACAAGTGCAGATGGGGGATATGGCCATCAACGAACGACAAGTACAGGATCATCTATGGAGAAATTGATAACGACAAGGAAGGTTTCATCAGGAGGCCATTTTATGGATGTACAAAACCCAATTACGATAACGGAACCGTCAAGTCCGGCCTCGCTAGCACATACGGATGAGATTCTAGAAGGCGAGGGGAAGGAGGATGAAGGAGAAGAAGAAGAAGAGGAAGTGGAAAGTGAAGACGAGGGAGAAGATGAGGATGATGATGAGGATAGTGACTCGATTTCTTCTGGAGGGGAAGTAAAAGAAGAAGTCCTTAAAGCCGGGGATTCGATAGAGCGCATGAACGAATTAGCAGCGGTCGCACGAAAGGAAAGAAAGGTGTTAGATCTGGAGATTAGGAATTCATCCCTCGAAGCTATAAATCGAACTTTAGAACGAGAAATGAGGAAACAGACAGCTGAACTACGAAGATATAAAAGACTGAGTCGTTCAGGTCGGTTATCCATGGCCACAAGAGCATCATCACGTGCAACGAGTGGAGCTCTGTCGGCCGTAGATGAGAAAGAGGGCAATGATCTATCAGATAATAGTCGGGATAATACTGATCTGGAAGATGAAGAAGATGAAGAGGAAGAGGAAGACGGCATGAGTTCTGACGAAGATTTTATTGACGATGGAACATTAAGTCCTGGAGCGGTAGCCGAACACGATCTCAAACATCGAAAAAAGGACGAAAAAAGATTACGCCTTGATTTATCAAAGCATCAACAACTACTCATTGATAGTCAAAAAATGAATCAAAGCCTGAAGAAATGTTTAGGCTGGACCGAGGAACTCATCAATGAAGGAAAACGAGCATTGGGCTACCGAGTAAAAACCAGCGATATAGGAACCCTTGCACCTCGTGTCTTAGCACACGACGAATTTGACGATGACGATGTCGAAATCGATAACGAGGGAATGTCAGCCATTGGAGCGAGTCTCCTGAGAGAAGCGAGGAGAGCGGCCGCGGAACAACATATGGAGAAGGGAGATCTTGATATACCGACAGAGACGGATGAACAATTGAAAGATTTAACTCAAGATATTCAATTCGCTCTTTTCGCTTCTTCGGGGGAACCGAGTGAAATGGTGGTGCCAAAGACGAGAGATGAAAGTTTGCAGTCGGTACCGATTGCCCCACCTACTAGTCCATGGGTTTCGACTTTTACTTCGAGGTTGCAGACACGCTCATAAGCACAAAAGGGTAGCGGGAAGGGAGGAAGAGAAGTTTTGGACGAATCGAGGGATTATATCACCACTCATAAATTTGCATCACAACGCATATTTCCTTTTATTTGTTCTGGGTTGGGCATTGGGCACTGGGTAATGAATATCAGGGGATTCTGGAATAAATGGGCATTGCGATGGCGCATTTGCTTTCACAATAAATTGGGATGGAGCGAAGGGAGGTTTTGGTAGGGAATGGAAATCCTAGCTACTTATTGCTATTACTCGACTTGTTTATTCATCTCGTTTTTGTGTTTTGTCTTGTTTTTCTTTTTCTTTTTCTTTTCTTTTTAAATATTTCCCTTCTTCTAAATCGCTTCTCGTACATACCCTTGGTATTTTTGGCCAAATACAATTGAGATACCCAAGATTACTTACTTTCGCTAATGCGTTTAAGCGGATATATGGATATATGGTATGGATAAGGGGCGTGCATATGGTATGGTGGTAAAGGGATGGGTTTGTAAGGGAGATAGGAAGGGATGGGGAGGAAGGAGGGGAAGAAAGGAAAAAAGATAGAATATTAAAACTACAGTATAGTGGTATATGTGTCTGTGTCTGTGTTTTTGCGTGCTGGCCGGTGGGTTGGTGTCTCTGTGTGTGTAGTAAATTGAGAATAAGAATAGAAGTTGAATAAATGAAAGAAAGAAAGGAAGGAATAAACAAATCTTGAAAGTGAGTGTGAAAGAACGAATGAATAAATATAAGATTGATTCGGAGTAGATGGAATAAGGCTGGTATTACTTTCCACATATTATAATATCAGACTTAAGATTATGATTTGTGATCTTATGATGTTATGATGTATACCTAGTATATGAAACGATATTTTAAGTTAAGAAAAAAATGAAGAATTATACATCTGAAAAATAAATATTAAGAGGTATCAATTGTATTGTCGTAAAATCCTAAAATTCCTACAAATAAAAAGGAAAAAAAGCCGGCTAAATAGTTTAAGATGAGATGGAATAAAGATACAACCTTATCATTACAGCATTAACAACATCAACAGATCCATTTTTCCACTCTTACCTATCTTCCCTTCCTTCCTAATCTTCCTTCTTCGCTTCTCATCTTTCATCCTCTCATTCACCTCAAGACTCACCTATCCATACTTTTTCTCAAGCTTCTTTAAAATCCCCGTAACTCCCTTTTCCAACCTTGCCGCATTATCTTCCAATCTCCCTCTAGGTCCCTTTTCCTTACCCTTCCCATTTTCCGCATCCTTCTTCTTCTTTCCACTCCCATTTTTCTTTAACTCCGCCTCTATTTCAGTCGGTCTATAAACCTGTTGATGAATATTGTAATCACTTTGTGTCATCAACGCTTTTCCAAAACTGTTTTGCACACCCGTATACGTATAGTTTGCAAAACCTCCTGGAGGGGATAGAGGTTGGAGACCTGGGGCGGGAGAGGAAACGGGAGGGTTTTGGTGTTGTGGGGCGAAACCAGGGGAAAAGAGGCCTGGAGTAGGTAGGTTGTGGGATGGGTAGGAGCTGGTGGAAGGGAAGGTCGCATATTGGGTTATGGGCCCTTGGGTTGGTGAGATAGGGGGTGAGGAGTAGGCGGGTGGTGCAGGGCCCGTGGGAGTTGCGAGAGGTTGGTTATTGTCAGTGGGTGGTGGTGCGAAAGTGATAGGAGAGTTTGATGTGGGTGGAGGTGCAAATGAAGTATTTTGAGGTGCAACTTGTGGGGAAAATGGGGAACGAAGTACGTTCGTAGAGGGGACAGAGCCAGCGTGGTAGTTGGAGTTCGGAGGGGTATTGGTATGTTGGGGTGGTGGAGTGACTGCCTTGAAATTACCTTGTCCGTGCGCCGAATGTTGCGGTGGAGACATCATGGGGAAAGTTTGCTGCCTTTGAAATTGTGGTGGTGGGGCTGTTGCCGAAAAGCCTGGATGTTGCTGAAATTGTGAGGGCGGAGAGAATTGTCCTTGGTCTGAAGTTGCTGCATGCACAAGTGGATTTCCAGCTCCATCTTCGGGTGGAGGTGTCTTTTCCCGATGCTGGATAACTTCAGGGGCGGCTGGTGCAGCTGGATTATAGGCCATCGGGGCAAAAGTAGTAGCAGGAGCTTGTGACTGTGGACTCGAGGAAGGCGGGGGTCCAGGAAATGAGACTTTTATAGCAGCTGGAGGAGAAGTTCGAGATGTCTTGGTCCTACCATGTTGATATGAAGGATCCGAGATAGCTACGTTTTCCAATTGTTGAACCACAGGACTCATCTCATCCGCGTGAGATGGTGGTAGTATTGGCTCATCCTCAATTGTAATCTGATGTTGTGGTAAGACCCTCCGCACTCCATTCACAAAATTGAGTGCATCTTCTTTACTCCAGAAGTATAAATCAATAGTGTGAAGTCTGTACATGTATTTGGTCTCATTTCGAGGGTCAAAAGTTGGTAAATGCCATTCTTGTGCATCAATGGGACTATTTTGTTGCTGTCCATTGGGTCCATCTACAGTCAAAGTGACGAGTGTGGTGTGTTTATAAGAGTATTTGACGTGAGCGGAGTCGAGGTCTGTTGATGCTGGTATCAGCAACGGAGATTTTTCGCACTCAAGCCAAAATACACATTACTTACGGCCAGTAAAAGCATCTTGATCTGGAGTGCCGGCATTATTAGCTATTTCAAGTCGAGCCCTTCTCTGACTTGCATTCTCGAAAAGATAGACATATGAGCTTTTATCGAATCTGTGGTGAGGTGGTTTTGCCGTTGGCAGTCCATAATAATAATGTATATCTGCGAACCTGGAAGAGATTAGACAAATAACTGTGTAAAGAGATTGAGAGGCGTTCACATACAGAGTAGCTGCTAGATCCTCCCCTGATCGTGCTGCCATTTTTATCGACCTGCGATTATGTGATAGCTAAGAGTACTGAAGAATTGAAAATGGGCGCTCTTTTTTGCGCGATGAAGAACACAACAGGAAAATGAGAGGAGAGAAACAAATGAAAAAGAAATACTTATTGAAAGAAGAAGATATAGAAGAAATATGAGACTTGCAATACATCATGCCGAATTACCTGCAGCATGGGTGGTGATGAGTACCATGTTCGGCGGCAAAGCTGCATGAAGATAGAGCCAATGAGGCCTCGAATTGATGTGATAGAAGATTGGTGCCTTAAAACCTTATCGCGATTAGATGAGGCAGAAATAAATTATTTTTGGTTTTTGGCTTCCTCGAGATAATTCGAGACGGATAACCTCAAAGGTGTTATATGAAATTCTTTCGCGGCTGCAATTGTTAAACTACGAATATAAGGTTTACCAAATCCAGAGGTGGCTTTTCAGTATATTTTCAAAAGAAATCTAGCTAACATTTCCCGCCAGCATTGCATTTACATCTCCACCTCGAAGAAGATATCCCTGGTAGATCTCATCAATTGTGCCCGCGCGGGCTTGCGAATTCGTCCTAGAGACTCTCAATCCTCGTCATGTCTCTCGTAACTCTTTCCCACGTAGCTTCGCATCTCCAAAATGCCTCAAAAGCCCGTCTTGGGCTCACTTCCGTCCCATCCTCGAACATGATCCTCACTCTCATGCTCAGTCTCCAATCGTCTGGATTTCTATCCTCGGTCACCCGTGGTGGCCTCACTCCTCCTCCCATGGACGAACTATCTACATATGAGCCAGAAGCTGTCACACAGCGAAATATCTCGACAAGGAGGTTATGGCTAGGATTGAAGTATTGGAATAATGAGCCGGTGCTGAGTCGGATGTCGGTGATCAGTAAACCCACGAAGAGAATTTGGATGGATGTAGAGGGGCTTTCGGAGATCATAAGAGGAAGAAATGCAAACTTTGTGGAGGGTTTGCGGAACCCAGGAGAGTGTATCTATATTAGTACATCAAGCGGGATCATGGAGGCAAGAGAATGCGTAGAGAGGAGGGTGGGTGGTATGCTTTTATGCAGAGTGGAGTAGGTATGATGATCAAGAATTGTGTAAAATTACAGGGCATGATCATTTGTGGGAGTTTAACAAGTGTATAAAAGAGATGCTGGTCTTGCCCAAAGGTAGATCAATCACGGCTGGGAGATAGAACTCCGAATCACGATTCCAAACTGCAAAAGTATAATGAATTTGGGATCCAGAAATACGTGCTCCTTCGGCCACCCTCAAATACAAAAGCATAACTGCTAACAATTCTTCAATTTCCTTAAGCGGGTTTCCAACCCATTATCACACCAATATCCAGATGTGCCCCAAAAGCACTAGCAACCGCAGCCGAGACTCATGTACTTGAGCCAGCAGTTTGTGAAAATACTATCCTGCTCCTTAATATCTCTCGATTATCCAGTTTCTCCTCTGTTCATCGTTCATGGGCTTCATGAGCTCCAGCTCCGCCCGTTTCATTGCAATATATGTGACCACTACTGCCTCACCAAGTATCCTATACATGCCTTGGTCGTTTTTGAGACAGGCAAGCGCCTCCTCCAAACTACTTGGCAGCATTTCTTTGATATTGTAATCATCTCTATCTGCCTGGCTCAACTTAGCAGGGGACATATCGCAATCAAGCCATGTCATCTTTTCTTTTGCAATCACGCCTTCTACACCGGCACCAATCATTGCTGCTAAGGCCAAATAGATGTTGGCGAGGCCATCCAAGCATCTTATTTCCCAGTGCGATCCTTCGATTTTTCGTAGTGGGGTTTCTCGGTTTTGCGTACCCCAAGTCACCCAAGTACTGCCGGCAAAACCACCAGCCGCAGAAATACGGTCGTAGCTCGCAGCGTTACTATAGGTCAAAGCCGTAATTGATCGAAGATGTTTCAATATTCCAGCATAGAAGTGAGTATAAGTTTCTTCCTTCTCGCCTTCTGGGGTAGGTATGGAAAGGTGAACATGTGCTCCCGTACCTATTTTGTCCGGGATAGGTTTGGGGTGTAGTGTCGCGCGCCATCCATGATTCTCTGCAATTGTAGTGATGATTTCGCGAGCCTGTAAAAGTACATCTGCAGCCTCAAGGGGTACGCAAGCAGGGAGGACAAACTCAAATTGGCCAGTGGCCGACTCTGGATGCCATTGTTCAATGTCAATACCAGCATCTGAAAATGTATCCACTATTTCACCCACAACATCTCTGATAGCATGGGGAAGGGCATTATTGGATCCCCAACAATGAGAATCCGCACCCGGAAGAGGACCAAACGTGAATGTGTTGTCTTCATTGAGTGTGCCTTTCATGAACACAATTTCAATCTCAGAACCAACAAGAAATTCAAGACCGAGATTCTTTGCTTTGTTCACTATGTTTCTGAGAGTGGTTCTGGGACATACATTCAACGGAGTATTGTCCTGGTTGCGGAGTTCTGCTTGGGCCGAAGCATAGCCATGACACGGACCGGGACGCATTGAAGAGACGTCAGCATTTAGAAGCCTGAGAACCCCTCTAGGAGAAACGGAATCGATACGATGATCAACTGGCGTCAGCGTTAAGCTACTATTAGTGATTCCGATGGATACATCACTTTTTTTGTCGCACAGAAGTTCATGGACACGTTTCATGGGTAAAATCCGTAGTCGAGTGAGAGAGCAGTAATCGATGTATTGTACACGCAGAAACTTAACTTCTGGGTGGTTTGCCATGAATAATTCAAAGGTCTCAAGGTCCGATGGATTTTTTAAAACCTTTGCGCCACTAGCCCTCTTGGCTCTGCTATTTTTGTTGTGCGAGTTCAGTTGATGGATGTTGTTGACACCATTGACGCCCTTGGTGCCGTTGAAGTTGTTGGTTCGGTTAATCCCATTTGTCTGTTTAACATCATCCACTCCATTAACAGGTCGCTCAACCACCTGTGTCCCTGTTTGCTTCAATTTTAATTCAAGACCATAAAGTTCGTTAGATGTGTTAAAAAACACATCTTCAACGAGTTTAACAGCTTGTGTAGGAGTCAATATTTCCTTGTCGACATATTCCATGAGTACCTGGGGATTTTCAGTATCACCGTACGTAGACTTTGTTGTAACGTGGCATTGGAGTGCCCTACCTTCTCGAAAGCTTCGCGAGATTGAATCTTTGCTAGCAAATATGTTTCTGGAAACCAATGCCCATCTGTACTCCAGACGATCTTTTCTGAAGGACAAAGCTCTAAGAGATCGCGGATAACAGCCTCTTGGCCATCTTGACTTACACAAGGAAACACTTCCCCAATATCAGCATAAACATTCGAGTATACAGTAGCTAAGTATCCCGTTTCTTTTGTCCACGGATAACCCGTATGAAGCAAAACGATTGGAACGTCCGGATACTCGCGGATAAAGCCTTGTAGATGGGATGGTGAAGAGCGAGTAAGAGTTATGTCTTTATCTCCCAAGCCAGTGTGGAATTGAATTGGCTTCTTGTGAGTTGTCCTTGAGTCTTGAATGAGTCCAGCTGTCATGTGAATAGCCCAGGAATTCAGAAGTTGGTTATCGGACCTTGTGGAATGACTATAACCTTCGGCCTTCTGCTTCATAATACATTGCAACAACGACTCTTTTACCTCTCCTAATGGGTAGGCCCGAGAAATATCAAGCCCTGATCTATAACAGATGACTGATTTGAAGGCAACAACATCGGTATCAGACAGAGCATCATTTATGGCTTTCAGAAGCCCTTCAAGCACCGAGGCAAAGAAGTCGTCCTCGGAAACAGCGAATAAATCTAGGTTCTGGTCCACTATATCTGCAGCAAGTTTTTCGATTCTTACTATTCTCTTACACTTTCCTACAACAGCCGAGATTAGCAAGGTGTTGAACGTATTGGCATCTATCGTGTCGAGGTAACACAACTTCTATACGAGTGCGGGGAACATGAAAGTACTTACTACTTGTTAGTTTGTCGTGCCAAGAATAGTCGAAGGCATCATTATCCGTATTCAGACCATCATCGAGAAGGATTGTTTCAATTCCTTCAAAACAATATTTTGCCCAAACACCATCTGGCTTCTCATTTTCTTTTGCGATGGCTTTCGTAACATCACTCCATGTTTGCGGACAGCCGAGAATTTCGGCGAGTTGATTTGTAGCTCGAATGTGTGCCAATGATGAACTGGAAGCCTTTAGAGCATCTCCATTCGCCTCGGTAGTAATGCCTAGTAGTGGATATTTGCACTTAGACGAAGGAATAAGTAATGGGTGAGCATGATTATCAATCAGTGGAGTGGTACGGATGGCATGAATAAGTCGATCCATGTTCGACGTAGGAGATATAACTTGAGAGATAAAGATGAAAATTCTCAATTATCTGCAGACATACGTGGTTTATAAACTCATGGTGAAGCGGAAATAGAGGAAATAGCCCCTCATTCCCCTCATGATGTACAGCCATGGCGCCAATGTCAGGACCTCCTTCAAGATTTGAAAACTCATTTAGATGCGGGGCAAAGGAAGTATATACTCCGTTGATACACTTGCATGGCCGCAATATAAAATATGACGACAGTTACTTTTGGTGTTGTATAGATTGTAGTACACTAGGAAGGCAATGTAAATGGTCGATTTATAGAAGAACGGTCTTCTAGCTTTGGTAAGTCCAGAATATGTGAAGGTCGATTGAAATATGGGAATAGCAACAATTCGAGGAATTAAGTACCGTACTTGTATTATGCTTCCAGTCAGTCTGCAATTACAAAGCTAAGAATCCATTACACAAATGGCCTAGACTCCGTCATTAGTCTAGATTTTATTAGTGCCTAAGGCTGTAAGGTTATGTCCACATAACCTTACAATAATAAATGCAGCGTCCAGATTGGTTCACCGCTCGGATTGTTGAATGATATATTCAGCCGGCTGAAGTCACACTTGCATCTCATCCACTTCTTTTCGATGTTCGTACTTCATACCTCCTCCCAACATTTCATTTGACCAATTTGAGTATATTGTCCACAAGAACATGGGTATCTTGTGTCAGCTCACTCCGGTATGTGAAACATTTCCAAACCAGCGGTTTTGCCAATGTTTGGCTGCCGTGTTTTCAATATCTTCATAAACTTCGACCTTCTCTTTTCGAAAAGGTAGGCGTGCAAGCAAAAGAAAAGTCAAGTGGCTAGACCTATTGCACTTGGAAGAACGTTGGTGCAGGTGAAGCATGGGGTACACAGATTTGTTTTGTCTACCGGATGTCATTATGTTACATCCCGATGAATTGGTGTGTTTTGAATGGGCATATTGAGCAGAGTGGCTTTTTATCAATTCTTCACAGAACATGAGTGTCATCTTCGGCCCCAAAACACGGCACTTATTTTGGCCTTCTTAGGAGCATTGTAATATACCATGATTCACTTAGGCGCCGAAAGTGCACTGCTATGGATCTCTCATTTTTATTCTTTTTCCAGTTCCTCGAATTGGACTTTGCGAGGATGATTTATCCTTGACATGATCATCGATTGCTATGAACATTCGAGTCCTGGAAGTTCTCTCATTGTTCCTTAGTTTGGTCTCGTATATATGATATTTGAATCTGAAAGAACGCCATTTCAGTTGGTTGCCGGGACGATTCTGTCTACCAAAACTACAGTTGTGCTACTACGGAAAATATAGAAAAGAGCATTTCCACGATCATTTCGAATCGCATCACATTACTACTTAATCAATACTTAAAGGCCTTGGAACAATATCCACTTCCGCCGTTGCATCGGATGTACCCTCTCTTTGGCAAAGATCTAAAATCTGTTGAAAATGGAACACCAAATTTCGCCTGCCATTTTGGAAGGCTCTGGAAGCGGTAATATCATTGCAACGGTTCCTAAAAACGCAGATAGACGATCGCGGATTGAGAGGGTGTTTCCCATCCGTATCGAAACAGGGCCGGGTACAGGTTGGACGTCCAAGACTTGTTCAACATGTTAACTAACGATGCACAGAAGTTATTGGCCCCACGTCTAACGGTTCTGATGTTACAAAAGATCAAAATGTGCCAAATACAACAGCTCCCATGGCTGTGCCGGTCGTTGCAGCTGAGAGCGAAGGTGCCATTAATCAAAGACATCCAAAGGTCGTTTTAGCAGAATCTTGCCGGCCATTATCACCATCTGAAAATACTTTTATTACAACTTCAATTCATCATTTAATTTCTGATAATAAGCCAATTCCAAACCATGAAATTAATGAGGTGGTACTTCGTTGCGAGGATGAGCCCATTCAAATTCCTGGATCCATCCAAAGTTTCGGAGCATTATTAGCCCTGGAAGAGAAAGAAGACGGGCGATTCCTGGTCCGGATCGCAAGTGAGAATTCTGGAACCATTATTAATCGCGGGCCTGAAGATTTATTTGCGCTCTCTTGCTTCACTCAGCTATTAAGCCCAGTGTATGAATCGGACTTCAGAGCCCGGATTGAAGCCAGAAAACTGTGGCATCAGAAAGAACATCTCAAAGCATATCCAGATATTTTCACGATGATGCTTGAGTCAACTCCGCAAACCCCTATGTATTGTGCCTTGCATTTTCGTGAGGATGCGGGCTTATTCATATGCGAGTTTGAGGCGAAGAATGATATATTGAGTGATATCCCTCCGGAGGATTACAATTTGCCTGGGGAATCCGTCAACGTTATTGATAATCAGGCTACAGAAGAAGAGCGAATCGTATCAACCACAAAATATAGTGAGCCGTTTCGCACGATACAAAGGACCAAGAACAGACTTGGTGAGATGGAGATGTTTCATCTAGGCTGTGAGGTCCAGGAACAGCTTAATTCAGCCACCTCAATAGCTTCTCTGTTAGACATCGTCGTTGGTCTCGTTTTTGATCTGACGGGATTTCATAGGGTCATGGCTTACCAGTTTGATGAAGATGATGCGGGGCTGGTTAGAGCGGAGTACATTGATGAGAGAGCTTCATTAGACCTCTATCGTGGTCTCAAATTCCCAAATACTGACATTCCAATCCAGGCTCGCCAGCTCTATGCGCTAAACAAAATACGATTGCTGTATGATCGAACAGCAAAGACAGCGAGGCTCATGTCCTCAACCAAACAACATAACCCCAAAACTCTCAATCTTTCATCGGCATATTTGAGGGCCATGTCACCTGTTCATATCAAATACCTTAAAAACATGGGTGTGCGGGCATCTTTCTCAATCTCCTTGATTGTAGAAGGACGGCTTTGGGGCTTGATCTCTTGCCATGATTATGGCCTAGAAGGGAAAAGAGTTTCTTTTCCAATGAGAGAGCTTTGCCGAAGCCTAGGTGATTGCACAAGCAACAATATCGAGAAACTACTCTACCTTTCCCGGATACAAGCGAGAAGACATCTCGGCAAAGCACCTCCGAAAGTCTCGCCATCCCAATATGTTGCCGCCTCATCCAGAGATCTTTTGCAGATGTTCGAAGCAGACTTTGGCTTTCTAGCCATAAAAGATGAAGCAAGAACGATCGGTCGCCTCTATGCCTACAACGAAAGCATTTCTTTACTTCAATACATTCGCAAAAAGTCTCATACATCAGTGTTTTGCACTCAAAGCATATCCGCAGACTGCACAGATATCATGTTTCCCGCCCGCTTTGTTTTGATCTCTGGATTTCTTGTGATTCCATTGTCTCTGTCAGGAAATGATTTCCTGGTATTTTTCCGTAAGGGTCAAGTGAAGGAAGTCAAGTGGGCGGGGAATCCAAACGAGAAGATCTACAAACCTGGAACACAGTACCTTGAGCCAAGAGCAAGTTTCAAAAGATGGAGCCAGCATGTTGTAGGTACTAGCCGGGAATGGACGCGGGAGCAAGGTTGGTTTATCCTAGTTCTAGTCGGTTCATCCTAATCTGAAATTTTATAGTGGAGTCGGCAGGAGTCCTAAGCGCATTATACGGAAGGTTTATTGAAGTCTGGAGACAAAAAGAGGCTATTGTACAGCAGAATCGGATGACACGATTGTTGATACGACAAGCCGGAGCTGAAGGTACGTCACCTAAAATATGAAAGCTTTTGAGCGTTACTGATGTCTGCAAGTGCGAAATCCATTAAATGCTATAATTGGTTACCTTGAAATCGCACTTGAGGATGAACTCGACGAAAAAGCACGTCTGCATCTTGAGAAATCTTTAGGCGCATCAAGGTCACTTATCTTTGTGGTGAATGACCTTCTTAATTTGACAAAGGCAGAAGGAGAAGATCCGGAAATGTCTCATGATAATGTTGTTTTGTCAGAAATGATGAACGATGTCATCGATGATTTCGGGGATGAATGTCAAAAAAAGAGTTTACATATCAAATTCGACGAAAGCAATGTCCCACCGATGGTAAAGTGTGATGGTATGCGTTTGAGACAAACTATTTCAAACTTACTTTCTAACGCTGTCAAACATTCGACTGCTGGTGATGTGGTTGTTGGATTTAAGAATGTTGAAACTGATGATGATGATGATAAGACTCGAGTCGAAATGTTTTTCACTGACAATGGGTCTGGGTTCACTGAGTAAGTTTGTTATTTTAGTAGCACAGTTGAACTAGGGGAAGACTTCTTTGTGTAGCCCAATATTTCCAAAGAATATACTAAGCTACCTCTTATAACGAGACTAATCCTTCGTGTTCTTAGACCTGAACTTGACGGCATATTCCAAGACTTTGAGAAAGTTCTCGACGACGACCAAGAGGTAGATGCATCACCATGCCTCGATGCAGACAAATCATCAATTGGTCTAGGACTAGCCGTAGCAGCGCGATTCGTGCGACTCAACGATGGCAAAATAGTTATAAATACGGAACCAGGACACGGAACCACAGTCACCGTATCAATACCATTCCGCAAGTCCAACGGAGGACATTCTTTCAATGCCAGAGCTCCACGAGGAGACATCTCAAATGCATCCACCAGTAGCGAAACTCCCAAGTCTGAAAGTAGCAAAAGCTGCGACACGCCCGAGAGATTCCAGGTCCCTCCTCCAACTCCCCTCAAAGAACCTTTCCTTACATCCACGACGGAAATACTCGAATCACCCGAATCAGCACCCGGCACCTTAGCTTCTCAATCTTCACCATCTCTCCCGCCTCCATCTCAATCATCACTCTCCGTCAAATCCGTGACGACAAACTCCGACTACCAGCTTCAATATCCTTTCCCTATCATGGATTTGCCTCCTCAACCCGAAATTCGCAATCTCAATGTCCTAGTTGCAGAAGATAATCCTCTCAATAGTCGACTTTTGGAAGAACGGCTCAGAAAGCGAGGCCATGTGGTGACTGTTAAGGTAAACGGACAAGCTTGTGCGGATGCCGTGTTAGCTACTCCAGATGGTTTTGATATCGTCTTGATGGATATACAGGTACCATTCCCATTCCCACTCCCACTCCCCCACCCTCATCTTACCTATTACAAACCCTCCCAACTAAACCCTTCCTTCCCTCCCTCCACAGATGCCCATAGCCAACGGCTTCCAATCCACAACCATGATCCGCACCTCAGAGTACCTAAACACACCGCCCATCTCCCGCCGCGCAAAAGTCTATGGTCGTCTACCCATCATAGCTGTATCCGCTTCCCTAGAAGCAACCAAACGCGAAGAATACATCGAGCGCGGATTCGACGGCTGGATACTCAAGCCGATTAATTTTAAGAAGTTGGAGGAGATACTGGCTAGTGTGGAAGATGATGCGAAGAGAGAGAAATTGTTGTATGGAAATAAGGGGGTGGTGTGGAATAAGGGGGGTTGGCTTAAATTGAAGAGTTGCAGTGGGAGTGGGGGTGTGGGTGGTGGTGGCGGAAGTGGTGGTGGTGAATTGAGTTGAGGATGATGGGAAGGGGTGGTTGATTTTGTGGTCGATTAGTATTGCATATTGGATGGATATGAATGATCATAACCAAGCAACAAGATTACGAGAACAATCTCAAAAGATATTTACCTACCTACCTACCCAAGTCAGCACCTCTCCTCCCCGTATCCGGATACGCACAAATATACAAAGATAGTTTCTTTTGTTTTTCCTTTCTTCTTTTTCCTTTTAATTTCTTTCTTTTACTTCAATAACCTCCAACGCGTACATGGGTTCTTTCCACAATCCTACTACTATTGTATTATGGGTAGTTATTTGAATACTTCCATATGGAATATGGAATACGATGATAACTCTATGTCCTATCTTTTATCGAGATATATTTAATATCTTATTAATGATGAGATCGCAATGCCATGATGACTTGATCATGAGTACGAACATCAAAAACATCGTAATTTATAAAAAGTATGGGCATTAAATATGATCAAAAGAACGGTAACAACAACTGTGACAACGACGACGGTATTCAACGCCCACCACCCAAATATTCCCATTGACCAATTCCGTGGCCATTACCGTGACGAACGCCCAGCATTACTTCAATTTTCATACGCATAACCATACCCCAAACTACAACTTAACACTCCCCCCATTCAATTCATTCCACTCCTTCTCCCCAAACTTCACATACTCCTCTGCACCCGGCTTCAACCAGAACAATTGATCACCACTCTCCTCGACCACATTGGGATCCACACCCTGTTTCCTAACAACATGTTTAACCATTTTCACGGTACCCGTGATTTCCATTTTCTGGCCTTCTTTCTTAACTCTCAAGAAGATTGGGACCGCGTAATTCGGTAATCCCTTTTTCGCATGAGCGGCCAAATCTCTCATGACTCTGGGACTTTGATCTTTCAATATAAGAGCCACGCAGCCTACGCGGCCATCATGGTGTGGTAGGGAAACACCATATACGTTTGCTTCTTGAACTGCTGGGTGAGTGGAGAGAGCCTCTGCGACTTCGTTTGTGGAGACATTTTCCGATTTCCAGCGGAATGTGTCGCCGATTCGATCATTGAAGTAGACTCTTCCTTCGTTATCCCAAGTCATGATATCACCTGTTCGGAACCACGCATCGTCTTTTTCGAAAACGCTTCGTAAGACTTTACTGTCCGATGCATCTTGGTTACCAAAATATCCTTGATAACCCGAATGTATATCGGCGGGGTCAAGCTTATACAGCATTTCTCCTGGGCTTCCATATGGTAGCTTGGTGCAGAATCCAGTAGTTTTCGATCGACGTGGTTGTTCCGTTTCAACATCTAATTCGACTACGGCCCATGATTTTCTCAATAGAAGCCAGTAGATAAATCCATTGCGGCTCACAGCACCCTTGCTAAAATCATTATTTGAATAATTCCAACCAGCTCCTGCACCTTCAGTTGCGGAGTAAAATTCAGCAATCGTTTTGATGTCAAACCGTTCCCTAAACTTATTCCAGACATCAGGTCTTAGGCCATTACCGAATGCCATCCTAACGTCGTTCTTCTGGTCAAGATTTTCGCCTGTCACGGGATCATATTGAGGAGGGGCGGATAAGAGGTAGCGACAAACTTCGCCAACATATTGAATAATATTCGCTTTTGATTCTCGAACTTCTTTCCAGAATGTCTTTGTAGAGAATTTCCTTCCAATACATATTGTTGCTCCCATGTTAAGAGCTGCCAGAACAGCAAGGACACTAGCAGCAGAATGGTACATAGGCATGCACTAAGAAAATCAGTATTGTAATAGACAAATGGAATAATAAACGCACAGTATATAGTATGTCTGGTCGACTATATCCGCTCCACTTTGGCATGATAGTCGATCCAAAATTAGCCTTTCCCCAGGAGAGAACTGCGGGTTTAGGTAAACCTGTAGTTCCACTGGTGTATATCAGCATTCCAATCTTTGACTTTGTTTGCTCATGTCTCGTAGAATCCGGCTCTCGGACGCCCTCGGTGGATTCAATAGCAGCCTCTATTTCAGGGGTAAGAATATGAAATGAGATATCGGGAAGTTCATCTCGAACTTCCTGTGTCAGTTTTTCTTCGACTACAAGATCGACAATGCATAATCTGGCAGTGGAAACTTTGACACAATGTGATAATGCGTTTCCCGTCAAATTGTAATTTATAAACGCTGGTTTGGCGCCTATACTCCATAATCCAAACCACAAGAAAAAGTATTTATCTGAATTGGTGAAATCCATAGCAACAATTTCTTCCGGCTTGACATTGTGGGTATTTTTCAACCAAGTTCCGTATTTTAAGACTATATCGTATGTTTCCTTGAATGTCCATTTCTTGCCTTCAAATATTATGAATGTGTCGTTTGCAAAATTTCCTCTGGCATGTTCTTCGAGTATGTAAAACATATTAAGGCGATCCTCTTTTTCCCTTCTGTTAGTAAAGGCGTATGCTTTTATTGCAGCACCCAATAATTGATAATCGTAGCTCAAAGAAAACTTAGCGTTAACATATGCCAGCCCAGCCAAAGCTACTGGAGCTGCTAAAGCTAATGGGACTATCAACTATCAGTAATCGCAATCGTTCTCCAAGGCGTGATGATATAGAAGCTAACCTGGCATTTTGATAACAATGTGATAGCAATATCTTTAAGTATCAGAGTGAACACCTCCAGGGCTTCCTAAAAATACTATAATAATGGTGAAATGTTATATCCAGACTGGCAGATTCGAAAGGGGATGACACGGCGGATGCTGTGGGACCTGATCGAGCAAATATGGAGGATAGATGTTTGGGCCGTGGATATATCCAATACAGTCGATTCAAAGGCACGATTCAAGGCGGATGCGCAGTTCAGATGAGAAAAAGGACGAAAGATAGATAGATAGTTGAAAAAGATTGAACTTAAAAACTTACCGTCCATAATATGGCCGAAGTCTGGATAATATGCATGCATCCCGCCGTTGGGTCATTTTTATTCATTCCTCAAATTGTGGAAAATGCCTCGGCATGGAGGAATAGTTGACATTTGGCGTGCTTCGCATTGCACGGCTTTCCAAGGTCATTGTAATTGTAATACTCAATCAGCTGCAGGGCAATGCAAAAGAGGTGGGTGGTTCTATCTCGGACTTGATCTCTCCATGAGGGTTTTAGGATCTTTGTGCCTCTGAGATGCACAGTCCCTTTCTTCTTCCCACTGCCAATCACGGAAACTTATGCATTCATGCAAAATCCACACTTGAACTCTTGTCCGTCCTATTCGTCCCAGAGTATGGGTATCGGTCGGGTTTGTGCCACAATGATGAAGCCGATGACCCTCGATCATGAACCCATGCATGATTTACGGAGACATAATATTCGATTGGCTGGTTGGATAAAATAGAACCGATGGAATCTGTGTGTAACCAGTGTAAATAATGGGTTTCCCAAATCAACTGACCGCTAACTTTGCCTTAAACCTTATAAGTAATGAGAGAAAAAAGAATAATTGGGTCTTCGGGTCTTTTCCCTGAAGAAGTTTAACAGACGTTGCCCAGCGCCCAATTGCTGTTAGTGTTGTTTAATGCGCAAGTTCTGGCTCGTGCTTCACTTGAAACAGCATTATTATCTCAGCCTTGTCAGTTCAGCCTTGTCAGTTCAGCCTTATCAGTTCAGCCTTATTTACTTAGCCTTCCAATCGCTAAAACTTGTTTGTGCAAATGCAACGCGGCAACGCAGGCGATACCTAGAAACAGATACTGTAGCTGGCAAATGGACACCCAAGCTTCAACATAATGTCAACATCAACAAATGAACCTGCATCCTCAGGAACGACCGAGAAGACACTTGAAGATGTGAAAACTTTCAATGATACAGCACCCGAAAATGCTGTCACAGCAGTAAACAAAAGGAAGGAACCACCTCCTGAGAAGCCCGAAAATGCTCGCATGCGAACCCAAGTTCTTATTTCATTCTGGGCCATTATTTTATTATTTGGTGTGCCAATATGGTGGAGAACGACGACAATATATAGAGCTCCATTACCTTTAGATCAAATGACAGATTGGGCCGAAGGAAGAGTATGCTGCAATCATTCGCATAGCTAGCATTTACTGATTGATCATTGCAGGCATGTCGACCAGTCTTTCCACTTACAATTTCAATAGAAGCCGAATCGTTACAAGACAACGAAGCTCAAAATCTTTTGCGAACTACACAACATGCTTTAGACGATTTAAATGATTTCTCCGCGCATCATCTACGGTTACAACTTTCCCCGCCAAACAATGCTTCCGCGACTCTGAAGGGTTTCTCATCTGGAGGCATGGGAGAGGATGTTGCTTTGACTATTAGACTTCTGCCTGGACCGGCGTCACAATTCAATTTGCAAGCCTATGCACCTGTTTTAGATATATACTATTCTCCAAATCAAATTCCCTCGAGTTCGTCATCATCATCTTCATTAGCGACTTATATTGCGAATACCTTACGCGGCGTGTTTGCCGAAGAACAGGCTATGATCGCATACTTACTTTCCACCAGCTCCGCACCGCCAGAAAGAAGCCCCAAAGTATTGGCGCCGGAAGTGGCAGATACTTTGGCCAAATGGACAACGCGATCATTGAAATATTCTGGAACTTATCACTTAACCTTCTCCCTCTTTACTCCAACTGCTACTCCCTCCTCTTGGGACATTGAAGCTGCGCTAGAGGAATACATGAAACCATTACTTGAAAGCTTCACTGCTATCAGTAATTTCACAATCGATACCCAAGTACAATTATACGCCAACCCCGGCGTCAGCGGAAATATCTTACGAAAAGAAGATCTGAGCGGATTCATTAACGCCGCTGAATGGCCCTTAAGTCCTAGTATCGGTGGCGCGCCGACTATAAATTTCATTCTCTACGTAGGCAACATGGAAGTAGAAGGAGGCGGCAAGAGTTGGTTAATTCCCCAATGGGGAGGAGTAGTCATCCAATCCGACATATCCGATTTACGCCCCGCCATGCTCACATTTTCAAATCAACTAATGTCCCTAATGGGCGCTCCTGAGACCGGGTCGCTTCCGCTCCGCTTAATGACACTAGTGCGCGTTCGTAGCGCTGGCCTTCTGCTAAAAGCAAGTGGTACACTGGGGAGTCTAGCCAGATTGAGTAAAGCGCTTCCTTCAATTAGCATACCGGAATCGGTACAAGAAGGTGTCTATACAACCATAGAACATTTGAAAAAAGCATGTGATGGATTAGGAGGGAAGGAAGGGTTAGAAAATGCTCGTATTGCGGAAGAGGCGGCAGAAAAGGCGTTTTTCGAAAAGAGTATGGTGGGCCAGGTGTATTTCCCGGATGAACACAAAGTGGCGGTTTATATGCCGTTGTTGGGGCCCGTGGGTGTACCTCTAGTTATGAATGTGCTGAAGGAAATCAGGGCATGGAGGAAGAGGAGTAGAATGGCTAGCTAGTCGTACTTAGAATGATGAGGTAGTAGTATCTAGAATAATGATTTAATGAATTCTCAGTAACTTCCTTTTTACCTACTTCCATGTATATTAACCAATTACCCATTTATCGACTAGGTACTCTCCTCTCTTCACCTCCCCAAACCCCCAAATCCCCAAATCTCCATCCCATTCCCAACAATAACCGCTTTTGCCCCCTTTTCATTCCCATTCCCATCCCCATTCCCCATCGCATCAGTCTCACAAATCAAAGCTACATCCCCAATATCACTAACCGCCGTAAACTCATCCCCAAGCATCTCCACATCTGCCGGACACATCCCATCTCCCTCGTTTCTAGATAAAATACCAATACGCCATGTTTTTACTCGTTGATCCGTGCTCGTGGATAGTATGTACATAGTTTCTTTTTCTTGATTATTTTTGTCTTTCTTTCCCTTCTTCTCCGTCTTCTCATCTGAGATATTGGGAAGATTGGAAGGGTCTGGAAGAAAAGAAATACCCGTCACAGCAGCCGCATGTGCATCAGGCAGGAGCATCGAAGTCGATTTTGTGAATTCTTCATCGGGGTTGCACGGAGATAGTGGGTAGAGGGTGATTCCTATGGCGTTATCATCACCACCTGTTATCACTACTAGATGCGGAGTGCTGCTGCTGGAGGTATATTTGTAAGAGAGGGTTTTGATGGCATTTTGATGAATTTTTGTGTGAGACAGGAGTGTGGGTTCTGGGGTTTGAGGTAAAGTGGTAGAGACTTGATCCTGGTGGAGGAGAGTAAGTGGAGTGGTCCAGATACAGAGACTTCCATCCGTGGCAGCGGTCAAAAATTTTATTTCCGTCTGAGAGATGCGGAGATGGATGATTTGCATCAGACATGCTGAAGTATACCTTCCACTCGCTAATAATTTCCACCCTCTCTTTTTAGAATAGACGTAAGTCCGCATTGTAGAATCTGAATAGACAAGAGTAATAATCATTTCCTCGGAATGACTTCCGGGAATATCCGACACGTCAAAAGACATAATGCGTAAATCTTGCTCGTCGGTAGGGTCAGGACATGATGCTTCACTGATTACTCCGAGACCGAATCCAGGGATTTCTTGAATGGACCAGATGTAGAATTCTTCGACGCCGCCGCTGCTAAAGAGATAGTTTGAGTTGTGCCAATGAAGATGTTGGAGTCCTGCTGTATGTTTTTGAATTACAGAGAGGCAGGTGAGGGTTTGCGAGTCGGGGCTGTGGTTATTGGTGTTTTGGTACCGCCATATTCTTATATTGGTATCTTCAGCACCGGTAGCTATCATTTGGGGAAAGCCTCCTACAGCACATGCTTTAATTTCTCGTCCATGCCCGCCGGGTTTAATAGTGCGATGTGAAGGAACTTTTTGGGAATGAAGGTATAGTTGTGATGCCTTTGTGTATATCAAATGCCCACTGCCGCCTCCATCAGCACTCTTTAGTGGGGAATATGCATGAGCTCGATGAGCTCCTCCGCATTCGATACGCATAACTTCAGACTGTTTCGTCTCATTCCAGACGATCAGGCTTTTGCCTTTGAATCCATATAGAATTAGGTCAGAATCTTGAAACCAGCAGGCTTCAATCATAGGTCCAAATGGTGGTGCAGCCGAATGTACACATGAAATTTTTGTGGCTTCGGGTTGAGCATTATCGTAAGACAGTATGGCATACAGCCCATCTCGACTCGTGATTGCGAAATAGCTTGTAGTTTGTTGAGATTCAGGATTTGGTACAGAGACAATGGAAGTGATGGCATCTTTTCTGCCCGGCGAATTCCAGGTAGTTAAAGAGTTGCTGCTCATGTCGTGTACTGCAATTGCTCCTTCTCTAGAGCCAAGGACGAGATTATCGTCACATCTACCAGCACCTGTGACTATGAACTTTGGAGGTAATGAGAGGGTCTTTCTATTGACAACAGGCTGTTGGCCGGAAGATTGCAAATCGAAGGATAACGCCGTCAATTCTTGGGTTCCTACTAATGTTATCAATAAATCAAATGATATATTGCCATTTTTTTGGACAATGAACATATCGGATGGTTTTCGCTCAACACACCCTATCTCGACGATGGGCGAACCTGGTTGATACAGAAATATCCTTCCATTGGTGCCCGCCAAAAAGCACAATTCCAGAGTCGAATTTCCTTTTAGAATGGAGTACGACTTAAGATCTTGAGTACTTGATTCTGGCAGAAAAAGTTCTTCGAACGTAATCTTATCCTCGATAGTTGCTCGAAGAATTTTCCCAAATGTTGTTGTAATCAGGAAGGCATTTTCAGATACAAATGCATAGCGATTGAACGCATCTTTGGGCGCCTTCTTCCTTGATACCAAGGATTCCTGCTTTTGCTCCTCTTTCCTTTCAGAACAAGAATCGGCGGAAGTAAGAGATTTGAACACATCTTCAAGCTCAAAAGCTAACGAGGAAAATGAACCTTCAACCGAGTGATCTATTGCAAGAGCTCCAGCGGCGACATTGCATAACGGGTCAGTAGAGAATAATTCAGTCTTCTTTACTTCGTCAAAACAGTAGGTTGATATTTTTCCATCCGCTCCACCAGTGGCAAGCAAACTCCGATTGTTTTCTATCTGGGTGACGGCAGCCGACCAAATGTGCTTCCCAGTGTGGAAAGCGAATGTTTTGATATGCGTCAGCTCAGCACGAACATTTGAGCTAAGTTTTGAAACATCAAGCTCCAGAATACCAGAAGCTTTACCTCCATTCTGCAGTTCACTCCCAAGTCCTAGTGCCCATTGCTGAGCTGTTGAATCTTCCCCAAAAGAGAGAACAGTAATTGGGGAAGTGCCAAACGTTGAAACATCAGTGCAATGAAATTTGACACTCCAGATACGAGATGCATGAGCCATGGTTACAGCAACACATCTATTGGAACCATTAGAGTCATGCTGAGCTTCTGCAGGCTCGCCGAAACCTGTTTCTCGTGGCAATAAGTCGGCAGCTAACTTCATGGCGTCTACATCACTTTGTAAACCTTCTGCAAGGTTCCATATCCGTATAGTACGATCATCGCTACAACTTGCTAGCAACCGAGTGGTCTTTCCATCATCACCCATAATCTGTGGAGATATGTCGACACCGAAAATTGAACCTTCATGGCCAGTAAAAACGAAGAGAGCTTCATTGTGATATGTAGATCTATCTTTGGTAGCAACACATTTCCAAACGATAATCTCGCCGAAGATAGTTCCCGCTGCTACTATAACAGTATCTTGATTTTCGCAAACAAGACTAGCAGAGTACAACATGGACCGCGAAGAAGGTTGTAACTGTCGCAATCTTATCGGTCCGTCTCCTTTCGATAGAGTTGCTTGAATCATTGCATTATGGGCAGTAACTGCAACACAGCCCTGCTTTTCCCAAGGACAAAAGGCAACACTGAGGACCCAATCACTGGTGGATGTCGCGGTCTCTGTGATACTAACCACACTTTGAGAGATGATCTCCTCGATTTGGGATCTACAAATTAAGGTCAAACATTGGCCACCCCAGATGACTAGCTGTAGGTCATCACTAGAATCGCCGTCTAATTCTCTGACAATGATGCCATGAATGGCCTGTGAGTCAAAAATTTGACATTGACCAATCAGCCTCGAAGTTTCGGCATCATATATTTTCAGAAAAGAGCCTTCCGCTGCAAAAATCAGCAATGTCCCGGTGGAAATATGGTAAAAATCCAATGCCAAAATTGGACTCAACGAATGATTGTGCTAGAATGACGCAGGTGAGTTAAGATTCGTGTCGGAAATTGAGTATATCGGAACAGTTGCTGACCTTGAAAGAAGACATTGGGATGAAGAGATGCTGTTCAAAATCTGCATATTTATCAAAGTGGTCAATATCAAGAATACTTGAGCCACAGTATCACGACTGAATTCATGGCCTTCTCGATTTTCTCTTGTGGATAGAAGGGGAGTTTGTGCCCAAATTTTCCTCACCGCCTTCACGGCAGAAACCCTAATGCGACAACACTTTATTATTGTTCTGCCACAAGGGAATTTTCATATATCATTGATAGATTTCCAACTAAATTTTCTAGATCTATATATTTATTCAATTTTTAATTGTACCGGTATCTCTCTTATGACCATTTCTTCTCGAATATAGCTACTGTTTCCTCATGAGAAAGCCTCTTTATCGAGTCTTCGTCAAACAGCTGCGGCATGCCAGGCTTCCCATTTTTATTGTAATTAAAATAGTTGCCGTCCCATGATTCCATATTCATAAATGCATCCCAAGCTTTTCAGCATCCATCCACTACCTTTTTCTCTCCCTCTCCCTCATCTTCCTCTCCATATTCTCACACTCCTTCAAATAATCTATTTTCCTACGATTCAACTGAGTATCCGTTTCTCTGTTCAAATCTATAACATCTCGATAATAACACTTTAAGGACCACACAAACTACGCTGAAAAATGATATTGACAGCTGCTCTGTTGTCATTTTGATCAAATTTTCTGATACAGGACCTGATTCTCCAGCTTCTGCACAGCCAAGGTGGCCCGAGTTTCTTCAACGCTGGTTTTCAGGGGATATACCATCCCTCAAGTCATCCATTAGTCTCTCCATGGATTGATGTGCAATGGTGTCGCATGGAATTGCATGAGAAGGTGGAATATCTTCCATTTTCAAGACTGAATCCCTGCCCATGCCAAATCCTCGTTTCCATCTTCACCTTCTTCGTGTGTGTCTTGAGAATCAGTATCACTACTCAAGACATGATCGAGGATGAGCTCTACGGCTAGGGTGAAAGCGACCCGTGGCCCAAATGACAAGATAACGACTCGGTTTTTGCTTAGCTGTAACATTTGGTACACATATGTTATCTCCCCTATAGGGGTATGCAATTATCAAAATGAACATGCGAAGTCTACCGATTCTGATGTTATAGCTTTGTAGATAATACAAGTCTCCCTTCTCATGCACCTTCAAACCTCCTCCTGACATCTTACACATCCAAATACCACATCTAATCTTACAAGGTTCGAACTTGAGCATTGCCCATGCCCTAGGGACTTTCCCATCTCTTCAGTCGCTGTATGATATATCGGGAAATATTAGACATTTCAATGCCTATGTGGTTGCTCGGCTTCGTCGTTAAAAGCAGTTAAATTTTGCTAATGCGGGATTTAGTAAATTGCGTCTATTTTTTGCCACATTACTAACATGATTTATCAGCATAACAGCTTCCTTCCTTGCCTATGCCCCATTCAATTCAATCATGGCTCCGATTTGAGACTGCTTTCATCTTGAGAACAACTTGGAGAAGAATCGCTCCTAATCAAAGGGATATTACTGTTATCGGGAGTAACGGATGATTCGTGGATCTTCCCAGGGGCTCGTTTTCCCGTCCCTTTTCCGCCAACTCCTGACACAGACTCGTCAACATGCATTGGAGCTTCGCGCACGCGGTCTGATGAGCTACTTCCAGCACCAGCTGCACCTGATTTATGTTGCGACCCCTCGGTAGTGTTTCGTATTTTCCCCTTCTTCAAGTGAGTTGTAGTCGACTTTCCACGTCGTTTTGGCGGTGGATTGACAATATCTGCTAAACTTCGACCATCGTTTCCCTCAGTTCCTCCCATATGACGCCCAGGTACGCCACGTACAATATCCGCTAAACTCAGTCCCTCAGGGTCTTGTACACGCCGACGCTCTGACCCACGTTCCCATACACGGCGATCATTTGTATCTCTCTCTCGTGCATGAGGACCATCCGGACTACGTTCTCAAATGGGGAGTATTGGGATTTCTCCGTTACCTGGTCGCGATATATGTAACCGCTGCCATAAGAAGAAAGCTACCGCACCTCCGAGCAAAGAAATAACAATGATTGCCAAACTAATTATCAGAGTTGCCTGTCCCATTTTGATCTCAATTGGGACCCTACAGCCTCTCCGCTCCGACCTCCGGTTCATATATAACACTTGATTGACAAGAGAGGCACTAGCAAACAACTTTCTTCAACAAAGGGTATTCTAGAAACCGCTATGGAACAATATGAGCCGCGCCCTTTGTTCTATTCCTGGATTACTATCCTTGGCAAAAGCCGACCTACTGTGTAACACCCAATAGATGTACTCGTGGAAATCTCCATAATTTAGGTCAGGTATAAGCCGAAGTAAATCAAAGACTAACAATCGAAAACAGAGTATTTTTTCGTTCAAAAATAGATCAACTAGGTGTCTGTCTCGTTTATGGGTGATGTGCATTATAAACTAGCCACCACCTAGCGACCTAAAATGTCAAATGTGATAGCTGGATGTTCAGGAGCCCTGTACTTTTGTCGAGCTCCTTGTTGCTATCCCCGTAAAAGATAGCGTCGTCAAGATGATGTTTCTTCAATGAAAGGCAGAATGGATCCTTCTCTGCAAGCTTCCGCCTTCGAGAAGGAATATCCCAGGTTTGCTTCATGCGGCAACGTGCATATAAACCTCCGATTCAATTGAAGCATGCAAGGCGCACACATAGTAGCGTTGCCATGCGCCTGAGGTGTATTGTCTTTGTCAAAGTGCAATCATGAACTCTAAGTTTGACATTGAGAAATAAATTCTAGATGTTGGCCAGGTGATCATGTGGCACAGTATGATTTTGAAACAATCCTCGCCGATTATCTTCAGCGCAGTCTCCTAGTAGCCTCTCCGAAGCAATTCAATGTCACATCCGCTGTCAATGCGTGAAGATCGAATGCAGTGCTGACAATGGGAACCCGAAAGCCAATATCGGATGGCTTCAATATTAGCTAGCATCAAGAGTACCTAGCAGATAGAAGAGCTCATTGTTTTAGGTTGCTGGGAATACCCCATACATACCTGCATGCGATTCATGCTGGAATCATACGATGCAGCTGCCCTGGTGGAGATTTAGTTGACCGCCTCATAACGGTCGTGCAATGCTAGAGCGATATGTTAAACTCCACTCTCTCTGCTGTGCCTGCTAGTCGCCATGCTCGATGATCGCTTTGAGCTTTTGATTCTGGAGATAAAGTCATGGGTTCTTGGATGGAAATTGTCGATTATTAAATGTGCGTTCAAGAAGCGTTAGATACCCTTTAAGTAATGTTATTCATGAATCAATTATGGGGAAAAAAGTGACGATGTAACCAACTCCCAAAGCAGGAAATGTTGGGATTTAGATTTCGACATTGGATATAAAAAATAAAATAGGGTAGGATCGGGCCATGCCGGTAGTGTTATATTAGCGACGGGCTCTATATAATAAGCATTTTAGTGAGGCTGAAGGTGGGAAAGGTGGGAATGTGGGGAAAGAAAACTGCCTGGATAACAATGGCAGCCACTAGAATGATCGTCCCGATACCATCGATGTCATTATCATCTTGTAACATGAAAATGCAAAACTTATTGGGAACTGTGTACCTTCACAGTTCACTTTGATACAGGTACAATTCTATAACTATCATTTTCACGGTTGACTTATAAACATTACTCAAAGAATGAACAATGTTGCATAAGGTCAGAAAGATCCTCTTTGTGACTTCAATTCCTTAACTTTACCAACTCCAACTCTCTACCATGTCTTTAGTCCCATATTCATCTCGAGACAGTCGGGAGATTGTGCTGTAGGTTATACTCTATCATTTTCTGCATAGAATCTATAGAGTAGCTAGAAGTTAGAAGACACCTACTAACATCTAATATTACAGTCGCCATGATGATGCAATCGTCATTCGAGATCCCAACACTCAAGAATTGGCTCTGCGAAGTGCCCCTCCCAGTCTTGCCTTGAATGATTGCCCTACATGTCATCGACCATTGCGTACTGCGTCTCCCGAGCGACAACCTACGACCTCTACTCACGCGAATACATTCATAGCCCCAGAATACTTTCGCATGCTTCACGTTGCGAATAGTGGTTCGAATAGACAACGGCCCTCAAGTCCGATTCGCAGGCTCGTACAGCCTGCCTCAACGTCCACGAATTATGTGGATGATGCAGAAAATAATGTGGAATTTGTGACGAGTACTCCAGCAGTAGAAAAAGGCCACACTATAAAGAAGGAAGCTTTCAGCCCAAACTACTTCAAGAGATTCTTCACCGAGGAGAAGGAATTAGGCCGTGGAGGGAAGGGTGTAGTTCTTTTAGTTCGCCATGAGCTTGATGGGGTGTCCTTAGGTATTGAAGTGTGATTACGAACATACGAGGCAAGTGCTGATAGTTCATAGGCCAATTTGCGTGCAAAAGAGTACCAGTTGGAGATGATCATGCATGGTTAGAGAAAGGTACAACAATCCCTTCCACCCAAGATTCTTATACTAACTTCTACAGTCCTTATCGAGGTTCAACTTTTGCAAGGACTTTCTCATCCAAATCTTGTATCTTATCGACATGTCTGGCTGGAAGATGTTCAATTGAATCGATTCAGTCCCTCGGTACCATGCGCCTACATACTTCAACAATATTGCAATTCGGGAGACCTACTACGTTATATCGCTGGACCTACACCTAAAATGCAGACCACAAATGAACAATTGAAGGAGAAAATGCGGAGGAGATCGAAGGGGGGTGTAGAGCGACCAGACCTGAGATCATCACAACGAAAGTTGCAGTTTGAGGAAATTTATTCGTTCTTCAAGGATATTACTTCTGGTCTCGCACATCTACACTCCTCGAACTATATCCATCGCGACCTGAAACCAAGCAACTGCTTGCTCCATCAAGACGGAAGTGATATGCGATGTCTCATCAGCGATTTTGGGGAAGTTCAAGCGGAAAATGTTGTGAGAAAGTCGACAGGATCTACGGGCACAATATCATATTGTGCTCCTGAGGTTTTGAAACAAGATCAATTTGGTCGATATGGAAATTTTACCACAAAATCTGACATCTTCAGCTTGGGGATGATATTGTATTTCATGTGTTTCCGTCGGCTTCCTTACAAGAGTGCAGACAGCTTCGAAGAAGACTTTGAAGACATGGATCTACTTCGAGCTGAAATTAGCACATGGTCAGGATTTCAGGATGAGCGGCGAGAGCGACCAGAATTGCCAAATCAGCTATACATCTTTCTCAAAAGACTTCTCGCCGTCAACCCTAATGATAGACCTAGTGCAAATGAAATTTTAGAAGCAATCAGGACTGAAAGGGGACTACAGAATCCAACACGCGTACGGCATGGCAGTGCATCGGGAATTTGTGGAAGGATTCAAGCAATTGACTCACCCATGCCACCCTCGACACCTGTCAACGAGCGTGAACCGAAGCGCGTGCGCTCAAGAGCATACATGGAAGATGCTTTATCTGAGACCTCATCTCGTTCATCATCGCCCATGCCAGATTCTCAACTCGCTGTCGGAATCAGCCGACATCACAATTCTGTTCCTGTATCAAAGCCCTCTATTACCACCCCACTGTTGATGCCACCACCCACCACATTCATATCCTCCTTACTGAATCGCTTATCCCTTTACCGTCACTACAGCGAAACATGGGCTCAACACAACGAGCAATCTCTTACTCTACTAGGTAGGGTATCAATTTTTCTTTTCAAAGTTTTCATGATCACAAAACCATGTCTATCTTCTCTAGCAAGACGATGGATTTGGTATCCACTTGTCATCATAGCCGCCGTCGAACTTGGGCTCGGGACAAGAATAAGTTGGGGCATATCTGGCGGTCTTTTGGCATTTCATTTTACAGTGGTAGAGTTATTTGATTGGTTTGGGCCGGGAATGTGTAATGGAAGACTAGGAGTGCATGAGCATTGGTATCAGAACGGTTTTTAAAAGGAAAGCTTGTCTTTCCTGTGTGAAAATCATGATTATTGAAGCGTTATTTATATGCGAGCAGGAAATTTATTGCATCTTAAGGTGCAGGATTTGAACACACCTACCAGACAAGGCGTTTGCATTCATGAATCAAATGAGACATGAAACAAGGGATATGTATGATATGGGAAATGGGAATGTGATGACATAGCATTAGCATGATAGCTTTCGATGACTAATAAATGATAACTATTTGAACAACGGTGACCGAGGGTAAATTTTCGACTCTTTGCATGGCCCAGGTGGGTTTCAACATTTAATGTTGGATCACGGTAACGCGTCTTCCAGTTCATTTTTTTTATTTAGTTTTGATTGCAGTGCGAGCGCCTCCTGCAATACCGCATAGCACGCTCCCTAGTGGTGACTCACTTCTAAAAATCTCACCTCTGGGGTTATCAGAACTCCATTTTCTTCCCGAGTGAGACTGCTTTGTAATGCAGCTGCTGGCCTCGATACGGACGTGGGAGTAATGGTACACCCGGTACGCAAAAACATGGAATGCTCGTCTTTTCAATCTTTTCAAATGAAACTTTTGCCCTTGGCTTTTTAGTAGCTTGAAATCCATGCTCTACTACGAGTATAAGTTCCAATGTCTTGAAGTCTTTCAAAAAATCTAATGTTTTTGGATCGATATTTCCATTGAATCTGTGCCAAAGTCTTTCCATCTCAAAAGCTATACACCTAATGTTTTCTTTCGCTTCCACTGTCAAAGATTCAAAAATACCTGGCAGCCTTTCTCGAATACCACTGTTTATGAGCAGCATATCAGTCTTGGCGCGGAAGTGGACATACGATTTCGAGATATCTTGTGCACCAAAACTTTTTAAGACACCTCTCCGGATGATGCGCAAAATCCAACCATTCGCGAGTTATGGGTGCGTCCTCATAGATATAATATCCATGGACCTTAAGGGCATCAATGCGGATTTCCCTGTTGATGCAAAGAATATCTGGCATGGCACAAGTCTTTGCAACGGCGAGCTTTGTCGATGGCTCGGATATCTCAATTATACGCGCTTGATCACGAATGTATTATTTCCAGATTGCGGCGACGAAATTCGAGGGGTAGGAGCTCAAAGCTGAGGAATGTCGTTGCTGGGATTTGCTTTTTTCAAGACTCTGTGATTTGCAGGTTTGTAGCAGACAGAGCGTTTTGCAGCCTACGACAATTAGTATTGTTTGTTATTGCATGGAAAGATTTTTGGAAAGGATTAGTATGGCATTTGTGAGTGATACTTTCGTGAAGATATATGGATCTAAGAAAATGGCTTGACTCACTGGTTGATTTTCTTTGATGCTGCCCATGTGATCCACATGGTATTGCGATGCTCGTGAGAGCTTTGCAATTTTGAAAGATCTGGATTCCTTGGAAGCTTTCATTTTCTCGGAGAAGGTAGTTTTTTTGATTTCCTTGAGAGTATTTTGAAGAAAGGAAGTCAGGAAAAGTGAGAGGAAATGGACGTAAATATCTCCAGAAGAATTAGAAGTGGCACCATTTCTTGAGCGAAGCAAAAATTTACTGCAAAGATTGCGGGAGAGTATGTAACTATCGAACTACAAGTATGCATTCTTGTAATTATTCTTTCTGGCTAATCTTATTGTATATGGCGTAGCAACTATGTATTCTCATCTAGTCTTCATCAGTGTTTACGAAATGATGCTCGCTATTCGATCTTTTATACTACTAGGTACCTCTGTTCTCTTGTCCACCAGTATTTGGATGAAGTTGAAAATACCCGATCTAATGGAAAGGATGATGAGAGCTAAAGTATTTTGAATGGAACGAGATATGCCAGTCTAAAATTAGATGTCACGTGGCCAATTCAAACCTTCACTTCGCTGCTTGCTCAGACACTGTTCTATTCATTAATGTATGTAAGGAATAGTCGATGAATCTCATATAGGACAGCTTGGAGATAAAACAATGCCGTAACAGCCCCAAAGTTTTAATATATATATAGAATGGTATACCTATCTCCATAATTCTTCTTCCCTCATATTCACCAACCCTAGCACAAATCCCCAAATCCATCAAAACTGAAGGTAAATAACCCACAACAGAACACTCACCACACAGCACTCAGCACCCAGCACATCCCCAACCATGGAATTTATCAACCAAATTTTTATCAAATTAGAGCGCGCATTAGACAGAATTGTCTGGCAGCCTCTCACAAATGAATTAGGATCTATCTTTCTCAACGAAATCCCATCCTGGAAACAAACCTGTAAAGTTAATCTCATACTTTTTCTTCTCTTTTGTTTCGCGGTCTTGATCTATATTCCTTTTATGCTTCTTTGGCTTTTCGTTATCGCGTTTTCGGTCTTTATTCAACAATATGCGCTTCTTTGGACTCATTTTTTTACGCGGGTGGCTATCCGTTTGAAGAGACGTTTGGATCGTGCTGCTTGAGGTGTGCGTGTGCATCTATGGAGTTAGGTAGGTCGCTTGGATCTTTGATCAAGATTTGGAAGTATCTAGGGGGTAGGTTAGATGTGATGCTTCAGATGAAAGGTGTAGGGTACATGATCATTCTTTTTGATTTTTGATTGCTTCTTTGCTGAATGACTTGATTTGGTCGCAGTGTTAACCTTTCCTTAGTAGAAAGAGAATTCTGTTTGTAGCTTTGCAATGTTATGAATTTGAGATTAATATAAAAATAAATAAAAATTTGATTTGTTGAGTAATCTGAGAAGTCTTGGTGAAGTATAATAATAACTATTGTAAATATAATCGAAATGTCTGTGACTAACTTGAGATTGATCCTTTGAGTCTACAAATGAAGATTTTGCATGATGGGCAGAGGGCTAGGAGTATACGTAATTCAAAGAGGCGATGGGTCTACAAGGAATTAAAAAATCCGCTATCTCAGGAGTAACTACTGTGTTATTAGTTGAGGCGTAGGATTCCGAGATGTTGGTTATTGCATGAAAGGTGCAGACTGCTGGGTCAGTGAGTGGTTGATACTTTTCGATAATTCTTACACGAAATAGTTGATTATGTATAGTAAAGATATAAAAACTTTTTTGGAAGAAAATAACTAATACTTTATTGCTGTCCTCGTGAACTATATTTTAACTTAAATATAACAAATACAGCTCCAAAAAATCGATGTTGAGCATTAATTTTTGATGCAAAGTGAGATCTCGCATGTTCAGATTGCTTTAGTACGTCCAGAATAGCCAGATAATGTTCATTCATTTCGGGCTTAAACTATTTATCTAAGAAATTCCGAATCACATTATATTATAAAATTACCCTGTAGCCGAAGACCTTTTAGAGGGAATTGGAAGCGCGGAGCAGCGCAAGCCCCGGCCTTGGAATCGCGATGCGGAGGATATGGCAACGATTAGCTATAGTAGTTCGAGCACATCTTAAATTCGTCAGAGTAGTATTAGTAATTTTGTACGAAATTTAATAATTAGAAATTTTCATGATTTAGTGGATAACTGATGCGAAAAACGCCGTGACTCCAAACACTCATTCGATTCACTAGAAATCTGTGATGCAGTGGTTTGGTAAAAATATAGGGGAAAGTGTTAGACGAGCTCTCCCGAGTCGGGATCCCGATTTTGATTCGCCATGACATTGAGGCATCTAATCGTTTCTTAAACAGTTTATGTCCCTATTATTTATATAAGGAAGGTCAATCGCCATATCACCAATCTTCATATACTGTATTTCCAAACAATAGTGATGTCATATTCACAGGAATAAGATATATAAGTCTTACAAGCACAAAATTCTATAGCAAGCCATAAACCGAGACCTCCCAAATGGCTATTGTGTAGTCCGAGCCGCTCTTCTTGGCTCCTATTCTCTTTTTCCTGTTCATCATTGTTTCGACAACAATTTGTTTTATCGTCGAGTCATTGTTCTCATTAATATCACGTCTAGACATGGCTTGCCAACCCACATAAGATATCAGGCAAGGATTTCTCGGTAGCCGCAACGATATGACGAATTACCGTTTAGGATTATAAGATATGAGCAAATGATTAAAAAGGAAAGCGAGATGAATGTTACTCATGTCGAAGTCTGAGGCTTTGGTAAGAACGTTGGATTGTTACAACGCTGATTTCTTTGGTTATTCTGAAATGATTAAAGTGGATTTCCTTCTTCATAACCATATCACTATTTTCGGGGAGGCGAAAATGGCTGGAAATTAATTCGCAAAGGAAAAGATTCCTATTTGTTAACTATTATCATAGTGAATATCAACAAATGGCATGCAACTTGCATGGTTTGATGCGCAACATTGAGCCCGAATGGCAAGAAGTTATTTAACGCTGTATAATTATGGTGTAAGATTAGGGGAATGGCACGAGGAGTGCTGTCGAATAAAAGAACCAGCTGAAGAGGCATGGTCAAGCGAAAACGGATAGAGAGGCCGAATTAGGGGCGTGACTACGATGAGTATGTGAGAGTTCCCGTGAAATAGACGAATTTTACAGACTCAAGACTTGATGTTATTCGTTAGGATGGCAATTAAGGTGCCCATTCACTTCGCCCGCCACAATAAAATAGATTAAGCAAATGCAGAAAACAAGTAGCAAAGTGACATATTCATCAATCATCATTTCATTGAGGTAGTTATTGTTTTATGGTTTTTCTTTTCCTGATTCCCTAATACTATAAGATTCAACAGGTATTACTTGCATACTTCAACCACTCGGAAGAGCCCTAAACAACTCTTGAACTGGTCCAGAACAGATCTATGGTCAGCTCCAGACGATGTGTATAAAATCACCATAGCCCCGTTTAAACTGACCTTTCTTACCCTCCAACCACTTCTGCTGTAATATTTTCAATCTCTGAAAGGATCACACAGAATATTACAATCAGGAAACCCATGCACACAGAAAAAGACTCTCAGAAAATCATGTCTCGCTCTCCCGCAGAGATGCTTCTTACTTTTACACTCCTCCTCGTCTACATTTGCTTCTACTCAGTGTTAATCACCATCACACTGCCAATGACCTTTTTTGGAGTGTGCCTCGGCATTAACACTGTCTTTCAGGCCGTTCTTGAAAGAGTTCTCGGCCCATTGATTGCGAGGCAACTTCTGGGCAACGATGATCCCGTGTTGGAAGGGTTGATTGCAGAGAGGAGAAGACTTCTTGGAGGGCGACCAATGCCCGGACAGTACACTCTGGACGAGGAGATTGATACGCCGCAGAACCCTCTGGATGAGGAGATTGATGCGCCGCAAGAAAGAGTCAGACGCCCGTTTAGAATTTTACTTATGGAGAGGGAAATGCTGAATGAGCATCGGATTGCGCAGTATCGTGGATGGCTTCGTCAGATGGAGCATCCTGCGGAATGGGAGCTTGAAGATATTGAAGCCCAGGTGACTGAGGATTTTGAATCTGATGAGGCGGACTAGCGGACGGAGATACTTGTCTAGATTTTTTTCATCGAGTAGTTGCTATTGCCGTACGTAAAGAAAGGTATGGAGCTCGTTCTCTTGAAGAGGATAGAAAGAATAAAATGCACTTTCCCAATTTAAATTAATATAACATGATGTATAATGAAGTGATAACAGTGATATTGATAGCTAAGTGAAAATGTAATCTTAACATCCCGAGAAAGAGATGTGTACCACAATTCTCGTGGAGGAGGAGGGCTTCATACCAATGGGGCTTCAGATCTGGCATATAGATGCGATAGAGAGAATCATGAAGAAAACAGAGAGTGATAATTGATTGACTACTTGGATTGTCAACAAACAATTTTAGACGTTCCAGAAAAACAGAAAGTGCTAGCCAATTGATTGAAATTTTGAATTGCCAATCAATTTAGACGTTCCAGAATAAGGTGATATATAATGAAGCACAGTCAGACTGGATATTCATTATATTCTATTAAAAGTCAATTAGTGATATAAATGAAATATATAATCTGGTACTCCGTACCCGTGACGCAAGAAGTAGAATATCATGCTAATTTATGGTGTTTTTGTGAGTGGGTACGTAACGTTACAGAGTATATTATGGCGGATCCATGGCAGTTTGTTCATGAAATGCGCACATGTCCGAGGGACTTTATTTACGACCGATAATCTTGCAAGACCAGGTCCATTTTTATGTTAATGGCGAGAAGGGGAGCTCGTCGTCTATTTAATAAGGACATTTTATTTTTGTTCACGTTGCTAACGCAAAATGTTTGAATTATGCAGGACGAAATATTGGGTAGTTGGGATATTGGGGTAGTTAGTCATGTTTTGATTCACATTTTCATGGGTACAAAATGCAAATTAAGGCGATAAAAGTTATTTTTATAAAAAAAAGTCTTGCTTGATTGTTTTAAATTCCGAAGATGCGAATATTGACTTGTCATCCTCGATTGAGAGATCGAGATTTGTTTGAGATTTGTATGATACGATCTCAAACTCCTTGAATCATGCCCGCAGCACAACTACATCTATATGGCCGATTCATCCTTTGCGATTTCATACACGGGCATTGGCCTCTTCTTTCCAACCTTTGAAGAATTTTCATCCTCATCCCAGTTCTTTGGGTGCATTTCGATGTCGCTGTGTGACCGACCAGCGGTACGCGAGCGGTTCTTTGCAGCCTTTTTTGAGTTGTCCATTCCATATCTGTGGCGTTTGTGAGGCCAGAAGAAAGCCCATGCGAGCATGGCAACTAGAACGACGATGCAGAAGGCAAGTATGCCAATTTGTACTGAGTTGGGCATTTTGAAGTGAAGTGCAGGGAGATTAATGCCAGGAGTGTAGTTGGTGATGATCAGAAGGGCAGAGAGACATTGCGGCATATGTACTCGGACAATTGGTATTGTTCATGGTCTCTCTCATAATTCCAAGGAAATCTACTGTTAACCAGAACAATGACGAAACAAAGGACTTTGGGTTTTTATTGGACAATTCTCTTTATTTTCGAAACATTCTTAATAATGGCGGGTCGTCTTGCTTTAGCGAAAGAACAATACTCCGTAGCATCTCAAGCAGTCCAGAATAGTTGTAACCCAAAATCCTCCATCATCAGCGAGACCTTCAGACACATTTGAGCAACTTCGAGACAAAATGGCATGCATTGACAACTCATAATTGTGTGGAGAAGGATTTGCTATTTTATAATGGTACGGAATTTCGGGAAGGATTCAAACCAAGGGCTAGCAACGAGTGATTAATGAAGAGAGTTATGCATGCTTATGGGATTAAATAAACACTAATAGGGTCTGATGTACTTGAAGTGGGAAATTCGAGGTGAATGGGGAGTTAAAAGTATTGACTCACATTCAAATCAAGCTAATTTGTCCCAACACACTCGATGCAACATTTGCGACACCAACGGCATTGATATTATTCGTTTGTAGAACATGATGAAACATCAATTTTGGGAATTGTGGTCGCAAATGTGCCTTGTGTTAGAGCATCAGGGGTCGCAGGTCGGATTGTAAGGGAAGCTTGGCGGGCCTTACGGTGCAGGGGACATCTCGTAGCCACTAAAATCATCGTGAACAGCGCGGCGTAGCAAAGTATTAACAGGCTGCCATATCCGTCTGACTTCTCATATGGTCACTTTGTCTATAACTTACTGTTGTGTCTGGATAATCGATAGGAAATTGGTGACTGTCGTGAAAGGATCTGAGGGTCTGCGAATCGAGTACGACTTATAATACCAAGATACTGCGATATTTGACATGACCAACCATCACCCATTAACCTCGATTCCTCGAGCACGACTCACACAATCGTTACCACCATTGCCTGAAGAAGATACAATACCTCTCGCACCGTACCATGATGATCCAGCAGACGATGAAATTGCCGAGGTTACTGAAGGAATTGAGGGAAACCAAGTTGATATGAGCGAACCTCCTGAATACGAGCCAATGCACGACTATTTGGCCAGTAGAATACAACGATTATCTCAAATGCGGCCTCCTGAATATGAATCATCGTTGCATGATCATACAAACAATATACCGCTTCAATACCAAGAACCTTACCGAGATGACCCCTTCATTATCACGATAGATTCAAATCAACCTCCACCACCATCCTACGAAGCTTTATACATACAAAGACAAACGGAGTTAGAAATGCTGAACGACGAGGATCTGGAGATAGGCCATGCTGAGGATGTCTGCAAATGGCTGGTAAGCATGATTCTTATTACTTTGACAATCATTGCTGTCGGCTTTGCATTCAATTGGGGACACCCATTTTAAGACGAGCGAGACCCAGGGGGCCGACAACCGTACAGCAAAAGACAGCAAAAGCAACAAAATGAAATGGTGGAATTATACCCGGTCTATGGAAATGGAGTTTGGAGTTTGAATTAAGCAGCTTGAAAGGATCATGGTATAGGATAGCTGGTTGCAGCGGCTTGCCAAGGGCATTTGAAAGATTGTTTTCTAATAGAATAGAATACAAGCTTCAATTTATTTTGCCAGTTTTTACCGCCCGCAAATCATATACGAAATCTCCCACGTATCGTGAGGACTTTCCAGTTTAGGAATGGCACTTTCAGCTGGGTACCCCGCCCGTTTTCCGAAGATACACACGATAACAGTATTCGATCATCTGAAGCTTCTCTTACCTTATCGTCTCCACTGATAATGGAAAGTCAAGCTCTTATTCAATGTAAGTGCAGCATGTTTAGGTTTGTACATGATTTCCGTTTAAATAGTCTTCAAATCCAAACCTCTCTAGGTTTGCCATCACCTGTTCCATCTTCACCAAAATAGTTAATTCCCAGTCAACATGGCAATTTCAATAGTAACAACAGCGTCTGGTGCATCTTGGCAGGAGGTCGCCAAAGATAGGCAAAGACACCGTGATGAGACCATCGCAGCTGTCCAGCCAGCTATCCCGGATATCACTAACATTCCATTGAACACATTATCAGTTGCGAGACAAGTACTCACACCTGATGAAATCAAAATTACTGAAGCTAAAGTCGAAGATTTGTTGACTAAACTTGCAAAAGGGGAGTTAAGTTCAACCGAGGTCACGAACGCATTCTTGAGAAGAGCCGGATTGGCACAAAAAGTGGTATGTTTACCTATTTATATAATTTTACATGAGACTAATCCATATTCAGACTAATTGCATCACCGAATTATTACCCCAGCAAGCCCTTTCTCGTGCGAAATACCTAGATGAGTATCTCAAAACGAATGGAAAGACTCTTGGTCCCCTTCACGGCTTACCGATAAGCGTAAAAGAACATCTTGGGATCAAAGATTTGGATCATAATGCCGGATTTGTTGCTTGGGTTGGCAAGACAAGTCCAAGCAATGCACATATTGTGGAGATTCTATTGAATGCAGGTGCAGTTTTATATGCTAGGACCACACAACCGCAGACCCTAATGCATTTGGAGACGAGTAACAACATATACGGGTAAATCTGTACGACAACTTAAATTGGCCGCGCTGATATGTTTTAGAGTGACTGTAAACCCTTTTAATACTACCTTGACTTGTGGCGGCTCTTCTGGAGGTGAAGGAGCGTTGATTGGGTTCAGAGGTTCATGTCTTGGTATTGGAACTGATATTGGTGGTTCAATTCGTTCACCAGCAGCAAACAACGGTAATAGACTGAGTGAAGTAGTTGAATGGAAACTCGCTTACATTTATACAGGCTTGTATGGCATGAAGCCAACAACACGTCGGCTACCAGTAGAGGGATGGGCTGCAACGATGGCTGGTTCCGAACACATCCTTGGCACAATCGGACCATTATCAACAAGCTTGGAAGGCTGCAAAGTCTTCATTAAAACGCTTATTGATGCGAAACCTTGGTATAAAGAACCCTCTCTTTTGCCTTTTCCTTGGAAAGAAGAAGATTTCTTTTCTGGTAAGAAACTGAAGGTTGCCATTTTGTGGGATGATGGAGTTGTCAAACCACATCCGCCAGTTACTAGAGCATTACAGCAAGTTGTGGACAAGCTCAAAACAAATGACAATATTGAGGTGGTTGAGTGGAAGCCGTACAAGCATGATCTCGCTTGGGATATAATTGTGAGCATGATGTCTTCTGCACCGTTTCCACTACTGATTTCTGTCAGGCCAATCTATATTTCGCGGATGGTGGAGAGCAAGAACTCGATGCGATCAAAGAATCCGGAGAGCCGCTGCGACCTCTCACTGAGCACATCATCACTCAAAACCAGAACGTACAATCACACAGCATTGCCTCCATGTGGAACTCCCAAGTAGAAAGAGACAACTATCGTACTGAGTATGCAAACATTTGGAACGAAACAGCGACTTCGAAGACACCGAATGGTGGGCTAGAAGGAATGGTAGACGTCATATTGTCTCCAGTTGGACCAGGGAGTGCGCCAAAACTAGATACCGCAAAATGGTGGGGATACACCTCGCAATGGAATCTGTTAGATTATCCGGCCATAATATTTCCAGTGGATAAGGTCGACGTCACAAAAGATAACGCCAAAGAGACGTACACACCGAGAAATGACAAGGACAAGTACAACTGGGATTTATGGGAACAATATAGAGCTGAAGGCTATAAGGACGCACCTGTTAGCTTGCAGCTGATTGGTAGACGGTAAGTCGTCACAACGGTTTGAATTAATTGTTGCTAATATTTCATTCCTAGGTACGAGGAGGAGAAGGTTATCCAGGCGTTAGAAATCATTCAAGGGCAAACCGGATTACCATTTGTTGAATACATTTGAGAACGGGAATAGATTAGCAGTTACTCCTACGATGCTTATTATATCTACTATATGTACCTCATTAGATTAGAACCTATCTGCCAACCAAATAGAAAGTCAGTAAACTATATTGTAACTGGCTACCAACATGAAGGGGCTCGCTTATTTGTTCTCAGCAACTTATTTATCTTATTTCGGGCTCTAACTCAACGCTTATTGACGTCACTCGTTATTTAGGAATGCTAATTCCAATCGGATGACTCGCGGGTCGAAAATTAAATGACTTTGCATGCTGCCTACATGTAGACCAATGCCTAATTCATAGCCAATGCAGTAGGCAGCTAGGGGACTTTGTTGTAAAAAAAAGATACTCGATGGCTAGAAATCTGGACATCTAAAGAATTACTTTCTAAAGAACTCTGATTAATTATCACTGTGGCTAAACTTGGCTTTTAACTTGGCCATCTACTGATAGATTGGAACGTAAGATAAGAGTGGAAGAATTACCTAATTATGACCTCTCTTTAACAAATTAATAAAGTCTCTTCCTTATTTCCTTGACTGGTGCCTACCATTCTTTTTTCAATCCCAACAATTTTACTTACTATACATAAAATACGAGAAAGCCAGGGCTGCCACAGGAAAAGTGGAAAACGCTCATAGCATCGAGCGAGAATTCCGATGAAAGCAGGAAAGTATTTCACCATATCACAAAATCACATTCGGTCCGTATGTTTTGCGTGATGATGAACAGAGGATTGATATCGTAACGCTTGATAAACTGGGGAAATGTACTGGTTGGGGGCGAGGCGCAATGTTGGGCAAGTGCCCTCAGATGTCCTGTGCTATTATTTTTGTTTCTATTTCTAGACGGGATGGATGTGGGTCATTTGGGTTCTTGGAGATGGGATGGGACCGCCAACGTTAACTGGAGCGCACTGAGGTGGGTGTACTGATTATGAACTTTGATGGAAAAGAGGGAGATGTGATATGAGAGTCTTGGGGTTTCTTATCGATCAACAGATATGGTTTTATTTCCGCATGGTTGGGTGACAAAATTTAAATGATAACGTGACAGAACGGAGCAGGTCCAAACAAGATAACTCCCCATCCTCCATCCCACTTTCCACGCACCTTTGCTTATCGGTGCAAATTCTTAGCTCACAATTAACTTTCTTCACAATACCAACATCGCATCAATTCCACCACCCATACTGCGCCATACTGAACCTTGCATCAGGCACAACATTCACCTAATTTCTTCCACCCTCATCCTACTGGTCAATGCAGCACTTCTCCCAGCGCCAAAGGTCTTTGGAATTCTCATACATAAAGCTATGGATGAAATAGGTGATTTCCCCACAAAAATACGTGCATCCCTTATTAGCACGATGATGTGCGTATGAAATATGGAGTGCATGGATGCCATGTGGTCTGTAGGAACATCATCATCTTCCTATTTTTTTTTAATTATGTGATGGGAAGGAAGTTCAAGGAAGATTTTAAGAGACGGTTGATGTAAAGTGGTTGATGAGCCTCATTTGAGGTCTTTATGTATTGGACGTTTCTCCCTGTTTTTGGTTCTCATTCTTGTTCTTGGTACCGATAGTTTACGGCCAATCTTTCCTTCTAGTCGTTCTTTAATCGTCTCATTTTGCATTTGTCATTTACTTGGCATTATTGCATCACCTGCATGTTTGTTGTTCTTTTGCTGTTGGGTCATTATTGGATTATAGAGAGTGATCTGAATACACATTCTTTACTTATATGCTACATTCGTTTACGTCTCTTGAAGAATCATTCCTTAAATCTCAAGTCGGAAATCATCGAAACCAATTGGTTCATAGTCGCTACCCAAAATGTCCTCATCAACCACTTCTTACAATTCCACCTCAAATACCCCTTGTACACCTAAGAACAAAGCGCTCACTCGCTCCTCCTCAACCTCCTCAACATCATCAAGCACCTCAACACACACTTATCAGTTCAGCCCCAAACCACTAACACTCATGCGCTCTTTTTCTGCATCCTCCACATCATCTGCATCCTCATATCAATCACGAACCTCACAGCCTTCATCACCATTCCTCGAACTTCCTTCCAGATATGAGTCTCGTCATCCTAGCGAATTGCTCTATAGAAGAATACCAGATAGTCCCAAACCCCATTATTTCTACGAACGACCTGGGTTTTTTATTCCGAAGAGATTAGCGCCTAAAGCGCCGGGTTCGCCCAGGGCGAAGGTGCTTTTTGTCGACGAGATGGGTATGAGAGACGAGGAAGATGATTGAGATGGTATGGGTTGATTTGTTACGAGGGCATTGTAGCAAATAGAAATGCTATAGTGATATAAGACGATAGAGTGAGGATTATAACACTACGATTATTCAACCGGCGGGGAAGGTTTTGATTGTGGAGTGGCAAGTTCGATCTGCATTTCTATATATGACGCAGGAGTATACGGGATATCACCTGAGGAGCATTCAATCGATTGTAAAGCACCTTCATACTTGGGCTCGGGTTGGTTCTTACTACATCGGAAGGCAATGTAAAAAGGCAGGTATTGGGCGCTATCATTCGTTTATACCTTGTTTTATCATTCTTTACTTCAAACATAACACTCCTTGGATATGCATAGACAGACATATTTTATTCTCGTACTGCCGATCCATGGCTCTCATTCTAAGCGGTAGTACTTTTTAAGAATACTTATCATACACTCATTTCTCAATATCTAGCTTCTTTAATGTGCTTGTGAAGTTAAAGCAGAAACACAGGTAATTTTGGAATATCTTGAACGCGAAAATGACTTACAGCAGCATGACATTCGTTTGGGAATAGTGGGCCTAATTTGTATTGCGCATCTTGTATTGGAAAGAACGTAGTGTTGGGATTGGACATGTAACTGGTGTTGGTAATCCATATATTACCAGTCTTTTCTATTCATGACTGTGGAATGCTATAAAAGTCCATCGCAATTTTGAATTGTCGAAACACAAGCAAGAGTAAGTGATGCAAAACCGACTTCTCCAATTGTGCAAATATTTCGATACTGCTGTTTTAGTCTTAATCATTCTATTCTTATGCACATACTGCTGTGTTTGCTTTAATTTGCCTGTCCATGGTAGTCAAAAGCCAAGTGCTCCAAAGTCGATACAATTCTTGAAGAATGTGAGGGTAAATTCTTTTCACTTTCGATGTTTTATTCTTGCCCCATCTCGACTCCTTTTTAAGCGACACGCATGACTAAATTAAGCCCTTCTATGCGCAATTCCTGGAGATTACCGACGGCTGGAAACGGTTGACTTCGAGAATAGGACTCCAATTGTATTCAGACATTTTTGGATTATGTCCCTGTTGAGTGGTCTTGGTACAAGGTTCTTCTCGATAGTGACCTTTTCGTTGAGTGAGACACGGTCCGCTGCATGCTAAAGTGCTGCCGTATGGTTTGTGAAGCTCCTTCAACTTGATTCCAGATATGAATTGTCTCCGTTCCATATGTGTCTTGTCTTTCTTCTACATTCTCATCTACATTGCTAGAACTTGTGGTTGAAATGAAATTTTTGACCTCAAGCTGTGTAGACGATTTAACTAAACGCGAAAGTTGAGAGCAGTCATCGGCTGCTTGATTAGATTTCCGTAGACCCATTGTCCTTGTAATGGCCGTATCACCTGGGCTGTTTGATGTTGGAATCTCTTCCGAAATCGTGTCGTAGCTTCCAGGATCTTCTTCGACAATTTTAGTTGTTTTAGATTGCGTGCAATCTGGAGTTGAGGGCATGCCACTGCTTCGATTTTCTAATCCAACACTCACGCGTACACCATTTCTTCTTCGTAAGCGCTCAACCCGTTTTTGATTGACTCGTGAGTCGTGGGTGAATCTTTGCGGGATCTTTCCACCCTTCACGATTTCTTCTCTTTCATCTTTTCTAAAGTTCTTTCTAAAGCCCCATTTTTCGATTTTCCGAGTGAATTGCCGTTTCCTTTTTCCCTCATCAGGATATTAGGTTCGCCACATGCAAAAACACATGTTTACCATGAGAAACTTACGTGATGTTGAACTTAAATTCGACATTCAGTGCCTCCTTGACTTTTGGGAATGTTAAATTCTCACTGATATAAAGACGGTAGATAACTGGCTTTAGAGTTGGCCAATCCGCTTCGGTGACAGCCTTCCCCCGGTAGGCTGGAACTCCCTTCGGAGCTCCTACTGCGGAGCAATGAGCTCCAAACGCTTGGGGTGCAGCGATACCAGAGGTAGATATCGGTAAGGCTGTGAGTTTGCCAGTAGGAACTTTTGGCGGGTGATCCATACGCGCGAAATGACCAAAAGGAAGAACTTGTTGTTACGATGACGAGAAATCTTTCCAAAAGAAAACCCCCCATGAACTCGGGAAATGTAGATGCGATGAAGTGTAAATATTGAAAAATTTCGACCATAAACCTAATGCGTTTCGAAGCTTGCAAAATAGGTCAACCAGAATTACCTTGCATAAGAAGGGCTGCATCATAGCCTCTTGTGTGTAACCATCTACCAAATTCCCCCGCATAATCAGGTCGCCAATCACGAACGAAGCACAAAGCTCATTCAACTTTCAAGGGGTTCATCCAGATAATGTCTATCGATAGCCTTGTCGTGCAGTAAATTGCATCACTATGACCATGCCCTGGCTATGCAAAAGATATCATTCAAAGGATGGATGATACTTCTTAAAATCCTTGAAATATCATAAGAGATTACAAATGGTCAGATGAGGTGTGCGAGGTTGCACAACGAGCATGGCAAGAAAATCCTACTGTTAATCGGAGTCCGAAGAAAATAGACCGTGTTCTGTTGCACCACCTAATAAATAACCTTCTCATTTTTATTGTAAAAGCTTGAAGCAAGCAGACACCATCTTTAGTACCACGAAGACTCTTGGAGAAGGGTGAATTCTAGGATAACTTCTAGGGCAACTATGTAAAAGAAATGAAATTTGCCACCAACGACAGAAGGTGATGATTTGAAATACAGCACTTGTTGCACATCAACCCGCGCTGTTCGAGGTCACTTCTATCGCCTTTGAATTGCTGCTGAACGACACTTTGTTGATCCCAGATGTGGTTGTGCTTGTATTCATAGTAATAAGACGAAGAATATTGGAAAGTGCCAATACCTAGCAGTATTTGATGTTGTGCTCTATATTTCAAATGTAGCGTAAAATTGACGGATAATGTTGACTAAGAATTATATTGCCATTTTATAAATTCTCACCGCCTTGACCCTGTCGCGGGGTTGAACGGCAATATAATTTCACCCCGCTATGTGAATTTTCTTTGACAAAACGGAATAAAACGATGGAGCAACTAACCACAGCCCCAGTTCTTTCAACACCGGAAGTACATATATTCGAAGATCCCACACCCTCCGTCAAGAAAGATGATCTCCCAAAACTTTCCGACGAAGACTTGTTCGATGTTTACGAGATTTCGCGGACGGTGAAGGAGATACGAGAAGGAGGATGGAAGAAAATAGCTTTACAATTTTCAGATGGCATGTTATCAGATGCACCGAGAGTTTTCCAAGAACTGGAAAACAGGCTTCGAAATTTACCTGTCGAACCAGCTTCGAACGAAATCCCTGAGACAGGAAACTCAAGCCTAGAAACAGATTTCAGCAATCCATCCGCGAGCATTGCGACCTCGAGTATTCGACATAAATTATACATATTGGCAGATACTTCTTATGGTTCTTGCTGTGTTGATGAAATTGCAGCCGAACATGTCGACGCGCAGGTAGTCATCCATTATGGCCGCGCTTGTCTATCTCCCACTGCACGATTACCGGTGATCTATGTATTCACATCTAGGCCTCTAAATCTCGAGTCCGTTGTGCAAGCATTTGAAAATACATACAAGGAGAAGGATGACAAAATTGTCATTATGGCTGATATTACCTACCACTCGCATATTTCATCTCTTGTTAGCCTATTACAAGACGGAGGCTACAAAAATCTACTTGCGCCAGAAATTACACACGATCCCAGTGCGATAATACCGAATCGAAAGTTGGATGAAGGGGTAGATATGAAGGAGCATAGTTTATTTCACATTAGTGAACCACCGTCTGCGTTACTACTTACGTTGTCAGGAAGAGTTAAGGATATGCATATTTACTCTACAGATTCTACGACAGGAAATGAAACGACGAAAACAAACGCGGCACGAGCGCTTATGCGAAGATATGCTTTACTTACATCTCTATCTTCCTGTGCTGTGTTTGGTATTCTGATTAATACCCTAAGTGTAACGAATTATTTACCTACGGTCAATTCCCTAGCTGCACTTATACGATCGAAGCGAAAGAAATCATATACATTTGTGGTAGGGAAGGTTAATGCTGCGAAGTTGGCAAATTTCAGCGAAATAGAAGGATGGGTAGTGGTCGGATGTTGGGAAAGTAGTTTGGTAGAGGGGGAAGCATTGTTCAAACCAGTTATTACACCTTTTGAGCTGGAGTTGGCTTTACAGAGTGATGATGAACGAGTCTGGGGTGGGGATTGGGTAGCAGATTTCAATGCCTTGAATCTGCAAGCTTCTACTACTGCTGTTCCATCCGCGGAGCACACCGAATCAAATGCTGTCGAAGAATCAGAGAATGTAAATGCTACCGAGGATGCAGAAGATTCCGAGGAAGAATCAATGCCTCCCGAGTTTGATCTTCGAACTGGCCGATACGTTTCGCATTCTCGGCCTATGCGTTCCTCTCAGGCGACATCCCCGGAACCTAAGAAAATGTTGGAGAATGGCTTGCAACCCAATGCATCCAATAAACTGGTCAAGCGAGCCAAAATGGAGTTAGCGACAGTGAATGGGGAGGCTAGCCCAGGCGCAGAATATTTGAGGGAGAAGAGGACCTGGACTGGTCTGGGTAGTGATTTCGATAAAGAGGCGATTGAAGAGGGTAGAGAAAGAGAAGTAGCTGCGGTTGTGGAAGAAGGGAGAAGTGGTGTGGCAAGGGGATACACGGTTGGTGAGGATGCCTCGCGGAGTTGAACAATTGCTTTCTAGGTGGAATTGTAAATGTTCAGATGGGCAAATCGAACGAGGGCCTGGTTTACTGTCAAGTCCCTTCTGCTCTTTTTCGGGCATGAAACGTGGAGATGTCGAACCTGTTGTCCCAAAGTCGACAAAGTTTTGGCCAAAAGTGATCTAGCGGTACGAGCCTGACCGACATCATGTACTAAACACGCAAACGAACGTTTCGGGTAGATTGAAACAACAGAAGAAACTCGGCGTGAGATGGAGTCCCAATCGACGACAGGTTATGGGACCACCAGATGATTCACCGCTTATCGATGTAGGCATTATCAACTCGGCGAACAGGTACAACGAACTGTTTTCCCCACAAGCACAGCCGTCGGTACCTGAGAAAGGCTCGAATGATTCTTGTGCTGGCAAACATTAATGGACCTTGACAGTAGTGGTATGCTCTACATCCAATGGATCCTAGATCCAAATCTAAATGCAGAGCATCCCGACATGATAATTTCGGTGCCTTTTTTTAGAAGATGAAAATTTATTCTTCCCGTTTTTGATTTTCGAGCTCATTCGACATTAGAAAAATGTTGTCACCCTGCATTTACCTAGTCCAGGATGTTTGGGCGCCAATAACCTGCCACTTCTTTTATTTGGTACACTAAGACCCAACCCCGCCAATTTTCAAAGCACAAACATAGATTTTTTGGTGTGAGACTTGTGAGTAGGTACCCAACATAAAAATGGGATGAGGCTTGTTAGACGTTCAATATTAGTTAGTTGTATGAAGATTCTCTAGAAGGATTATAGTCCTATATCACTACCTAGATGCTTGGGCTCACCAGCCATCTTCCTTTTTCGTGTTTTGATCCTCTTGAATTTGTGCATTTGTATATGGTAGACTGTACATACATGGTACCTAGTACATCCAGTATTGAAGTGTATTGAAGTGTGTGGGAGAGAAGGGACGAGACGAGACGAGACGAGATATTTAACCCCTCAGCACGATTTGACTATCGATAAGAAGCATATCAACCTCACCGACGTCATAAACTCATAAATCCATAAACTCTATCCATCAGGCTCAATCATCAAACACACCGTTGCACCAATTCCTGTTAGAAAGACTTTTCTAGAGCCTTGTCAATTTGTCAATTTGTCAATTTGTCGTCAGCACTTCGCCCAGCACATCTCTCTCCTCTCCACCATTCTTGTTTTCAATCCTTGCAACTTGAACTTCACTCGAAGGAAGCATCAGAAATTCCCAGACCCACCAACCCTTTTCATCAATATCCCCGAAAAGTCAATTAACAAGGCTGCATGCATCATTGTGAAAAGCAGGGCAATCCATTCTACTCCGTAACATAACACCTCAGCGTCTGTGGATTTATTTGGATTTGGATTTGGATTTGGGATTCATAAGAGGACATAGCTTCCCTTTTCTCTTCAGTCTGAAGTTTGTGTTTGTTTCTTTTTACTTTATCTTATTTTGATTCATTTTGATTCATTTTGATTCATTTTGATTCACTGTGATTTGGTTGTGTGGTTTTGGTGTTGTTGCGATTAAGCAACTACCTACCTACCTCAGTGGAAAGCGAATTGATTCGCACGTTTGGGACTCGGCATCAGCATCATCGTCATCGTCACCCTCATCGTTGTCGCATAAGCCTTTTAGTTTCAGCTTATCTCTCCAACAACTACTTCATCATCACATATTAATTAATATAATTGCAAAGTTTCGATCTTTGCTTGCTATCACATCAATAATATAATCTCACACACCAACTCCAATATCTGAAAAGATAAAACGCTCTTCTCAAGATGCTTTTCGGGATGTTCTTCGCCTTTTGGCGATTCTGCGAAATCATAACTTTGGTATGCGATTCTCACTTTTTTCAGCCTTCCTTCCACTCTACTAATACTTTGCCTTTCATAGATTCCAACGTTAGGAATGCTCGCATTCTTCGTCAATATTTACGCATCTAATAATGCCCTCACACCAAATTACATCCTAGTACTCTTCATCGTCTCAGTGCTCGCCTGCGCCTGGGCCATCGCAACCCTCTTCACCTACCACCGCGCGCGCTCCAACGCCCTCTTCGTCGCCTTCATCGATCTCTGTTTCGTAGGAGCCTTTATCGCAAGCGTCTACGAGCTCCGCCTCATCACCAACTACAACTGTTCATCGCTCACCAGCTCCCCCGGTTACTACATCAATTTTGGCGCATTCGGCAACGCTAATGTTAATGGTGTGAGTGTTAAATTTGATAAAACGTGCGCGATGCTTAAAGCCTGTTTTGCCTTTGGTATCATGAATTGTATCTTCTTTTTTATTACGAGTTTGTTGGCTTGTATGGTGGGGAGGGGTCACGAGAGACAGGGACGCAGAGATGAGAAGGTTTATGTGCGGGAAACTCATGTTACTAGACATGGTCATCGCAGAAGTGGGAGTCGTAGGAGTAGGAGGAGTTCGCATCGTAGAAATTATGTTTAAGATGTGAGGTGATAGGAGGATTGGGGATGAGAATGGGGGATGGGAGGGATTAAGAGGGGTTGGGATAGGGATAGGGATATGGTGGAAAGAGTGATTTTTAGGGGAGTTGGGTTCGAGCTTTTACTCTTTTTTTTTACTATACGGGTTTATCTATCAATGATTTGGACGATTTGGATAAATGGCTGGAGGAATGAGGAATGAGACATGCAATGAGAAATGGTATGAGGAAAGGAATTGAAAGGAAAAGATTGGATTGGATTGGGATCAATGAGAAATGCTATGATACGATGAAACGATATATCATCATGAAATATTTTCTAATGAGGACGGAATATAAAAGAATAAAATAAGAAAGAATAGGATAGAAAATGATACATAAATGAAATAAATAAATGAATAAATACAATAATCTCAAACAATTCTTTTTTTTTTTTTCATCTTATAAAATATACCTACTCTCTGTTACAAGGTTTGCCGTCTAGATCATGTGGAAGTGCTCTAGGCTCTCGAGGTGGTTTATAACTAGATGTCAAACAGGGACTTAAGTACTAAGCTGTATTGATCTTATTAAGTAATCATCAATACAAAGGTCTATATAATCTAGATAGATTTTCTCTATATAGAGCTTTATATTCAAGATCAATTATTTAGTATACTCTACTATTAGTTACGAATTGCATTATTGTCATTATTTTAAGTCCCTGTTTGACGTCTAGTTATAAACTATTACGAGGTTTGCCATCTAGATCACGTGGAAGTGCTCTAGGCTCTCGAGATGGTTTATAACTAGGCGTCAAGCAGGGACTTAAAGTAATGACAATAATGCAATTCGTAACTAATAATAGAGTATACTAAATGATTGATCTTGAGCATGAAGCTCTATACAAAGGAAATCCATCTTGATTATATAGTCCTTTATGCTTCTATGATTACTAGTGATCCTTCATGATCCCCAGTGATCACCTATATCGTGATCCTTAGTGATCCTTCATGATCACCAGTGATCACCTATACCGTGATCCTTAATGATCCTTAATGCTCACTACTGATCATTTGTGATCACGTGCCTTGGTAGTTGTGTAGCCCGTCGTAACACAAGGCAATACAATCAGACAATCGAGAATGGGCTACGGCAATTATATGTGGTAATGGAGAAAGTGAAACTATACCTCTATTTCTGATAGTTCAAGAATAAGTTCATCTTTCTAATTAGTATACCAAAACCGATTTTCCTACGGATTAAGTTATTAAATCTATTTCTAATGAATAAACGAATAATGAGATAGGTTTAGAATAATTAAAGCATTTCGATAAATATATTAATCAATGAAGAAAGGGCAAATATCGAATGTTAGTATTGGATAAGTATGAAAGTTATGAATTGATATCTTTCCAATCATATTGTAAGTCAAATGACATTATATGTATAAAGTTATCATTGTATTCAAATTATTTAATTCAATCACTTGATATTGGATGTTTTAGCGTATTCAAATGTTTATATAGTTATCAAATTGATGAGTTTATTAAGGTATATATCAATTATATTTCTAAGATTGAATTCTTTATAGTTTTCAAAATTATATATCAACAATCGATTACAATTCAGAATATAAAAGCTGGCTTTCGAGGAGTAAGACTAATACTATTTGATCCTCAAGCTGTGCTTTCGAAATTAGATATTCGAATTCGCACACCTACCCCTCCATCGATCCTTTTGGAATCTGCCAACTCTTGGGTCTCTCAAATATCTCATAATCCAATTGAAGCTCTTTTACAATCAATTTTAGTGAAATCTCGAATTACTTGATATCAATCAAGTTCTTTTATATCTATATTCGAAATTGTAATTGTATTAGCTAAGGGTACAGAATGATTAGCTTATGAGAATACACTTTTAAATGCAGAGATTTATATGTTTCGGAAGGCAAATGAGGCATTAAGCAAACGTCGATATATTAAAAAAACTTATTTATATTAAGGAGGAGTATTTACTGGTCAGGAAGCTACAGATATAATATCATAAGAAGAAGTGGATATTCAGATTCGATGTGATGAGCATCAAAATAAAGGAAATTCCAATAGGGAATCATCTATTAATCGATGCTGTAGTAAATGTGGAAAGACTGGTCACAATTCAAGAACTTGTTCTAATAATATAATAGACCCTAGATTATTAGATTCTTAATAGTTTAAATCAATTGATTCAATAATTGTTGATTAAAATAAGTTTAAAGTGGTTGAGTAAGTGAAAAAGTGGCGACTCGCTGATAAACCACGTTAATCTTACGATCCCAAAATCAAATCAAATCAAATCGTAAGAATACCCTCGTGAAGCGGCAGATTTCCATCATCCGAAACAACCACAATTAAAATTTTGCAGTTGCAATTGGTGAATATGAGAAATCAAACCATATGCATGAACCCAGATAGATCTATCATTTTAACATTCGCGAGAAAAATCCTATATCATAAACCTGCCGTCTAGACACCAGCAAGAGAATTTTCTTCCAAAGCAGACTGATATACTAATATAAAAGTCTGAAAAATACTACTAATTGCAATATATTCCACATCCACACCCACTACATAAGTTCATCAAAATCTCTAATATGCACGATCTGCTGACCATGAAGTTGAACATTTCTCCGTTTCTGATGACCCTTCAAGTTTCCCTCTATAGGACTACCATTCTCATGTGTTCTTACACTCGGCCAAATAGGTTCGTCGAGTTTTTCAATACCGGGTCCATATCCGGAGTTACTTCGTTGGGAGAGAGTATTTGGGTAAGGGGAGGAAAGAGTGGGGGAAGAAAAAGGTGTAGAAGAGGCACTTTTGTGGATTCTTAGACCCATTATTTCTCCGTCGTGGCCTGGGGGAGGAACTGGATAGGAAGATGTTTGGTAAGGAGATGGTCGGATGCGTGTTGATTGGTATGTCGGCACGGTGCGGTTTGGATTTTGGGGATTTCGGGGTGTGGATACATAGGAGGGAGTTTGAGGAAGAGGTGATTTGGGAGGTTGAGATGGTGGCTGATTGGTCGGGGAATAGTATTTTTCGGATGACTTTGATGAATATTGTGGTTCGATGGGTTGTCTTGGAGGAGCGGGGAAAAGTGACACAGTTTTCGATGATGGCGATTGCGCGGTCTTGAGGGATAGATCTCTCGTGCGAATACTTAAGTGTTCTGCTGGTTGCATAGTCACGAAGCTTGATTCGCTATCAGCGATCGATGCAGCAGTGGAGGTACGAGCGGTATCCAAATCATTAGCAGTTTCGGCCTCGGAAAAAGTGGTTGTTCTAGCCATGCTCTCATAGCTAGAAACTGAGGACATGGATCTGCCAGTAGTATTTGGTTCAAGTCTCTCTGGTACAGAATGGGGTCCATTTTCAACATGTACTTGTTTTTGCCATATCGAGGATATGGTCCAGCAATGGCTTCGATTGTGTTCAGCTTGTTGTCTAAGTGATTGATCTTCAATCCATGAAGGTTGTTGCTCTACTTTACCCGACAAGAAGTATTCGACTCCTTCGGTATGGAGTAATCCCGGCTTGTCGACCACGAGTGATGACAGAGTTTGCAAGATAAAATAAACGAGAACCCAGCGAGCTCGACGTGCGCTTCTTGGATCACATTCACCAATTCTATCTGTCTTCTCCCAATGCATATACGCCTCTACCATATCGTTACCCTCGTATTCGTCTCCAAGGAGAAAAATGTTCGTTGCCTCCGTATACGCTAGAGCGGACTTTCTAGCTTCTAACTGTGTACTTCTTCCTTGGGTAGGAGGACAAGATTGTGGTAATCGAGGATAAGGATGAGGAATAGACGGAAAGTTGTGATGACTGTCAAATCGCTCAATTAAATTGGTGAATTCGCAGTCATGGCTATTAGGACGGAATTCGGGGGAACCAGGACGAACAATATTGGATCTGTGACTGTTCATCTCCATCAAACCATTCCAAATAACCTGTCGATCAACTAAATAATCATAGAGCGCATAGAAATCCACTGCTAAAGTTCTGACGACAAGCCTGGTAAGCCAGCCATCAACATTTTTAAAAGCCGGTGGCATAGGAGGCCATGTTCCAAACATATCCGAGTAATAGTCGCGGAAAAACTCTTGGAGTCTAACAAAAGCCTCACGAGAGCTTATGCTATGATGATTTGAAGCCTCCGGCCAATAAGACCCATAGTCAAAACCGACCAATAATTCCTCACAATACGCAACTTGGGTTGATGTTTCAACACTAGCTATTTCGAGCATCAACTTTGTAGCTGGGGAAACATTCTTCCAGCTGGGTAGCAAAGCGACATCATTGTACATACCAGCACAGTGCACAAACGCTTCATGCCATCCTTGTTGCCAGTGAATTTTCTTGTGTTCACTCCAAATCAACATGCTGCAAGCCGACTCCGGATCGTCACGAACATCATGCCAGCCCATTGCTTCGGTGTAGTTAACAGGAATATAAGTCAGACTTTGATGCCGAGGCATAATGTCCTGGAAACGCTCATGCAAATCGGTGATTGCTTGGTGTAAAGTGTATCCAACGATTCCTTTACCAGAGCATACCGCAAAGACATTTCTCCAAGACAGCTTGTATCTAAGCAGTTCCTGTCCCAGAATATTTCCAGCAGTTGGTAATGTAAATCTGTACGAGATTTGGGAAGCGTCGAAACTTTTGCTAGATTCGGAGCCGGGAGGAGTCGGATGTCTAGATCGCTGGGAACCATGTCGGTAAGAATCGGCAATGCTCATGGTATCCATGTCGTCCGTAAGGCCATCACGTAGTAACGCGTCTACTATAGGTGATCCAATCGATTCAATCATATGAGATCCCAGTCTAAAAGCAGGTTGTGACATCTCAGTGTCTCCTGCCTCTTTAGCATAGAACACTAGAACATCCCCCTTTGGGTCCCAAAGGTCTGGATCTCTGACATCAACCTTGTCCCACAATACAATGGGCTGACCTTTTCGTCTCCATAACTTCATCTTTGCTGGGAATGGTGGGGCTTCTCCTCTGGAGGTTCCTAGTCGTTTTGGGGGTGGCTGGTTTGCATAGCGTGGGGTCTGCCCTGAGGCGCTAGTAGGTTGTTGATTTGTATACTGCATCTCTTCCGCCGGCAATTCATGCTTGTCTTCTCCAATTGGTGTTGCAGGCGGGGTTTCGTGCAGTTCTTCCTTGCCTTTCTTCTTCTTAAAGACGTTTGCGAAATTATGACGGAAGTTCTCACTGCTCTTCTCCATCTTCGAACGAAAAGCTGATTTTTCGATTCCAGATGTTTCGATCACTGGCATTTCAGGTCTTCTGATTCGAGCGTATCCGGGATTGTATTCGGCATCATAGTGACCACTGTGGATTGATCTTGATGAACCTTCATCTGATCTCATAAAATCAGGATGATCTGCGAAATTCGATGGGACACCATTTTCTACTCGAGGAAATTCTGAAATTGATGGATCTGACTTGATCGAAGGCGTGTGCTCTTTGCCTTTGAGTGTGTCATCTTTATTCAGGTAGTCGTATCCTGCCTTGTTATTTTTATCCACTTTCACCTTCCTGACATAAGCTGAACGTCCAGACATGATAAGTGTTGATATACGAAGAGAGTGATGATATCTTCTAGCAAAATAGTAATGTGAGAGTTTTTATGGCGTTGAGGCTCGAAGTCCAACGAAAATAAGACGGGGTATTGGTGTGTGAATCATTCAGTAAATGGCGAAAGCAAAGACAACGGAGCGTGTCTAGCTCTGCAATAATGACATGTGATGAATAAGAGACTGTCTGGTTAAGAAGTGAAGCCAAGTCGGGATCCAGAAGGCGGGAATGGAACAATGTCTTCTCGATCTATAGTTTTTGGAAAATAAAAAAATAAATAAAAAAAGGTAAAGGATTTGCGTCGGAATGTTGGTGGAAGAAGTGGTGAATATCAAGAGCAAATTCTTATTGTCTTTAGATTGGTTGATTTCTCGTAGGTATTGTGGTGTATCGGCAAATGGTTGTTCCGAAATTAGAGGTTATTCAGATGAGAATCAGACTTCACTGTCGCTCCCCTTCAGTCCAAACAAAGCTGACCAAAATAAATCTAGCACCAGTACTGCCAAGAGACTTCCCAGCAGTCAGCTGCGACGCCAAGAGATATAAAATATATATTAAAGAATGGGGGACAAGAATGGGGTATGTGAATAGAATAGAACAACTTTTCGACACTCTGGAAAGATGCTGTAATGCTCAAAGAACAGTGAAGAATGATGACACAGAACAAAACGGAACGAATGAAGTCAATGTTGAAACTTTTCCACTGAATAATGGTGGGGAAGAGGGAAAGTTTTACTGGGGAAGCACACAAGGATTCACATGTCGACTGATCCTATTTTATTGCTTTTCCCTCAAGGCTGACAATGTACCACCAGAGCAGGCTTCACTTCCCCATGCAAAGCGTGAGATTGAAGGATATGCTCTTGCATAGGGAATGGGGGACAGGGTAAATTTTGTCAATGTGCGGTTGTAGACTCGTAGTCCAGCGAGTAGTACAAAGAACTACTCAGTAAGCTTTAGAACCGGATCCTCTTGTGGATTCTCTTGATATTGGAAGCATGGCATAGCACCCCTCTCTTCTTCCGTCCCCTTGGGTATCCTTTATCTTGCAGAGGGGATGCGATAGGTTAGATTGATTCAGAACGGAAGGCGGCATACTACATAGCCTAGGAAGTCAATGGTCGACTCGAGCCTAGAAAATATGGACCTTGTTAGCCTTTATTGGTTTTGTATCCAATCACTGATTCATGTATGAATTCAAGGATGCATGAAGCACATACATACCGAGATTGAAGGGCGGACGGGCAGGTTCGCCAGGCTAGTTCTAGTGAGGGAACTCAAGAATGAGGTGTGAAGGGATGAGAGATACCTTCGGAGGGAGTACTAGGTATGCATAATGTAAGCATAAGGCGACAGGCGCCGGCCTGTGGTACAGCTCAGTCAGCCTATGCAATCACGAACTTCACGACCTCACGACCTTCCTACCCACAAGTTTTATAAACAAAGTTTCTCTCTACTGCCACTTTTGAGCTTTTCATGGTTCATGTACAGGATAGAACCATCAAAATAGACGAAATGTATTTGCTTTGTTTTACTCAATGCGATTGCAAATTGAATCGTGTTCCCAAGCGATATCTCGTAAACCAATTATCCGCTATCTACAACAATTTAGGAAGGGTTCGTCTCGATATACCCAGCTGTTTTGTCCCACTAGACATGTCCTGGAGGTCCACTATCTCCACTAGGGAGATAGGGCATGTACGCTATACTCGGCCCCACTGTCCGCCCTGAATTAGTTTATGGATTTAGAACCTTTTAGGGCTTCTATTGCATGATTCTTCGAAAAGAGGTTTGGTGATTGTGATAGTACTCCATATATTTTTTGATGGTTCATCTTATCTCTCTTTTTTCCGAAAAGACAAGTGTAACAATTGACATGCAAAGGACTTGGAAATGGATTCGTGGTTTTATGGCTGCTTGGCTGCTTGGCTGCTTGGCTTCATGGTTTCATGGTTTCGTGGCTTTACAATCTCATAGCTTTATAGCTTCACAGTTCCACGGGCTTCAATCATGGTCATCATTAACAGTTGGCGTTCCAATGAGATGCCGGAGAGGCAAATATACTGGCATTTTGGCTACTCGGCCGTAGCCGAATACCCTTGAAGAGAGCACCCTTTTCTGTTTCAAACCTTTAGCTAGCTAGCTATCTCTCTAGATACTTCTCTAGATTCTTCCAATATGTCAACATCTAGCTTTAACCAATCAAATATCCTCATCATATCAATGATAAGAGAGAGAGGTTAAATCTTCCAACAGTTGCCAATGAAATTAATTAGCCAATCAATTCAACATGTTTCAACCTCTCTCTTTCATCTATTTAACATTTGATACCCCGAATCTAGATATACCTACGATACGTATTGCACTTAGCTTCATGTTGCATCGCTAAACATCATTTACCTCCGGACAACACTCATCAGAGTATTCATATCCGACGGCTTATCCAAATCTAATCAATATGCGAGTTGTTTCGGTATGTAGAACCGGAATGAGGAGAACGACCATGGATGTGTAGGGCCACGCCCCTTCAAATTTCGAATTTTTGAAAGGAAAAAATCGACCAGATCTTCGGAGCCTCAATCCCTTTTCTATCATCATCGTACGAGGGACTTGTAACATTTGTACGAGGCACGTCAGCATCGTATCCACAAGTGCACGACCGATACTTTCGTCATATCTGTCAGACAGACATTGGCATTCACGCTTCTACCTTTTGGTTTTTCAGCTCATCCCAAATTCAATTATTTATTGCCTTGGAGATCCAAAAAAGAGGCATTGTAGCTCAAAGCTCAATTCAACGTTATACAGCATATTTTTCCCAATCCATCCATCCTTCCATCCTTCAGCTTATGTGCAAGCCATTCTATCCGAAAATAATCATCTTGTCCCGCTGCTATACTCGTAAATAACTCATTATCTCTTAGCGGGACTAGTTCACTGGTGGCTTACCAATGTTAAGTGTGAGCGATGGGATTTCCCCTTCTGGCAGTAGCCCCAGTCTTCCCGTGATAAGCCAAACCCCGCAGCTTACAACGTTTACTTCTCTGAAAGTGGAAGGTAGTTATTTCTCTCTCAAGTTGAGAAGGAGAATACATTTCTATCTCTTGGCAGCAATTGAACTGACATGTCTTCTTTATTCCGGAGACCAAAATCTTTCTCTGAAGCAGGCCCACAAGGCTTGATCACTGAGGATCTCCTTGAGGATTAATGATGAACAGCATCACCTTGTACGCAGATCGTTCACAATCTTTCCTGGGGACGAGCCACTGTTCCACAACGAGCCACCGTTCCATATTTCAGTGGGCGACCGAATGCATGATTTCCTCGTGGAAGGGGGTCTAGATCACAAAATCTACGGAGTACATGCGAATAGCATGCCTTGCAAGTTGCAAGTTGCAAGATCTCTGTTGAAATTCTTCACAATACCGGTAGTACCCGAAGGCTCTAAACTCATACTTTGATTTCACACGTTTGAGGATACGTATTAAAGCAATCTTTTAAATTCCAATTCAATTTCTGTTCGATTATTGAAAAGTTTGAGTTTCCCAATCTAGTACTAAAGTCCGGGGCTAGAGCGGATATATCCGTTAGTCTCTGACATTAGTCTCTGACATTAGTCTCTGACATTAGTCTCTGACATTAGTCCCCGAAAAGTCAAAGACTTCAATCCTCACGTGAAAGCACATTGATGTGACGTGTGTACTACATGTGTAGGAAACATACACACATTAAGATTCATTCTGTCATATGTTGTGGTCTGTACTCCGCAGAAGGGCTGCAGCAATTAGAGATTCTAGTTGCATCTTTTTTACCCATGGTCACAAGATCTCGATAAAAAATTCCGAGTCTTGTTAATCATGACTTTAGTAAAGTCTGAAGAGGCAAGGCTTTTGGTTTCACTAATCTGGCATGTATCCCAATTCAGAAACATCAAGAAACAGGCTTTATTATCTGTGTTATGTCCTTCATGAGAAAAGCTCCCGAAAAAGACAATGTGTGAAGAGTATAGAGGTGACCTTACCGGATGAGTACATCTTATATTGCGATACGATGCCGACATAAGCCTTGACAATCAAGGCCAGGCCGAGCCAATCCCTTCTTTCCCCCCGCCCCTCTAATAGACGTGTTTCACTGAAAAAACAATATGGTAGAAATAGAAGTAGTCTTGCGTTCCTTTCCCTTCTTTCTTTCCCAGAAATCTCTTTCCGTTCTCCTGACTGTCAAATATAGGTGAATTTTTCGCTTTCGATAGAATTTAGTTGTCACAGTTTTCATCTCAAAGGTTAACAACTATCATCCCGCTTGTTCTATATCTTCGTCCTTACCTCTGACTCACCCCTTCATCTCAAAATATCAAAGCAAAGACAAATGAAATTCAGGAAGAATAATAGGACGAAATACAAAAACATGCCTCCCATCCCCTCACTCCTTCCTCCCCGTGAGGGGCAGGAAGAAAAACCCCCTGGAAGAGAGAAGCAGCGGGGCGGGGATTAGATAACCCCATATGATACTCCTAACCACAACATCATGGTGCCGATATGTTCTACTATTCAATTTCCCGTATCAATCGACAAAGAAACAACAGTTTTGTACCTTTTATACACATTTATCCTTTAATATAGGCACTAAGGAATGAAACAAACTATTCAACAGAATATTACAGACCTTCATTCTAAGTTCTAACAATCTCTAGCTATCACACCTGGTATATAACATCATGATATAAATAAAGAAGTAAATAAATCCTCTATAAATTATTCTATAAATCTAGAAACTTTTCAATTTTTCTTATTATTTATATAATCATATCCCATATCTCTGTACAAATATAACCCAAACTTCTAGTATACTTTAACTATAATCTTACAATACCTTTACAATAATAATAATATATAATTGAGATGAGTAGAAGTTAGAAACCTAATTTGAGGCTGGATCTGGATCTGGATATTTGTTTATATAGTTAGGTCGTACTGAGTTCTACCGATATATTAATTATATCATTTGTAATACTAAGGGTGATATTGAGAGTATATTGATTGATAGATAAGTTAGAACACGATTCTGCTTCCAAGACATAGCTACCACTCATTTGTTTCATAGTTTGTTGTGGGCATTAGGTGTGACTTCGGTGTGACTTCTTACTATCTATATGAGAGATTTTGTGTTCACTCGTTTCATATTGATTTGGGGTTAAGGTCTGTATTTCCATGATATTAAATGGAAATAGATAGATATTGACTGTAAAAAAAATTCATATGTCCTGTCTATGAAAAACTACTTATGGATATCGAATCATGACTTAAACCACTCTCTAGTAAGTATCCGCCCAAGAAGGAAGTAAAGTAAAACTCCGGTACAATCTAAGACCTAAATACCCTCTCCTTCGCATTACCAGAGACATCCTCTCAAACTCATTCCCTCTGCTTAACAACCAACTCTCTAACTTCAGGAAGCCCCTCCCATCCTCTCCCGTTTCCGCCAAACCTAACACTCTTCTCCATGACCTCCCTCCACCTAAGTCCTGGAGCTAGTTTTCCCGTAATAGTATTTGGTCTCCTTACATCCGCATTAGTCGGCACTGGCAATGCTCGTCCCAATAATGCTTCCATTGCTTGCATTGCGAATCCAACTGCTTTCTTCGCATTTGAAGGGATGCCAGTTTTATCGAAGCTGCCAAAACGGGCTTTTGGGAATTCAGCTTGGAGGTCTGAGATCAAAGATGTGTGTGCCATGCCGCGGCCATCGACGGTTATATCAGCTGCGTTAACAGCGTCACGACCGGGACCATAGAGGAGGATCTGTTGGGCTATGCTGGCAGAAGTAAAACGTGTGATGGTTGATATTGTATCTGCAGGTGAACAACCTCGATATGCACACATGCCTATAATCTTATATGCCATAGCGTCACCATAAATTTCCCTGGCCGTGGTTTTTGGCGGTCGTGTGCTGAGATATTCATCGTTGGTTAGGAGTTGCTCGACTATTTCATGACATATTTCACCGTGTAGGAAAGAGGGCTGATCCGTCTGCGGATCGAGGCCAAAGTGACGATAGGCTGCATCAATCATACAAGTGCCTGGACCTGTATCCCAGTCGTACATTGCGTCTATTCCGCCCTTTTTATCGGATGGGATAAAACATATAGTTGTAATACCTCCAATTGTTATGCAAATTTGTAATCTCGTAGGATGATGCAATAATAGCCCGACCAAATATGCAAATAAAGGAGCACCTTGTCTGCCGACTGCTTGTTCTGCCGTCCGATAGTCGGAAACGGTTGTTACACCTGTTTTTGCAGATATCACAGCTCCTTCTCCTAAACACATGTTCGATCGATGTTGTCCTCGAGGCGGAGCACCGGTTAGGGTTACGAGCTGCCCTCCGGATCCAATCAAGTCGATATCATCAACTGAAATGCCATGCCGTTGTGCAAATATGTGTATAGCGTTCGCGAAAGTATGACCCATCTCTGCGTCCATTTGCGATAGCATACTTGGTGGAGCGGCGTCTTCTTGTAACATCGACAAGATCTCGGATCGAATCTTCGAAGGCATAACCACTGAATCATACTGGGAGAAATCAGTCTGTGTTATGCAAAGGTAGTCTTCTTGTTGTATACCTGTATAAGATCCAAGTGTAATGGTGACTCCGGTGACTCCTGAGTATAACGACAGAGTGCAAAGTCAATATCATCCATCGCAGTGCCGGAAGTGATGCCCAGTATCAATAGATTTAGACCGGGTGAGCTTTGGGCTCCATCATCTGAAGATGAGGAGCTTGAACTTTGATAACCTCCATCTACTTTTGATTGTAAAGCTTCGAGGTATTTATGACCAACTTTCGTTCTAACACGACCTTTCGGGGCCGGTATCAAACCATTCATAACCATGACCATGCCCACGACATCAGATCGGAATGGTGATATGGAAACGGCCGCAATCGGCAGTCAAGAAGGGATTATAATATACGTGAATATACAAAGTGTGCGAATATTTTGATTATGTGGAATGCTCATCCAAAACACACAGAGTATTTTTGAAATACAAAAGTACAAGGGAAAGACATGGTTTCTGTAGTCGTGTGAGCTGAGTGATTTTGATCTCGAAATGGAAGTGTTAGTGAAACTATAGAGGTTAGCGGCATTATCATGTCAAATAGCAAAGATGGTGCAAGAATGACGTGGGAAAGATCTTCCTAGGAAGAAGTGATCCATGGTTAGAATGGTTGGGTGAGGGGAGAGGGGGAGAAATGATCCTCAAATGGAAATCCTATGCGCACATCGGGTGGGGGAAAGTGTTAAGGTTCTTGCCTGAGGCATAAGTAACATGCCATGCTTAGCATTTCTAACATTTGCTATTCCGTGGGTAACCTTGGTGGAATTTGTTTATACGGAGCAAGTGTCGAAAATCATGCCATCTTTGCTCTACAGAAACCTGCCACCAATTGCACCAAAATGCGCGATGAAATGTGACAAAACGCCAATGTACTATCATACTGCTCTTATCTGCATAATGCAAGTGAGCTTGTACGGCAAAGATCGTCACTTGCCAAATGTGACGCTCATACGGGTACTCCTTAGACCAATAGAGGTAGGTCGACTAGATCTTCGAATAGGACATTATCTGGTTCCTCACTATCGGTATATCCAATGGTATTTCATGACAACGTCCCAATATATTGGGAACGAGTGCTTTTCGCCGGTCGATGCATATATCTCCGATGTATGTAGTAGTTAGTTGATGGAGCATTCATTGGTTTTGGAGGCATTGGGTAGCTGTCCGAATTCGGATAAACAATCCTTTTCCCGAAGCTTATCCTTCCATGCATGAGTGGGAGGACTTTTGAACTTTTGAAGACGATCAGAAGCACAGCTTTTAGATGGTTTCTTTCGTGATCTGAGAGGTAACCAAGCTTCAAGCTACTCATCTGAGGGTGGAGTTATGTGCGATGGATCGAAGGTCTTTGTTTAACTTGTCCTTGTCGCGGCATATATCTGGAAATACCTAGAATATAGTACCGTTCTTTCTGTTGAAGACCAAAAACCATTGCTTTATGCTCTACCAGACCTGTGTTGTAGATCCAGATGGAGTTGCACATGTCACCGGAAGCTGCACAAGTTAAGAAAGGCGGAGAAGTTATTTAGGCCTAGCTTGGAATATTCTGCCGCCCCGCACAAGAACAGAAGCATGGCAGAGAGGATTCCACTCCTTAAAAGTCCAACCCTCCTAATTTATTCATCATGGGACTTTTTGGCTCTTCTCAAGCTTCTCTACCCCCTCCAAAGATATCCGCAGATGGTGCACCGATAGCACCGGATCGGAGCCAAAGGTCAAAATGCTGGGAAGCAAGAGATGCATACTTCAGGTGTTTGGACAAAAATGAAATTATTGACAGCATCACGGAGAAGAACAAAGCGGAGAAATCTTGCGGGACAGAGGCAAGAGGGTTCGAAAAGAATTGTGCAACTAGTTGGGTAGGTTGCTTCCGTAGCCGAAAGATCATTCTAGTGACATTGTTATGAATTGGTGCCGAATGAATTAGTTTTGATGACTGACGCGCCGCCCTATCAGGTTGAGTACTTTAAGAAACGAAGAGTTATGGAATACCAGCGCGATCAAACACTGCGAAAACTCAAGGCTGAAGGAGCGCAAGAGATGCCGGGCGTTATAGGAGCTGGAGCACCTGGACAGAGGCCATCATGATGTTTGGCAGAATGAAATGTACAACAGCATCTGGAATTAAACCATTCTATGGTCTACGGCGTTTTCTGAAGTTATCACAAATTTTCTTACGTCCAAACCCCACTCCAGCCATGAATTGAAGAATCTCCTCTGAGCTCAGGATACAAAATATTATTTCGGGTTACAAAATCTGCCCACACTTAAGTACGGTGTCTTTGTCAAACCGACATGCGTGGATATGATGCGCGCCTCTAGCTCCAGAGCTCTTTTGTCTGCGGATCTTGAAGGGTTGCCATAATACACAAAGCAGAAGCCGAATATTTTATGTGAAAGGATTCTGCATCCTCGCCCATGTTCCTAGTTACCCTTTGAATTTACTGCGGCAAAATGCAAAGAATTCTTTTCGAAATGGCCAAGTTTTAAGCAGATTCGATCATTGAAGCCATATTCCAGCATTCAATCCATCCTAGACTTCTTCCTCGCAGCTTTTATACGGATATATTAAAATTCCAGTCAACTTTTCTGTGCCCAAGTGGCTCGTGAAAATTGATCAACATATACTACACTACGTACATTGTTGTCCTTCCATTGTGGTACCCAAAAGAGTCAGGAAAGTCTTCTCGCTCGCTGCATTACTTGCATCCCATTGCCCAATCAACTGTGTCCAATGCAACTTTCAGGTTTTGGCTTGTATATACATCAGCAATCATTCTTCTCTTTTCTGAGTTTTGCACATTCCTTGAAGAGCTATCTCCAAATTCATTAATTTGATCCTGCAATCTGTTAAAAATATAGGTGGGTGATACTGGATGAGTGAGTTTCTTTTGATCCATGGAGGCACGGATTGTTCTTGGAAACCATGTCGTCGACTACTAAGATTCTTTTATCAAGATGATACCCATCTCAATTGACAATTAAACTATCTACCCCGTGCTTTTATTTTGCGGGGTACCAATCTTTTTTGAGTTTTGTCAGTCACATCTTGAATATCTAGACGGCCATGAAAATTAGAGTGTCAACGTTTGAACGTGTTTTTCGGGACCTACGCATTCCAGTGAATGATGCATCACTTGAGATGTAAAGTTCTGCTTTTGAAAACTTTCCTCCAAGATCCTGATGTGCCTTTCATTCACTAGTGACTGATCCGCCTGATTTGATGTCTTTGATTAGGAAATAATTAACATCGCATACCTATTTGATAGCCGTCGAAGACAGTGTCACTTGATCCATCGCCTTCGTCCGAAATTCAATCAGTATAGATGTGAAAAGAGGTTCATTTTTGAGCGAACGAGTAGACTTATATAAAAGGGGAAAGATAAACAAGTACTGCAAGCGTAAATGGTAAGGCGATTTCATGAAGTCTCAACACAGATAATCACTCTAGCCTCTGTTCTCACTATTGTAACCCGCTTCGGTAGCGCCTTGGGTGGTTTTACTAAGTTCCGGCTTCAATTTTTCGGAGTGATATCCTGTCTAACACTCTAGCCATGAGGAAATTGCTCTGCATTAAACGGATCTATATTTTCACGTTTCACACTGAATAGGTACTCTGGAACATGTGGCCGTCCGATTTCATTGCTACAAGTCAGAATGCACAGCATCCTTCGAATGTAAACGCACGATATGATGCTTTCTCCCGAATGAGGTTATTTGAATCAGTCTAGCCTTGTGCTCTTCGTATCTTCTTATTGAAAAAACCGTGATTGACAAGAACACGAATGACATCTTCGTGACCCGTTGTAAATGAAAAGCCTCTTGCATCGAGATTGTTGTAATGCACATGTATATTCTTAGCCCATATATATCCATTCGCGCCATTTCTGAGTAACAACTGAGCAATTTTCCGGCGCCCTTGTAAGCTGCACAAGCATTAGCAACTAATTGGGCATGGCGTCCCAAGTATCTGATACAGTAAAGTTGATGTCTCCATAACGGTCAATCATTTATTGTACCAATTCTTCTCTTCCCCAGTAGACACTCTGAACAAGCATCTCCTCTAATTGTTGGTCGCAGACCCATTGCCCAAAGGTCGTGATTTTAGAAACGTCTCAACGAGCAACGAAAGTGAAGTCATTATTCCATTTGCAGCTGCTCCGCGAAAGAAAATTTTTCATCTCCTCTGGAAGTGATATGATAATACGGCATTAAATGTGGTTCGAAGATGAATTCTGCGGCTTTTTAGTCGGGCATTCGGTAGCGATGGCCACAATTTATATGTTCAACCTTGTTTTGTTGTCTTCATGGGTAGCAATATCACAAGATTGTAATCTCCTTCGATCACATAAATTCGGGTTCCGGTCATGATTTAAACTCTATGCGTGGTCGGACAAACCTCAATTTCGAAAGCTGTTTTTTCGTCTTTCGTCCGAAGGTCTTTACTACGCGTCTTTACAGTGTGGATAGCTTGATAGGTAGGATAGGGTACCATTTGATTGGGCATGTATTTCATTTCTAGATAATAGAAAGGGAAACAATGCCGGGTAACTTGCTGTCATTGTATTTGAGGCATATTTCAAGGGCATCTTCAACTAGACCACGTGAATTTGCCATATAATCCACGCACAATGCTCTCGTAATTATTAATTTGAAGAGTTCTACTAGTTCACTGATACGCTGGAAGGCTTATGGGGCATAACATACTGCAAATAAGTAGCAAGTCCATGATCTTCCATAAACCAATAGCCACTAGTATCTGGTCAAATATAACTGCTAAGATATCGTCGGGAGATGTTGACAAGATACTTTATGATGGTCATGATATCGAAGGCATTGTAATAGTTTTGACGGGTGTAAGAATCTATAGCTAGCGAAATTAACAGCGATACATTGGAGGCCAGTATGGAATATACTGACTGACCAGGTTGCCATTAGATCTCACTCCCTTGTCGATAGACTGAAATGCTGTGGAAGTGTCGCTCAGCCAGCTTTACGGTTGGTACACCCGTGCCGTACTGTGACATATCGAATCTATTTAACCCGAAGTTGAGAACCTCAAATGAGAAAAGAAAACTGCACATTCACTTCAAATGTTCAGCAAAATTCCAGGTTTGGACCTGGAAGATGTGACAAAGGTTCCACTTGATACCCTCAAGTGATTGCGAAAATCGAAATTGTGATGCTCTTTGGGAAGAACTGCAGTATAAGGGTATATTTCGAAGATAGAAGGCTCGGCATGCGTGGCTCGAGGAAAGCCCAGAACGAGAATTCAAGCATGAATAGAGAGCACTTGAATACCAGGGGAAGGCGAAATTATTCGACCAAAATGCCCGAGGCATCACTACAGCCGATCGGTGCAACGAATATTGTCCAAGGCTCATGCAGACCATTTTCATCCCGACCAAAAGTGCCGCCCTGCTTCCTCAAGAAGGAAATCCCGTACTCAATCAAGTACGTCGGCTATTGGAGTAGCGCAATTTCGTATCTCCAGATTTTGGCCGATTAGAGGAGGTACAACCAGACAACCCGTCGTGACCTTGTTCATTACTTCCCACAAATGAAGGCCATTAACTAGATAAAACTATTCCTTGCTGTCATTCTTGTCGATATCGATTCCTTTTGATTCTTACCACAAGATGAGAATATCAAGCTTGGATATGTTCACCGCCTTTTCTTCCGCAATTCTTAAATCCCCGTGGCGGCAAAAATGCTTATCTCTGCCAACCTATCAATCATTCCGAAGAGCTTTCGGCTTTGAGGAGGGAGAAGGGAGTCTATATATCTGCTACTTCAGGGCTGAAAATATCCTTTCCTCTTGAATTGTTTCCCTCGTCAATTGTTTTCTTTTTCTTCTGCAAATAGTAATGAAGTTGAGAGGAGGAGGAAAAGAAGGAAATAGAGAGCCATAAATACCCTGCCACTGACTGCGATTTGCGTTTATTTGGGAGAAACGAGTGTTTCCAGCACGTGCGGAGCAACTCATGAAGTTTTTTCGGCAGATAACGGGCATTCAACAGGTGTCTTGCAAATTCTTGGCGCGGTGTCCATGTTTAGGACTGTTTTTATTCATATTTCCCGTCCTTTTTGTTGTCCATGGTTATAGGAGCACCAGTGCAGTGATTTTGAACGAGTCTTATACGTTCCAAGCGGTACAGTATGAGCGTATAGTGAAGGAATTTTCATGATCGTAACGAAGGAATTATGAATTATTGATGGGGAGGTTTCAAATGCTCTCAAATGCTCCCAAATACTTCTGCATCCTTCTCGAAGGGACAGAAGAAGAAAAAGTCAAACTTGGAATAGCTCTCTCGGATCAACCATCACATGCAATACGTCTTTTGCCCTTTACAGTAATATCTTTAGTCAAGATTAGAGACATGATTTTCAAATTTTTCCACATTGCAAGCCATTTTCCCTTGTATATCATATTTACTCGATTCTAGGATCATGATAACACTTATCTCTATACATTCTACTCTGCATTTGTCAAATCATGCACGGGTCTAAATATACACCGGTGGTAGTGCATTTACGGAGATTTTAACAAGCACAAACTTTCGATTAATGGAGTAGACAAGCGGATACTACTGGTACTAAGTTTTACATGTCCCATTATTGACAGGCAGCAGCCATTTTGCTGGATACTGTTTCCTTATTGGCAGTCCTATGTCCTCTCTCCTTTACTTTTTGGATCTCGAAATCATTGTTCTTGCATGATCAACCTCCATTTCAATACTACCGTATTGTCTTACTACCTACATATGGGTTGAGGTCGGATGTTTTCCGGAAGTCATTTGTTTAATGATGCATAATTATATACCTAATAGTTAACTACTTGAAAGGCCGACTACTTCGTAGTTGGGGAAAGCGATTGTCCCTGTGAGATTGTTTTGATGTAAAACATATCAAAATCATTCAGATCCTAAAATTATCACCAGAAAACCCTATTTTTAATATACAATCACAAATTTTTAAATTAATATAATAAAAATTTCATCATTGGATTTGTATCATCAAGCTCAAATCAACAATTCAAAAATTTATTATATCACTTGAAAATTGTTGATTTTATTTTTAAAACAGTGCTCCAGGGATAATCGCTTTCCCCAATTATGAAGTAGTCGGCCTTTCAAGTAGCCGACTATTAATATTTCTGCTTAAATACTTTCTATTTTCAGGCGAGAGGCTTAAAATAGCCCCAATTATATGGGCTTTGATTGACGCTAAAATTAAGCATCCCGGACTAGCTTATCTCAATGTTGCAAGAGAACAATGCGGTAAGGATGAATTAAACTTTATCAATATATGATAATCCACACCGTCTGACTTCCCCAGTATCGTTTGAGGGGCAGTCGGTTTTCCATCGAATGCCCTATCTGACTGAGTTTTTGTAATTTTCGAGTCTTCTTTTTCGTTCGAGTTCAAGAACCCATTTTGAGAAATCTAGTGATTGTGTTAGCTGGTCCCGAATGTTCAAAGCTCAGAATCAATGTCACGGAGAACCAAGCGAATCTTGCACATGTAACAAAACGTACCTCTTTTTCTCCGAGCTATTAGGTGTTATGAGGGATTTAAATCCCGTTTCAAATGTTAACTGTTGTAATCTAACATGTCGATGTACTTCGTTTCGCACTAGACTCTGTCGGAATAAGGTTAACTATATTAATTCTTATTTCAAATGGAAGAATCAACAAAGTGGATTGAAAATTTTTAAACCATCAATCCACTTTTCTAATTCATCCAATGATTCCAATCCCTATAAGAGAAAGCGTGATAAGAAGTACTTAAGCTTACATGGTACGTCCCTGAAAAGTTATACACATGGCTCAAAACACAGGGCTCTTCCCCTTTCTCTTCGGTCTTTAATATATATCGGATATTAACGGTGCAACCTTTGCCCGATCGTACGCTAGAACACAATTGTACGGGGTGACAATAGGTCCTCCAGTCTCCACGACATGTGGATGTGGATGTGGCGCAAGCATAACTCAATTCATAACTCCCGTTGAAACTGTTGTACGTAAATAACGTTAACAATGTCAGCAAAATCACCAAGCGAGTTTTAGGCAGATGCTAATCTCATGCTGATAATTCGAGCTTGGTAGAAGGCAATTTCTTAGCCTGAGTGGATTTGCACGTGCTCTTTTGTGTTAGGGTTGTGCTTTGATTCGCAGATCTTTTACGAGATCGGCCTTTTATGAGATGGGTCTTTTACGAGATGGGTCGTTAGGGTGTTGCGGTGTATATTTTTGAGGCAGTGGTTGGATAATGTATTACTTAGTGGTTACCTAATTACAGGCAAATGCAAAAAGGGGCAGCGCTATCCCTACACGCTTTGATGGTAGGAGCCTGCCAGATCATTAGGGGAAGAACATCTCCAGATAATGAAAAAAAAAACGATTCAATGCAACTGTGCTGCAATGAACTATATAAGCTTCTAGTACGTTTTTTCGGTGACGGGGTTCATTCATGTAGGTCTAGGTACGACATTGTATTTATTGTACGTCAAGTCTTACTCAGATATGACGAAGATCTAAGATTAATCTTTAACTATTCTATATTATCCTTCCCTCCCTATTCTACATTCTTTCTTTTAGTTTACCTTCTCGAAGGCTCCCTTTTCAAGAAAGAATCCAGCCATTCAAAATGGCTTTCCAACTTCCCAAACCACGGTATTCCCTCCAAATCCAAAATACGCGCATCTTCAAAATCCTCTCCGTAGGTGTATTCTTCTACCTGTCTATATATCTCCTCCTACCTCGAATTCGATCCGCACCCCTCACCATCACCGAGGAAGACATCTCCTTCGAACAACACAGCCCACACACCTACAATAATTTTCTTCCCGCCTCCAGCGCAGCGCAACTATGCACCTCGCACTCCCTCACCCCTTATCCGCATCGCTCCCAAAAACGCAAAGTATACGACCTCTTCATGGTAAACTCTGAGCTCGACTGGCTGGAAATCCGTCTCCACGAAATGAACACCGAGGTGGATTATTTCGTGATCCTCGAATCACCCACCACCTTCACCGGACTCGCAAAGAACATGACCTTCCAAGAAAACCGGGCTCGATTCGCCGCCTTCGAGGATAAAATCATCTATCACGTTTTGAAGGATGCTCCTTTACCCATATCCAATACTTCACTACCGGGTTCGAAAGAATACGAGGCAAATGCATGGGTACAGGAGAAATTCCAACGAGATGCCATGTTCACGCAGGTTTTCCCTACGCTGCTCGATGAGCGGAAACCTAATAAGGGGGATGTAATACTCGTTTCTGATATTGACGAGGTGATTCGTCCGGCTTCTTTACAGGTCCTTCGAAATTGTAATTTCCCCGTTATTCTCACGCTGCGCTCGCAATTCTACTACTATTCCTTCCAATTTCGTCATCGTGGTGAACAGTGGGCACATCCTCAGGCGACGTTTTACCAGGGATTAGAAGATACGATCAAACCGCATAGTTTGCGAAGTCGTCATGGAGGCCATGTGATAGTGGATGAGAGGGATAGTAATAAGAAGGGGGATTTGTGGAATGCGGCTTGGCATTGTAGTAGTTGTTTCAGTACGATTAAAGGAGATGAGGAGGAAGATGGAGAGTTTTAGTCATACGAATTTGAATAAGGCGGAGTTTAGGAAGACGGGGAGGATTGTGGATAGAGTGAGTAGGGGGAAGGATTTGTGGGATAGATTTGGTCAGGTATGTGAAAAGATTTCTTTTGTAAGGATTTGGGATGTGGAAGTGTTTTTTGGGGGCAATGGTTGAGGACTAGATTCACTCAAGCGAGTTTGAGAAGCTCCAAGTGAAACTCCTCGCATTCACTCCCAAACCCCTAATCACCTCCAACCCATTCCACACACTCTCTCTCAAAAAAACTCAATCTAACAAACCCCCGCAACAGTGGTACAAAAGAATCGACTATAACAACGACATACCCACATACATCAAAAGCCACCGAGCCAAATACGGATACATGGTCGATCGAGACGGCGTCGGTGCCGGATTTATCGATTACGAAGAAATGATTGAACAAGACAAGAAAAGCGTTGAGTTAATTTGAAGATTTTCTGCAACTCTCCTGGTTATATGATAGATATATGTATGTTTTGGATATGGGTCTGCATTTGCGTATGCATATGGAGTTGGGAGTTTGGAATTTTCAATACATGAATTGATTGTGGTTGCATTTATGTGAGTTGGGGATTTGGAGACTAGATGGGACAGGGTATATGATTGGATGGATTTATCGAACTGGGAGAAAGGGAGAAGGAAGAGGAAGAGGAGGGAAAGTGTACAGGGCAGGGGTATGTAAGATCTTACTTACAGAAAGGAATATCTGTATATATATCCATGGCATTGCTCATGAAGTTCTGGAAGGCAAGAAAGTGTGGATATATAATGGAATGAAGCTACTTCAACTAGGAGTATTGTGGTTTATGCAGGATTACCATCTGCAATTATAGAAATAAAAGCTATATACCAAACGCAGACTTCGAAATTTCAAAAGTGATGAAAATAAGCACCCACTTGGGAATCACGCAAATGCTTGGAATATAAAAATTACTTCGCTTGATAATGAGGGGTATCAAATATTATCTTATTGTATGCCATCGGCCAGCCATATACAATCCATCTACAATCCACAAACCGACAAGTCCGATCCTGAATTATATATCTTCAATAACCAAGTTTCAGGACAAGCAGATACATACGAGAACCCATGCTCCGCTGCATCCCTCATATCAACTCAAAAGATTCATAAATTCATAGAATTCATCCCATCATATCCTCCACCTAATCTCCACATCCAAACAAATCCCATCATCCCCTATTATTCCGAGCCTCCATCTCCGCAGCCATTGGTGGTCCCGGAACAATAGGCGGTTCACGAATGAGTGATTTCTTTTCTTGTCCTAGCACCACTATCTCACACGATAATTAGCATTTATTCATAAATTTTCCCCTCTCTGCCAAATTTCCCTCTCCCCATCACAAAAGCCAAACAGCAGAATGACAAAATAGCAAAAGAAAAAAAGAAGAAAAAGAAGAAAAAGAAGAAAAAGAAGAAAAAGAAAAGAAATACTAACACCTATCCCAAAGCACCCAACTCGTAACCAACAAAATCGGCAACGCAACAATCGTCATCGTAACCCTCCTAGCCACACTCTGATAATTTCCCGGTAGAGGTTTGTCTCCCTTTCGAATCAAAGGACGTGCTCCGGCAGGAGTAGTTAGACGCGAGGTTATGGATTGGTTTAGGGATTTGAGGGGGATAGATTTGAGAGGTGTCTGTTTGGAGGTTAATTTGGAAGGTGGTGGAGGTGAGGAGCGAGAAGGTTTGTTGCTGGATGAGGAGGAGGCGAAACGCATGGTTTGCATTTGTGTGACTTGTGTGAGGATTGGTGATGAGGAGATAGTAGTGGTTGGAGATGTCATCGTAGTTTTCGTAGGTTTCGTAAATGAGGCAGTAGGAGAGTATCTCGTTCCTCCAGCCGGGTTTCCCGCCATATTCATATTTGATGAACTTGTGTCCACGTCTCTCTGTCTGCAACCCTCGCAGATATTGACCTAATATCCTACTATACGTCCACGCCTTTCGTCGCTGTAGCAAAACTGTTCAACTCCTCAGCAGCAGACGCAGATTCAATCGAAAATCCAACCGCAAACCCAATCACAACACAAGCCTCCTTTCCAACTTCGCAAAGAAGCTTTCTTTCCTTCCCTTTCCTCCCTCTCAATCTCAATCTCAATTCCAACTCAAACTCAAACTTTTCCTCGCAATTCCCTCTCCAAGTCGTAAGGCTTACTTGATTTCCGTGTGCCGCAATTGTAGTCGCAATCGTAGTCGCAATCGTAGTCGTCGTAATATAACCTTATCCCACGTCTTCAGTCTTAGTCTTCACTTATCGCTAATTTGAGCAATGCGCAATGGTTTCGTGGGTTTGATATTGATACTGAGTGAAGCGGGCGGGGTCCAGGCTAATCAATAGGTTATAAATGATGCTACCGGAATATCTAGTCCCAGTGCCTAGCTAGCTTAGTAATATTTCTTTAGAAATTCTCAAGATCTTACAACCCAACCCAATCCAACATATCAAAGAAATTTCAAACTTCACAATTAATTAATCAATTAGTCAGTCAATCACATATTAGCATAAGCGTGCGTATGCGTATAACCACAAACAACTAAGCATTTAATTTCCCATCTATAATCTGTTGGTTGTATCATCAAAGGTATCTATGCAATTCATTCCTCTTCCCAACCCCTCTTCTCAACCCTTTCTCCATCCCAATTCCTATTCTATTAATACAATCAAGTGAAGAAGTTAATGAACACCAAACACCGAATCCTAGGTCATTCACTTCATAAGCCGTCATTACCAAACAAAGCTCATTACTTTTCTTTCTTTTCCCCATTATCTTCTCTTCCTCTCCCTCTTAAACCAAATCTTTATCACCCAAATCCCGGTTATGCTGAACATTCATCGCTTCATGCGCGTCAGCCATCTCCCTTCTAACCGGACTGTTTGCTCTCGAGTTTGCTCTCGAGTTTGTCCTACTATTTGGATTACTTTTCTCAAATGTACTATGCGGTCTACTACCCGTATTTTGTCTCACTCTCAAATCTTGTTGAGAACGAGCAAAACTTCTTGCCCTCGCTCCGGTCGGCATTCGTGAAAGATGAGTTGGCGCTCCTGATTCCGGCCCAACATGATGTTCTTTCTCATAGATGATTTCGTTATGTGCAGCTTTGGCATCGGATAATTGTTGTGCGAAAGGTGAACGTTTGCGAAGAACGGGTCCTTTCCAGTAAATGACATAAACTGCAATTACGAGGACGAAGGAGATACAAGCGAGAATTGTAGAGGCGTATGCAAGGGAGCGAGATGGGTCGGATGACATATCTAAGAATATCTGTTAGTTGCAGGTCTTTTTGAGGGAATTAATATCAAGAAAGTTGATACATACTTTGGAAGAAAGGAGTAGCAGGAACGGTCAAAACACCAGCTAAGAAATCTCTAGACCATCCATTTCCACCCGTTGCAGAAGCTGAATATGGTCCATAGGCACAAATCATATAATCTATTGTTGCCATGTAGATACTATAGTTGGCAATACCGACTACAGCTGCGAACACGCATGAACCGATCCAGTGAATTGGTGGACCAGTAGATGTCCAAGCAAAACCAATGAGACCAATTGGTAAGCACGGTGCGGTATAAAGCAAGAACCAAAGTCTAGATTCGAATTGGGCGTGTTCATCATCTGGTTTATTCGTACGCTGCTTAATATTGCGTTTGATGGCAGGAATGAATGCGAACCAAGCGATGAAGTATCCGACCAGAATAGGAATGAAGGAAAGACCCAATTCAACCGTTCCAAAACCCCATTGCTTGTAGACGAGAGCGAAGGATTGAATGAACATGAAGATGAGTGCATCAGAGAAACCAGATAACAAACTCAATGTTAAGACGATTGGTTCTGTCAAGAACATTTTGAATGGTCTGACAAAGGTAATCAGGGTTTCCTTCATGGAGAATCGTTCCTTGAATGGCGTAAGTTCATTAGGACCGTAAATGTTTGGATTTTCACCACTCTTTCGCATCTTCTTCGCGACTCTATCCATCATGATAGTAGATCTTGTCTCAGGTACAAGAACTAAATGCAGAAGTTGTACGGCCCCACCAAAAATAAGTTGAATCCAGATATTCCACCTCCAAGCCAAATTAGCTTCAACGAAACCACCAACAACAGGACCCAAGACACTTCCACCAACAGACGAAAACACTACAAATGCAACAGCATATTGTTGATCATCCGCGTCCCACATATCGGCAATCATGCCCAAAGTGACGGAACCACCAGCCGATGAAAGACCACCCAGCGCACGACCGACCATAATAGTTGCAAAATTGGGAGCAATCCCAACCGGGATTTGCCAAATGTTGACCAAGAATAAGGAAGCTTGGAGAACAGGTTTGCGTCCCAACTCTTCCGACCATGGAGCCCATAATTCGCAACCAAAGGCATAAAGAATTAAGAAAACCACGGCACCACATCTGGCACCTTGTGCACTGACACCGAATTCGTTGACAATCCCTCCGATGGCATTGGAGTATAAACTGGTATTAAAATTCATGGAAACCTGAACCAAGAAGATAACGGATAGAATCATCCATTTTTTGTACGTTGGAAAAGAATATCCCAATTGATCCCAGCAATCTTCTTCAGTCATTTCGATTTTGCCGGATGATTTGACGGCCGTTACTACATTATCATTGCTACCGGATGGAAAATGAGCCACACGATTTGCACGAGGAGGAATTCCTTGAGCGGGATTCTCATCATGAGATCCATGCTCGAACATTTCACCACGTTTGGATGTTTGTGAAGAGGTTTCGGTGTCGTTGATGTGATTTCCCTCATTGGAGGTGGGCGTATTAATACCCGCCATGTTGAATGTTGTATTACTCGATACTATTCGATCAATTGTTAATCTCGCAACGCCGAACTTTTGCAAAAATCAAAGAATAAAATGAGAGAAAAAGTGTAAGGGAAATGGGAAAAAGACATTCATTTAAAAGGTAACTGTTGGAAAATAATAATAAAAGGACATCTTGTTTGCAAAGTAAAATTCATGATCAGACTGGTCAGACGGTATACTTACTTGGTACAGAATGATGTCATTCATACACGTAAAAATAAATTTATTCCTGAAGAGAGATAGTCGAGGGGATATATGTACCTATACGGCGTAAGGTAGGTAAGCAAGCTTGCTAGATAGAAGCTTGCTAGAAGTAATCAATCAATCAATCGGTCTGAGCAACTCTATGCTCCGTCTCTCTCTCTCTCTGTACTTTAAAATCTATAATTTTATGAGGAGAATGGAAAAATAAAAGTCGTTCAAAAGACTAGAAAATAAATAAAGGAGTAAAGTAGAAGTGAACTCGAAGAGAATTCTCAACTCGAATAATATACAGGTACAAGTATAAGTATAAGTATAAGTAAGAAATCGAAACAAGCAATTCAAAGAAGAAGCTATGCCCATGTATGAAATTTAAAAAATTTAAAAAATTGCCGTGCTCGCTTTCCTCTTCCTATTCCTGTTCTTGTTCCTGTTGTTCCCCGCTTGCTCTGTATAGAGTTCTGTAGGGTAGGTGAGTGAGACCCCAGCGGGGAAGGAAGGATGGATGGATGGATGGAAGGGAGGAGGGAATGGGAGGGGAGGGGATGGGATGACCCTATACTATTTAGGTACTTTAGGTACTTTAGGTAAATTCACAAACCTTGTTTTTTTGGAGTAGGAACTAGGGGGCCAATGAGGGTGAGGAATATTCTTCGTTTGGACTTTGAAGATTTGCGTATTTGGTTAGTTTTGTTGTTGGTGGTTAGTATTTAGTAGAGTACATGGGTGGTATTTTTGAGTTTGGGGTGATGGGGTGAGTTTTGTGGAGCATGGAGGATAGAGGGAGGAGTATTGTGGGTGAAACTTTAAATATCTACCTAGTACGTACCTAGTAGCTATGATTTTATTGGTGATGATAAGAGGGTGAGATAATGGGATGCTGAGCGAGTTGTAAATCGGTAGTTTAATATTGTTTGTTTGTTTGTTTATTTTATTTTATTTGCTTTATATATTTATGTGAATATCTACCTACCTACATAAATAGACCATATATCATAATTACAAAATAAGAACACACAAAAAATGAAAGTGGAAATGAATTCCCCAGGTACCAACACCATAGAATCAACCATCCCTCTTTCCTCTACCCTCCATCCCCATCCTCCATCCACAAATTCACAATTCCAAATCGATTGATTGATAGATTACTGGCCCTGTACACCGTAAAGTAAAAATCATCACGCCCCCAGATCTAACTCCTTCCTCCATACCCCAGTTATCCCACCTAACGATCTCAATTCTCGCCCCTGCAACAATGACGGTAGTGGCTCTACTAGTATAGTCACTGCACCACTGTACTCTGTACTCTGTACTATATATATCAAACTCAAAATTTACAAACTAACTACGGAGTATGTATCTGTTTATAAACTATACTCTATACTCATGTGTTTAAAATAAGGAATTCGATGATTGTCACACTCAAGAATACTGGGTAGAGTATCTTGTATTAGAAAATATTAAGCTAAGGAGAAAAGAAAAAGGAAAACAAGAGTAGCGAGTTTTCCTGTGATTAAATACAAACGGGGCATGCCACGTGACCCGAAGGTGTGAGGCGTCACAATGATATTAAGTAGATAGATATATAATATAAGAATTTATATTTAACAATGATATTTTATTTTCTATATTTATATATTTACTAATAAATTTTATAAAACTTTATATTATTAATTATAAAGCAAAAAGTATAAGTTATAAAGAAAACAATAATAATAAAAATACTTTATAAATAATAACTTTCAATAATAAATATACTATACATTTTACCCGCACAAGTATACAGGGTATTATAAGATTAGATAGTATTCAAATCAAATCAAATCATATACTCCATATATACTCCATACATAGATAGCATGCCGCACACAATACATTAAAAAATGGTATATCTAGCAGCGATCTTTTATCGAACCATTCATATCATATCAAACCATATCATATCAGACAAGTATCATATGTATATGCATATCCTTTTTCTTCTCATCTTTCTCATTCTGTACTCCATAAATTAATGATCCACCTCTCCACCTCTCCATCCCTGCACAACTCCCCCTCTTTTCTCGTCTGTACGGAGACGAAAGTATTGTAAAACACGCCAAAAAATGGCTGTGCTTTCCCCATTTGCAGGGGCTTCAACCAATCATATCATCACGCTGGTTGAAGATTTATATAATGAAATCTAGATAATTAAAGTATTGTAAATTTTCATTTTTCATTTGAAATCTTCAATTTTAATTCAAAAATTTATTTTAGAATTATTCTAAAGTTATTTAAAGTTGTAAATAAGATTATACAAGTTTTAAAAGCTCTAAAATTATAAATTTGTTAAAATTCAATTGAAATCAGATCAAAAACTTCAAGATTTGAGATTGAGGGGGAGAACAGCTCAATATTTATTCGAGTTGTTTAAAGTAGCATCGAAAGATAGGAAAAACAGCAATATGTGGGTAAAAAATGTCTTACAATACTTACCCTTCTAACCTACGTATGTAGGAATGAATTTGTATTTCTATAGTCTACGGGTATGGAGTATTTCTATCATCTAGTACGATAATACCTAATTCCTGATACCTTCTTAATATCTCGAGAAAATACACAAAGCTGATATTGTAGTAGGTAGGAAGGTAGGGGAACATAAGTTATTTAGATCCGAGCAAGATGAAAATTATTATAGGTAGGTATTTGATATTAAAATCATCAATCAGCCTCATATTCGGTACCTAAAAAACAAGATGCCAATAAAGAAGAAGCTTTCGGGCTTATAATATGCCGTAACTTACGTACAGGCTTAGTGCGCACCTTAAGATTACAAGATGGGCGCGACTCTTGGCCATTTAGGCTTTTTTGAACCCTGGGAAGTTAGCACTTGAATGGATGGATGGATGGGATGATATTGTTGTAAAATACACTCATTAGTTGCGAGTACTTAGTACTGTAACCTTACTCTTGAGTTTGAATGAATAACCTCTAGATACTTACCTAATAAGAGTAGGTACCTACATAAAGAATTACTCGTACTCAACAACAAAACATCAAATCCAATCCTTCACACAATCAAAGTTATACACCAACAAGCAAAATCCCTGTTCCACACACATATCCGGCGGTTAGTTATTCATCATCGTGCAGATAAACACCCTAGTTCACGTACCAAAAAACCAGGATAGATCAAGGCGGCGTTGAATTATCGTTTTATCAATGACATCGCCAAAAAATAGTGGAGACCGGAGGCGGGGGAATTATCACAATCGGATGCCGGGGGCGGGGGCACATATATTCGGATTGTGAGATGAATGATGAATGGATCGGTTTCGTGGGATCGTCATGGTTTATATGGATACTTGACCGAGTGTTGGCCGAGTTTTTCGCCGTGATGCTGATGATGCTTAATGATGCTCCATTTGTTCGGATAGATTCTGTTATGATTGGGTGAGCTGGTCAGATGACTTGACGATTCCATCATCGATCTCCTTGATGGATGATTTGAAAACTTTCGGCCGAAGAAGCTATTATTACCTTTGAACTCAACGCTGGATTAGGTAATACATCCCGTGCATAGTACTCTGTAGAAATCTATTGTTAGAGTATCGGGCAAAGGAAATATGTACCAGGCAGGTACTCTCTCCGTAGACCTATCGATTCTAAAATAGAAAACGCAGTCATCATATAGGTTTAGCTGCTCAATTGTATTGAAGATTGTATTCTGTTATTCCCGTATGCCGTCAATTTAAATCCTACCACGCGTCTAGCTTCTAATCCGCTTCTTGTAGCTTGCTTGCTTCCTCTTAAAGAATCGCCATCGTTAAATCGCGGGTGTAGTGTACTCTGCGGCTAATAATAGGGTTATTCCCGAGGTCATCAAGCTTACCGACAAGTTCAACAACTATCAACAAAAAGATATCCGACCCGGCGTTTATGATGCGATAAATTATTTGCCGCGTAAAACCACTCATTGAAATAATTTAAGATTGTGAAAATAAATCTTATAAGTACCGGTATTGGTATTGATATTGAGGTTGAATTGAGAAAAAGAGGAATGAGAAGAGGAATATCTTTCTTTTTTCCAGGAAATGCAAAATCGGGTAATCATCGGATATAAGGTACCCTTACAAATCAGCCCTTTCATTCATTCTTTCTTCTGCCTTGATTTTTAACGACCAAGATTTTTAAGATCTGCTTTCGTTCCTGGATTCGTGATTTGGAACTGGGTCTGGGTCCAGATCTGATCATGACGGGGTGTTACATATTCATCTAGGTTTCATTTCGTATGATATCGAAGAAGAAATTCTGCGGAAAAAAGGTCCTTTGGTAGTATTTCAATGGTAACTTGAGGAAATACTAAAGATTCGATATGTTGATGGACTTTTTCATAGAGTGTATCTGGATATATATAGACAGGTAGGTAGGTAGGTAGATACACTTCCTTCCTACTTATACTCTACATACTCTCTACCTACCATCAACAAATCCCACACAAGCCAATCATCCAATCTTCTTCAAAACGATGATGCAAAATCAAGTATTGAATTTGGATGGTGGAAATCAAGGATTCTTCGATTATATATGGTATGGTATGGTTGATGTAATGCACAATGCAGAGTTTCATTCCTGCTCAGCCACCCCTAGGATGCATACATATCATATCTTGAGATATTTTGAGCCTCTTTTTTTCTTGGTTACCAGGAATAATATATACTAGTAGATTGAATACATGCATCCATTTTGTTGCTTGTTTGTAGATTTATTATTTCCTTGGTTTTTGGTGGTGAGCGGGAAGGGGTAGAGAGTTAGTTTAACTATATTTGTGATTGATATGGTTTTTGAAGGTTTATTTATGATTCTATAAAAGAAGTTTAAGGAATGGAGTGTGTTTTGTTGCGATCTATAGATTTATTTCCTTGCTTTTGCTTGTGATGTTTTAAATAGTTATATTTGAGAGATTGTCTTGTGGTGAAATTTCCTGTTTTTTGAAGAGGTTATGATTTATAAGTTATATTCGAGGAAATAAAGTATACTATATTGCTTGTCTATAGATATACTTCCCTGCTTTTTGAAGTTTAACTTTCATCAATTGTATAAGACCAGATACTTTGTTGCTTGTCTGATCTGAAATTCCTTGTTTTAGAACCATATCGAAGAAATGAAGGAAGCATTTGTCGCTCATCTACATTTCTTCTTCCTTGTTTTAGACAAAAGTATAGCTTTAAATTTTGATAAAAAGGTACTTCTGTTGCTTGTCTCATCTGGGACTTCCTTGCTTTGAGAAAAGTATCGACGTTTAGTGGTGGCTGATAATGATTAACTATCATCATTCGTTGAAGATAGTCATAACCGCACCTCAAATGAGGAGCTCCAGATACCTGGATACCAATCACATATGCAAGGAAAACAGGTTTGATTTCAATGAGATGAGCAACAGAAATGGATAAAACCTAATTGATCTACAAGTTCATATGTTCAATATGTTTCTAGAACTCTTTCTTGGACTTTGTGGCTCATTTCAATATCTTTATTCTGCATCACCGGAGATTTTGCTCCATTTTTCTTGGGAGAAGTTCACAAGTTTGAAGTTCTCTTCATCGAGGTCTGGAACTTTTGTTGCATATCTATTGATACTTCCTTGGTTTTTGGTTTGGGAATAATGATGCTATATCCAATATACCAGAATGACAAATTTCAGACTGGAAAAGTCCTGTTTGCTCATACTGATCATCAATTCCTTGTTCAAAAGTTCAGACTCTCATAAAATTTGTTGCCCATCTCATTCTCAAACCTGCTTTTTGCTTGTCAAAATATACTCTATATAACATCATAACTTGCATCTGAGATTCCTTTTTCTCCAATTTTGGGTGTGTTTTGCTGCCTGGCTTGACAGTAGCTTCATAGTGGATATATACTTGCCACTGTATATACATTTGTTGCATATCTGATCATATTTCCTTGGATTTTGGCTGGAGAGTGATGTAGATAGTGATGGTAGAGACTATTTTGTTGCATGTCTAAGAGTTTCCTTGGTTTTTGGGTTGGAAATGATGCTGTTGATAATGCCAGTGATGTGATGATAGACTTCTAGTATCTTAAGAGAAACAGGATTGGCGGTAATGAGATGTGCAACAAATGGTTCATAGGGCTGAAGATTGAAGATAGCTTGAAGTTGTATGCACCTGGAGGTTTAGGAAATCTTTATATGGTTCGGTTTGCTGTTGGTGGCTTTGGTGAGAAGAAGTCAATATCGGACTTGAAGATTGAGGACTTCTTTTATTCAGAAATTATTATTTTGGAATGGTATTTATAAGATAAATTCCGATGTCTCCTAGCATCTATATATACATCACAGAGAAGCTGGAATTGCTGCACTGATTCACGGGTAAAATTACCAGGTAAGTCTAGTACCCTACTTTTGGACCACCCCTCTTTTGGACCACCTTTTTATATCAAAAATCATGATTTTCACCTATTGATAACTTTACAATTAATTGATAGAATTTAATAAAATTTGGATTAGAGATTTATTATATAATTAAAATTCAATTCTAAAAATTTCAGATTTTTTGAAATTCATTTCATTGAAATCTATAATCTTAAACTTTTCAATTTTCAATTTATAAAGGATTTTGTTACGAGGTTTGCCGTCTAGATCACGTAGAAGTGCTCTAGGCTCTCGAGGTGGTTTATAACTAGGCGTCAAGCAGGAACTTAAAGTAATGACAATAATGCAATTCGTAACTAATAGTAGAGTATACTAAATGATTGATTTTGAGCACGAAGCTCTATACAAAGGAAATCCATCCTGATTATATAGACCTTTGTGCCGATGGCTAGTCAGGAGCGGGCGTTCCTGATTGTTCCTAGGAACGTCCGTTCCTCACCGTTCCATCACGTGTTTTCAAGGTCATGTGACATTCTATCGCAACGGGTGTAACACAAACCTAATAACAAGATAGTCTAGAAGTAGAGTATTAGACTTATAACATCTTTTCAAATACTTAAAAGTAATTATTTTCTTTATTTATAATAAATATAGGATTTTTTATTATAAGGCAAGTCCTTTAGCCTTTGTAGTTCGCTATACTCTGTTGCGGAACCGAATATATATTAAAATTGAGACCTACTACATAACAATTAGTCATATGACCCGATACCCCTTCTATGGTGTAATGGTTAGCACGTCGGATTTTGATTCCGGAGATATTGGTTCGATTCCTATTAGAAGGTTCTCTCAGAACTTTCTGTCCTTCCATACCCAGTTTGAAGCTGGGAATTCAGGGTGGTGGTCAATCTTTTTTATTTGGAGGGGAAAGGGTGCTGGGGCACAAGGTAGGATGTAGTCGCGCTAGTGGAGTGGGGGTGGAGTGGGGGTGGAGTGGGGGTGGGGTGGTGAGGTTCCTAGAGTGCTTGCTACTACAAATGGGAGATGTGCTAGATGTCAAATGTAATACAGAACCTAATTCTACCAAACAATCCCGGTAGCAGTCAGACACAGAGTTTTTTCCTCATAGATTTTGTGCCGGAATTGTGAAGGTTTATCAGATGAAAGCTAAATGCCGGAATTTCCGGTATATTTCGGCATGATTTAAGAGGAGTGCCACGATTCACCATTAGGATTGATGGTGTTACGATGGTAGCAAACTGATTAATTAGGAGAGCTTAGGCCTTGTGCAAACACGATCAGATTTCATCGAATTAGTATGTGATCTTGGTCACCTGAAGATCGTATGCGCACGCACTGTCAGAAAACACGTGACTTGGAGCTTTTGGAGCTTGAGGATCCAAAAGGATCCAAGGGAGCATGAATATCTATATATTCAGTATGGATTTCCTTTGTATAGAGCTTCGTGCTCAAGATCAATCATTTAGTATACTCTACTATTAGTTACGAATTGCATTATTGTCATTACTTTAAGTTCCTGCTTGACGCCTAGTTATAAACCACCTCGAGAGCCTAGAGCACTTCTACGTGATCTAGACGGCAAACCTCGTAACACAGCGGCTGCCTGAGGTTTGTCTGGTTGGTAGTTGTGGGTTAAGGCTTTTATCACTGGTATTCACTTGGGAGTGAAGTCGTTACTAGATCAAGTAGAATGTAGGTAAACTAATTGATAACTAAGTTGAGCACGAAGCTCCTATACTATGAAACTATTCTAACTATATAATGATCCCCTTTCAGGAGCCCTGAGGAGCCTGCGCTCCTAGAGGTTACATCACGTGACCCTATATGCCCCAGGACACTAATCCTGGGACGATTATCCTGGGACGATTACTGTCTTAGGAAGCCTACTATCCTAGCTAAGCCTGATCTCCCAGGACACTTGTCCTAGGATTCCTAGGTTCCTTATCGCGGGCGATAAGGAACCTCCCGGTAATCGGCGACCTAAACACCGATACTTGACTTTATCGCGTAATCTTAGTCGTGGTTCGTGACAATAAAATATATTTTGATAATAACTATAAATATGTTATTTAGAAACGGCCGATTAGACCCTTTGAAAGAGTTCGCTTATATCATCTAATCAAAGAGTGTAAAAACTCTGGAAGAATATTGATGTGAAAACTAAAACTAATGGAGGGGTAAGTATTAAACGTTACTAGCCCCTCTTTTCCTCCTCGATTAGATCAATTCCTTCATCTACCTAAAAAACCTAATTCGTTCATCAGTAAATGACTAAGCATATTGGCCTGATAGTTCAGTGGTAGAATTCTTGCTTTGGGTAGACCAAAATTGTAAGAGGTCTCCGGTTCAATCCCGGATTAGGCCCTTAGCCATATATCTTTTGATTCACTGGTTGGTTTTTGTGTTGTAGATGCTGTTATGATGGGGAAGTGAGGGAATTTACTTTTGGATGGATAGACTGTGTTGTGTACTCCGTACGGGTGGGAGGGATATTGAGGTTCTGATAGACTGATGAGGTGTGGATGTTGTTCATGAAAGTGGATAAGGATGTGGATGTGCCATTTTGAAGATGGAACATAGCTATCACTGAATATGAGTTTCGATTTGAAAGCTGTCTACAGCTTAATGGCCATCATTGAAGTTTGCTTATCTATGCTGGCGGAAAGTATAAAAGCCCAAAGTTAAGAGACTACTGGGTTATTCCCTCTCAGTCTGTAGAAAGTTTTGTCCAGAATCTTATACTTTCTGCCCGTACGGCTCATAATAGAAAAAGCGAACAAAACTTTAGGGCCGAAATAGCAGTATCAAATTACAGTTGTGGACTGCTTATCATCATTCCATTTTCGAAGTCACTCTACGAAATACTGAGATAATACGTATATGAATCATCTTGATTCTTGATAGAAAAGCATCACATTAATTTCATTACCCCTCCAAGTTGCTGCTCCACTTGGGAGAATTCTCTATATTGGTTCCCGCAGCTCGTTGGTTGGTAATTCTCCACCTAAGAAAAAATTTTCAGCTGCACCTAATCACAAATCCATCCTTCGTACTCCGCACACAAATATCTCAACACACGAAAAGTAAAATCAAAGCAAAACACTTTGCAAAGATACAGATAGGCATCCTCGATAAATCTTCATCAGTTAGATTCCCATAAATATTATTGAATAAATAAAAATGTGATATTCCTTTACCCCACTAAGCCTAGAGACTCTCCCCCTCCAAATTTCCCAACTCCCCAACTTCAATCCATCACAACTTCTTCAATTTTGAACTAATTGTGGCTATTTTTGTGTCAAAATGATGCTCTTGAATGGAGCAAAAAGTAATTGATCACTACGAGGGTCGAACTCGCGACCTTGGCGTTTAAATCTCACTGCTTGTACAGAGAACATATTAGCACCACGCTCTAACCAACTGAGCTAAGCGACCTAGTTGGGTTATTGATTGATGAATTGTCTTCAGGTTTTTCAATATACAAATCTTGTCGTCCGTTGAGAGAAAAGAGGGGTGGTGAGTTTGCTTGGTTGTTGTGGATCTGTAGTTGGTAGTGTAGGAAGTATGGAGTAGTTAATGATTGGTCAACTGTAGAGACGCAACTTATCACATGCGGAATTCCACCACGTAACACGTTAATCTGAGATGCTCCACTATCCAACGAATGCTCATCGAGCCAAACACCACTGGACGGCAATTTACACTGTGATGTGGGGATATTTCCAGCAAGAAACCCCGCGTGTATCCACCTTCCTTTTCTGTTCTCCACGCCATTTGAGCGGGCTAGACTTAATTAGTCCCCGCATTGGGCGCGTACTTATATAATACACGAGTCCTCCGTTCTTCGCTTTCTTCTCCATCGAACATCACAATGTTTCATCGCCACTTCAATTTTCCATCGCCGTTTCGATTTTCATCGCCCTTTTAATTTTCCATCGCCATATCTACTCTCCTTCATTCACCATGGAAACGCGAAGTGTGGTGGTAACGTCCTCACCCCGACGAACGACCCTGACGCGATCTGTTCTAAACAGCAAATGCTGAAGAGCGTAACCATTATCACTCATATTCTGTGCCCATGATTGAACAACCCCGTCATGTTCTATGATCGGTAGTTTAACAACCCCATCATGTTCTATGGTCAGTAGTTGGGATACCAACTCCATCATGTTCTATGGTCAGTGGTTGAACAAAATCACCATCATGTTCTATGGTCGGTGGTTGAACAATCCCATCACATTTTATGGCTGTGGTTACGTCCTTCAGCATTTGTTGGAACAACCCTGGCACGATATATGGTGGTGGTTATGTCTGCAACAAGTACCGTAAATACTAGCTATTATTACTGAGGAGGAATCTTTTTTAAAATAGAAGTGCTTGCTATTATAGCTTGTGCGGGAGATGACAGCCTTAGCCTTATGCTTCGTGCTTGATCCTCATTGCAATGTCTGGCGTGCCGGGCATGTGAAGAGGACCCATGGTCATATTCAAGTCCAAATCTACCTTATTCGTGGCCGAGGGGATGGATTTTATCAATAGTCAACGTGAACATCCTTAACCAGTTATGCATCTGCTATTGGAATAGCCTCGACACGATCTGCATAGTGACATGGTTACCTTCTTTGACATATATTAATGTGAATCGCCCACCACTTCACACATTAACATTTATTGATCAGTACTCGATCTCGTTTTATTCAAAGCATCAAAGCTGCTCATAGTCTGGATCACAATAGTGATCCCACGTACCGTGTGAGGAACAGCATTGTTCTTCTTTCACTAAGTCTCTCGCTAATTATGGCTGCAGGAATAGAATCATGTCTGTTCAGATTGAGAAACCTCAGCTACAAACTCTGCTTCGCGAGAGAGTGTTTGTAGCGTGGAAAAATTCAGCAGGAAAGCCTTTGACACTAGGTTCTTGTTTGCACCGTAACAAGCAGCGGCCTGAATTTATTATGGAGGCAGGTTATGATATGGAAGGACATGTTCACATACACTTTTCTCTTATGGCGTCTGTCAGGGTTGCCGGCGAGACTCAACCGCTGGAGATGTTGTTGGTTGTTCCGCCAAACGCCAATTTCGCAAATGCCCCTATGCCTCTGTCAAAACTGGACGCCGACGACTCACCACTCCCCAATGACTCAATTTTTCCCGACGCCTCTGCACTTCACGAAGCCGGCATAAGCGAATCAGGACATGTCATCCTGGTACCATTCAACCTGACAGCGACAGGATTCGTCATTATGAAGAACACATCTGCGATCGTTAGGCCCAGCGGCCACACCTCAAACCAATTGATTCGTAGCTTCGAATCCCTATCTCACACATCCATCTTCAGCGTATACATCAAGCCGAGTGATTACGCGCGGGAGGGTCTGAAAGAAATTTGCAAGCGTTTAAGCAACACTGGTGTCGCCACACACAAAATTGACATGAAGGAAATGTACGTTCAACGTGGGGGTATGGAAGTGGACTGGAGTAGATTTAGGTATCATCCTCGACAAGACAAACAACCGCCACCATATGCCGATAATCCTGCTCTGCCAATACCGGAAGTGCAAGTTCCTCGGTCACCACCGATCACACTCGGAAGGGAAGTGCTACCCGCCAACACTATCGAAGAGGCGATTGCAGAGACACCGAACCGGTCTCCAGTTGACCCGAACCCTGCACCGGTATTACATGGCATCTTCTCTTCCAGTGCTGAGGTGCCATTGGGTGACGAAGTGGAAGTGGGCGGTGTCGAGGAGGACATGATATCCATCGAAGCGGATTTCGACGTGGGCTCAGATGAAGAATATCTCGCCAACTTGAGATCTCGAGAACTAAGTCAGCAACTCAAAGACAACTTGGCAATTCCGAAGATACTTGAGTCGAAGCTTGTCGAGTGGCTAAACGGGGCCATGACGATAAGTCCAACCGTTTACGAACACAAAAGCTTAGCCATTAAGTTATTAACTCTTGCTGATTGTGTTCGTACGTCGAATACTAAGTTGTTCGATGCTACAACACCATGGTGTTCTGCCTTATTGTTCTACGACCCGCTCGATTCCGAGAAGACTGTCGAGTTATTGGAGGAGAAAATCCGATGGCCCATTTCCGACATGGCCAAGCTGATTAAGTGGGCTAATACGTTTAGATATGGTGCCGAGATCAATTCGCTATTAATCAATGATTTCGTAAAGCTAGGTAGTGCCGCTCGCAATCTTTCTCTGCGTCCTGGATATGACAAGGCTGCTTACAATTATCAAAGAAGTGTGTGCATTGCTCGTGTATTGGTTCAGTTTGGAAGGTCTGGAAACATTAGTGGGGAGAGTGGCGGGCCTGTTTCTCGAAAACGGACCTTGGAAGCCAGTGATAATATGTCTAAGCGAGCAAGAAATATCATATGAAAGACTATTAGTTCTCTTATCTTTAATTTTCAACCCTAATATAAACATATCTACTCTCAAGCACCCCTTCAAGAACAATCCATCCATCTACACCTCAGCAATGCAGATACCACATACCAGACTTAGCGCTTTAAACCCAAACAAATCATCCACTTACCTACTACACATTTTCCCTCCGCTCAACCTCCCATCCTAATACCTACCCCTCTGTTTCTCCTCCATCCCCATCTCCATCTCCTTCTCATCCCTACACCCAGCACACTCACCAAACACGTCACATTTCATCCTCACATAGGAAGGCCCGAGTATTACAAAATACTCCTGATCATGATTTCTCTGCCCACGAACAATTTTTCAAATTTGTGCAGAAATTCAGGTTGGCATAATTACTTGGTAGTAGATCTAGGAGATGAATCTTTTGCACATTTTGATGGCTTGTGTGGGGAATTTTTAGGTCGAGGGTTTGGTCATGTGGGCAAGGTGTGCTGAGATCTAGATTGATTAGTTCGAAGTTTTGGAGATATCTGTTAGAGGGGTGATAGAATTGGTGATGAAAGGGAGTGATCTTTTAAAAGCTGTTTATGATTGATTCTTTGATAGACCCTATTAATACACGACATTGAATTTGACGGACAAGTTCTGTTTCTTCTTTAAATCTAAAGGGATTTTTGCACGAGATTTGAGTAATGCTGTTGTCTCGTAATTTACCCCATGTCTAGCCGAGTGGCTTTATTGGTTTGGAAGATACTTGCAAACCAACACGAAGAATATCGATATTCTTCCTGAGGTCGTACTATACTCTGTACAGTAACCCGAGTGTAGAGAAAGTCGTGGAACCTGAAAGGGCCCTGACACCTGGACTTGTACTCAGAAGTTGTATTGTAGTTTTGTACGCTGATGGATAACATATAATGTTGTGATGAAGTTGAATAGTAGAAACGAATTTTGATATTGGTGGGGTTGGAAGAAGATTTGCGACTTTGGTTGTTGTCTTGATGAATTTGTAGGGAAATCACCCGAATAAATTGATTATAATAGATTCACAAAGTGACTCAGGGAGCTTCTAAGTTATAAATGACCCAGTTGGACAGTCATCTAGAATCGTATCAAACCCATTCAGTGTGCTCGCACTGCAAATCCGTAGAGGTTAATGTAGAGTACAGGTTATATTCTTTCGATTCATTGGCTTCCTATCTTTCAACTATCATCCCTTTCCTCCAGACCCATCTCATCCCATCCCAACGTCCGCCTCATCCTACCACCCATCTCAAAAATATACCAACAACGCCTCACTAGCCGCAACGGTAAATTCAGCAATACCAGAACTTCCCACCTTTACCCTTTCAAAAGTCTCCTCCCCTTCAATAACACAAGTACTATTAGCAACAACTTGACCTCCAAACGACGGATTAGATCCCCGATCAACCCTACTCAACGCACTTCCCGCAGTCAACCTCTTCGACTTTGTTTCTTTCCCCGCTTTTAACCCTGCAAGTACAAAAGTTTCACTTCCTCTTGTGCCTGTTCCATCATAATAATCACTGTTAATCAATACAGCTTTTACGGGCGCTTTATTCTTATTGTAAAGTACGTAAATACCGTAATTAGTAGTACCGGCATCGATTTGTTGGATGTAGGATGATCCGGCAAAAGCAGATGCTGCGAGCCAGGCTCCGTAGTAAGGAGTACCGGCGTCGTATTGTCCCCACCAACAATAGTAGCAGGCACCGATGGTTCCATGGTGATAGTATATGGTAGTGATATTCAAAACGGTGGCTTGAAGGGCGTAATCAAGGGTCCAAATGGCTGCGCCGAAAGTTGGAGAGACGGTTGCAGCACCACCGCCGGAGGCTACAAATGAGTTTGTTAGCTTTCCATAACATCTTCAACTACCACCTCATTTAGTGGTCCAGGACTTTCAGAAGAAAGTAGGGCAAGAAAACGCCGATGAAATAAAACAACATAAGAAAGTCACCACAAACCTGAATTCGTCTCTCCCAATACATATTCCTTCCCTACATCAGTCGCAGCCTTCCTATCCGTTCCGATCAGTTCCAAATTACTAACGATCCCACTATGACTCATCAAAGTCTGTACATTTCCTCCCGGATAATTATGATGCGCATAATCCTTAACATAAGTTCTCACAGTAGCATTTCCACTAGCGATAAGTTCCGCAGCTCCCCAAGTAGGTGGTGCCTTATTGGAGTTTCCAGCTTGAATGAAGTCAGTGGCGCCGAGAGCTTTTCCAACTAGGATGTCCCAGTTATTTTGAGAGGCGGCGTCGATAGCGGGAGTCCAGGAGGGAAAGGCAATGGGTTGGCCATCACTAACGTAATCTGAATGGATAGATTAGATTTATTTTCGATGTGTTAATGGTTAGAGAATGGGAGATTTTAAAATGAACATACATTCTGGCTCATTACCAAGTTCCATGGCCTTTAAATTTTTCATACTACCCTTTGCATATTTTGCTGCAGCAATAGTATTTGTGATATTATTAAGGCCACGATTGAGTCCTGTGATATTAGTCAGATGAGATAATTATTTCCTTCATATTAGAGTACGAAGGAGAAAAGAGAAAATACCCAATACAACAGTTCCTGGATATGTAGAAGCAAGTTTCATGAAATTAGGACCAAATTTTAATGAAGCGGGTGCGTCAACAGATGAATTAACATTGTAGGCGACATATGCACTTATATCCGAATCATAAGTTGCACGATCTCTATGAATTTCCATTAAAACCAATAATTTCTCATCTCTTAAGGACATGTACATACTGTGTAGTACCACCAATTCGAATAGGAGGCCATGTTCCACTCAAATCTTTGAAATTCGCCAAACATTGATTTGTGGCTGTAACATTTTTGAAATATGCAGGATACGCAAAGAACTCAAAACTGTTAAAATGTAAGTATCAACATTGAATTCTGACTCGAATTGGAAATATCGTGAAATTAAAAAACATACGATAAACCCACAGGAGCAGGAGCAAGTTTTATTGCACTGGTAGGTGCTGTGGAAGGTATTGAATAATTTACCGTGGCAGCTTGCACAAACACAGGTAATAATGACCAGGAAATTTCTTTTGATAAAATCATCATGAAAAAGTAGCGATCAGTATCTATTGAATACTCAAACTCATTCCGAATCTTCAATTATAATATTGGGATTTAAACACATACTCACGCCATCCCCCCATCCTCACAACGTCATCCGCTATGTACCTGCATCCTTACTTTTGATCTCCGTACCGTGGGGCATTGCCGCGAAAATCTCGAAGCTGTCGGCTTCAATTACCCCGGATCTCTGGGGCCCTCTTTAGACAGGGTATTAAAGTAATTAAAGACAAGTCTTCAACCGTGCAAATAAAGTTACCGGTCGATGCCGAACGATGAAGATCATCAACTTTTCAACATCCATCAAAGTGCGGGGTGTTCGGGGGAAGGGGTTCAGATCGCTTGTGATTATCCGGACAAATGATGAACAAGTCAACAACATATTTTCGGCTCTTCCCGCAATTAGTCCTCAAATACCGACCGAGTAAATCAATTGATTCTTCTCACAGGATCCATAAATGCCAGCGCCAAACTTGGGGTCGTGCTGAAGCATGCATTGTTATTATCATGGCTCGAGCATGTCTTGTTGGATGGTATCATCTCAAAGTTGATTTGTGTCAATTAATTGACAAGCAAAACTTCACGATTTTGGTGAGACGAACGAGGAATCTAATTGCCTCAAGTCAGTGTTCGATCTATATATGGAAACCTTTGGGGTTATTCTCAAACCTCCACACGACTGTGTGCTTGAGCTAATGCTCTTAGTTCTTTCCTCTGGTGAAACCCGATGATTTTCCATAGCCCCTTAACCAAGAGAGAAAAGTATATATACCCACTTTTCACAAGTCCAGCCATGAGTGGATCCGGACAGAATGGTCCAACCAAAATCTATCAATTCCTTACTCATCACATAATTGAAAATCCCAGGATCATATTTTGGTGAGGGACCCTGTGGTATTTGTATATTGAATGAAAGAAATCTGTAATATTTTACATGTAAAGTCCACCCATCCAGTTCTATACCAGTCCAATGTACATAAAATCTATGACCTGTATCCTTCTAATTATAACTTTAACGCCCGCTATCCTATGCCCATTAAACCTTTAGGGTGCCAAAGTCCCATGGTCGGCTTTTGTAAAGAATGACTATACACCTTATCGCTAAAATCCATCATTGCATCCGAGAATTCTTCAGTGAGCGTCTTCATCCTTTCCGGGCCACATTATCTTCTTTTGTGAAACAGCTTTGATGTGAGCAAATACAATCGAAATCCATAACAGGAATAACACAACTCCCATCCCAGTTCCTACTGCTAGAATTGGACCGCTGTTTAATCTTTCTCCGATCTTAACAGTGGCGATAGTAAACCCCACATTTGGGAATACATATGCATACCAATTTAGATGGAAGTCATTTCTGTTAAATGCTTCAATTGCTGCGAAGGTTGCGATGGCGAAGAACCAGAATGCCAGAGCCCAGAGGAAGATCGCTGAAAGAAGAGCACCGAGTTGTAACATATCAGGAATCGCAGCTGGATTTGTAATGCCTGGAAGATTGTAGTATTCGGTGAAGACTTTGGTAACTGTTGCGTCTTGGGCCATACCAATGAGTGCAAGAGCCGTGAAAGAAGGTGGTCCAACTGCAATGAACATGGCAGGTCGGGAAGCATCGACAGGAAGCCCAGAAGTGAGAAGTCGACCAAAGTAGATCCCGTACATCATGATAGCTAACATCATTCCAAGACCTTGAAATGTGAGACCAGCCACCAACATTTGTGCCGCGGATTCTACAGGTTGTGTTTTGGCGATGGCAGACGCGAGAGTACCGACTAACATGGCAGGGAAGATTGGAAGAACCCAACCAGGTAGGACATTGGTAATGACAAGTTTCTTGACTGTGAAAAGGACGTGGTAGTAGACGATGGCGAGGACTGTGGCACAAACGGTATACGTCCAGAAAGCTAATCGAAGAGCACCGATGAGCCAAGGGCCAGTGTTTGGAATACCATATGCAGTAGTGTTCGTCATCATTGTGGCTAAAGTGAGCCACCCTGTAGCGAAAAAGAATCCCTCATGAGGGTTCGTGAACGAGTGGATGAATGTTCCAGGGTGAATTACGAAGCGAGTGATCATGAGACCGGTGATAGCCAAAAAAGCCATGATATTGATAACAAACAAGGCCTTGCCGAGTGTGATGAGTGCATCCGACTCTATGGGAAGGACAGAAAGAGTAAAGGCTACTCCTCCCGTTGACATCGTAGATGCGTACCAAGCTTTTAAAAGTTAGTAATGCAAATTACGTGAGGACTCCTGATGTTTAAATACCATAAGTGAAATGCTTTAATCGCTCCGAGAAAGTAAGTGTCTGAATGGGTTCTTCCTTCTCTGGCATTTCCTTGAGGGCATGTTCAACGTCATCGTCCCTGAAATCTCTTCCAATAATGTTTTCCATCGATGAGCTTGCTGAAAAGTTGGGAGACACCATTTTGGCTGTGTGGGACTGAGCCAGCAGTCTAGATTTTCAAGATGTTGATGATAAAAAGAAAAAGATTGAAATGTGCGAACGAGGAGATAATGAGAGTTAGTCCGGTGAACACATAAACATTCAACTACTTCCGTCGAGAGAGCAGTTCGTATTGTATTAGTGCTCTAATGTAGTTAACCGAGGTTAGGAAAAGTGCAATGAAGTTAGGAAAAGTGACTCTGGATACGTATTTGACAGATGCGGGATGACGACCTCATTTTGAAGATTTCGTGTCCACACGTACTGGAGGCGATAATCTTGTCGCAGTGGAGCACCCATCTGTCTCGTAATTACTACCAAGGATCCAAGATGTCGAAAATATAACTAAAACGACACCAAATGGAGCTTTTGATGGCCAAGTTTGTCGTAACACAAAGGAAACAATGAAAATATGCCCGAAACTGAAAAAAAGTGGAAAACCAAGAGATAAGAGACTTCAGATGAGGAGCCTCAATTAGGGTCTCAAGGCGACACCCATCAACCCAAAGGATGATCATCAAGCTCCCGGTACTTTGAACTCGTCGGAGCCAAGTTGGATTTAACTACTGAGACTTGGCTTCAAGGAGCTCCCGGGTAGCTTTAAGGATGGCAAACGGCCTAACCTAGCAATGTATGCAGTATTTGAGGGACTCAGTGTTCCGTATTTTTCCGACTATGTCAATGCCACAGCAAAAACTTCTAAGGATTGTTAAAGTTCGTAGAAGAAGTATAAGATGTGATTCATGACATGGAAGAGCGACGTGAAAGGGCAGTGAATATATCAACGGGGACTTGGCCGGGACGTCCCGCACTCAAGGGAGCCCCTTTCATATACCCAGCGAAGACATTAAGAACTTATTTCATGAGTCTAGAAGCTTCAAGCGAAAGATCTATATTTTGAAAAGCAAATAGATTGCCAAGAAATCTTCTTACAAAACGGAGAAAGTTTAAATAAAAATAGTTTGCTTATATTTCGGTATTGATTTAGCATGCCGTTATGGTTCGTGCTAAGAAGAAACCTTGCCGTCAAAGGTAATTTCTAATTGGATTTAGACGCCTCCTGTGAAGATTGGGGCCAAGATGATATTGAGCCTTAGTTGAACGGCATTGATGAAATTGTGTCCACATAAAAGGCAGAATTGATGATCTGGATGACGAAGCGCCGCAGAAGCGCCTTGGGCTAGGTTATCAAGATAAAGTTATCGACTTGGCCATCATTTCAGCACAATTTGATCGTCAATAATCAATTTCTCAAGTATGTCGCCCGCAGCAGCACAGCCACGAATGGTGTGAAGTCGATCAGTGTGAGAGCCCAATGTAAGTTGACGATAAAGATACTAAAAGTTTTAGTTCGAAGAAAGATTCTCATAGATGCAGAAAGGATGAATAGAAACGAGAGAATAACTGTAATTGTTGGTGGATTGATGTTTGATGCTTGATGCTTTGATGTTTTAATGCTTTGAACCTCAAGCTGAGGTTTGAGTCGTATGGAAAAGAAGACGCACTAGTCTTAAAGCAGACAGGTTTGCTATTGTCAGCCTTGGCACGTGATTTCAACACAATTTGAGCCTTTTCGTTTTGTTTCGTTTCATTTGATTTCATTTTCTCATATTCATTTTCACTTCAACATTTTCATCACATCCTCGAAACACGTGCAAAACAACCTCAATTCCGTTCTATTCTTATCGTGTTTTTCCTGTTATTTTGGCACAAAAATGGGAAAGCGTTTTTGTTGGTGGCGATTGCTACGTTTAACACGTGATATCATGATTTCCATTTCATACGACTGGTGGACTCAAAGTCTTTCTTCCTTTCCTCTTTGCTTCGGGGACACCCGCTGTTAAAGTAGCCTGATTCTACCGGTATTCATTATCATTATCATTATCTATGAAATGTACTATGACCAAATTTCGAAGCTTTTTCCGGGAAATGAAATACCGAGATGGTAAGATCCACAATGCAACGTGAAAACAAGCCACAAATCAAAGCTGGCGTGCGGGGAAATGATGATATGTACTGTGCTATCACAAGTTGTGGTCCGACGTTGCAAGGGAAAAATATTTTCCACAGAGTATGTGGACCAGAGGATATATGATTCAATCGCAAAAATCTTATCACATCGAGGTAGTTCTCTTGATGTGGTTGTTAAGATTTTTGAAAGAAAAATAGGGTACATGGTGCCTCTGCCGGAGATTCCCCCCAGCTCTCTCGACTGCTGCCTCTATCGTTCCTCCGAGGTCTCATTTCATGTAACTTTTGTTGCGCCTGTTTTATCATGAGATTTTTCAATTTTGCCGCTAAACGAATGCTACCTGGGCAGAACTCGTGTTTCCATTCGCACATGTAGATTTACCCCATATTTTGGACAGATATTGTGGGGTTTATAGTGGGCGACGGGCGCGATGGCATGGATGGCATGGAAACTGGAAACCAATAATCACAAATCATATCATTGGAGCGCAAAAAAATTATTAGCTCAATACCGTAGGTTGAATCAAGCAGGTACTGATGCCGGCGATTATGCCAGGACTTAGGCTTGATTGGATCGGGGTAACAGCAAATCTTATACTTTCCAACTTCGATCTTGAATCCGGCACCGCCGGAGCATCTAGTCTGAGGTATATAGAGGAGTCTTGATCCGAATTCGAATGTCGAATCCTGTTCAGTAGTACATTGACCGAGCACAAAATCTTCAAAATGTTGCACACTGTTTTCTTGCTGCTTTCTATTTGGAGCAGTTACGTACTTGCTTCTCTTCAAATTGTATGAATCGCCCCTCAGAATGAATGATAAGGCTTACGCGTTTCTAGATATCAGGTGCAACATGGACAGCTTCTGGTCTTAATCAACACATCCAAGCCCATGGGGGTGGAATTATCCAAGTCGGCTCAACCTAGTCAGTAAAAGCTCCCCTTGCCCTTCCAGACTGACCATTGACCAATCGCAGTTATTGGGCCGGAGAGAATAAACTCAATGGAAGTGCTTTCCAATCAATCAACTGCTACTCCAGCACCGATCTTGTGAACTGGAAATTCAACTCTTACCTTCTTACGTTACAATCGTCTGGAGATTTGGGACCCAACCGAGTTGTGGAACGTCCACACATAATGTACAATGATGCGACAGGTAAATATGTCATGTGGATGCACATTGATTCATCGAATTATGGCGAAGCAAGGGCGGGTGTTGCAACCAGCAGCAGTGTTTGTGGATCATATACATATTTGTGAGTTAATTGAATCGATTATTATGGAGGGTGATGACCTCAAAGAAACTCAAGGGTTAGTAAGGCTAATGAAGATTAAAACAGAGGAGCAAGCCAACCATTGGGCTACCAAAGTAGAGATCTCAATGTGTTTAAAGGTATGGAGTACTGACACTCTGCATCTCCTCAGTCACTAACGAGGAGTTAGACACCGATGGAACAGGTTATTTATTGACTGAAGATGTATTTCCACTCACCCTTTTCTGTTAAAATAGCTCTGACGATTATATAGCGAGCAAACGGTTTACGTATTGACAAGCTTTCCGCCGATTATACATCGGTTGTCTCAGCTGTTTACCTTTTTGCTGATTATGAGGCTCCCGCCATATACAAGAGCGGCGATACTTATTTTATGTTTGCTAGTCATTTGTCCGGGTGGTGTATGCATGTCCATTTTTTTTTTCATCTCCAGGCCCTTGGATGTTTTCTCAGCAATCTTATTTCACAGCTGGGAACGTTAAAACGGGCAATGTTAGATCTTTCATTTGTTGAAATATTAACTGACTGCCTATAACAGCTCCAAACGATAACGTCTACGCTACAGCAACGAATTTATCAGGGCCTTGGTCTGCTTTTTCCAACTTTGCAACAGTTGGGTCAAATACTTATAGCAGTCAGACGGCGGCTGTGGTTAACATCAATGGAGTTGTCATGTAAGTTTTTCTCGATCATTTTCAGGCTTGGGGAATATTTTAGAGTTATTCGTAGAAAATAGGGCTAATTAATTATAGGTATATGGGAGATCGATGGGAATCATCCAACCTTATGACTTCGACCTACGTCTGGCTCCCATTGACAATCTCTGGGACCAAGGCATCCATGGTATATAACCCATTGTCCAAATGAGTCGCCCAGAAATTAACGTGAACAGAGCAACGAAGTCAACTGGATCATCGACCCCGCGGCAGGAACATGGACCACCGGCCCCAGCGAAGCATGGTTAGAAGCCGATGCTGCCACAAATATCCTCGCTAACGGTGCTAAAAATATCACATGTTCCGGTTGCTCGGATGGTGTCCGAGTCGGATATATTGGTGGGCCTAGTCCTGGCGGTACGTTGACCATAGATGGAGTGAGTAGCTCCGTAGCAACAACCACCACAATTCGAATTCATCATTTGAATGGTGATTCTACGCAACGCTATGCGAACGTCGTAGTCAACGGAGTCAGCAATATTATTGCGTTTTTGCCGACAGCGGATGGTAATACACCTGGCACAAGCGTCTTGACGACTGCATTGAAGAGCGGGGCTGGAAATGTCATTGAGTTCGAGTCGTATAATTCTGGATGGGGTAAGTCTATGTTGTTCATTATTCATATCTCATTATTCATTAATTGTACGCCAATACATCTACCTGTGCTAATATACGATGCAGCTCCAGACATTGACCGCATAATGGTTCCCGTCTCTTAAATACCCAACTTTCCTTTCGTGCGTGGAGGTGTCATGTCATGGGATGCTCGCATCGGCAGTAGTCCTTCTCTTCTTTTCCATTCTCAAAACCTTATAGCTCTCACTCAATAAATCAATGGGATCAAGATCCCCCTTTCCAAAACTCTGCATAACTCTCCCGTGCAAAGAATATTTCCTCCTCAAAACCTTTCTATTCCCCCAAACCTCCCACCGTCCCCTAATCATACTCCTCGAAATAAGACTCACCACGCTCGTAGGCGGCATAGGTGCATTCGTACAAATTTCCCTCAACATCTTCTCTAACCCTCTAAAAATCCCCGGATCCACAACCCGTAAATGCGCCAATTCCTTCCGCGTCTCCTTAATCGCCGTCTCAGTCGCATATTCATACTGACACCCCACCATCCTAAATCTCAAATACTTCGCCAAAACCGTCGAACACAACAATGCCAAGCCCCCATTCATATGCGCCAATACCTTTCCAGTGCGATAATAACACGGAATCTCAATCGTAGTAATCGCGCGTTTTCTCAACGCAAACGTCCCAATCTGTATATCCACCTGAGAAAATTCCCCCCGTCCCTCATCTGCAGCTTCCCTCTCATCCACAATATTACTCGGAGATATGTACACCCATATATAGCCCGTCGCACACGCACACAGCGAATACGTAGCCCCGTCACTCAAATTATCTTTTTGGAAAAATGCTGCTGAGCCATGCGCTTTGATATCCGCGAAATTGGCTGTTAATTCGGTGCCGAATTTTGAGAGGATGTTCTCGTCCGTTACGTTGATGTCTGGCATGCTGATTCCCGAATCGTGGTTCCGTGTTATGTAGAATATGGGCTGTGTCATGAATCCAGAATCTATGGTGCGCGCATTGTGTACACGGGTGATTTTTAAATTCGGTGCAGAAACTGTGGATTTGATTAGCTTTATGGGTTTCCTAGATTTCAAGAAGGGGGGATACTTGAGAAGATGAACTTACATTCGGTGGAAACAAGAGCTTCCTGTATCATATCAGGCAATTGAGCGAATATTCGTTCATTATGCGAATTAACATTGATAATCGAAGGCGCTTTATTGCGACTTGTGACTAGGATTTCTTCTTCGTTGTTGGAGGTACTCATATTGGCTTTTGCTAGTTATACTTCCTGTGTTTGGATTAAACTGTCGACCTTACTCTTGGTACCGCTAGCTGTAGCTGTCTTGGTATTTTCACAAACGATACATGACGGGGATAAAAACATATTATATCCCATCAACTATTCATCCCTTGCGAAGAGAAATGCCCTTTATATAACTCCAAGGAACATTTACGTACATCATAATCCATACTCGCGAGCCCACCAGTCTTATCGATCATGTAATTTGATCAAAACCCATCCTATCTTACAATACCAATATCGAATTGCCATTTCATCTCGTATCGAACCCAGACAATATCTCCGATCCCACATACCTCGTGTCGATCTAAAAATAGCCACGTTTCCAAAGTTCCAAACATATTTGTAAAAAGGCTTATCTAGAATACGATGATTGTTTGACAGCTGGCTCATTCCGAGGAATATGAAACGTATCAAAGAATTACTCAAAGGTATCTATCTACGGAGTATTCAATTTTTGTCCTAATGAAATGATGCGGTGTGTTTATCATGAGGTAGGGTCGCAAAAAAGTAAGAATGTGGGGCCAAAAATGGATTTTGGAATTTTGGGATCTTGGGATCTTATTATATGTGGATTGATGCTCGGGTGAAGCCACAGTAGTAGTTAGCATAGCCTTTGAAGGATGCTGATGCTTGGAAGTTATTTCTTGGGTAATACGAGTGTTTGTGTGGTTTGATATGGTTTGATGTGGCCATGGTATATTGCGGAGTACGGGTGGTTCTGTTTCGTGGTGAGTAAGGGTATCATGATTGTGAAATTGAGGAACCAGTAAGGTCAATGAATTGATGTCTATTTTACCGTTGTCTTTTCGGGGGTAAGTGATATCAGCTCGCGGTAGATATTTCGCTTAGACGAGGATGAAGGGGCTTGCAATGAATATGAGATTCATTGATAGATGTGAGGAAGAGGGAGGAAAGGAAGGACGAGGTTTTCACGTGATACGTGCAACATGATGGAACTTGTGCAACCTTTACTTCTATATTCAGGTAGTAGAAAAGAAGACGGGGCGGCTCAGCCTAGATATTAATAAAAATTTCTTAGCCTTGGTATATATGGTAATGGTATGATATCAAATGGGAATGTCAATGCACGGAAATTGAAATTTATTAAATATTACTACATAAAATTGATGTGGTATCAATCCAAGATCAAATAATTTTGAGCTTTTGAGCTTTTGAACGCCGTGTGGCCTGTTACCGTAACCCATTCCCTTAACCCAATTTCATCACCATAATGAGCGACGAGTCTTGTGCATGTCTTTTCGAAAACATATCAAACTTTTCGTCTAACCAAGAGACACCTTCTACCATCTCGCTTTAAATTCCATCCCACGCTTGCGCATATTTCTTTCAGTGTTCCTTCTCTATCCATTAACCTATCGTTCACAGCAATTACATCTAATGCCATTGACTGTCTGCCTAGTAAGATTGAAGATCGGATCTTACTTTGTTCTGCCAATGTCATCCCCCTAATGTCAAGATATCTTAAGCTGTGTTTCGCACCAGTGACAGTAGGTAATGGAGTAATGGAGATCCTTCGTCGTAACTTGGTAATGGCAATCGCACGTTCCATAGGTTCGAGAACAGTAGTATACTTTGAGTCAATCTCTGATGAATCGATTGCATCTTCCTCATTCCGGGAGTCATTGTCTTCGTCATCTAGAAAAATAGATTCGAGGTCGCGCATGCGGAGACCAGTGCCTATGCTTAGCTCTTCTATTGTTTGATTCAAACTCTTTAACTGAGCGGCGCAGGCCGAGCCCATCTTCCATCCTCTTAGTTTGAGAGTCTTGATTGTCCTCGGTGCATATCTCAAAAGCAACTCTGTTTCCCTTTCCTTGATCTCTTCACTAACCGTAAGGTCAACTGAGGCATCAAGGTATACCAATGTATGCTTCACAGACGGATGAGATGTTATAAAGTCGACGAGAGAGACGTCTTCAATTAATGCACAATGATTGATTGCTAAATGTGAAATTCTAGCAGTAGGAGGCAGAAGTTGTAAAGACTCTGTCGTGATATGAGTGTGTGATAACGTCATCGATTGTATGGAGCCGAGTCGTGAAAATAGTGAGTCGAAGGATGAAGCGGGTAGAGCTGTGCAATTTTCCAAGGATAATGATTTGATCGGAAGTGAAGCAGCCTTTGGTAGACGATCGAGTATGCTAGGTATGCAATCTAGTGTTGATGATGTGCAATTGCCCAGATCTAACGTCTTCAAATGTGGTAACCCAACAAAAAGAAGTCGAAGTAAGGACTCGCTCAAGAAACTATTTAGGTTGGTATCTTTCGGAAGTCGGAATTCTCGAAGATGTGGAGCGAGTGAAACCATTCCGTAAAGAGAATTAGAAAATTCTCTCATTGGACGTGCAGTTTTCAGCTCGGAGAAATCAAGACGTCGAATAGTTCTTCCCAAGATGGGATTTTGGGTAAGTTGAGCAAGTATATGGTTAAATGCGGACATGTGAGTGACTGTAACACTCCGATAGGTAATGCAAAGTGCATTCATGTAAATGGCTTTTGATACACGAAGACATGAAAATAAAGTAGGTCTTTCCAGATGTGGACAGTTGACTTCACTGGAATCTACGAGATGTCAATATTATAGAGGTTTAAAGTAGGTATTGAAGGTATTAGTCTTACCATTGCTTGAACCGCCTTCTTTGTGATCATATTTCAATTCCAAATTCCCAAGGATCTTTTGAAGGAGTTCAGGTGGGAGTCGTTCGAAGGGTGATTGACCAGCTTCGTATGCTTGCCTCCTACTTGAGTTTCTCTGGAATGCAGAGCTAGACATTGTAAATTGAAGGTTGAAGCGTTTCGGGTAGTAGGTTCTTGATTTTGAGGTTTATGTATTTGAAAACTTCTGTAGTTGAAAGTAAGTGCACCGAGGCACAGATGTCTGAATGTATACAGTGTGTAAAAGAATTTTCTGATTTCTTAGCACCATTGTAGACAGCTGTTGAGGTTGTCGTGGGAACTCTTATACCTCCCAACATGTTGCAAGAAAGAATCTGGGCCTTCCAAATGGGACAGCTTGTTACTCAATGCATAAAAAGTCTGCATGCCAAACACTGGAGAAATTGCGAAATTGCCTCCCATGACTCTCTTTTACATCGTCAGAGCTCAAGTACAGCTCGTGATGTTATCCAATACTATTCACCGCCAACACGTACTCGTTTCATTGTTACGTAAATGTAGAGCAATAAAGCAATAAATGTATATAAGACGACATCATGAGGCAATAAGGAATTAATAATTGGTTCATTTTATTTGGAAGTCAAAGAAATCACGAGTTAAAGCGATTGGTGATTTCCCCAGGAAAAGGTTAAAAAGAGAAGCACGATTTATAAAAAGGCGGGGTTAGCGTCTTGGCTTTCGGCACGTGTGATGTCGAAGTTTCCCACACACGTGATTTAGCCTGGAGAAGTGTTTTATTTTTGGTGGTCAATTCCATCTAGAAAGCTAAAAAAGCTAAAAAGAAGTCTTGTTTTGTTTTCAATTCCCGGACTATTGGAAAAGGACGCATGGATGAGACACTTTGCTCGGGAGTCGGGAATGATCATCTTTCTTACCCCTTTTTTACCTCAAATTTTCAAATCCCTCATTGAGTCATTATCTATTGAATGTTGACGTTGTACGGAGTATACGCAGGACTATCTAATAAGGCATATCAATGCCATGTTAACTCTGTAGATTATTACTACCTTAAGACGACAGCTTTGAGTTATCATCAATGTATGCCCAGTATGCCGGATTCGGAAGAAAGTCGATGGTGCAAGTGGCAGTACGTATACGTGGTATGTCAATGCAGTCTGAGGCTGAGTTAGCGCGGTTCTACTAGATGTAGATGCATCACTGGTATATGGACTTCCCAACAACATCGAAACCGTGCTTTTCTGCTTTTCCCTCACCGACCTCGGTTTACCACCGGCTCAAAGTAAAAAAGTTTACGTCCGTACATATCAACTAACTAGAAGGTATAAATGCTGCATCGGATCTACGGAGTAAATAGCTCATGATCAACATTACTTACAATGTGGGTATGTAACTTTAATAGTAGCAACGACTACTCGAGTATGCTGCAAAGTTTTTTTATTTTGCCAAATAGTTCTATTCTTTTTATTTCTCTCTTTCCTCTTGTTTGGTTAAAATCCAGATGATCCTTAAAATCTGAAACCGCTCTTTGAGTTGTCAAGCATTAGTATGCTACTTACTTCATCCCTGCATTGGGGAAGGAGCTGAAAGCCACACATTCACAAATTCATGAGTAAAACTTGCCTGCGTTATTCAGGAAACAAATCATCGTTTGTATTGCAGAGATCACAACTATCTCAATCTTTAACTTCCTCACAAAAGTCTTTGTGTCTGATGCTTATTGATTACTTTCTTCATATCGCGTCGAAAAAGGAATTTCCCGAAACACCAAAGTCATCTGCCAAAATGGCAAAACCAACCCTATCATCAAGAATAACTCGGAAATTGCGACCATATCAAAATTCTGTTGAATCATGCTGCTACAAATGAAAATTAGCTTCGTCAATCTTTTATGCTCTAACTGGTGTGAGAAATAACATTGATTGGAAAGGACGAAGACAACATGCTTAAGAAATAAGGAATCTCGTTCGATTCGACACGACCTCGAAATACGGCATTAACCAGTAAGGAAATCGAAAACAGATCCCATCAGCTTTTACAAAGCCTGTAATGTGTTCGCAAACAAACATCCAAAGCCCGTTGTGTCGTGTGTTAGATCTCTCTTGATTTCGATTTCCTATTTTTTTTTTTGAATCGGTTGGCCTCTAGCCAGTCGATAGGCATGTCTTGCGCCCATCTTCAGGCCTGGAGTCGATCAACTGATCTCAGAAGGCTTGCCATAAAGTGTATTATCTGATATACTGATCTAACTTTTCCGCGCGGGTCTCATCTCCAATCATCGTGGTCATCTCTATGCTATCCACAAGCATTTGCTCCACATAAAGAACACGCGGCTCCTTTCGGTGTATAATGGTGTGTCTGATTCTTCGAACTCATCTAATAGTTCATTGTACCGTGGAATGTTATCACGGTTCTTAAAAGCGCCTGGGCCAGTAGTGGGTGCTACTGGAAATTTTCCCCAGAAACAGAGCTCTACCTTCTTCACCGAACTGAAGTTGTTGATGACCAGGTAATCCGCTGCCCAATGTTTTGTAGAATCAGATATTCCACCCTTAAGGATTATACACATGTGAAAAGATATGCTATGCTGAGCATCGAAAAGTAGTCGCCGACGGGTATCAGGGAAAACTTGCGCGCTTGCATTCGTGCTCTGGTCCCCGAAGTTGCAATGCACGATTGATCAGCATGGCCCTAGATAGTAGCCGGGCTTGCATTTACTGGTGGTGTGCATGGTCTTCTTTCTTTCTCCTTGAGCGGAGAATAATCGTTCTCTTCGACGACCATAAGAGAATCATCAAGCTCATCAGGCTCCCACTAGAACCTTATCATAACTGAAATTCCACTTCTTGAATGCAGTACCTTTAATTTTAAGATCTTGCAGAAAATCTCAGCAGTCTTTCTTGAGCGAAATAGAGGACGAAACCCGCGAGAGCTTGGAATATCTAGTTTAATATAATGCGCTACTGGAATGGGAATGTAAGGTGTGTCAATTTGCTATACTTGGGGTTTCGTTGATACCAAAATTTCGTTTCATATGCAATATCGTAAGTCTTATATGTGATGAATTTGTGTGGATGGATAGAGATTATTAGATAGATACTTGAAATACCGTCGATATCTCTATAGCAAATAATCCGAGAGTATTGTTGATGGATTACCTAGATTACCTAGATTTTCTATAGAATTTAAGTAGGTTTGATGAATATCATGATATTATCCCTTGCTTCTCTCCCATAACCTTGGTTCTGGACGGGGATACAGAAACTTTCTAGAGCTATTATTAAGTAATGTCACGGTTGAATATACCAATTCTTTCACTATGAGTCTTTTTATGCGATGATTAATTCGTATTCATTCTTCTATATTTTTATTCTTATATGAGAATTTGCAGGTAAGATCGTAACATCTCTTCCCTGTTTATACCACCTCATCTTTCAGCTTAGACAGGCGGTGCTTGTCGAGAAGAAATGTGATGTTAAAATATATACCAATCGTATTTTCTATTAGACTTGCAAATGAGAAACATAGGTTATTGATCTCAGCCTGCATATAAATTGCCATCTTACAGAAAATTTAGGTCCTAATATACAACATAAGGTCCATAAAGATATAATTTTGTGTATTCTAAGTAATATTACAACAGAGGAAGAAACAGAAAAGACGCTTCATGTCCCTCTAATATATATATCAGTAAAATCACAAAGCAATTTATGCCCCAAAATCAACCATCACAGCTCCCGAATCTTCAACCGGTACCGTGAATTTTCCATCCTTAACCTTAACGGTATGTCCAACCGTTACATTGTGCAATCGTACAGGAAGTCCATTATTGAGTTCATAGTTGTAGGAATATCCATCGTATGTAATACCCGTGATTGCATCACTACCATTTGCATGAAGGGCTCTTAGTGTTGCTGATTTGGGCAGCGCGGCTGGTGTATTATAGCTTGATGATCTAGCTGCCTTGTTGGTGGGGATCGTGATGGTATATTTTCTGGTTGGACGAGGGACAGGGTTTAAGAGCGAAGATGTTCCATTGACGGTGTAGTTGTATTGGTGCATGTTAATAATGATGATGCGCTTTAGAGCGCCATTGACATAGGCGGCATAAGCAGATTCCATCTCATTGGTCAATGGAATTTCGGCTATGGTTGTGGTGGATGCGGTAAGATTAGAGAGGAAGGCGGCTGCGGCAATGTTTCCGTAGTATGGAGCCTTCGTGCCTTTTGTGACAGTATCTGTGTCCTTAGGTTGCCAAGCCCCGTAGCGGAAGCCGACTCCCTCGTGGAAACTAGGCGAGAGATTGTTAGCATGTGATTGAGAAGAATGATTTATAGGGACTTCACATACTTGATGCGACTAATGTTCTTGCTTGCGCAGTAGAGAGCGAAGTCTACGTTCCACTATGTAGAAGTCAATACTGATAGGGGACGATCGGCCACGGAGAAAACGTACTAGAGCAGCACCGTATGCATTTGACAACCCTGGTGCACCTTCATTGTAAAGAGAATTGGTTTCTCCGAGAGTAAACGGTACGTTGAAAGGGGAAAGAAGGTGAGATACATTTAGCTGAAGGGCGACAGACGCCACGGTTGAGGTGTGGTTCATGAGGGTTTTTTGGAGTGTTACACCTGGCTGTGTCGCACCACCAATATAACTTTGTCCAGTTTGTTAGCATTTGGGATGCGAAACTGTGGAATAGACCATACTTATGTGACGATATCAATTCAATATCCTTATCAACATCCACTCCATCTCTCCATGTCGTAACAGGGTTGAGATGGTTGTCAACACCCGCATAGGAGGGTGCCAAGAACCCATAGGAAGCTAGATCAGGACAAGCTTCTGCAACTCCTTCCTTGATTTGTCGGCTCCCATTTAGCCATTGGCTTACGTATGTTGATTCGTTCCAAGTTGGAGGTCGAACTGGTCCTTGTGCAGAGGTAGAATACAGATCTGGTTCATTTCCATACTCCCACATGAGAAGTTTCCCACCTCCTAGCGCTTTACATGCCAAAGGTATCGTATCTAGTAGGGTTTGCCATCCAGCAGAATTGTTGGCGCCCAGTGCCATGTTGAATCCATGACTGAATTTAACATCTGGCCAAGTACTATACGAGTCAAAAAAGGAAGGGCCAATGTAAACAGTTGTTGGATAATCCACAGCCCTGGATGGATTGATGGTACCATTCACCGCGTATGGAAGATTTGCATCGTATAGAGCATAATCTTGTGTGTTTCCACCCACTCGAATGTGCGGTTTAGTACCTTGGAAGTCGGCAAGATTGTTGAGCAGGTTATATGAGAAAGTACCCGGATTTGAGGCGTTTCCTAAATATGTCAGCACGTGAGCTAGTTAACATGTCTCTGAACCATTGCCATACCAGCGTAATCCGGAAAGAAAGCAAACTCAATGGAGTAGCTTATGAAGGCTGGAAATGGGGTACCGGCACTTGCTGGGGCAGTGCTAGCAACAGTAAAGCTGCTTTGAGCATGAATTGCTTGCGCCAGGCTTAGAAGTGCGACTCCAGTGATGCGAGCCATATTGTGAATATCCAATTCTCTATTTTCAAAACTTCAATCGGAGATAGAGGACAACAGGCGACACATCGAATGAAGAAACAAAAGACAGTAGAGAGGTTCAACGAAGTTTAAGTAGCCTACTCGGAATCTGCACCTTGCAGATCTCTGGTTCTTTCCTAATACCTCATTGCTACGGATAGTAACTGCATGTCCTACGTGGGACTCGCAATGCATCATACCGGAAACCGAAGTGATGAATGAATGAAGCTGGATAAATTAATGCTCGCAACTCAAATAAATTAACATCATACTCCATAAAAATTATCAACGCGGGGAAGTCGGGGAGCGAGCATACACAAAGTCAGGAGGGGCTGGCGTGCTACATGAAATATACTGTATAATCGCGAGAGATTTCACGATCCTAACATTCGGTTTAACCTCGATCGGACAAAATGTCGTACCGATGATATTTTATATTCTGGATGACGATATCAAGTATTCTGCAGCTTGAACATAGAGAACATAGAATATAGTCTATAGTGAAAAAGCTTTAGATACAATGGAACCGCGGGAACGGTCTGTCATTCATCCGATAAAAAAAAGTCCGCATGCCAAGACCGCGAATCTCTCTCGAGATTTAGAGTATAAGTACTATGCATATGATGTAGAATACGAGGTAGTATTCCGACGATTCCCATTCCGATCTAGAAATGAGTCTCTTCCTTGGAAGAGGGGTTGAGAGAGTTCGGAAGAAGGGGTTCGGAAGAAGGGGTCATGGGACTTGTTAAAATTGAATAGATATAGAGGCCGTAAGTATAATTAGCCCTAGCCCTTTCGTAGATTTTATAAGTAACTCTTGAACTACTCGAGCATCATCATTCTAATGGATATTTGGTCGATGACTTTGTTGTGTAGATTATAATTATGTAAAAATATATTCAATCTTTTCACACGGTGTCTATCTCCTGTTTGATTACACATTTCTCAATTACGTACCTACATCACCACATATCCATCCCATTGATGTGATATCACCTATGTTAGGTTTAGCGGTAGCCCCGCGGTGTAGCTTATCCTTCACGATAAATCCGATAAAAGAACATCTTCATCAAGCTCTCCGGAACTCCAGTTACTCCAATTGATTCAATTCCGGCACATCATTTTCACTAAGGTACAATACCTTCCCTTTCTTCTGTTCACGCAGTCAATATTTGTTTGTTATCACATAATCAGACATCAATTGTCAGCAACCAACTGTTATTCCATGGTGACGTTGGTGGTGCTAGAACTGGAATTGCTACAATAAAAGCCCCGAGCTTGACACCCCGCCCCTCAATATGAATAACATAATAAGATCAACATCAAGAATACTCCCACGTTCACGATTTCAACCATTTACTTTACCAATTATCAATTCGCGAAAAGCTTCCAACATGTCACATACCGTCCCAAAACTTAATGACCCGACACTGTTCAAGACCGGAGTTGCGTACGTTAATGGAGAATGGGTAAAGGCGGCTTCTGGACAGACATTTGAGGTTACTGGTATGTTTTGCGGTTTATCATGAGTTATTATGAAGTGAAAGAGCTAACATACTTATTCTGCAGATCCATCTACTGGAAAGTTCATTGGCAATGCTCCAGAGTTCGATGTAGATGACACGAAGAAAGCAATCGATGCCGCAGCCGCAGCTTTCCCTTCATTCAGAACTACAACAGGACGTGAGCGAGCCAAGCTATTACGGAAGTGGTATGATTTGATGGTACGCCAAACAAATAGCATAGAAATATAAGGAGAATAGTCACTGATTGATTCCATGCAGATCGAAAACAGTGAGGATCTTGCTAGACTTATAACATGGGAGAATGGAAAGCCTTTGGCGGATGCAAAGGGAGAGACAACATACGCAGCCAACTTTTTGGAGTGGTTCAGTGAAGAAGCTCCTAGGAATTATGGAGATGTTATTCCATCATCCATTCCTGGAAACAGAGTTATCACTCTAAAGGAGCCTGTTGGTGTCGTTGGACTTATTACGCCGTACGTCTACCCTGCGACATGAGAGCTATACAAAACTAATTTAGTCTAGATGGAACTTCCCAGCTGCCATGATAACAAGGAAAATTGCTCCTGCATTGGCAGCTGGTTGTACAGTTGTTGCAAAGTCTCCTGGTGAAACACCCTTCACCTCCCTTGCCCTCGCCGAACTTGCGCATAGAGCAGGAATTCCTAAAGGTGTAGTCAACTTTGTCAGCGCTCTCAAGAACACACCCGCTGTAGGCGAGCTCCTCACTACTTCGCCAATCATTAAGAAAGTCTCTTTCACTGGATCTACTGGTGTGGGTAAAATTTTGATGAAACAGTCATCTTCAACATTAAAGAAATTATCGTTTGAGCTTGGCGGAAATGCCCCTTTTATTGTCTTCGACGATGCGGACCTTGATGTTGCAGTAGCCGGCGCTATTGCATGCAAATTCCGTTCATCTGGACAAACTTGCGTCTGTGCTAACCGCATCTTTGTACAATCTGGAATTTATGATGCCTTTGCCGAGAAATTTGCCGCAAAAGTCAAGGATTTCAAGGTTGGAGGTGGCTTCTCCGATGGTATTACCCATGGGCCCGTTATTCATGACCGTGCTGTCGACAAGGTGGAAGCCCATGTTCGAGACGCTGAGGAGAAGGGAGGAAAGGTCATTCAAGGTGGACAGAGAATTCCTGAGCTCGGAGTCAACTTTTTCCAACCTACTGTCATCACTGGAGTCACTCCTGATATGGATATCGCGAACGAGGAAACTTTTGGCCCCGTTGCCGGATTACTTAAATTCGATACCGAAGCAGAAGTGGTTCGAATTGCAAACTCTGCCGATGTCGGCTTGGCAGGCTATTTCTTCACCAAAGATGTTGAAAGGGCCACTAGAATCTCGGAGGAGTTAGAACTCGGAATGGTTGGTATCAATACTGGCTTGATTAGTGATGTTGCATCTCCATTTGGTGGTGTTAAGGAGTCAGGATTTGGACGCGAGGGAAGCAAATATGGAGTTGCAGAGTATCAAACCATTAAGACGGTCACAATTGGAGGCATGGGCAAGCCATTGCAAAGTTAGATGATCAAAACAACTTGGAGTAGGGCAGTAGAAATGATACCATTTGTTTTTACGTTTTCATACAGTGAAATTTTCCCCGGCATGGTTTCGGAAACACTTTGTTTTGAACTTCAGTAATGAGCTCGAGGTAAGTCCACATTATTGTTTGCCATTAAAGCAAACGATGCCAACATGTGCGCAATTTTAGGCTTGCATGGCATGGTTAGAGACGAACAGTCAAAGATTTATTTGTCTCCAAAATATATCGATCGATATTCTAGCTAGCCCTTACGATGGAACTACAGGAGACCTCATCAAAGGTAGCCGAAACGAGCACCCCTAGAGATACTAGAAGATATATTTGCACAGATTGCACACCAGCATTTCCCATGATCTGAAACACATTATCCAGGCAGAAGCCCAAATCTAGCGTTGGACTAGAAGGGGGTTCTTGATGCTGGCAATAAAATAGTTGTGGGCTTCATACTTTCTTCGAAACTTTCTCATATGTCAAGACATACTGCTACTCTTTCAAGTATTCTCTCCTCCCAAAGAAGAATTTCCGAATCCGTGGGTGCGCTATATGATTTATAAATGGGAGAGTATCTGGCTAAAGCACATAAGTGAGCAGTAGTATGGATTTAGATAATGTATAAGTGAGGCTTTTCTTTGTTCTACTAGGTATCCTCCCCTAACTATGACTCGCCTACAAGAAACAATACATGGGATGGACATGCTGAAAAAGAGCTCTTGAGCTATTCAATTTTTGTGGAAATGATTATGTCATCGTTCGCTCGTACGATGAGCTTCTGGATTTACTAAAGCAATCGCTTATATTAAGGATTTTGTCCTGGGTTATGAAGACATCAAGGGTAAAGACTCCAGCATAGAATATAGAAGAGCAGTACAAAAGACTCAAATTTTTGACGGATTTTTCATCATTGTTTTGGTGAGAGTTTAAGCCGGGATACATTGGTGAATTTAACGTGAGTCCCTTGGCCTCAAGGTTCCGAGAGGCTTCAGCCATCAAAAACTTGCTGAGTTTAAACAAATATTGACGTGCAACGAATGGTCATAGGCTGATGCTATTCAACCGAGGAGAATTAAGCGAGCGTAGTGAAGGAGGGAGGGTATTTGATAACGATGAAGACCATATCGTTTGTAGAAAGCGCTTTTGGGATAATTTTAGTATATACAGTGTGAAAACATTTTATGGGGTTTGAAATACAATAGGATTCTACAGCAGAGTCGTATGTAGAGAATGTACAATGATTGAAAGTGGGAAAGCCAGGTACAGGAAGGTAGTATAATGTGACCGTTACATCTTCAACAATGGGGCCTAAGTGATTATCAAAGGCTCATCCTTCTGCGCCTGCTAAGCAATAGAGTTTTTGTCTAGAGTAAGGATGAATGCCACTGTAGGCATCATTACATCAAAATACAAAGGGGGATGCGTGGGAAACTCTCCTTTCTTTCCATGATGAACTCAACAAGCATGCCTGTCGGTACATTGTTATGTCTGCGTGTGTTCAATAAATTAAACGCAACCTACAAAAGATCCTCAAAATGACCTCGAAAATATCTCCTAGAGTGCGTTCAAACAGTTACTAGAATTTCGAATCCACCACTCTAAATGGTTTTATCTTGTAATTAAATCCTTCACATACAAACCATAATTTTCTCTGATTTCTTGAGATGTATTCATGACTACTCTTCTGCTCTATGATAATCTCAAAAGTTTCAGCAGGTTACAGGCTTAAATGAGGGGTAAATTACCCCGCACTTCGCCTATAAGGCCTATAAACTAACGCCCAAATATCCCATACATTCGATGGCCTTTCAGCTCCGTCTTTGGAGCTGTACCAGTCTATAGAGATAGCTAATAGCTAATATCTATCATATCCTCTGCACGGGAGAGAAACGAGAATTTCTAAAGCTCGTCTATCAATGCCTTTGTATTTAATTGCAACAGATAAGTAGCTGGCCAAATATGGATGTCTATTCCTAGATACTTGAAGGAGATGCAGTAGGCTCGGCGACAAGGATCTCTTCAATGGCATCATTTTGCACCCTTGAGTTCTGCTTTATGAAACCCACCATATCATTCAATTCATCTGCCACAACGACATGTCCTAAATCTTCATACAATTTCCACTCAACTTTATACCCAACAGCCTCCAAGATCTTCTTCATATCTTCACCCCATTCTGGCTTTACTTTCCCGTCACCAGTCCCATGAGCCAAGAAAATTCTCATGTCTTTTCCTAAAGACTCTGTGCTATCTAGAGGCGCTGCAGGTGGAAGACCTAACTCACTCCTCAACCACTCTTGAACAAGATATCTCTTCTCCATCGAATCTTTCCCAACAGCAGCAACCTCAACTAATTGTCTCCTGAAAGGTAACCATCCACTAAACCCCACAAACCCACCAAGCTTCCGCGATAACCCCAATCTATCCAACTCCCCACTCAACAACAAAATCAAACTCATAGCACATCCTTGGCTCATACCTCCAACAAACACATCGAACCTTCCATCACGAGATTTATCTTCCACTACATCCCGGACTAGCTGACCAAGATATTCCACGCTTTCCTTCAATCCCTCCTTCTGTTGTTGTTCTCCTTTCGTCCGGTCTGCAAAATCGGTAATGTCGAACCAAGCATGGGTTAATTTTCCACCAAATACAGTAGTCTTCTTCAGACTTCCCGATGGGAAAATAAGTTTAGTGTACGGGAGTAATAGATCAAAGTGAACCAGATTTACAACTTCTTTGGCGAATGCTGTTCCATTAGATGATGTGCCATGGAGAAGAATAAGAGTGTTTTTTTTTATCTCTGGAGATTCGACAATTAATGGTGGTGGGCGGATGTCAGATTGTAGAGCGGGAGGGGATGCGGATGCCATTGTGTGTGCAGCGAATATCAAATTAGATACTTGGTGCTCGAAGTAGCTTGTGTTGTTTAAGATAGTACTTGATAGACCTAACAGAGAAATAGATAAGAATACTTTAATTATCATCCGCATGACGAACGAATGATGTGATTTTGGGCTTGCCTGGTTGAGGTGGGGATTTCCACACTGCACCTTCTCCAATGGGTTACACTATGTCACGTGGATATATACATATTCGGACACCGGGAGGACTTCAATTTGTGTTACTCTCGTGAATTTACATGGTCGCTATCTTTATGCTATTGCATAGATTGTATAGCTATTTGAATGATTATGATTCTTTGCATAGCCATGAACTTTACTTCATCTTAGCTTTCAAGCTATACCGTTAATGTGTATCTTTACCTCCACTTCGTTACTCCATCCACTGGAAAGCTCGAGTTCCTTCCATGCCGTCAATGTGTCAATTTCAAGTACATGGGGGTCAGTCTTGCTGATGCTAACTGTGTGACTTGGGAGAATCTTTCCAAGAATAGTGACTAGCAAGTGGTCTTCGTATGATATGTCCGGAAGAGTAGAGATATAGATGCCTGAAAGTCAAATTAGAATCCAGAATTGGTTGATGAATGACTGATACTTACCAAGAGTTCCCAGAGCTTTGACATTCGTGTCAATTGTAATCTTGCCATTCTCCGCCTTCGTCATTTCGCTGCTGACAATCGCTGCCGCTCCAGCCATTTTGCCGAGAAGACCCAGGTTAGCTATCCATGTAGTATTTTCTTGCCCTTGGTTGACAAACCCGCGCAATGGGTAGGCCGACAAGATATCGTAACCTCTCACATCGAGAGACACGTATATCAAAGCCTGCGAGTCCACTACTTGCATAGGCTTAGAGACAGCCCCACTAGAATGGGCGCGAATGATATAAAATTGTGCCTCCTCAACACCAGGGAACTTGGACAATGGCACTAATTCGCTAAGTGGTCTCTGAGATACATTGAAGAAGCCAATGATGCCAGTTCCTGTATAGGCAGCGCCATGGTACGTCCCAATTGCGAGTATGTGGTCGTCGTCGTATCCATTATATTGATCCAGACTCTTGCCAACGACGCTAGGTCTAAAAATAACAGTCTTTCCCCGAGGAGTGGGACCAGTCATTTGATTTATGAGGTCAAGATCATGTTGACCTGGCACATCCGTAATGTATATTGGACCACCGCTAACACATCTAGCAGCTGCATGGAAACCGGAATAGTCATGAACGGTTTGAAACATGTCCCAATCTGGAATTAGATTGAGATGTTGTGTAAATAAAGCATTGTGGGCATTGGTAAAGACATGCCATGGGTGACTAGTAGGAATTTCGGGGAAAAAGTCGTCAGAGTTCCGCACGAGGATTGGAGGTCTGTTTTGGGGCAATTGGGAATGAAAGAGGATTTGCGGGATCTGTGACATGCAAGAGATTGCCTTAACACTGAAATGCTGAAGAGTTGAAAGGGTCCATGCATCTTGGTATGCGGATATCAAATCACTACGATCTTGAGCATTCTCAAAGAGATCAAGCATAAATTGGGCGCTAGTTTATGTCAGCAAAGAAACGGTAAGCATCAGCCACTTACTCTGTCTTGACAGCATCAACCCCACAGGATGAAAGAAATGAATAAAAATCATTATAGAACCTCCGCACATCTTCTTTGGCGACCACTGTCATTTTGCCTCCCAAAGGTAGATTCCGCCTCTCAGAATCTCGCCGAATTACTTCCACTGTTTTGTAAGCATTGGCAATCTTACCGTCTGAGGCAAGACCACCCCAGTAACCTAAAATTGCGTGCCATACGGCTACATGCTGTATACTAGGCTGCTTTTCTCGAATAAGAGATATAGTGTGCTTCAAGCCATTGGGGAATGCCTCCCTTTCCGCCTCAAATTCAATCCAACCGTGTTGAAATTGACCATGTCCCTTGTAGTCGATGGCTTGCCAATTATCGTCAATAATAAAGTTTGTAACGTTAATCTTATTCTCTGCCAGAATATCAACAGCTTTAAGTATTTTGTCTTCTGTTAATCTTTGCCCAAGTGCATTCCATGTGCCTGGCTCACTGGTTAGAAAATCATATCGAAAGGTTTAGTGAACGTACAATACGTCAACCCATCACACCAATTTTCAACCCAAACCTTCGTCTTCTCATCCCCTTCGTTGAGAGCCTCGACCTCTTTTTGTGTTTCTCCAGATGCACTCTCGAAGGCTGCAACTACCTCTCTAGCATGGTACATTACAGCTGCGTTAGCCGACTCATAGTCATCACCGAGTCCAACGAGGATATGAGCAACGGACTCTTTGGGGTTGTCATTTCGAACCTACTTGAATCAAAACCATGTTCGTCAAAATATCAAGGTCATAACATACCTCTAGCACGACTCTGCCATCACTGTCACTCTTGAACAGAGTCATCACGTTGTTAACTCCACTGATAGCTAGTAAAACAATGTGCTTGCCTTCCGAGCTTAAAAAAGAGCAGGTTACGGCCTCTTTATCAAGGTCAAAATGAGTCTTTCCTTGTCGGGGGGCTAACCAGGGAGTCCAGATACGGATAAGTGCAAACCATCTAGTCAAATTAGCAAAGAGTGAGCTACGATCACCAACGGAGTATTGAACCGACCTTGCCAATTTATCATGTCCCCAAGGAAGCCCAAATTTGATATCCTTTATAGCGGAATCTTTCCCAACAGCTCCCTCGATCGGAACTTGTACAGACCAAAGAGTGGTACCGGGAGACTGGCTTCGGTGGTTTTTTGCCTCTAACGTGGGGTTCAAATTCTCAACATAATCAGATAATTTACTTGAAATGTTTTCTTGGGAAGTGACTGTTTTTAGAATTATCGAACCGTCTGGCATCCCCTGGTGGTCCTTCACGAGCTTCCAAGATTGAGCAGAGTTGCTTCGAAACTTCACTGTAAAATTTGTAGGGAGACGAGAGGGGAGAGATGTTTTGAAGTATAACCGATGGAGTCCCAAAGGTGCCACGGTTTGCAGGATTGTTGGTAGGGAACCTGTTTCCTCTATGGGCTCCATCGGAGACTCTAGCCACTGATCTCCATCACTATAAAGGAGTGACAATTCCCATGGTTCATTCGCACGACTTTCATCAACCTCCAACAAAGCGGTAATGACCTTTGTAAGGCCGAGGATGGTCGTCTGCTGACCCAAAGGCGGATAAGTCGAGATGTATGCCTTCATACTTGGGTGGTCTAAAGTCAAAGGACCTTTTTGTTTTGGAATATATTTCGCCTGAAAAACTTCGTTGCCATCAGCAGCACTGATGAATGTCTGTGATTCGGCCATCTTGGACTCAGGAGGTGGAACGAAGATGAATTATAGTGGAGTAAAGCAGCTTTAAAGGATATCACAAAATAGTACTGAGGGATAAGGAACCAATTTGGAAGGATGGAGGTATTTCAAGTTAGGAAAGTCAATGTTGATATAATAGATTGGAAGGGCAGGAGGAATGGAGAGTGATGAAACATGAGCTTCTCATTCATAGGAGTTCTTGCCAAACCCGTGATCACAAGTAGTCTTTATAGCCTTTTTCTCACAATATGGTTGGATGGATGAATTGATAATGAATTTCATCCAGCTGTCAAGTTGTTCTATGACATCCATTCTGTACCAATCTAGTGTGATGGAGGTCGATCTTCCGAGTCGCCAAATGTGGAGGGGCACAGAGGCACTAATGCGGAAAACCCTTGACTCGTGGCGCTTCATCAAATTTATTGGCTCATGTTCTCGGATGATCGGATAAACTTAATACCGCTCGCCGTGAAATTTATTTTGGCCCGCAAGAATTGTTTATGGACGCTGAGATTGTGTAGTAGGATATTGACCAATTCTTTGCTCAAGTTATTGATCTCCTCGCTGACTTTATTGGGTTTGGCTTCTCCTTTCAAGGCTCTTCATGCGTTCGTGAGTTCTAGCCTCTAGGCCAATAAGATGGCAACGACTTCTCTCCTTCAGCGTTCGGCTCGACCTGACCTTTACGTTTGCGCAAGATGCGCTTTTAAAGCGTCCCTCAATTCGAATAAAGCGTCAAGAAGATGGATCGGAACGAAATACTTAGCCAAGGTGGCAGATGCGGAAATACAGTGGGCAAAAAAGGCCGCGGATATTAAGGCAGGGAAGACGAAGAGCATGCTCTCAATCCTGGAGGAGCGAGGATATGTACATCAAATAACTGGGTAAATACACGACTTCGAATCATGCTGCGGGAGACATTAACTTTTGTCCCAGTTCGAGAGACGAGGTCGATCGTATGATGACAGAAAAGCGGCTTGGTGCATATGTGGGCGTAGATCCAACTGCGCCTTCACTTCACATTGGCCACTTATTACCTCTCATGTCCCTGTTTTGGATGTATGTACATGGTTACCATACGGTATCACTGGTCGGGGGCGCAACTGCAAAAATTGGTGATCCGACTGATCGCTTGACGACGAGAGAAAAAATGAAGAGTACAACCAGGAATGAGAACATATTGAAGATGCATTATCAAATGAAAGGTATATGGCTAAACGTCGAGGCATATGGAAGAAAACACGGATACAAATGGGAATGGGCATGGAAAAGGGGTTTGGTCAACAATAACGCCTGGATGAATGGTTTGACGGTGATGGAGCTTCTCCAAGTCCTTGGACCAGGTATGAGAATGGGTGCGATGATTGCAAAAGATACGTGAGTACACTCGATTTATACGTCTGCCAAGCCTTTACTAATACTCATAGTGTCAAGAATAAGATGAATAAAGGAGATGGCATGTCATATGCTGAGTTTACCTATCCTTTGTTGCAATCATGGGACTGGTGGCACATGTACAATACGAAAGGCATAACGATGCAGATCGGTGGCTCTGATCAGTACGGCAACATCACGGCTGGTGTTGATGCTGTCAAATACATTCTAGCGAACCATCCTGACCCCACCATCAAAGAGCAACACGAGAAAGCAACGCCGCCCTTTGGATTTACAGTTCCCCTCTTAACTACATCATCAGGAGCGAAATTTGGAAAGAGTGCTGGAAATGCTTTATGGCTGGATAAGGACATGATGAGTTCGTTCGATCTGTATGGCCATTTTCTTCGTACATCAGATCAAGATGTGGAAAAATACCTTAAACTTTTCACATTCATGCCTGTTGAGGAAATCACTAAATTAATGGAGGAACATATGAAGGCACCTTCTCAACGACAAGCTCAACACAAATTAGCGCGAGATTTTCTCGAACTCGTTCATGGAGAACCGGAGGCCAAGGCTGCCGAGCTTCAGCACCGACTTCTTTTCAGCAAATCGAATAACGCGGAGAATTTGGAGAAGTTGCAGAATGATTTAAAGCTGGCCGAGCACAAACTGGCATCTCACCCGCAGGGTACCAACGCATCCAATAGACCGAGTGCAGATCTTAAGTTACCACGATCCTTCGTAATGTCCAGAAGTATTCCAAGAATTGTAGTCGCCGCCGGCCTTTGTGACACAAATTCGGAAGCTAATCGCCTTTGTGGTGCTGCTGGACTTTATATCGGTGGATCTAGGCCTTTGGGATATAAAGGAAAGGACGACGCCTTAGTTTTCACACCGATTAAAAGATGGCAAAATGAGGATACCCATCACTACCTCATCGATGGTTCAATGCTTGTTCTTCGACGTGGTAAATCTAACATTCGAATCATCAAAATCGTCCCAGATAAAGAGTACATTGCAGAAGGTTTGTCCTTCCCTGGTCATGAAGATTGGATCAAACAGAAAATGCCAAAGAAATTGAACGAAGAGGGCGAAATAATTGAAGAGGAAAAAAACCCAAATATAGATGTGAATGGAGTCGACAGATCAGACAGAGAGGAGATCAAGCGGTTGAGAGTGGAAAGGAGAGCTCGATCGCATGAAATTTCACAGCAGAGATGGCAGGACAAGGATGCAAGGCGCCAACAGCGGATGCAGCTGCTTCAAGCCGACCTGAGAGAGACAAATCAACTCTCATCGGAAAAGGTAGACCTGGATAATTTGGTGAAGAGGGTGAGGTCAGATGTATCACCTCGGGACGGTGATGATCTTTTAATAAGAAAGATAGATTCCGATGCAACTGAGGGCTGGTGGAATCCACTGCGCGGCGATGGTAGAGCCGACGAGTCGAAAAGCTAGTACAAGCAACTGTGCGGTTATGTATTTATAAATGTATATCCACCTGATGATCTCACGTGTGCCTCCTTAATCGTTGCCAGTTTGTGAAGGCACAAGTTGGAAAGTTTGAGATATTAAGGTCGAAACTCAGTCCAACTTTTTCCACAAAATTGTTCAGAATGAAATCTGTGTTAAGAGCCCTGTGAGGGACGGTGTATAAGGCTTCAGAATCTAAGATTAGTTGGCAACTAGATCTCAATCAATGCGAGTTGCATACCACATCAGTGCAAGTATCCAAAACAGAGACTATCTACATTGCCAGCGACGACGCCGGAAAAGCCTTCCAGGCTCGTAGAGACAATTTTGAAGAGCGGAATACTTTCTATATTTTTCCATGCATAGTATAAATCTATAATATCTTCTGTGCTTCCAATGCAACAACCCCCCGCGTAGATACAGTCCCATGACCCTTAGTTTTCTGCCTCTAATTCGGCAGTCCATTCCCATTAACAGCAACCTCACCCACAGCTTCCGCCTTCCCATTCACAATAACACCATTAACATTTTCCTTCCTAGCCTTCCCGTCTCTAAGCTCTTCAGTCGTCTCCACCAATATCTCAAAAGCCCTCCGGATATATTTTTCTTCCGCCTTCTCATTCGCACTCACAACGCGAATCGCATATGTACCAGACACAACACCAGATGTTAGGTAAATCTCGCCCCGTTTATTGATAAGTTCATATACATCTTTCGTGATACTATTCTGCGCATCGATGCCCGCCGACTTGGGAATAACATTAAGGACTGTGAGAGCGAAGCTCGGCCCGGTAATTATCTGGAATAGATCTTCTCTCGTTTTAAGCAAACCAGCAAAAAATTCTCCCAATTTCACATGCTTGCGGATATGTTCTTGGAGTCCCTTTACTCCGTACGATCGTAAGACGAACCAGATTTTTAAACTTCTGAATCTTCTTCCGAGGGGTATTTGCCAGTCTCGATAGTCGGTCACGAGTCCACTCTCTGAAAATTCGTTGCGGAGATAACTAGGTGTTATTGACAGTGCATCGATCAAATCTTTGCGTTTTTTGACATAGAGACAAGAAGCGTCGAAATTTGTGAGGAGCCATTTGTGCATATTCATATTGAATGAATGGAAATGCTGGAAAGACGATGTTAGATGATGGTACTCGGGGCAAATTAAAGCTGCACCGGCGTATGCAGCATCAACATGAACCCAAACCTCACCAGGGACATCTGGAGGTGCGAATTTGGATAGTACCGAAGCGATGGATTCGAAGTCATCAACAGCGCAGGTGGAGGTTGTTCCCAATGCTGCAGTAAGAAAGAATGGCTCCAACCCTTGAGATCTGCATTCTCCCAATACCTTTTCCAGATCTTCGCCAGTCATTCCAAAATCATTGGAAGCGTGGACTGGAACGGATCGGAATCTAACACCAGCTATCTGCGTTGCTTTTTGGGTAGAGCTGTGTACCATTTCACTTCCCAATGCAACCAGCTTACTCCTCTTATGTGCAATAGCATCCTCAAGTTCAAGGCCGGATAAACCTGCCGTCGTTTCACGAAGATATTTGTCTCGGGCTGCTACCATTACGGTAACGATCGCTTCCGAAGCTGATCCTTGAATAACGCCACCGCCATAAGTCGAAGACATATAACATTCAGGTAGATTGAAGAGCTTGGCTAACCAATCCATTACAACTGTCTCCAATTCTGTCACAGCAGGAGAACAAATCCAGTTGAAAGCAGGGGCAGTGAAGGCTGCTGAGTATAGCTCGGCGAGCATTGCAGGATAGGTAGATGAGGCCGGGAAGAAAGCCATAAAATTTGGTGATTGCCTGAGTATGTCAGTATTCAGATAAGAATTCGAAGGCAAAGGCATGACTTACCAATGTGTCAAGCCAGGCATAATTTTGGACTCGATATCTTTCTGGATATCTGCCCATGATTCACCTTCTTGAGGTGGACCATCGGGAAGAATTTTCCTCAGATAACCAGGCTCAACATTGGAGACTACTCTCCGTTCATGGATATTATCATAGTATTGAATAACTAGGCAGGGGCCATTAGAATACGGTACTCAAACCTGAAGAACCACCATCACTCACTCTCATCAATGGCTGATGTGGCCGCCTCTTTAAACTGCTGCGAATCCATTATTTTTAATATGTGGGCAAAAAGTACGTAAAGAAGTGACTGGCAAAATGTGAAGTTTTATAGAAAACCAAAATTGCCTCAAATATCTTCTTTCGGAAACTATTCCACTATAATGAAAGATGGGCAACTCGTCACGATGTCTTTAAAAGGCGTGTACATCTGTTGTACTGCACATGTTTGACATGTACGAACAACATGTCCCGTCCCACTATTGAGCCGTCAATTAGCGGGCGGGATGAGCGGGGTGGGTGGAATTTGCTCCGTTTTGCTGGGTCAGCTTCTTTTTTCACTAAGCCGATAAGATAAGGAGGAGTAACAACTGTTGGGACAGTTGTCTTCTGAAAACGGTTCGGATAAATCTACCCACCGTGGAAGAGCTCTGTCTCCCAAAAAGGGACCTGAGTACAACAGGGTAAGATCTTACAAAAATCGGAAGTCGAACCTTATATCTAGTTCACTCAACCTTGTGTCCAAAAATCGTATACAACATCGATATGTGCCCACCATGCACACAATAGGACAAATGAGTGATGAGAAGAGTTTTCGGATATTTAGGTATTTGTCATGGTAGATGTAACGTGGAATTTTGAGGCAAAGGAACGGACAATGTGGTTGAAAAAGTTCTATGCTATTGCCCGCCACATTAACCTCGAACGGTTTTCCAAAAAAAAAAAAAAAAAAAAAAAAGAAAAAAAAAAAAAAGGAAGAAACAATTTAAAAAAAAGCACTCTTATCTACTCGTACATATCTAGTGGTATTCCAAACGGATCTGAATATAGAAATGATAACATTTCATGTCGATTTGATTGTCTATCCGTGAAATATTCTGTACAATAGCAGCCGCAAGAAAGTTTCCTATCGAATATCAGTATGAAGAGCTTCATCACATCTATTCAATGCATCACATCCAAGTTACCATAAAACCTCTAAAAACCGCCCTTCTCTGTCGTTAGCCCTCTTCTTTTTTTATTGGACAATGCCTACAATCACATAAAGAAAGAATCCAGCTGCAAGGTTAGCCGGACCACTTTCCAAGTATCATACTCCTAACTTCGAATCTATTCGAGGAAGGGGGTACGAAGCAAACATATCCTCCCTCACTGCGCAAATGAAATGCATCAGACCTCTCAAAATCAATTGGTCAAATTACTAAAACATCAATACTCTCCTGTCCTGTCGCTGCTGGTGCAATCGTTTCTGTACACAATAATCTTGACATCTGGCGATGTAAGACTTACATATTTTGCAGATTTTCCAAATGATGCATTTACAAGAGAAGAGGATGTTGGATTGGAGGTTCCCTATGGGGCTGAGATTTATCCTTGGTTTACTAACGCGCAAGAAGACCTGTGATTTTTAAAGAGATAATTGATGAGATTCCTATTGAGTGTTAAGATTATATGGAGGAAGCCAGAGGGACTTTTACCGAGGATCCTCAAAAGGGCTTGAGAATGTGGATGGCCAGTCTGGCGCTTGAGAAAAATACTTTGACTTGTCTAGAGTATGGTTTATGACAGGGATTAGTCTTTAATCTTTGGCCGTTTGTGATTTTTATATATTTTTACTTAACCTGGTTGACTTATCCGACTTTTTCTCTATTGTGCAAAGGTGTTAATTTTGCGCAGTATCCTTTATTTGTAGAATTTTGAGAAAGAACTGCTTCAAATTATTTCACTACTAGTGCCAAAATCATCTCATTTAATGTCGCGGTGATGTGTAGCTCCGGTTGAAAGGTTTGTAATGGTACGAGATATATTTTCCAAACCTTACTTGAACGTCGCATCCGGAGGCGGCATGCAGTCCCATTAAGATCGAGCATTGGGATCTTTACACATCTGATTATTCCATTAAATTTAAATATTCATGTTTCACGTCTGTGAGAAAAGCATCATCTTGGTCGGCTGAAAGAATTATATTCTATATTTTCTAGATTTTCCCAAATGGAATACTGTAAACTATAATATAATTATGTCCTAGTGCGGCATCTATAGCCAAAAGTTATGCAATTTTATCCATTTATCCTCTTCAAATACCAACAGACAAATATCCAAAGACAAAAGGAATCCTCGAGTCTTGCACCTCATTAGCTCTACCTGGAGCTGGAGAGCTTATCCGCCAGGACTATCTCCCCCAGTTGAAAAGGAAGTTTCAACAATAACAATTTCTTTGGCTTAGAAGAGTCTTCAGGCTCAATAAAATACTCCTCTTCCTCTTCAAGCCCGCCCTCCATCTCGTCAATCTCCTCCTCAGATGATTCTTCAGCCATTTGCTTCATCTCCGCCATGACACACTTAATGTTGTACGCTGATGAAGATTTTGGACGCTCCTCCTCACAACTCCGAATTGCTTGATCCCTCCCAAGTGACCCGGGACATTTGCAACAGAGTTCCAAGGTTGTGAAGGCAGACCTAATTATACATCCTTCTACAGTACAGCACCACCAACCTTCCTTCTTATCTATTGGATCTCTTTCTCCTTCTACCTGGCCGTCTGCAAAAACTTCACCAGGACTGCGCATTTCGGGACATATACGCTCGCCTATACTATGGGCACCCACGGGACAGTGTGCATATGTGCACTTCCACCATCCTTTGGGGAAATGTTTAAATGCGTCCTTGAATGGCAACATTTTTGGACTGGGGCATTTTGGGATGATGCTCCCGACTCTCTTGAGACTTATAGAACGTCTTCTTTTGCGGCTAGCCAGTTCGCTCTTTCTCTTTCCCTCGTCAGATTCGGGGTCGATGGGTTTAGGCATGGCATTCTGGTTGTTTACGTACGGATCATTGCTGCGGGGGATCTTGGACATGGTGAAGTATAATGTGGTTGGTGCGTGGGAGGGATTTACTGAATGGGGAGTTGCTGCGATTCGACTTTGATCCCGTGATGTAACCGTAGACTTTGGCCTCCTTTGGTTCTTGAAAGTGCTATCGATGAGAAGAAAGGTGGTAGCAAAGGGGAGTATCTGGAACTATTTAAGCAAATCTGGGAAGGTTAGCCGGGCATCAAATGACTGTAAATAAAGGTAGAATAGCTACAGAATGATTGGAAAATAATCATAAGTGACTGTAACATGATGTATAATGACCGCTCTGGCGATGCAATGGCTGCACATAACCGTGGAACAGAGGTAAAATGACTGGAATGAAGAGTTTTGACTGTTTGGGATATGCAATAACTGGTGGTTACGCATCTCAGCAGCAAATGAGCAAAATGATTGCGCGCAATGATTGTAAATTGATCGTGGCATAAAGGAAGAGTGGCTTCGGAATGACTAGAATGATTATTAAATGACTGAAAATGGTTTGTATATTGACTGTTCTGACCTTGAAAAGACTGGAATCACTACAAGACGGGCGTGTAACGAATGCCTGGAATGACTGTGATTTTGTTGCAAAATGAGTGTGAAGGTACCACAGAATGACTTTGCAAGGTCAGCTGAAATGAGAGATAGTATGAATGATAGATAGTATGAATGATAAGTGGTATGAATGACGAACAGCTGCAGAGGTTAAAACTTTCGAGTCATAATATTTTGAAATGCCTCGAACAAGTGAATATATTGTAATCTTACAAGGCTGGGTACGAGGTTGGTCATAGTCCTATGTTCAATTCTAGCTGGGGGAATTGAGGGACTTTCGTCTTAGATAGCGAAACGAGAACCCATTGTTCAAAATATAACTGTGCATTGCATTACATTGATCTTTTCAAAGCTGTGAGACTACTAGTCCGCTGTATTCAAGTCGAGAATGAATAGCGAAACATTCTGCTGTGAACTATTTAATCTGAGGTGGTTCATTGTTTGAAGTTCAGCTGGGAATCAAACTACTCCTGTCCAAGCTACTTTCGGTGAAATAACTTACATCTCAAGCTACAAAACTTTTCACCTCAAATTTGACAACGATACAGATATAATGCTTACATTCTAGACTTCCAAATTCGCTTCCCTCTTCTTTCAGCCTCCATACTCCTTGCTTCAAGATATGTTTTATACAGACCCTAATGTTAAAAAATTCCGAAAATGAACATGATTGTTCATATACGAGTCTAAAATAGAGTAGAAAATCTCCCGAAAATATAAATCTTCTCACATAATGCTCGAGTGATGGTCAGAAAATAGATCTCAATAATAAGTGCGAAACAGTAAAATATTCGATGCACAAATTTTAACAGTTAAGTTGAATCTGGATGAGTAAATGTAGTTCAAAGTGCATGAGTAGGTAATACGACTGGCAACGTTGGAGGCAGAATTTAATCGCTTTCGTGCTTTTACTTTCTTTTCTTCGAATATCTCTAATGTCTAAGTAAAGAGTGGATTACGTTGTTTCCAGCACAATTAAGTTCACTAGAACCGAGGAGTCCAAAAGGGGAAAAGTCAACTCTAGAGCCTGACTGCTATTACTTCAGTCTATAGGTCGCGAGAATGTTTATTGGGCGGAAGAGGAGCTAAACTGTTGGCAACGAGAGCTCCTACCTGTTTTCCTCCTCCGTGGACATCACAAGCATTCTATTTGGTATTGAATGCTCTCTAAATTTCATCCGTCACCCTCGCCTCGCGTCTCAATGAGAGTACATGAGAGAGAGAAAGGGAAGAATTATCCACCACCCCTTATATCTTGGGCCACTTGAAACCATGGAGCACTGAGAATTCGAATACAAGACTATTGCTCTAGTTTTGAGGGAGATGATTTTCTAGATATTCAAATACAGAAAACATAATGCAAATTTCTGTTGTTCAAAGATCGCCAGTAAAATAAGTAAAACAAATAACACATAAAGCTTGGTGTCTATCTAATTCTCCGCAAAACAACATGCCGTAGATGTACCACGTTAATGCACAAGTCCGGTACAATGGAGGCTATCCCATTGTCTAGGGGATCCAACTAGAACTATATGCTTGCACGATCCTGAAACCTAAATTTGGTCCAAACAATAAGATTCTATACTAGGTATTGGAAGATTGTAGTCGACCCGAACAAAGCTAAAGCCAGCATTCCTGATTACTTGATCGGGAACGCGGGGTATGCACATCCGAGCTACCCCTCATTATTACAAACCCACCTTCAGCTCACTTGCAGCTTCCATTGAGCTCAATTCTATAAAGTTGCCATCACATTAACCATCAAACACTTGTAGTAAATATCGTCACACGCAGAAAACAACAATGCCATCAGGAAAAGCAATCGCAACAGTTAACGGCCATACTATTGCCGAGACAGATAATTGGGAGGTCGTGGAGGGAAATGTTTATGTATGTGGCCATTTTTCAAAGATCTGCTGTTATACTAATAGTACAGTTTCCACCATCGTGAGTTACCTAGTATACATTTCAATTTGTATGTTGGATTCTGATGGTTTAGCTCCCTGAACCAAGCTTTGCTCTCCAAGACAGACCATAGTACACATTGTCCTTGGAAAGGTGATGCGTCTTACTACACCATTACATTTGACAGTGAGTCTCTGGATCTACTTACATGCAGGAAAGTGGTTGATTTGGCGTAGAAACCGAGTTGAAAAATGCAGCATGGTACTATCCGACCCCGTTCGAGAAGGCTCAAAATATCAAGGATTATGTTGCTTTCTGTAAGTCATTTGGTTAAAATCAGAAGAAACTAGTAAGATTAACGACCCTATAGATAAAAATCTGGTTGACGTGAAGGCGGAGGAGAAGTGAGGGATGATGGCTTGACAATGGATTACTCAGAAACTCAATTGAGGTTTGGAGAATAATTGAGGAACTTCTTCCTGGAGTGCCGAGCAATGGATGGAATAAATAGCAGAATGTGATACTTCGTGTTTGAATCTTCCTTTGGGCCTCAATTATCTGTTGTAAAGCCTGCATATTTTCGTGAGAGGTTTCTTTTCAAGTTAAAAAAGCGTCGAGAGATCGTGTTGTTTCCCAGCCTCATCCACAGAAAATTATTCTTCAAGGTGACGCCCAATGTTCTAATAGATTGGCTAGCAGGCCATTCAGCATATTTCAGACCATCAATGGCATTCTCGTACTTTGCTAGAAAGCGTATTATTTGCTCTGCTCCAATCCCACAACATAATGCGAAGCAGCACGGAGGTCGTGTCTGTGGAATTTCTCCTATATTCTCCACCGGAAGCTGCGCTGTTAACCTTCGTACCAAACAAGTTAGTTGCACAGGCTTCTTGCTCTGTAAATCTGCAACCTAAAGCTCAATCGAAATGGGTGATCCTAACGAGCCCCGCCATAGACCGTTACCAACTTCTGAACTGAACGATCTCGCCTTCCTGAACACACTGCAACTGTGTAGCTTAGACGCTCTTGCTTGAGCCTTCGGGCGGGAAATATAACAAGCTCGTAGCACTTTGCTGTTCTGGGAATATGATGGTATTTGAAGAATATGTTCGTTTTTCAATGCTTGGGCAAGCAAGTATTGACCGTGAATGGAAATCTTGTTGATCCTCTGGAGAATCGAATTGATATCTGACGGCAACGGCTTATGTATATTCCCAGGCCGAAAACAGCATAGATTTTTGGTCACATTTCAATGAATGGTTGCATATTGGCCATTGGGTCCATAGTTGATCCAAGAATATTCAATACATGTTTCTTATGTTTTGTCAAAAAAAAGTTGCTGGAGTTCCCAGCGGCAACAAAGCGGAGAAGTGCCGGTATTGGCTTTCGGGCCCTGAAAGCTCAAAGAAAACACGCTAAACACGCCAAAATTAAGCCGCGATCACTAAACGCGTCACCCCGCATCTCTACATTTATCAAAATCAATCAATCTCCACACGACACAGAAGTATCAAGTTTTACCAGAGAATCAACCATGGAAGACGCTCTGGAGGGATATGATGATACTAACCGTGCATTCCTTCAAGCATTATTGGCACGAGGTAGTTTGGATCTGGATGAGGGCAAAGAACTGCTCGCTCACATTTTCACAGTCAAAGATGGTAATTCATTCCGTTGGAACAATCTTGTCTTTCTGGAATACTAACATTTATTTCCAAAAAGAACGAGTTACGTCCAAAGATGATGTTACATTGGATGATTTGAAATCCTACATAGCTAGCGCAGCTCAAGCTCTCTCGCCGTTCGATTACGAGATTAGAAGCATGAGACATCAACTCTCAAACAAACAAACCTGGGCTCTCGTCAACAGTGCCAGCGATCCTCTCACCCAGCTTGCGACAACTTTTACAACCGAAGAAATGTTCTATATCAAGCGGCTGCTGGATGCTATGTTTGAAACATTCAATACTAAAGGAAAGGAGCTCATGGCCATTACCAGTACGCAGGCTATCCATTCATCAATCATCGGAGGATCCGGTCGGCAGAGCATAGGCGACGAGGATATGCAGGTTGTAGATAACGGTGTCAAGAGATCAGATGGAGAGAGGATACTGTCAGAATTGATAGCGCAAGGGTGGTTCGAACGAAGCGAACGAGGATACTATTCTTTGACACCTCGCGCAATACTGGAGCTTCGAAGCTGGCTTATCGATACATACAACGATTCAGACGATCCCGATGAGTGGCAACCGATCAAAAATTGCGAAGCATGCAAAGGGATCGTCACAGTTGGATTAAGATGTTCGAAAAGAGATTGCATTGTGCGACTACATAAGATATGTCAATCTGCTTATTTTAATTCGCGACCCAATAAGAATTGTCCGAGGTGCGAGACGGAGTGGGATGGAAAGAACTATGTTGGAGAAAAGGTGGTTACATCGACAGAAGATAATTTGAGGGAAAAGCGAAGAAGCAGTGCTTCTTCACGAGGAAGAGGAGCCCCTGTCGAGGAAGAGGAAGCAGAGGAAGAAGAACAGGACGAGGACGAGAATGAGCAAGAATGAATCTAAAAATGGTACACATGGCGTTCAAGGCGATTATAGTGATTACGATATCCCATGCGGTTAAAAGGGTTCGGAATGCTGAAGGTACACTAGGAAGGATCTCTTAGACGATAAGTCAAACTTCAAAAGTACTACCTGCATCACTTATTAATCAATATACTGGTGCAACCATGCTCAGCTGAATCGGGGTCCTTTGCCGATTTTGCGCAGTCTAAGTGTCAGCCTTGTTTTCAAACCGGAAAAACATCTGTCATTTCTATGGAATATTTTTTTGTATTCTCAATGACAATTATTGTGTTTCTTTGCTTTCCTTAACACTGCGAGGAGATGAAGCAATACTCTTACGACCCTCTTGATCCATCCGTAGACGGGATTCGAGTAAGTGGCTGGGCCCATGTTATTAAGGCTATGGTTGCTGACAAGGAGTTTCCAGCTCCTACACCTATCACCAGGGCTGGGTGCCAAGCAACCTCATTGTTTTCTTAAGCATGTAACCTTTGGGGAACGTCCAAAGTACAATGCTATTTCCTATACATGGGGTCATGAGGCTCGTCAACAACCCATTGTTATCAATGACCAATACTTCCATGTCACGAACAATCTTTACGATGCACTACTCTGCTTACAGCAGCAAAGTACTGAAGAGCAAGTTCTTTGGGTGGATGCTATATGCATAAATCAAGAAGATATTGCGGAGCGGAATCGTCAATTGACAATCATGCCTTACATCTATGAGCGTGCAAAGCTTGTGATAATTTGGTTGAGAGATGACCAGCATATAGTCCCTCCCGTTTGGCCAGAGCCGAGAAAGATACCACCGTTTGAGATCTCAGGACATACTCAACAATACGAGGATCAACGACTACTATTCAACTATTTGATGATGATATGTTCAAATGAGTACTGGAATAGACTTTGGATTATTCAGGAGATTGGGAAAGCTAGAAAACTGCTTATTTCCTTTGGACAAAAACTCATAGACTGGAACCGGTTTATGAAAACCATCATCCTTTCATGGCCATATCCTGGGCGGATCGTGGAGGAGATCGTGGAGGAGATCATGGAAGACACAGCGGGCTGGTTTAAACCAAGGCATCGAAGAACCGCATTTTCGGATACGGTTCCCTGGAAACTATATCATCAATTATTGAAGAAATATGATGGCGGTCATAAACTACACAATCTTATGGTCAATCATCGTCATGCTTTGTGTAAAGAACCAAGAGATAAGGTATATGGATTAATTGGTCTGGCTACGGATTGCTATGCTGGATTTCCTATGGATTACCGAAAAACACTATACGAAGTTTGGAAGGATACAGTACTATTCAAAAATTCTGATACTCAAGTTCATCAGGGTGATATCTTGAAGTTTGGTAAGCTGGTTCGGGACTCTCTTGGTGGCCAAGGTATTACGACGATAAAGGAAGTTTCCCAAGACGCTTTTTTGAAGATGCCTCAGAAGGAGAATCGCGATCGATATCTCAAAGACAATAATCCTACGGTGTTAAAAATTCCTGCTCGTCTAGTGGGTCAGATCGTACATCTGGGTCCTTCACATGCACAAATAATGACCGACCTTTCAAAAACTGCAGATTGGAGGTTGAGTATACAGCACAATCTCCCTAAAAAGGTCCAAGCTAGCGTTCAGGAAGAAAGTGACTTGTTTTTGGAATCACTAGAAGACTTAGACGAAATCGACCTCAAAATCGTGTCCAAATGTGACTTTGATGTTTCATGGCATCCAGAAATTATGCCCCAAGGTCTTTCCGACTCGGATGTAATATCCAAGAAATCGGATCCTGAGAATGAGCCTCCTTTGCCCGACTGTTTACCTCATTTATCATCAGATGGGCCGCAATCTCTTTCCACGTCTCCAGTCGAAGGAGCACGTTTATTTCTCTTGGACAATTCAATGAAGGAAAATTCAGACGATGAAGATAGCTTGGCTGAAGATAGCTTGGCTCCAGAATCATTGGATGCAACTGGAAACATGGGCCTTGGACCGGCAGTAGCTCGTGTAGGTGATTACGTGTGTGAAATCACCGGGATCAAGACGGCTGCGATTATAAGGAAGAGCAAGAATAAATTAAGCTTCATCGGAACTGCTGGATTGGCGAGGCAGGCAGAATATGCTCGGAAAAGGATAAAGTCCACGCCCTACAAAACCTTTTCTCCATTTAGCCTGCCAAAATTCGAGGACTGGCCGCTAGATAATATGGTGGATTTGTACTTTTACGTATCTTTAGCATATCAGCTCTTAGATTAGCTCGTCTTCGTTCGTTGGATTGCATCCTGTCCAGGGATTATCCACGCCAGAATAGAAGGTTATATAGTGACGTAGGGAGGGAGGGGTGGACCCCCTAATTACGAGATGAGTACCAGGGGAATGCAGAGAGGTCTTCTTGAAGTGGCTCTAGATTTGAGTCGAGTGCATTTATTTCACCGCAAATCACTCACTGCTTCGCCCACTTGCGAATGCTTTAAGATCAGCCTCTATCTATCTATACTTGGCCCCTTTTCATGGTAATCCAAAATTTTGTGATAGAATTTATATGAAGTAGGCTTGCTACATCAAGTGTTAGTTAGCACAAGTCCTCAAAACCAAAAAAAGTTTTACAAAAAGTCAAGATGAAACTCCCTCGCGTGGGGTCGAACCACGAACCTCTCGATTTATCTGTATGCTATAAATTAACAGTCGAACGCGCTAGCCAATTGCGCCACGAGGGATACATTAACCGATATTTTTGGGCTATCGCTAATTACGTGTATGCTACGATTTATTACTACGATAAAATTGGAAATGTATGAATTCTCTGTTTGGAAAAAGCTTCATAATGTAAGATCTTAGGATTATTTTTAATCTAAAATGAACAGGGGCATTCTGAATGAGACGCCTTGAAATTTATTCTAAGGAAATCCGACCCGCAAACTTTTAATCTTATACACACTTGTAATAACAGAAGCCTATTAACAAATTTGCACTCATCCCCTTTCTTCACATAAACAGAAGTCTGTCTATATTCTCTCAATTCAAGATTGCTTATTCGGCAACCTGGACTTGGACTTTAACTCCCCTCAAGAATGGAATTGTTGTGTAACCTCGACGAGGATTTTGTTTCCGAAGGGCCATGCCCTGCCTTTTCGTCTCGGAGGTTCTGTTAACTTTTTATCCTCTTCAACTAGATTCTCAGAAGAATTTTAGCTTGCCGTTGATTTTGTCTTTTGACCATATATAGTTGAGAGAGCATTTACTCAGCGATCAAGTCCGTAACTTTGTCAATACGACCAGTTTTATGACACGGGTCCGCTTCTCTCTCCTTACTGTTGATTGAGTAAGTTATTTTGAAATTCTTGCTGCTGATCTTATAACCTTCTCTATCGGCGGCATCGCTTTTGTAGTGATCCTTCAAGTTTAAACGCAGGAACGCCCCTCTAGATAATCATTCTTGATATCGTAAGCTTAAGTCTATATCCAAATAAATGGAATACTTTTCATGGTGCTGTAAGTGTAGGAAACGAACTTTAGTACCAAAGAAATGAGCATGGGGATGACAGGCTTGAATTCCAGAAGAATAAACAGAGAAGATTGAGTTTGAGAAAGGGATAGTTGAGTATAGGACAAACGACCTTGAGGATCAGGTGAAGATGTGAATGCGAAATGAATTGAATCGAGCTCTGCTCTTTGCTGAAAAAACCAGACTTACCGCTCCTTTCGGAGTGATAAAAACAAAATATTGCGAATACGAAGAAAAGACTGAAGGACGGGAGAAACATGGCGTTGATTGAAGCCAGAAATTTCTCCTTGGATTTGAACATGAGGACCTCCGTAACAATCATCTAAAACCTGGAATATTCTGATGCTTTTCCAGGAAGGCCTTTTTCTTAGCTTAGGGCTAGCTTAATTTACATCAGTATGCAAAACTCAATACCTAGTTCGAATAAAACTTATATTTCTTAAAACCATTACTTAAATCATTACTTAAACCCAGGAAATGGATATATAATTGAATCAATACAGATTTTTAATATTAGTATTCCTTATATTTTGAATACAATAAGTATAAATAAATAAATAAATAAATAAATAAATAAATAAATAAATAAATAAATAAATAAATAAATAAATAAATAAATAAATAAATAAATAAATAAATAAATAAATAAATAAATAAATAAATAAATAAATAAATAAATAAATAAATAAATAAATATCTATTAATTATTAATTAATTCCTTTATTGCACGCCATAAGTAGCTAGAGACAAGAATCATGACTCATTTTCGAATCATTGGTATTATAACTACCTAGGTATATAATATTGTAAATACAATTTGAGAATGAGAGCAACAATTGTAACGAGGAACCGGAAAATAAGTACGATTAGTAGATTATAATGAAATATATAAACTCGGCTAATTCATCACTAAAACTCTAGTCCCAATAGCTAATCTCTCCGCACCGCCTGAAAGATAAGTAAGGTAAGGAATGTATCTTCATGATAAAAGCTATAACCATGCCCGGCCCCTGAAAATTCTTTGTTATCTCGAGCTCTGGTTTAAGCGAACAACTTGCCCATTCTATAGCTTGTCATACCAAGATCTAGGTGAACGTCGTATTTTTCAGGCCATCATCGTCGTTTCATGAGTTAAGATTCGTTGAATTCGGATGGGCTGTGATTCTTTCCGTAGTGCTGATATCTGTCAGAGCGACTAATTCTAAGACTACGCTGTTACTCAGTCCGACCACGCTCAATTATGGGACCTGGTATAGACCTGAATAAGCGTATAAGTAGAATTCAAGTACGTGACAGTTGTTGATGCAGCCATGTCGCCAGGAAGAAAGGGTTCAGTGATCGGGCTAGAAGACACAGAGGGAGGTTGAACACTCGCTGCTATGCTGGATGTTAGCGCTGGGGCTGGACTGCTAGTGGCTGGTGATGTACGGGTGGTGGGTGTGGTTATAATAGTGCTTGATTCTGAAGTGAATTTCGATTTCGATATTCTGGATGTACTGATTAGCGATGTAATGTCGTTACTGAAGGTCTGATCGATTGATGACGATGGTGTTGCGAGAACAGCGGCTGTAGGAACTGCACTTGTAGAAATATCTAAGGCTGTACTGGTTATCTCAATCGTTGATGTGGGAAAGCTGCGGCTAGGTCGACTATTTTGTGTTGTATGGACTTGAATTGTTGTGCTAGAATCTGTTGTAAAGATTGCAGATTCAGATGAGATAAGGGATGTTGTTCTAGATTTTATCGTATAGGCTGAGACTAAAGTTGTTGCACTAGAGTCTACCGTGTAGGTTGGAGTCAGGGCTGGTATGCCAGGATTGATTGTCGACGTCGTAGGTATAGACGGTATTTGAGTACTAGAATCTATTGTAAGAATTGTAGATTCATATGAGATCTGATTTGTCGTACTAGTAATTTTTGTAGGAATTGTTGATTCAGCTGAGATTCGAGTTGTTGAGTTAGGGTATATCGGATAGATCGAGACGAGAGTAGTTGTATCAGAGTTCATTGGAGAAACTGCAGATTCAAAGGTTATCTGAGAAGTAGTATTTGTAGCGGAGGTTGGAGGCTCAGGTGGGATCTGAGTTGTTGTAGTGAAGCCTGTTGTAGAAATCGCAGATTTAGATAAAGAAATTTCAGATCCGTCTGGAAGATATGTTACGGTGGTCGTACTAGTACTAGGTGATAACGACGCGCTTCTAGTTATCCATTGGATCGTAGTGCTGAGAGCCCTATTATTTGAGTCAAATTGCAAGATTTGAGCCTGACATGAAGACGGTAAAGCTGTGATATTTGTTTCCGTTGTGCTGATGGGCGTTGATAGCTCGTTGGGGGTGACTAGCAGAGTAGAAGAGACAGGTATAAGGTCATTCTGAGGTGTAATAGTTGGGGATGGAAATATTTCGGTGGTACTTGTTGTGAGGCTAAGAATAGATATAACAGAAGTTTGTGTAAAGGAGTGGTTCATGGGCTCTACGACTTGAGAAAGTACGAAAGGTACAGAGTCACAAAGAAGAATTAACAAAGCAGAGAATGTGATACACATATTTCAATCTGTGAATGACTAACTGGCTGAAGCAAAGAAGCTTGTGTGTGATGACTGTGAAGATTTTAACTGACTTTACCATGAGAATCGTTTTCATTGTCATAAATTTTTTCGGCTGTTGGGCGTGACAAACCTATGACTCGACGTTGACAGGCGGGGGTGTCTAGCAGTGAATTTGAAAAGTCATGCTATAACTTCAAGATTGTGACTCCAATTCAGCTAGACGTCGAGCTATTCCAATAATTATTCTCCGTCCATTGCTCCAATCCAACCCTAAAAAAGTTTCACTTTCCGAGTTGACGACTTCATAAAAGCACCTTTCAACCTAAAGTCAAGTTGCACTCGCTCCCAATACTTGTCGACTGCTCGAGGTTCCTATTAGCTACACTTGCCGCTCAAAATCTCTGCAAGCTCTCTTAAATATTCCAAGCCAACTGTAGCAATAAGAGGGGCATGATAACCGAAGTATCTACCCCAAAACCGACTCGAAAAAATCTGGCCCATCATGGACGGCAGTACTTTGACACGAAGTCTTCTACACTTTATGCAGTGGAAAAAGCGGCATTATTGAGGATCCTTGCTAAATGAAATAAACTACTAAGCTCACGTATAAAGGCTTCTAACTCCAGATCTTTTAAGACATTGTCCAAGATACTCAGTTGGTTTCGAAAATGGCCGGAATAGTCAGCTTTCATTGTAAGTTATCAGGTTGTGCCAAGCACCTAACGAAACTAAACGAGCGATGTTGGATGATCTGGACCCAAAGCATCAGTCCAACTTGGACAATAACGGCGCATTGTTCGAGAATCATAAGGGGATGAGTGTTATGTAATGGAAGTGGTGTTTGGGAAGTTAGGATATGTCGCTGGACTTTGAAGTCGAGTAGAATAACTTTGCTCACTGCCTGTGCATCCAAGGAATAAGTTCAAGTGAGGTTTCATGTATACAGATCGGTAATAGGGGTTTTCCAATATGGGATAGATTTACCTGCAATTTAATGCACATTGCATTCATTAGTCATGAAATAGGAGAAATTAAGAACTGCTGTGATAGTACATAATATGTTAATCAAGAAAAAGGTCTGGGCCCCAAAGATTGATAGCAGAATATTTGATTGATTTTCAACCACAAATAATAAATATGATATTGGCCGCAAAGTGTATGGACGGGTTTTGGACAGCAACCGCAACATAGAGTTCGTGAGCTTACATTTTCATTCCACCAACCAAATCAAGCGAATAATTGTTCTCTTCAAAGAATAAAGGATTGTTCTTCGCAGTTGTCTTGCTCATGAGAATCTGTCGACGCTAAGGCCGTTTTCTGTCCAAGACACAGAAAAACACGATATTGGTGATGCTGTGAGACAACAGAAATTCATCAGAAGACAATGCACGCGGGCTGTACTTGTCAATCTCCACATCTTTTTGTCGGTCAATATTTTATTTATTTATTCCCAGTCGATCCCGGGCATTAAATTATTGGAGGCGTTGAGAATACGACCTCAAGCTGTACGTATCAGCTTACGCAGCCCCCCTTGTGTACCGAAATAGATCAGGGTCGTAAGCTCAGGCTACTCCAGGGGCCGCGAAACCCCATAGAGGCTGGTGACAAGCTCCACTAAATGACGACTTACAGGGTTAAGATCCATCCAGGCCCATAAATATCCCCAAATAAAAAGAAAGTGTCCCGTAATCTCTTACGACCCCGTAATTTTATACGGCAAATGACTAACTCCCCTCATGTGGTATGGAGGTATGGAGTAGATGAGGAGATTCTCTGCTGTCCTCCTCTCCCCAATCACATTCGATTTTCAACCGTTTGTCCAACAATAATCGAGTGAATATTCTAGCCACTACTATGGGCTGTTACTATTACTAGGCTGGGGTCATTTGTTGGTGTCGTTTGCTGCAGGATTCGTATATGTAACACGAGATGTGGCTAGGATTTTAAAATTGCGGCTGTGTGTTGGTTACATTTGACAAAGTGATATTTATAAGTCCATCACCACCAGTCATTTTCACCTCCTTCCTTTCTCTTCAAACACACCAACACGTTCACTTCTGCTTTTTGATTTTCTACCAAAAACAAATCTCAAATTTCATAATGCGTTCCTCCACTGTCGCTTTCGCCGTCACTTTGGCCTTGGCCAACTCCGCATCAGTTCTAGCTACTAGTGACTCCTCAACAGCAACCACCTTTGCTTCTCCTACCATTTCCCAAACTGGAGAGCCCCAAGAGATCAGTAGCTCGGTCACAGCCAGTCTGCTTCCTACCACATCATTATCTGCTCTTGTTCCAATAACAACAGCTATCTCCATTCCACCAAGCAGTGCTGCGTCATCGCCCGCATCCTCATTCACCTCCTTCTCCATAAGCTACGTCTCCTCCGGATCAGCATACTCTTCCGGTTCCGCGCCCAGTTCTATTGTATCCGGCAAGCCAGGTGTTTACAGCAACTCCACAATTGTATCTACCGCCACTGCATCCGGTACTGGCGCCGGCACATCTACGGCTACTGCCACCACGGAAATTTCTGGAGCTACTACCACGGCTAGCAGAAGTGGGACTTCTTCAAGTGCGAGCGCGAGCGCCTCATCATCTAGCTCTGCTGCTGATGCGTTATCATTGAATGGGGCATCTTGGAGTATGGGAAGTCTTATGCTTGGTGGAATGGCTGTTGTCTTTGGCTTCTTCTAATTACCTTGGGAAGTCTGTTTGGTTTTACGATTGAATAATGGTATAATGGGATTTGGGATTCAACTTCAGAGTCTGTGGATCATGATATGGATATGAATATGGGAATGGGAGTTAATGAGAGAGGTATTCGAGTTGGCATTTTGCAAACATCAGTTTTGAATTTAATCTTCTGATCCTATTTCGGGATGTTCTAGGCATGCAGTTTTTGGAACTTTTAGATACCAGGTTCTGCATCAATATTAAGGGGGCGTTGATCTGGCTTTATCTTCTTTCATTTTGATGACTTGAATATCTAAGTGAGATGTGATTTTTGCCTGTGGTTCTTGCAATCGTTGTTTGTCACGGTATGTCTTATATGAATCTCGACTGAATTTTTTTCGCTCCACCATCGTGATATCTAGGTATCCACGACTTCAAACCATGCATCTCTCTTTCTGCAATCAATTCTGCTTATCCTGATGTGAATTTCAAAAGCTTCTTAACATCTTGCGCTTCTTCAAAGTCTATTCTTATGAATTTGACAATATGTTAGGACTCTAGTAGAGTATCGATAGATTCAGGGAGAGTAAATACTTCAAAATGATACTTTTAGCCCCTCCAGTCCTCGATCACGCTGCTAGTGCGGAGTCTGCGCTGTATGATTACAAGAATTTTCTTGGGGTAAAATACTGATTATCCAAATGGTCTCAAAATCACAGTACATATCATAAAAATATGAGCATCATCCCATTATAGCTCTCGGGTATTTCTATAGAGATATGTTTGTTTCCTATACTACCTAGGTATATATTTATCTGTTTCTGCATAGCTCAGGGCATTGATATCCTCACAACAAGATTCATACAAGTTATCTCAAACACAAGCGTGAGACCAATAATAGTAAAGATCAGATTTCTCAAGTTGATTTATATTTACTACCACCGAAATTTTCTCTCAACTCACAGAGCTAGTACCAGTACAATGGTCCAATGGCCTCACGAATAAAATCAAAGATTAGCTATAGAACCTGCATTCCAATCTACTACACATAATATCCACAGGATGAGAAACATCCATTATACCCCGGAATATGACAATACATTCAAAATATACCTCGTATTTCCCCCAAATCCAGTAATCTTTATTCTCTTCAATAGTACATCTAATCTTGAACTTTAATTAGCTCGAAGAGTTCTTCATTAATCACCGCAACTGCTTCTTTTTTCCAGCTATATATCTCCTTTGTTAGATGAATTCCGCAATTACTTCCACAAAAGATATATAGCACCTCGTCATCTACTCTGTAAGAAGAATCACCAATCATCAAGGGAGAGCAAATAATCGGAGTAATTAAATGTCCACCAACTAAGGCTAGCGTTCTCTAGTAAAATCTTACTAATACCAAAGTACCCATGGACAGATATAAGTAAATATCTATGAGGTTCATTCCAACCTTCCAAGTAGATTTCAAGGACCTATAAAATCTGGAGAGGAAGGGAGAGAGGTTTATCTTCCTATTTAGGGACTTTAATCTTATGTCTCGTACAAATTGGCGGTCTACGGATTGACTTACATATTTGAAGCGCTTGTACATCTCTCTAAATCTCTTCAAATGTAACCCGGAGACAGTCACGCATATGCATGCAGGGAGGGTTCAATCTCGCGCATAATCTGTTTTATTACCTCAGAGGGTATTGTGTCGATGTTTGTTTGGGTCAGATCTCTGATGATAGAAAGATCTAAGGGGATAAGCTGCTTTAATCCACGGAAGTGAAGTAGTGAAGTTTTAATGAACTCACTGACTTCTTGCTCAGAGACATTGAGCACAAAATCAGATTTCGTGAGAATGAGTCTGGAATTGTCGAAGCTGTCTTTCTTGATTTTCATGGGTAGAGCACGTGGAGGCTTTTATGTTGGGCGTTATTTTAGCTATTTTTGTTATGGTTTACAGTAGATAATCTTCTGATGTGATTAGTTGTGGAAGATAGGTTTTTCGAAATGGCTTTTCAGAATACTTGTATTTCATGGACATCAGGGCTAGGCAAAGGGTATGGTATATTACCTGGGGTAACCCAGAGTAAATCTGGTCGAGAAGTCATCCTGCTGAGGCTTTGTAAAATAAGATAACTATTCTACAAAGTAATCCAAATATTATAATATTTATAGATACATATCACATAAAGTAACATAATAATGAATATTATATTGATTTTATTATATGATTATAACATTATATAACATTTATAGAAAACATAATATAAAATCAAATTAGATTTATAAAATTATATATGATAATAACTTCAATTTTGGATGATAATATCAGATATTATATAAAATTTATATTACGATATTCTAGCATTTATCAATATATCCGGATAACCATCTTGTAAACTCTCTATAAAATTTGGTAACTACTCCATAAAGGCTAAATACCCCGAATAGGGTACGGGTGCCCAGCCCTGATGGATGTTGACCGGTGGTTACAAATAAACGAAACTACTGTTATGTTATTGCCGTACTGGAAAGGCTGAACAGACTCTGTTCAGCAGAGCTTTGCCGTATAACTAGAGTCTTGGATGTATTTGAGTCATACTCATCAATACCTCTTCAAACTGTAAATCATGATCGTATACCGTGCACTGGACACTACCGCGAATCTGCAAACCACCTGCTGTTTACCAATACGGTGATAACGTACAACTATCCAAACATCATACGGTCCGCTAAATTTCGTACGGGATAGTTAGCTCGATGAGACTAAGATGGTGGCCGTATACGTACCAGGTCCGTATCACAAATAGGACGATATATATATATATATCATCAAGTAGTGCTGTAAACTCATGAACATCTCACCAATTACACTAAATTTAAAAGACCAAACTGTCAAATCATGTCGTCTGAATTTTCGAAAGATCCCAAAACTCAGGAGAAGAGTAAAATCAACGGCGGTCATAAGATCCTTGACCTGGTAGCAATATCCAATCCCGAACTCATGGAGTCAAGTGTATCGATATCTTCGGACGAAAGTGATGGTAGAGAGGTTATCTTGTCCGAGGGAATTCTAGATCTTCAAAATTGTGGTAAGTCAGGTATGCTTAGCTCGAGGAGTAAACAATGTAACTAACTAATGTACAGATGAGACCATGAACCATCATACTACCATCACTGATCTTCCACACGACGTTCTCATGATCATATTCGATAATCTTACTCCATGTATGACTGCCTGTCTAGGTCTTACTTGTAGTAGATTCTACATTACCTGTAAGATCCATCGCCCAGAGCCTTTCAACCTATCATTGCACGATACCAAAAATCATCATTGTGTTACTCAAAAATACCGTCCGGAGACTATTTGCAATCCTCTCTCCTGTGTTTATTTCTCCTGTGACAACGGAAGCTTGGCGAGTTCGGAACCCGAGGAAGACGCAATGCTCATATTAGAAATATCACGTCATCAAGTTGGAAATATACCAGCCACTCCATATCCCAGACGCGATCATCTGGCCGATTTGATTGAAACCTGGCAGGGACTTCGACACTATTGAAAAACTTGGTTGGATGTTGGGAACAATGGAAAAAGCAAATATATTCTCAAGTACCTCCTGATGCCAGTATACAATCCTAGCAATGAGCACTGCGAATTGAAGTCGGCTCTTCAAGACAGATATTCGGATTTTTACCAGGAGAAGCCTCAACGTCCTGCTATTTTTGGGTTGATTTGGACAGAAGGCCCTTGGCCTACTTTACCAAATCCTCATCAAATGGCACCTCGTGATTGGTTCCTCAAAGCAAAGGAAATTATATTGGGTGATAGATGTCAACACTTGTCGAAGGATATATGGGCGGAAATTTGGGGTGGTTATGTAGTTGGAAAAAACTGTCTAGACTGGATGGAGGAGAGACCTCATGATACATTCTCTGATTGGTCAAAAGAATGTTTGTGGAGAAGGGGATAAAACTTTTCAGGCGGCTTGATTGAATGTGTGTGGAAATCCAAACCCTAAAGTACTGATTAAGGGTTTAGGTGACTTTATTCTAAAACGAATGCGCGAATGTCTTTTCCGATCTTTTGTCCTACATGATATAGTATTAATTTGAATCCACAAACATTAGTATTCTAGAGTTAGCCTAGATAATATCTAAAATCATACAAAATTAAAAACCATCTATAATTTCGCGAGATCAATATAACAGTGAAGTGACAGATGAAGATGAAAGACGAATGACACCTGCCCTTAACACTGGATCTTCCATCCATCTCAGACCAAGCAACTATTATGGCTACGCTGCAGCTCTCTCATTTTTTACAAAATTTTCTCAATTTTGATGCAACACCAAGACTAGATCAGAGCGCAGTGGAGCCTCAAACCTCTTCATCGAGAGCGATGATCAATCATCTAATTGTTGCCCTTTGCGCACAATTAGTTTATCTGATAAGCGTAACATCTGAGGCTGCTATTCCTGTGTACCTAAATCCACACACAAAGCAGAAGCAATACCTTTTCAATCAAGAACTTCGAAAGTTATGAAAGTATCTTTGAAAGCGCTGTGAGACTAACGCAAATCCGATGGAAAATAACTTGTTCCGTTCTTTTTAGAAGGCCATATTCAGCAGGATAGTTATTAGAAATGTTGACAGGACTTCCTGCCCTTTGTGATAACAGAGGCGCAATTTCATCGTTGGATATCAAGGTATGTAGTAAAAATTCCTTGCTCTTATTTCGCCACTAGTAAATCTATATGCTATTAGATGTACGAAGATGAATATACAGCTCAAACTTTTGATGCAGACATCATACTTATCATATACTTAATATCAGCGAGATTCAACGTGTATTCGGGGCCGCCACTGGTTCCTGGCTCATGTTGTTAGCAATCTGAATATAAGCTGTGGCAGCAGCAATAATTCGTTATTCGTCTCCAGAAGGCACTTGTATTGGGGAGAAACTCGAGAGTCTTTATTGAAATATCAGCCCCAAGGCTCTATAGCCAGCGGATCATAGTGTAAATAATGATTTAACCAGAACTCCAAAAACCCTGCCAAACTTTGAGTAAATGCAACCTGTGATGTTTTTCGAAAGCGATTTCTGGGACGGTCCCCAAGTTGACATTAGATTATTTGCGATTATATGAATAGTGCCTTGATTGTGAAGGGAGTACCACCGGTGTACAGAGGTGATGAATGAAATTGCTCAAGTTGTATAATTTGTGTTGTGAGGCTTGGTTTAAAAAGTCTTTGCAACATCCCCTCCCAAAATTAAGGAGGAATCTTCATCTTCTGGCTACTGGAGTATATTCAAATGATGGATTTACACTAACAATTTTATTGAGACGTCGGACAACAGCGCGGCTTCACCCCTGAGGTGGATGAAAGGTACCCGCCACAACCCCGCAAATACGGGCTCCACATCGTTAATCTGTAGGCTATCTGGGGAGGCACGGTTGTGGAGCTTGGTTGCTGTGGCGCGTGACTTTAGGACAATACCACATCAAATATTTACTGTCGAAAATGAAGTCCAAGATTATCACCATCAAACAAGATGACTGCTCGAATCATTGGCCATCCGCTTTTGGGTCAAACAACTGTGATTACGAAAAATCATGTAAGATCACATAATGCTACTTGTATACAGAAGCAAAAGCTCAACTGATATAGGTTGATGTTACTGTTGCATTATTTCCACATGAATGGGGTGGTGAAGAGACCCCTTGGGAGGTGGCATTATGGTATGGCTCGAAAGATATGACCTGGAAACAGCTTGACCTGATCCGAGTTCATAATGGTATTCCAATAGTAAGTACACAGCTAACCACTACATTTTGATGATGAATTGACAGAAAGACAAGTTTGCTGTTGACTCTCAAGGTCCAGTCCTATTCTTCTCAAATACATTGAAGCAGCAATCCATGGAGGAAGATTTGGTGTGCTATACCGTAAAGTATAAGAAAATGGGAGATTCGATATGGAAATGGGTGAATGATGACCCCAATCCTGTTGGTGATGCAGAAATTATCTTTCATAAATCATCATCCATTATACCACTGTCTTCCATGGAAGATTACATCTCCAACTTATCACAATCTGTTCATATCAACTTCCATGGACTGCAAGAAACATCCAAGTCACCCATATGGACTCTCGCTTGTCCAATCCCCCCTTCAATCGCTCTAGCCACTGAACCAAGCGTTGAACGGATCAACATTGGAATTCCAACGGATATAATCAGATACTTTGCTCTCGTCAAACGAATGAATTTCTGGTTAGTCCCTCGTCATGGGAGACATAAATTTGAAGTGGGCGAAGATAATTGCCAATTCTATTCTGGAAATGTCGAATCAAAATTAGAAGAAGCTATTCTTTTGTCATTTTTGAGAAGTGATGGGATGCATTTCGTGATGCTTGCATTGAGTATGGATGGAGTTGAAATGACCCTCACGTCTGGTAATGATGGAAGTATTGTTTTAATAGGGAAAAATGAGAACGAAGAGAAAAGAGAGGGAATTGTCATCTGTGCCGTGGGTAAAACTGTAGAAGATGGTATAGCGGCTACGATGGACCATGCGAAACGAATCATTCGAGAAAGCTTCAAACCAGGGTCAGTTATTGATCAAAACTTCAATCGAAATGAAGTGATTCAGGAGTCCGAGCACAGGAAAACCTTCCATGATGAGCTGGTCTATTGCACGTGGAACTCTCTAGGTCCTACCCTAACATCGACTACTCTAGTTTCTGCACTTGAAGATCTCAGTACATCCTCCATCTATCCATCTACGATCATAATAGACGACGGGTGGCAATCCATAAAGTCATTTGGCTCAGAAACCTTTCCCACTCAGCATCGTTGGTCAAGATTTGAAGCTTCGTCCACATCGTTTCCAGAAGGCCTCGCCAATCTTTCACTCCGAATCAGGAATTTGTATCCATGGATCAAAAATATCGGTATCTGGCACGGCATCTTTGGCTACTGGGGTGGTATCGACCCAGAAGATGAAATTGGTAGGAATTACAAGCTGAGATGGGTGGAGATAAACAATCATCATCGGAGTGGAATGTGGGTTGTTGATGCTTGTGACGTGAGGAGATTCTACGATGAATTTTATTCGTGAGTGTTATTTTCAGTCATCTTTTACAATTCACCATCCTGATCATATAGATTTCTCGTCAGTTGTGGCATAAATGCTGTGAAGTTGGATACTCAAGGATTATTGAACGATCTCAAAAATCCGAAAGATAGGAGAGAATTAATACCCGCATACCGAGATGCAGTCCACGCAAGTTTAGTTTCTCATTTCGAAGATAGAGTTATATCATGCATGTCGCAATACCCATCCAACATCTTCTCGCCTCAATTATTACTATCTTCACCAGGCCATATTTCACGAAAAGTAGCCATGCGTAATTCTGATGACTTTTGGCCCAATGATCCAACTGCTCATCCTTGGTAAGTTTTCTTTTAACTTGGCCTCACCTATCTCATCCTCTAATCCTCTAAATTCCGTCTGGCCACAGTCACCCCAGAGCAACCATTTAACGAAATCTAGGCACATCCACACCAACTCCCACACCTCACACCTAACCACCCACCTTGAAAACATCACCCCAGATTGGGATATGTTCCAAACTTCCTCCTCCGGTACCAATTCATCCTCATTCCCAGACTACTCATCCTACCACGCAGCTGCGCGTTCACTCTCAGGTGGTCTCGTATCCATAACCGATAGTCCAGGCCACCACAACACCACGCTCCTCTCTCGCCTCTCCTGTACCCCCTTCAAAAGTACTGCCTCCAATGTGCCATGTAACCCAATTATCCTCCGCGTCAATCCCGGAAAATCCACAGAAGTATACAGCGACAACAAATCCCATCGAATATTAAAAATACGTACCTCCACAATCGAAACCGGTGTCAGGATACTGGGGTTATTCAACCCACTTGCATCTGGGTCTATTACCGAAATTATTGGACTTGAAGAATTTTTCCCATTTTCTCAATCCCACTCCCACGAAGAAAACGAAGCAGATATAGAATACATAATCCACAGCTCCACCACCAAGAAACTATCTCGACCTATTTCCCTCCAAACCCTCGGAACTACCGCTAGTAAATTCATAATCACATTACCATCTTATGGATATGAAATCCTTACTGCGTGTCGAATTTATCGTATACCTGTTCCTCTTACTCTTCCTCTTCCTCGCAATCCCAATACAAATGACACTATCAACACCAACTCCATACTCAACAACCACGCCTCGGAAAATTCAATAAAAATAGCAATTCTAGGTATATTAAACAAATTCATAGCAGCTGCCGCTATCACAGATTCCTCAATTTCAATTTCAACATCACCCCTACTCGCTCGAGAAACTCCCGCGCAAGAACTTCCCAATCTATTCCCAAATTCGCAAGTACAGGTACAGGTACAGGTACAACCACAAAAAACCTCTGTAAAAATAAAAATAAATCTCAAGATGAAAGGAGCGGGTATACTAGGTCTTTATATATCCTCCCCCTCCAACACCCACTCCCTCTCGCACTCCCTCTCTTCTCCTCACCACACAAACCAAAACCAAAACCCAAACAGAAACCCAGCACAGCCCTCCCCCATCCCATCAACCCTCCAAATCGACGGGCTCGATTTCTCACGTTATATTTCTCATCATCATTATACTATAGGGAAAATATCGCATTCTTATTTCAATTTTCATTCTCAAAATCAAGATCAAGATCAAGATCAAAATCAAAATCAAAATGATGAATACATAATATCGATTGATTTACCTAGGATAGCGGAGTTAGGATGGAGGGATATGGGGGGAGATTTTGAATCTATGAGTGATGATGTGTTAGTAGAGGTCGGGGTGTATATTTGAATGGATGAATGGATGAATGAATTTAGCTAGCAACTAGGATTTCATGGGGTTTGGTTTGGTGTAGACGTGGAATAATTATAAAGAATGAATTTGGGAGGTATTAGTCACAATAACAATCAGAAGAAGTTATATCTGCGCAGTCTTTACATCTATACATGTTATCATGAGGCTCCATCTAGTCTATCATTGCAATATTATTATCTATTGAATAATAGACACAACTGAGAATAACTGAGAATATTGCCAAGCCAGTCACAATACCAGCGTAGTAATAAAGGAAGCATCCAACACCCTACGATCCAAAACATCAACGACAAGTCAATTCTGAATCTATAAACCTAAGCCCCCGAATTTTCAACCACCAGCCCCTACCACGTCTCCTGTATATAAAATTTCGACCTCTCCATATTCGCAACAAAATTCTCTGCCTCCTCAAAACTCATATCTCCATACTTCTGCAAGACGCCCAAGAAAGCTAATCTGACTGCCTTGGGCATACCCCCAGAGCTACCACATACATAAATGAGGGCATTATGTTTTGTCAAGAGATCTGCAATCTGTTGTCCTTGTTTCCTAATCTCATCCTGTACGTAGACCTTTTGCGGGCCATCTCTTGAGAAGACTGGATGTGCGTCTACTCCCAAGGAAGAATCAGCCCAGTTAGCACCGTAAAAGTAATCTGCATCGCGATTGCGGCCACCATATATGAGAAGGGTCTTGCCGAATACTGGTCTCCCAGCCGGGGAGGATAACATTTTCTTGGAGCGTTCCCAGATCAATGATCGAAGAGGAGCAATTCCGGTCCCTGCACCAACCAAGATGAGAGGACGTTCTGGCAGGACCCCGGGTGCTTTGTAGAAAGATGAGTTACTGTTGTAACTGATAGTGATAACTGATTTTTCAGGAAGGGTGGCTAAATAGCGGGAACAAAGGCCGTTGCGGACTTTTTGGAGAACGGTGCGGTATTTGACAATGGCGACGAGGATTTGGAAGTGATATTCTTTCATAGGTTTATCGAGAGCTTCGACATCTTTGGATCTTTTAGAACCTCTTACGTTTTTAGCATTTTTTTTTAAGTCTTCAGGGGCGATGTGCATGATACCACCTGAGCTAATGCTGAATTCGCGAGCTCGAATTATGGGGAAAATGGTGGTGGCATCTTTCCATGGAAGCTTGACACTTGGGAAGTCTTGAAGACATTCAAGAATACTGCGACGAGGGCGAGTAGTATAGTCGTAGAGTTCGTCAGTGTAGAGAGGATCCCGAAACTCGAGGAGACGTGCTTTGTGCGTCGGGTCGTCTGTATAATTTGCCATAATTTCGAAAAAATGACGCTTGGGAATAGCTTGAAAGTCAAGATTATGAATCAATAGTTCTCGTAGTGTTTGGTCTTCATCCACTAGATGCAGATCCTTCTGTGATGATACCAAGTTTTTGGCGCCGAACCAATCTGGTGATCTTGGCTTGAAGTGTAACTTCACATCTGCAACCTCATTCCATCCCATCAAGTCAATGAGAGTCTGGACATCCTCAGGAAAGTTTTTAGGATAAATTGACATGGTATCTCCAGGCCATGGTGAGAATTCTCGGCTTCGTACTGCTATGGTGATTTCGCGAACATCCTGCCAGTGACTTAGAGGAGTGATACGCTTGTTCTTATGGATAATGGCATGAACTCCGTTGTGGACATCTGTGAAGTTTCCGCTTTCAGGCAACACCCTATCGACACTTTCTAGTTCATCATGTTTGTAGGGCCCGGTCAATCGATTTGATGGTTTTGGCTCGTCATATCCATGGTCAAATCGAAGGCCAAGTCCAAAGCCAGATATATTTGACATTGTTCCGTCTTCTGAAATGGAGGTTTTTTGAGATTTTCCGTCAATTTTACCTAGAGTGCGTTGATCAATAAAAGAACTTGTGGATAAGTGGTAGATTGTTTAAATAGTCGGTAGGAGCCAGCTTACTGTTTAAAGAATCCAAATCTGTTTGATCAGTTTCGCCACTATTATCAGGTGGTGAATTTAATTTCTCAGTAAGCGTAGTAGATTCATTTTTAAGCTCTAGCCAATATTTCGGAGGGAGAAGAACATCATCAGGAATTGGTTCTAAGCCGTCTGGTAATGGATATAATTCGAGGAGTTTCTTTCTAAGGTCAATATACCAAGATAGGAAAGTTCCATCAACACTATTAATGTTAGAAAGTGCGGGTGATGTCGGCACGAAGATTGAAAAGGTAAAAAAAAGTAAAAAAGTATAACAGCTTATATTTTACCGTATAGTACACAGGCAAAGAAATTGCATGTTGTAATGCTACAGTATAAATAGAATGACGTGAACGAAGAAATCTTCAATATAAACTTCCACTTACCCTTCTTCATGTTGTTCATCAGCTTCACCTCTAGGATATATTTCATTCCCACCTAATTGTTCCAACCTTTTGTGTAGTTTACGAGCTGCAAAATTAAACCTACGAGAATATGAGTATCATCTTATGGAGTACTTGATCCTCCCATCTATATCATTTTCATTCCATCTTGTACTCACTTTGCATACGAACTATCACCAAGACCAAAAGTGGTGAAGTTCACGTGACTCAAACAGTTAGGAGGCAAACGTTTTCTCAAAAGACTGTTCCAAAATTTCCTCGAATTCTTTGGGAATTCCCCTTGTCCGGTAGTTGATATTGTGAATATAACAAATTGATACTTTAACAATTCTTTCTGTTTGATAGATTCCATAAGCATATATTGATAATGCGTAGGGAAGAATTACATACAATATCAACTTCATCCATCTCGCACACCCTAGTCATGAAATGAAGTCTTTCTATCACACGTCCCAGTTCCTCTGCCACATCTTGAGAGTTTCCAGTTTCAGTACCGTAAAGGATGAGTGCACTCCTATCATGTCGTTGACCATTGAGAATTTCAAACATTTGATAAATTAATTGTTCGATGTTTGTGGTAGTGGTAGGTGAATGATTATTATCATAATCATCATAGATAGATTATTCAACCGATAGAACAATTTTTGCTTACTTACGATTCCACATCAAAGAACAAGTCACGAGATATTTGTCAAGAAGACTGATTGATTGATATTTGATATTTCATTCACCCAATACTTGAACAATTATTAAATATTCTGTAACCTCCCATAGTAAAACATTACCCTATGAGGTGAGGAGGATATACTTGCAAGGTGAATCCTGGTGATCACTCTTAGTTAACCTTATCCAGGATTACTGTTGTTTTGTTTTGAGTGATTGATTGTATCAGATGTGCTCTGTACTGTAGATATATATACATATATTCGGTAGAAAGAAACAAATCTTTGCATTGTTCTGTGAGCGATTTGTAACTGGTGTATGAATGATCATAATGTTATTCATATCACAATGTCTGGAAAGTTCTAGAAGTGTTGCTGCTAACTACCCAGGTACTTGGTACTACGGAGTACTTGACGACAATACCCCACATACAAATACGAACGTATTCTTGTATTCGAGACACATGTGTCTCGATATCAGATACTACTTGTTTGCTTGGTATGTATCAATAAGAGATGATGATGAAAAAAGTTCACCATTATAATCACATGATGATAGATATGAATTCTATCTATACTGGAGATCCATCATCATACTAGCACAGTGATTGATCTACATATTTTACTCTAAATGTTTAAATGGTTCTAGAACCCCATTTGATGTCATTTTCATCAAACAACAAAAACAAGGATTGATTTTTGAAGCTACTTAGGTATGAATCATAAAATATTGCCCTAATGCTTTTCTCTACAGCCACTCTTTTATATATTGAAGTACTCGAATACAGAATAAGATGACAAAGTACATGTTATGATAAAATCACCAAAGGACAGTGAAGTCTTCTTTACTAGTGGAAAATGCGATAAAATACCACACTACTTTCCAACATTATCATTGGTCGAGTGCCGTACCAGTACACAATCGTATGTTGGTTGATTCTAGGCCAAGTCATCAATCCTTCCCCTTTTTACACATCCATGACTTCCCTACCTTTCTCGCTATTTCCCCATGTTATGTACCTAGCATCCCAACCCAATTTGTCTCACCGTTTGCTGCTACCTTATCAACTTGATTGATGAACATCGGGTTTTCATTTACTATCAGTTTCCTTTCCCGTCGATGAAAATGTATACTTTTAAATAAATGGTAGGTAGGGATATGTACATAATAGTTGCGAACGCCTGTGATTAATTCAATACCTAGGTAAGCTGGAGTACTTGACTGAACCTTTTAGGCCATGGCTCTCCTCTTGTGCTAGTAAGACCTCCTGTTTCGCTATTTTCCCCATGTTATTCGTTGTATCAAAATCGCTCCTCTCTCACCGTGCCACCTATCTCCCGGACTCCTGTCACATCTAACTCCCAGCTGCCATCTGATAACCTTACCAATGATCCTCTCTTCCCTGCTGTTCCCCTTGTATATCCCTTCTTGGGTCATTGTAGGTTGAACCTTCTCTAATCTATTCTCTAATCGAAACGAAATCCCCAAATCCAGCCCTGTTCAGCCACTCGCTTTAATCCCGTTACGGTAAGTGCCACTCGCTAAAATGCGGCTGCCCCAGTGATTCAATGGAATTTGATATATTCTACCCACTGCGCAATCCCGAACTTCTTTCTCCCTTTCCTTTTGAACACATCAACTTCAAGAATCCGATCAAGTGTCTACCACAACGAAACCTCAACCAAAATCCCCCAAACCAGACCACTAGGGCACCTAGCTACCCTTTTACAACTCCCCCAAATTTGTTCAGAGAGTATTAAACACACTCCCAGCAAACGTCGATCAATTTTCAATTCAATTCAAGCTTCTACTCAGTCATAACTACCACACCCACCAAATCAATTATCATCATGTCTAACATCGTGGAGAAAGTTTCTGACGCCGTCACCGACGTTACTGCCGCTCTTGGCAACACATCCATCTCTGACAAGCCCGCCGAGACCACCACTGGTGAGAAGGCTGCCAACACTACCACTGACAAGGAAGCCGTGTTGGCAAGCGCTGCAGAGGGAAGAAGACTCTACATCGGTAACCTCGCATATGCGACCACCGAGGGGGAGTTGCAAGCCTTTTTCAAGGGATACTTAATGTAAGCATGAATTCTTAACTTTCACATGTCATCCTCATCGTCGCCTTGAATTTCTCTCGAAAAATCATCAGCTAGCTTCAAATCTGGCAATTTATAGGAAATTGCGGATATCTTTCGCCCCTTCCAAATATGTCCAGTTCATACAACGTTTATGACATGAGCTAACATTTTTTTACACAGTGAATCCACCTCTATCCCAAAGAACCCACGTACTGACCGCCCAGTCGGATATGCTTTCGTCGACCTTTCTACCCCAACTGAGGCCGAACGTGCTATCTCTGAGCTTTCTGGAAAGGACATCCTTGACCGCAAGGTCTCTGTCCAACTTGCTCGCAAGCCAGAGACAAATGACAAGACCGAGGGTGCTGCTAGCGGAGGAGAGGGACAATCTGGTAATGAAGGTGGACGCCGCAGACAATCTGGTCGAGGACGTGGTCGTGCCCGTGGACGTGGAGGACGCCGTGGCAATGCTGTAAGCTTTTGAAAGTCTGGATCTTGGTCCGAATTTGTCACTAACAAGCAACATAGTCCCGTACTGATGAGAGCGCTGCTGAGGCACCTGCCGCCGCTTCCGAGGTTCTTCCTTTGACCGAAACCACAAACCAGGCTACTACCGAGACCAAGGAGACCAAGCCACAAAACACTCGTGCTCCCCGCGAGCGTCGTGAGCGTGGCCCTCCAGCTGATGGAATTCCATCCAAGAACAAGGTCATGGTTGCTAACCTACCATATGATCTCCACGAGGACAAGGTACGTTCGAAATTAACCTCGTCCAGATGATTTACTGACAGCCTCGTAGCTCAAGGAACTCTTCGCTATCTATGAGCCAACCTCTGCCAAGATCGCCCTTCGTCCAATCCCCCGTTTCATGGTAAAGAAGCTCCAAGCCCGTGGTGAACCCCGTAAGGGTCGTGGCTTCGGCTTTGTCACTCTCTCCAGCGAGGAACAACAACAAAAGGCTGTTGCTGAAATGAACGGAAAGGAAATCGAAGGTCGTGAGATCGCCGTCAAGGTCGCTATCGACAGCCCAGACAAGACCGATGATGATGTCAACGCCAACGCTGCTAATGCTACCGCCGAGACTGCCGCTGCTCCACCAGCCGGTGCTGAAACTGTTTCTGCTTAAGCAGTAAACATTGTATGATGTGAATGAGAGGAGAGTTTTGCAACTCTGCAGACGATAGACTAATGCATTGCTATGCGTTGCTTTTGGACCATTGTCGGCGCGTTGTGGGAGCTCTCAGGATGAAGGATGAATTTGTTCCTTTGACACTCAATGGATCGATCCTCTTCTTGACGATTTTCTTTTAGGTGGGCATATGAATACTAACTCAGTGGACTTGTTGGTGGCGTCTAAATAGATCTTTGGGCTTTTAAGCTCTTTTCTTCCGACAGACTTAACTTTTCATTCCCGAGTAGGGATTCATAGTTCTTCATGACTCTTTTTCAAACACTATGTCTTATTACAATTTTGCTGGCATTCTCTGGATGTACACTAGATATTTTCTGACGTGCTTCCATATGGGATGGGTGGGCATGGAAAAGTTATTGATTAATGATTGATGACAACGCTATCATTATCGATGATAATAAAGTGGATGATTTTACCAGCAGAATTATAATCACACGATGATATTTTTTGAGATATTTGTGATGTGACCTAGGTTCCATTCCAAGTTCTATTATGTTTCAATTTTCAGGTTGCCTTTCCGTACCAAATACCGCCATTTCAGGAATGCCCAAACCCCTTTTCTAAAATCTCGAGCCTCACAGCCCCGATCGTCAACCTTGTATATTGATTGGTCTAGATTTCTCTTAGCGTGGTTGGGCCTCTCTTGCGCAAACACCCCCAAATTTAGAAATCCAATTCCCCTTTGTAAAGCCCCACCACATCAGGGCTAAGGACGATCCATACTCGACGACAAACATCTATATGTACCAATCGAATCATTCAATCTCACTATATTTCCGAGACTCCCACAAGAAAATCAACATTCGCGATTACGTCTATTGAGAAATTGGCTCTTGAAACGCATATGAGCCTGAGTGGGAGGTTCTAGAGGAAGAAGACACACAATCAGCAGCCGATTTCAGCACCAACCGCGAGAATGACTTCAAAAGCTATGTGGGAGGTCGACCCGGAAACAAGGTCAAAGGTACTCTATTCTCTTTGCATTACATGGGCCATTGGCGCACACATCCTTTATTTCATTTTCAACGCAAGCACTCATGCTAAACGTGTCTTGAATCCAGCTCCTTGATATTTCCAAAACCAATGGTAATGACAGATGCATCGACTGTAATGCACCGTCTCCTCAATGGGCTTCCCCAAAATTCGGCGTTTTCATCTGCTTATCATGCGCCGGTGTTCACCGAGGATTGGGAGTTCATATCAGTTTTGTTAGGAGTATTACGATGGATGCTTTCAAGGCGCAAGAGATTGAGCGGATGAGAGAAGGAGGAAACAAAACGTGGAGGGAATTTTTCGATCAGGATGAGCGGAATGTTATGAGTGGTATCACGTAAGTGGACTATCTTTGCGACAGGATCCTCACGGTAAGCAGCGAATTGGCACATAACTGACGATTTCAAAGTTGGGACGATGCAACAATTGCGGAGCGATATTCTGGCGAAGTTGGAGAAGAATATAAAGAACGGCTCACGGCAAAAGTCGAGAAACGAGAATACGTTCCTGTACCTAAAGCACCCGCGTCAAAATCTACGACTGCCGCTACATCAATCTCAAACCACAGTTCCAGCAACTCTCGATCACAATCGCAAACTCCTCTTGGGGCACGAAACTCTAGTCCTTCTAACGGAAAAGTAAAGGTTGATGACAGATACTTTGCTGGGCTTGGAGCTGCGAACGCAAACCGATCGGAGGATTTGCCACCTTCGCAAGGAGGCAAATATGCAGGATTCGGAAGCCAACCAATTGAGAGAGAAGATAATAATGCTAGATTACCGGGCTTTGAAGATTTGCAGAGAGATCCTGTGGCAGCGCTGACGAAGGGCTTTGGATGGTTCACAACTACTGTGGGAAAGACAGCAAAGACTGTTAATGAGGGCTACATACAACCTACAGCTGCAAAGGTAATTTCGATTCCTTAACACTCCCAGATATCGAGCCCCTTCATACCTACACAACCGGCATTGACTGACAACAACTTCTCACAGATCGCCGAATCCGAAGTAGCGAAACAAGCGCAACTTACTGCTGCTCAAGTTGCACGGAATGCGCAAAATGGAGCCAAGACTGCAGCAGAGGGATTTAACCGCTTTGTAGAAGGCAGTGGTAGTGGTTCTTCGAGAGATGTACCGATTGATGAGAGTAAGAAAGATTTTTGGGATAGTTTTGCAGACGCGGGAGCAAAGAGACAACATGCACCGAGTGCGTCAATTGGGACGGCCGCTGTTAAGAGGAATGGGGGTAGTGGGAATGGAAGCGGAGTTACAGCAAAGAAGGATGATGATTGGGAGAAGTGGTAGAGGTAGGTTTTTGGGGACATGGAAGGGGATTAAAGAGATGATTGGATGAAGAGTACGGATGAGTGAATGTATATATACAACAGAGACGTTTTAGCGATACACCTGCGAGAAAGAATTGAAGATTACATGGTTTAATAGATAGTTTTCTAGCTCCATATTTTTCACGGTTGAGATGATGAGATATAGAGGTATCTCGTCATGATAATTTGTCTGTCTGTTAAAAGGAATAGAAGTTACCGGTACTAATCACGTGTCGTGATTAGTAATACGGTTACCTAAACAGGCTAGATTAGATGAACCATAAGCAGGCATATTGGTCCCCTCCGAGGATACCAAGAGGAGACCTTAATATGCCTACAGACGTAGTAATATAGTCAATATAGAGGCCTCTTCCACCCAATCTTTTAATACTGTCGATATTATTTATCCTTCTTAACCTAGTGGTTTTTCATGTATCGCTCCGTGGTATGCGCATGGTCATAGATAGACATGAACGTGCGCTTGAAGTCAAGTGTCAAGGTCGAATACGTAGTTATGCATTGAACTTTTTCTGGGTGGATTTACTTCATCTCTCTCTCCCTTAAATTATGTTTTTAAAAAAAAGGAGAAGAAGGAAAATAAGTTATATGATTGGTGTAATAATGAGTTCGGTTGGTGATGATGCGTGTATTGTTTGATTTGGATTACATAAAAATGAATTTTTAAATCATGGTATTTTTGTTAAAGTGATATTAAAATAAAATAAAAAATTGACAAAAACCTGTTGTTTAAGTTTTACAAGGGTATATAGGGTCTTAGTTTGTCTCCTAATACTAACTCTTTCAACCTCTGTTTATACAATCCTACTCTAGAATTATATCCAGAGTTATATCCAGGTATTTGTCCTCATACGAGGGAAGCATATGAATACCCTTGTGCCTGCAAGAACCGGATGAAGACAACCATATTAGCTTACTGGATTATAAAAGCTATTGCATATCACGCCGTTCGGATAATTTACTGCGCCGTACACATAAAATCTTACTGTGTCATTTCGTGGGTCTATCATAACATTTTGCTGCATAGCCCCTCGCTTTATTGGAAAACTTCGATTTCCCTGACTCTTACATATCTTAAAAGTAACACATGCGAGCCAAAATTTGCTTAAATCCAGACGAGGACTCTACTCTGATGGAATACTTTGACTTCCACAATCAGAAAACACTTTAATCTCTACTAAGAAATTTCCATCATGAAGGCACTTATTGTCCAAGATGTGGGCGTCGCCAAAGTGGTCGATGACGCTAATGAGCCCTCTCTTCGACCAGACTATGTGAAAGTCAAAGTGGCCGAAGTGGCCGCTGTGGCCTTGAATCCAAGTACTTCCATCATGTCTAAAGTATTCTAGCTGCTGACCAATTCGTTAGCTGATTGGAAGACACTCGATGAGATTGGAAGAGCAGGCTCTATAGTTGGTAAGAACATTTACTCCAACTGTTTTCCAACATATCGAATCGAAGAAGCTAATCTTTTGACTCTAAAAATGATGTGACTTTTCCAGAACTGTTGCAGAAATTGGATCAGAGGTTAAATCTGATGTCAAGAAGGGCGATAGAATTTGGGGATTCGTCCACGGCTGCAATTACTTGAATCCCGAAGATGGAGCATTTGCGGAATATATCGTTGCAAAAGATGACATTTTTGGGAAAGTTCCCGATTTCATGAGCATGGAAGATGCCGCCACTCTAGGTGTTGCTGTCGGTACCAACGGCCAGGTAATTTGACAAAGTCAAAAGTGTTGACGTTGAAACGGCTGTCTAATTCGGAAACAGGGTATATACCAAACGCTCAAACTCCCCCTTCCGACTCAACCTGCTGAAAAACCTCTTCCACTGCTTATTTATGGTGGAAGTACTGCAACCGGAACAATTGGTATCCAATTGGCCAAACTGTCAGTCTTGATGTTTCACCTTGCTCTTAGCCTCCTCTCGCTCACAGGTCAACAGTTCAGGTTTACACGTTACAACTACCGCTAGCCCCAACAATTTCGAACTCCTCAAGTCTCGTGGAGCCGACAAAATTTTCGATTACAACGAGCCCGATGTTGGCGAAAAGATCCGCGAGTACACAAACAACAATTTGAAACACGTCTTTGACACAATTTCCTTGCCGTCCTCTTTCGCTATTTGCGTTGCAGCTATCTCGACTACATCTGGACCCAAAGCACAATATACAGCGCTACTCCCAGTGGATTTCCCAAGAGATGACGTTGATTCTGGTTTCACGATGGCGTATACATGTTGGGGAGAGACATTTCAGAGAGGAAACTGGCATTGTCCTGCTAAACTTGAAGATTATGATTTTGCAGTCAAGTTCATAAAAAAGGTCGACGGCTTGATTGCTCAGAAAAAGCTGGTCCCACATCCCGCTACTGTGGGTACGAATGGCTTGCATCGAATTTTGGATGCGTGAGTCGTTATATCACTGGCATGGTGGCTTTTACTAATAGTATACCAGGCTTCAATTAATGAGGGAAGACAAGATTTGCGGAACTAAACTTGTTTTTCGAATCTCGGATACAGTTTGATGGAATTGAGAAATGTTTCATGTTATCTCTTGGAAACTCTGAGAAACTATCCTAGGCACAAACAATACAGTTATAGTTTTTATTCATTTTAAAGATCCTTGAGTATAGAGTGATCTTTCTTTTGGATCCTTAAATTCAAAACCTTTAGGCTTCTATTCCAGAGCAGTCTTATATTCCATTCTTAATAAAAAGACATATCGATTGTTATGAGTAACCAAAGAATCGTCGTTCGTTTGCTCATTGCATCCGCCATTCTACTACAATTCGAATGATGAATTAAATTGGTGTCTGTACAATAATTTAAAATGAGACAAGACTCTGATATATCATTTTGCAAATTATGTTTGATGGGAAGGGCCTCTGTCAAAGAGTTTGAGCCTCTTTTGTTCCAAGTGACATCACAGTTATGGTAGATTATTTCGTCGTAGATCATAGCAGATTTTCGCGACAGTATATGCCATCAAGTTCCATTAAGATCACATTTATAACCTTACTGTATGAAAGATACCAGGATAAGGAATATCAAAGCAGCATAAACCAAAATAAAAGACACCTAAACAAGAGATACCAATTTAGAAGATTCTATTAGATTGTGAATCTCATAGATCTGGTGAAGCATTTCATTTAGGGTGTAGAAGAATTCGAGATGAGCAGTTGAAAATTTTCCTAAATATTCAATTGAAATCTGTTTCAATAAATCTTTTGTTTCCATTTTAAAGATTACTAGAGAAAGGGAAGTGTTATTAGATCGCAATAGTGGGTGTTTGGTCCGCTATACTATCCGTTCCTCTAGAATATAAAAAAAAACTCTTATCTGAATCCGACGAACTTTTCTTGATCGTAGCGCAATTCATAGAAATCGCTGATGATTTTGTAGATAAATGGTGGTTTAACAATGTTGGTTATGAGTAGCTGTAGCTCAATGTGAGATATTCATTTAGTCTTGTTTTTGAAGCACCAACCAACTTTTACATATATGTTCCTTTCGCCAAGGCCAATTCTCTTGAACCTGGCCAGCTCCACATGAAACTCTTGCAAGACGTGCGCTTATTGTTTTTACATCATTATTCTCGAGGAATAAAAGTCGGCTCTTATTCTTGGGCCGCGGCTGTTTTGTGAGTCGAGGGATTGGCGACCTGTTCCCAACGGGGTTATTGTATAACCTTACTGCGCGCGTATGATGTTACTGCGCCACTTTTGTGTTGTTGATAAGTCTTTATATTCTGATTATGCTGTGGATTAAAATGAAGCGATATTTGATAGCATAAGGATAAAGTTTCTAGACCCTTTATTTTCTCTTGTTTCCGGAAATTCCCTGCATCATTTTAGAATTTACTGAAGCTGTATTCGCAAATATGTTAGCCGAACATATACCCCAAGTCACGAGCTTTGAAGAAGAGCCTATGTTCCCACAATTCCGCGATCTACCACCGGAGCTTCGTTTACAAATCTGGAAACACGCTCTTCCGAATGGTCGAACGCTCAAGGTTAGGGTGGACGCATATGATGACACAAGAGCATCTCTTCAGGGAAGCTTCTCAGCTATTCCAAGCATCTGTCATGTCAATTCCGAATCTCGAGCCTTAGCTTTGAGCATTTGTCGGAATGGACTTGGACCCAATACAGAAGAGTCAGACTTTTATTGGAATCCAAACACAGACATCATCTACTTCCCTCCATCAGCTTCTTGGGCAAGCGGCACTCTAGAGCAGTATTTGTTCAAGGAAAAGGTTCCTGATTCATATCGGAATAGTGGGATTGTGCCTGTAGTTCAACATGTTGCATTCCCACTAAATGTATGGCTTGCTCAAGGTCTTTATCTAGAACCATTATCGACCTGTTGGCTCTTAGACTGGTTGCACAAATTCCCCTCCCTCCAATCTCTCACCCTCCTCATCGAACCTTTCGACCAGTGGCTCGGTCTCCCCAACACCTCCATAGTCTACCACGAACCCCTTGATAATCCCATGCAGCAATTGCTGAATCACAAACCCTCTCAAATCACCACACTGGTCGAGAAAGCCCTGCAAGAATACAGAAATTCATATGATCCCAGCTGGATCCCGCCGGTTGTGGAGGTCTTAGTACTGGGTATGAAGAAATTCAAGACCAGTAGTAACTGTATAGCTCGTAGAACGAATTTGGATAGAGAGGATGTCACGGGGTTGTATGAGATTGGGATTTCGAGAGTGGAGAAGATGGCGAGACGATTGGCTAATAGGTGGCCGGCAGAGATTCATGCCGTGGAGCAGTGGAGTTTTATGGGTCAGCTGGGGGAAGAAGAGGGGTTTTAATGGGGAGGTTTTGTGCGCTAAGGATACATGTTAATTGGGTACATAAATGTAATTTGCGGTTCGGTTTGTGGTGTTATTTTTATCTTATTTTCGGAAGGTTGTTAGTGCGTGATTCGGAGCAATCTCTTGTTGGGCATGTGTTTATTGAAATTGTAGAGGAATTAAAAGAATCAATGACTCATATCAAGAGAAGTATGGTTTATTTTGCATTAATTTCTTCTCCTACAAAGGATATCTGTTTGAAAATGAGTTTTCGTGTGTTTTGGTAAAGTATAGCTATGTTTCATACTTGACTTGCTGGCCACAATCATAGAGAAGACTGACACATGATCAATAGAGGAGAAAAGAATAATACACGCCATCGATTCCTCGCCAGTGATCAATTCCTGAAGGGGTTTATAATAATTACTGGTCTACAGTGATGTGTTTAGCAATGACTTGTTAAGCATGGAAGGATAATAACGAATCGAAATCAAAAGACACCACTAAACTAGACAGATGCCGTTAGTCGCCCAATTCATAAAATTATCGCAATCTTTTTTGATGCATCATGTCTTTTAGAGAACTTCTCGACTCAGTGGCACGTTTGTCTCCAGCACGTCTTCTCGACTCTATCCTATCTCAGGATTTTTTCGTATGTGCGCAAGTATTTGAAGAAACCTTCTTAGGTCGGTTCGTCAATGAGAAGCTTGGCAGGAATCTAGCATCAGCTCAAGCTCATTGCCGCTGGTGCGCAAGACTCTATGAGGAAATTCGGCTTCAGGATGAGTGTCGTGGAATGGACGAGTCTTCGTTAGCTGGACTTGACGTAAGGTACATACTTGATAACACCTCATATTTAGGCCTTAATATCCTACGTTTCCGTTTGTCAAGGTCTGATCAACACATGAGCGTTCCGGTATGTGTGGTAAAATTTGTAATGGTAAGAATTCCCGGTATGTCTTGTAGCCTTGAGCCATTCTATTGACTTTTTGGAACCTCTAATAAATCTATAGAAGATCAGCATGGAGATAGCTCAGCCTTCGCACATACAATTCCTCGGGAAACTTCATCATCATCATGTCGTAAACTGGCCTCGCGATGGATTGATGATTGCATGCAAAATCATTCAAAATGCGGCGCAGATAAAATACAGTGGTTACCATCTCGTCTTGTAGATGTCGGGCTCGACAACGGTGAAGTAAAGCTTGTTGAAACGCATAAGCTCTCCAAGAATAGTTACTCGCCGTACTTCGCATTGAGTCATAGATGGGGCACCGCCTCTGATCAACCGTTTCGACTCTTGAGCGGCAATAGATTAGCATTGATGGAACATATTCCAATAGACCAGCTTACTGCTTCTCTTCAAGACGCTATTCAATATACTAGAGACATGAAGGTTTCATATATCTGGATAGATTCCATGTGCATTATACAGGATTCCAAAGATGATTGGAGCGCCGAGGCAGCGCTCATGGATAGAGTGTACGCGCAGTCGCTCTGTACCATTGCTGCTTCCTATGCTTCTAGTATTGAGGGAAGTTCCAATAAACGACTCTTTTATACTCGCGACGAGAATGACAGGATCTTTAGGCCGCCAGTGTGCAAGACGCTCGCGGTAGGGGATCACGAGGAAACTTATCAGCTATCACCAAAATCTAGTTTGATTCTTGATAATGATGGTAATTTTCCACTTTATAAACGAGCTTGGGTCTTTCAAGAGCAAATGTTAAGTCCCAGAACGATACATTTTGGTAAGCAGCTGCTTTGGGAATGTAAAGAACAAAGGGCTTCCGAAACCTTCCCCTCCGGTATACCTGTCGTACCTGAGAATGGCAATGATGATACAACCCGGCTACTGCCAGAACGCGGTGCGAATTTGGTTGTCGACCCAAAAGATTGGAAATCAAGATTGCGGGAGTCCCAATATATCTTTTGGCGTAGCACTCTTGAGCAATATTTAAGCTGCTCTCTCACCTATCAATCCGATAAACTCGTGGCATTTGGCGCAATAGCCCGAGAATATCAGGAACAACTTGACTATGTCTATCTTGCAGGTCTATGGAAGAATCAATTACCCTTCTGTTTGATCTGGGCTTTTGAAAAAGGTTCTTCATTTCCCACAAGACCAAAAGTATATCGCTGTAAGTAGAATATATTTGCGCCCAAAGTTCTGTCAAACGCACTTTCTGATCAATAAGAAGGTCCCACTTGGTCTTGGGCGTCACTGGATTTCTGTTATCCTATGCCTTTAGCAACGTTTTTGTTGGGGTCCTTGGTTCCTGGGCGTGCGCTTGCCACAGTTTTAGCGGTCGAATGTAACAGTCCGCAAGGTCGAATTTACACCGAATACTGCGATGGCTATATCCGACTTGAAGGAAGAATTCTTCCCATCCAGCTCATGGATGCCCACGACTGGCTTCTTGTTGATGCTAATGGAATTTTCCAAGGCGGTGTCTCTGAAGTAAGGCCAACGACGTCTTATCTTGACATTGAAGTACACGCTTATGACTGTTCGCGTTTATACCTCTTTCCAATTTCAGTATCTTACGTGAGCGAGCTACTTGGTATCGAGCATGAGGGTTTCTTCCTTGAGTGTCTCATACTAAGAACCGTCTCAGTAGATAACACCAAATTCGAGCGAGTGGGTCTTGTGACTTTCAGATCTAATAAGTCAACATTTGCTAAAGAACATGAAGCAATGTCGAATTTTGTTCTCGCAGATGACCCTCTCTCAGGTGTACTTGATACTATAACAATAGTATAGTCAAAAGTGACGGGTTTAGAAAAAAACCGCTAGATAAATGCGACATCACACTCTTTATGGTCGAAGTTCATTCCTAAGTCGCGGATCGGGGGAAGTCTACGAATTTCAACACGAATACTCGTATAGTCAAAAATATCTCAGTGATACAGTCAGCTGAGAATACAGTGTTTTCAAATTGCAAATTGTCAAAGTATGAGGGAAAGAAGGTCGGGAAATTGCAATTCCAGAGAACACACCACATCTCGAGTAGGATTTTGGTAATATCTAGACTAGTCTGGCAACTAATTCTATCATCATCTATCTTCTCAGCATTGATTCATATCGGTAGTTGTTTTCCTGTCCTGGTACCATTAAATAAGCAATGAAGTCTCTGTGTAATTCTTCTATCATGTCTACCTACACATCATTTTGGGAGATATTAACAAGGAGAACTTTTGAAGTAATAATCGATAATCAGTTATCCTATAAATTTTAATACTAAACCAAAGTTTCATCTGATCAGTTTATTTCCATATCCAGAACACCCAATTCGGATCAAAGATGACCTAGCTGGTTGCTAAATTATCTAGGATATGTAAGTCGCGTACCCTTCTTTTGGACCACCCCTCTTTTGGACTGTCTTTTTACACCAAAAATCATCATTTTTACTTATTAATAACTTTACAACGAATAAATATAATTCAATCGAATTTGAATCATATACTGATTACATAATTACAAATGAATCTTGAAAATTTCAGATTTTTTATAATTGAAAAGTTTTATTTTTAAGTCTTATATGTTACGTCGGACAGTAACATAGGTCACGTTCTTGATCACATGATCAAGAAACCGACAAATCGAGATCGGCTTTGCGGTGATCGATTTGTCGGGCTCATAGCCATCGGTTTTTTAAGGAGGTACGAAGGTCTATATAATCAAGATGGATTTCCTTTGTATAGAGCTTCGTGCTCAAGATCAATCATTTAGTATACTCTACTATTAGTTACGAATTGTATATCATTATTGTCATTACTTTAAGTCCCTGCTTGACGTCTAGTTATAAACCACCTCGAGAGCCTAGAGCACTTCCACGTGATCTAGACGGCAAACCTCGTAACAATAATATCAAAACTAAATGAGTTGCGTCAAGACTCACTTATATAAGATCTTATATATGCCCTAAAAATCATAAATTAAAAAATATAATAGAAAATCCAATATATTAACAAATAAAACGACATCACCAGACAAGTGAATCTTTTATAAAGTAATTGTACATTTACCTTATAAAAAAAGAATATAAATCATGACTGAGAAGATAACAATTTATTAATATCTACAACACCCAACTATAGATCCAGACTCACTACATAAAGGAATAAAATCATCTCTAGAACTTAAAACTAAAAACTACTTTAATTATCGTCTAATTTTCGTATAGAAGTAAAATCCTATTGAATACCCCAATATATTCCTCACACTCTTCTATAATCCATCGTTAATAAATTACTGCTGTGATCGAATAAATTAGCCGTTTATATCAGCTTTCTTCATCTTCGCAACTATTAATCCTATATCTCATCTTCTCACCTCACTTTCAAAATATCAAGCCTAAGCACAACTAGAAAAAACATAGCAACCCTCATCCCACTAGAAAGGAACTAGCACAAATCCTCCTTCGCCACTCAAAAATTAGGGATATAATTCAAACCCTTTCCTGTCACGATTCACCATTAGGATTGATGGTGTTACGATGGTAGCAAACTGATTAATTAGGAGAGCTTAGGCCTTGTGCAAGCACGATCAGATTTCATCGAATTAGTATGTGATCTTGGTCACCTGAAGATCGTGTATGCACGCACCATCAGAAATCACGTGATAAGGAGCCCTAGGAGCCCTCAAAGCTCCTAGAGCTCCAGGAGCCCTGAGGAGCCAGAAAGCTCCTGGGGGCTCCCTTCTTCGTTCATTATATAGTCAGAGTAGTTTCATAGTTTAGGAGCTTCGTGCTCAACTTAGTTATCAATTAGTTTACCTACATTCTATTTGATCTAGTAACGAATTCACTTTCAAGTGAATACCAGTGATATAGCCTTAACCTATAACTACCAACCGACGAACCTTAGGCAGCCGCTGCCTTTAGTACAGTATCGTTACACTTCCCTCCCTCACTTCCAAGGATGAATAGAGACCATCGCCCCCTATATACCACATCACACTACACAACACTACACTATATCAATATCCAATCTCTCAAATTACCTATTACTAATCTATCTCATAATCTCATAATCAAAGCTTATAACTACTTATACTTATACATATATATTTATATAAAGGACAATTATATCTCTTACATTAATTACAATACAATTCAAATACCATCCATTTACATCCTCTAATTCAATACACAGAAACCAACGCGTTTATCCATAGAAGAAAGGCAGAAAGGGATACATTTAATATACACAATAGTTTATTTATATATATTAGTTCATTTATATTAATAAAAAATAAAAGGATAGATGATGAATGATGAATAAGGTAGGAATTTCTAGATAGGATATAGAGGTGATTGCTGATGCGATTTTTGTGATAGATAGTAGATGATGGGATGTATGGAAGACTATATTATATGATGATACGGAGGAACTTTTACTCGGGGTTTTTTGAATCTTGATATTTGGTGGTGAAGTGGAGGAGGTCGAGGGGGGAATTGGTGAGGATGTTGAGATTTTGGGACGATGGTTGGGAATGGGAATGGGGATGCTATGTATGTATGTATAGTTCAGGAGTTGAGGGGGAGGTATGGAGAGGTGTTGAGATTACCTGATATTTATGTGGTGAGTTTGATGGATATGACTGTTTTTCAGAGTTGTCAGATGAGTATGGTGGATGTGGTAAGAAGGAGGGGGAGGAGTTTAAGGGTTATGAAATGGAGATGGGATATTCATTCTTCAAGTCTGACTAGGAGGGATGAATCGGGGAAGATAGTTTTGAAGGGTGCTGGGAAATACCAGGCATCATTTGGTGGAGGGATGAAGCGCTGGCTCTCGTTTGTTTCAAAGGTCCTGAAACCATAGATGGGATATAATTGTTCAGTACAAGTGTAAGCAATCGATTCAATGTCATTCATTCAAACTTACTAATCGTCGATACATATTAATCTCTTAAGGCTCACCACTGGCATGGCTTTAAATCTCACTCTTTTCCATGCCAACGTGTCAAATCCGACTTGTCCATAGTTCATATGAATCTTTCGTACTTGATCCATCCAACCTCTAAATAAAACTTCCCCGACAAAACTATCCTCGAAGATAGATCATTGAAGTAAGAAACTAAGCAAAAGCAAATACGCCGTGAGATTATAATATGAAGGTAAAGTCTACTCCAAGGAACACCAAATGTATAACCGCTACCATCCACATTCTGCTATTGATATAATCTTATGCTCATAGCTAAGAATGATCATGGATGAAGAAGCATTGCATCAACAAGTACTAAATGAAGAAACATAAAACCACAAGCAAAACAATCTCACATCCCAACAGCAACACTGAAACAGCAATGTAATACAAAGTAAATACATAACGACAACACAACATCTAGAATTACATTGCCACAACTAATAATAAATAAATAAAAAATAAGAAATAAGAACTACCTATCCAATCCCACATCTCATTAAAAATCCCATATGAATCCTGATCTCAATCAAGTACTTGCTTGTATCCCCCGTTCGGTAAAAGCAAAGGCAAGAAAAAAAAGAAAGAAAAAAAAGAAAAAAAGGGGGAGTGGGCGGGTGTTACAGAATACAGATTCTATATACGAATCCTCATTTTCTGTATTGATATCGATATAGATATCGATATCCATCTAGTTCGTTCTCGGGAAGAAAGTAATAAAACATATGAATGTATAAGTAAGATTATATACATCCTCAAATCCTCAAAATACTATACCTAATACTCCCCTTCAATCCACTCTACAAGATCCCCAAAAACCAAACAAACCAACAAGCATAAGCCACCATATAACACATCAAGATTCTAGAACAGCCCAGACCAAAAATAGCATCTAGCATCAAGCATCAATAAATAGTGCTTACGAAGAATTAACAAAATCCCCGTTCGTTCACGCCTTGCATGCACGTATTACATGTATGTATGTATGTATGTACTCTGTACGTATTCGCAATTCGCAATATCAAAAAGTGAATTTATGAAGTAAGTTTGTAAGGTCTTACTTTACAGTATATTGTTCGGTAGTTGTGTATTATGTATTTAGGAGGGTTATTTGTTATTTGTTATTAATTATTTTCTAGAATTATCTTCTTATACTTGTTGTGCTGACTGATTGATTACTGAGCTAGATAGAGTATGTACCTACTAGGTAGGTAGCTTTAGATGGATAAATTCATATCGTATCTGCGGGGTTGAATGTTAAATGAATCTACTCCGCATGAAGATGTACAGAGTATAGAAAGAAGTCTTCTCCTCCCACTTTTGAATTGGGAATTTCGAAAATGTGAATGAATTATTGGTAAGAAAGAAAGAAAGAAAGGAAGAAAAGAAAGAGTGGCTGGTACGGACGGTACAGTGCATACATATGCAAGCATGGATGTTGAAGAATACGAGAGTTTATCGGTACCGAGAGCTGATTTGTGCAGAACATTTGTGGTATGCATTGTTGTCTGTGCGAATACAAGCTTTCTACCGTGTAAGCAAGTGGCTTTTCGTGGATTTTTTTTGGTTTATTACCAATTTATCATATGGATGGATACGATGATGGGATAGGATAGGATAGCTAGGTAGGTATGGATGGATATAAATGGAGTGGAAGTTCGTACTTGTGCAGGAAGGAGTCCGATGTGGTTTATCAATTGATATTTTTATTTTTATTTCGGGATTTGGGTTTGGATTGGGTGAAGGAGGGTATGTATTATTGAGGAGAATCGGGCAGTCCGGACATACGTATGATATAAAATGGAGTCGAGGAACCGAGAATGGATAGGTACATTCGTATACACCCGTATGATTCATATGTATGTATGGTATGGTATGGTTCGGTTCGTGTAGTTTGTGATTTGTGACTTATGATTAATGTCTTTCCTGGATGAAAATAACCTAGCCAAGACCCGAGATGCTTCCATAAAGTTCAGTGATCTTATTATTCTTCTTTCCCGTGAACCATTTCTTACTTGTTTTTCATGGTTCATAGTTCGAGGATGATTTTGGAGCGGGTCCAGGAAAATTATCATCGACAGCACTTACGAGACTAAAGTACTTTGATGACGACGGAAAAGTTTCATCTAGAAGTGGACGAGCCTGCGAGGATTTATCTAAGCCTCTAAGGTGAATCGGTAATTTGGTCGAGATGATGAATGGGTCGCTTCTCTTGGTTGATTCGTCGACTGTGCTTAGATGTGCTTTAATGTTCAATGATGATCATCATCCAGGTTCATCTACCAGGTCCTAGGATGATAGATCTTAGTACAAGAACGGCTAGAGTAGACGAGTACGGATAGACAACTTGCAAAGAGCTAAAGGTTTCTTGGAGATGCTGAATTGTAATTATTCGGGGACTGATGATTTCTATTCTGTTGATATATGTATGATGACTAGGGATGGATTTCGGACCTCTGCAGCTATTCCGTCCCTGATTACGAAAGTACTTGATGGATTGTACTCGATTTTTACTGTCGTGCTTTGCTGATTGACGAATGATGTTGACCGATGATGAACACACGGCAGGTTCGATAGAAAAGTGCTTGGTGGATCGTGAGTTAAGAATACGAAATATTCCGTAGATAGGGAATTTAAAAAGATCGTCTTGGGCGTTTAAACTTCATTTTCTTCAGCTGTACAGGGAGGGGTATGTATTCTTGATGTGGTAATAAATCCTGCATATTCTTGAAGTGTGAAGTTGTGAATTTGGAAGGTATGAATTGAAAAGTTATGTATTTGGAAGTTATGAGGTTATTTTGACCATTGAATACCTCCTAGGTGGGTTAATGTCAGAGATATGCATGAGATATACTTGAAATGTGCAAGGGCATCATTAATGAATGCCATTGAGTGGTTCTGCTTAATGGCAAGAGAATTGACAGGGCGGGAAACGGTAAGTGTAGTATGGTAAAAGGAGGGGAAGAGAATTGATGGCTTAAGATGGAATGATTGCCGCTTTAACAATGCATATTTAGATGCACAGAGATGCATAAGTTGAAGCTACTATCACTACCTTGTTAGGGAGTACATTGCGAAGGTACTAATGTATATTTGGTATAGTGACACTGTCCACGGGCAGTAGGAGGTAGAAAAGCATTGAATTTCTTGGAACACTTTTGAGAGTGTAGCAGTATTTGGTTTGGAGTTCCTACCAGTTCCTACCTAAGGGGAAGTATCAAAGTATCATAGTATGACAGAAAGGCTGATCTCCAAAACAGCAAACTTCCTTTTTCATTTCAACCTGTGTCACCAAGTACTCCGTATAACATGCTGAGGTAATCAATTGAGCATTAGTTCATACCGACCCATGGCTAACGAGCGCCATCCAAGAAACTTTCCAACGGTTTATATGCCGCCTCATCTTTTCTTGTCTGATACGAGTGCCACATGCGTAAATCGAGAGTTGGTAGGTACGAAAAAGTAGGCGGTATGGTATTGCTTGTATGATGCTGTTGATAAATACTTAGTAAGTAATAATAGTATTAATAGTAATAATACAGACAGAATAACAATTTCACTTACCTTCATCACCTTCGCCTTCACCCACCATCTTCAACAATTCCTACAAAATAATATCGAATCATGCTATCGAACGACCTCTGCTTTAAGTTTGAAAGTTCTGAGCTTCAAGACATCTTGACTCCTTGAGGGAAATGCAATCTCAAAGTAACTTCAGAATGTCAGATACCTCATCTCAATGTTTACTTTAATTGAAACTATCGTAAAGCTAATTCAGCCTCCTACACAATGGGATCTAGCCATTTATAAAAAGAATTGTGCCGAAAAGAGGAAAGCAGGTTGAAATTCAACCAATGATATTAAAGTCTGGGACTCATTCCATCGATTAGTCTAAACTTAAAGCAGCCACTTTTACCATACCAAGAAAATGGGTTGCCGCTTTCATTTCCTAAATATGTACACGACGCATTTGTTCAATTGATTGCAACGCTAGGTACGGAGGATACTTGGTAGATTCCGAAAGAAAAGAAAGAAAAGAAGGAAGAGAAAAGCATTTTTCGCTACTTGATTTGCTTACTAGGTGATTAGGTACAGTAGGTACAGTACGGACGGAGTAAAAGTCAAATCAATACGGACATTCACAACTACCGACAATTATTATTTTCTACTTTTTCCTTTCTTACCCTTTTCTCTATCTCTATCTACGCTACCTCTACCGCTACTGACTACCACCTTTCTCTCTCTTTCTCTCCTTCCATCTTTCCATACATCATCATTCTTCCTCCTCCTCTCCTCCTCCTCCACTTACTTCCTCAAACTCCACATTAACTTCAATCCCCTACTACTTCCTTTTTTCCTTTTTCGTCTTCCTCTTTCCTTTCCTTTCCGTCTTCGCCCTCTTCTCGTCTTGTCTCGTTTGTCTATCATCCAACAATAACTCAACTTTACACTCGTTCTTATTAATTCGCACTTTTGTTTTGAAGAGGGCAGGGCTTTCCAATCTCTTAATAATTTCAAAGAGTCAAATGGCTGCCATAGTCATCACCGTATGACGAATTAGTTGGATTGATTGACTGGTTGATTAATCGAATTCATTCAATGGGATACCTTGATTGATATCTCATATACTAATCCCGTTCGTTTGCAATACAACATTCCACCTACCCAAACATTCCGTTAACGGTGGTCCAGCAACAGCTAAGACATATATCATCATTGATAATCATACGATTGAAATAAACCATTAAAGTCGACTCGGAGATACTCACTCCTCAAAAGTAACCCATCATGTTTCACTCGCTGCGAGATTTTTATCGACTTGGGGTCGTTGCTATATTCATTTTCGCCCTGATCGAACATGTCAACGGAATTGCTATGGAGTATTGTTCAAGCTTGAATACTGCCACTACCAATGGAAGTAGGTTAACCTGCATAGATCCATCTGGGATATCCTCTTGCTGATTTTTACCTCTATAGATTCCTCTATTTACCAGTCGGATGGTCTCTGTCACGATTTCTGCACCGACTATGCATTTGCTATAGTGCAAGCAGAATATTGTTGGTGTTCGAATTATGCACCTGGAACCACAACGTCGACGAGTGATTGCGATTCTCCATGTCCAGGTTACCCACCCGACACTTGTGGCGGCAGTGGTACGTACGGTTATATGGCATTGGGACTATCTCCATCTGGGACAAAAGGTGCTGCGACATCGTCAACTTCATCTACGACGGTCAGTACTTGAATGCAGTCTCTTTTCTCCCTTTCTTTTTTCTCTTGACTTCTCAGCTCTACCGGTCTTGTCAACATCTACATTGTTTGCAACGTGCCTTGACTGGCAATCAATTTGACTCTTTTCAATGCTAGGTAACTACTTCGAGCTCGAGTCCCGTTGAAGTGACAACAACCGTCACTGAAATCTCCTCCATCGATCCACCCGTATGAGCATTTCTTCGATTTTGAGAATTTCTCGATTTTTATCTATTATAACATGGCTATGAGTTGAAATTATCAAGCTAATTTTCCTGAATAGAAAACTACTTCCTCAACAAGTACCTCGGATACCTCTACTACTACTCCAACAATACAACAAACTACAGTAGCTGCCCAGCAAACAACCCTAGCCGATACAACAAGTTCTAGCTGGACACCAACTCCAATCATATCACTTGAAACTATCACAGGACAAGTACGTACGGTTACTGTTACACCAACCGCACCACCAAGCGAGTCAAGCACTTCATCGGTCTCGAGAAAAAGTGCAGGTGGCTTAACAACTGGGGGTGCTGTGGGTCTCACAATTGGTCTGGTAGCTTTGATTGCAATTATTGTTGGTGTTACGTACTTCTGTATAAGGAAGAGAAGGCAACAAAAGGCCGAAGAATATGCTGCCGTCAACAGTCGAAGGGAAAGCTTAGCTGGTGTAGGCGGACCGATTCCAGCGAGAGGCATGAGCGAGAATTCACGATATGTTCTCGGTACCGATGGGAGACGTGTCGTAGAAAGATGGGAGCCAGAATTAAACACACCTGGGTCGAGAGGAAGTCAATTAATGCCTGTGGATCCAAGATTAGATCCTTTTGCTGCCGTTTATCAACGTGGAGAGAACAAGAGTCGAGAAAGCATAAATACCATACGAGATGACCACGACTATTCCAGGCGTGTTCATCAACAAGGACCGATACTTCGAGCTGTCAACCCTGATCCCGATTAACAATGATATCCACTTTCCTTTCTCGCCACACGATATTACGACCCCTCTACTTTCATCCTAAAAAAAACATACACCATTTGCACGTTTTCACCGCGATTAGGTGAACGTTGGAGTTTTCAGCGAAACATATCGGATAATACCCTTACCGAAGAAGCCGGTGATTAATTGAAACATTTGGGACTTGACATAGAAGAAGCACGCGCCAGGTATCATATTCAGCACTTATCAATTCGATAGTGGTAATTGTCAGGCTATATGTCTACCAGCCCTTGGTGTGGGTTTCGGGGGCTTTTTTTTTACTTTTCAAACTGTATTTATAGATTTCGCGCGCATATGCGGTAGCCTTGTTCTGGATGAGATACTCAGAAAGAGATATCTATCTTTTGGACTCGTCATTGAGATGCACATACGTGCCAGCATGGGGTTGAGAGGAAATGGGTAAAAGCAGATGGTTGATTGTACATACATTGGGGATTGAAAATTAATTCCTCCGAGGAAAAACTCTGGCTTGTGAATGAGTTGCTGGGATAGATGTAGATGGATAAGAAGGAATTTGGTGACTGGGACTTTCCAGCGAAACTTTCCAGCGAGACAAACATGGACATACAATATTAAATAAAAAGAATTAATTGGTCTTTTGAAACGAAGTTTTTTTTATGAAATGAGTGTGAAGGACTTTTGAGTTGGTAGGGTTTGTACAGAGCATTTTCCTTAAATTGAATTATGGATTATATATTGATATTACTTTGATAACATTGTAAATAGTGTTATATATTATTCATTTCTCGATAATTGCATTATAAGAAAAGAGGGCTATTTATCTTGGAACTAAAAAGGAAAGGGCTGGAACTAGAGCTAGAACTAGTCAACTCGCTAATAGCATGGCGCCCTTAGTGAGGATTGGCACGTGATGGTATAGGTCTGAGGATTATGATTGGATGTTCTTGTGAGAGGGAAATGGAGGAGGTGGGGAGGAAAGAGAGCGGGGATAGGGAGAGGAACGGGAAGAGGGAGATGGATGAGGGGTGGTTTGATGGGTGGTTGGTGGGTTGGATGACGGATTGGATTAGATGATGCGTTGGAGGTTAGAGTGTAGATTGAAGGTTGGAGATTGAAGGTTATATCTTATAGAGAGGGGTAGATTGGGAGGAAAGGATTAGAGGGAGAGAGGGGGAGAGAGGGAAAAGATGTGGAAAGAGCGGAAGAGGGGATATAGTAGATAAGACGGAGAGAGGAAAATAAAAAAGATGAGGAAATAGGGAAAAGAGGAAAAAAAAGAAGGGAGCGAGGGAGGGGATGAGCGGATGTGGGTTATGAAAGATGAGAAGGATGAGAGATGAGATGGGGAAAAGAGATGGTATTGGGTTTCTTGAGACCAGAAAGAGCATCAGATTGAATTGATTGATTCTCTAGCTAAGCAGTTAAGCTGCGAGTATATATTCAAAAAATGAAGGAATAAGGTTAGGTGTTCAGCCTTCGGAATTAAAGTGCTTTGAAATCAAAATATTGAAAGCAAACAAACAGTATACCAAAAAGGAAAGAATAAATTAAAAGTTGAGTTTTGTTTGCTCCTTATATGCATCATGCAATATATATGCATATGCTGCCAAGATCCCAGGAGGTCAACTGATGGGGAAGAAAAGAAGATAAGAGGAGATGGAAGAGATTAGAAGAGAGGGAATAGAAAATTGGAGAAGAGGAATAGGGGAATGGGGGAATGGGGATGTAAGAGATGAGATGAGATGAGAGGAGGAGCGAAGGAAGAAGTGAAAAGGTAAGATTGTCTTTGAGGAATAATTTGAGAAATGGATTTTTGTTTTGAATGTTAAATAGATATAATCATGATTATAATTAAGATAATCATTATTGTGACGCCTCACACCTCCGGGTCACGTGGCATGCCCCGTTTGTATTTAATCACAGGAAAACTCTCTACTCTTGTTCAAGTACGAGGAGACAGGGAGAGAGATCAAGAGCCAGTGATCTAGTGGACGAGGATGACCACAATTACAACCCCAAAAGGCCTACCGGCCCAACCCCCCCTGCGAAGGCAATCATGTAAACCCTGCCCTAGTCCCCTTTAAATTGTATATAAATACTCCCCCTAGCTAGCTAGTAAACCACTCAGAGGCTTCTCCTCTGAGCGTCATTTGTCCAAAACTGGAATAGATGGCTAAGGTTATCACGCGCCAAGGCGCGTGGGCCTACGGCCTATGACGATAAACACAATCAATCAATCAATCAATCTCTACTCTTGTTTTTCTTCTTCTTTTTCTCTTTAGCTTAGTATTTTCTAATACAAGATACTCTACCCAGTATTCTTGAGTGTGACATTAAGTCTGGTACCCTACTTCTCGGCCACCTCTAATCTCGGTCACTTTTTTATATCAAAAACAATGAAAATCGATCTTTATAACTTTTTTATTTATGAATATAATTTAATAAGATTTGAAATACAGGTATTTAGCTTATTGTTACAACGGGCTACACAACTACCAAGGCACGTGATCACAAATGATCAGTAGTGATCATTAAGGATCATGTTACGTGACGGTTGTTACCCACTAGTGGCTCACGTGCACTAGCCCTGTATATAAAGACCTTCTTACTTAGAATCTTCTTAGTTCTTTAGTTTTAGATTCTAAGTAATTGAATTGACTCCGTTTACGACTTTTCCGTCACAGATCACTAAGGATCACGATATAGGTGATCACCAGTGATCATAGAAGCATGAAGGACTATATAATCAAGATGGATTTCCTTTGTATAGAGCTTCGTGCTCAAGATCAATCATTTAGTATACTCTACTATTAGTTACAAATTGCATTATTGTTATTACTTTAAGTCCCTGCTTGATATCTAGTTATAAACCATCTCGAGAGCCTAGAGCACTTCCACGTGATCTAGACGACAAACCTCGTAACATATTATAAGAAAAAATTATACTTAATAGATGAGTATTATATTTAAAATGAAAGTTTTTTTAGTAATCCCTTAGAGAAGATGTATTAAGAGTGAGAGATATTCTCTAAAAGTGTATATCATGGAAAATAGAGTGATGTACCGCTGTCAATCCGGCTTTCTCGAGGAGTCTCTATCAATAACAGAATACAGGAATTGCGGAGGATAACCAATAAGGCATTAATCGGATCATTGCTATCATTGTTATTCACTTTGATATATCAATTATACAAAATAACAAAAAATAAACTAAATAACGGGTCTCAAAAGCCTTCATATTGCAAAAGTATAGATGAATAAGCGAGCCGTGATAGCAAAAAAAACATCGAAATTCCATCTTGCCCGCTCGATATTAGTAGAGGAAATGAGGAATTATATCATTTTCTGGGTATTGAAGGAGGATAGAAGTCTTTTCCTACGAATAAATTTCGTTCGGTCATCACTATGGTTATCTGATGATAAAGTTTCTTGATGAGTTTTTATATTGATATATAGGCTTTTGATCTGGTTTATATATATACGTATAAACCTCTTTATTATTAAAACAATAGGAGGGAATACGTGTATATGAAGCCTTTGAAATCAAGACTTACTCGACGAGACGCTGGCTAATTCCTAGCGAGCTCGCAACAAAAGTATAAAAGACACCCCTTCCATCTACGTAGAGTATAATATGAAGAATAAAAATTTGGTCTTTATACTTATATGGAAAAGCTGTGGACTGGTCACTCAAACCCCCCAGCCGCATCTTCTCCCCAGCATGAACAGTGCCCTAAGTAACTGCAAAATGGACTTATATTATCATTAATCATCTATGATGGAATTTGAACTACTAGAAAACGACGGGAAATAAACTTAATAGCCATGATTGCATGATGAGATCATCGCTGTCAAATATGCTCGAATATCAAACTTGATTCTTGAATAATATCACATTGCTAAATACTATGCTGAATTTTAATTTGATAGTCCCAGATTTTAGGGAAATTCACATTGTTGCAAGACTTATGTCTGAATACCTAGGTAGTCTATACAAAGACTTCCTGGAACGCTTGATCGATTGTAATTGGTTTGAATAGTGGACGGAAACAGTATTCGATTAGCTTGATTTAATTTCAATTTATAGATCCAGACCCCTTTTCCAAATGATAAGTTCGTTCATTATTGAGCCGTGGAACTGAAAACTTCAGGTCAGGATCCGGTTCGGTGGGATTATTCACTTTCCTATCTCTCGGGGTTGAGTGGTTCTAAGAATATGAATTGGTTGGATATTTTTACTTATTTTAAGTAACCAAGTAAAGTAGCTTGAAGGAAGATGTTCAACAGGAACTTTCCAATAGAGTATCTATCACAATTGAGGTAATGGTGGCACTTGCTTTATGATGTGAAGTTATATTGAGGAGAAATTATGTCTATGAAAACCTTGGAATGTAGAGTTGAAAATCTTTTCAGGTTGTTATCTATATCATCATCATCATCATCATAACTTATTATCGTCTTCTATTTATTTTTATACTCTCTAAACATCTATATTATCCATAACTAACATTTATCTTACCACAAGCGCAAATCAGATCTACAGATACACATGGCTCTGCTCAAGCTAAGAGCCTGGAGCTATTGGGTTTCTTGAGACCAGAAAGAGCATCAGATTGAATTGATTGATTCTCTAGCTAAGCAGTTAAGCTGCGAGTATATATTCAAAAAATGAAGGAATAAGGTTAGGTCTTCAGCCTTCGGAATTAAAGTGCTTTGAAATCAAAATATTGAAAGCAAACAAACAGTATACCGAAAAGGAAAGAATGAATTAAAAGTTGAGTTTTGTTTGCTCCTTATATGCATCATGCAATTTATATGCATATGCTGCCAAGATCCCAGGAGGTCAACAGGAGCCATCTCGAGCCATTAAAGGAAAAACCATCCGACTTTCAAACTAGTCATGCTTCACATGAGATAGGTGAAGAGGGGATTATATACTCTGTACATTAGAAATGGATTGCTTCAGGAGTTGGGAAGTTTGATCTTGACAATAGCTCCATTTTAGTGAATGAAAAGATGCAAAACCTGTCGGCTTCTGAAGAACCAGAATGATAGGTCTCTGTAGATATGTCACTCAAATGTACCAAACTTGAAGCAGGATTCATTTTGGACTTCCTTACAACTCAATAATTTCTATTCCCAGTTTCAAACCTACTTCGAAGAATTACTTATAAGTCCTATCCCTAAACCCAGCCAGAACCTCCACCGTCCTCGTCCCATCCTCATTATCCTGATACAACTTCCTCGCCACATCCGGATTCAACTGCAACCTCTGTTTCGCCCTAACCCACTCCTCCATCGTAACCTCCTTCTCAAACCTCGGTTTAACACCCGCCTCCTTCAGCACAGGAGAATCCAAAATCGGTTTCAAAATAGTATCATTATGCGGTCTAGCAAAATACAAAAGTCCCGTACGTTCATATTCCCACTGATCTTTGGGCGGCGCAACGACGCGATGGATAGAGGATTTGAGCCAGCCTCCTGTTAGGTGCGAGATTGTATCTGCGAGGTTAACGGTAATAGTGCCTGGTTGTGCGGATACGGAAGTCCAGTTTCCGTCGTCGCCGAGGATTTGGAGTCCCGCAACTGGTTGGCGGAAGAGGAGAGTTACGGTGCCGAGATCAGTGTGTCCGGTTGTTTGGCCGTAGCCGCTTGCTTCGTGTTCTTCTGGTGTTCGCTTGTGATAAATCATGTAGCGGTAATGATCTTCGCTTTTCTTGTCGTAAGTATGTTGTTTAACGAGATATTCTTCATCTGGAAGTTGAAGGATGATGGCGAAGAGACGAAGTAAAGGTAAAACGACATTTGAATGAAGAGCTTTTGAGAAAACTTCAATCTCGGGAAGATGAGCTTGGATTAAAGGAGGATGTGGATATTTTCCTTCAAAATCTTTGGTGAATTTGGGAATATTGTACATTTCGATGTTGTCTTTTACTCCTCCGACGGTATGATGATTGTTTCGTCGCCAGCCGTTGTAATCAGCGGCTGCATAGTTGACTTCGTACTTTTCTTTTTCTTCCACGGGAAGTGTAAAGAAGTTCTTGGCGAGTGTAAATTGACGATCTACTTGATCTTGACTGAGACCAAAGTTTTTCACGTAGAAGAAACCGACATGGTGAACGGCGTGTTCAAGTTGTTTGGCAAGACGTTCTTTTCCTCCTTCATTGTTGAAGTCTGAGAGGTCTAGCGTCACGAGTTCAGCCCAAGGAAGGTCATCCTTAGTCTCTGGTGGATGTGTGTACTTTGGAAGGCGATCAAAGTCATATTGTTTTAGATCTTGCGGCGATTGAGCAGCATCTTGGACTGATGTCACGATAGTTTCGGTTGTGGTGGTGGACATAATGTATGGATTCTGATATATGATGATGTGTGATTTCAGTCCAGATTTGGAGATATTAAATGACTCTCAATTGAGTCTTTAAGTATCAAACCTCTCTTTTGTTTCCGGAATTTCGGCACATCTTGTCATAGTGCTCGTCCGCCGTTGATGTACACCTTCAACATTTCGTCATATATGCCCCGCATGACACCATCACCAAATCGAGCGCTCAACCTATATGAAACCACGATCATCCACTCAACTAGGGAATTGACTTGCAGCATTATCGTTCATGCTTATCAATCTATCTGGAGTTGAGAGAGCCTATTGGCGTCTTAAATATCTTGATATTCCCTAGCCAGGATAAAAATTGAGGCAAAATGCGGGATCGCCTAACTGAGGGGTTAACAATCAAACGGAACGAAAATACGTCCCATAGTCACCGTCAATATGTTTAAAATAGTTTGCATCTGAAAGAGTGGGATAGATGTTTATCATTCTCGAACTGAATGGATACAATACATTCATGCAAGCGTTACGTTCGAGTCTTACCAAGCACCTGCAAGAGATAAGGACGATGTTTTCAATTGGAGCGATTTGAATAATATATGAAAAAGGCGAATGAAGTTCGCTGATGTCGCAATTTGATGCCTGTTAAGCTGTCGCAGGTGCTAGGTTCACATCCACAAATCTACATGGCGAGAATAATTTCGAAATGGCGAAGTGTTTTGGAGCGTTGCATATGTTGAAAGCCATCTAACTTTTCAGCAGAATAGGCCAGATTAGTTTCGGGCTTGAGGTCAATTTCTGAGAGGTAGAGATCTCCATCATGAACGAAATCAAAGAGAAAGCTCTCGAGTCGAATATCTCGCCTATTGATGCTAAATCAGCGGATGGCTCAACCACGTCCCCAGTTTCACGCGAAGAGACCAATATCGAAGCCCACTCGAAGACATGGGAGAAATCTGGATTCAAAGGTTCTTCCCGTCGATTTCTACGAAAGATTCAAGGTTATGTCTGGGACGATCCAGACAAACCAGCCATCGAAAAGCGTTTCCTTCTCAAACTGGACTTTTTCCTCCTCTCGTATGGATGTCTTGGATACTTCTGCAAAAATCTTGATCAAGCGAATCTGAGCAATGCATACGTTTCCGGCATGCAAGAAGCTCTTAATATGAAAGGAAGTCAGCTGACATATTTGGGAAATGTATTCACAGCTGGCTATGTGATTAGTCAATTACCTGCTGTAATTCTCGTTACGAACGTTCGCCCATCAATCTTGATTCCTACTCTTGAAGTATTCTGGTCTATCTTCACTTTTTGCAGCGCGGCTGTTACCAATGTGCCACAGCTGTACGCCTTGAGGTTTCTTATCGGACTTTGTGAAGGAGCTTTTTTCCCTTGCATCATATATGTGATTGGGTCATGGTACACAAAACAAGAAAGAGCAAAGCGTGTGACCTTGTTCTATTGTACGACCACGTTAGCCGCTATGTTTAGTGGTTACCTTCAAGCAGCAGCATATGACAATTTGAGCGGACATCTCGGGCATGCTGGATGGCAATGGCTGTTCATCATATGCGGTACCATAAGTCTTCCAGTGGGTGTCATCGGGTATTTCTTCAATCCAGATTTTCCCGAAACCACTCGAGCTTTCTATCTCACGGAGACTGAGATTGAGTTAGCTAAAGAAAGACTCGTTCGGGATGGATACAACACTCTTGGATCGTCGGCTTGGGATAAGAAGAAGATTTTTCGAATGATGGCACAATGGCAATTTTGGGTTTTACCTGCTGGTTATTTCTTCATCCAAGCTAGTCTCCCATCTCAGCAGCCAGCATTTGCTCTGTGGCTGAAGTCCAAAGGGAACTCAGTCTATGACAGGGATGTTCTCCCAACAGCCCAAGCCGGGATTGGTGTCATTGTCCAAATTGTAGCCGCCATGATTTCCGATTCCAACTTCTTGCACGGAAAACGTTGGCAACCAATAATAGTGATGCAACTTGGTACATTCTTTAGTGCAGTTGTATTAGCTATCTGGACTGTGCCTATAAAGTTAAAATTCGTCGCATTTTATCTTGCATATTTCTCGGCCGGAGTGCCCGGTATTTGGTTTTCTTGGTATCCGGATCTTATGGCTCATGATCATGAAATGAGAGGATTTTTAATTGCAACAAGTAACATGTTTGGTTATATTATGCAGATTTGGTACTCAGATGCAGTGTGGAGAACTGCAGAGGCACCCAGGTTTCGTCCGGGCTGGATTGCTGCAGCGACTTTTGGGGTTGCAATTTCTTTGACCGCCTTATTGACGAGATTTCTTGAGAGAAGAGATGAAAAAAAAGGGATTGGAGCTTTTAGTGCTAGGCCAAACGACTCGGAGAATCCGAGAGATCTTGCGTCAATGGAAACTCCCTGATAGAAGTCTAGCAGATATAAGTAGCATAATTGAAAGATATACTGTGCTTTGGTTGGTCAGACCTATTAGCCTTTTGACACTTCTAATTCCTTTGAGTCCAAAAACAAAGCACATATCCACTGTCCATCTTCCATTGTATCTTCTGTGAGTTGCCAGCCAATCTTTGCCTTTTAAAGCTGCAAATTGCTTGCCTTGCCCTCCTGTGCATATCATTTGCTGTCAAAGATGTAGAGCCTTTTGGTATAGAGCAGCCGTCTAGGCCATGCCATATAAGAGCATCTTGCGATGATTCTCAGATCTTCAGATCGTTCTCGCCCACTTTTTGTATAATCAACGCGACAATAAAACGGACTTACCTTGTGATTGGATCACCGAAAATAACCTAATTCTATCCGAATATACTGAACCACTGCAAATTCTTCCAGCCGAATTCCGACTTTGGGCTGCATATTATACAGCGGATTGTGGAATCTACTAGACTCATCATTCCAATATCTATACAAACGAACCTGTTCTAGTCGAAAAAATGCTGGGGAGGGAAGTGATTTCCTTTAAAATCTGGATAGCTGAAATATGAGAATTGCAGATCTCGTAGACAACGTGAAGGAAGCTATCCTAAAGTTCTCGAAGCATGAAGAATTCGCAGTCTCCTATGAGATATAAGTGAAGGTTGCCACAAAGAAAGTGTGATCATTGTACGCCATTTTGTAATGAAGAATTCTAAACATTTTCGAAAGAACAGTAATAGATGTTGAAACCGGAGGGAAAGATCAGTCTTAGATCATAGCACTTGGCGTTGTAATAAAAAGTGAATAAAGACCATTTCATAGATTTAACCTGTCACGCCGCTTGTACGCCGCCGGTATGCATCTGTATATGCCGATGACCAATGATGCTTAGCAAACATTCTTTTAGTATTCGAGCCTGTCGTTCCAGACATTCGGTTCCAGATGCTCGGATTCGGATGGCAAAGAGCCGCCAAGTTGTTATGAATAGGCACCCAAGTTTTCTTTTTCCTATTCGTTGGTCTCAGCCCGTATCAGGAATCAAGGAAGTTTGAAACTTGATTGAAGCGAAGCCATTCGCAAATCAGAGGTCTCATAGCTTTTTGAACTAGAAAATAAGATCAAGAGATACCAATACTCAGAAATTCAAAGTGCTGTTTGAAGGAACCATTGCAAGTGGGATTAACTATCCAGTTGCATTTATGTACAGCAGCGGTTAGGAGAAAAAGATACACAGAGTTTTCTTAAAACTTCCAGCAAAATGAAATAAAAAGAAAAAATGAATCTAGCAAATTGCTTCCCCAAAAGTGAATATCTTCACACCAATCACATCTTATGTAAAAGTACCCAAACTAAGTATTCAAGAGTAACCTATCAAGGAGTACGAGAGAAACACGCCTTCCAAAAGCAAGAACCTCAAGAAGAAAGCAAAACTAATATCAAGAAGCAAAGAAAATAACTACTAAAAAGGTACATCTTTGCTTGGTGGGGAATTCGAATCCCCGTTTCCTGCGCACTCAATTTTATTTCACTCTGGGAGGCAGACAGGTTAACCACTACCTCAACCAAGCTTTCTACCACTGGACCATGAGGACTTTGATGCAAATTATTAATGTTCGGGTGTTATTTTGTTATATGTTATAGAAGGGAAGGAAGGAAGGAGTCATTGAATGATTGAGTAAGTTTGTGAAGTTGAGATGAGGAGGAGGTGAAGGGTGGATGACGTAATGCGGAAAAGTAAAGGTATGATTGATAGGTTTTGATCACTTGACCAGGTAGGATATCTGCGGATGTCCTTTGAGTGAGGTTTTGCTTTTCTTGGGTAGAGTTACCTAGATGTTTTTGCAAATGTTGGTGTGTTTGTTGTTGGGGAAGGAGTCATTGGAAGAATGAGGGGTAATCATCTAATCTAGCGCTCACATGACTTTTGGTTCACCATCAGCCAATGTGTTTTGGCTTCCAAGTTTAGAATTCTTTAGACAAAATTATAATTTGACTCTTTTACACTGTTAAGTATTCAAAGCCTTCCCTGCAGCTGAACGTCAAGATTAAAATCTCAAATTTTCATAATGACATAGCAAAAGTTCTTTTCTACGAGAGCTTGCAGACTCTCCAATTTTTATATCATTTTCCGAATTTCATAAGCACTTGGCTTAATATCTAGAAGGTGGTTGTCAAGAAATTACTATATTAGCACTCTCATAAAGCGTTAATTAAAGCAATACTCATCTCATTCGATCTATACACCCTGATCTATCAGTACACCACTGGCATTCACCCCGTTCAGAAAGCATCCAACTTCCTATAACCACTAGCACGAACCAGAGAACCAAAGATAGCCTAACCAGCGGAGCTCATATCATCTCATCACTCCAGTACTGACTTCCAATCTACAACTACCAACATTAACAGCAGTCCTATCCCAAATCCCTCCAAACGTTTCCAGATAAAAACCCATGTGATCATCCAATACTACTAATGTCGCACAAGCAACTCAGACTCTCAAATTGAAATTCAATACTGATTATTACCACATATTATCTCACACATACGAAAACCTCGTTGACAACACTCATAGTTAAGAAATAATCACCACTAAAATTGAATCCCCCCTAAACCGTTATCATCACCATACAAATATATATCCTCATCACAGGGCACCACTCCAACCATACACTCGGGAATCCGTTGAAATTCCACCGATTTCGCATCCCCCAACACAATAGAGCTCTACTGACAGTCATCATGTCTTTATAACTAATTATAACAAGGACTGCCCAACTGCCCAACTACCACCATACACTACCAGAATCTGACTATTCCCATTCTACTATCCCCTTGCCAAACAATAAATACCTGGACCATCCACACCACTTGATCAAAAAATAAAGTATCAATCTACACTTACCAACCCTTGCCATTCAACTCCCGTCCAAAAGGGAACACTCACTCACCCATGAATTCAAATGATATATATGGATACCCAGATACCCAGATACCATCCCGACATTCCAACACTGAATTACCTACCCGATATAAATATACAGGTATAAGATAAAACCAACAAAATGAATCAAAACTCCGGTATTAAAAACCCCTCAAATATCAAATAAAAGAATTATATATAAATACACGAGATATAAAAACATAGAAATGTGAGGACAGATATTAAAAGAAGCCAATCTAAAAAATTAAAAACAAAAAGGAACTCAATAATCCAACCCGTTCCTTCAAACATGAAATCTGATATCAAAAAAAGAAGAAAAATATCATTTTTTCTCTTCACCCACACCCTCACCCGCCTCTGAAATTCCCATCCCAATAAACCCAGTATAATTACAGATCCGGAATCTACACTTATAATATCATCTTATATACCACCCATATCATATACATCGCCTTTAAGTCTCAACCATACACACAAACACCACCCCCAATCTCAACCCTATTCTCAAATCTCATAACCATCCAACGTCTAACATCTAACTTCTAAAACCATCACTCATCACTCAATAGCATCACATCACCAACTACCAACTACCAACTACCAACTACCAACTACCAACTACCAAACTAAAAATAGAACATATAAAATCGATTCCATTCCATTGCTCTAACTATAACCAACTACCATACCTCATATATCATTTTTAAATTTCTCATCATATAGTGCCTGTACATTCGTTATACATGCATGCACACATTTATCCATATTGTCTGTCATTCATAATATCATTCAAATCATCAATCAAATCAAATAAATC